AGGGGATGACCGACGTCGACCGTAGCTTAACCTAGCCTAGGCTAGGGGAGGGGATGACCGACGTCGACCGTAGCTTAACCTAGCCTAGGCTAGGGGAGGGGATGACCGACGTCGACCGTAGCTTAACCTAGCCTAGGCTAGGGGAGGGGATGACCGACGTCGACCGTAGCTTAACCTAGCCTAAAAGTATTCATTATTATCCTTTTTACACTCAAAACATCTTCTATTCACAGTTCTACCAGCACTATGTACAAAGATAATCATATATGAGCCCCAAGAACCCTCCAAATGGCTGCCGTAGGACCTCCCGTAATGTCCGGACAGTTCGCGTTTAAGGGCCCTCCGGGCCCCCCTCCCCCCCCTACATCCGGTTTTTTATTTTATTCCTGCCACCCCCTTGCATTTTCCGATTGGCCAAGGTTCTCCGTTGAGTCCTTTACGAATCTGCTCTGCACGGTTTTCCCCCCATTGAAGCTCTTGAAGATCTTTGTGATATATCCACCTGAAATGGTACGTTTTCCAGAAAATGAATCAAGCTAAGTACATTGTGCTGACATGATAAGGGGGAGACTCACGTATGGCGACTTCCTGGACAATCAGCATGTAAGTAACATGCAGTGGCATAAGCGACTAGGATACAGAAATATTGATCGAGGGTTGGACCGACGGTGCGTACCTGTGTCCAGATATAGGTTGTACTTCTCCGGGGTTGGCACACGCCGTCCACCCTGAGGCACCTCCTTCAAGCTATTGTCAAAAAACTGGACAGGGTACAGAGTCAGTAAGAAGCTGTTAGAAACTGATTTGATTGACGTACGACACCAATGGTGTAGAATCCTGCACCTGCGTACGCGGCCCAATGACGGTCAATACTATTCAGAGCGTGCAGGAAGATAACAGGAACTTACCCGTCTGCCGTTGCAGTGTAAGCCAGCTGTCCTTGTACTGAACTCTCTGTGGAGGATCCAATCCAGCTGAGTCTGTCGCGGGGCTCCGAGCCGAAATCGGCCGCTGCCACTGGTACGCAATCTGGGAATGATCCACTCGAAGAGCATCCATAGATTCCAGAACGGGGGACAAGAGTGACTGTGACGCCCATTGAGAATGAATAAACCGTCATCATAATGGTGGCTTACCGTAGTGTCTGAGTCGGTGAGTGCCGTCGTTGTCTGCTAGGGCAACAATAAAAAGTATGCTCATCATACGGTACAGTGTTGAACCTACAGGGCGTATGGTCTGCGCTACCTTGCGCCAAATTGGGCACTCAGCGTTCTCGGGAGCCTGGTCTGGACGGAGGTAGAGTCCTGGGGGCGAATCATCGTAGAGAAGCTCTTGGCGTTGTATGACATCTTCAATCCACTATGGCAGGGTTTTTGAGGGACAGCGGAGTGTATCGACGAGTTAGTAAGAGCGCGGTGTTGTTAGCTTGCAAGAAAATTCATCATATATAACTGACAACCCACCGTCTGTGCTATGCTGGGTCGCCTCTCGAATTCGCCACCGGTGCTGAGCCTAAAGAACAGAGGCTTCTCTGGCGTAGATGTTTCGTCAGACATTTGTAGCCAGCAGTGGACAAGATTAAGTATAGCAGGAAGAGGGTTGCGGATTTAAGCCAATCGCTTGCACCTTGTACGCCGGATCAGAGAACCTTTTATACCTGGGGGTTTGAGCGTTAATGACTCGGAGCTCGTACGTCAGAGCCCCGGGCGTCAGCCCTTAGACTCAACTGCACAACAATTGCGAAGGATAGTGGGACTATCGATATCAAAAGAAGAGTGAGGTCTATAGAATCTGATGGGCCTTCAAGAAGATCAGTGGAGTTGGTTGGGAGTGGGAGAATCACTAGACTTCGACACAAAACATATCTGGTTCAACAGAATCCGAATCCGTGGGACCTGTGATTCGGCAACTAGGACAGGAACTTCACATTCAGTCCGTTAGAAATAGAACCGCTGTAGGATATTCGTTTATACTATCAGCTCTCTTTGTTCAAAGTACTTCAACATGACCCTTGTAGCCTCTCACTTGAATGTAACAATCGATCCAACAGAATATTGAGTCCTTCAGTGTGGCTGAACATCATCTACAGACTAGAACGAGTCGACTACCATCCGAGTCACTGGCTCAGACATGGTTGTTGTCCGGGACGCCAGTAGCTATGGGAGGTACCTCTCACAGATGTTTTGAGGCTATACCTTACGCCAAATCATGATCAACACATTAAGTCCTAGGCTTTATTGTGAACACCCGGGACCTCAAAGGCCTAGGTCGCCCCGGCCACGCAACCCACCAGTGGCAACTTGTGGCGGCTCTTCGAGTTCCTAGTCCCGAGAGACTGGTGAACAAAGTTCTGGCACAATTTGCACTGTTGCCCCGCTGAGCCGCTTCCAGGTTAGTCACGGTAGTCACTCACATGGCTTCCTTCGCACTCTGATATCGCACTAAATCATTTTGTGCCTCCTCTTCAGAGGGCCCCTTCAATACTTAGCACTGCAGTATCAATCGTCAAGGAGCAAGCCAGTGAACACCCCGTCACGATTTTGATTCACAGTTCAAGAAGCTCCTATTCTCTAAGCTCTTTCACACCATGATGGTACTTAGATAAGGATTTAAGACGAGAATGAGTGACGTTAGGAGTGAGTTTCAAGGGACAAGGTTCATGTTACGTGCACATTTTGTTTGTTCCTCTGAGGTTAAGTACTGATGGTACGGTGCGTCATCTAGTTTCATTCTCTGCGTTCCCACCAAACCGGCGAGATCCTTGCCCGACTGCCGCCAACTTCACACACTCGGGCGTGTATAGATCGGGGAAACCATGGATGACCTGTGATGAGGTTTCGTTCATTCCCCTGAAACCCGCCACATGCACTGATTTGAAAATCTACGCCGCGGGGATGTATCCTCTGGAGAAAGGTATTACACGTTCAAACTCTGGAGGGAATCAAACACAAAATATAGACCAACTGTCGTAAGCGGTATGCGACATATCCACGACAATTGCGAGGCCTGAGGCGTACAAACATTAAAGCCTCCCAGAGAAGGAATCTGACGGTCAATGTCAATCCGTCAATCCTCGGGGCTATACAGTCCAGTGATTGAAAGCTTCACAAGAGGGACATCCCAAAAAGTCCCGATAGCAGAGCGATTCTAGCAGTACTCGACGCGTAGGCCTCACGCGTAACAACACTAGCAAAATAAGAGGTGCTTCCTCACAAAAGAGAGTACGACTGACGCTGTATTCCAGATGAAACAGATCCGGGCCAGCTTCTGCGTGTAGGCTGTTACCACAGGACATGGCCAGAGAGATATTCGTAGGCGTTAGGCCAACAATAGTGACTGTCGACACGGATCGCTCTCAGCCGCGGCGGCGCTAGAACCATAGCCTCGAAGTGATACGAAGGAACGCCTCTCTCAGCGACTTCTAAGTTGACCACTTCTAAAGGTTGCGCTGAGGCATGACCCCCGGTAAAATATTCCCGGAAGGGCTATTTGGCTCAGTTGGCTTCGTTTTTCCAACTCTCCAGAGTACGTTACTGTGCTTCGAATATATCCTGGGATCAGCCACCCATCTAACAGGGACAAAAATGATATCGAGCATACGGTCACGAACCATCCGGGATGAAACGATCTTCTGAATAAGAGGGTCGAGATCTCCAACGATAAAAGATAAGTAATTGATTGCCAAGGTGGCAGAGAATTGATGGGGCGAGACGTGTTTTCCACGCAGTCCAGCGACAAGTGCCACCATACGGCGCCCTTGTTTCATGATACTATGGTGCAAACGGCTTAGTCATCACCACTTTTGTACAGCGGCCAATTTCGTCGGCGAAAGTCGAAATCCCCATTTATTGAAAGAAAATTCCTGGCACCCCCCTTGGTTTTCGGAAAATAATAAACAAATGAATTAAATATTATTATTGGGCGGGGTGGCCAAATCCAAAAGTTCATCTTTGCCAGTTTTGAGAATTTGGATAATCCCTCTAGAGGAACTCTTCCTTACATCAAAAGGAGTGTTTCTGGAAGAGGGATAGTGAAAATTCTCAAATCTCGGCCCGCGGCACCGTCCTCAACGTTGTGTACAGAAGTGGCGGCGTCTAAGCCGTTTGCACCATAGGGCGTAGACAGCCGTCTTTCGGGTCATAAAGACTAGAACAAAGCCCGAGGTGAGTCTTTTGCGTGAGAGCCTGAGAAACGGCGTTCAAGCTCAGGCTGGAGGCCATAGGATTAGGCGTCACATCAACGTCTCTTAGTTACGTTCGGTGCACAATCTGCTTCACCTTGTAACTCGTACTTACCTTCGTCTTTGAGAGCATGTAGAGAACGTTTATTGAAGGGGTCGAAGAGGTCATATGAAGGGAACGAGTGTCGAGGAGGGAGCGGCTACTTACTAGTCTCAGACTTAGAGGCAGCGCCGTCACAGCGGCGGCGCGAGGATCACTAGTTTGCGAGCCACGTCAGCGGTATTGAGATGTGGCGCTTGATCCACGTCACACACGGCGCCACAACTTAGCTCTTCCTGGCTGCAGTCTTGGACGCTTCCTCGCCCTTTGCTCAAAGTGTGTCTCTACACGAAGTCTTAAATGACTGCCAAGTGTAGCGACAACGTTCGCGACGAGATGTTCATGTGTTGTCGATTCGCCGCCGCTCAGGTCCTTCTCACTGTACAATAAACTCGTTGTCCCTAGCCCCTAATAAGTACCTATCCCCTCTTCCTTTCCTCACCGTCTCCCTTATCGTCTTTCTCAAGTGCCGCCCCTTGTATCGCTGGCCAGAGATGGATCCAAGGAAAGCGCCAGTAACGATTGACCTCTGGAGATGTAGCAGGACTAGCACCATGCATGCACGACGGGGAAACCACTATTTAGAGCCCGTTGAAGTGGAATCCAAACCTCGGTCAATATATTATATATGGGTGTCAGTTTGGCGCTCTCTCAAGCAATACAGTGACACTTTAGCGAGCTCTATAGTGAATCCCATTCTCTGAATTACCTTCAGAGGACGCTAAAGAGATTCGGGGTTGCCACATAAAGCAAGCCCGAGGTGCTTGACAAGTCAGTCACTCCATGTAGTTTCACACGATAACTCATGGTGACGGGGCAGTCAGAGTCGATTGAGGCCTTTGCTAATGGTGCAGGCAGTACTCCCTTGAATCGACTCTCCATCACACTGTGGTACTGAAAGAACGTCCTCCGACGGCTACTGATGACCAGAAGAACGGTTTCTAGGAAGACCTCGATGATTTTTGATCTCGATAAAGACGCCGCCGACGCTTTCTCATGCTTGCGGACATTTGAGTACAGAGGCCACCACGGCACGCCGTTAGCCACATGAGCGCTCAGGTAGTTGGCTGACAACATGCCAAAGACATTGAGTACTATAACCTCCCGATGATGTATGGATAGCAAAGCAAAGAATACTGCATATCAACATGGGAGAGAGCGGGGCTCACCCGTGATACAAACAGATAGAATCGTACACTCGACACGGACTTTCAATTCCTAAGCTACCGATGTGGGTTACTTATCGGATTGCTCCCTAGACAATGCAGTCAACAAACACTTCGTCCATCAAGAGGAATACGTGATAATACTCACCGCAAGTTACGACCATCGACCTTCCTACAGATCGTTCTCACCTCCCCCTCGTCGATCTCTCGTATGACCTCCCACGGCTTCCAATTCGAAGTCCCACCCATCGGCCAACGTTCAAGCATGTATATCTGCTCGAGACTGGGAGCGAGCCCTTCAACGAGGGCTTGGGCGAGATCGCCCAGCGAAGCACGATATTCCATTCCACGGATTCGTGCTTTTCGTTCCTCCCATTGTGCAGGCATAGACGCGCCGTCCATGTCAATGTGAATGAAGAGGGTTCGCAGCTCTGTCAGGTGGGAGAGAGAGCGTCTGATGGCCTTCTGGATAGTTTGGAGAATGCATGAGCAGAGTCGTTCCGATAATGAGTATTGTGTGCTTACTATGTCCACAAGATCATGACTGGACCATCGATATCGAAAAATCTTGAGTGTGCGTAGAGCAGGAAATACGTGCGCCATGTGAAGTAAAACATCACCATCACTATTGTCTTCCTTATATACTACCTCCAAACTCTCCAGGGCGGAACAACGGCAGCGACGAAGTATATCGTGAAGCTCCGACGATGTCAAAATGGGTGATGTCCAATGCAGACTACGGACGATGGCGCCCTCGTCGACATGGAGATAATGGCGGGGCCAGTCGGTAAGGGATAGGTGATGCAGTGACTCAGGAAGACGATCGAAGATGATGTCCTTCGGGTCAGGAAAGGAGATCTTTAAGCTCCGAAGTGAATCGAGGGCAGGGTAGGAGTTGGTAGCCGAAGGCAGCAGGAGAGTAATCCGCGACAGGTATGCGCATTGCGGGACAAGGATGGTAAATATTTGAAGGGAAGGGATATTGAAGAAAAGCGGGGCAAAGTCCACGTTGGCTGTCGAGTGCGCCGGGGGACTTTGACCAATAAGCGAAAGTTCGGAGAGACAAGGCCAAGAAGATGTAAGCAGCTCCTGGTAACGCATAGATTCTAAAGGAACTTTCAACATCTGCAGTGTGGGTCGCATGCGTGGAATGATTGACATAAAGAATTCCCTTTCAGTGAGGAGGTGATTGTCGTCGACATCCGACCAGATATGACGGACCCACGTAAATTCCTTCATATGAGACGGAATGACAGGCGACTCTTCGAGAGATTGCCAGTAGGTCCTCGGCCAACGACAGTGACCAGAAACATGTATTGCAGTCAGTTGTGGAGCGAGAAGCATGGCCTCGACGAAGTAGGATGGAAGTCCGTTCATGAGATTGACGAAGCGCACCACTTCCAAAGCGGTGAGTTGAGGCATAACTTTCAATAGAAATTCCTCGGAGGGATATTTTCCATAGAAGTCGCGTTCCTGAAAATGTCCGGTAAAGACGATTGAACTGTACCGCTAGCGTGAGATCGGCCGTTGCCCAGAAAGAGCGGTACGAGTCTTACCGAACATACGACCACAACGTCTCGGGTATGAAAGAATTGTTTGGATGGTTCAGGGGAGCTCGACAACAAGAAAATAGGATCGGCAAAGCCAGCTGTCGATAGCGTCGGGCAACCGTCGAAAACTGTGACAACGAGCTAGGAGCTGTACTCCATCCGACAGTAGGATTTACGACTCGCAGCTCGGTCATCACGAGCTGTATACAGTCGTCGTTCAAGCAAGATAAACTGAACATAAAGATCAGTAGCGGTCCCTGGGTCAAATCAAGGAAACACTGACGAAATGTCTTGAATATCGCGCATCATTTGGCGGGATGTCGTATCCTAGGGACGTCATTAACATGTTTGTATTTGCTTCTCTACGTAGATAGCGCATACCTGGGTCAATGAGATTGAACAAACAGCACGATCACCACTGATGCGTTGAGCGAGACAGGGTGAAGGAGATGGCGAAAGAGCAGGGGGCATCTGGTCAAGTCAGCGCCCTGATCTTGATTACAATCTGATTTGGTGCCACACGACTCCTTCTCGAGATCCTCCCTCACTGCGTATTCTTTGCAACCAAAAGGGAAAGTCGTCTCCAACATGTGCACCTCCAAGTGCACCCGGAGCCTCGGATCCAGAAATCGAATCGAAGACATCGTAGGACTAGCATCATGTCGCGTCCTTTCACTCCACGAGCTTGAGAGATCGTCTTTTATCGAGATCAAAAATCACCGAGGCCTTCCCAGAAACTGTTCTTCTGGCCATCGGTAGCCGTCGGAGGACATTCTTTCAGTGACACAGTGTGATCGATTTAAGGGAGTGCCTGCACCAACAGAAAAGGCCCCAATCGACCCTGACTGCCCGGTCACCATGAGTTATCGTGTAAAAGCACATGGACGCCACCACGGCACGCATGAGCGCTCAGGTAGTTGTCTGATGGAATGCCTGAGACATTGATTACTATGACCTCTCGGTGATATATAGATAGCAAAGCAAAAAAAAAAAAACAGTGCACATCAACATGGAGAAGAGCGAGGCCCGCCAGTGATACAATCAAGTCAATCATACACTCGACATCGACTTCCAATGCCTTACCTTACCTTACCTTACCTTATCGGATTGCTCCCTAGACAAGGCAGTCAACAAACATTTCGTCTATCAAGATGCAAACATACGAAAACTCACGGCAAATCTTGACCATCGACCTTCCTGCACATCGTTCTCACCTCCGCCTCGCCGGTCTCTCGTATGATCTCCCACGGAGTCCAATTCGAAGTTCCACGCACCGGCCAACGTTCAAGCATGTATATACGCTCGAGACTGGAAGTGAGCCCTTCGACGAGGGTTTGGACAAGGTCGTCCAGTGAAGCACGAAACCATAGTCCCCGGATTTGCGCTTCGTGTGTCGCCCATGATGGAGGCATTGACGCGCCATCCATGTCGATGTGGATGAAGAGAGTTCGCAGTTCCGTCAGGTGGGAGAGAGAGCGTCTGATGGCCTTCTAGATAGATTGAAGGATGCGTGAGCGGAATCGTTCCGAAAATGAATATTTGGAGCTTACTACGTCCACAAGATCGTGACTGGAAGATCGATAGCGGAAAATCTTGAGTGTGCGTAGAGCAGGAAATACGTGGGAAATGTGAAAACATCGCCATCACTGTGACTATTGTCTTCCTTATATACCACCTCCAAACTCTCCAGGGCAGGACAACGGCAGCGACGAAGTATATCGTGGAGCTCTGACGACGTCAAAATGGGTGATGTCCACCCCAAACTACGGACAATGGCGCACTCGTCGACATGGAGATAATGTCGGGGCCAGTCGGTAAGGGACAGGTGATGCAGTGACTCAGGAAGACGATCAAAGATGATGTCCTTCGGGTCGGGAAAGGAGATGGTCAGGCTCCGAAGTGAATCGAGGGCAGGGTAGGAGTTGGAAGCCGAAGGCAGCAGAAGAGGAATCCGCAACAAGTACTCGGATTGTGGGAGAAGGATGGTAAAGTTACGGAGAGAAGGGATATTGAAGAAAAGCGGGGAAAAGTCCACGTTCGCTGTTAACTTCGCCGGAGGATTTTGACCAGTAATCAAAAGTTCGAAAAGATGAGGCCAAGGAGATGTAAGCAGCTCCTGGTAACACATAGATTCTATAGGAACTTTTAGCATCTGCAGCGTGGGTCGCATGCGTGGAATGAACGACAGGAAGAACGCCCTTTCAGCGCGGAGGTGATTGTCGTCGACATTCGACCAGAGGCGACGGACCCACGTAAACTCCTTCATATGAGATGGAATGACTGGCGACTCTTTGAGAAGCCTCCCGTAGCTCCTCGGCCAATAACAATGGTCAGGCACATGGATTGCAGTCAGTTGTGGGGCAATAGCCATGGCCACAACGAAGTAGGATGGAACTCCGGTCATAAGACTGTCGAAGCGCACCACTTTCAAAACGGTGAGATGAGGCATAACTTTCAGAAGATATTCTTCGGCAGGGTATTGCCCAAAGAAGTCGTGCTCCAGAAAGGTTCCGGTAAAGACGATTGAACTATACCTCTAGCATGAGATCGGTTACTGGCCAGGTAGAGCGGAATGAGTCTTACCGGACATATGACCACAGCGTCTCGGGGATGAATGAATTCTTTGGATGGTTCAGGGGAGCGTGGCAATGAGAAAATATGATAGGCAAGGCCAACTGTCGATAGCGTCGGGCAATAGCGGAAAATTGTTGCAGCGAGCTACTAGGAGCTGCGACTCGTAGTTCGGTCATCACGAGCTGTATACAGTCGTCGTTCAAGCAGGATAAACTGTGTGGAAAGATGAGTACGCGGTCTCTGGGTCAAATCAATGAAACACCGACGAAATGTCATGAATATCGCGCATAATTTGGGATGTCGTATCCTAGGTACGTCATTGACATATTTACTAATGTTTGCTTCTCTACGTAGATAGCACATACCTGGGTCAATGACTGAACAAACAGCACGATCGCCACTATAATGCGTCGAGCAGGGTGAAGGGGATGGCAAAAGAGCACAGAGAGCGTCTGGGCACGTCAGCGCGCTTGATTTCGATCTGATTTGGTGCCACACGACTCCTTCTCGAGATCCTCCCTCACCGTATTCTTCGCAACCAAAAGGGAAAGTCGTCTCCCACATCTACACCTCCAAGCGCACCCGGAGCCTCGGATTCAGAAATCGAATCAAAGACATCGTTCTTGCTTCACCTTTTCGAGCTCACAATCACAGATTCGCACAAAGACCGGAAAGACGACAAAACGAAACGAAACGAAAGGCTCAGAGAGCCTCCCACCAGGACCGATAGATAGATAGAATAGACAGAGGCAGAGGCAGAAAAGCAATGACGAAGCTCGGAAACGTGTATGTATGTACAGACAATGCGATGGTTCGGTATAGCGATAGAGACGTAGATTAGAGATGTACAGAGTCCACGAGACGATAGACGGGATGAGAAAGGGCTTTCTCCCTCTGGAGCACAACGGACATCGAGAAATGCAGACAGATCAGATCATAGACCGCTAGATCCCCTTCAACAAGCCAACGAAACGACAAAACAAACCGACAGAACTACCACCGACGAGCCACCATCCTCCCAAAGACGCAAAAGGCTCACAAAGGGACAAAGGAAACACACCTCCAGCAGCAGAACTCGCCCGCATACGCCATCCACATAAAAGCCCATCCTCACTGGATCTTGTGCCCACCAGCCCTCACGGTCGAACTCGTCCTCTGCAACGGCTTGGGACCCGCGCTGATCCCCATCTGCTTCCTCTTCGCTTCCCTCTCCTCCTGCGACAGCGACTCCGGACGCGTCTCCTCCACCTCGAGCCCAAAAATTTCCGCATCCGAGATCTCGTCTCTCTGCGATGCCTCGAACCTGTCACTACGCCCGAGGCGTCGTGGGCTCGAGGAGACGGCGCCGGCGGGGAGACAGGGCGTGAACTGGTAGAGTGCTCGTCGCAGTCGGATCCTCTCCGCGGGGCTGGGGCACTCGTTGTTCTCGACGGGAGGGTAACATACCCATCGAGGTGGCTCGCCGTTAAAGTAGGTGTTGGATGCGTACCAAGCCTCGTACGCGTCAACCTCCGCGACCGTTTGAGGGTCCCACCATCCCCTCGCGATCATCTCCTCCTTGTTCAACCACCCCATCGTGCACAACCGCCACAGATCCCTCGGCGTCCCCAACTCCGCTCCCCGAGTCCTCTCGTCGGCGCCATCCTCGCCCTCCACATCCTCCTCCTCTTCCTCACCATCACCGACCTCCCGTTCGTTCTCCTTCTTAGTTTGTTTGCGCCGACCCTTTCCCTTCTTCTCCCACTTCTCCAACCTCTGGAACTTGCTCGGATTGCGAAGATGGTGATCATGCACCATCAACGCGTGCATCGCGTTCCACCCATCCCTCGCCTTCAATTTGTTCGGGTGAGGCTCGAACAGGAAGTCGCGGACCTTGATACCTTCGCGTTCTGTGAGTTCGTCAGGTGTGAGCGGAACGTAGTCGGGTTGGGGTACCGATTCGGGATGGTCGATGATTTCGGTGCCGGTGGGTGAGGGTGGGCAAGATTCGGATGGAAGGTCGGGATGGTTGATGATGGGAGTTGGAGGGTAGGAATTGGAGGGCGAGTCGGTCGGGCTTGGGATGGGGAGGTAGTCGGGAGGGTCGGATGGGGAGCCGTAGAAGGATGGGAATGGTTTCAATGCGGCTTGGAGAGCGGGCGGCACGTGGAGTGACGCGTGTGAGAGTGAGGACGTGGACTGCATTGTGCACTCGAAAATGCGGGGGGATGGAGGGACAGAAGAGAGGATAGATGATGACGGAGCGGAAGCAAGGTGGAGAGCGGAGGAAACGGGGGCTCGTACGAGAGGTGACGCTGTATTTATATGATCGGCAGTCGGCTGCCGGGTTAATGCGAGCGGTGACACGGGCACCATTGTTCTCGAGCCTCTGGCGGGGGCCTTTTCGGACAATGGTTGCTTGGGTCGCCGTGTCCGTTTCGAAGCGGTTGGCACAGGCACAGACGATCGCGACTGCGTGCCAGATGGCCCCGACACCTTCGACGATCGCTTGTTCTTTGTTCTCCTTGACCGTGGCGGCGGTATAGGAGATGAGGTTGATGCGAGACTCGATGCTGGTGTCGTTTCGGGCATGGTCCGTCTTGGAGCCTTTCGTCCGCGAGTGGAGGTGGTTGGTGTGGTGTCGGAGTCCGTGCGCTTACGTTTGCTGCGCGTGTTCGACGATGGCGGACCTTGCGAGAGGAAGATGGCGATGTCGATATCGGATGTGGATGCGAAAAGCGTTCTGGCTCGGCTACGTGTGAAAGGGCGAGTGGACATGTTGCGGTTTGAAGCTGGAAGGTGTGCGAGCGGTAATAGGCTCTGTGCAGGTGATAGTACAAGGGAAGTGGAACGCCCGACTCTATCTTGATACAGTGTCCTTTTATACACAGGACAATATGCAAAAGGGGAATAATGATAAGAATGGAGATGCTCGAACGGGCTTTTGTTCGCCTGTTTGGACAGTGTTGCACAGAGTGATGGAAGGTGATGAAGGAGGCGCTGTGCGCTTCGTGTGACCACAATTCAAAAAGGGAATGCTTGTCTCGGAGCTTCCCACGGTCAAAGCGCCTATGCTCCGAGGCTCCTGTCCGATCTCAATGCGATGCATCCCGATCTCGTTCCTTGAAGCGAGCAAAATAGTATCAAAATAGTATGGTACGATGTCAAAATATTCGAAGAATTTGAGTGTACTATTCTCCTGTAATATTGTAACAACGACGAGCTGGGAACACGAGGTGGCAGCAATTTTGCAGGGCGGTCGGAGCGCGCGATGACGACTTCGGTGGAGATTTCCCGATATGGTCTCGTTTGTTGACTCGCGACGCGTCGGGCTGCAGTTGCCGCAGTTGCCGACGACGCGTCGCGCGTTTTGGCCTCGTGACTCGCGTTTCGGAGTTGACTCGGGTGAGTATTCGCCACCGCCACCCACATCACAATGGAGTGGTCCCTGCGCAGGTGGAGGCGATGGTTTCGTTGGATCGGTGTTTCAGGATTGTGCGGGAATGATGCTGTTTCAGTCCATGACGCCTGACGGTCGCATTTGGCCAGCTGAAGGCACGGAGGGCGAACAGCAGGACAGGCAGACATTCAGTGCTGACCCACAAGAGTCAGGTATTGTCAACGGCAGTGCGAAGGAATGACAGCATGAAGCCAAGTAGTACTGTACTCGGGAGCAACGCGAGGTAGAAGTCGATAAAGCCCAAGCACGAAGAAGAAGAATATTACCAGGAAAAGCCTAGACACAACGATGTCGATCGCAGGGAAAGCGCCGACACCAAAATGAGCAATAAATCAAACCCAGTGCCCAAGCGGCCAATCCAGTCGACCCATCTACAAATTAATGATACAACAGAGAAAGCATACACGACGTGCCTGCCATAATCATACAACACTAACCTTCACCACAAACCCATCCGACCACGTCTAACTTAGAATCGCTCCGGCACTCTCGCACCTGTCAACAAGCCCCCGTCGTCCTCCAGCTCTTCCAGTCCAAGTCCATCCATCATTCGCCCCCGCTCACCCACCGCCAATGGCACCCCTAAATCCGAAATCGACGCCACACTGGTACGCTCAGTCTCAGTCCCACTCCTGCGCCGCCCCTGACCTCCATCTCCATTCACACTCGCACTGGCGGTGACGCTCCCATCACTGACCAGTCCTCTCTCCCAAACCGGGTTGACCTCGACCGGTAGCCCCGCCTCCCTCCACGCCTTATACCCACCCACGACATCAGTCGCATTCAACAATCCCAGATCCTGCAAAGCAGCCGCCGCCAACGAACTCGTATATCCCTCCTGACACATCACCTGCACCCTCAAATCATACCTATCCGCAATATCCAACCGTCCCTCCTTGCACCTCGGATCGAACCTCCACTCCAACACGTTCCGTTCTATGATGATACTTCCCCGAATCTGACCATGTTGCAGACGTTGCGCTTCCGGTCGTATGTCCACGAGGAGAACAGGCATGGGGATGGATGTATCGTGGAGTTCGGCGTAGGCCTGCTCGGGCGTTATACGCTGCAGTCTCGCTCGGGCTTGTTCGAGGACTTGGGCGATAGAGCGGGAGTTTGGTTGAGGGATGAGGGGATCATTCAGTGTCTGTGCACTCTTCGACAGGACGTCCCATAATGCGGATTCGTCGTACGCCGTCCAGCCTATATCATGTATACCAGCGATCCATCGTGTTTTCTCGTCGAGCAGGGGATGTACGCGGCCTATGAACTTGGAGGATGCGAGGTGTGCGGCGCGTTGGACCTGGACAGGTTCGGAACCGCAAATGATAAGGGATGTTCGGCCAACTCCAGTCGTGGCGATCGCGAAGAGGTAGTCCTTCAGCATGAGGATGCGCTGTAGATGATTGGCCACAATCTGCAGAAACTCGGCGTCGTCCTTTTTGGAGAGCGTCAAAGTCGCAGCGATCCGCACGCCATCCACCGTCTTTGATTTCCGAATCCCACGAACTGCGAGTTTCTCGGCGACTTGGTCACGGATGTCGTCGAGCGTTCGGGGAGCGGGGGAGTAGTCGTCCGAGGCGCTGGAAAAAGCGGGCGTGGTGAGCGTCTCGCTTTCTCCGCCTTTATTCTGAGCGTTGACGTCGAGTTTGCTGAAGAGGGGGTTTAGGGAGACGGAAGGGTGTTTGAGGTCGAGAGGGGAGAAACTGTCGGAGGTACGGGATGAGGTGTTGGTATGTGAAGAGTGTCTGGATTTCGAGTTCAATGTAGTCGGAGTTTTGGATCGGGTTTTCAGTTTGGACTTGGATGTGTGAGAGTAGAGATGGCTCAGTTCGGAGGGGTCGGAATCACGGATGGGGGGTATGGAACTGTAGATGGAGGGTGCTGGAAAATGCGCCATGAAGTCGAAGAATTATACTGTCTCTAGTACAGGGGCCGGGTGACTGTGTGAGATCAAACCGGAGCCGATGATGAATGGTAGAAGGTAGATAGTCAAGAACAGGACCCTGTGGCAGAACAGTTTGAGAACAGTGGTTCAGAGGCGGCGAGGCCTAGCTCGGGTTGAGAGCTTATCAAATGCGTCTACGATGAAACGGAGAGACGTTGAAGAGGTATCTCATTAGCGTATCATTCTCGTACGCACCTAGAAATACACTTTATGGAGTCAGGCAAGCTACAGACAGGACGAAGGTGTGATTGTGGTGGCGAACAGACAAGGTTCAAGTTGCTAGTAAATGTGCGTCGGAAGCAATCGCAGAAGTCCCCCCACAGATCGCCCGGGCCGGCGATCGACGTTCAGCCGCCACTGTGGCACCTTGACTTATGCCTTCTGATTTCACTGAACAAATATAGGACAGATCATTCTTGTGATCATACACGGGGTGATTTTTGACACCAGGTCGGCCCTGGGACAGCAAGGGGGTAAAGGAGACTTGCGACTATATTTCTATGGAACAGGGTTCCTACTAGGGTGCTGGTACATACATAGGTATGTCGATAATAGGCTGTTGTAATGATATGATGAAGGGCATGTTATGTCTGCCATTCTTCACCTGTGAAGCGTCCCAAATTATGAATCGAAGATAGCGTAATATGGTTGGGATTGGAAGTGAGACATTGCGGGCAAGCATCAACGAAATGATCCTATCAGGCCGCACCGACTCGGAACCTCTACCAGATTTTGCGTATTATACCCATTCTGGAGAGTCGAGGTACTCCTTCGAGCAACCATCATATAAGGGTATCACGATGCAGTATAGCCAGGCAATGCAACCAGTCTATGTGATACGACCAAACTGACAGCAAAGGCTAAAGATTGGGTAAGTCTAGCGGTCGTGAGTTCACGCCGCGCCGGCATGGTAGGCTGCCTATAATTGTTCTGCTTGGGTGAACACACACTCCACCAGATTAGCATAGCTTCCAAACATGTACTTGATGACTCAACGGGTGGCGGCGGGTAGCATGGGGATGTGTGAAGCAGATAAACGATATCATCGAAGAACTGGAGGTACCAGGTGCAGCACTGGGGCGTCTACATATGATGTGTCGACATGCACTCGACGCGTTCCCGCCACACAGCACGTACAAGGATGTCACATGAGACTTTACGGCCAGTTGGTACCCATCTATCTCAACGCCTGAACGAGGATAAATAGGCGAAGCGATTGACGTAGTTGCATCATATAAATACGCACACTCGAACATCCACCCATTTCAAGTCTCCGCCTGCGCAGGTTCCACCATGAAGTCCTCCGAGATTTGTGAGTAGAACTCAATGTCTGCATCAGACTAATCACTGAGTACGGTCAACAAATGACGACAGCGGCCTCAGTGACTTTGAACGGTGCCTATCAGCACAAAATTTCAGGAGAAGTCCACTTAACACAATCGAACTGGGCATCAGCCACCGATGCCTACCTCACGTCATTGAAGATTTTCTCTGACCTCGGTATCACGTCCGAGGCAGCAGATTGCCTCCGAAGCCTCGGTAATATCCAGTTCAGCACGTCAAACCTACCATCAGCGAAACTATACCTCGATAGCGCACTGCACCTCTTCACTGAAGCAGGTGATGCACGCGGTCGAGCAGACTGCCTGAAGCGCCTGGGAAACGTCGCCTTCTGTGGTGGCGAGCTCGACACCGCCATCCAACATTTCATCATCGCACAGCCCCTCTATGCAGAGCTAGGAGCAGCAGAACGCGAGGCAGCGTGCTGGAGGAGCTTGGGGGACGTAGCGCTCCTTCGTAATGATCCTGATCAAGCGGAGGCGCTCTTCAATCAGGCAAAACCTCTGTTCGGGAAGGCGGGTAGCAGGGTAGGGGAAGCAAGCTGCATCAGCGGAGAAGGAGAGGTGGCTCTGCTCCGTAACGATCCAGAACTCGCAACCACCAGATTCCTACAGGCCTTGCGAGTGTACGAACAATTCGATGCACACTGGGCCATGGCGTTCGCTACACGTCAATTGGGCTGGGCGGCTATGCATCAAGCCTCCCCGGGACAAGAGTCTGACAAGCTTGTTGCTGCCGCGGAGAAGTTCAGAAAGGCACACAAGTTCGCATTGGCATGCCACAATACTCTGGAGCAGGCACACTGTATCCGCGACCTCGGCAAGGTGGCAGCAACCATGCATGACTGGAAAGAGGCTCAGGATAGATGGATGGAAGCGTCTGGCCTGTACGCTGAGTGTGCTGTAGAGAAAGATAGGCTAGCCGTTGTTACCTTGATAAACCAGATACCGAGGAGCACAGGTCTGCCAGTGTCTGCGCCTGCTGACACCTCATAGTCACATATCTGACACTAAAGTGCTAGATTGATACTCGTAGTACCGTTTCCATAAGCACCACTCACATTCCACCTTGAAACATATCTGAAATTCCCCGATAGCACTTTGCGTGGCAGTCCAATGCCACACCGAGAGAACGACAAGAAGATGTAAGCAGAGTGGACGAGATATTTACCCACCTTTTGACTGCACTTCTTCAACGTACCAGATGCGACAACACAAAGAATTGTTGGAAAAACTCTAGCGGTTGGCGGTAGGAAGTTATGACTTCGTCCCAACAGAGGGTGTCCTTCTTGTAGAGGGTCGTGTCGTCCACAATTACACCAGAGTTCAACTCGTGGATTGATCGCGAAGGAAGGACAAGGAACCGGGTAAAGCCGGGCCTCTCGTGCAACGATGACCAATCTTCGGATTTTTCCGCTGGGGTTTTCTTCGTGCTTTCCAAGTGCTTTCTGTTCTTTGACCTTCGTAAGCTAGGTAAGTCTATCATCGCAGCTCAAAACACCGAATATGTTTAAAGGGCCTTGGAGGGTAACACAGCGTTTTTCAAACCGGTACTAAGACGCAGACGCAAGACGACTAATCACAAGCACTGCAATCATGCAGTCCTCGAACGCCACAAAACGCGCAGGACCGTGACATTGAATACTCATGACATCTGTGTGAAGGCACATTTGTTGTGTAAAGGGCGTGTCTACTTCTGTTTGCACTCAGCTGGAACCCGTCACACGACAGTAAGTACCTCATATTCCCTTAAACGGTGCATGGGAGTGTCTCAGTGGCGAGAAGGTTGACGCTGACTGGGAGGCCGCAAAGTTTACCCCATATCCTTGTATTTGGGTCCCACTCAACCTCTGTCTGATCAAACGCGTTGATACATGCCTGTGAGACTTGAGGAATTGTTTACAAACCCTCAGAGTGATGTCTAGCTGAGCGTTCTCCTTAGCTGCAAACTGTTTGGATTGCTAGTCATTCATCGACAGCCCCTCCCTCGCACTGACCTGCTTGTCATCTATCCCGACTGTTTGGGCTGGGTAACATCGGATCCTATGCCAGTGTTTGGGATAAAACATGCTGAGGCTGCTGGCAGTGGAGCTGCTGAGATCGCACAGTTGATTGTGCAATTGAGCAAGAATGCGGCGGACTTGCTTGGATGTGCCCCAGCATCTGCTGCTGCATCAGCTGTATTAAAAATATTGGACATTGTACAGGTGAATGCTTGCTATCCGATTTCATACGTGACCCGATGTTCTGACGAGTCTATCATTCCAATATAGAAAGTACGGGCGAACAAGGAGAAATGTCTTCGCATTGCACTTCGCGCGGCTCGTTTCTGGGTCTCATTGCGCGATAAGATGGCAGACTGTTGGGGAAGTGCCTCGATAACTCTCATCGCGGATGTCACGAGACTCCAAGGGTATGCTTTATATTTCATACCTCGTGCCTTGGTCTGATTGTCATTGGATTATCAGGGTATTCATCTCCATATCTGTCGCGATGCAAAGCGCTGCAAACGAACGGTGGCTTGATCGGTTTCTTTGTAAGGCTGGGGTTGAAAGGGACTTAGACGACGTCAGTGAGGAGTTGGAGACAACAATTCGCAGCTTTGACGTATGTCTATTTTTTCATTGAATAGACTCAGCTGATGCATCACTCTTCAAACATCGTTTCCTGCTGCTAAAATAGTTAACGTCGCTCATTGAGCTGCGGTACATCAGTGCTCAGATATATGAGAGAGTGAACCATATCACCAACGAGGATTCTACCAACTTCCCGCGCTCATCCGCCCTCGTCATCCGACCAGAGATGCCTGTAGCTGCCCCAAGCCCATCTTCCCCCGATGATACTTTAGTCGGATCTAGCTCCTACATGACCACTGATACTGGCTCTAGGTCCTCCAAGCTTGAAGTGAGCGAGAATACGAGCGGTAGGAAAGAAGGCAACTTTTTGTATGTCAGATTCATATACAGTCGTTTGCTGCCTTTAATATATCATTCACACATGTCTGTAACAGAACGTCGAGCACGGAGATAGAGCTGAAGGAATTTCTGTCTCCCAGTGATTCATTTCCCCTGGGCGAAAAAGGGGTATGTCATCATTTTCAGTTCTTGCTCATCGTAGCCGCTCAATTGATCTGCAGTTCCGAACATACCATCAATCCGATGTGGAGTTTGTGGGGAGACGAAGGCCGGTTGGCTGGTTCTCCGAAACATACAACGCAGTGCTCGGCGGTCGTTCTCTGATTGCGAAGATCTACGAAGAGATTGAGGACACTGAAGCATTGAACACGCTTGTTCGTTGCCATCACTGTGATTTCTTCGCTAATGCTAATTCCTGAGTCACAGAAATGGATGAAAGACATCAAATTATTAACTCGGGTCTGGTCAGCTATACCTCCATAGTTTTCTAAGCAGTTCTCTGACACGGTGCTTCACATAGCCATCCAAACCTACCCCAGCTCTTTGGGTACTCAGATTTCAGAACACCTACTCGGTTCATTCTCATGTCGGGAGGTACTTATATGTTACCTGGCTAAGTAAATCCGTCGATGTCCTGATGTCAAGCTGAATATTAGTGTCTCCGAGCTCAGACCTACGGTCTCGGTACTCTAAAGAGTTGGACGGTTTTTATACAGACATGTTTTCAGTCATGCAAGTGGTACGAACTACTTCCCATCTCCAGGATTTTGTATACCTCTGACGATGCCAATGTCTGCAGTACTCGGATGCGAGCGTGAGCTACAGTTTCAAAGATGGCCGAATCTCTCAATCTAACGCATTATAGTCTGCCGCACGTCACGTTCAACGCCAGCTGAGGTTCTCGGATGAGACGATGGAATGGTTCATCCGGGTCAGTGCTCTGAATTCCCCAGTCGAAATGATTTGAACTATAGCGTATCGTCCTGCTATCTAGAACGCTACTTACACCGTTGATGAAAACAACAAATTCTTGCTGGGCCTGCCAAACGATTTGGCCCCCAACGACCTCCCTGGGGAACACTTCTGCGAGTCGTATATGCGAAATTTATTATTCTTCGCGGCATATTCGAATCCCTTCTATCAGCTTCCAGAGGTGCGTTAGTTCCATACCTGAAAAAGGCTAAATTCTTCTATTTGTCTCCCTAACATGCTGGTGTTCCTGCAGAAACATGAGCATATAGCGACTTCTTACCCGACTCTTATCAATCAACGAACCCTTACTATCGATCCTCGTGTTAGCTTCCTGTTTGATCAACATCTCACCGGATCGCTTCAAGATTTTCAGGATTTAGCACAGCTCTATACGAGCAACAATACTTGGGAACAGATCATCGCTGACCACTATGGTAGTGTGACGGACCTCAAGGCTGGGGATGTACTCATATGGAGCGGACGGGGTCTTGGGGCCTGGAGATCACTGCGAAGTGTATTTGAAGTCGCGGACAAAGAGGTAGCTCAGGCACTTGCGACCAGTACAGAGTCTGTTGTATACCAGTGGACGAAGAAAGAAGGGTGGTTTACCGGTCAACCTGTGCTTCTGCCTGACGGTCATCAAGCGTACGCGTACTATATCCGTTACTCTCCGCTCTGTATGCTGATATATTTTGGTCAAGTTGGCTCTTGGATCTTCGACTCGGGAACCATGTTCACGTGTCACAGTGGAACAGAGTCGTCTCTATTCAAAAGGCGAGGCAGTATCTGGTCGATAATGCTCGCTTTTTTGCAGAACAAGCTAGCGTCAATCCGGAGGAGTTAATCATGGGTAAGCCCACTATGCTTCGGCCATATTTTTGCATCCTGAGTATCTTTTCCAATGCCAATTCTAGTGACCAGAACCTTGATCAACAAATCGTACATGGTTAACCCAGTCAGTGAGGATGTGACATCGAAGACTGGGAGTCCATACCTCGTCATTCCCCCAGGAGACACGCAGACGCCTTACATCGCCGATTCTCTATCGGACATCGCTGGAGATCAATCAATAGCGATACCTCCGGTCTCTCAGCAGTGGAAGGCGAAGTTGGACGAATACTTCTGGTAAGCCATCGGTTGCATTTAGGTGTGTGGCTCACTCACGAGGAATCTTGCTATGAGCAGTGAACCTCCGTACTATATTCAAGTCACTCGTGAAGATATAGCCGACTAGGATGGTGCTATCATGCTTACATATATTTGTTGACTACTCGCCCTTTTGCCTGCCTGTGCAAATGTACTATCGTTATCCGAGTCGACTCTTAACATGCCATTCAACTGTAACCTCTGTTTTTGAGAGCTATCCAATTGCCAGGGAGAAATGTGCTCTCTCCACGCAAGACGACTTCAAGACATATTTCATTGGTAGTTTATTGATGTAGTCCACTTCTGGCCACAATCTAACCTGCCGAAACGCATCGCTGTAATACAATACGCTGCGGTTAGACCTCTGCTTCAAGGACGACAAGCAGAAGCTATGCTACTCAACCTGCGAACTAGGCCTGCCCCTGACGATGAGCCGCCTGCCCGACAAGGCCACGAAGAACTGCGGTAGAGAAATTTGCTGTCACACAGCAGAGTAGCGAAGAGAGTACGAGTCGTAAAGCTGCCAAACCCATGGGCCAGCGCGAATATATGTTCATCTGAGATGTAATGTAGCGTAAAGGGCGCCAAAATCCTGGTACAGTAGTGTGCATATTGCTGTTTAGAGATTATTGAATCTCGGTGTCGAGCTCGTAAAAGTCTCTGATGGCAAAAAATCAACAATCGGGTGGTTTGCAGGACGAGACTGTCTTCAGATTGACAATTTCCGACATGACTGAAGATACCGCAGTGAGACCTATGGTTGAAAGTCGAAACACGCTGCCATCAGCATCGGAACTTAGCCAAAGCTCATCGACACCAACTACCGTGGACCGTCTGCAAATGAAAAACCACCCATGACAGCGGAAAATGATGCTCAAAATGCCTAGAGGCCGCCTGGAGTAAAGGTAAGAGAACCTAGTCAAGCGAATCTTGAGTCGGAGTGCTCAAGGATGAGAAAGAGATCGCCGACGAATTTGAGCCGGACTACTCTTGAGAGCGAGTAGGGTTCTGGGCTCAGACCAATTTCAGAACAAAGTATGATGCCTAACCCAGACGAAGATGAGCCTCTATGCTTAGGACAACAGATAGGGTGCCCAGCCAATGCAGATATGAGCCAGACTGCCCAGGATCACGAGAATTGTGACGACTTGAAAAGAAAGGAGACGAAGGTGCGTATGTCGCTCAGAAAGCAGCATACAGGACCGAAGAGGCCAAGGAAGCAAGACCAGAAGGTGCAAAGAACGAGCAAGTGATCCTGCATGACACAGGCACAACAAATATGATGGATACAACGAAGAGGATAAAAAGTGGTACAGTCGGAGCAGGGAGAGGGTGATAGGGCTCAGTAGCCTCGGAATGGGGGGATCGTGGTGGAAAGATAGAGTATTGCAGAGCTAATGTGGTGTGGTACTGAAAACAGACGGTAAAACGAAAGAAGTCGATAGACCGCCGTGAAGGATGCGGCAGAGTCAGACACCTTAGCTGGCATTGCAAAGGGCACCCCCGCAGCCGACCAAGACATGGATACTCCCCACTGAAAGGTTCAGCTCCGCATGGAATTCTAGCGCGCTCTTTCCCAGAGGGGCCAAACACAACGAATCCGACGAGAGTGACACAGACAAGATGCAGAGGACGTGCTATACACCGGGCGACACCTCACTTTGGATGTATGGTATTCAGTGGGAAGCGGTCGCCAATGCACAGGGCAGAAAGATACGCATGCCAGAATTGAGCACCCTAGAGACACTGTTGCGCGTGGCAAAGAGACGAGGGTGAGGAGCAGAAACCATGGAGAGGAAGCGAGAGGCGATTTTTTCGCGCTCCGACTGGACGGCAGGTGCCGGCACAAGAAATGTTGAACGAGGTGTAGGCGCTTAATCAACCATTGGTGATTTCCCTTATGCCCAGAACTGCAGGATCGCTTCTCGTCCGCTTGGTTTGGATACCGCTCATAGGCCCAGCTCTACGCAGTACTGGAACCAAACGAATAGTCCTTCTTGTTATTGGTAAGTGTCATTGGTGCTCCAGACGCACAATGTATTCCAATCCCTAACCGAATCATAAGCGGTCACTTCTGCTTTCTCAGTCTTTCTCTGGTCGAGGACCCCTTCGCGCCCATTTCGTCGAATAGAAGTGCAGTGGGGACTCGGAGACTCTATTCCATCTTCCGTACAAGTCGACTTGACGAGCTTTTTCAACGCAAAAGCGGCATCTACGGGGCTGGACGACGCAAGAGCAGATTTTGATGGGACTGGCAGCGCATTCCCACAGCATGAACTGCCATCTGAGTCGGCACTCACATACAGAGGGATACCATTTCAACTCCCACCGTTCTATCACCCGTCGAGGTTCGACACAATCCGGTCCGCTTCCCAAATCATCCCGGTCGCACGACATGTGAGGTATCAAAGCCTACACGCCTTGGGCGCCGCCGTTTGGCCTGCGTCGTCATTCTCCCAACCAGTCACCGGCAACATCTCGCTAATGTTCGATGATGGAAGTGTACACCTTTGTAGGGACCTCTAGACGTACACTCTAGATACTCGTTATTCAATTTTCTCCCATTACAGCCAGCATTACTTTTGGCCCATGGTACGCGAGTGAGTTCTTTACCGGGGTCATGAATGGGGCCATTCACACGTTCGTATCTTGCCGCTTCCTTTGCCGAGCTTAAGTATTGAAGATATCGTTACTTTAGCCCATGGCACTATGGGCCGTCGACTGAGAATCATGCGATAAATCGCAACATCACCCAGATACACTACTCTGAGGCTTATGTACCGAGCGCGGTCCCGCTCGTCGCGATACAACTCCCTCCCAAGGATATACTGATCAACTGGTTTTCTATCACGCTTCGTCCAATTGGCTATGACGTAGGTCCTAGGCCTCGCCCAGAACTTCCCACCTACCCCGTGTTAGGTATTCAGAGCGTCCACTCGACCACCAAGTGGTTTGACACGGGCCTCTGCCAAAGCTCAAGTCGGATCCAGCAGATCGAGGTTCGGCTTGACAACCTGGCGCCACTTGGGTCACCCACTTCAGCGTGGCTCACGTCTGCACATACGGTAACTTTGAACTCTTCTTCATTACTCACGGTCGTTCCAGGGATTGTATATCGTTTACGCTCGAACGATCAAGTATCGGTTCTTGTCGGCGTATGCAACGCTGAGGGCGTTAGGCCAGGTAGTCCTGCGCAGATATCTGTCATCGTGAAGGATGTCGCCGGAAATCCTGTGCATACAAGTGATCAGTGGCTTGTCACCGCCGGCATCCCAGGTTGGACCATGGGGGATGCAAGCCTGGATACCCACGAAGCGCCTGAATGGGTTTGTTCACCATTTCACAACTACAAAACGGCCTGATATATGCTCAGTCACCCTTCTGCCGCGATAGTTCGACGACGCAAAATTTGGCATCCTCGTAAGCTCTCTCGTATTCATTACTTCTTCCTTCAACTAAAATGGAACGGCTTTTAAGGTACATTGGGTGAGTAGTCGTTATTTCGCTATTAATTTAATCTTATCAACGCCAAACCGAAGGGCATATACTCTGTTCCTGCTTGGGCACCTGTCGGAGAACAGTGCGTCAAACAGTCAATCTAATGTCCTTTGGGAAAATCCTTACCAGGCTCTGCGCGACCCGGAAGATATGCTGAGTGGTAAGCGTTGTAACCATGAATTTCTCAGGTCTGTCATGACATTTCTGCAGGTATAATTGGCAACTGCACGAACGTGAGTTGTACTGCATCATGCTCTTTGTAAGACATGCTTATCGTCCATGGATACTGAATCAGATGACGGAACAAATTCACCAACATGGGAACACCATCGCACGGTTTATGGCCTAGACGTCGTATATGACGATTTCATCGCAGACTTCCTTACATCGTCTTGGAATCCCGACAAATGGGTAGACTTGTTCTCCGATGCCGGTGCAAAATATTTCGTCTTCACTGCGAAACACCACGGTAAGCCATGATAGATAGAAATCTGAAGTGTATTCTGATATTACACCTTCCAGATGGTTTCTCCCTGGTAGATGCCACATCTTATTTCCTTTGCATGTACTTACTGACTGGTTATCAGTTCGAAGACCCTAGTCTTTCCCTCCGAAATTCTGTGGACATGGGTCCCAGGTCAATTCTCCGACTCATTTTTGGGAGCAGTAGCTAATTTCGATTATAGACATGACATCCTCGAGGAACTATTCGCCAGTGCTAGAGCTCGGCATCCTGATCTTCGTCGTGGAGTAAGTTACGCGTCGTGATATTTTGCGTCAAAGGCTTTACACTGACCGCTCACGATAGGCATACTTCAGCCTGCCAGGTCAGATGATACGGAACGTTTATATACCATGGGTTTTTGATAGCCTACCTAAACTGTTAGAGTGGTTCAACCCCGACTATGCGCCTTACAGCCATAGCAGCTTTCCAGGACGCCCAGCTCATTACATGCGCAACGATTCATGCTGCGAACCATACGCGGGATACGTCCCTGTTCAGGACTTTATACAAGATGGTGAGTCCTCTATCTATCGGACAAGCTACTGGTCACGCTTCCAACCTCTTTACTCCAGTGCAGAAAATTCAGATGGAAGCACTCTTGTTCAACTATGACACCGATATTCTTTGGTATTATGTCTCTCGCCTTCAGGTGCAGTACATATACTGATTCTCGTCGTACCTACCAGGTGCGATGCTGGCGGAGCAAGCGCGTATCCTCAAATTGGTTCGGACTTTCTATCCATGTATCCTCCACGGTTGAGCTGACATCTAACGCCTGCAGCTGCAAACTGGTACAACTATGCCGCATCACAAAATCGCCAAGTGACGCAGAACAACCGCTGTGGAGCGAACCAAACTGATTTCGTGTCCATTGACTACTCGAAGTCGGGCGGACGTCTAGTAATGTCCCATGCTCTTTATCTTCAAACTTCAGGACTCATGCGACGTCCTATCCTCAGCCACAGAAGTGGGAAAGTGCCGCTGGCGTTGACCCTCATAGCTTTGGGTCAGTGCCATTTCTCATGATAGAACGACTTCTTTTTGACATCAGCCGCAACAAACAGGTTCAATTCAGCCACGTACGTGCCTCTATGCTCGTAACAACCTCATGTTCACCATACAATATAGTCCTGTGCACCTTTATCAAAATGCATCCAGTCTTATACCAGAACTCGTCGAGTAAGTTTGTGCGCTCCTTCCCGGGATTTTTTTTTACTAACCTATGTTTAGCATCGTTTCCAAAGGAGGGAATTTCTTGGTTAAGTACGCCACTTATTTCTTTTTCGCGTTCCTGACTTCTTCGACACTGATTTTTCCATGCGTAGTGTCGTGAGTCTCTTCCGTATCAGCCGTTCAAAGGTGTGTTACCAATCACCAATACAGGGCCCGAAAGCGGACGGGACAATCGTGCCAGCCCAACAAGAGCCTCTCATCGAGATGGGTCGCTGGCTCCGCTCCTCAGGCGAGGCTATCTACGGCACAAGGCCTTGGTGGATTCAATCTGGCGATGACACGTTTACCGCAGTACGGTTCACCACTAAGCCCGATGCGTTCTACATCATATCCATTGTGCGGCCTGTGGACGGTGTGCTCCGGACTGTGGCTCCTGTTCCAATAGTTGAGGGAGATGTTGTGACGCTTCTTGGAGGTTCGGGCCAGCACCTAGCGTGGTCGTCTGACGATGTGGGCGTTTTCTGTGTAGAAGTAAGTGAGCAAGAGTTGGATCGCTCACAGTACGCTTGGGCATTCAAGATTTCTTATTAACGAGGGCGACTACATTGATCCATCTTACGATACTAACGTCTTCTCAGTGGTACTCTTTGTGCATTAAAATACATTCATTCATTCCTTTCTTGCTTCGGATGTAAGTGTCAACGGATACGCTTGGAAAGCATCGTGCTAACGGAGACAAAATACACCACTGAAATGCCCGAACCCTCGAATGAGATACTAGAGAAGACGAATCGTGCGACTCATCGGAATTTCTTCCAGAGAGCAGGTCACGGCTGTCGTCGCATTGATTGTAAGATGAGCGAACCCGTGATGAGTAGCTGGGCGTTGGCCGTGGATTCAGAACCGCGATAGATCGGGGATGTCGAAGTAAGTGTCCTTAAATATACTAGAGTCCTTGTTGATATTGAACTTATCGTTAGATGAAGGGTTCAAATGTAGCGCAGAAGGAAACTACAGACAAGACGTACCGGTACAAGTCGAGGCATGAGCACCTGAGCTCTTCCCCGCCATGTAAATCATGCCGAAGAAAGCGACCAGTCCTCGCGTTTGCGCTCCCAAACAGTTCCGTCTTGTACAAGAAAAATCAGCACACGGACAGAGATGTACTTGTGGAGTCAAAACGCTCACATATCTCGCAATGAGAAAGCGTAGGACACGCCAATCCCCACCCAATTAATATATAAACATCTCGTCCTTCATCTCTAGCAACTTCCGTAAACTCCATGACATCACGTTCGAGCAACACATACACAAGGCGTCGTAGGGATGTGAACCGGGGCAATACTCGCGTAGAATCATCGAGTCCCTCCTAGAAGTGAATGTATACACGGTTTAGCAGGAGTGTCCAAGGCAGGATGAACATATGAAAAACAATGAGGGCTCAATGTGTACTCACCCGCAATGAAGTCAACAGACTAAGATGCAACTGGTGGCTGATCTCCAGCTCCTCAAGGTTTGGAAGGTGAGTGGCAACGACGCTGATGGCCTCGAGATCACCGGTGCGAATCCCTTGCATTATCTTCAGAACGCTCAACGATGGAAAGGATTTGAGGGTCAGAAGTTCATCGTCCACTGGGTGTTGGGGCAGGAGCGCGAAGTCCTCGGCACGCGCAAAAACGACAGACACATGCCAGAGGCGCGAAGTCTTCTCCAGACAATCAAAATACCCCATTGGCGCCTCATATTGCTCCAAATTCGGCATGCTTAACGGCGTATCCTCTTCGAGGAAGAACAACCCGGGATATTCGATACCAAGCTTGACATTCTTAAGTTGAGAATGACGCTGAAGAAAACAGGGCAATGCAGGGATGGAGAAGGAATTATCCTCGGAGATATCCAGATGGAACTCCTGGAGGGCTGGACAGAAGACGTGATCAAGAACACTGAGCGCTGCGACCTGTAGTGGTTGGTCTGAAAATTCTATGAAGTGTGGATTGTACACCGCAAGGTTTATATTGTGCCCTGAAAGATGCAAGGCGGTCAGGCTGGGCATGACGGATAGGATAGCGGCAAGGGATCTCGGTATCATGCTGATCTCAGGGTAGTTCCCAGCCTCGAAAGTAAAAGGCCTTCTGCTAATGATGTCCAGAGGCGTATGGAGTACTGGGGTGAAGTTCGGTACGGGAAAATCATCTGTTGTGTCATGGTCACTGCATAACGAAACACGAACAGGTTTATTCTGGTTAACGAAGCGTGAGATGCTCCCAACATATCGTTACGAACCTTAGCTCCGTGGTAGTCAATCTCTTCACCTTCGCTGCCTTATCCTCGTTATCCCTCAATCTCTCATATAGATCAACAACGTGGAGAAATATATTGTCTCTCTGGGCCTTAGTCTCGACAGCTCTGCATGAGATGGAGATGTCGCGATAGAGTAACGGTTGACTGATGTCGCGAAAGACCTTGCTCGTCAGACTGAGGGAAAGTAAGTCAGACTTCGAGCATATCGTGATTATGGCTACGAAGAGCTCGACTGGGAAGGTCGGAGGCATCGCAGTGCTTCAAGGGACGTGAAGAAAGAGATCGGGAGGTGAGAGGACTCGTCCTACATCCAAATGAGGGCCGAGGGTTTCAAAGTCAGCACCTCGAGGTTTCCACGTGTCTGAGGATAAGAATAAAGTGCATACTTTTTCCCGTAGTATACTCTCTCTATCGAATGCATGTCGAGTTTTGTTTTCGTGAGAAACAACGTGAGCCCAGGCTTTGTGGCCCTCTATTCACCAGCGAAGCGTGCACCAAGGGTCTCATAATCAGTATCAAAATACGGTTAGGTACCATTTCTGAAAGTACGTCCAGTACACATGGGGAAAACAGGCAAAAGTGTACGTCGCTGTGATAATTGTCGACCATCTATGGGCTGGAACGAGCCCAAGCACCGCCAATTCTCTCCCAAACACTCTTGTCTGAAAGATCTTGTATTAAAAGAACGGCACTCTGAGACAGAGATTCAAAGACTCACATGTTGCGCAATACTGCAAAGTAGGACATGCTTCGCCCCAAGTGACTACCGTGTTATGATCAATATCCTCATTTCTGTCGTCGACCGTACCAATGAAAGGGAGGCCACAAGTGAAGGAAAGCCGAAGGTAATTGAACCTGGAAAGGGCTTCCCCGACAGCTTCAATTTCATTCTAGAGATAATATCGAGCCAGAACAAACGTTAAATCATGAAGAAAGTAAACGATAGTCCGATAAAAGAGTCAGTGCAATGAAGCCAAAGAGTATTAACGAACGACCAACCATGGAGATGGACAACGTGTACAAGTAGTTTTTTCTGTGGTGGCGAACCTCCAACGCTTCCAGGCCAGGCAACTTCCCCGAGATGGTCTTGACGGATGCCACTGGCAAGTCCTGATTCCAGACCGCGACGGTCAAGGACTTCAGCGTCACGAAGGGCTGAAGAGTGTCGAGGAGCACTGGCAGTCCTAGATTCTCATTCTGAAGAAGTCCTGTAAAATCTGCCGAAACGTGGTTCAAAGGCGTAGCTGGCTCTAAGCCTGCAAAATACGCCTCTGGGGCTTCAAACCATTCAAGGTTCGGCATGGTCCATGGTTCGACTAGGGGAACGCTCGCCGGATAAGCGATGCGCAAGATAACGCCCTTGAGCTGGAGATGTCGTTGTAAGAAATAACGCAGTGCTATCCGAGGAGCTGACCAATCCACGTCTTTTGTGACATGGAGATGGAACTCGCACAGACTAGGAAGAGAAACGTATTCGAGGAGGTTGAGCGAGATGATGCGGTCTTCTGCCTCCATACTATCGCCTGTGAGGTGGAGGATGGTAAGGTCGGGAAGGGCGGACAAGACAGCTACGACAGCTTGGGAGATCGTGGAGAGATAAGGTTGTCCAGCAATGCCCTCTGGCGTATATAATACTGGCTTAAATTGTGGGACGATGAAGCGATTGGACGTCTCCCCGCGGCTGGGGTAAGCAGAAGGAGTTTACCCAAAGATGTCGTCAGCGTTGGGTTGCTTTTGAAACTCACCTTAATTCAGAAATTTCCACCCTCTGCACCATTGATGCCTTCTCTCTATTGCTCTTGAGCGTCTCGTATAAACTAACGATACGATGGAATATCTCGTCTGCTTGAGTTGTCCTCTGCACGTCATGACCCGAGAGACAGATATCATGGTAAAGGAGCGGTTCGATGACATTACGAAATGTCTTGCATGTGCGACAAAGGGCAGGGAATGCCGACTTCGGGCACTGGACGACAATGACGATGAGAAGCTCGAGTGGGAGGTTGGTAGTAGATATAAGTACTGGGGTCGGCAGCGTATTAATAGTAGAACCGTTGTTCAAGTTAGACACGAGCCATGGTTTGGAAAGAGTCGTCTTCGTGATCTGCTTTTCCTCGAGTGGCAGCCAATCAACATCGCGCACATCATGTGTGGCGTACAGGTATTTTGTACGACTCGCATACACAAAAAACTGTTCCATCTCACTGGCGCATAAACTACCATAATGTCTATATAACACAGATCTATCACTGTACACCACGCAACCATACCCCAAATCCAACCAACAACGATATATACCACCGAGTCAGAAGCAGGAAGGAAGTCCTAACGAGGCGACTCGACCGTTCAACCGAAGGAGACGCGACTCGACCGTTCGAACGAAGCAGATGGATGGTTTACGGAAAGATATACTGTAGGGGGTGTAAGAAGCAAACCCAACATCGACATCGACATGTAGCCTGGGTACATCGAACCAGCCACCGACAAGGACTTTTGCAAAAGGGGATCCATCTCACCAACATGACGGGAAAAAACCAACAAAACCAACAAATCAAGAGAGAAAAGATACGGACATGGGGAAGACTACATATGCTGTAAGGCCATCGGCCGTAAAAGTACATTCACGAGGGGACGAGGACGAGAGGGGGGACAGAGGTCAGAGTCTTGGAAGATTCGGAGATATTGAAACACGTTCCGGGGAGTGTACAGATCACGGCTGGGGCACCGAGGTAGGCAGGTAGGTAAGAGTCGACATATGGAGACATATTTGGAGAGTTGACGGACGGACAAAGCAAAAAGAGGTAGGTAAATCAAAAAGAAACAAAAAGATATCAAAGAAGGAGAAGTAGTTTGTTTTTGTACACAGAAGACTCCAAGCGGCTCTAACCCAGATGTACCGGCGCCGCTTGAGCCGTCTGGAAGTTGGAGTACCCCATGGGCATGCCGCCCATCCCCAGGTTCGAGGACGGGGCGGCATAGTAATTACCACCACCACCACCAGCGAGGCCTCCGTCTCCGTTCACATCGCTCTGGTATGGCGAATGACCGTGGTTGACGTTCGCGTTGACGTTCCCAGCCATCGACATCTCAGGCCACGTAAACCTTCATAAACGCGAAAAGAAAAACGAGCCCAAGGAGAGGAGAGTCAACAACCACGAAGCTAGAGAGTTGAGGGACATTTGCAAGCTCACCCAGGCATCATCATGTTCTGCCACCAAGCCGGGTTTTTGATCGCCTGCATCGTCGCCAAAACCTCATCGCTCAATCCCGACCCAGACCCATCGAACACGACGTTCATAGCATCCATATCCAACGGGCCCGTCCCCACATTATACGTCGCCTCAGGCTCGTATATAGGCTCCACGAGCTGTGGTGGCCCCTGCTGACCATGACCAGAGTGGTGCGGCGACAATCCGAACGACGTATCGATATGACTGAGCGTCGTCGATCCGGGCATTCCTCCGCCGACACCACCATTAGCATGCTGTTGTTGCTGTTGTTGCTGCTGCTGCTGATGGTGGTGCTGTTGGCCCTGATCATCGTAGTGCGATGACCCAGAGGGCGAAGACTGCTGGTAGTGACTCGGAGGCGGCTGGGTGTGCAGCCTCCCGCTCGTGGCACCGTCAGTCCTATGCCTGGATAACAAACCGGCGAGGAAGCGCGAGTAGAGCTTCGGAGTGTGACGTTCGTCGATGGCGATGTTGGAGGAGCCGAGGGTCTGGATAAGGCGGCCAATGAGCTCGAAGATCTCGGTCTGTTGGCCGTCAGGAAGATAACGGGCGAATTCGGGGCGAAGGAGTTTGAGCAGGAAGGCGGATGCGAAAGAGGAGAACACAAAGTGGCCTAAAACGATCGTTTGTCAGACACAGGACGATACTGGGAGTTTCATTGAGTCATGACGCACCATCGGGCGCGAAGCGCATGTAGCCGCTGGGAGCAAGAGAGTCGACCATGGTACGAACTACCATCTTCGCAGAATCGAGACACTGGGAAAAGTATGTTAGCAACTCATAAGTCACCGATCAGGAGAGGGTATTCACCTTCGTGAAGAAGATCTCGTCATTTGTGCCCATCCCCCTCTGGAACGCCTGCTGGAACCCAAACGAATACATCACGAGCCTCGAGTAATTGACCAAGCTATCCATCCACACACCACCGTCAGCATTCCGCCCCAAACAATAAAAAAGAGAAAAAGACATACAAAGGCAACAACTTGCACCTAAACTCGCACCCCGGATCGCTATGGTCCGAATCCTCCTCAAACCTCTTCTGCCACTCCTCATGATACTTCGTCAGCTCCCTATCATGCATCTGCGTCACCTCGCGGAAGTTGATATGCTGATTCAAGCCCGTCGGCGCCTCCGGGTCGGAAAAGACATGTTCGTGGAACTTGGCGACGATCCGCAGGAGCGAGGTGTATGCGTTCAGGTGGACGTCGTGTTCGAGGTTGTACTTTGATTTTTTGTACCAGTCCGCCGAGTGCCGGATGATGCTGAACACGATGAGGTAAACAAAAGGATCAGTTGAGAAGTCATCCGTAGAGGTTGTAAGGGAAAGAAAAGAGAAGAAGAAAGACACGTACTAATCCTCCTTGATCGTCGACGGCTTTCCGAACTGCGTCGCCGTACTCCTATCAAGGTTAAAGCAGATCTGCCAGACCCTCGCACGGTTAAGCATCTCCCTTTCCTGCGTCTCGTTCTGCGGCTTCGACGTCGGCGGCTGATGCAAGTTCAAATCCGTAGCAATCCTGTAGTACATCCCATAAAGAGTCAGCTCCCGCCACGTAGGAGTAATAACGCCACATAGAAGTATTAACTCCACGCAGAAGCTATAAAGGAAGAAGGTAAAAAAGACAAACCTGATAGCCAGCCCAGTATACAACCACGACCTATCCTCCTCCCACCTCCTCGCCGGCACAGCGTATATACTCATCAATATATACGCCTGACACAGCTCGACCGATTTCCAGCCGTCGATGAGCGCGTTCGCCGCCGCGGACTTGGCGAAGTGCATCGCGATCGGGTACACCTCGGTCTTCTCGGAGTAGCGGGAGGAGATGGCGCAGACTGAAGACAATGCGCGTGTTAGCGTACGAGTTGTGATAGTGTAACGGGGAAATAGAGAAAGGGTACTCACTGACGGTGAAGAGGAAGGGGCACCTTGAGAAGGTCGTCGCGGGCGTGTGCAAGACAGGGTCGAGGAGCGAAATGAAGGGCTATATCAAAACAAAACAAAAAATCACAACCAATCAGACCGTTTTCCCACAGTAAAGTCGGAGACACCCACGTTCACGCGTGCATAGAAGCTGTATCAATCACAGTAAAATGTCAGTGATCCAAACAGACATCGGAAGTAGGGAGAGAGAGAGAGAGATAGAGAGAGAGACAGTCAACTCACATCTCAAACAACGTATCCACCTCCTCCGGCGTCACAAGCCCATGGATCAAGATATCCGGCGGCGTAATCTTCTCAATCAACGTCGCCCTAAGCTCCAAATCCTGCGACGGCCCCGGCATGAAATACGTATCATTCGCGACACCCTGTAAAACCCCATCCATAAATAAACATCTCGCAATGCGTCCAACAACAAAAAGAAATACGCACGACATCATCGTCTTCATCCGGCTCCTGCTTCTCCGCCCCACCCCCCGCAGTCCTCGTACTCCCCCCATCCCCACCCGCACCCGCACCGACACTCGACCCACCCCGACTCTTACTCTTACTCCTCCCATACCCGCCCAATCCCTTCTCAATCGAACTACTAATCGAAAGTGTAGCCAACAATCCCAGCGGGACCGCCGAATCCGGCAAACCCGGGTACGATTCCGTTTCCGGATCGACAAGCGTATTCGGCGACGTCTCTTCCTCGCTCTCCACATTGACCGTAACACCTTGTCCTCCGGCGGTGGTCGTATTCCCATCGTGATCAGCGTCGTCGTCGGACTCGTCCCCGTTATTGGATTTTGCGCCGCCTCGAGATTCGAGCGTGAACGGGTTCGCGTTCCCGACTCCGATTTGGGCGGCGAGTGCGTTCCGGGCGGAGGACGAGGCTTTCATGCGGTCGAGCCAGGAGATGACGCTGTCGCGGTGTGAGTCCGAGTCGGGAGTGGCCATGCGGTAGGCGGCGATGGAAAGTGGGGAGGCGAGGTAGGGGTTGTGTAACTGCGGGTGGGTGGGCGGGGAAGGTCAGTATTCTGGATGGATTGCCGAGCGAGGAGGGGTGAGGGTGAGGACATACCTGCTTGAGCAACGACTCGATGATCGTGTCTTTCTGTCGGATCTGAGCAAGCAAGTATTCGCGCTTACTGTATACAATGGGGATAAGAGTGCATCAGCATCTCCTCTGAGAAAAAATCATCGTGTCAAGGGAAAAAAAGTTGAAAACGTACTTCGGCGCACTCCTCGGCTTCCGCCCCTCGACGACACACCGATGCCCACCCTGCTTACACCGCTTACAGACGTTCTCGTTCTTCGGGAAGTCGCATTTCATCTACGCAGGTCGAACAAGAACACGGGTCAGTTCACAGCATCACAAATGTCAGTTCACTCCGTCACAAAAACAGTTCACTCGTCCACAAAGACAGTCCACTCCTTCTCCCCCACAAAGACAGTAACCATAAAAAGACGGAAGGAGAGGTTGGTCTCTGGACAATATGCCACCCATCACACCACATCACCAGTGGCAAACCACGCACGGCATCGCAATGTTTCGGTGGCTGGTTTCGGTGGCTCGAGTGGCGACCCCACCCCCTCGTTCGTGAAGCGAGTGGCAACCTCGTTCGCCTCGTTCGTGAAGCGGGTGGCAATCGCGCATGAGTCCTCACCTCAGTGGCACAAACGACGCATACCAGCGCCAAATACCCACGCGAGCAAGACCCACCCAAAATGGACAGGGGCGAAATACCCCACACACAAACCCTGTATCCCGTCCCAAAACGGACGAAACAACTGCAACCGGAAGCAAAAAAAAAAAGTCCCAAATAGGGGCTTCTCACCCCGCAAACGCAAACGCGAAATAGGGGCGAACAGAAATAGGGGCCGAAAGCTCACCTTCAATTTCTTGCAATACGTGCACGCTCCGGGTCTGAACATCGCGAATAGATGGTTACGTGGCGACCGAGCGAAAGCGAGGTAGAGTGTGTGGCGTGCAGGAGGGTCGACCATTGGGCATTCAACATTCAGCATTCAGCATTCAGAAGCGAATAGTGGGGATTTTCGGATATGACGGCGTCCATGAGATTTGGCGATCCATCCAACGTCGAAATTCGATTACACGAGGTTACGAGTCCATCCCATTTGATCAGGTCATTCCGAATGCGAGACAAGATGGGGGAACAATTCGCGGGTCGCCATATCAAGATCAACGGGATGGGTGGATGTGAGATGCGCGCCAGCGCGGTATTCGGGACCAGTGTTGATTGTTCGCCGGGGGTAGGAAGCACCGGAGGGTCCGTGCGTGAGTTCAAGATTCGTTCGTTCGTGTTTCGTGATTTCAGGTGGATCGAGAAGCGCCACCAATCAATCGGATATTGGCCGTACGAAGTGAGCGAAACGAAAAATATGAAAATAAAATCAGGTGGCGAAAGGGTCAGGTAAACGCGGTCCAGGAGCGGGGCAGAGGATGAATCAGCGCGAGATTGGGTGGTGGATTGGACCGGAGGATGGGCAGCACCGGTGAGAGTGTGCAGGCACGATGCAGAAAGCAAGACGCGATGCCATACGCGTAGTTCGTTCGGTACGGTAGCCCATAATTCAAATACGATCCAGTCGGGGACACGGGGGAAGCAATTACAACAAGGTTCGGTCAGCATCATCGTCTCAGGATCAGGACGAAATATATAAAGAGGAAGGAAGGAAAAGACATAGGGACGGTACGCACAGGCGTTGTGGCAATCCGACCTGGCTCTGGTTCCCCGGCGGAAGCAAATGCATGCCTCCCGCTGAGAACACCGTCTGCCCGCCACCGCCACCCGCTCTGCTCCCTCCTCCTCCCCCTCCTCCACGAATGCTCGGAATGTCGGTATGGCCGTCGTCATCGTCGTCGTCGTCAGACTCGCTCTCGTCGACATCCTTCTTCGGCCTCTTCCGACCTTTCGTCTTCGCTGGAGGCTTAGATGCGGCAGCGCGATCTCTCTTCGGGTTCGGATTCGTTGGCGCGCTGGGCGCCTGCGCGGCGGAGGTCGAGGTGGTCGAAGATGGGTTGTTCGTCGCCGGTGCCGCCGTGGCGCTGGTAGTTGGCACGCCACCCGTACTGGGAGGCAGGATCTGATCAGCCCATTGGGGCGAGATGGAGGTGTGGATGGAGGACCCGTCCGAGATGGGCGTGTACGGCGCCAAATGGTCCGACGAGGGCGGGTACGACTGATCGAGCCCGCCGCCGCCACCCGCGCCGTAGTGCTCGAAGGTGAACTGTTGCTGAGGCTGGGACTGCTGCGTGTGTTGTTGGGAGTAGCCCTGGAGCGCGTCCTGTGGGGCCCCGTATAGGTTCTGGCGGGCGGAGAGTTGCTGCTGTTGTGGGTAGCGCTGGGCGGGTTGGGCGGTGGGAAAGTAGGAGGTGTTGAGCGGGGCGGAGTGGGCGGAGTGGACGAACTGGTACTGGTTCGGGGCTGGCTCCTGGTGCTGCTGCTGTTGTTGTTGTTGTTGTTGCTGCTGTTGGAGATGGTGCTGAGCATGCTGCTGGTGCTGTGGCTGGTGGTGTTGGGGATAGTTCGGCATGAAGTTGTGGGCGTAGACTGGGTTGTCGATCCACTGCTGGTAGTCGTGCGTCTGGGGCTGCTGGGCCTGGTCTGGCTCGTAGAAGGCTGGGGTGGGGCCTATCATGTTCTCTGGCTGCTCGCGGGACTGGTCAGACGGGTATGGCCACCGCTCGTGGACGTCGGCTACACGCTGGGCGCTTTGCGGGGCTAAAACGAACGGAAAAAACGAAATGGTGGTCTGTCAGTTGGAAGGGAAGTCTTTTGTACCATCTGTCCATCAGAAGGGCGTACCAGGCGGTGCAACGACTCCTCTGCTGCTGCTTTCCCGGCCTCTCTCGGGAACCCGGCCGTGCGAAGGGTCGACTGCCGAGGACATGGGCGAATACTGCTCCTCGAATCCTCGAACCTCGGGGCTCTTAACCCCGGTCTGTCCAACGCCCCTTCCATATATATCCCCCCTTGCACGCCAGCCCGGACCCCGATCCACTCCCGGCATCCCCCACAGCCAGAGACGCCGGCGCTCTCACCCGGAACACCTCCGCATTCGCGCGTCTATCCGCCGGCGACTACCATACACGGTATTTTTTCATCGATGCGTCCCCGTGTGCCTTGCACGGAAGCACGTCGATCTTCCGTCGCAGTCCTCCGGGTCTCGACAAAGCTGTTCACGTCCCGCTCTCGCTGTACACATCGTGTTCCTCCTCTCCTCATCCAAACATCATAGGCACCGCTTCAGGACACTGCCTCGATATGTTTTTCTCTTGCGTTCGGGTTAAAAACAAGTCATTCTGGTTTACTCGAATACGCTGCGCGGAACGTGTTTACCTCCTGGCGACGCCGTCGAAAGCTCAGAGTTCATCTTGACTTGGTCATGACGAGCTGTCATCGCTTTCGATTTTGTGTTCCTGTTCATCGCGCGAGAACGAGTCGTACCACCACTAACTGAAAATTTTCCTCGAGCTAACGACATACCATCCAATGCTGTGCACTCCACTGGCTTTTCCACTTCTCTCCCTCCGAGCTCTCCTCTCACTCACTCACCCTATTCTATCTGTGTCTACTCGGCTAACAATTCGTTCAGTTGGAAGCCGGGCCCTGTGCAATCGTACTATGTTGGAGTTGGAGTCGACGTCAGATTGGTATGTTCGTTCCCGTTTTGGCGCCGCCTTTTGTGCCCCGTTCTGTCATGCAATGTCATGAACATAACTCGGTCGTCTCGGTCTCTAGGTTACGCGGGCATTGATACTCAATCTTCATAGGCAAGTTGCTACTCCTGTTTGTGGGGTACAGCAGACATCCGCTCACCGAACGCGGTGGCGTACATGCATCCTCCAACACTGGCCTTGGGATCTTGAGATATCCAGCCTCCCAATATAAATATAAATACTTCGAAACGACGGCAACCTCAATCCCGTTGCACGCAGACCGCGGCCAATGACTTGACTGTCAGCCATCAGGTAACGTCAGGTAATTCAGCTGAGTCTCACAGCGCTTCACCTCCTGAAATCCTGATCCCGTTCGTGAATGGAACCGTGTGCTACATACCTACCGTGTGGTGTCAAGAATATAGAAGCAGTGACAGGCTGGGTAGGCCCGGCGTTCCATTCCTGTTGTTATCTTTGACAAGTGGCCGGTTTTGGCTCGTGGCTTTGCGTATGATACCTACCGCGCTATGAGACTGTCACTGTAAACGTTGTTCTCTATCTGGGTTTTGGATTAGAGATGCACATGCTACGAACCTTGTCCTTATATATATACACCCTAACGTTAACGCTTGAAGGTTCAATAATCAAAGCGCCTACTTACAGTTGGGTTTGAAGATGCTTCCATAATAGATCTCGCGATTTGTGGTCTAGGATGCTTTGTGGGTGTTTGTGGGTTTGGAGGTATATGCTGCGCTGCGCATGCACGGAAGCTCGAAGTTGTTTGTGCTTTGTGCTCTTAGACTTTGTTCCAAACTTGTCTGTCTCCTCCTGCTTGTGGTGGACTAGTATGCTCTGAGTTCTCGATCTCATCATCAGTTTTGAGGCTTGATTCTTGGCTGAGCGAGCATCGTCGATTCTTGATTCTGGATGGAATCACGATGATTGACCTGTCACCACCACCGAGACGAAGTCCTTTGTTGTAAATAACACCCCTCGCCAACTTCTTTCTGGATCCATCGACAATACCTACCTTGTCAACCCGCTGCCTCGTTCGTCAGCGCACCGATGATGCTGCTCTTGTCGACTCTAGATCTTTGACACACGGTCACTCAGCCCAGTTCTCGAATTTTCGTGGTGGCTGTTCGAGTGCTCGGCGCTCAGCACGACTACTTAGTACCAACACCACACAGAGCGACGATCAACTCGGCTATGGCTTGACGATCTTACAACCGACCTTTGGTCGTTCGGCTCGATCGTAGCTATAGGCTTGGGTCTCATAGCTCATGAGGCTTATTCTCGAAGTTCTGCTCTATAGGCAATAACGACTCCCTCGAGCTCGACTTGAAGCCAGCGCAGTACTACCGTACAGGATCTACCACGAGTGTCATGGAGCTCAAGCCATTCGAATTTCGCACCACTGGCACACCATCCGCACCATGACCACCCAACACGACTCAGGTTCAGGCCCGCCATTTGCCTCGTGTTCGGACCCCTTCCCATCCCTTTGCTATTGCTAGCAGTGACGCAGTACCTGACGCTTATTATAATGTGCACGGTATAGTGTCAAAGAGGATATACATACGGCACCTCGCAGCTCAGCCGCACTGTCCCCGCTCCCCAGCTCGTGTTTTAATTTATGCATCGCTGTGATGAGCCTCTCTTTGAATGCGGTACCGCTCGTTGATCTGACATTACATGTCCAACTTTTATCTTTTATTACTTTGGCAAATCGACTGTGGATGGCTGTGGGTATGATCCTGCCAGTGGACCGGATCAACGTCTGAAGCCCCTGACGATCCCTAAGTTACTTCCTTCCGTACGACGCCCTGAAGATTACTTTGTCTACTTGCGATGCGGTGCTCAGCGGTCCAGTGAGTTGGACTAATTCAAAGCTTTGGGGGTCTTGGAAGGTGGACTTATTCGTCGGATATGAGAGTCTGTGCGATCGTTGGGGATTCGGAGGACTTGACTCTAGAAATGACAGTGGACGTGACGGTGGCACAGGATGGAGACTTAGGAGGGTGGGGAAGAGGAGAGGGGCATGAAGGGTCAACTTGACGAACATTGGCTTACTCAGTCCCTCTGTGCACATAAGTACTCTATATTTTACGATTTTAATAAGATGGCAGTTCCTGTTCCGTTAGGACAGGTCTTGAGACCAGCTTTGTCACAGAGTCACGTCACGCCTCTTCGGTGGCGGTGGCGTCTTTTTACTGGGAGCGGTCGCTTAGTCTCTAACCAGACCTTATATAAGCGATGAAGAAGAAATCATTATATAAGGTCTGTTCCAATTACTGGGACTTTGGCGGGGCGACCCCGAAAGACCATATAAGGAAATTCCTGGGTCTCATCGTATCTCTGGGTTCGGCGCCACACGCAATGGTGGCACGGCCAAGTTGTGCAGGTTTTTCGTTTCTGCTCCTTGCGTACCATATTCTCTTCCATCCATTTCATCGTCACCATTTTTGTTCGGCATGTCTATACTGAATTGACGAGGCAGAATTCTTTTTATGACAGCTTCAAATGCACTCTTCGTCTGCAGAAGCTGCAAACCCCACTTGATCAATGTAACTTTTCGATGTTCTCTTCCGCGAAGGGCCTAGTGAGCTAATATACGAGGAGATTTTCCTGCGCCTCAAGGCATTTTAGACTCAGAACGGCCGACGTGAGCGAAGAGCGGGCGCATACAGAAGTGGGCAAGCAATGCCACAATAATCAGGGGCCACAGTGGCGGAAAGGAGCAGAAGCGCAAGCCTCGCTTGCAGATACTTAGCCTGCCACATATATTCCTAAGAGGATGAACATAATCCAGCGCAAATCGTGAGGCTGGTTCCGTAAACACCATTGAGTGTATGAACTCAAGAAAGTTGCTGGGCCGGAGTTAGCATCGAGGTCGACATTGTACCATAGCCTAGTATACTTATTCATGTAAGAGTAACGAGTCGAGACATGATGTGAGATTTACCAGACTATGGTTATAGGAGATACAGGGACACCTCTACTCAGAGAAAATTCAGAACAGGGATGGAAACGAGACGAGACGAAGACACGAAGTCTGTGAACGCCTCTTGCGCCCCCCATAGTTATCGCTTCGCTTAGATGAGATCAGGGCTTTCGCGTTATCATGAATTTCCATATATGGTCTTTGGGGGTCGGCCCGCCAAAACCTCCCAAATTGGACAAGACTAGCGGTCGCTCGAGATTTTTGTTACGGTCACTCGTCCTCCATCACTCTCGGTTCCCGGTGTTTCCCGGTCCTTCCGTCTCGTTCCGGCGACCCTTACTTGTGTTGTGCCACTGCCAATGTCGTGCAGCGCTCAAATACTTATGCCTGACAAGTCCGAACAAACAAACGTGAGCTAATTACAGCCCACGCTCCTCCGCTTGTGTGAGGAATCTAATATCTCGAGCGACGGGCATGCCGTGCTCGTTCTTTCTCAATTCTTTCTTCGAACGCAGGTGAACCCATTATGAGCTTTGAATATTTGTGGCGTTTTCGCCACAGCAAGGGTTGCCTACGTTTTTTTTCAGAGAAGTTTATACAAGAAAGCTGGTCAAAAGACCCATTATAATTAGCGCTGTTCGATCTGAAGGAACAGGTCTGGCCCGGAGGGCGTGGAATGGATATATTGCAGCGTGGCTTGGAGGCATGCTCTCCGGAGACCGCTAGTCCGAGAGTACGTGGAGCCGCTCGAGTGGGTTACTCATTCGCCTCGTGGGGAAGTCGTTTTTGACGCCACTGTGGCGCGCCGCGCTACTTAGGAGTCGACTTCACCGTCCACCGGCAACATGAGGTCGAACGGCGAGCTCTTCCCCTATGTAGTATGCACACTGCCCGACAAGGCCGAGTATATGTGCTATATGTCCCAGTCTGGAACATTTCTTCCAGCTTTTGGCTGGTAAGTATCAGGGAACTTTATACGATCAGCAGAAAGACGCTGAGGGCGGGGAACAAGAACAAGAGCAAGGAACCACACGGCTCTAACCGGTACTATTCTGTTACCAGCCAAGTATCCTAGACCTTCGAGGCCCACAAGTTATCCCAGATATCGAACGGCCCAGACTGATATCATGACTTCTTGCAATTGACGCCTATGATCATACTACTAGTAGTATGTGACAAGAAGATGATAAAGAGCATCAATAATAGGACACGGACGCGGATATTCGGTTGTTCAGAATCAGGGAATCTTTGCGCCCAACGGCCATCCTCGCATTGCATTATCAGGGACACGAACATTTACCCGGCTGGCGCCCAAAGTGGATCTGGTAGCGCGGGTCGAGATCGTGCTATCGAAGACTGGACGAGAAAGGCGTGGACGGAAAAGGTTGGGTGGGACGCAAGAGACTGGTATGTACGGCTCCGTCTAGGTACATAGCTCTCGATGGGGTGCTGAAAAAATAGACTGTGCTCGAAGGGAGAGGAAACATTTCGGTACTCACTGTGGTTGGCCAGGCTGGTGGCAGTCTATGGCCGAAAACTTCCGTCAGAATTACGCGGACACTGTAAATGCGTGTGGTTCGAAGTATGAGACTTCTCCTAAAGAGGAGAAAAATTCGGAATTTCATGAGTTTTCATTGCGAGGATATTGGTTGTGATGGTGGCTTACAAGCGAAGAAAGATATCCGCCCATGAAATGGGCGAAATTGACCAGTATATCCAGTAGTATAAGAGTCCCTAGATACCACTTTGCGTCAGATAGAGCGATATTTACTCATGTTCGAATACGACCCCGACCTGACCATCATTGCCGTTCGTACAGAAGATACGACTCCATCGCGCCTATTGTTGGGTTAGGACAGGTTGAGACCCATCCAGACCATCATATTGAGCCGCATCCATCTTCGACAAAGAACCCAAAGGATTGTGATACTGGAAGGATTGGGCTCTATCCTCTTGTCGTAACATTTACCCTGGCAGAGTACAACTGCATGAAGCATAGCATGAGCGCCCATGAGCGAGACAAGGAAGCTTCAAAACCAGGGACAGCGAGTACACCAGGCGGTAGAGCAGCAGACCAAGCGGCAGGAGAAGCAGAGACAGAAAGGCGCGGGGCGATCCCCCAATCTGATTTGCGCCCATAGCAAGTGCGTTCTTTTCGAGCAGCCTGGTCGGTGCAGCGCTTCCTCCCCGACGAATGGACCCTTGACCAGTAGAAGACCAATCATATCGATGGACAGCATCACAAATCAAGCAGTCGAGAAAGTGCACAGAGACGGCCGTCACGAAGATTGAAGGGCGCAAATGCGCGTACGCACGGCCAGGTTCGGTGTCGGACAAGTGAGGGTCGGGAAGACCCGGGAAGGCTGATGCGGCGATATCGTGGTGTGGCGGCCTATGGGAGGCGGCGCGCCGAGCACGAAATGTCATAGGGAGAAAGAAGTTGCAGTTTTGTGGATATCAGATGAGTTGTGAAACCGCTTCAGAAAAGTGGTGACTCGGTCGAGTGGAGGAAATGGGTGCACTACGTTGAAGTGCATTATTTTTAATTGGCAGAGGGGGGAAGAAATGAGTATAAAACATGTCTGTGTGGGCAGAGCAAAAACACACATCAGCGTCGACATTCATCACCACATCTCACAGTTCTCATACACACAGAGCCATCCATATACGCCTTGCACGATGTCGTCCTCTTCTACTCTCAACCAGTCAAGCACGAAGGAGTGGCTTATGAAGGTCAGTCATTCAAGGCCACTACTCCAACAGCATCTCTTTCTCGAACAATGTAGATTTGTTGCTCACTTACAATCCATTGTCCATCTCTATGCTAGTTTTTCAGCGCCATAGACAGCCTCGATATTAATCGTTGGGTAGATAACTTCTACACCAAAGACGCCGTATTGGAGTTTGGCAATAACCCCGCCATCCAGGGCGCCGAGAACATCAGGAAGGTCTGTAACTACTTCTCAGCATATCCATGTAAGGGAATGAAGACGAGAACAGCATTACTGACTTAAAGCAACGAAATAAACAGTGGTTCGGCGACCAGCTGCCATTGGTTGCGAGCATGAAACACGATACTGGGGAATTCCGTGAGTGTCATTATCCTTCAAGTCCTGCAGTGAAGATAAGGTTAGATGCTCACTCTTCACCCGTACCGTTGTCGTGAACAGACGAGGCGAACGGCAGCATCTATGTCGCAGCTACTATAACCTATGTAGTCAAAGGCGATCCGATCAACAAACCCATTCCTCTTCGGGCATTTGCCATTTGTCACCGGATCGCGGTAGACGAGCCAACATCTGAGAACGAGGGAAAGAGGGCGAATAAAGTACAGATATTCATCGATAGGGGTCTGGTCATGGAGAGGGTCAAGGAGATAATGGTGAAAGCTTGAGAGATGGGTGGATGTGTTAACATACTGCAGTGTATTAGTAGATTAAGATCAGCAGGAATAACAGACCTCTACTCGTTCAGAAACTATAACACCTGAGCTTGTCAAAAGGAAGCGACTCACCATGAGTTGGCTCTGAGAATTATCATCTCGTCATAGCACATACCATAGCCCAGTTTACCGTTGTTCGACCAATGAGTCTTTCATCTACGTCGCCAGCAAGGTCAGCCATGTAAATGTACGCTCGAGGGATGGTTGTCAATGTGGAGGTCGGATGACGGACAGATGCGTACTGGCGCAAGTCGAGGAAGACTTGTATCTGCTTCCGACAACATGGAGAAGCCTGCGGACGGCGGCAGGTACATACGGGCCCGAACAACCCTGCGGGGTCATTTGAAACGTCGGCCAAGAGTAGACGAGAACGAGACTGTCGACATCGACGGCAGATTCACCCGCCGCCGGTTCGTCGAGGTTAGCACTGGCGGCGAAAAGAGAATCCGGGAAACAGAAAAAAAAAATTGACCGAATGTCTCAGATACGGTTTCGTCAAAGTTTGTCCCAGATATTCGACTAGATGTTGCATCAAAAGCGAGTCGAGCACCAGACTCAATACACGGCGCTTTTTCTTGGATGAAGAGTGGTGGCGAGCTGATGAGAACCGTGGGAAAGCGGATTCGAGTGTGGCCCGTACGTAATTTGCTTTGATGGGATTCTTCGGCTGGAAACCGTCCTGCCCTGTCCTGCCTCGAGCTCGGATTTCCCAGCAGAGCGCTTTCTCGTCTTTCCTTCCACCATCGTGCTGCCCGACCTGCTCTGCGAGTGGTCCAAGTCGTCATCTTCGCTCTGGCCCGGCCGCATCTCACGAACTTTCATCGAGGACGCATAGGCGTTTGCCGTACTGAACGCGCGACATAGACTTTGGACAACTCACCTCGAATCCTACCATTGTATTTCGAACCCAGCCTGTCATGCCAGCCCCAGCGAAGAGTGGACAGGCATACTTCCTCGGCCTCGAGCTAGCGACGGACCAGTTACGAGCATCGATTGTGGATGAGAACTTGGAGCTGGTAGGCGTTGAAGCTGTAGATTTCGACACTGAGCTGTCAGAATACCAGTGAGTCCCTTCCCGAGTCTGTCCAGTTCCCGATCGCCCTACCCCGTGATATCATACATCTCCCTTTCATCATGATCCAAACATCGTCCCCTACAAGATGGTAGCGAGTAATGGCGTTTGGTTTCTGACATCTGGGTAGGACTCAAGGTGGCATCTTCACAACGCCCGGCGATGCATACACGACTCCTGTGGATATGTGGGTGAAGGCCCTCGGTGAGTTAATTTTCTCCGCTTTGAACGGAAGCATTCCCATCCCTGCCATGTTTTACCACTCGCGAACTGTATCACCTTGACATCTGCGATCGGGTCTGCCGGTTGGCAGTCTGGCTTCACAGCGCGCGCTTGCGGGAAGCCTTTCGTGTACGGATGTGTTATTGATTATTCTTGCTTTGCTGTGTTTTATTCTGCAGACTTTCTGCTGGAGAAAGTGAGCCGGAACTACGAGGTAGCGAGAATAAAGTCGATAGGTGGTGCAGCGCAGGTGAGATCCACGATTTACTTCCGTCAACTGCTAAAGCGGACCGGTGTCTTGGCGCTCCCTCCACGTGATATCGCGTTTTCCTTGTTCCTGTGGCGTAGCTGACCCTAACTTGATATTTCTTTGTTCTGTGGTAGCCTGCGCTCGTATGGTGGAAAAGCAGTCCAATATCTACGTTTCCCTCTCTCGACTCTCGGCTTCCCCTCCACTCCCAACTGTCCCCAAATGCGTTTTCCCTCCCCAATACGCCGGTCGCACAAGACACATTCTCTCACTCACACGCCGTCTCCCTTGAGGCTGCTCTAGGAGGCCCGGACCAAATGGCCTCCCGCGTAGGCACTTCTGCACATGCATCCCTGATTGCTGCTCAACTTCTTCGTGTCCGTGAGGGCACGCCAGATATTTGGGCGAGGACGGGCAGAGTGCAGGTGGCATCGGCATTCCTAGCGAGTTTGGTAGCGGGCACTTGGATTGGGATGAATGAGGCTGAGGCATGCTCGACGGGAATGTGGGTCTTTGCGACTGGCGGTCAGGGACATTGGGACGACGAGGTCTTGGAACTTGTAGGAGGGAGTAAAGAGGAAGGAAGGAAAGTGCGAGGGTGGCTCGGAGATGTTGATGTCTCAGGTGGTTCGAGAAAGACATCTTATATTTCGAAGTACATGGTCGAGCGGTACGGGTTTGAGGCAGGTGTGTCTATCTTTGGCTTCTCTATTACACTACTTGCTGTCAATGCTGATCAGTTTCGTTTTCGAAGACACCATCATTTCATCATTTACGGCGGACTATCTTTCGACTTATCTTTCTCTGTGTCCTTCACCATCGGACGCTGTCCTCTCACTTGGACCAATGGACTTCATGATTACCAGCGCACCACACTACCTACCGACACGTCTGTATAATGTCTTCCCTCACCCAGCACAGGATCCCAGTGAGAAGCGGAAGTATCTTGTCATGTTAACCAGTCGGTATGTAGCCTGTATCTTCCTCCTCATGTGGGATATTAAACTAACGTACGTTATAGCAATGCGGATGTACCACGAGCCCTGGTCAGAGACATGTACACCAAGAGTTGGAGTGCTTTCGACCGCTTAGTCTCCGTCGTTCCACCAGGTGGATCAATCGGGTACGCCTCCCGTCGTTCCCTCTCTTCCAGAATCTCTAATACTCACCCGTTCTTCAGGCTAGACGACAAACTGTTCAGCTTCTGGCTTCTCCAAGGTGATAGCTACCCCCTCTCCCACGTCAAGGGCATCTACCGCTTCGAGACTGGCATCAAAGTCCCTGAATTCCGCGACCTACGCGCCAACCCACGCTGCCTCGTCGAATCCCAAATTATCTCCTTCCGAGTCCGTTGGTCACGCATGGTCGCTACTGGAGTCCTCGGTGCCGCCTCCGGTCGCGCCCGTGGCACCAACCTCGTCATGGCCGCTACAAGCTCTTCAGCCTCCCCGGGACCAGGCAACCAGAGCTTGAACTCCAGCGGTGGCCCAGTGAAGCCGATGGTCCCGATCGCTCCGGCTGCGGCGACGACAATTGGACTCTCGTTTGATCCCTACGATTATCAACCTCTCCCTGGACGAATGCTCGCCACTGGGGCGGCCATCAACTTCCCTTCGGTCGCGAACGTCGTTGGCGAGATCTTCAATTGCCCCGTATTCATACCTACCACGCAACTGGACTCGGCGCAGATCTCACCGCACCGAAACGCTCCCGCTCCAGGCTTCCCTGCGCGTGCGTCGCTGGGCAGTGCGTATGTGGCTAGATGGGTTTGGGCGAAAGAGAGGGGGAGCGCCGGCAGAGGAAGCTTCGAAGAAGAAATGAGAAGGTTGTTGGGCAAGAGGTGGGTTAGTAGTGGTGGCGTACCCCTGAGGACCAATGTGAATGCGCCTGTGGCACCGCCGGGCTCTGGATCGAGTACGCCATATGGGACCATGGGCAGGTCCGGGTTCGGGTCGACGGTGCTTGCGGAAGAGGATGAGGATGCCCTAGAGGAGTTGGAGAGATTGGGTGCGGCGGAGAATGCTGCCGCTATGGGTTCTGTTGGTGTGGGTCCTGGGGTCGGGTTTGGTGCGTTTGGAGAGGGTGGAGAGGGACGCACGAGGACTTCGACGGCGGGGACGAGTAGCTCGGCAAGTGGATCGTTGCAACCTCCGTCGACGGCATTCACCACCCCGGATCTGGGCTCTTCGTTGGAGAATGGGAACGGAACTCCGGTCGGAGGTGCGATGTCGCTGACGCCAGTCACAGCCTTGCCGACGAGCGAGGCGGAGGTACAGGTTGGGCTGGGTAAGGTGGCGGAGGCAGATGTGGATGCGTTCATGGGATACGCGGCTATCGTGCCGGAGTATTGCCGGTTAGAAGGGATGCTTGTGAAGGCGTTGGTGTAGAGGGAGCATTCAATAAGGTAAATGTGTAAGTGAGTAAGAGGTGATGGGGTGATCTGCTGCCGACGCTTTAATCATTTTTTCTGCCGTGCATAGTGCTTTTGTGTCCTTTGCTTTACGCTGTCGCTATCGCAGGCTCCTTGGGTTCTCTTGTCATTTCATTGCTGCTCGATCTTCACGTTGATATCCGCCTGAATCTCCATCTACGTCCACTCATTGACTTCGCATGCTCTCACATGAAATCAGGATCATCTCCTTTGTTACGACCCCATTTCACTCTTGGTTTAAATCACGCTTCATCTTCTTACTGGCTCGCAGCTTCATGCTTACACCGCACAAAAAATCACCACCACATATTACACCATAACATACCCCTCAGCGCGTCGACTAGACGGCGGCGGTCCACTCTTCCATCTGGTTCGCCTTCTTCAGCATTCTCCAAATTGCTCACGATAAAATGTCACAATCCCCCACCTCCCCTTCCTCTCGCTCGCTTGTGTGCTCGTTGCTTGCCATTCGATGTAGCGGTCACTCGTTCGTACGCACGTAGTAAATACCCTCTCCCATGCTTCACGGTTCGTCGGCATCACGGTTCTGGACAAAAGTATGATACTGGCTTGCTCGGAATCAAAGATCTCTTTTCGCATTGGATGTCGAGGCGCCATAGTAGCTCTTATGCGTTATCCCGATTTTGCCGGCGAGAGGGCATTCACACAACCTGATCCCTGCAGCGCGCACAAAGCCAGGCAACCGTGATGTTCAAGGTGCAACGCCACTTGGACGCCACGCAACTTTGGGGCCGTGGGAACGGTAAATAAGGTTCGTGGAGAGAGCCGGCTCGAACCTAAACTTTCTTGGTTTGCCCAACCCGAGTCTTCCCGTCGAACTCATTCGCACAGTCACGGTCATCTTCGCACTGTCCAAGTCTGACTTTCCTGCTTTGTGCCGCCTTTCGAACGGAAAGAAATCCCGGTTTTACAACGGAAAAGATCGATGCTGCTCGATGTCGCGGGGTGAGGTACGGACTTCACGATCTCTACTACCGCCTCGGTTTTAAAGTCACCCCATCATACCAATCACATCCCTCACAGCAATCATCAAGGTTGAATGTTTCATTATAGTTCAACACTATTAAATCCAGCACCGGCCAAGCGTCTGTGTCCGCGAGGCGTCCCCGTGCCTGAGTGAGTTGTCTGCGATGAAATTGCCACGGTGCGTGAAAGGTTGTATTGCTTCGGTCAAAATACAGTGACGCGGCAAGTCACTCGATGCTCTCATACTTCCTATACTTTACTAGGTATCCTCTGCTAATCATCGTCTCATAGCTTCAGTAGGTATTACCTTCTATCACACTGTTAACGTTTTGGCTTTTACCGACTCCTCACGCCTACGAAGCTTCATAGTGCCGCGTGTACATTCTTCACATGGGGACACAGTTGGCCGCTTTCCGCCAAGAAGTATGGACGTCCGAAGCGGTCATGGAACCCGCTATGATTATCCACCAACCATCATAACGCTGTCCTTCTTAATACGCAAAGTATAGCCTGAACATTGTCTCACCGCATGTGCTCGTGATTATCTAGATGGGCGAACCTCCACGGTTCCTGAACCAATGTTTAGCGTATATGGTTCCCACCATGATTCTACAGAAGACCCCGTTACGTCTCGTCGACTGCCTAAATCCTGAACTTGTCGATGTTCGGTGGATGGTCAGCACATATTGTAGTATCCTCACCTTTCGGCCACCGAGCAATGAGAGCAAGAAAGTCTTCGGTCAGCCGTTCTTATTACCCTGCATGTCCGTCTCTTGATGCTTTCGTCTTTCCCGACCCAGGATCAGCCTTCATGTGCCCTATTACGTGCCTCTTGCGACCCCGACTCGAGTAGCGTCTGGTACTTTGGGCTAGCCAGTACTGCGCATCCTCATTTCGCAAAAGCTCGGTGTTTATCTCGATTTGAAAGGCCGCACTTCTCTAGGAAGTTTATCTCTTCTTCACTGGAGCTGATAGCTTCGTCTGCATTGTTCTAGAAGTTAGAATTCCCCCATTCACATCTAGTATACTCCACTTTCTTTCGTGGTCACCTCCTGTCTTGAAGAAACCGCATCTTTTCACCAACCAAGCCTCCGGTCCCCACTCCGCTGCACCGCGAAACGATATCCAGTGTTTTTACGTTTGGAAGGCTGTCTGGCTTTTTGCCCTCTCTTGTAATAGGTTGTATACCGATCATGGGTACAGAATCACTCATTTCTAGGATTGTGCCTCCTCGGCTCTCCACAACCTGCATGGCGCTGGCCACGTGTGGTTGGCATTTTCCCCAGGCAGGCGCCTGAACGAACTTCGTTCAGTGTTCGCATCCGAGAGGCTTGGAGAGACTTTTGCTCACTCTTGTGGAGCCTTTCCCTGTATTTTCCGAGAGGCAGACCTGATAGCCGTTTTTGCGGTTTGGGAAGAATCATAACCACTCAGCTAACTGTGTGGGCATCATACTAGATCGACCTGTGCTCGATCCTTGGCGAATCATGATAGATATATTTCCCACCCAGAACACATATATACCTATATGTGAAGACCTGGAGTTTCCGGGGAATAGCCGGTGAGGAAGCTTCATCTTCGGGCATCTGTATCTATGGTACCAAGCAGCATACATTTCGCTGTATCAGCTTGTTTCCTATTTTTGAGGGAAGGATTCTCGATGGGGGAATATGCTTACGTCGGGCTGGATGGTTGTCCGTTGATAACAGTCCTAGAATACCCTAAATAAACAGATGATCTTCGGGCAGCTCTGGGGCAAATATTTTCACGGCCTGCGGATCTATGTGTTTAGTGTAGGATAGGAGCGCATACAATCGTACGAGAAGCTACTCCTTACCTCACTTGAAACTTGCGGACGAAGTAGGTCGCTCTCAAGCTAGGTCACCACTTTGAAGAAGTTTGTACTTTGCCGCGACTCGTCACCGTGAGCGTTTGCGATCATCGCCCGAGTATGCTTCGTATTTCTTCCCATAACAGATGAAGTAACGGTACCCATATGCGAGCTGGTCAGGCTACCATAGGGCTAGGCGTGTTGTATCCTCAATGAAACCTGCTGGCGAGCATCCGACTAGCTCGACCATCCTGATGGGCATATCCATGGAGCTACAGCTTGAGCTTGATAAAGATCAGATTCTTTTCATCAATGAATTTACACTGTGCCTTCTATTCTTCCTGGGATCATGAACAAGCACTATGAGATCGACGGTTTTCTTGGGCAAAGTCGTCTCCTAAAAGAGATGAGTGGCACTAGCTACGGGCGCCACATCTCCGACTCGCCAAACTCCGACTGAAAAGCAATGACCGGAAGTTCTCGGGACAAGTCGTGGAGACGGAATGCTTTCTTGCAAGCTCGCTTCAGTTACGGCGAGTGACTCATTATATCTTCACAACATACTTCCCACCCTAACTTTCCGCAAATCCTCAGCATCCTCGATCCTTAGTTTACGGCACCCCATTGGCGTACTACTGCTGCCACGACGACCTTTTTCACCATTGAGACATTACATCGTGCTTGTCATCTCCAAAGAAATGACTCTGGGCCGATGTGCCATGCTTATAAGACAACTTCCAGAGCACGCAGATGTGATTTCGTACTTGTCGACTCCTGCTTGCTCGCGAGGAACACTGAAAACTGTGTGCCTAGGCGATGTCCACATCTTGGCTTTGCTGACGCCTCCCCTTTTTGCCTCCTCGCGGTCTTCTAACTATTCTCGTTCCGCTCATGATCATCGTCGTCGTCGTCGTCGCCATCCGCTTTTGTGTCATATTCGTGGCTCTTATCATCTTCCTCATGTTCTGCACCTGAATGAGATGGAAACTGGGAGGCTCTCGACAGTCGGAGTTGGGGTCTACGGCAAGCCTCGCCCTTGCCGCATGAAAAGGAATGGCTCCAATGGAAGGACTTCTGTGGGTCTCAACACTTCGCTGATCAGGCAACGCTTAAGCGAAAGCACCGGGAGCATAAAATGTTTCTGGCTTTGTATTGTGTAAAGATTTTATCGCATGAAATTTCTCATATGTTTTTAAGAGCGGAAGGGGACGGAGCGATCCACTTCTCAGTCGCTGCCCCTGTCAAGTCCTTCTATAGGCTTATCCAGCCATGTCCGGTTCAAAACTACTCGACATGTTCTCCGAGCTTCTAGTGGAAGTTATCAAACATCTTGACTATCAGTCTATTATCCGCTGCTCCATGGTTCGTCGCTGGCCATTCTTCCTTGACATGGTTGGTCTTAACTACATTTTGATAATAGGTTTGCCAGCGACTCCGTGAGGTCGTCAATGGCTTCCTAGAGTTGCAGTACAGGATCGAGCTCAGCGTGGATGGCGTAGAGCCTGGTAAATTCCCACAATTGCGCACTACTGAGGAACAGCTTTCTAGTCTATTTCGTCTCCGTGCAGCCTGGCACACACTCTGTCCGTCATCTGGTCCTTTCCCCTCGACAGTGTCCACCGGCCGAGAGCCACGGTCCTCATTCGTTCATGGTGTCTTCGCCTCGACGTTTTGGGATGGCCTTCCCGATGCCTCGGTCTTCCGATTTGAAGCCATAAGGATTAATCCATCCCTAGGTCTACCCACGGACCTAGTCATCAGCACCACGGACCTACCGCACCAGCACACTGTATTCACGCTTGATCCCTCTCAGGACCTGCTCGTCTTTGTCGAGACTCATGGTGCAGAGCGCTCCTTCGTTCACGTCAGTATACGCCAGTTGTCGAGCGGTACTGCACATCCGTATGCGTCCAAAGCAGACATACACTCCCAGGTTCCATACACATCTGTCTTCGCCCGGGTAGAAATTGCGGAAAATGTACTTTCTGTCACCGCCTTCTTCTCCTTCCACGCAGGTACGGTTCAAATCTGGGACTGGAAAAATGGCGATCTACTCGTGGTGAGTGCACAACTTCTCAGGTTGCCGACGGTGCTCATCCTCCATGGCTAGAGCTTCGAAGTCAATACCACTTTCCAGGACGCAATTACACTTATCTCTCCGCAAGCGCTGCTTATTGCGTCCGCGGAAGGCCGGGGGAGCTTGGACATATATTCTTTCTCCTCATCGGCAGGATCTTCCGCTAACGATGGTTGCCATTCTTCCTGGTCATCCTCACTATCGTCGATCTCTATATCGTCCTCTGGCAGTAGGCGCATCGATCATGTCGCCAGACTTCAGCTTCCCACCCTGGAAACGGGCGTTTACATCAACGAGATGCGTCTTTGTGTGGGTCCATACCTATCCCTGTCGGATCGTAGTTGGGCCCCTTTCATCTCTTCTCCGGAGAGCCGTGTAGTCTTGCTCACTATTCACTACACTCCCGCCGATCCCACTGCCGTCGAGCACCAATACACATTGGTCGTTCACAGCCGAACTATTTTGCGAGCTCTTCGAGTCGGTCAAGCAGCAGCTGGAGCGGTGCGCATAGTTGATTGGGTACATTGGGGCCCTCACAATACACGTTTATGGGATTATATACCCCCGACAGACTTCATTTCCCCGTGAGTATTTCACATCCAGCCTTTCTGCATGTCTCGTCATCTGACTGGAGTTTTCAGATCAGTATATGGCCAACGCGTATGCTACTCGCTCTCAAGTGATGATATCACAGAATTGGAGACCGTCGAAGTCTTGGACTTCGCACCCATGCGTTCGTGGCGCCCTCGAATCCTCCAGCCCTTCATGCAGGAACATGATTCTCATGTCTACAATGAACCTACCGTGGTCGAAGGAGGAGGTATTTTCTCTTCCGCCGTAACCACTGATTTGGCGTATCATGTTGCACATTATCCTCGACCTCTACCTCCCAGCCGAAGGCGCCTTATCGATGAGCACCATTTGTTGTTTATTCAGGTGAGCCATATCCATCTGATGGAATACAACTCTATCGACTGAGTGGGAACTCTAAGGAGCGATCGTCGCTCAATCCTACAGATGATGAGGAAGAAAGGGATATTTCTATTTACCTGTTTTGACGACTCTAACGATACTTCATGATTGTGTGAGTGCGTCTTTGAATAGATCAGTGAACGTCATTTAACCTTCTCAAACCTTTATTCCTGACGCCAAATGATAGGCAATGAACACGCTCCTTAATCTTACACCGGATTCCCATGGGCGGCTCTCAGCCCCTCAAACGCGCTTTTGTCCCGGCGCTTCTCTTCTCTTTTCACTCAGGAAACGCATTTGCGTTCAAAGCATATGGCAGGATTATATCATGGGTTGACTCTTCTATCATTCTGAATCGAAAAGGATCGATCTGCTAGCTACACACAATTACTCAGATGTGTCGTACTTGTACAGAGACCGAGAGAAATGATGAGAGTCCAATCACCCTCGTAAGTGGAATCGGTCCGCTATTGTTTTGAGAGTAGTAGGTAGTCTTCCTTGATCATATCGGATGCCTGGAAGATATGGAGTGAAAATGTGATGGGTAGAAATCATACAGGACAGACACACCTTCTCTGCAATGGCGTAAACAGTCGGTTGAAGCGCAGCGGTTGGAGCTAGTGGTATGACGCTAGCATCAACCACGCGGACATTCTCTAGGCCGTAGACTTTCATTCTAGAGTTCACGACGCCTATCGCCACAGTTCTCAGCATCGAGCCCATGCTATATTGAGCAACCTCTCATACCTCCAAGTTTCTGTGGTGCCATGGGTAAAGTGCCTAGAGGATGCGCCAGAGACTGACAATCGTCGGGTGTTGATCAGGAACATTTCCTCAAGGAAAATAAATACAATAACATACACCAGTGAACTGCTTGGTAGCCTGAACCCACTGCGCGTCAGTGGTGACACTAGAGTTCGGAGTATACCATTCATCAACAATGTTGGAAAGAGGCGGCGTGGAGGCCCATTTCCTTATGAATTGGTTGGCGAGTGTGACAACCTCGAGGTCTGTGATGACCGTTTATCAGATTCATAGATGAAGACGTAGGCAGCCGAATGAAACCCTCACCAAAAGGGACATTGTAGTACTTGGGATCGATCACGGGCGGAACGGACGGGTCGGTCGTGTTTATGTGCTAAAATTACATCAGTTCTGAGGTGTCAGGCGCTTGAAAGGATACGTACCACAGATCCACGGGAGAAAGGATGCTGTAATATGCCGTTAGGCGTGATCGACACGACAAAGTCGTACGACGTACCAGATTGACAGCCCCGGCCGTGAAGTATGACCTATTGACTTCTGGAACACTGATAAGCCCACCTTGAGGCAGGACCGAAAGGTCAAGCCAGCCATCCACACCGTTGTCGGCGAAGCGCTTCAAGATAGTGTACTGTGCCTTTTGTAGGTTGGTCAAAGGTTCAGTCGCAATATAATTATCAAGGGCGGTCCGCATAGTCTTGAGCTGAGTGTGATTTATGAAAGATGAAAGAGGGATGGCGCCATCAACGTTGGGCGTAAATGTGAAGGCGCCGCTGCGATTCGTATCGCTGTTCGAGTGGGGAATGCCAAATTATTAGACATAAACAAGACGAGGTAAAACGGGGAATCAAAGCTCACAGCAGTTGCTCTTGCTCATTTACATATGTTTGATTAAATCGAATCCAATCGAGAGTAATTGTATCAGGCGTCACTCGGAAGTCTGTAGTTCCTATGGCATGATCCTGCATGTTTTCTCCGACGGTTGGGAGATCATGAGTGACAGGGATGCCCAGTCCCTTGAGCAGGGTGCTATTTCCAATGCCGGATAGCTCAAGGAGTTGAGGAGACTTGATGGCGCCTGCAATAGACTTGTAAATATACACCATCACGATGAGTTCAGGACGGTCGTACCCGCCGAGACGATGACTTCTCTGGTTACGGCCACGGTATATGTGATGTTATCAGCAATATACTGCACTCCTATTGCCTTGGGAGTCGAACTATTTGTGTCGACATCCCATACAATCTTGGTAGCTAAGGCCTCCGAAAGAATGACGAGGTTCTTGCGGTTCCGAGCCTGAGCATCGTAGTAAGCTGTTGCGGCGTAGCTCCTCGTTCCAGTCGTGGTATTTACTGAGCGAGCTTTGCTGGTAGATGGAAATCTGACGGGATTGCCGTCGTCAGTATTTGGGTCTAAGAAGTCAGAGATTCAGAGAAATTTATTAAAACTGCAGTGATACTGGAACTACTTAGGGAAAGTCCAAGGTTCGCCGCTGCTTCAATCATCGGAAGGTCGATATCAGCGAAATAAGTGTTGTAGCTGATGGACACATGGCCGGTCTTTCCGTGAACATCTGCGACACTTTCTAGTTGCTTGCTAGTCAAATTGGCGTATTGAGAGGGCGGTGTCCAGTTCTCCGTCTTTTCAAAGTAAGGAAGAAGAGACTCGAACGTCCAATCATCACCGTTGCCTAGATCATGAGCCCATGCATCGTAGTCGTTCTTGGCTCCACGTTGCCACACCATACTGTTCAAAGCGCTAGAGCCTGCATCAAGCGAAACGAATAGTGGCCGCAAAGCAGTCGTGTCATGTAGATGGTTATGTGAAACGGTTGAGAAAGCTCACCGCCAAGGACTTTACCCCTAAGAACGAAAAGCAGTGAGCAAGCGTTCGTCTAAAGTCTAGGTGGACGAACCGAGGGTACGGAACGACACGCCCATCCAAGCCGTCTTGGGGTACAGACTACAGAAGAAGATGAGTGTGGGTGGCCATGAGGAGAGTGTCTCCATTCACCGTGAAAAGCCAATCATATGTGGCATTTCCTAATGCTGTCGCGACACGAGGATCCCCGAGGACGTTCTGCGGATGGGCATCGTTGATGACCTTATCTTCGGGGCGGTATGTACCAGCGTCGATGACACCAACGGTAACGTTCGCTTCTGAGAGGCGATTGGCGACAACGAGACCTATCGACACAGATTAGTGGCCATCCTGATTCAAATATACGAGACGAAGTGCATACCAGCTGTACCTCCGCCGACTATGACAAAATCGAATGTTGCAAATGACGGATTCACTGGCGTCGAGGAGGATGCGATGGCCCGGGTGGCGAGGAGTGTATGTAGTATAGTGCAGGTAAGTAGGAAGCTAGGGGTGCTCCGGGGTGTCGCTAACATGCTGATCAGCGTACTGGTGAAGAACAGGGCAGATACTGGGAAGAAGGGAAGGCAGACTGAACAGAGCCATGGGCTGCCATTTTATCCCGTCTTGGCAGGCACTCTGTTGAGACAAAGGCAATGAGCGCGCTTCGAACCAGAGTTACAATTTGCTGACCGATGGTCGGTTACGGTCGTTGACGTGCATGGAAAGAGATCGCGGTCACAACGTCGGCGCACAACTCCCATTTGTGCTCTTACATTTCTTTCATGTCAGGGATCTGCGCTAACACGAATTAGTCAAACATGGACTTGTCCTGCGAGACCGCGAAGTAAGACAGCATGGTCTAGCATTCGGAACGCACCTCATACCAATTATTCCCTCCAACTAACTTCGGTGTGTTCTAGTGGCCAAATTCCGGAAGCAGTGAGAGTCCCCTGCTGCTGACTCTCCAACATAGACAACTGTGATAATATCGCTGAGTAAAGATTGAGACTGGCATAAGCATGCAGCATTGACGGGTCAAACGACGGAGACATGATCTCTGTTCACCACGGCATTCGGTGTTCATGACATTTGCGTGAGACAGCTGCCATAGCAGCTCACTCGCCCCAAAGGAGAAATCATGATAGCAACATCGCATATCAATTATTCGAGCATACAGGGGTGTACGCGAATCCCGGAAATAGAGAGAATAATACACCACTCAGACCTACGTCGTTATTTAAGAAGGCATATTGAGCGATGACAACTGGATTAATCTGAGCACGAGATGCTCTCGCGTTCGACTTACCTCGAAGTCAGGAAATGGGGGCTACACAGGTCTGCATAGCACAACTATAAATTCAAAGCGTCCACCATCGGGTCGGGTTTCAAAGACTGAATGTCGGCGCCCCCACCAGTAATGTTCCTGCGCCCCCAGGGCCAGACGGGATGCCAGTGATTGATGAGCATATGCGCCTTTTGATACTGATCCGGCTGGTATGAAAGGAGTGCAGCCATGACAGGTTACAGAAGTCATACAATCCACAAGTCCGGTTGCCTCAAGTGTCTATCGCCAGAGAAGAAAGGGTTCAGGGAAAAGTCGAGCGGAAGAATACGGCATTCGTCACGTGGGTATCGTGTGGCACCAAGTATTCACAGTTTCCCCACTTTGAAGCGGGACTCAAGGAAGCATCACATCCAGAGAAAGTTCACATATAACGACGAGATGAATGCGACAAAACAATGCAAAAGGGACAGTATGAGTGAATAGGTATCATAATGCTTGGTAGACAACCTTCGTACAACTTCGCCACATAAGTGAGTACTCTGTTAGATATTATCCTTTCCATTACAATGCAAGCAGATTGCAGGGATGCAGGTATAGCGTGATTAAAACGGATTAAAAGACATATGGGAATTTGACAAAAAGAATGGAGGGGACCGCCTCAAGGGTTCCTTACCGTGCGCCACACTTGACTTACCTTGTGCTGGAGAACTGCCGTCCGAGTCTTCGTTAGGCGGTGTCTCTGAGCATTACAATTCGGTCCTGCGCTCGCTTACGACGACCTTCACCCATCTCAACAATAAGGTCTCCATCATCACCTCCCAGTCCCCTTCCATGCGCGCTACGATTCGTGCGTCGAAATATATAGGCTGCTCCGCGGGTTTCGAGCCGAATGATTTGGGGGAAGAAGGGAACTTGATACTGGAGGGCGAGGGAGAGGGAGAAGGAGAAGGAGAGGCGGCAGGCGTGGCGTTCCGAGAGCCGGTAGGAGTTCCATTGTTACTGGCAGTAGTGCTAGCAGTGATGTTCTCAGTCGAGATGGATATTGCGGGAAGTGGATTGGAAGACGTCAAGGAAGACAACGAAGGATGTTTGATGAGGGTTGGGGGAGGCCCCTTGGGGAGGGTAGGAGGGGCAGGGCCGATGATAGGAAGCATGTACCGAAGCTTGAGGGCGCTGTTAGATAGCATAGTCAGAACTGGTAATCACGCAAAGTCATGAGCTTCACTTACGCAGCCCACAAGCGTAGATTATCCGTCCGCCGGAAAGTCCATCCCTTACGACCCTTTCCTTCACCGTCAGTCGCAATGGCCTGCTCTTCCAGTGCGACGATATCATGGATGGAGTCCTTGCTGATGTAACCCCATGGCTTCCTCGATCGACGGACTCCGAGATTGTAAGCCACGCACAGAAGTTGGCCAGTGGTAAGAGATTGTAAAAACTCGGAGCGATCATCGGCAGTGCGAGGCAGGTTGGAGAGCAGGGCAGCAGGAAGAAGGGATACAAGCAACGCGTGCGCTCGGGCGAGAGACGGATGCGAAGGCGAGGAAGGGTTTGGGAATGTTGAGCGTTTCGCCCAGTCGGGTAAATCGGAGTCGGACACGGTCGATCCTGCGTCGTCTTCATCCCCCTCACTCTCCTCGTCTTCTTCACGGAGAGAGTCCATCTCCGCGGGCTCGTCAGAAAATGTAAACGACGGAGAGGTGTCCATGAATCCCATCGCTGAGTGCCTTCTTGAGCCGCTAGGTTCTCGGTGTCGTTCACTCCCTCCAGGTGAGCTACTCACCCGCCGTCCCTTGGTCCTTCCGTCCCTCTCCTTCCGCTCCTTTTCCAGAATAGCATTCATCTCTCTCACCCAGCCCCGCAGATCCCCCTTAGGACCTCCGAACAATATCTTATCAACGTAATCCAGATATCGAGCAACCACTTCACGCTCCTTTTTCACGTCATCCCATCCAACATCTTGCTTGTACAGCCATCCGCCTGCAAGGACCCGTTCATCCCACCGCTCCCGTCGTTCCTCTTCTGTCATTTGGTTGAAATCAACCTCATCGTCTTCCCAGACCAGGACAGAGTCCCTCCGGCCCTGAACTTCGACAACAGAGAAAGCGAAAGAGGGATCGGTGTGATGTTCGTTCTCGTCAGATTCGGGTGAGCCGACGCGACCTTGCGAGCCCCCGTGGGAGGATCCATGGTCGCTGTGCACGTCGTAGGCATCGTCTGAGAGTGGTATCCGAGAAGACTCCTCCAGTGCACGAAGTACGGTCAGCACCTCGAGTGCGGATCTCCGGATGAGCGTATGAGGGTCGGTGGGATCATTCGGTTGCGAGACAAGGCGTTTTGGCGCGGGCTTGTTCGTGGCGAGTGATGTCGGTCGGAACTGCTGCTCTCGTGCCCGATTCACCTCAATATTCTCATCGGGAAGCGAAACCTGATAGTTCCGAACGGACCGAATAGCATGTGTAGTCGTCTTAAGAATGGTGAGAATATCTGCGTGCGAGCGCGACTTCGAGGAGGAAGGCTCTGCGCCGAGCAAGGAGGGATCGTGTTCTGGCTCTGGATCGTTGGACGAGATGTGCCACGCGCGCTCGACGGAGATGAGATCCTCTATAACGCTGGGTTTGAGGTTCTGTGCGTCCGTCTCGTACGTCCTGACAAACGGGGGGAATGTCTGGGGGTTGGCCATGGGAATAATCGGTGACGGAGGGAGGTCAAAATCTTGAATACTAGTTAAAGATGAATTGGCTCGTATGTGCTGCAAGCCTCCGATGGCGGGTACCAATCCTTTCCGCTTCGTACTATCTGAGCTGTATCGTAGCGTGAGCATTCAGATGCAATCAGACAGCATTTGATGGGAAGGAAGATTGATTCGCCGAAGTTCAATCCATCCACAAACGTCAATCCAGCTCCCCACAATCGACTTCCGCATACGATCACGCGAGAACAAAGAGCGGACGAAAAGGGAATACGCACTCTTTCTTTGCCTGGATGCCCGTCTTCGTAAAGTAATGTTGCAGATGCTCTATGCTCCCAAGAGCCATCACACTTTCTCTCTTCGCCGCACTCCGACTGAAAGGTTTGGGGGGTTTGGTCGATGCATTATTGTGAGGATAGAACGACGCCCCGCGTCGAGATTTCTTCGTAACAGGTGCGCTCGGCTGTGCATCCTGAGGCCCAGTAGTGTGTGGTGATAGATTAGGTGGTGTGGAGGACGCCGACGAGGGCATTGTGGTGGGCGGGGAAGAGGATGATGGTGGTCACTGGTGAGATGTGGCATCCAGCATCGCCATTTTGCCACATCAATCCTGCGTGGGAAACCGGACTCAATTATTGGGCCACCTCGGGAGCATCAATGTTTGAATATTTGAATGAGTATGAGGCGCTCAAATTTTGGAACACGCGCAAAAGAAGGGCATGGGGGTCATCGGCCCTTTTTGTCGAGCTGATTTCGTGGCAGCCTCTGAACTGATATATTATCCTTTTCTCGATACAGGCCGCTACATCTACCAATGCTTCTCACTGATATCGACTGTGTTGACGTCCACTCCATCCTTGTACCACCTCTCCTCGTCGGAGATCTTCACGTCGTTTCCACTCATCTGACGCTTCTTCATCCTGCCGTCCTCCGCAAAGGTCCAATCCTCGAGACCATAACATCTGTACCACTGACCGCTCTCGTCATGCCACTCGTACCAGAATTGGACAGCGATCTGTTCCATCGACGATTATAAGCCAGCAGAAATAAGAAATTATTCCAGGAGCGTGCGTATGACGGCCTACCTTGTTGTCAGTGAAAGAGAACAATTCTTTGCGGAGATGATATCCGTTCTCCTTTTCCCATTTCTTGCTCAGAAACTCGACGATCTTGTCATGGCCTTGCAGAAACGTGTCCCTGTTGCGCCATATGGAGTCAGGGGTATATCCAAGCTTCACACGGGAGGGATCTCTATGTCGAGGGACAGGCAATTTAGCTCCATGCTTCAGGCAGTCACTGTGGGCTGAAAACGTACCTGGTATTCCACAAGTCCTGCGCGGCTTTCACCTTCTTCTGGGCAGTCTCGGCGGTGAAAGGAGGAAAAGGGGGTCTGTCGGTGGAGCTCATGATTGATGCTTTAGGAGTGGGTTCTGCAGAGCAAAGGGCTTTATATTAGATGGACAGCACTAACAGGGTTTCGAAATAGAAAAAGAACATCATACTTGCGATTCGTCAGGTCACTGCGTACAGGCGAAGCGTTGGTAAGACAGTCTGATGTTATCAGATCTGGCCCTCGAGTTCAACCCTGGTCAAGCTGAAACGTCTAAAAATTGTGTTCGAACACCGAACAAACCTCTAACACGCGTTACGATCCATCAACGAAGTCCACACTTACCGTTGAACTCCAACTCGCGGGACACAGATGACGCGGTGAGCGGGTGGACAGACGCCCTTGACTCGTTTTTGAGGCTGTTACAGTAAGCGCAAATCAGCTTGTCGGTGGTATACATGTGTAAGGTGTGCCCTTGAAAATTGAATCAAGATGACTCGGAATGTATGTGCATACATTGATGGTTGACCGTCACGAAACACGCGTACTGTGCGGCAACAAGAACAAAGAAGACCCTTCCTGTAGCTGTGGAGAATTGAAGCGCCGACATAGGCAATGGCCGGCTTGGAGTAGGACCGGGAATTGGATATTTGACGTTCTTCAGCAACCACCTTTTGGTTCCGACAGATGCACGACAGATGATCCTCGTTTGCCCGATTGAAACCTCATCTACTCTGCGGCGTTCACTAGACTTTCTCCTGGTAGCACTTGCAGTTTTCGTGGCAAAAACCGTACGTAGAGCCCAAGTAGAGCCTCTCCCCGTAAATCTTGCACAACTCGAAATGCGCGGTGTTCGTCAGGCTGAGTATCAAGATACGTTTGTCTTGAAATGCCATAGCATGAATACATCGGCACTCTTCGAGCAGTATCAACAATATGACCTCCTCTGCTTCTAGATATGTCAGTTGGTTGCAGGACAAGACCGTCTTCTCTCATGCTCGGACTTATAATACCATCTTACCCTCAAACAGTCTTTATCGTCACGCGAGAGACTCGTATGTTACTAACTTGCTGTTTTTCTGCTATGCACGTATGGCACGACTATTGCATTTTTAGACGCATTGGCTGATAACAATTATCTTTGATCCTTCTAGTTTTAGTAACTTTTTTGAAAGCGATCCTGGATATTGTATGATTGGTTGCTAAAGACGTCTTTGGGTATATATAGCCCATAAAACCAGCACAATGCGATCCCATGAGCCCATCGTGGAAGCTTGGAAGTATTTTTGACGAAGGCTATAACTCGCTGTGAGAGGAATCTAGCTGTTTACGTTGAAGTTTCTCATGCACTTATCACACCCGTCTTAGGGCATCCATTCAATGTGACGTCCTTTGACTGGCTTAGCGGAAGGGCGTCACTTTCGGTTGCGACTTTATACAAAGGCCCCGATGATTACTTCATTCACACCCCACACGTCTACGGTGCTACACCCTTCGTCGGCCGCTGCAGATCGTCTATCACAATGTCAAGGTTCGAAGAAACCGGAAAGACGACCACTGATACGATATCATCGGTACCGTCGAATGACATCGAGAAAACTTTCGACACTAAGGATGTCGTTGGAATATCAACTGACGCCGTCTATGAAGTTGACCGAGCCGCAGAGCGACGGTTCGTTGTTTGTCTTGAATCGCATGATCTCATCTACTGACCTTTTCACTGATCGAAACAGTCTTGTATGGCGAATGGACATCCGCATTCTCCCGGCCTCGATGTTCATATATGTTCTGAATTTCCTTGCGAGAGCGAACATAGTGCGCGGAAATCTTCCCTCGTACCTCTCGCATAAATTGATAGACACCCTGCGTCCTCGGTGTAGGGAAATGCCAAAATTCTGAATGAAAACACGGGAAACTCGCTCGACCAAACGCTTCAAATCACGGACCATCAATACACTGTCGCCTTGATGGTCTTCCTCATAGCCTACATGATCTTCCAAATCCCATCCAATTACTTGCTGAAGAGATGCTACCCTTCACGATGGATTGCATTCCTAATGTTCGGATGGGGGCTGATGACTCTATGCCTTGGGTGAGTCTCGAAACGATGATTTCTACTCTTGGCGGCTTGTGTGTGTCTTACCCCTCGCACCAGGTTCGTCAAAAACTTCAGTCAGCTCACCGCAGTTCGATTCCTACTTGGTGCATTCGAAGCGGGACTTTTCCCGGGCCTCATATGTTCGTTGCCCATCTGCATTAATACAAAACACGCGAGGAACTCAATGGACTATCTATCTCAGACTTCCTGACATTTTGGTACAAACCTCGTGAGCGCGCCGTTCGAATCGCCCTCATCGCAGCCTGCGCTACCCTCGGCGGAGGTTTCTCTGGTGTTATAGCCTTTTGTGTGGGTCTTCTCAACAAGTCGAGAGGCCTCGAAGGCTGGCGCCTCCTCTTCATAATCGAGGGCGTACCTTCCTGTTTCGTCGCCTTTTTCGTCTGGTTTTTCTTCCCCGACTATCCCGAGACTGCACGCTGGCTCTCTCCGAAAGACAAGGAGCTCGCAGTCAATCGAATCAAGGGAGAGGTATCTCTTGGTCATGCGAAAATTACGTGGGATGAATCGAGAAGGACGTTATTGGATTGGAGGCTCTATCTACACTACCTCGCCTTCGTCGCGATCTCCATCCCGTTCTCAAGCTTTCAGTTGTTTGCCCCGACGATCGTCGCCGGACTCGGCTTCGAGAACCTCAGGGCGCAGCTGTTCACAGTTCCACCGTATGCTATTGCCTTTGTCTCGACGGTGATCACATCACGCCTAGCCGATAAATATGAGATGTGGTCCTGGGGATCGTTCGTACCCATGGCCTTGTCGGGCATAAGTTTCCTTGTCTTAGGTGAGCGACAGTTTTCTTGTTAACTTCCCTAGCGCTACTCACCATGAACACAGGACTACTTCCAACTATGGACTTCAAAGCTCGATACGGGATGCTCTGCATGGCCGCGTCCTGGGCTTACGCCTGTAACCCCTCCCTGCTCAGCTGGCTTACCGCTAATCTCAAGAGCACGACTGCCACGTCACTCAGCGTAGCGCTCAATGTGACTCTCGGTACTCTTGGGCAAATAATCGGTGAACTTCCTTCCTTCCTTACCTTCATTACAATCTACCCACGCTCAGAGCTAATCGACCAACGTTCGAAGGCGTCTACATATACAAGACGGACGAAGCGCCGACTTTTCCTACAGGCCACTTCACCAACGCGGCTGCACTTCTATTTGCAGCGGCGCTAGTCCTGTGGCTCCGTGTGGTTTACATTAGGCGAAACCGTGTACTTCCACTTGGAGAGGGGTTGTGGAGGTTATAGTGTGGCTCTCTGTCAACGCGCTGTTCGTTCATGATTCAGTTCTTATTGTCCAGATTTCTGCTGTGTACGTATAAGGATAAGCATTGGCTCGAGACTAGATGTTTGGGACTACGAGCTCCATTCTTTGTAATGTGGGCACACACTCTCTAATATTCGGTTTGTACAAGAAAAGCACGTTCTTTGTCTAGGACGACGTAACATTAATTCCTAAGGCCTTCTCCCTCTTCAAAATAGCATCAACTGTCTCGTCCAACGTCTCCTTCCACTCCTTGTAATCCTCATCCTTCATCCCAATCCATCGCTCCGCACTCTTCCCACTGAACTTCGCCCATGCCTCTGGGTATTCCCATCCTTCGGGAACCTCAAGCAGTCTATCTCTAAGCTCGGGCCTTGTCTCTGCAAGATACTCAACAGCATCTTTCCAGTGCATCGTTTTGGCTTTCAATACCACACGCTTGACTTCCCCAGGCGACGAGGAGGGCAACGAGGCAGGGGGTGTAAGAAGCAGAACATGTGCGCGAGCGACGGCGGAGACATGGATGTAAGAAGGTCTGTACATAGACTTGGCTGGCGGCAGAGGTTGGCGAGCACCTGGTGGGTTCTTGAAGAGAGAATAAATGGCGTCATTAGTGCCATCCGCTGGGGCGTCAAGAACTTGTCCGCGTCCGGTAGGCCCGTATATGTATGCCGGGTGAACTGCGAACGAACATCGTAGTCAGTGAGAAGGCCTGGGTAGTCTTATGAGTTAAAAATCAATTTATCATACCCGTAGATATTTCAATTTCGGGGTGGGCCTTAGCAAACTCAAGGACAGCTTTCTCTGAGAGTGACTTCGATGTGGGGTAAACCATACGAGGTTCTGCACCAGGTCTGGTGGCATCTTCGTAGGTCAAGTTGCTGAAGTCTATGTTTCGTAGCAGGGTATGCATCAGTATTGCCACCAATATTGCAAGTCAAGTTACGCACACACCTTGATCGTCTAATACCGCTTCCTTCCAGATTGCATGAGGATGTACAACCGCGGCCACACTCGAAGTGACAACTGCCTTCTTTACCGTTCCTGTCTTCGCGGCAAATTCTAGAACTCTAGTCGTGCCCTCGATCGCACCCTGTCAACAATAACATTCCGAACTAGGGTGAGTCATGCCACTCCGCACAGGGGAGTAGACGCAACGCACTTTGAGTATGACATCGGCACCCTGGCTAAACGGCAGGGGAGATGCTACGTGCATCAACGCCTCTATGCCTATTAATCAAAGATCGTCAGTAACCTTGATCATTACCGTCGGATGAAAGAAGGACAACTGTACCGTCAAATGCTGCAGTCATATCAGAGCTTGAGATATCCTCTATCGTGCAAAGTTCAAACCGGCCTTCGTCCTTCTCGACACTGTACGCGGCGAGAAGACGGTCCGCTTTACTTGGTCGAGCGATCCTACACACCGTGTAGAACAGAGTAGTTAGAGATCGTCATCACGAGTATGGTGAAAAGGAGATACTGCCTACCCCCTTACTTTATGTCCGGCTTCGAGCAATTGGTCTACAACATGGGAGCCTACAAACCCAGAGGCCCCTGTGACCTAAATTATAGTTTCGCTGTCAGAATACGGAATATGACTGCTAGAATTGTCCGCCATGCTCACGAGAACAAAGACCATGTTGATTGAGTTGTGGATGTTAGGGACGGTTCCAGGATTCTGACTGGTTCGAAGGCGACGAAATGTATGACTCGTTCATATCTTCGCTCTTGTACAACCTATCGGGGTGGGAAGGACTCCAGTGCACTTGACTCGACAGAGCCCGGCGAGGGGAGATGGCGATCGGTAAGCATGGCCGGGAATTGGCAATCCACGCCGGGTTGGTTCGGGTGCCTCCACCTCTGCCCGAGCCACATTATTTCTTGTCGTCCTGCACCCACTTTGCCTCCCTGCCTTTGCGGTCAACCTAAGCGACAGTAGCTCGATTCTTTCATATGTATATCACTCTTTGGTCGGCGCACATGATATATTTGCGAACTCTACTGTGCACAATCATTCGATGTCCCCAAACTTCAATGTTTAAACGTTAAAGCTACCGGCGTCCCTTTGCATGGTGGCACGCACGCTCTTGCCCGGCATCCTGCAGATATTCACAGCCTGACTCGCCTCCGTTGACTCTCGCTGTCTTCAATATTGTTCGCTATTTACCTGGAACCTTCAAATCATCCGACGCGAACTCTACAACATTATCTCTGTTTGCTGCTATCACACGGTGTTCACTGACCTCAAGCGTAAAGGTTAGTTTGGGCTACAGAAGGACGATGTAACATCGTGTTGCGAAGTGAGCACGATGGAAAGGGTAGCCGAACTAAAACTCCGGAATTTGAGGTGCGTATATGGCCCTTCCAGTCACCAGATATTGCTAATCGAGACTGGCTTTTTGTGACATCTTCTACTGAGGTGGCGAACAGGTATCTCCCTGAACACCCTATCTCACCTCTTCCACACAGACGCTACAGTCGCTCACAGCGGCCGATACTATCCAACCTCACTTTGTCAACCTGAACGCCTGACAACACCGTGGTACCCGATATCCCTCGCCGAAACCGCCGTTCCTTGTTTCAAGTCCTTCATCCCTGAGCTCATCGATTCTATGCTCTGCGTTCTTCTGACCCGTCACTCTCCACCTGTCCCTTCCAGGTCGACGGAGAACTCCATGGATATAGGCAATCACGGTGTCAACGGTAGCCGTCGGCACCTTCACTCTGCTCCAGTAGGGTCTACGCACTAGGCATCTCTTCCCATCGCAGGGAAGAACATGAGGCCGTCGAACACGTTCTAATATGTGATAAGTCTTGGTTCGTTGCGTGTTTCACGGTCGTACGTTCACATATCTGATCCTTTCTCCAATGTATGACATCCTCAGAAGCCCCCCTTCACCTCTCCAGAATAGAACGTCATCGACGGTTCCTACGCAGTCGCAAATCCTATCAGCTTTCATCGCCTCAACGCAACGCAGAAGGCATGTACGTACCGCTCTCATGAGATCAGCAGCAATGAACGCCTTGAACGTATCACTTGCAATATGACTACAAAGACAAGAACGATACCCATCAGGCTTGTCGCGGTTCAATTGTAGGAGAGTGAAGCGGAAAAAGACCTACGTCTCAAAGGCAGCTGCATCGGCATATCGTTCCCAAATGAGGAGCTCATCTCCGTTCTGTGCCCAGCTGTACTCCAGTGTTCCAGGCTCGTTCTTCACACCAGCTTTCAGCTTGCCGATCCATTCGAGCATCTGAGGACCCGTGCCAGGTTTGGGATAGATCTGGTGGTGAAGAATGCGTATATGGGTACGTGACATTAGTGGCACTGGCCAGTGGGGATAAGCGACCTTCAATGCTGTGGCCACTGACCTTTCCTAGGAGGCAAAGCACGCCCTTGATATCATGCGGGTTAGAGGTCATTATCGGCGGTAGTTGCTGGAAGGTAACGTTTGACAATTGTGAGTGAAAGCGGTCGTTGCCAAATTGATAGCTCGTTAGAGGTTGTAGATGTATGTGTTGGTCAGGACGTGAATCAGCGCAGAGACGTGCTGACGAGAAGATTGAACCGGGAAAACATGTGGATTTTCGTCTTCTTGTGGGCTATGGATCTCGCACACATACCGTCAGTTCCCTTCCTTTGCGCTCGTCTCCGCTTGAGGCTGAACACTACTCACGGATTCGAGTGGCGGCCTCCACCTCTCTCCGAGCCCCACTTCATTCACATAAATCGCGCGGTTCTCGCTTAGAGCCCTCAACCCACTTCTTTTGCGTTCTCGAGGTATCTTTGACGTGGTTACTATCGATGCAAATGTAAGTAGCATATTGGTGTGGACCACATCGTACTCATGAGGTTGCACCTTTCCTAGTGGCCGTCTCCGCCGCCCATTCCATTCCGGCTGTCCTACTACATCTCGTCCGCCTTGCCTATGCATCTCTTCGGTTAATCTGAGCACGATTCTGAACCTTGAGAGGCTATGAGTGTTCTTTGATCGGTGCGCGATGGACAGGCTTGCGTACCACAGATCCTAACTCTGAACTCCAATGTTGACGCTACTGGTGTTCCTTGCTCGCATGGCCTCCATGTTTCTCGAGGTGGTTCTGATCTCGAACAAATATCCCAGTTTTCTTCCGGTGGCTGACACCGTACAGCTCCACTTTCTAAAACAGAACGACTAGGGCCATGATCATCCACATCGCAGCATCCGGCCCTGCTCCTCTCCGAACTGCTATAACTTGCTTTAGGATGATATCCACGTTCTTCACGGCCGAAGGGACCGGCGATACTTCCCTATCGTGCATATCTGGGCAGTCACACTCTCCGCCTTCGTCGAGGCTGCCGTATCAGGGATAGTTACGGACCTGTTGTTCAAGATTTCTTACTGCACCAGGTGCAGGTGTCCTACCATAGCTGTGGCAGTTCGTGGCATCATGACGTAGTTTTTCCCTGCTTTTGTCTACGCCTGCTCTCACAGTGGCTCGCTTGAGCGACTCGAGTCAAGTGTACGGTGGAAACTGTAGCTACGAGCTGAGTCAGTCGAGCTAGAACTTAATTTACATAAGTCTACGCTGCAGTCGTTCCGGCGTACGCTACCTGGACGAAAGAGGATGTCATGGAAAGACTCACGGATTTTTTTCTGAATCTGATCAAGGTTCATTCATTTACTATGGGAATACCTGGACACTCGACACTACGGGGTTTCTAGTCAGGTTTATTTGAGCGTAGATATTTTCCATGTAACTCAATAAACTTTAGTTGATGCAATATACGTACAGCCTTGGGAGAAGTGATGGATCAGACAATGGTGTGAACGGCCATCGATGATTTCTTCACTTGCATCTGGTTGCTTTGTCAACGAGTTTCGCACCGGGTACTCACCTACGCCAGGCATTTTCGATGTGCGAACGAAGATGAGGCAGTCGAGCGCATTCCGACGTACAATGTCATAAGTCTTGGTTGTGTTACAGATTGATGTACATCCGATGGTCCACTCTTTCCCCGCTTTATGAATACATTTAGAAGTCTCCTTTCACCTCTCCAGAGTAGAACGTCATCGATGGCGCCTACGTGAACGCGAAATCCATGATCAGCAGCCGCCACGACGCAGAGAAGGCGAACATTTACCGATCTCCAAAGATCAGCAGCGACGAACGCTTTGAAAACATCATTCGTGGTGTGCCTACGTGACCGAAGGTAATTACTTGGGTTACAATTGTCAAGGCAAAGAGCCGGAAACAAAAAGACTCACGCCGCAAAGGCAGCCGCATCGACATATCGTTCCCAAACGAGGAGCTCGTCTCCGTTCTGCGCCCAACTGTACTCTAGCGTGCCAGGCTCATTCTTCACGGCATCTTTTAGTTTTCCGATCCATTCGACGACTTGAGGGCCCATCCCAGCTTTGGGATGTATCTAACGTGAAGGTCATGGGTGGGTGAAGTTAGCGGTGTCGACATGGAGAGAAATGATCGCCACTTGTCACTCATTACCTTTGCGAAGAGACAAAGCTCCCCCTTGATGTCGTTCGGGTTAGAGGTCATTGGAAAGTGTGAGGCCTGGACTAGTAGTCAGTATAGGATGACCGTCGTCAGTGATAGCGTTTATTGGTAAAGGGCGTGAGTCAAGCCCGGGGCGCTGACAGGATGATTCCGAATTCCGGGGTAGCTTGGAAATTCCTTCCTTCCGGTGCAGGAAGGAGTACTGCCAAGAACAAAGATCGGGCTTTTCCGAGACGTACTTGGTCGAAAGTTCAACATCCGATGATCCACTCAAGCGGCGTCTTTCGATATGTAGTATGTGGCCACTGAGTAAGGATTTATACTGGCAATGCGCTGATGAGTATATCACAGGTTCCAGCATAGAGACATCGACGATCCATCTCCTTCGGAGCTCAGCCTGGCGATCGCACGCCGGTGGCATAGTACTAGTAATATTACAGGTCTAAGCTTTGGGCTCCAATGTTCACTCAGCATCAAAACTATTTTCAAGGTGATATTGCTGTAGGAGGTCAGTTCAACCGGAGGTACACCTCTCCCGTTTGGGATTTCTACAGGGAGTTTACTGTAATCTCCGCACATCCAGCCTTAGGAACGTATCACCAAAGATAGGAATTGCAATCCTTTCTGGAACAAAACCTAAGACGCCGGTGCATGCTCTGTGAGCCTTCGTTCACCACGGGCGGCATCCTTATTAACATTGGCCGGCCGTATCAAAATCAGCTCAGCTTGATTGCGAGAAGTATGACCGTGACGCGCCTTCAGGTTCCACGGCCCAGTCTGGCACACAAGCATACAAGACTGGCGGCTAATTTGCAGATTGTAACTTGCGAGCTCGTCTGCGCTTGTAACTCACTTGTCCTTGCGGAGTCTTCTCAGTGTCACGATGGCACAAAGAACCTCTATTTCTCCCGAAGATTGTTCGGCTGTGGCTCAGGAATGGCTCCGTCGTCTCAACAAAGCAGGCGAGAGCGGCGACCTCAAAGCGTTCTCCCAGCTACTCTCGGCTGACGGTTGGATCCGCGGTGCGTGGATCGCTACCAATACTCGCCGTTCGTTCTACTTACATGCTTTGAACAGACCTTTTATGTTTTAGTTGGGAGCTTCGGACCCTAGCTGGTCGGGACAAGATCGTCTCTTACCTCACAGAACGAGCAGTCGAAAACTCTACCACCCCACATAAAACACGTTTCTCTCACTCCTCTCTTTCGAATGTCAAGCTTCAAGCGGACTCTGGAATTGGCCCGCCGACTATGATCACCTTACCCAGAGGTAAAACAGAACAACAGGGTATCATAGCGTGCTTCACCTTCTCTCTAGCAAATCCAGAACGCACTGGTCGGGGTCTTGTTCGTCTTGTAAAGGGGGCAGAGTCCGAAGACTGGGCGGCTGCGACGATCTTCTTCACGGTGGAGGATTTGGTGGGTCACGAGGAAGATGTCAAGGAGAGGCCGGAGGGTGTTTGGGATAATCACGCGAAGCCTTGGCAGGAGGTGAAAGCGGAAAAAATCCAGAGTGTTGAAGACGATCCGACCGTTCTCATCGGTGCGTGAAAGGTTTTTCATGGGTAGTTCTTGGGTAGTTCTCCTACTAATTGTGGTGAGTCGCGCTGATGATCAGTTGGTGGCGGCCAGGTATGGATCGTCTCCTATCCTGAAAAATATTCCTTGGTCTAACCAAAGTCGGATGTATCTCTACCGTATAGTCCGGATTAATGTGCGCCGCACGAATGGGACATATGGGCATTCGCGCACTTGTGGTAGACAAGGGTACGAGGATCGGTGATTCGTGGCGTAACAGGTAACTCGCTTCATTACTCCGCGAGTGTGACCGATTATGTTGAAGGGGCATGATCGACAGATATCCCAACTTGTCCTTGCATACCCCAGCGGTCCATAGCACTAGTCTGTTCTACTCCTTTTACGAAGAAATTTCAACTGATCATGTCCACACAATCTCCAGTTCTTTACCACCCCTGGCCGTAAGTACCCTCTCTATAACACGACAAGCAGACGTGCCTGAGCGGCTGCGCCATTTATAGCAAAACTTACCCAAAATGGCTTCCGAAAGACATGATCGCTGACTGGCTCGAAGCCTACGCAAATGGACAAAATCTAGTCATCTGGCTTTCCTCGACTGTCCTCTCTGATCCTCGACCGGTGTATGATGAGGAAAAACGCTCGTGGACTGTCAGCGTCGAAAGGATTATACGTTCGTCGGACGGTGGTAAGACGTATAAATCTTGCAAATCTAATGGCGATTATTTACCGATAAATTGTTCCCATTAGATTCCGTCACCCATATAATCACTCTGCATCCAAAACACATCGTCATGTGTGTGGGTAACGGTCGCCAAAACATTCCGCACTTTAAGGGCGTTGGCGACTTCAAGGGCACGATACACCACAGCGATCAGCACAAGGATGTGAAGCGCTGGGCCGGCAAGAAGGCGGTCGTTGTCGGTGCAGTGAGTACAGTTTACGGGCACCGGCGTATAATCCCGTTGTTCACTCGATTTATTCCTGCTGTTTAGTGTAACGCCGCAGGCGACGCCGTTCAATCTTTCCTCTCCACAGACCACAGCGCCGCTTCTATCACCATGATCCAACGCAGTCCGACTTGCGTCATCAACATAAAAACGGCGGACCGCACAATGTTTGCGTTCGCATTGGAAACACGCTCAGTCGAGGACAATGACTTTTTCATGCAGAGTGTTCCGTCTCGTCTTGCGCTCATGCAAGCTGCCGCAGGGGATACTCAGAAGATCAAGAAGATGGACGAGGAGCTGCTTACGAAGCTGGGCGAGAAGGGGTTCAGCTTGACTTGGGAGTTGGAACCGGGAGGAGGAGAGGTGGGTATATGGGGCTTCGTGTTAGAGAAAGTTGCTCGCGGTAGCAGTAAGTTTTTTCCGTCAATCATTGGAAGTATGGAAGAACGATATAACTCCCATTTCTCTCAGTGATAGACATTGGGTATATTTCTCCTTCACCTCTCGTCCCTTACAAACAGTTTTGACACGTTACCATTAGATGCTGTCAGTCCATCGTCGACGGGAAGGTAGAGGTCAAGAGCCAGGTCGAGATAGATCATTTCGAACCTGATGCTATCGTGCTGAGCGATGGCTCACGAGTAGAGGCCGACGTCGTCGTACTTGCGTATGCCCACAGAACTTCATTGCCCTAGTTGGTTTGACCGACTATCATTACCACAGCACCGGATACGAGCCTATGGTCAACTCGTTCAAGGACTTTTTCGGAGACTCAATCACGGAGAAAATCGGTACAAAATTCCTCGACCTTGATGAGGAGGGCGAACCGTCGAAATGTTACCGTCCTTCGGGTCAGAAAGGTTTGTGGATCACCGCAGGGACTTTCTACCATGCGAGGTTCTTTTGTAGACATTTGGTGAGATTTCGTTCACATCGCCTCGCATATGGCTCTCGCCCTAATATGCCCTGAATATATAGGCTCTCCAGATCCTAGCCGAAGAATTGGGGCTGAAGGACTGAGGCCTGAGGATCTGTGAAACGTCCATGATTGTTCCCGCAGAAGTCGCTACATGTTTATAAACGTTTTAGACGTGACTCGACGAAGATATCAAACATAGTATACAGTGTTCTTGTTCACAATCAAGCTGTGTACATAGATTCGGTGAATACACAAGATCGTGGGCCGACAAGAAAAATCGCCGTCCGAGTAGTTCAATAACGGGACGAACGAAGAACGTCTCTGCTGAACTGCGTGGAAGATCACAAACTATAGCATTCAAAAGCGGTTTCGGCTACAACGTTTACATGCCAATATCTGGCAGTTCCTGCAGCGCTAATGTGCAGGGGTAATCAGCACTTTCATAGACCAGATGCGTGCAGATGTAAACTCACCATCAAAAACATGGGCAAATTATAATTGCACTGCTCGCACATCCCTCCACCATGCCTATATCTCCAAGCATGAGGATCACACTCATGGTTCACCCTCAACTGCTCTGCCTGCACTCTCACCCTCTCCATAAACAAGTTCGGTGCCAGCTCATCCCTTCCCCGCACCTCTACCTCCACCCTCCGCTGGGCCGCATCAAGCAGCCTCGGCTCGTCCCACTGTGCGCACTGACACGTCTTCCAAGGAGCCGCGCAGACGTAGCAGAAATGAGCGCCACATCTGCAGGTCATGTGATTGCATCCGAAGGCGAGCTCGACGATCGAATGGCAGGAGGGGCAGGTTTGCCAACCTTCCGCCGCTGCAAGGTCCTTGACAGCTTGGACTGCGACGTTCTCGGGGCAGAGAGAGGTACCATGGGCCTCATTACGGCACTGAGAGCAGACGGAGGTGTTGCATTGTGGACATTCCAGATGATCATTCTGGGAGGACGAGGGGGTTGAGGTGGATGCAGGGCCTATGAAGGTAGAACAGGAGGGTTTGGGGCAATAGACTCGAGCATTCGCCGGTGTATCGTACTCAATCGCCTTGTGCCGGAAACGAGAGCGAAGGAACGGTTTGAGGCGCGGGAAGACGGTGTCGAGAGGTATACGCTGTTGGCAGCATCGTAGAGGGTACAGGCTTTCATCTCGGGTGCAGGTTTCGACGAGTGAGATGAGACAGGTGTGGCATTGGTAGTGCCCGCATGGACCAGAGAACTCCATCGTCACATTGCGAAGACGATCTCCACAAATGGTACATTCGACACTGAACAAAAAAGTCAGTGCAATATACGCCGAATCCGGGACAAGAAAATGTACCGAGGGAAAGTCCTTGTTGTAGGGCCCGGGTTTGAGGAGCCTTCAAGCAGGATGGACCCGCTGGTGGAGGCCACCGATGAGGTGCTGTCAGGAGCTGGTGGCGGTAGCAGAGCAAGAACGGTTCTAAAACATGAGTCCGTCAGTTGGCCTGGACCTGACCTCGTATATATATATCGACTTACTTTTTTGGAGGCTCCACCGCAGGTAATTCCAAATCCTCTATAGACCTCTGCGCCACGGAAAGAGGGGGCATGGGCAATCCGCGACTGACTGCCATCGCAGCCCTATGGTCATCCTCTGCCGCTCTCTCCAAATCCCCAACTATCGTCAGAATATCTTGATCCGCTGCTAGCGCATCATCGAGGCTCCTCGCAAAGCGATAATCCTCGTCCAACTGCAAAAAGCCTTCAAACAGCTCTCGCTGCAAGTCGAAAGCACGCTCCTCGGGTCCAGGAGGAGCATCAGCTCTAGTCTTGCCCTTGCGGTTCGCCTCGACCTCCTCGATGTCATCGAGAGCGAGTCGTGCGATGAGCAGGGCCGTCTCCGCATCGATACCAGTTGGATCGAACAACGTCAATGCGAGGGTGTCGGACATGGTCGATAGGAGAAAAAGACCTGTTACAGCTTGCAAGCGTTCTGTACTTTATCTGTACGAGGCGACGCCACCATAATTATCTCATGGAACGTGTGAGACCATCAAGTCCACTGTCGGAGATTGAAGAGATTAAAGTACTCGACCTCTATGTTGCGCCCGTCACCAAAGCGACGCCACAGTAACTGTCTTGAGAGATGACGATCGAGTCCACTCGTGCTATCTTGAGATTAAAACAAAAGCAGTCCGTTGCGTCCGTAATGGTGACTCTGCAAGAAAACTAACCTCTAAGAGCGGAGGGAGAATCATGATCGCTGGCAGAAGAACCCTGATGAGTACCATGGATGCACGTGTACAAGTCAGAAACGGAGATGGACATACCTTCTATGAGCTCTTCAGGAACTGCTGAACCAGGCTGCAAGTGTATGAAATTCGTCACAAAAGATGAAAAGCTTGTAGTTCAATCAATAACTTGTATTGCGACTACGAGCGGGACAACAAGGCCGGGCGACAATGAAAACATTCAACGGGAGAACAGGCGATTCCAAGTCCGGGCGCAATGGGAGATTGTTCGGATGACAACGAGGGAAGGACCAATAACTCAATAATATTATACACAGTGGGTGCGATGATAGGGACTTTTGCGTGCGAGACAATGCGAGGGAGCCTCTACTTGGCGACGGCTCTGGAGGGAAATGATGCGGACTACTGGTAGATGAAATTATAACTGGATGACCCAAACGTCAGAATGCGGGAGCTTCTACTTGTATGAATTTGAGACAGATAGACTGACCGAGAAAGTAAGTGCGGGATGGCCGATAATTGTGGTCCGTAACTGTAGGAAAGTGAGATTAGTATTTGCAGAATACGGTGATGGTAACGGCCAGGACGCACCGGGCGGCGTTGTCATAAAGCTCAAAGAGTGGAATGGCGAGGAGCTTCATATTCTTGGGCACGGCGAGAACTTCTACAATAACGGAAACACAACAGGAGACTAACTCAGAAAAGAGCAAAAGCCCAGGAAACATAGCAGTACGTACTCTTCTCAGGCATCTGCACAAGGAATAGCTTCTTGCATTCTTTCGGCTTGGTGATATGTGCGGGAACAAAGGGATACTATACATCCAACACACAATACACGGGAGAAACCACACCGATGATTATTGGCGGTTGAGTGGACATCCGTATGTACATGCGCGGCTGATACGGTAGACGAAAAGAAAACACGTACCATGAACGTCTCGAAATTAGGCCTCCACCACTGAGCAAGACAGTCTCCGATCTCCCAGTCATTATCCATGCCGTGCGATGTGTTGAACTGGCGGGACTCTGCCGGCGGGGCGAGGCGGTCGTCGAGACGGCGCTTGAGGCCTTCGATCTCGTCCTCACCGGGCTTCAAATAGTCTCCTGGACTGGTGAAATATGTATCACATCAGCCAGCGTTTGATGCCACTTGCGAGCACAAAGAAGACTCACAGTTTGAAGAAGGCGTTCGCGATCTGCAGCATGAGGATGTGGGGATGCCCATGGTCGTGCACAACCAGAATACCCTCCACAGTCCGCCGCATGCCAAAGTCTTCATAATTGTTCTGTAAGCGCTGCAGGCGGGCAGACACAGAAGGGTCCTCTTCTGGTTGGGATTCCTTCGTACTGTTGTGGCGGGAGTCAGTACAAGTCTGTGGAAAACCTTCCATCACGCTGACCTGAAAGTGAAGTTGGAAAGGGGGTAACTGGTATAATGGTCAGTACTATATCCTCACGAACACTCGTCAGAAACTTACAGCGCGATAGTATTCGACATCTGGACAGCGTCTTCAAAGGATGGTCGTGAGTATGGTCCAAGGCAGCACGATCGCGACTCGCGGTGCGCGACAGAGTGTGATGCTGGGTGACGTCACTGTGACTGTCACCAAAATTCAACAAGTCGTGACCATTGTAACGGGTGGCGCGCCACACCCCAAAGGCTCTCTTGGCATCAACCAAACGTCAACGACCTCTTTGAACAATTCCGCGAATACTCAGCAGTTCTGGGGCAGACAGGTCTCGTATTCGCCCCGCTGTAGGCAATGGATTCCACGGGTCGCTTTTGCTCAAGAGATTGTCCACTCTTCCAAGCAACACCATAACAGCGCGACGGCATTGCCATACCTATCACACACAAGTCTAGAGACCTCGCCTTTCGTGCTTTCTCTTTCTCTTATCACTCACAGCGCACACTCAAGTTTAAAAAGCGAATACGTATATTCTATGACTATATCACAAAGGATCGAATGAACCCATCCATCCATCCACGGGCAAGACAAACGAAAAGATCAGCCGTGAGACGTGATTCGGGATCCAGAGGCATGATAACAATACTAGTACAAGTAACGAGGCTAAGAATGCTGGGGGTGGGTGCTGATAAGAACGATCAAGGCAAAAGAAAAGAGAGGGCGTGTCGTGGAAAACCGTCATTCCATTACTGAAAAGTGATCATCGAAAGTGCATCTAGATGTGGAGGGGGATGTATACGAATACGGATAACAAGGTGAACCAAACGGCTCGTTTAAGCCTTGAAGATCGACCAGAACCAAGGCCAGTCATCATCATCGCCATCGTCATCGTCGTCCGGCTCGCCAGGCGCAGGCGTCGGCGCACCAGGGACCTTATCCGCGCAGTTCGCCGGAACAGTGAAGCCCTATCAACGCACAAATCCCGTCGTCAGTCAATCTATCGCACATAAACTCGACAAGAAGATCAAGAAACTCACGTTAGTACGAACTCCTCCGCCCCACGGCGTCTTCCCATCCACCCTCGCGTCCCTCCCAAGACCCTTCTCCGCAAACGCCCCCCAAATCTCACAGAAATTCTCTCCGCCCGTCAACACCTCGTCCGCCTGAACAATCGCGTCCCTCGCCTCGAAGAACCCAGGCCTGCACTGCTGCAACTTCATCCCGTTGATGACCAACTGCACCGCAAGCGTGTTCCCGTGTAGCGGCACCAAAGGCTTCTCCTTGCCCGTGCGCGCGTCGATGCTGCGCGGGTGGTAGAAGTCGCCGGTGGGAATCGTACCGTTGGGGAGGGGAGAGGGCGGGTAGAGCGTGTCGGAGTAGCCGTGTTTCTCGATGAGGCGCTGTTCGAGGATCCAGAGGAGTTGGGCCCAGACTTCACCGATGGCGTGGACGCCCCAATAGCCGGGCTTGTCGAGCGTCTTGTACGTCGAGGGGTTGACGGTGTCGTTCTGCGGGAGGCGAAATATCAGTGAGATAGTTACAAGGAATTGAGGCGGCAAGAGCGACGTACGAGAGAGTAGGGGTAGTTACGAATGCCTTTCGCGTCGTTCGCAGCCCAGGCGCCCATAGGGTAGTCAGAGTAGTCCTTGCTCGCACGGATGGTCGTGGCCAAGAAGTCTGTAGGGGGACAGCTATCAGTAAAAGGAAGTCGAGACAAACACTGTAAAAAATCGCTTACCTCCCCAGCCCTCACCCATACCTCCAGACTCGCCCCATCCAAGACAGCCAGAGTTCGCCGGCCCACCGGTAAGCCGTGTGCTCAACCCGTGCGCCAACTCGTGAATGACGATCCCGGCCTCCAAATCTCCGTCCCTGTAAGGGCTCGCCGTGTTCCACAAGTACATCCTGCACCTCCCATTCTGACCGTCGGGTGGCGTCATGAAGTTAGCGTTGTTATACCCGCTACCGTCCTGAGCGTTCGCAATGACCGCGTCGTTCTCGGCTCCGCCCCTTCCAAAGTTATGCTGCTGGAAGTTGCCCGAGACCTCGTCGAAACCGTAACGGTAGAAGATATCGTGGACCATGTTCGACGTGTAGAACAGTTGCGTGACGGTGGTGTTGATGTACTTCTTCGCCTCCGCGAGCGAGTCGGTCTTGTCGGTCGGTTGCGGGTTGTACGCGAAGTCGAACTCCATGGAAGACCCGGCGTCCGGACGGTAGTTGTGCAGCCAGTTGGAAAGACCTTCCCAGTCTTCGTGCGCGAAAACGTTGTTACCGGCGGTGACGGTGAAGTTGGTGTACGAAGAGCCGGCCTGGCCAGACGCAAGCGGGTCGTTCGACTGAGGGATGACGTGCCATCCGAGAGGACTAGCGAGCGAGTCGATGTTCTCCTTGACGATCGAACGGTTGCCCTCCGACGGGTCGTTGATACCCCACGCCCAGACGTTGTACGTGGCAAGCGAGTGAGTCTCGGGTTCCTTGGGAGCGGGAGCGTCCGAGGCCCAATCGACGACGGAGAGGATCCTGTGGGGCTCCTGCATCGAGACAGCCGTCTCGTACCAGTTGTCCTCCATCTCGACCTCGAAGCGCCAGGAGTAGGCGAGGACGGTCTTATCGCCCTGGGGAATCTGGATGTAGACCGGCTTCGCCTTGACGGGGTTGACGGTATCGGGGACGTTCTCGATGTACTCGACCATGGTGGTGTGGTCGCCAACGAAATGGTGCTCGAAGGTGGAAGTCATCTTGGAGAGGTGCTCCTCGTAGTTGGTCATGATGTCCTCGACGACCTCACTCTTGGGAGTGGCGGCGACCATGAACTGGAGGAGAGCACGCTTCGGGTCCATGGAAGTGGCGGAGAAATCGCCGGATGACTGAGGAACGACATGGGAGAAACGAGTGCAATGCGAATCAAAGAGGTGAGACAGGGGGTTGATGGTGGTGCCATCGGAGAGGTGGGTCTGCTCCTGCGCGGCGTTGAGACGGGACTGGAGCTCTTCCTGAAGAGTCTCACAGTAGTCGCGGTGAACGTCAACGTCCTGCGCAAGATCTGCGATGACCTGAGGAGCCTCGCCACGGTAGAACTACATGGGTAATTCCGAGGTATCAGTACATGAAACGATGCATACGACCAGAAAGGGATACGTACCGAGTCACCGTAGGAAATGACAACACCATCCTTGATGTTGATGTTCATATCTCCGTCCGCGACCTCGACACCGTTGATGAGCTGGCGAACATAGACGTGAGTGACGCCCGTGGCCGCATCGGTGTACGAGTCCTTTCGGATGGTGAACGAGTTGGCAGGCGAGTGCTGCTCTCCTAAGTGCTCCCTAACGAACTGACTGGCGACGTCAAAGGGGTCGTCCGCGCGAACAAAGCCGCTGGAGACGGTGATGGGTTGGACATGGAACTTGGCATGGGGGTGAACTGGACCAAAGTTAAGCGACTTGCGCTTAGAGACGCCCGAGTGAGCGAGGGCGCAGCTGGCAAGCCCCGCGAGAGCGAGAGCGGTGGTGGTTAATCTCATGGTAAATGTTGTGAACAATAAAGAGAGGAGCGTTGGGATCCCTCAGTGCAACGACCAGTGAAGGAGTTGGACTGGATGGGTGTTGGGGAGAGAGCTTGCGTGTGCTGCGACCCCGCCTCTTATCTACCTCAGGTGGCGGTGTCCTCGCCAGCTCGTGACGACGGCCTCCTCCCCAGCTACCCCCAAATTAGGAAACCACGCCGGTAGTGACGTATCGGGTCGCCCCGGTTCTTTCCCTCCAGCCCGGAACTTGGACCTCCTCCAACTTGCGCCACGACGATATCGGCTGGACAGCGACGACCCTGTGCGACCCTTACCGGTCATATCGTGCTCAAATGGCGTGTTTTCTCTCAGGTGCGTGGAATGGTCACTCTCCGGAATCGGATGCGTCCAAGTCCAGCAGACAATTAATCGACCACTGGTTTGAGGAGACAAAACGTCTGACTTGAATCCCTGGGATGACCTTGGTCCTTCTGCGGTTCGTACCCCGGATGGTCATGTCTTTGCTGATAAGCACAGCTTAGTTTGGTCATCGCGGTGGTTGGATTCCCCGAAAGGTGGATCTTTACACAGAGAAGTTTCATGGACGCACTCTTGAATGTTTGTTATCTCGAGTTTGATACTGGTGGCATGCCTCCAGGCCACAACAAGCTCTTTCATATGATTCTCTGCGCTTCGTCCCTACGAACGAGATTCCGCAATGGTTTTACTACTTGTGAGATTCAGAAGTGATTTAACCTTTTCTTCTTCATCATTGTTTGCCTATAATTCGTCCGATTTTGGGGTGTCCTCGTCCATACATATTAGTCAAGGACGGCTTAACTGTGGCGTCTTCTCGGTGGGAACCCGATATTCATTTTCCCTACTTATCCAGAGGAGGAAACGGTATGGAGCATTCTTCTTGACAGCTTCATGTTTTGTGCCTCCTCGTCAAAGCTCGCTGCTTCTGGTCGCTCACGACTTCATCCTCGTGTGGCGTACCAGGGTTGAGCGCTGTGGCCCATCTACATTCGCACACCGCTCTGAATCAGCGGAGCGCGCGATCTTCCTTCCCTCCAACTTCAAGCTTCACTATATCCCATTCGTTTCACCCACTGAATACAAGACTCGGTAGCGCAGCGGTCTAGCGCGCCTGCACGATGCACACGATTCCATTGCTTGCATTATGGGAGGAGACCCTCAGTTCGACTCTGGGGCCGAGTTCGTGGCCCATTGGGACGATGGTTTCACTTTTGTTTCAGTCCATAACGGATAGACGATTCCCTCCACGAAGAGTCATTAAAGGTGCACTTTTCTTGATGATGGGAACTCTTGTTCGCTCGTTTTTGAGTACAATGGAAGGCCCGTCCTCGTGTGGTGTGGCTCATCTAATCTAAGCGGCTCTGGGCATACTTTCCGTCCCATTACTATCGCAAAGTCTTCGTCTTCTCTACAGCATGCAGGGCTCGGTAGCGCAGCGGTTCAGCGTACCTGTTGTATTTTAAAAAATAGTTTGGCCTGAACAGGAGACCCCAGTTCGACTCTGGGCCGAGTCTTAGGATCGTCTTATTCTTCTTTTTTCTTTCCTTCCTTGCTTGTTCCTTTCGATTAATTTGTTAACGTTCTTTGGCTTGTGACTTACTCAGGTATGCTGATCCCAATGGAAAGGTGGTGTGGCTTGATTCATCCAATATCCGAGCGATTCTGGGTACGCTTCCCGTCCCATGAGCATCGCAAACCCTTCGTCCTTTGCGTAGGATACAGGGCTCGGTAGCGCAGCGGTTCAGCGCACCTGTTGTATTTAATCGGAATGATCAGGCCTAAATCAATCAGGAGACCCCAGTTCGACTCTGGGCCGAGTTGTATTCAACCATAAAGACATATTTTTCCCCTTCCTTCTTTCCTTACAGTACTCGTTCCTCATCATCACACCGTTAACGTTATTTTGACTCGTGATCTACGCGAGTATGCCAATCACGATGGAAGGGTGATGTGGCTCAATTCATCCAATATCCAAGCGACTCTGGGCCCCGTAACCGTCACGTTACCTTTCGTCCTCTACAGGATACAAGGCTCGGTAGCGCAGCGGTTCAGCGCACCTGTTATACATAGAAGAGTGACTTGGCTCGAACAGGAGACCCCAGTTCGACTCTGGGCGGAGTCTTCCGAAATATTATGCTCGTTTTTTCTCTCTCTTCCTTTCCTTGCTCGTTCCATTCAATTACATTGCCAACGTTCTTTCTCACCGTGGTCCCACTCTTTTGAAAGAGTAGAGGTTTCTGTTTGCCCACAGGATAATAATTCCTCGTTCCTAACTTCCGTTCCGACTTCCAGGACTCCTTTGTCCCCGACCCTCCTTTGTTCTGGCCTGTCAACCGCGATACAAGCCTCCTTACCTTCACCGTGCCATGCACAACTCAGTACAGCTTAGCACCACCTATAGCTAACACGACTCGGTAGCACACCGGTAAATGCACCTGTACGACATAAGGCATCGTTGTGTCAGATGCACAGGAGGACCCAGTTCGACTCTGGGCTGAGTCATTGTAGAGGTCCGATATTATTTTGCTGAATCGAGACGTCAAAAAAGCGGAAGTTGCAGCATTTTGGTCGCAAGTTTAGGATGACAAGTGCACGGTCGTACCCAGCTCTGGTTTTGAAGGCCTGAACAGGAACATTATATACTCTCTCAAACACTCAAGCCCAAGAAGCAAGCTACATTATATACTATTTGTAGAGAAAGAGAAGAACGATCAAGAAAAAAGTGCATGAGGATCAGGGAGTGAGCAACCCGGCAACGAATCAGAAAGTGTATACATGTATGGTCGTGGGCGTATCGTAGCGTAAAGAACTAGTATCCAATCAGAGCCAGAGCGTCGAAATATCCATGGATGTGTGAAGTGTGTATACCACGTATTAACCATGCAGACGAAGATAAGCCAGGCAAGGAATGGAGAAAGCAGGGGATGGGAGCACGTAACTAGCGTGTCGTTCCAGTGCAGGGCCACGCAAGCCATGACCAGGAATAACTCGGAAAACAAAGGAAGTGGCACCATTTCTGCATACCAGAGCCACACCTCCAAGGCGTGCATCAACGTATTTCCCACCTCGTGCTTCAATATACGCGGCCCCAGATACTGAAAGCGTCAAAATCTCCCTGCCCCAGAACATGGGTGATGCATGAGGCCGAGGTCCGGACGTAGATAGCGCTGGAACATATCGGCATCCAGGTTTCAACACCAGCATGTCGACCCCACACACGACACCCAACACTCCGAACTCTCATCGCATTACGTCCTCCTGCTCGCCCCACCGTCCCACCATCCTCGCGCCACACTATTGACACTCCCCGCCACACAAATAGACCATCGAATTCGCCCGACCTCACAATAATGGGCCCACACAACCGGAGTCTAACACATACACCCTCCCTCCGCACCTTCTCCTGCCCCTCCCTCGTCCCTCAAATCAATATTCCCCGGCATCGTCCTCTCCGCCCCTGAGCCCGCACCGCCCTTACTGCTTGACTTCGCCACCGCTTTCGACCCGGCGGAGTCCCAGAGTTCGGGCGTATCGAGGATCTGTGCTACGACGTTCCGGAAGGCGTCGCGTACTCCGACTGAGGTCTTTGCGGAGGCTTCGACGAAGAGGCAGTTTTGACGGGCGGCGAATTGTTCGGCTTCGGCGGTTGGAACTTGACGGGAGTATTCCTGGAGAGGAAAGACGAGAGGTGTGGTGTGAGTATAGTTTTTGAGACAAAGGAGAGATGAGAAACAGAAGACAGGAAGTGATGAAGATAGACAGACCTTGTCTACTTTGTTCCCTACAATGATCTTGACGACAGAGCTAGAGACGTATGTCTCGAGCTCGGAAAACCAACGCGGGAGTGCGTCGAACGACTCTCGATTCGAAACGTCGTAAACTGTTCGTAGACAGGCATCAAATGGATTAGCACGGTCTGGTAAAGTACGGATGCCAAACTGGAGTAGGGTTGTGACACACCTAGGATAATCCCTTGCGCGCCACGATAATATGACGATGTTATTGTGCGGAAGCGTTCTTGGCCTGCAGTATCCTATTTCAGCCGGGCATAATAGAATCAGAAACGTGTTCCACATTCATGAATGTAAGACGAATGTAAGACGTCGACGAAGGACTCACCCAGATACTGAGCTTCACCTTCTTCCCCTTCACGTCCATCTTGTGTACCTACTCCACCATGAACCAACACGAACGAACGAACCCAGCCTATCAACATCTCCCATTTTCACACAATACAGGACAAAAGGAGATACGCACCCGAAAGTCGACACCAATCGTCGCGCTCGCCTCATCTTCTGGTAACCACTGCTCGTCTGAGAACCTCAACAGCAAACTGCTCTTCCCGACAGAGGAGTTTCCGATGAGAAGAAGCTTGACATTTATGGGCGCGCTGCTTTCTTGAGAGGGCATGATGTCGTGACTTTCTGATTGATGTGTTTGCGAGAAGTTATATGGTCTTGGTCTAGACGCTTCGTTCAATGACACTGGGTGGCGAGCTCCAAGTCGTCAAGAATGCAGAGATATCTGGTAGAGTAATAATAATCGGAGAAGCTCAGGTATTAAGTGCTCAGTCTATATCTGCCAGCCAAGGGGGAGCAATTATGTGCACGATGATAAGCAGTGAGGAGACAACGGTGTTGTGGGGAGAGTCAAGAGCAGGTTCGGCTGCTGGAGACATCGAGAACGCTGTTCGGGGACGAGAAACGCGTGACATCATCCGGACACCAGTGCCACACGGCTTCACACCGCTCATTTGGGCCACAATACTCCTTGTTCCTCACCACCATGATGTCCTTCATCCACTGTGCGCCAGTGACGAGACTTATTCCGCTGCTTCTCACCTCTGAGTGCATCTCAAATCACAGATGAAAACTCGTGAAACTCCGGTTCCGTCTGCAAAGTTCCATTAGCATGCTCTTCGAATCGTTCTCACAACCATTCATCCTAGTAAAGTTGACGTTCATATGTTCTTTGGTGCAGTGATTTTTGCCTCTTTCTTCTTACACAGATAATTCTTTCCTCTTATGTGTGCGATGGACGTAAGTTGTCCACAATTATTCCACCCGTTTCCGAGTTTGAGTAATTCTGTCTCTGGAAACTGGTGCAAGGTATTATACTGGTCATTGGCTTCAAGTCGACCGTGACGCTGTAATAAAGGCAAGATGCTTCAGAATAGACCGTATCTGCAAAGAATTTTTTGACCTCGCTAAAGCCCAACGGGACTCGACGATTGGTCGGATCACCGTTTTAAAGTCGTTTTAAACGGTTGCAGACAAGTACGGTCTAATGCAGATATGTGAGTGTTCCATATATTCATCGGGGGCCATCAGCTGCTTTGAAGGCCAGTGTGAACGTATGTTCCTCTTTCTTTTTGCTTGTCATCTTCTGGGGTCTGTAACAAGGGCGTAACTGTCAGTGGGCGGCGTATGCGAAGGCCACTCTATCTGCGCACGATGAACGAAGTTCTCGTACATTATTCATTCGTAGAGGATTTATCATTGCCCTCGGGATCCCCAGATATAGCGCAAGCTCATTAGAGATACTTAGACGCCATATAATATTTTTGGTGGTGTTGGGGAGCCTCGGGCAAGCCTCGGGCGAACGAGAGTCGGTCACTAGAAGCCCGAGCTCGAGTGTCTGTCCTTTTCCCTCGAGGACACGTAAAGAATTTATCATTGCCCTCGGGAAGACGCCATTCGACCATACGCGCGTCGAGTACGATGACCAGTCCTACATGCCCGAGCACCATACAACTTGAAGCGCTCCAGCTTGTGGTATAAAAGGCAGACGGTAGATCGACAGGAGAACTATCGCTTCATTACTCAGTTCACTTCCAGTATAATATATCATTCGCAACACTCCAGCACACCTCCTCGAGCATAACTATGGTCTTTGTATTAGTATGTTTCTCTCTTAGTCAAATGAATCCGTTCATCGCCGGTCGTTATTAACGAAGGTCACGTCGGTGCGCCTTACATAGGTCACTGGGGCGACTGGCTTCGTGGGCTCCCATGTTGTTGACCAGTTGCTTGACGCGGGACACAAAGTAAGAGGGTAAGTCGTTGTTTATTTGAACGGTCAATACCATGTCGCTAAATGAGAGGAAACACACAACAGGACGGCGAGACCTAGCAAGGCCGACCGTCTCCGTGCCGCCTACAGTTCCTACGGTGACCGATTTGAGGTCGCCATTGTTGAGGACTTCACTACTTCTGATTTGACTGCAGCATTCAATGGTATGCATTGCGAGCGAATAATTCGTTGTTGTTGTTGTCTGACGTGCTCACTTTTCAGGTACTGAGGCGCTCATCCATGTAGCCTCGCCGTTGGCGGGCGGCGCGCCTGATGTTGTACTCAAGGTTTGTCCCGTCCTACATATACCTCTCGCGTGATATCGCTACTCAATGAGCTGTTTCGTGATTTAGGGCGCGGTAGATGGGACTAACAGAGTTCTCGATTTCGCCGCTAAGGCAGGGACTATAAAGAAGATTATCGTCACGTCTAGTGTCGCTTCGCTGGTCCATTTCGATGCGGCTTGGGATAATCGCGTGTTTGGCGACGAAGGTCAGTCCCGCCTCTGAACTGTGTCCTGCCATAATCTACGTATCCTGAGCTCTTGACGGGTTGTAGACTGGAACCCGCAGACGTACGAGGATGCGATCAAGCCGGGTCTCCACCCGTTGTCGGTCTACTTCACATCAAAGAAACTGTCTGAACTGGCCGTCCGTCAGTTCGCGAAGGAACATCCAGAGATCGAGATTTCTACGGGTAGGCCCACTATAACTCGTTGCATTCCCCGCCCTCCCACATATCTCACACTTCTTTGGTCTGCCAGTACATCCACCATACATATACGGCCCCACTGGGCGCGGTCAAGTCCTCGACGCTCCTGCAGAGGGTACAAACTCTTTCATCTACTCGCTATTCCAAACCCCAGCTGGTTCTCCCCGAAAATCACTCCCCGACCCGAAATCCATGGTCACACCCATCTATAACCATGTCTCTGACGTTGCTCGCGCGCATGTCCTTCTTCTCTCTCCTCCGTCTGGTTCACCTTCGTCCCAGCCGGGAGAAGTCAAGCGTGTGGTCCTCAAGAGTGGCGAAATGCGCTGGGTGGACGCGGTTGAGTATCTTTCCAAGACAAGGCCAGCGCTGAAGGACAGGTTGGTTGTGATTCCTGATGGATTTGAGCACCCGAAGGGGTGGGCGAGGTTCAGTGGGGAGAGTGCGGAGAGGTGGATTGGGATAAAGGAAGGCGATTACAAAGGGTGGAAGGAGACGTTGGACGGGACGGTCGACGATATTTTGGGAAGAGAGAAGAAATTGGGGGTCGTGACAACGTTGTAATTTGGGCTGTGCTGTGGAGACAAGTCCAGGTCCAACTCAGACCACCACACCCGTATTTCACTTGAGGTCACATCTGTTCAGTGTCTCGTGTAATATTAGAGTATAGACGAAATGCTAAGCCATGCTTGCAGACATTATGATGCACCAGATAATCCAAGAAATGAGACGTCGATGTGGACCTTGCGTAAGCTATGATCTTCTCTCTCCACGACACTGCTGTCCGAGCACAATCACCATCTACTTGAGTTTTCTCCACTTCCCATCCTCGCCGCGTCTGTATTCAGTCCCAACTAAACCAAACATCGTCGACCGGGACGTGTCAGAATGTGCCCGGGCCAACGGAACCTGAGCAAGGCGTAGATTCACTCACACAATGAGCAACGTTTCGGCGTCACATTTGCTCTCATAAATTCCTTGAGGATAATGCGACTGGCGGCTTGACACCTTGAAGGGCGATCGGCACTTGGGCCCTGTAGACGACTATTGTGGTCTTTACAGAAGAAAGAGTGATTGCTATAGTGGAGGTCTTCGAGCGCGGGGAAACCGGTGGCTAATGCAACTGCAGCTCGCTTGACGTTGTGCTAAATAAGGATAGGGATCAAGCCATAAGTATCACACTCCCTGCTGCTTATGTCGTAGGAGACTCGATAGCCTCACTCGAACCGGGTCGTATTTGTGAGGGGATTAAACTTGCCTTGGTAACGTCCTCCGGCGCACTAGCCTGCCCATCGGACCCTCCAAAACTATCTATCTTCAACAGTCTCAAGTTCTTGAACCGACCAGCGAGCGCTTCGAGCAAATCTGCGTTTGATCCAGGCCTGCGACACGTTAAGGAGCGAAGGCTCTCCCGGGAGGCATCCAGCGACGCAAGGACGGGCTCTATAGGAAGTTGTAAATTCTGCCAGGTGATGCCCACTTCTCTCAATGCCGGTGCCTTGATACCAACTGAAGACGATGCAGAGGTAGATAGTTGGGTGTCTGTGGGATGACGGGATACGTGCTGGAAGAAGCTCGAAGGAGCCGCAAACTTTGCAAGGTCGGGTAAGGCGACAGTCATATGTTCGCCGATGCAGACGATGTCACATGCGATGTTGGGCCCGAACATATGAGTAATTTCGACGGAACGGAGGCGTGAGTTTTGGTTTAGAAAAGCCGAAACAGTTTGATTGTGTACAATGTCGGTACTTATGTTGCACGCTTTGAGGTTAGAGATGGTGTCGAGAGGGGGGTCGGATAGAAGAAGTTTGATTGCAGGATCGCTGAAGTGATCGTAAAAGCTGGATTCATCTTGGGCTGAGGGTAAGATGCCGATGCCGAGGCGCTCCAGGTTCGGGAGAGACGATAAGATTGTCTTGGTGAGGGACAGATAAGAGTTCTTGAAAGACGGACTCCATTCATTGAATAGTTCACGACTGGAATGGAAAGCCAGTGCCCGTCAGCAATCAAAAGCTTATCATGCGGAGAAGTTGGACAGTTGAAGACTGCTAAGGAAGGTCGCATTGAGCACATACCCCAGATTTCTGAGCCTGATTTCTCGGACGTATCCTCGTCTTCGAGGTCCGTCCTCGGTCAAGAGCAAGGCTCTGCCCACCCTCTCCAAAGCCCCGAACTTTCCTTCGCGGAGACCCCGCGTCATGAGTTTCTCGTGACAGCAGACGGTGACGGTTCGGTAGAGTTCACGTTCCGCCATGAGTTGCCATGTTTTGTTGACAAGACATAGACTCATGAGATCCCGTGTGCGAAGGGTAGAGTGCGAGTCCCAACTCGGGTCATATTCGCCCAGAATATGTTGGAAGACCTCAGGAGGAAGAGCCGGAAGAGGAGCGAGCGATTGAGCATGATTCTCAGAGGAAATCTCGGCCATGTATGTATGTATTGCAAATGGTTGTAGGATATGAGAGGTCAGACCAAGGGAACCGGAAGCAGATGAAAGTTGTGAGCAGGTCGTCAGGGAGCCAACAGGGAGCTTAGTTACTTATTTTCGGTCGCAAGCAAACAAGGTCGAATTGAAACTCAGCATGTGTGGCGTAAGTTACGTATATTGTTTGTGGCGAGGCGGTGATCAAGCGTTAATCCTGATCTCGTCCTGATCCTTATGCCTCAAGTTCGCGGCAATCTATATCGTGGATTTTTGGTTTATGACGTCGCAGTGGGGAACAATTGATCTGAATCATCAGTATTAGGACATATATGTAGTAACTTATTTAAAACGTTAGAGCCCCCGCTAGAGCTCTGATTAGCAGGAGGGTTAAATGTACATCGCGACATACATGCCCTGTTGGACGGGACATGGTTTAGTACAAGAAAAGGATCTGTATTTCTTTCTGCAACTTATGAAGAGCTCAAAACACTGGCAAATATGAGTACGAGTGTGTTGAACTCTTCAAATATGAATCAATCCTGATACACGACAAGATACATCGGTCTAATGGCATCGTTCTACCCATCCAAATCAGAAACAATCCAAAACAGCAAGAAAACATGCAAGCCTACTCACATCATATACAATACACTCGTCGTAGTTGAGATCGTGTCCTGGCACACCCGTCACAGACTGATAACCTGCTGGGGGCTTTAAAATTTTAAGACGAACGATCAATCACCTACTAAGTAGAACCCATGCCAAAGAAGAAACAGTAGGTACATACCTGCTTCAAGTCCGGACTATTCTCGGTCAACTCCTTGCTTCGTCCGAGAATGACCGCGTTAAGGAGCATCGTGGAGTATCGCGAGCCTCCCAGTTCATGGACGTAGGAATCCGCCTATAGTCGTCGTGGAAACACGATTGTTAAGTTTTACAGAAGTGAGATAAATATCGACTCTGATGATGGCTTACCTTTGAGGAAGTGGATGACGTGTAGATCCCGCTCCCGAACCGGCCCCAGTCTGTCTTCTTACCAGACTTTACGACGTCGAAAGACGTCTGGACATGGAGCAACCATCCGTCACCTCGGAGTGAAATAATACTGAAATAACATCGCAGCTCGGGGACGTGACGCACCTCGATAATGCTGCACAATGAGCATCGAAGGTCATTGCAGATCTGGCTGTGGGAACTGGTGTCTCCGAGGCGGCATGTCCTTGTAGTTCCGTGCCACCTCCGTTTAGCGTTACCGTCGGGATAACCTGAACTCTTTATGACCTTATCCCTGGAAAAGCAACAGGAATGATTGTTTCAATCGTGAGGAATACAGTGATTGGGGAAGCGATAAAAAAGAGGTAGAACGTACTTGTAGGCCATGTATCTGTCAACGTAGACTTTCTTCCCGAAGATCTTCCAGATCTATTGAATACTTTGGTAAATGATCAGGACGACTGGACATGGACGAAAGGACACTGACCTTAATGACCTCTGGTTTTTGAGAGTGATGAAGCCAATTTCCCCAAAATTGTCTCTCAACTGTTGATGTGCCACATTGATCCAGGCCTACTGTACGGGGAATCAACTCTGATAGCACTTACTACTTTCATACGCGTCATGACCGGCAGGGATCTCGACAAGGGCTGGCGCTAGCGGAAGGTACGCCATTAGCATTGGTATGGGAAAGCGACGCGGTAAATACTTAAGTGAAGAGAGAAAGCATACCTCTAAGGGTGACCTTGGGCGTACATTTCTTGCACAAGACGTCTCGTATCTGCGTATGCCAACTATCGCCAAATATAGGCACGGGGATCGTGCGACACCTGTACCGTCAATTCCAAACAAAACACATATTTAGTTTTAGTTGCTACATCACATCTAGAGACAGGGGGGGAGGGCGACCCAGAAGGAAGGACTCACAGCACGCAGCACCGAAGAGGATGACCATCTCTGTAATGCTGGAGAAGCGCATTCATGCCTGGAAGTCTGCGCTTACAATCCACGAAAATGCAAGTTCTATGCTTGGCCTCAGAGTGTTCTGTCAAGGCCTCGTTGGAACGATATCGAGCAGTATTACTCCCACTCGTGGATACGGCACATAGCAGACACATGGGATGTTCCATGTGAATGTGAAGATGAAGCCGCTTCAGCGACATGAAGCCTGCTTTGCAGGTCGATTGTGTGCAAAAATAAACGCCGCGAGGACCTTGAGGGACAGAGCCAATACAAGTTGTAAAACATCTGGCGTGCCACTCTGCGTCGGATAAGGGAGCCACGAGAGAGGAAGACATGTTGGAGTCGACTATCTGGAGATATTTGAGGCTTATGACGCTTATGCAAGGGAGTTATCCCAGAAACCAGACGGTAGACTCGGGCCAAAAGGCAGTTGTTGCTGGTCTTTGTCGCGGAGGGTACTAAAAAACAAAGACCGTCGCGTTCGGAACGCAAACAGCCGCAAACAGTGGGACAATGTCAAAACCGGGGCCTTGGCCAGCTTCGATCAGACGCCACACTCTCCGATTGGCCACACTCTTTGAAGAGAGCACTCGCAGAACGCAGCGGGATCATTAGACCTGCTGGCGTAACTTCACTGAAGCTCTTCCGGGTCGAAGAGACTTCAGAGTTATAAAATGGCCAATTTATGCACGTCAAGCCAGGCTTCACAAAACGTTCAAAGAACGACCTTTCCAGTGTTTCCACCGGTGCCAATAAGTGAAAAAAGGAAACAAAAAAAAACACAAAGGACGACGAAGGATTCATGACAGGCCAAGCAGGCCTGGCCTTGACCTCAGTAACCTTTTTTTCGAAAGATCATATGGAGGCTCCTGAGAGCAGAACTGCCCCGGTGCTCTCGCCTCGACTGTATTGGGTAAGCTTCTCCATGGAAGTCTTCGTCGGGCCCCGGCGCAAAGACGTACACAGACCAGCACCGAGGAGTGCGAGGCAGAACCTTGAATCAGAGTTAGTGGCGCTCGTCGTCCGCCATGGCGTCCAAGGGCTTATCTACGACGCCAACAACGACGACTCGAGGGTGGAGAAGAAAGGCCCGCAGTGTCGGTACGGGAGCTGATAAGGAGTTGCGCGCGGCAGGTACCGAAAAGAATGAGGTGGCTGTGTCGTTGTTGGTCGATCGGGAGATCTGGCCAACCAACCGCCGCAAATCCAGATTGGAAATTCGAGTATGTTATCGTCTTGAAAACAGATGCCGGGTGGATTCCTCTTTGCTGGTGCCCTCTTCCCTCTTGCTCTCATCGGGCAGCCCTTGGTGCTCAACGGTCACCGTCATGGACGACGACGGCGCTATTGACCAGACCGCGAGCAGTCGCACGTCCAGTGTGGCCCCCGACGGTTCGAATGATGCACAGAACGTCGAGGCTCGCGACATTGCTCGTGGTATCAAGAACACAAACTCGCAACCGATTTCGTCCATGACGAACGATTCGCCACTGAGTCGAGCGGGGTGAGCAATCTCTATTTTGGTCTGAACGTTTGTACTCGTCGGGACGAGCCTTTGCCAGTGGGAATTTGATTATCCGCGTGGAGGCAGGTCTGGACGAGAAACCTTGTTCTGGTGTGCTGGAATATGGGTGGCGTGAAGCAGTCACTTGTTTGCAGTATACGTTCTAGAGGACCCCATTATCCGCTGGCAATCATGCCGAATCTTGGCAGGTATCACCTCTTCATTCAACCGTGGTCACGCACTCTGTCTCGGGGCAGTCATGACGCCTTTGTGATGTCTTCAGCCGCTTCCCGTTCTATTAGGCGTTCCTAGACGAGGACGTCAATACCCGTGGTGTTCTACTAGCCTGCCGATGTTATGTACACTACTATGCTTCAGGCTTAGACAGAGTACCCCAGAGGCGTTCGCTACCACTACTTGCATCGTCTTCTGATTGTCCGACGACGTTTGCTACGCTCGAAGGACCCTAGTGGTCAACAACTACCTTTGTCGTCTTGACGTCTTGTTCGAACACGGGTCCACAGCGCCTGAGCATCTTGTGGAAGTCACGCCCGCCGTCTTGCTTCCTTTACCTACTCGACAATTCTTCTTATATGCCGGAGATGCAGCAATTGACTGATTTACCCATCATCATGGATGACACCCGCAGGCTCCTCCAAGCTCGCTCCTACGTCTCGTCCACTCATTCCTTCAAGCCTGCACCACAAACACAAATCCATCACATCTCCTCTCCACAAAACTATCTCCATCTCGCAGTCACCCCGGTCGTCCCACACTCCGTAAATGACATCCGCGACAGCACCATGCAGCTCTCCAACATGCTTCTCTCATCCTCGAGCAAACGTCCCGGTTCCACCTCTCATCCTACATCCCGCAGAGAATCGCACGGAGACTCGTTCATCTTTCCTAAAGCTCTCGCAGGCCAATTTATACCTTCCTCTGTGCCTTCCACGGTACCACTAGATTCCGCTGCTGCATCTATATCCTCTCGGTTATCTCTTGAGACCTCTGGTTCTGTGGACCTCTCGGCCTCGACTTCGACTATGGGACCCGTTGCGGGGACTCCAAGCGCACTAACACCTCGACAAGGCGATTCACCACCTCCCTCCGGCCTAACGCTCATGATGGCTCGCCAAGGATCACCCGCTCGCGATGCGTTAAGCGCAGACGAAAGCGAGAGGACGAGCTCGGCTACTCCAAGAGCACCTACGAGAGAGTTGCGAACGGAACACGCGTCAGATATGAACGTCCACGTCCAGAGAGGACGACGCGTGTTAGCCGAGCAGGCGACGCAGCCGGCAGGAGCAGTCGCGGTTACGGGCTCCGGGCCAGATTCATCACCGTCGTTGCTCGATGGTGCAGGTCCTGACAATGACATTGCACGACGTCAGAGCGCGACATCTAAAGGCAGCTATTCTCGGACTACGGCCTCACCCCCCCCTCCCTCCGACCACACACCCCTCCTTTTACCATCTACCACGACTGTTCTTCCCTCGTACAATGCGTCGATTACGGAGTCATCACCACCGAGAGCGTTTGTGCACGGGGCCGGGAACGGGAGGGCGGATGCGTCGACGCAGACGAAGATGTCGAGGAGAAGGAGCATCAAAAAGTCGTTGGCTAGGGCCAGACATAATTTACGGCCGGAGAATTTGGTGTGGGGAGTTAAGGAGGCGGTGGGGAGTGTACCGGCTGTGTTGTTGGGCACATTGTTGAATATTTTGGATGGTGTTTCTTGTGCGTGTCTTCTCTCTCTATCGTAACCATCCGTTTTATTTTGTGGTCAAGCTCGAGTACGCCGTGGATTGCTAACTGTCTTCTGATCCTGTAGATGGTATGATTATATTCCCGGCTGCAGGAGTGTTTTCGGGTTTGGGCCCCATGGGCGTGTCGATGTTCTTCGTCTCGTACGTGCTTTTTCTCTTCCCCTCCACATACTGTGGTATCTAATAAACATGGTTACAAAACAGGGCGATCATCTCTCAAGTTATCTATTCGGCAGGCGCGAGTGGATTTGCTGGGGCCAACGGCAGCATGATGATCGAGGTCGTCGTAAGTAACACTGTTCTTTATCCCTTGCTACCCAAGATCCAGGTACTTCTTTGTCACTGAAATTACTTGCGCGTACACCTTTTCTTCATTCCAGCCATTCTTCCACATCCTCGCCACACGGATAGCTGCCTCCATAGGAGAAGAGCACCCAGAGGCGGTCATCGCGACCACGCTCGTCGCCTTTGCGTTTTCGTCCGTTCTGACTGGTGCGTCTTCTTCTCTGAGAATTTATATCACTATCTCATCTTGTCACATGTCTGTTCTAACGATACCTCCATGGCTTTCTAAAGGTTTATCGTTCCTGCTGCTGGGCAAATTCCGCTTAGGTGTATTGATCGGATTCTTCCCGAGACATATCTTGGTAGGATGCATAGGCGGTGTCGGAGTATTCCTTGTCATTACTGGGTGCGCCTTTCATCCCATTCCTTCCATCGTTTGATTATCACAGCCTGACCATGTTTGTGCGGCGTGTGGCACTCGTGGGAACAGGCTGACCGTCTGCACCCGCATGCCGGACGACGACTTCGAACTTAACCTCGCGACACTCTCCTTCCTATTCCTCAACCTCAAAAACCTCATTCTCTGGGTTCCGGCGTTCTTGCTTGCCACTATTCTCCGACTGATCACCTCACGGTGGCATCACCAACTTATTCTTCCGATTTGTACGTCCTTTCTCTGGCTCCCATATTGTTCGTCTCGCTCCACGTTGCTCTCTGCTGCTTTCGTTTCCCGTTATATCCCTTCCCCGAAGCTTTACAATTTGGCATGAAGCTTACTCGTTATCGTTCTGGACAGATTTCATAATTATACCTGCTGTATTCTACATTGTTGTACTCGCTGCCGGGCTGGACCTGGACGTGCTCAGGAAGGCCGGATGGATATTCGACGTGGGTGCTAGCGAAGAGAAATGGTATCAGTTTTACACGTATTTCGGTGCGCCTTCCCTCTTCTTGCCCGTCATCCCCCACATTTCCGTTGTTGACAATGATATGTGCACAGATCTCAAGTCGATACGCTGGGGCCCACTATGGGACACTCTGCCTACGCAGTTCGCGCTCTTGTTTTTCAATATATTGCACCCCCCTTTGAATGTACCTGCCCTTGGTATGTGCCTTTCCTTGCGGCTCTTGTACATGTGGCGTAGTGCTGACTTGTGTGGCGTAGCTGTGTCTTTGAACGAAGACGTGGACACGAACAAGGAGCTCGTGGCACACGGTTACTCGAACTTGATTGCAGGATTTGTTGGGTCTGTGTACGTTCTCTTTCTCAATTACACGGTTGAATTTAGGGCTGACTTTACCCATGCCGATCTCAGACCGAATTACCTTGTTTATGTAAACACATTACTGTGAGTTTATCGCCATGTCTGTACATGGTGTTGTGGCACACAAAACTGATCGGTCATCGGTGATAGATTCTATCGCGTTGGTGGAACGACACGTCTTTCTGGGTTTATGTTGGCGGGCGCTACCGCTGTACTTCTGTTCATCGGGACGGGGCCCATCGCTTACATTCGTACGTTCATACTTTTTTGAGCTATGTTGGTGGTCGAATGAGGAGCTGATCGTCATATTGACCCATACACAGCAATTATGGTGGTCGGCGCGTTAATCTTCGTTCTGGGCTTTGACCTTGTTAAGGAGGCATTGTGGGATACGAGACATCGCGTGAGCCGGTGAGTGACTTACAATCCCGTCACCGCTGTCCGACTAAGGCATGCTTATCAACAACGATATACACCAGCCTGGAATACATCACCATCATCAGCATTATGGTCGCTATGACCGTGTGGGACTTCGTTATCGGTGTATTATTCGGGATTGTCGTCAGCTGTGCGTAGTCCCACTCTGAGCGAATACTGTTGTATTGTGGCTAATGATTTGTGACGGGATGTTAGGCTTCTTCTTCGTGGTGCAGAACTCACAGAGAAGAAGTATCAGAGCGATCCATTCGGGTGAGACCTGCATGTCTACGGTGCGAAGGCCAAGTGCTCACAGGGCCTACATCCGGGAGGCCTCAAAGCAAACGACGATCTTGCGCTTGCAAGGTACGTTTGATCCGCTACTACTACCAGTCTCAACCTGCCATGCTAACTATTCGATATTCGTGTAGGCTTCCTCTTCTTCGGCACCATCGCGCACGTCGAAGAATCCATTCGCACGCTCGTATCCGCACCTTCCTGGTCAACCTCTCCCATGCAATTCCTCATCGTCGATATGTCTCTCGTCGCTGGAGTCGACATGTCCTCAGCCGAAGCATTCGTGCGCATTCAGAGGCTGCTCTCATCGAAGAGGATCGTGTTGGTGTTCTGTGGGATGGAGGCAGGAAGTAGAGGTGGCCCCAGTGTGAAGACGGCGTTGGAGAACGTCGGGTTGTTCGAGATGGACGGTGTGGAGCTTTTCGAGAAGGCCAACGACGCCCTGGAGTGTACGTTCTTTTCATACATTCTACATTGGTGATACCGGATGGCTGATTCTGGAGGATGATTTGCAGGGACGGAGAATGCGTATCTTCGAGCGTGGTTCCTCTCCAACAAAGCAGAGACGAAACCCGTTATGCTTCCAGGTCGTCAAGACGGCATCCAACTCGAACTTCACGAAGCATCGCCCAACTCGCCACGCCGCTCCCAGCTTCGCGACGCCGGGTGGCGCACGATGACTCGACGTCAGTCCCAATCATCTCTGCATCGTCGACGTTTGGTACTAATTTACTTATTACTTGGTTCATCTCCGTATTCAGCATCGTCTCCTACTGGCCCGAACTTTGATGTTCACAGCGAACCCCTAAATACCCTCCTCCAGGCCTTTTCATCGTACGGGCCCCTCGACCTCTCTTCACTCGATTCACTTTCAGCATACCTTGAGCGTATATCCCTCACTGAAGGCACCATCCTCTGGCACCAAGGCGATGCCCCCGACGGGCTCTATCTCATCGAATCCGGCGTCCTTCGCGCAACCTATCAGTTCGCGCATGGTGGGGGAGAGGGCAGGGTGGACGAGAGCATGGTCTCGGGGACATTGGCGGGAGAATTGTCCGCGCTTTCGGGGATGGAGAGAAATGCGACGGTTGTGGTGGAGAGGAATTCTGTTCTTTGGAAGTTGGGAACGGAGGGGTTGAAGCGATTGGAGGCGGAGAGACCGGAGTTGGCCAGGACTTTTACGAGACTTGTGCTGAAAGGTGAGTTGCAAAACTGCTGCTGCCTATGTCTGGTCTACTTTCATGGCGAATACTGACTGGATGCGTCTACTTTTGTAGCCGCGAAAGTGGACTATGACATCTTGCTGTCGGCCTTGGCCACTCGCCAGTAAAAGATCACTTCCCGTCTCTGAAGAGACCACGGACATACTACCTCCTAACAGTGCATATGAATGGACATTTTCGTTATCTAAACGTCATTTTCTCTCAACTATACTTCATCTTTCTTTTAACTCAGCATAGATATGTAGTACCTCTGACATGACGTAGGACTACAGTGTACACGGATAACGGACGACACGCTTCTAGCCAATAAAACTGTAACAATACAACAGATCAACAGTTACATATGCATAGAGGACGTCCGCGCGTATGTAAGTAAAAGAATGAAAACAGAGGTGTCAAAGCGATGGACAAAACGAATGCAGAAGAACGTTATTGATTGAAAGTAGACCACCTGTGCTCGCTGAGAACTGAAGTGACGGACTCGGATCTGGTGGGAGCAACGAAGGAAGCAGGTCGATAGCGAGAATCGGTAGGATGTATTTGAGGGAGGACGACTGGGGCGATCACGGACTGCGAACGATGTCGTTGCGACGCCTGACTCCGTTCCCGTTCCCGTGGTGGACGGCGAAAATCGCCTGCAGATACGCCTACAGTCTGAGAACGATGATGTCTCTGTGAAGTCCAAGTCTGACTCCGTTCCACTAATGGTGGACGAGACACTGGATTGCTCGTTCTCGTAGACGTAGACATGACTGCTGCAGTGCTGTGTGAACGCCTACGCTGCGCGTTCGGGTCGCGATACTGTTCATGCGATGGACGAGGGGGATCGTTCGGAGGTGGTGGGATTATAACCGGTGCTCTCGTATCTCGTCGTGATTCCCGTCGTGAGCGTTGCGAGGGCTTCGGAGAAGAGACGACCCACGATTGTGGACGCTCAGCTGTATGAGATACTGACCCTGGAGGGGACTGTTGATTTTCCGAAACAGGTGCTTCTTGCGGCGACAAGTAGCCTGAGAGTAAGCTGGACTCCACAAAAGAAGAGACGGTGAGCGGAGGCTCGCTTGCGAACCGACTTCCAGCACTCGAGTCTCTCCATGTCTCTCTCAGAACCTGTTGAAACCTAACCTCCCACCAACCCCTCTCTTCTCTTTCCATCATCGTGTCGTCTTTGACCACACCCATCAGGACTTCATCCACCTGGATAGAAGGACTCTTCGGAAAGGGAAGGCCTGCAGAAATGATGTTCATGATTGATTGTCGAGTGTCTAGGTCGAGATCGGAGCTGGAAGCAGTCGTCGGGAATGAGAGTGACCGAAGTGTGTGCTCGATAGATTTATGGAAGGTGGAGAGCCAGTCTTCTCGAGTGTGTGCGAGTTTCGAAGTACCACTTGGGACCGAAGGTGAGTGCCGTGAGTTATGGTCGGGCACTGAGAGCACCACGGTATAGAGCGCGGCGGGTTCGGGAAAAGACTCGGAATCTATATTGTCCAGATTGAGAGGGATGCAATCGAGTGACAGCTGCTCGTCCTTTTCGTCTACAGCCAACACTCTCGAAATGCCTATGTCGTCCAGAAGCGTCCACGATCTTGTTCCTTCCGGAAGTAATTGTCCAGAAGACTTCACCAGCAGCAGGAAGTCCGTGAAAACAAAAGCATGAATCGAAAGCTTGACGTCGTCTGAGCCGTTCAAAGCAGCGGAACTCAGACCTAAAGAATGGGAGAGCTCTTCGAGGTGAGACTGCCGAGGAGATTGCATGGTTTTTCTCCTTTCCTTCGCGGTAGGCACTTGCTCAGATTCAGAAACCAAGCCTGGCTCCAGGGAGAATCCGCCCGAAGATATCGATGGGTCCAGAGAGGGTGAACCGACAGGAGCCCATCCTTTCAGTGCACTGAGAAGTCTGCTCTGCCTGACCGGAGACTGAGATGAGCCCGCATTCCGCTTCAAATTAGGGGTTGCCGAGTATCGGCGAAGTCGCCTCGATGTCTGGTCAGCAGCGTTGGAAGGTGTTCGACTCGGAGGAAGCGCGAGTGACATTCCTTGTCGTTTCCGTTTGTCGTGATTGTTCAGAGCGCCACAAGTCTGAAGCAGAGCACCGTGAGCGAGGAGTTTGCGTTCCCTGCGGGCGAGTTGATGTTGTGGAGGGAGGCCTTGAACACTGGAGATAACGCTTTTCACGAGTTCGTAGTCTTCTTCGCGGATTTTGACTTCATGAAGAATCCGTAAGACGACATTGGTCGAGTGCACGAGTGCGATCGAAGATATGTAGTCGGGGTGCCTTTTTGGTGTGAGTGCCAGCAGTTTCTGAGATAACTCGTGATCAGGTAACCCGTGAAGAGAGAATGATAAATGGCGACTTACGTGAAAGATAGCAGGGTAATCTACCAGTCTCTCGACCGCTGCAATGAGGAATCTCTCTAGTCTCCAACCCTGGCACTCCCCCTTATTCTGTTGAATCCTGACAAACTCCCCGAACGCGCTCTCGTTCTCCAGCAGATTCTCACCACGACAAGGTTCTACCATTCTCCGAACCAAGCTCAATACGCTCCCAAGCCTGACCACATACCCCTGATAAACCTCCATCCTCGGAACGAAAACCTTCATCAAATCGGCGACCGTCATCACAAATCCGTGTGCACCATTCTGGGCCTGCCGTGACGCACTCCTGCAAGCGTGTAGAGCACGATAGATCTGAGAATGTAGGTGAAAGATATCTTCGAGCCAGTCGAACAGCCTGGCCACTCCAGGCGGGACACCCTCAATCCACGATCTGGAAGCCTGGATGCGAATGGGCCGAATAAAAGTCTGAACGGCGATCTGCAGACGCTCTACGAACATCCTCTCGGATTCGCAGAGAGCCCAAATGTGCTCTTGTCTTTGCATTTCACCTTCTCCGAATCGTGCGAGCAGTGCTTGATAGGTCGCACCGGGGATGGTGGATTGCCACGCAACGTGCTCGGTACCAAATCCAGTGATGGGCGAGGTGCGGGATCGAGACTGGAGCGGTGGTGGTGGAAGAGCCGAAGGCGAGAAGGATGTCTGTGGAGGTAGGGCAGGCAGTGGCCTTGGCGATAGTGAGGGAGGAGGACAAGAAATGAGTTTGCCTTCGTGCTCGGGAAGACTACCACTCCCTATCACGGTAGTGTTCCCATTGCTGTCGTCGTAAACAGACTCCTGGCTCGTAGCTTCTGACAATATACTTTCGCTGTGAGATGGGTAGAACGCTTCTCTCCCGTACACGGATAACGCTTTCCTGCCAGTCGTGTTGATGTCCTTCTCTCTCCCCATCAGGTCGTGTTGAAATGCATTCCCGACTGGGGTTTGGATACTGTCCCCCGCGCTGTCCACGTCTTCCGAGTCATGCTCAGATTCGGAGCTCGACCCAGACCCCAGCTGTCGCCAAATTGCCTCTGCACCCATAGTGAACTCCTCGCCGTCATCCTTCCATCGCCCACTCCCTCCGTCGCTCACACTTCCAAATGATGTCAAACTGTCTGTCCTTTCCAACTCCTTAGCAGTATCACTTTTCGCATGCGAGTGGGTTGAGTGTTGTGCTGGCGGAAGAGAGGATAAGAAAAATGCGTCCCGTTCTTTGGCTTCGGCGCGTTCCATGGCTTCGTGTAGACCATATGCTTCGGAGAGCGATATCCTGACGCTCGAGGACGTTTGTCGATGGTGTGGTCGCGGGGGGCGTGCGGGTGGCCTGGAGGGTGCTGAAGAGAGGTTCTCATGAATAGAGTCGAGGGAACGGCGTTTCTCTATACTGGGCAAATGTGGGGATGTATCTCCGTAGCTAGAGAGGTCGCTGTCCGAGGCAGTGCAAGAAATCATGCGAGAATGGATGCCGCGAACAAGAGATGTAGCCGAAACCGGACGAGAAGTTGCTGAATGATACTCGTTGTCATCATCGTCTATGTGGTTCTGACGAAGGCCCGACCGTCTCTTGAACGCATCCGAACTGAAATGTGGATTTGGTCTCGGGGTACCGATTTCTTCTCCATCGTCACCATCAGACCCGATCCCGAAGGAACGATGATCTTCGTCTTCTGCGTCCTCGGTATACTCGGACACGGAGATAAAGTCTGCCTCATCGCCCTCATCTCGACTTCCTTCAGACATATTCTCCTCCGGTACCTTCGAGAGTTGACGCATGTAGCGAGCCCTTTCCTCCCGTCTATCCTCGTATTCCTCCTCTTCGTCCGAGCGTACGTTGCCTTGCTCAGCGTTCCAGCCTTCTGCTCCAGATCCACTGATGGCCAACCCTTCGACACCACTCCAATCGCTACTGTCCATGCTTAGATTAGCCGTCTTTCTGTCATTAGGTCCCACGGAGAAGAACGGCTGATCCAACCCATTCACAAGGGCCAGGCGGCGGCGGTGGACGACGGAGGGCTCTGACGTCGACGAGACATGATCCCCGGATTCGAGTTCGTCTTCAACCTGGCCTGTCTTGCGAGAGCATGCTGGATCGACTTGGGCTGTCGTTCGTGAATTGTTTGTGCGAGACGAGGAAGGTCTGGAAGACGAAGATATCTTCGGGCTTTGAGAAGAATATCGCTCCTGCGCCTGTGATATTGGTGCTTCAGGGGAAACTTCCGAACGCAAATCTACGAACGAAGACGTGCTGAGGTCTAATATCTCCCAAGTTTCCGATGATTCGCGAGCCCAAGGGAGTACGTGCCGCCGCCTGAGGGACTCTGCAGGCCGTTGTTTTTCTTCTTTCGCCTTCCCCATTACCCCCGTAGTTCCCAATCCAAGGCCAGCGCGGCTCGACCTCAAATTATTCACCAACATGTTTTTTGAGCGCGTTGCCCCCACTGAACCTCTCCATGGTTCTTCCTCCAATGGGCTACCTGATTCCGCTTCGTTGACTGCGTCGCCACCCCTTGTATACCTCGTAGCGCCGGTATCGATAGGTTCAACAGCTCCAGAGCCGGGACTAGAGAGAGAGGCAGTCGAAGAGACGCCACCGCGTGGTGGGTACGCCCTGTCTCTTTGGATACGCGATACTTCAGGAGTCGAATCCTCCGAGGCAGAGGTACTGAGATATTCCTCCCTGGTGGTGGTGGTGGTGGTGAAGGATCCCTTTCTTCGGGGTATGGCACTGACCCGCGAAGGTACCTGTGACTGCAGCCGGTTGCGATACTGCGGCTGAGTAGTCGAGTAGGGAGTGGGGCCAAGGATCCCAATGCGTGTCTTCGGCGAGCGTAAAGAGGACGAAGCGACAGGACTGGAGAAGGCTGTTGAAGGCTATGAACAAACCCTGCGTCAGTCTCTCACGGATTTAGTGTTAACGCAATAGAAGAACGCACATTGGGCGAACGACGTCCGATCGTTGCTGCTCTTCCCGCCTTGGACGAGGGAATTCTGCCGTCGCTTTCACTATTTGGCACCTCAGACATGCTCTCGCTCGTCTGCGGACTCCGACCACCGCCACCGCCACCCGCTTGCTGAACAGGCTGAGGTCCCCGCAAAGCGGATTTTAATATCGGCCGAGGCTGCCTCATCGCCGTTCTCGGTGACACCGACGCTGCTCCCGTACAGGTGGAAGGCTGAGAGGTTACCTCGGAGAGTAGCCTGGGAGTGACCGCCTGCAACGCAGCAGGCACTTGATGAGGTTCCGGAGTTGGGAGAGGCCGGGAAGTTTGGGGAGGAAATGGCGACGAGGTCGGTCCGCTCGAAGTGGTTGAAGGTGTGGCGTAGGGTGAAGATGGATTGAATTTGGCCGTAGATTTTGGACGGCGAAGACGGCTGGTGGATGGTGAATACGGGTCGGGAAACGTGCCTCGCGCTTCGAAAGGTAGAATACCTTAAGTTATCAATATATGAGAAGGATATGTGCACGGTGATGGTCTTACCTTCATTTATCCTGGCCTCATCTTGTCCGTCGATTATGAAGGTTGATCCCGTGGCCATGCCCACAGACCCGACTCCCAGACCTGCATTTCTCGACATCCCGCCCTCACTCTTACCCCCTCCAGCTCCAGCTCCTGCCCCACCAACACCAACACCACCACCAGCACCTGCTCCAACCAGACCGCCACCAGCCCCTATGCCCGCAAACCCCATACTAACCCTCTTACTTGCTTTCCCCTGAGAACCGCCCTGAGAATGATCCGTCACCGCCGACTTCTCCGTCATCCTATCGATCGTATCCTTCAAAGTCGGTAACAGCTGCGCTTCATATCCAGGAAGGGACGCAAGTTGCTTCATGCTGGGCTGAGAAGTCCTCGTACTGTCGGTTTCTCGGTGACGATCACTGGGCGTATCACGTCCAGGGCTGTTGCGGTTGGTCGAGTTGTTGCCGCCGCTGATGCGGCGGATGTGTTTGAGCGACTTGGCTACAGGGCCCGAACCCGACGCGGCTTGGGATGGACGAGACGAAGAATTGGCTCTCGCACGCCGCGAAGGCGCGGGATTGGTGTTGGTGCTGATACTCCCACTGGCGGAGGCGGACCGATGACGGGTATCGCGAGGCGTAGAGAGTGTGTTAGCGTTCGTACTTGCGTTCGTGTTCGCGTTCCCACTACTGCGTTTCCGGTGGAGGAAAGAAATACGAGAGTGGGCGTGCGCTTGTGTGGGAGTATCTGAAGTGGACCCGGCGGAGGAGAAGGAGATAGATGTCGAGGGGGGTGGGACAGGCTAACATACATCAAACAGTTGGTTTCGTCAGATGGAAGGAAGTAAGGTCTTGTAGAGATGGAAGAGTAGTAAGCGACGGCGACGTACCGTACGCGTTCTGTCATGATCCTGACGCGATGGCGAGGACGCCGCTTGAGCGGCGGCGAAGTGGGAAGGAGGCATGAACACCGGAGTCTGCGGTTGTCGCTGGGCTTGCTGGGATGAAGCATACGGAGACGTGGGCGCCGCGGGGGATCGCAGCTGTTGAGATTTGGGGCGCGTCAGAGGCATGTCAGAGGTGTAATGGCATCAAGAAGTTAATTGAGCAAGGTGATGACGATGAAGATAGGACGTCTAGAGTAAGGAACAAAGCGTGGCGAGCGAAGAACAGCGACGATATAAGAAAAGGCGATGGCGCGTAGTGGGCGGGCGGACGCGACGCGAGGGCAGCCACGTTCGAGGAGAGAGGTCACGGTTGGAATTCGATGAAGCTGAGGTAAAGTACACCATCACGGTCCACCTTGATGGATGCAGCAGATCGGGCTCGGACGGCACGGGAAAGCACGCCGAATCCTTGGGATTGTATTGTCGATGATCGGGCGTCGCTTGAAATGTGAATATCGCGGACATCCTTGGGACAAAAAAGGCAATTGTGAATGAGTACTTGAAATTTACTTCCGTTGGCGCAACGGCAAAAATGACGTCTGAGCATTCTTGAGCTCGTGTCTAGAGCCAAGGTTGTAGCACAAGATAGAGGGAAATGAAGACAAGCTCTGCAGCACAAAAAATTTCCTCGAAGCAGTCCAGTGTTATGCGCGAACTTTGATGGGTGCAAGCAAATGAGACGATGCCTAGCAGAGCTGATACTTCGACCACTGGCGAACGGCATACGGTATAGGAACCGTGGTAAGCTAACCAGGCAGGGTGAAACTCAGAACGAAGACATAGGTAACGCTGGGTTGAGTTGAAAAGTCAATAACGAGGGAATGTGACTAAGCAGGGTACGAACCAAGCGGGATGACATCGTCTCGACAGAAACTCAATGCAGTTCAACCTCAAATATCCTCTCCAACCGCCACACAAAGCCCTCCAGGCTTTGTAACCAAGTCTCTATCATATTTTCCACCGTCTCTGTTTCGTACAGGACATCTCCACCACGTAGGAGCTTATCTACGAGAACAAGGAATTCCGGATGGTCATATGATTCTTTATTGACTCTGACTTTCATTCAGTGGGGCTCCCTATACGAGAATGGCTCATAAATAGAACGACAGACCTCGTTTCACCATTCATGTCCGTAAAAGCCACAGACTTCGTAAATACTATTGCATCGTGCATGAACTTTCTGCAGGCAAGTTCTGTTTTTCGATAATCTTCCATCTCTTCCGCGGAGGTATCCTTGAGATGCAGTGCTTTCAGGAGAGACGGTCCACTGGCCGAGGGAAAAGGCGAGTCGAAGAAGTCCGGGAAATAACTTTCGTAATGTGCGAAGAAATGTGGAAAGGATTTTGTCCATATATACACGAGATGCTGCCAACAAGTATAAATCACCTCATCTTTGAATACTTTCAGTTCTTGGTTGAACTTGACTTACCAGGCAAATACATCTGTCAATAATCCCGCGATATGTCTTCCGCTGGTCCTTGTTCTTCGCCAATGATTTCCGCAGCGCGTTGACATCATCCGGGTCTAACATTCTGTCACCGGCACCTTCAACCTGAGTGTCGCCACCCTGGGAGTGACCCTTTGGACAGTCTTTGATAGCGTTTCGAACATTCTTGATAAAGTACTTCCTCAGGGACTCCAGAAGTGATATTGCATCGAGCATATCCGGTATCATGTCCAGATCGAACGGACAGAACACGACGCCTCTAATATAATAGGTGAGATTCGCGATTGTTGGACCCGGTGGCCGCTCCTCTGATTCTAAGACGAAGGGTAAGATGGACGTTTTCAAGAAAGCTGTTCTCGGTCATTGTAGGATATCTTCATCACAAAAGACAATGCATAGCAACATGGAAATCATGCTTACTGGAAGAGCTCTTCAACTCGGCTAATGAGTGGTTCGAGCTCCGGAAACGTTCACGAAACTTCTCAAGAGCACTTTCTTCTTCAATATCTATTACCTCCGATTTAAGTTCATTATACGAAAACATAGTGATAAGAGCTCCGATAACGAGCACTGTCAGAGTCAAGATGGGGAGGAGACAAGGAGGAGAGGCAAAAGTTTGGTGTCGGCGTCGTCCGGTTCGGGTGACGTCACAACGTGACAGCGCGTTTTCGAGCTCCGAACCACCGTTCCGAGTCTTTGGCGGCAAGTTATCTCGAGTTATCGGCCAAAGCGAGCCCTACGCGATGCTGCTCACGGTTTTCAGTGACAGGACTCGGTGAGTATATAAAGACTTGGCAAGGACTGTCGTCTGGTTACTTCACAAATACTCCACACAAGCCGCTCTGAAATATCAGCTCATGTTCGACCAAGCTTCCACCATCATCAAACCATCATCCAATCGTCATAAGTACAATAATTAGAATGGAACAATCAAAGCAGGTAGCGTAATGTAGGGCACTAGTAGCCTGAGATACATCTCTTATACTGTGTTGCACGGTAGAGTTGTCAACCAAAAACGCGGACTCGGAGTTGATAGATTTCACGAACAGCAGAACTGTGGCATTCCACAGCGACTTCAATACAACTCGATCTCAAAGATCCTTTCCAACCGCCACACAAGGGCCTCGAATTTCCGCAGCCACGTCTCAATCATTTTCTCCACCTCATCCGCATCGTATAGAATATCTCCCCGTAAGAACCGATCGATAAGGTCAGTGAGCTCCGTATTGTCGTTCCAATCGATTCTGGCGTTGAGTTCAGTGACATTCTATGAGGGCAACTCAGAGGTAAACCCACAAACCTCGGTTCGCCATTTATGCCCGGCGTACAAGCTACCTTCTTCTCGAGTGCCGCTACATCATCCAAGAACTTGATGCAGTTTCGTGCAGTCTGACGGTAATCCTTCATTTCATCACCATCAATGTCTTTGAGATGCTGTGACCCTGGAAAGTGCTTCCTAGCCATGCCTCGGGGAGAATCAATTGGCGAAAATTCTGGGAAGTATGTTTCGAGATGTGCTAATAAACGCGGACAGGATTTCGCCCGCAGATACACGAGATGCTGCCAACCAAGTCAAAATTGCCTCTTCTTTGGACACTGTCAATGACATATTTCTGGGTAAAATTGACTTACCAAACAAATACATCTGTCGATGATTCCTCGATACGTGCTGCGCTGGTTCGGAGCTCTTGCCAACAATTTCTTCAGCACGTCAACGTCATTCGAGTCCAAGATTCTATCACCCACACCATCTGCCACCTGAGCGCCGCCACGTTGGTCATGTCGTCTCAGATAGTTGTTCCAGACCAGAGCTTCGTCTACCTTCTCTATTAATTGTTTCCGCATGGACTCCAGGGAAGTGATCGCATCGAGAATATCCGGTATCATCTCGAAATCGAAGTCGGGGATAACGTTGGATCTGATGAGGTAAATGATCTCCCCAGGTGCGGAACACGGTGTCTGCGACTTTGAGAGGATGGGTAGAGTAGAGGTCTTGAATAAATCTGCATCGAGAGCGGTAGGTTCACTTCATCAACGGTTCAATGCGTAAATCAGACTTACTGGAGGAGATTCTCAAGTCTGTTGACGTGTGTTTCGAGTTCTGGATATGTTCACGAAACTCCTGTCGGACCTTCTCTGCGTTTGTCTCCATCTCTGAAAGTGATAACCAAAATCAGTAGTGTGAGTCCAATTTCGAGCACCCTCGACGTGGAAGTGTAAGACACAATTTCGCGAAACCTTTCGCGTCGGCACTAGTGTCTGCGCGTGACGTCATGGTGTGACAAGCGCGTTTTGGGCTGTCTTGGGCCTTTTTGAGTTCTGTGTTCTTTTCCTCAGCCCCAGCGTCAAGCGTTCATTCTTATCGGCCACAAGTCCTACACGATGCGCCACACGACTTGGAAGGGTGGCTCGTCTTTGACGCCAACTAAACTGCCTATCTTGCCGCATCTTACATGAACAGAGCTCGGTATATAAAGACCCTTGACTGATAATGATGAGCCGCATCACCCCCTCCGCAGATACTCCACATAAGCTCTGAACTAGGGCAGACTAGGGTTTGTCTTCAAGACTCCTGCTCCCGGCGTGAAGAGTGAGGTAAGTCATATGCTGGGTATAACATACGTCACTCAGTCGTCTCATGTTTAGATACATCATACTAGCCGCTAGCAAGTATGTTGCTTGAGGAGCAGCAAGCTCTTCGTTCGTTGAGCGTAGTAGACGATTCCCCTCTGCAGCAAGGCATTCCGCTTCCAACTGAGGTCCTAGCTGACGTCTTCAGCTTATGCGACCGTCATGACCTTGCTTCGCTTTGCATGAGCTGTAAACGCCTCAGTGCCATTGCAGAACGAGAACTCTACAAGTCGTTGACTATCCCGTGCTTGGACCGTGGCGAACGGCTGAATTCGCTCGAGTTGGTATCTCGGTCGCTGTTCAATGGGCAGGACAACGACCTAAGACTCGGGTACGTGAAAGAGCTGACGGTCAATGGTTTAAGGTAAGCATAGTCACTAGGTATCATTAAGCGCCGATAGAACGGATGTCGACGTCTCCCTGTAATCGCAGCTGCAAATTCCTATACGCCTCTAGCGACTTTCTAGGCTCAACCTACCTCGAGGGCATACAACTTCTTCTTTCCCACGTACACTCTCTGACAGCCCTCACCATCGTGTTCTCAACAAACGACGTAGCCCATTACGACCTCCAGATTCACCCGACCCTACTTCTCACTTCCATCGGTCCTGATATCATCCCCCGACTATCAAATTATCCATACATCACCTCCCACCCGGCTCCCACATTCTCGAATCTCCGCTCTTTCACCTTCGACACACAATTCATCGACAACACCATTGTGTGTTCCTTTCTCAGCAGACATCCAACCTTGGAACATGTCAGCATCGGGAACGGTGTCACGAAGCGTACAATAATCGGACCTACGTCTCTTCCTGCGAGAGGATACTGTAGCGAGAGGATTGTGCTCCCTCGTCTGAAAAGCTTCACGGGTCCAGAGAGATATTTTAGATGTTTGAGCGCTAGCGCCACCGCCACATATCCTGACTGTATGACGGCGTCAAGTACGACCACGCCCATTGCACCTGGTTTGAAGGAGGCAAGAATCACTTGGGAGCATCTATCCGATTTCACACTTGCGCTCCAACCCATCATCGCTTCCCATTCCAAAATCCATCCCGATCCTCATTCTGTCGCCTACTCAAACGGGTACAAGTTTGGAGGCAGGGAAGAGGAAAAGATATCGTTCCTCAAGTGCACGCGCCCGGGGTCAAACATCGATTTGATACAGTACATCGCCGAATGTATGCCGTGGCTAAGGAAGCTCCAGGTCATGACGTTCATGGGGCACCGAATCGACAGTATGTTCGATGTTGTCACACAGGTGCGCTGTGCTTCCTCTGGCATTCCTCTCTTTCTTTCTTTCTTTCTTTATTTCTTCTCTAATTTTGATTCCTTTTCGTTTGTCGTCATGTAGGAGAAGATGCTATCTATCGCTGATGCCGTTGTGCGCTTCCCGCACCTCGAACAGTTCGAGTACTTCAACTGGGTCTCCGTCCTCGTCATCGGACCAGCCCATTGTCATAGACTGGGCAAGGTGTTCATGGAACGCATCGGGACCGAGAAGAAGCTGGCCTTGAGGAGATGTAAGCTCTGTGAGTGATGAATTCTCCGTATCATCTGCCAGGGTTCACTATTGTCGCCGGTGGCCTTGGCGGACGTGGCTCGCCCTGGTAGCTGTTGCTGACTCGCGTTGTTTTTTCTCTGACCTAGTCGGGACGGAATGGGTGCGCGCGGAAGCTTCAAAAGGTAAACCAGCAGGGTGGAAGCCGGAGATGTGGGGATTGCTGTGATTATCGGAGTCGTTGGGACGTTACTTGCGAGCAAGCTTCTCTGATGAAGTTCTGGGCAAGGAGGAGAGGAGGAAGACTGCCAGCGTTAATGATTATGGTATCACGATGGTGTGATTGCCTGCTGTGTATTGCTTGAGCTTCTTTGTCTATATTACTGTGTGTACAAGATATATAATATTGATTGGGATTAAGGCTCGTCACCTCGTTGGCCTTGAGAACCTCATACATGCTTCCACGTCCCATCCTCATCTTGAGCACAAGCATGATCAACTACCAGTATCGGCGGGAGTAGACCGTAGTTTGTGACTCTCAGTCAGCACACATGCTGTTTCGCAGGACGTCGTTCGAATGGGTTGAAAGAATGGGCCGAGTTCGACCCGCACATTTACCTTATATCTCCCAGAGTGAGTGACTGAACATACCCGAGCCACCTACTAGGCCCACTCGAGCTCCAATACAAGGCCCGACACAACGCCCTCACCTCCCCAAATTTCCCACCGCGCGGAGTCCAGGAGATGGGATCCACGAAGCATGATATATGTAGCTCTCTGTATAGCTCCCGTTCCGCGATGAGTTGGAAAAGTTGGCTAGTACGACATAATGTCGCAAGTCCCTCTACATCGAGCTGAATGCAAATGCGTTGGAAGATCTCAGGAGGGAGTCGGACGGGGATCTTGCCGCCGTCGGTGTCCATTAGTTGTTCGGAACCAGGAATCGTAGATTGTATTGATAGTTGAGTATGAGAACTCATCCCAGTGCAATGTTTGATGTTTTGGAGACGAGAGCAAGCGGAACCTGAGGACAAGATCGCCGCGCACGCGACATCCCTTTCCAAGTTGGAGGTGGCCGGCTCGGCCCGATAGGAAGTCTGATACAGGCGTGGGAACTTCACTCTGTGGCGAAGGTTAGTTAGAGAGTTTGCGCGCCGTGTTTGCTTTGCGACATTCTTGTTGCATGGAAAAATCTGACAATATTTGAGAGCACTCTATAGGCTCAGTAGAGAGTCTTCCTCAGAGCGATGAGTTAAAATAAAAAAATAAAAAACACAACCCATGCTGCGGCGCTGTCTAGAAACTTGAAAGTGCCGCGTTGTGCAGAATCAGGGTCCCGCAGACTCTCTAATGTACCGCACGCGCCACGCAACGACTTTACTATGCTTCGTGCGAGCCTATGTACTATGTATGTATCTTCATCTACTAGTAATATACAACGAGGCCGTAAACCCGACCGAGCACCACGAATATCAAGACAACATGAGAACACTAGCAAGATGCAAGCGGGTGAAGAGGAGGATGAGGATGAAGGGGATTTGAAGTAACGGAGTACAGACACGAAAGAGCAAAGATCAATGTGGAAACAAGAAGACTAACGTACGGAACGAGCGGATGCGCAGAAATGTGAATCGGCGTGGGATGAAAGTGAGACGTGAGTATATGGTGAGTAGCGTACGAACGTATATCTCCCTGATGGCTGGTTAAGAAGCGCGAAAGCTTGCGTGATGCGTCGAAGATTATGCGAGTGTTCAATGTTGAACGTAGATCCTGGCGGTACTAATGCATACTAGGAAGAACAAAGTAAAGCGTAGGTGAGCCCCCGCATCTCTTCAGAAAATAACGCAGAGGACTACTCACACACTATCCACATACCCCGAACCGCCATACCACACCACAAACAAAGTTAAAGAAACACACGATCCGTCAGCCTCATTTCATCTTCTCTCACACCACAAAGAACAATAACACTCACCCAATCAACCCCATCCCCGCCACTCCCGCCCCAAGACTGACCAACGCAAGCACCTGCCTCCGCACTCCGCTCCTCCACAGCGTCGGATCGAGCACGAAATCTCCCGCTAGCATCTCGACGCATGCTGCGTAGATGAGCATCCCAGCCGATATGGCGGACATGATACCTTCGATGAGTTTCAGGCGAACTGCAAACCCGCGCATGTACGCAAACACAAACCATATGTCGTCAGGACATGGTCGAAATACGGGAAACACGAGTGAGTGACGCTTACCCGAGTTCCCACCGGACCCCCCACTCTCGAACGCCAACAACCCGATGATAATGCCCACCGGCGTCGTCACCGCAAACAGCACCGCCAGTGTCGGCTTCAACCACGAGAACCTCCGCCTGCTCTGTGGTGTGGTTGTTTCGGTAGGTAATTGTGAGGGAGCGGGGAGGCCTGCGATGCGGATGCCGAGGGAGAGGCCTTCGAAGAGGTTGTGGAAGACTATTGCTGTTACGAGGGAGGCTGGGGGGATGGTTGTGGTTAGTGTGTGGCGGGAAGGTGCGGCGGAAAAGGGGAGGAGAAATGAAAGGGGGTGAGGACGTACTGAAATCAGCACCGGAGGCGATGGCGAGTGTGAGGCCTATAACGAGCGAATGTATCATGATGCCCATTTGCAGGACCTATATTCCACATAGTATGATCGGTCAATTACGGTATCCTTCACTCATAGACAATACAGTCGGGTGGATGAACGTACCAGAATACCAACGACCTGCCTCTTTCTACCAATCTCGACATCTCCATCATCATGGTCGCAAATCTCGCCTTGTTCACCTCCATATTCGTCATCATGGCCGCAGTCATCCCCATCCTCCATCAACGCCTCCAAATCTCCATGGCTATGTCCCGCATGTCCGTGCCCTTTCCCGCTCCCGCCTCCATGACTATACTTCTGCGACTGGGAACACGATCCAGCAGACTGCGCACGATGATGTCCATTCGGCACCACAGGCCCACTATCTCCATCACCATCTTCATCTCTATCGCCCTCCGTATCCTCCTCGAGGACCTCAACGACATTACTGTTCTTCCTACTCGTCGCATGATGACATCCATGGCTCCCTCTCGATTCGTGTCTATGATGTCCTTCCAAGATCCCTAGCCCATGCGTATGCGTATGCGTGTGTGGTATCGTGTTCGTGTTCGTGCTAAAGTCATTCGTACGTGAGTGGTGGTAGGAGTGTGCGCCTTGCTGGACGCTGGGTGCGGAGAAGCGGCGGGATGGCGGATTTAAGTTGGCGTTGACGTTGGAGGAAGCAGATAGGAGGGGAGTTTGTTCATTTAGTGTTGTATTGGATGTTGCGGGGGAGTCGGAGGAGGGCAGGTCGTGGGGTGAATGGTCTGGCGACGGAGGGAGCGGCGTAGATGCTAGGAATAGTCACGATCGTCAGTTTAGTACACATGCGTGCGACGTGGAAGACAACTAATAGGCGAGAGGCTTACGTTCGAGTTTAGGTGATGGAGGCGCGGAGGGATATGATTGGAGGCGGTCGACATAGGAAGTTGACACATCTAATGCGGTTTAGAAGGTGAGACGGGGGACCACCGCAGTGGCGCTAGGCGAATATGTACTCACATTCGACGAGGAATATGGTCAAGAGCGACCCAAGACTGTTGTGGTTCTCAGTTCAGCATGTCTCTGATACGAATGGAATGGGCGCGGCGAACTCACACAATGAGGCCCGTCCAATGTCCGACGTTTGTCTGTTTCTTGACTGCTGGGTCCGTGAGGCGTTCGAAGGCGTCTTGGAGGAGGTGGACGAATGCGGTGGACAAGATGACGCCTATGTTCGGTGCGACGTAATCAGACGGTGTATCCGCAAAGTTGTCCACGGCTGCAATACGCACCAGTCCCAAAGTGCTTGCCTATGAAGAAAAGGATGCGGGGTATCCGTAGAGACCTGACTCGCTTCGATATTGCAGGGAAGGATGCAGCTGAGAAGACCGTCACTATCTAGCTGTATTCCTGAAATAATAAAATGTACGCACCGAACAAAGAGACGAAGAAAATCACGAACATCATGGCCACCCTCCACGAAAGATCTGTCCCCTTTGCGCTCCCATCCTCTTCGGTGCCACTGTGGCGATCATCGTGGTCGTAGGCCGGCTGCTTTCCCAGTATCTTTAGCGACTGAGTTTCTTGCAAAGTAGGCCAGGTGCGTGAGACAAACATGCCACAAGTGTGCGGCTGCTATTCAAGGCGGATGAGGGATAGATGGTTGTGGTTGAGGGGAGAGTGAGACTGGCGCCAAGGGGACTGCTCCGTCATGAGCTGTGGCGAAGAGGACCTCACCAGTCGCGGGTAAGATCGCCCTCGGCCAATCAGAATCGTCTGTTTCCCAGTGTCCGTGACGCCACCCGCGACGCCACTGCAACTCTGTTGTCCCATCCGTCCTCTTCATCGATATCATGTCTCCGAGTCGCACACAACGTCTCGTAGCTATTTTCCTGCAGTCAATCGGCTTACTATTATATCCTGCACTGAAAAACAAAGCATTGTTGTATAAAGACTCAGGTTTGTTTGGGAGATGGCTGACCAATCTGACGCGTATATTTAGATCGCCTCGCAATTTCAAGTCCACACCCTCGCCTCGAGCTCGTTCCAACCCGCCCGTTTCACCAGAACTCGCCGTCAAATTCCTTCTTGTACACCCCCTTGGGAAGCTACGAGAATATTATTATTATTATTATTAATGGAGACAGTACTTTCCTTCAAGTTGTGGACATTGCGGCCCCCAGGAAGTTCTGTGTGTGGCCTATCAAATGGCTGCGTTGGTACATAGCGAGTCGGCATTTAAAGCTCTATGCTAGAAGGGAAAATTAAATAGCTCAGTCATACGGGCTTCCTCCCCATGATCATGAAGGAGAACGCATTGCTGCTTGTGTCACACAGCGCCGCGGAGTCGGCCACCTACGTCATGGGCGGAGTCGGAATGATTGTGCTTGGATTGTGACTCTGCTTGATCTCTTGCTGCTTTTGGCTCCTTACCAACAACCATCTTTACCACTCGAGTTCTTCTTTATATTCCTAGGTCTAACACAATGTCGTCTGGAAGTTCGTCTGTCTATGCATTACGGTTGTAGGTAGGTATACAAACGCTAATGTTGCACACGATGCCATCGTAAACACAGAGTTCATAGTCGTCTTCAAGAAGAACGTCACCTCCGATACGATTGACAAGCACGGGCAAGAGCTCAGTAATGCCGGTACGCTTTCTGTGCCTTTGCCGAAGATCGGTCTGATCGATATCTCTGTTCGTGTTGAGGATAGGTGGCTCGATTCACAACAAGTTCGACTCTAGCATCATGAAGGTATGTTACATCTCCACGTACATACACGAGCTGGTCAGACCCTGGGTTCAAGTACTGATGTAACATTCCTTTCTGTCAGGGATTTTCTGCCACCATCCCCGAGGCTTATCTGCAACAGCTCCAAAGCCTCCAAGGCGATGAGATCGATTACATCGGTCCGTTATTTCGATTCACTTCGTCACCTCTGCACATCCACAATATCAACCGGGTTTCATGATGGATCGCCACGACAACTGATCATGCCCTGTTTTCCATCTTACAGAGCCCGATGGTATCGTCACGACTCAGTAATTGGCCGAACCATGTAATGTGACAGTGTGTGTCCACCCAATGTGTAACAAACCAAAGGATAATCGGTGATGGAGGTTGTATGAATGGCTGGTGATGCCGCGATCAACCAGATAGACTGCTTGTATTATTGTGATTCTATTCATTGCGATGATAATCTTTGACTAGTTGGTGGTCCGGAATCGCTCTCGTTATGCACTCCTTCTCTAGCTGGAGTTTGCCTCTTAGCAACGGGACATATCTGAAAAGTGTCTTGAAAGGCTGGTTGCGTGGACTTGAATCTGGCCGGAAACTAACTCGTCTTTATTCTCTCCCATATGCATAACCCGAATCTTTTCTTTGGGCGGTGCGCGGCGTAGCTCATTAGCCCCTATCCTCGCCACCCATCAAGGTGCCACACAAGTACTTTCAGAATCAAAGATCGTACCCATCTACGACCGTCCCAACATTCGTCTCCTCCGCCCTCTTCACCACAGCCGCCGCAATCGCGACATCCTGCGCGCCCACACCCACAGACTTCCAAATCGTTACATCCCCCTTCTTCCTCAACGCCTCGCACCTCTCCCCATCTCTTTCCCATGCCCACTCGCCACCGCTCCGTCCGAGCCCCTCTATCGAACGCACGAGCGCTCCGACCTCGACCACGCCGTTCTCCTGAGTCGTGACCCCCGCGTCGATAAATTCTCCGGCCTCGACGAAACACGCTTCGCGAGAGTCGACGACGATGGCTCCGTGAGCTCGGTGAACGAGCTCGGTATCGATCTCGTGCATTGTGGGTTTGTAGCTTCCGACTAGGATGATATGCGTCCCGCTAGAGACATGGACTGATGGGAAGAGTGGAGTCGTAGAGGATGTGGCCGTCACGATGATATTTGCTTCTTTCAGAATTTTTGGGAGATCGGACGATGGAGCTACGGCGAGCGAAGCAGACGATGTTGTTAATGAATCGACGTTTGTGGAAATGAAGGAGCAAGTGAACGAGACGTTTGGATGTTGGATGTGTAGCCATGACACGAGGGATGCGAGCCGTGAGTTTTGTGTCCGGTTGACGATTGTGACGTTCGTGATGGAAGTGTATGTCTTGAGCAGTAGATCAACGTGTGCTTTGATCTGTTGACCAGCGCCATACGCTACGACATTCGTGGGCTTGTACACATCTGTCGGATACAAAAGCGTAGTAGCGAGCAGCGACCCTGAATGAAAATAAATAGATCAAAAAAAGTCCCTGTCAATCTCAAATCCCATTGAACCGAACGAAAGATCACGAAGAACGCACCAGCCGCAGTCCTTACAGCCGTCAACCCCCCCGCATTGACCACCGCCTTCACCCGTCCCGTCTCCTCATCCATAACGAAAGTACTCGCCGGTAATCCCCTCGTATCCTTCGGATTCGTAGGCACTGAGACCACTTTTATCGTAGTCCCGAGTGAGGCGATACGTGAGGGCATGAAGAGCGCGTGGTGCGAGGACATGGCGATCGTGGTGCGATGGGGTGTGTCGATACTCTTTTCTGATGGATCAGAGGAGTCGGAGGATGAAGAGAGTGTGTGGAAGACTTGGGCCATGAGGGATTGTAAGAGTGAGATGGGGAAGTTGGAGGTGATTTGCTCGACATCGGAGCTGGAGAGGATGAGGAGCGACATCGGGATGGACTAAGTACTTGGTCTATGGCTCTCGACAAGGGTATACGACCTGCAAAATAGGCGGCAAGGATTCAAGCTTTATGAATGTTGGGCCGTTGGAGAAGAAGGATGATATTCGGCCGCTGTGAGCGACATGACTCAGAGGGGAAATCAAATAGGGGCAAAGTGCCACACTAGTGTGTGTGGCCCGGCGCTCAGCCTGCCTCTACAGAACTTGGGATACGGTACGGAGACTATTCTACCAAAGGGTATAGTTCATTGCATCTAAGATGATAAACAAAATTCTCTAAAGAAGAAACATAGATGCTGCAGTCTCGACGCTGGATACAGTACTCCCAAATAACTACACGTTAAGACCTAGTGAGTCGTCGCAAACGGATAGTCGACATATCCCTTTGCAAGTTTGGCCGTGTAAAATGTGCTCCTATCGTACTCATTCAAAGGCAAATCCTCCTTCAATCTCCTTGGCAAGTCGGGCTATAGGAAAATCGCACAAGACGGCCATTCCATCAGACATATATCAACCACCGAAGTTGAGCAGAAGACTGACATTGGCCAAGAAAGACCTTCCAAACACAATCAGACAATCATCTTTCTTCGCTTCCTCGATCGCCGTCTGTCTCGTATATCCTCCCGCCGTGAGGTACACTTTCTTCTTCCCGCTGACGTTGGGCGGGTTCCAGGCCTCGCGCAGGAAGTCGTTCGAGTCGCTAGGGTTCAATTCCTGATCGTGATCGCCAGTGATACGAGGCTCGACGACGTGCAGGTATCCAAAGTCAGGGTATTCGGTACGGATATGGTTGACGAGAGTTCTGAACGTCGGTTTCGGGTCGTTCATACGCATGCCTAAGCCAAACGCATTAAGATAACGATAGACCGGCCCTGAGGGGAGTCCCAAACAAACACGGAAAAGAATTGTACACACCCTGAAACGTCGCCCAAGGACTCAACCTAATACCCACCCTCTCCTGCCCGACGACCTTCGTCACCGCCTCCACAACCTCCAACCCAAACCTCAACCGTCCCTCCAAACTCCCGCCATACTCGTCCGTCCTTTTATTACTCACATCCTGAAGGAACTGATCAATCAAGTACCCGTTTGCCCCGTGAATCTCGACCCCGTCGAAACCAGCTTTATTGACGGCGTTGTCTGCGGCAAGGGCGTGCAGCTGTACGTATTCGCGGATTTCGGGGATGGTGAGGTGTTGTGGGGCGTGGATACCCGAGTTGATGATGGAGGCGGAGGGGATGGAGGTGGGCATGGCGAAGAGTTGTATGTAGATGAAGGAACCTTTGGAGTGGACTTCATCGGTGACCTAAACATACAACATGTGAGGCCAGATGAATGGATGAATGACGATGAATGGATCCTGAAGAAACATACGCACTCTTTTCCAAGCTTTCACCTGCTCGTCATTCCACACCCCCGGAACATTCTTCAGCGCGGCTCCCTTCTCTCCAATAAAAGTACCTTCCGTGATCAACAACGTCCCAGGTTCACTCGCACGTTGACCGTAATACTCGACGGCAAGATCCCCATGGACGCCTGCATCGTCGGCGCGGAAACGGGTAAGTGGGGCGAGGACGACGCGATGCTGGAGGGTGATGGAGGATGTAAGCTGAAATGGTGTGAAGAGCTTCTCGGAGGACATTTTATCGGAGGAAAGGAGGGAGAGGGGAGGAAAGATCCGACGAAGTATCGTCCAGCTTTTAGTTGCATCAGGGATAATTGGCTTATACATCCGGCTTATACAGCAGCCTGAGGTCAAACGATATCGTTTCTTTCTGTCGCCATAGGATGACTGAGCAAGTTTGTAAGCCCTTTAAGTTCCATCCGCATCAAACGGTCAATGAGATAAGTACTGAGAATATCATAGTCAAGAGGAGAAGAGGCGAACGGAAGCAGATAGTTCGCTAGCTTCATGGATGATGGGCAGTGTGCATTGTGGGTCGAGTTAGAGATTGCGCTTGTCCGTATTCCCGTAAATTTCTTGGAAAGAGCAGAGGATCGACACCGCGGAAGCCGGCCCAGCGATATAAGGGAACTAGTGTCTGGTCATGTATGCACAGACCGCGGAAGCAAAGTCGACCAGGGGACATAGTCTCAGGAATCGCCGTACAAACAACAGACGTTTTCGGAGCCAGACGTTCGAGCAGTCGACGAGATCCACACAGCAGTCGTCGCCGATGACCATTGGGCAGACATTGGATCCATGAACTTCATCGCCTCGCCACTTGTTCGTCACAAAGCCATGCGCTCACTCTCCTGAATATAAGGAAGTGGGCTCAGATGATATGACAGGACACAGATTTCAACAGAGTTTTGCCATAGTGTCAGTGTCTAACCGAGCGAGGAGTGACAAAGTCGGACCGAAGCTGTTTAGTGAGACGAAGCAAAGGGATAGTCGATGTATCCCTCGGGACTTTGGGCCGTGTAGAACGTAGCGCGATCGGGCTTATTCAACGGTAGGTTCTCCTTCAACCTCTTCGGCAAATCAGGCTGCAATAACTCAAAGCTATCAGCCACACTCCAAAACGCATACATAAGATATGAAGGACGCACATTGGCTAAGAACGCCCTCCCGAACGCAATCAAACAATCTTGCTTCTCCGCTTCCTCAATCGCCGTCTCCCTCTTGAACCCTCCGGCAGCGATGTACACCCTCTTCCGTCCGCTCGTGTTCGGCGGGTTCCACGCCTCACGCAAGAAATCGTTCGAGTCGCCGGAATGGAATTCCATGTCGTTGTCGCCCGTGACGCGCGGTTCGACGGCGTGGATGTACCCGAAGTTGGGGAATTCTGTGCGGATGCGGGTGATGAGGGTTTTGAAGGTTGTCTTTGGGTCATCCATGCGCATGTCTACCAAACGACAAAATTGTCATCCAGGTCAGGTCAGGTCAGGTCAGATTGTACCATAGAAGGGTGGGAAAAGCGATGATGCCAGTAGGGAATAAGGTGGTGAACGTACTCTGAAAGGTTCCCCAAGGACTGAGTCTAATTCCGACCTTCTCCTGGCCCACAGCTTTAGTCACCGCCTGCACAACCTCCACCCCAAACCTCAACCGCCCCTCCAAACTCCCGCCATACTCATCCGTCCTCTTATTACTCACATCCTGGAAAAATTGGTCAAGCAGATACCCGTTCGCCCCATGTATCTCCACTCCATCGAATCCAGCCTTATTGACGGCATTGTCCGCAGCGTGAGCGTACATTCTCACATATTCATGGATCTCGGGGATAGTGAGAGGGCGGGGGGCTTGATCGACACCGTCCAGGGGTATATCGGACGCAGACACGTAGGGAAGGTCGTTATGGAAAGAGGGGGATTCCTTGTCGAGTTGTTGGGGAAGGGCGGCACGGCCGAGAGCCCATAGTTGAAGGTAAATGAAGGAACCTTTGGAATGAACCGCGCTGGTGACCTACGCACAAAATCCAAAGTATTCTCACTAAGCTGATTTCCTAAGGGTTGAGATACGAGGAGGGACGTACCTTCTTCCAAGCCTCCACCTGCTGGTCACTCCATATTCCTGGGACGTTCGCCTGCCCACCCGCCTTTGCATCAATGAATGTAGCCTCTGTAATCAACAACGTCCCGGGAACGCTTGCACGTTGTCCATAATACTCGGCAGCTAGCTCACCGTGGACATGAGCGTCGTTAGCGCGGAAGCGGGTGAGTGGGGCGAGAACAACACGGTGCTGAAGGGTGATGGAGGGCGTGAGCTGGAAAGGACTGAAGAGTTTCTCGGCGGCCATTCTATGTATTGTAGGCAGCGGTGACCAGGTGTTTTGTAGGAGCTGTCGTGGTAGTGCAGGGTACCTTGTGGGTAAGTCCCGTCCAGGCCGACTTTATATCCAGCTCTGACGTAGTCTGATCCAAAAATGACGTTCCACGTCCGAGAGTGACTTAGAAAGTCCTGATTTCAATACCGTCTGGTCTGAATATATTGAGAATGTATCCTCGAGAAGTAATGAGCGTCATAGAAGATGCAGATCATGGTTCGGAACAAGATGTCGCGGCTGTCCGTCCCGACCCCGAACAAACCAGTGAGAGGAAGACTGAGTACTTATTGTACTGAATCCAGCTTTTGGACCATGTTCAGGCGAGCGTGTACGAGGCCTTGAGGATGGAGATAAAGATGAAGCTTAGCGTATACGATATACGATATCCGGTAAAGAAGGAAAGAGCTTCGAGCTAGATCCTCGCTTGCTCGGTTGCAATCCCGTCTACTTAAGTATTCTGCCTTTGGGGACTGATCATGCCCAAAGCTTAGAGGAGAGACGTTTCGGAAAATGAGCTCAGGTATGACATATGAAGCTTTGAAGGGCGATGTGGGATGGTCACAGCCAAGATGACTGAGTCAGGAAGGACCGGAACTGACGCGCGTCAGGGGGCAAATGTGGCACTCCGCTGTGGCCACTTGTGCGCCTTTGAAAAATGTAAATTCTACTACTAACAATCAGATCAAGAAAAATATACAAAGACACTATAGTACGTGGTTTTGACCTGAGACGATTGGACCTCAATATCGAGGATGAGGCCTAAGGTTCGAACGAAATAGAGCTGACCCTGTCCTCCTGAGTCCTTGCCCCTGTCAGCCAGGCGTTCTGCTTGGTGGAAGTGGTCTGTCATGCAGTAAAGTTGATACGACCGAGGAGAGTACCGGTACGTACCACTTCCATTGACCGACTCAATTCATTCTGCAAAACGAATATCGATACCGCTGGTCTTCTATGGGCAGAGTAAGCAGTAGTCAATCGTGTTAACTGGCTGGTATAGGAATCTTGTTCTCATATCGAGTAATACCTACTTATGTAGAATCCCCAGCATATTATGAACTAACTGGTACTATCTGATGACCTTCTCCACCTTCAGCTTCGCGCCTTCCGAAAGGCACCCACGACGAAATATCGACATCTGTGAACAGCCCACTGTCGTCGTAGTATCCGAATGGAATGGCGAACTCCACCTCGAGAAAACTTTCATCTTCATCGCTGTTGATGCTACTCCAGTCCGAGTCCGAGTCCGAGTCATGCCCTTCGCCATCGTCAGAGACCCAGTCACTATCTCCGTCGTCGTCCACAACTTCCTTCGTTCTTGAAGGCGACTCGTCAGTTCTCTTCAGCTTCTTCATGATGTTTTTGATCTTCTCGTGGAATGAATCATCGCTGTAGTCCGAATCTTCTTCAGAAGACGCGGATTCGTCATCAGCCTCATCATCAGAATCGTCTTCGTATTCCTTCAAGTTGCGACTGCTCCCTCCAGAAGCGTGTTGGTGTATTGTATGTGTAACGGGTACGCGTGTGAAGGATATTCGGACGAAGTAATCCGCCATCTTGAAACCCGGCTTGACCCTCTTGAGGAGTTCGTCCTTGTGAGTGTGGATATAGTCGTGAACAAGGTATTCGAGGAAGGACCGTTCTGACTTCTCGATGGCGACCTTGCGTCCGCCTATCAAGGATTTGCGTTATAAATAAATGAGGAGAGCAATCAAGGATCGAAAGGACCATAAATTGAATGAGGACGAACATTCGATGTCTTCTCGCCGAGATTTACATATCTCTTTATGTTCTGGCCAGTCGCGCTTTTGACACTTCTGCGAGCAGTAGAAAACGTTCATACACGCGCGGCATCGCTTCAATGGCCGTCGATCGTCCTCCTTGTCGTCTTCAGGATTCCAGAAGCACTGGGGAAATGAGTTAATATGCATCGAACAGAGGAAATGAAGATTGGAGGAACTGACACTATTACACGAGTCCTCCGGGAAGCTCATATGCTTGAACTTCTCATCAGTCTTCCACGCATCGAGTAACCTCGATCTTTCCTCCGAAACCCCTTTCAACACCATCAGAGGATCATACAGCATCCCTGCTGCCTGCTTCGTCCCAAGGCCTAACCTGTCTACCTGGGCTAATCCCTTCCTCATGCACTTCACAGCCTTCGGAAAGACCAGATGCAGCGGAAGGATCTTCGACAGGATTGTCGCCGCCAAAGGTTCGCTCAGCATCCCTGCCGCGTTGATCCCCTCCACCCATTTGGACGAACGTAAGAGAGCAGGTAGTAGACCATTCTCGATGAGCTGAATGACCCAAAAGGAGTCGTCGAGCGAGTTGAGATCGTCAAGGATGTTGAAGATGCAGAAGCCAACGATGCGGGTTATGGGGTCCGAGAGACCAGCGTTCGTAGTAGATTGTCGGTTACACCATGTGAGGACCTTGATGAGCACAGGAAGTTTGCCTTCAAGCAGAAAAGTATAGAGCAATTTGCTTTGACTGTATGTATAGAAACGGATCAGACCGAGTAACACGAGGATTTGCGCAGAGGGGAGAGCTTACTGTTCCGGACATCGAATTTCTTCGCCCCTCTCAAGCGCGTTCGTACCAGAGAGGTGCATGACCAAATTCAAGCATTGAAGAAGAAACTCCTTGTCCAAGGGCTTCTCCTCAAGTGTCGCTCTCAACCTTCCCAGTGCGACTTTCGCAAGCTCGGCGAGATTCCCTCCAGCCGCCTCGAGCACTGTCTTCGTAACGTCATCCGCTCGCTCCTCGAAATGTGTGAGCTGATCCATAGCCCCCACCCAAGGATACCTCAGCCCATCCTCTTTGGCTTCCTCATCCTCTGGCTGCCCTTCCGCATGTAGCCACTGCTTCGTTGCAAACTCGAGGACTCCGGGTGTTTGCGTCATAGCTTTACGAAGGACGAGAGAGTATGCCAAGGTTTGAATGACCTGTGGAATAGTGACGGGAACGCAATCGCATATGTAGTCTTCGTACGACTTTTTCAGGATACATTCCTCGTGCAGGAAAGTGATCCACCGCCAAACATTGGGCCACGCATCCGGCTTAGCTAGCCGTCTCTCGAGCTGCGTGTTGCCCTTCCCACTCAGAGAGCTCATGCATGAAGTTATGATTTCGAGAGAAGAAACGGCGAGCCATACTGCCTGGGACTCTGGAGAGACACGCGGATAAGGCGTTGATCGCGTCGACCGACGTGGGATGTTCGCGCGACTAAGATGAGGGAAAATGAGCGAGATGTTTTCGGGCGTGTGGGGGACCCTGTGAGTGCGGAGACCCAGGCTAAGTGTCGCAAGTTTTGTTATTTCGGTTTTGTGCCGAGCAAGAGCGGCTGAGGAGGTGCTTGCTCTAGGTGGCATGGATACAGTGAGAGGTCTGCAGTGTGTTTGTCAGAATGGCACTGTCAAGGACTCTTGGGTAGTTACAGACAATGTAACGGGAAACGTACGCGTTTCTTACCTGAATCAGGTTGTATCTGGTTCCCAGTGATGAAAGGAAACACAGCTCAGCTCGTTCTCATAAAGATGTGGTTCAAGAAAGAAAGAAGTTGAACCGGCGCCACTCCAGCTCGTTTGGATCGGGAATTTGCGATGCCACAGCGCCAAATCGCCGGAAGCTGATCATACAATGCAAGCCATTCTTTCGTCCAGTTCTACTCGAGTACATCCGCGGCATGTAAGTACGGGCTACAAATAAAAGTAAAGCTACACGCTGGGGCAGGTTTATAGAGGCCTAATGATCATCTGCATAATTCTTCGGAATCCCACTCCTTCCCTGTTCTAAGATGCTCGGCGCGTCCAAACCCGTCCGTGTTTCCAGTCCGCGGAACGAGCGTGCTTGTAGGAATTCACCTGATAAACGGCGTATTAATTGAGACGTTTGGCCGATGTAAAAAAAGGGAAGGAACATACCTGCGGCGCTATCTTTGAGCGTAGCGACTGCGTTGTCGTGATTCCGAAGTATGACGGAAGTGGGGGTGTGGTCTTCGTCGATCTGTGCGGGAGTAGGAGTCTCCTCTGCGTCTATACACAGTATCATATAGTGAGCTCTGTCCTCCAATGCATTTAAAAGTAGTAAAGAGATATACCTCCATATCGCTTCGCATGCCTATACTTTCCCGTCATGAGAGAGAAGGTCGGTTGATCGGGGTCGATATCCTCCTGACTTTCCGTATCGTTTGTGGCGTCGGAGATGGTAGCGGATTCCGTGCCGTCGGTATGGCGGATTGAGTCGCTTAGTATCTTGTCGAAGTCCAGGACGTATTCGCCAGTCCAGGTAGGTTCGGGCTGAAGGGCTATCTGGAGCTCGTACGGGGTTACGATGGGTTGAAGAAACTCCTATACAAGGGAAATAACATCTATCAGCACCTTGAGAATCTCGAACATGATTGAGTATTGAAGGTATGATAGAGGTTTAGAGAAACGGATATCTGATACGAACCTTTGCTTCAATCATACTGTTCTCCGGGCAAGCAACTAAGACAAAGCATTCCACCTCCATAAAGTTGGCCAGTTTGGCGGGATTGAGCTTGCCAACACTGATGGTGTACGACTTCTTGCGAGCCTTCTTGAGGAGTTGTCGGAGGTGTGTGATGAGGGGCAGGTAGGAAGCTGTGGAATTCGAGATCGGAACATCATCACAAAACGTTGATTTTTGCAACCCTAAGAGGAAACAACGAACAGACGCCAAGTGTACCGACAAGAATGCCAAAGACGTCGGCATCGCGTGCTTTTTGAACAGCCACGTAGCGGCGCATCAGAAGTTTGTTGGTGCGTGTGGATTCGAGGCCCACTTGGCGGGTCGAAGGATCGTAGCTGTACACCTAACATACTCCTCGAATTAGAATAAAATCGAAGGCTATGTGAAGAAGGTACCTACGGGTGTTTGGTGATGTGTCATAAGGAGGTTAGTCAGGCCTAGACTTGGAGGGCCTACATAGAGAATCGGTCGAGAGTCGGAGGATTCTTCTAGTGGAGAGTGTGATGTGGAGGTTGAGGGGCTAGGATCAAGACGATGAGGAATTTGGTTGTAAGACACAGAGATGTTGTCCACGGTAAGAGTTTCTTGCAGAGTTTGGAGGACATTGGCTAGCGAAAAAGATCATGTTATAACGGGCATGAGAAATGTATAGACAATCACAAACCAGCTGCGTGGGTGTACGCCACATCGTGGCGCAGGATGATAGAGCTCGGTCCAATATCTGAAGATGAACAAGACGATCGTAACGATTCGACCAACTTATGCGCGCAGTCTTGCACGTCTATCTTTTTCTTCCCAAAGACATATAGCACTGGTATTCGATAGGTTCTATCAGCAATTGTCATGAGTAAGTTATTGATTAAAGAGTAATTATAGACGGACTTGCTCATGCACGCATGACCGAAATGGACTATCGCATCTGCGTCGACGTGCTGAGCAGCAACTTCATCCGCACAACAGCTACGTACCGAGCTTCAGTAAATTATCAAGCGGGATGTTTAGTAAAGATATGGCTGACCTTCCGTAGGATGTATCCGCTAGAACGTAGAGTTCCGTCTTGTCCTCTATCCGCCGCTTGAGCATCCTGTAGATGGGGACGGAATCATGCAAAAGTTCATCTGGGAATTGAAGTGCGACCTTGATGATCCATCATCACGTCGTCTGCAAGAGTAAATACGAAGACCATGATGCCTTACCCGCTTGAAGTGATTGGAAAGAATTTCGTCTACTATCCGGTCGATGTCATAAAACTCCGCAAGCTGAGCCTTTGTCAAGTTCTGTGTAAGCTGAAGCTCTCCCTCGTCGAGTTCCACAGGTCTGGAGATGATGTCCTGTCCAGAAGAAGAGAACGCTGTGTTTTCCGCCATACTCAGGTGATGGAGAGCAAGAAAGATGGTTTCCACCCAATCGCAAACGAGAAACTTCAAAGATCTAAGTACTGTCGATTTGATTTTGCGAAGATGCTGATAACCTCGTGGTTATCTTGTTCCCACGGTCGGAACACCAACAATTTCTGAGCCGAAGGGCTCCGCGTCATCGAGAGTGCCTTCGAGCTCACACCACTGTCCTTCCACGACCACCATGTCCTCCTCAGACGACGCCGGCTTCATCGACCGCATTCAAAACTTCGTCTCCGACAACAAGCGGGGCGTTATCATCGGCGCTGCAGCTGCAGCCGTGGCCGTCGGAGGTGTTGCTTACTATGTCGCGTCGTCGAGGGGAGGAGCAGATTCGGGTGATGAGGAGAGCTTGAAGAGTGGCGAGAAGAAGTCGAAAAAGAAGTCGAAAAAGAGCCGCAAGACTGTCAAGGACAAGGATGGCCCTATCTTGGAGGAGAGGAAGCCCAAAGGAGTGGACGTATCCGAAGAGGGTGTGTGTTCGAACTCGTTTCCCCTATCGAAATCTACTCAACATCGTGCAGATGAAGGCGTTCTAACAAAAGAGCAGATTGAGACAATGCCAGAAGAGGTATGGAGATTTCATCATGTTTTTGTTGGCGTAAAGCTTACCGAGTGAACAGGACAGAGTGAAGGTTGCAGGCTCGTTAAAGTTGAAGGGTAACAAGGCTTACCAGGGTCGGCGCTTCACCGAGGCTGTCGAGTATTACACTCGCGCTATCGACATTTCTCCCAAACCAGAGCCTGTTTTCTACAGCAACAGAGCTGCATGCTTCGTCAACATGTCACCGCCACAACACGAGCGCGTCATTGAAGACTGTAATACTGCGCTTGCTCTCGATTCTCACTACGTGAAGGCTCTTAACCGTCGCGCAACGGCTCTAGAGAACCTCAACCGCAATGAGGAAGCTCTTCGAGGTAGATTGTCTTAAACTTTTATTCATGATTACGTTCTGATCCTCTGCCCTGCCAGACTATACCGCCGCCACCATCCTCGATAAATTCCAAAACGAATCCGCGGCCACCTCTGTCGAACGTGTGCTCAAGAAAATTGCCACTGCGAAGGCTTCGGGCATTCTCGCAGTATGTCCATGGACCAGATTGTCAGATTTACTTGTTACTTACTGATCTTCAGACCCGGGAGCGTCGCTTGCCCTCTTACACCTTCGTCTCTGCCTACTTTGCCGCTTTCCGTCCTCGTGAGTTCATCCTGGTCGCTCATCATGCCTTATCTTCGCGTCTCACGTCGTCTGCGTGCAGGTCCTCTACCTACTCTCCCCGAAGTCCCAACAACCGGTGACAACACACTCATTCTCGCTCTTCAAGCCCTCGAAGCCACAGACTATGCCCACGCACTTTCCTTTGTCAATGAAGCCCTCGACCAGGGTATCTCATGGGATGTCGGCAAGGCTGAGGCTCTCAACCTTCGTGGGACGTTCAAGTACGTTACACTACCTTTGCGACTTTTGCTATGCTCATTCGGCTCGCCTTAGGTTCCTCATGAGCGATATTGAAGGTGCAGAGCAAGATCTCAAGGCGTCGATAGATATCGTCCCATCATTTACGCAGAGTTGGGTCAAGATTGCCAGCGTGTACATGGAACAGTCTAATCCGCAGAAGACTTTTGAATGCTTCGAGGAGGCTATCAAGCATAACGCTGAAGATCCCGATATCTATTACCACCGCGGTCAAGGTACCTTTTTTCCCTCCTAGACTTAGAACGATCTGGGTCGCCAGTTCAGCATGGCTCAACATCCAGTGGATACTGATTTCGTGTATGTTGTATAGTCTTGTTTATCATGAACCAGTTCCCTGAGGCGGCGGAGAACTACACGAAATCTACGACCTTGGACGATACCTTCGTCTTCTCACAAATCCAACTCGCTGTCGCGCAATACAAGTCCGGAAACCTCGCTAACAGCATGGCGACCTTCAGGCGGACGCTCAAAGCGTTCCCACAAAGAAGCGAGCCTCAGAATTACTAGTGGGTACATATTTTCCGCCGAGCTGAATCGTTTTCGCTGATCATCTCTCAGTGGTGAGCTCCTACTTGATCAACAGCGTTTCTCGGATGCTGTTGAGAAGTTCGACCGTGCCATCGAACTCGAGAAGGCGAAGTAAGTTCTTATCCCACTTTTCCGTCGTTCCTTCCACCTATGTGATTTCTAACGTCTCTTCCACCCAGGCCAACACAAAATGTTCTTCCCCTCGTCAACAAGGGTTTGGCCCTCTATCAATGGAAGCAAGACGTTGCCGCCGCTGAACGGTGTTGCAACGAGGCTCTCCGCATTGACCCTGAGTGCGAGGCTGCCGTGGCTACGCTAGCGCAGCTCAGCCTTCAGCAGGGCAAGATTGACCAGGCGGTCAAGATGTTCGAGAGGCATACGGAGCTGGCGAGGAGTGAGCCAGAGCTGATCAATGCATTGACGTATCAACATGTACGTTTTGTTCCGCTTCTTTGCGAGCTTTGTTTCACTCTGGTATCGCTGGTGCTGTTCACTGACCTCTTGTTCGCTATGGTACGATAGGCGTCATATGCACAGTTGGAATTCATGAAGCACTATCCGGAGCTGGCGAACCAACTCAGCGCTCTTGCGCGCACGATGGGTTGAAGACGAGGATGGAGACGCACATCACACGCATGCATGCTCTAGACGCTCATTGATGGTTTATTTATCTGCGTCGTCGTGTTGGACGCTGGATTGCTTCGCCAAATTTGTGTTTTTGCTTACTGTTATTCATTCATGTTCACCATCTGCACATCAACTTCGTCGTTTGACCTGTCTTCGTTCGCCTGCTTGTTCACTCCCTGTATCACCCTGCCATGGGTGGAAGTGACACGGTTACGGTACATGAACCCTGCGATAAGTACCGAAGGCTTGCCGCGATTGGAAGCCTTCGCCTGCTTTTCTCTTCATTCTTATTCTTCTTTTTGCTGTTTTCTTTTCTTTGTTGTTTCTTTTTTTGTTTAGTCCATAGTACTTGCACACGTACGCCCGACGCATGCGATAATGTCTATGCCAACCGCACCCCTCAGACTCTTTCGCCGCCTTCCGCCCATGCTCCAGTCTATCGGGGCTGCATGTGAAGTCCTAAACTGGTGACGGCTATGAAGAGCCTCTGGAGATTAGGACGATGGGACCAGGATCCAGGCCAGTGCGGCGCCAATTGCCCGGACGCGCGGGTTGCGGAACAAATTTTGGTCAAGTCCGCGCTGTCGCCACAGCTACGCTTTCTTTGTCTTTCACCACGACCATTGATACTGCCATCGTCTTTAGCTCGAGAGCATCTCTATCATATACTCGCAATCTAGCTTTATCTTAGTGCAATAGATTTCTTCACGAGTTTCTTGGAGCCTGGCACGACTGCGAAATTGCGTTATTTTACTTTCGGCCCAAATAACTACGAGGTCCCTCGTCTTCGCATAATCCTCGTTCGCCTTTCAGGTAAATACAAACTGCTCCACAACTTTCTTATTTGCATAGGCACATGCTCATCTGCATAAGTGCTCTCGAAGTAGTCCACGATGCCCCCAAGAACAAATACCACCAGGCGGCTCGACGCCACACAACTCGTTGGCCTCAGTCTGAACCTGACTGCTCACAAAACACCCGCAACACCCGAAACGGTCGCTCCCATCTTCTACCATCTTAATCAGGAAAAGATCCCACGCCGTTCTACTCGCTCCACACCTTATTCTCGCGACTCCGCAGAGTCCAAAACCGTTTGGAACGCAGTATGCGCTTTGAACGTCATTGTTGCCTGCTCGTACACTATCAGTGGCAAATTTAATCCTCAACTCGATAGACGCTTTTTACGAGCGGATGGATGGCCAAGTATCTGGGCTTGGCTCATGTTTCTCAACGACGAATTGGTTCTCAAAGCATCGTACGAGCAATACATTCGTGACTGCTGCCCGCAGCTCATACCTCAGGTTCTACAAGTCATGGGGTTTTCTTCTGTCATTCGTCGAGCTATGATCCAGACTCCTGGTGTGGTCGAGTTCGTGACGAAGAAATGGATGGTGGAGGAACAGTCGCCCGAGGACGAAGCGATGAAGAAAGACGGTGGACGGTGTTCGTTATCCGTGGCTTGCAGCTTTGGAACAACTCATCCATCCCGAGAAGCGTCCGGACGAAGTTACTTTTCGTGTTCTAGAGGCCTCTGGATGGAAGTATAATGAGGTTGCGAAGCTTGCGCTGGGGAAGCTCCGCGCTCTTCTTGCCGAAAAACGCGCTGACGTTGCGTTGATTGGCACTGCGGTGAATGTTGTCAATTATCTCTCAAGCACCAACGCCTTCGAAAAGCTGGGTAGCGATCCAAGTCCCGAATAGTAAGTACCTGATCTTTCGGGTTTAAGTTTCTCCTTATTGAACGTTCTGTAGTCAGGACAGGTTGCTCTATGCGTTTCTCGTCCAGGGCAAGATCGCCGCCATTGTCAAGGCCATCGCCTGGTGCAACAAGCAACCAGCCGAGAACGCGAGCTTTTCGGATCCCACCACACGCATTGTCGCCTTCTCCTACTTCAGCATGGTCGATGACCTCAACACCATGGACAGTCCTGTCTGGCTGATCCAAGCGATGGAGAGCGGGCTATTCCTCGCTATGCTCCGTTCGCGAAAATGGGTCAGCGCTTTGACCACATCGGACGAACAAGAGGAGACTTTCTCAGCCGCATTGCTGTCGACTATCATCCCGTTGTACTTGCTCTATCCGAAGGTCATACGTGCTGCGCGGAAGGCAGTCAAACAGGTCGAGAGACTGGGTCTTGGGACGAAAGAGACAGCAGGCCCGCTTTATGGTCGATGGGTTGTGTTGAAAGAGATCGTAGAAGAACGGGCCCGGCTGTTGAAGCAGTGGGAGAATGACGTGGAGTTCAAGGGTGACCAGAAGCTCCGCAGAGACTACTGCGAACGTGTGAGTTTCATACAATCGATCCGATACGGAACGTACTGATACCAACCATCTCCGTACGTTTTGCTACAGTGTTCCATGTCTCCGGCACAGGACGATGGCGAAGGAGAAAACACCGTCGAGCTAAAGCGATGCACCTCATGTCTGAACGTCTTTTACTGCTCAAAAGAATGCCAGAAGGCCCATTGGCCGCGTCACAAGGAGGACTGTAAAGTGCGCCGAACAGATATGGAATGTTCGTCCTCTCAATCCCCTATAATATATATGACATAGCTAATTCAAATTGCTATCCTTTCTGTACGATTTATCTTGTAGGCGGGCGGAGAGGCATAATCAATAAATCAGAAAGATCCCTCCTCGAGTATATCGTTCGGGAGCAAGTTAACCAACACAAAACGACCATCGCAGATACTGTTGGATCAGGCCCGCTACTTCAGTATCTCGTTCGTGTTTCACTAGCCCATACTCCACCACAAGTCACTGCCCTGCGCTACAACGAGGCATACCCGGGCCCCACCAAGGAAGTTGACTGGGAAGCGGTCTTGAGCGATTCTGAAGAAGGCTCGGATGTGCCAGATTCACAAGCGGGCTCAGACGAGAGCGAGGAGAATCAGGATTCGGACGACTCTGGCTCCATGACTAGCGAAGACAAAATCGCGTTCGACAAAAAGTTCCGCAATATGCTCTATCTGGAGTTCACTGTCCCAGGCAACGAGAACCCTTACTCTTCCTCCATCGATATCTCTTTCTGGGGTCTTCCTCTAGATCCTCTCTAGACTTCAAACGGTTAGTAGATCAGTAAGTTCCATGGACTATGACTTCAAGAACATGATGCTGATTTTGGATCGTTTTATTCCCCTACTGCCACCCCCGGCTCGGATATCTGCGCAGACCCTCTGTTCGTTTGCACTCGCAGAGGGACACTATCAGTGATACTAGTGGGGCGGGGCGGAAAGGATTACCGGTAGAGAATCGCTTCAAAAGTGGGTTGCTCGGCAATCTGGGTGTCGAGGACCTCTAGTAGGGTGTACAGTACAAAGCAGGATGATGTTGAAGAGAAGGTCATGTCTGATTTGAAGTTCGAGTCAAATTCGTGATATCAGAACTTCCATGTCATGTGGCTCAGACCGCAGATACGAGGTTGAAGTTACAAACTCGATTGTCAGTATATAGCGTGCGTATGAATCGTGTATATATCGAAGATTAGAGGAAGTATCAATGCAGTAGCGAGTGGGGGATGTGGAATGCGATTGATAGTCGTGCCACCCTGGGCATGAAACCATCACGGGAATCGATGAGACGGGGAATTATAGTGCGCAAAAAAAGTGGATGAGGGCAAAAGCCAAGAAACAGAAAGAAAGACAAATAAATTGGTACTAAAGAGTGACGAGAAGGAGAGGAGGACAGTGTGCTAGGCAAGAGTGATCGTGGATCTCGACGCAGGTGAAGTGTTTTTGGGAGGTTTGACTGGATGAACCGTATAAATATGCATTGAAGCGGCCGCACGAAGATAAACACGCAAACGGACAGAATTCAAATCAAAGAAAAACCAATGAAACATCTCTCATCCGATGATCTACTCTCTCGACCACATCCTCCTGACGCCATCAAGCCGTCCTAGAAACTACGACCTCCCACTCCCAGCCTCCCTCTCAGCCCTCGTCGGCGTAGGCGGGATCACGAACCCACCTGTCGCAATCGGACTCCAACCCTCCTCAGTCCTCTCATCCGCCCTAATCAAACTCGCAATGCTCGCCGTATGCTTATGACTCCTCCTCGGCTGTCCTCCCCCCACCGCTGACCCATTCTGACCCTTCCCCTTCCCCGCATGTGCTCCACTGTGGCCACCCATCAAAGGTACGCTAGATTGGGGCGTGGATGGGATCGCAGGTGAACGATACGCGATCCCGACGTCGCCTTCGTCGTCTGACGGCGAGGAAACGTCAGATGCGAGGTCGAAATCGGCTGCGTCCGTGATCATGGATGAGTTTCCCCTTCCTCCTCCCCCGATTCCTAAGCCTCTCGTCCTCGGAGCCTCGAGATCATAAATCTCATACTTTGACCTCTGTGAACCTCCATTCACGTACTGATATCCATTCGTCGGAAGTCCTTGAGCTGGCGCCAGTGCACCTGGGCCGCGATATTCGTCGGGGAGGAATACGTAGAAAGCGGCAATGGCGAGGCAGGCGCCACCGACGACGTCGATGAGGTAGTGATGCGTGAGGTACATCGTCGCCCAATACAGCACCGAAGCATACCCCCAGACAAACTTGGTTGTCTGCGGGAAGAAGTGCGAGAGGAATAACGCTTCGAGCGTCGCGCATCCTGCGTGTAAACTCGGGAAGGCACCAAATACAACGGGTGCATTCGAAAACGTCACGGTGTATCCGGATCCATGGAGGAGATGGTCGATGCGGAGAAGACCGCCAGGCGAGCCGAGCATGGAGTAATCTGCGGGCGTGAGACCGAAGATGACTTCGTACCAGGGTGCGGCGCAGGGGAAGAGGATTTGGATGATTACTCCGAGGAGGTTCATGTAGCCGAAGGTGCGCGCCCAGAGTCGGACGACGGGTGAAGGGCGGAATAACCAAAGGAAGGCACCGACGAAGAAGGGCAAGGTAAAATGAGCTACTCCGTAAGGTATCCAGGCGAATACATCGAGGATAGGGTGCGTGAAGCGGGTGAGGATGTCAGAGATGTTCGCGCCGTACAGGACGGTTTCGAGGGTGGGGAGGACGGAGACGGAAATTGAGGGGCGATAGGCGGTGGGGATAAAACGTGAGGAGTAGAAGGTGAGGATCCAGGAGGCGATAGGGTGGAAGGGCAAGAAGAATTGGCAGGTGAAGGGTATAAGGAGGAGGAGACCGTAGAAGAGCGGAATCCCGAGCTTGAGGGGAAAGCCGGGAACTCCCATGATAGTTATCCAAAAGGTGGCAAGAAGGATGTGAAAGACATAGGCGAGATCGGAATAACTGAATGCGTGTTTCTGCAGGCGCTGGATGGTATCTCGCGGGGAGAATGACTTGTCCAGCCGTGCCCAACCTGCTAGGAGGGCCACATAGAGTTGATTTCCCGTCCGGATGAGGCTTGTGCGTATGGACGACATGTTCGAATTATCAAGTCTGTCGATTCGTGAAGAAGTTTGTGTCAGCTCTACATGAATCCTTGAGTAACCTTCATCGCAGGGCGGTGGTCCGAAGTGTCTTAGGCGCCACCCGTCCTGTCAATCCACCCAGTGAGCAGACTTGTGCACTCGACGTCCTTCATCCGTCTACGGCCATTTGGATGGCATGCTAGAGCCTAAAGCCACACCACTCTGTGGCCCACAAATACAGCGTTCGTCAATTTGCCGAAGTCCTAAGCAGCTGATCGTCGTGTAGGCTGGCATCAACGCATTCCAACTGCATCATAAGCCCAGCTGCATCCAAAAGCATAGGACTCGAGGTAATGGGCGTGGACTTTGGTTGCAATTAATGGTCGCAATTGCAAGAAGGCAGGATGCAGGGCAAACACATGGCCGCCTCTAGCTGTTGCAAAATCCTCCCTTCCGACCAAGGTAGTCCTCCTCTCCACAGACCCTCAGGGAATAATTCCAAGATATCATCGCAACATAACGCATCACCAAAAACACATCTGCGACTCTTCGATACAGTCGAGCTGCCCAAACAGAACGATGCTCACCTAGCCTGCGTCACTTCCCAGCACCTTCTAGAGTATGCTCTTGTATCCCAGTCTCCTGCAGAAACAAACCCCCTCAAGTATGCGAAGATTGGATTAGCCGGGGCTTCGTCGTCGTGCACGTCGTGGAGGAATTTCTAGAGGCCTGCAGTTGGCAGCGTCTTCGGAGACGGCGCGAGAGCTTGCGTCCTTCGTGTGAATATATTACCACTTACATCATGTAGGCGCCCATGCTCATGCAATTTGATTTCCATGCTTTTCTCTTGTCCTCCACCTCAGCTCAGGCTATGATCCTAACCATAATGCTTGTCCGGTTAGTGCATAGGAAACAAAGCCAGCTGCAGTATATCTGTAACGTCTTTTCTACCGGTTTAACTTCCGCTATTCTTGGATTGTCTAGCTGGTTTTCGCACTTTTCGTGGCCTGACTGGCATCCGACAAGACTCAGGCTAACTTCAAACTGTCTTACATTCGCTTTTCGTCAGGACAGGTATCTGGTGGACTCATCCAGCTATGCAATGCTGCTGTGTGTTGTGGCGTTATCGTGGCATTCCAATGCCCGGTTCACGTTGTCATTGCTCAGCGGCGCCACAGTGGTGTACATGTATGATACCTCGAGCTCATGTGCAGCGGGCTTGATATCCATTGGCTAGTAATTGTGATTGATGAAATGCTTTCAGCGATATGTCTCCGTCGCTCGGTGTTATCATGATTGTTTTACCACCATGATTGGGCATCCTCGAAGCAACCATGGCTGTCTGTGTGCCACAGCGGACGCAGCTGCCGGCGGTAGTTTCCTTAGCATTTGCTGAACAACTCAAGACCTTCCGTTCTTTCAAGATACCCCGAACCTCGCTATAATTATCTTGTGTCCCGCCGTCAGTCTCAAAATTGTACATCTCAGACTTCGTGTCTCAGTCTTATAGCTTCCCGGCAATGTCTTCCTTACCACATACTATCTACCCCCTTTGGTGAAGACCGCAACAAAATCTGCTTCAGTTCAGTCTGCAGTACTGCCGTTGCTTCCAATCTTGTCGTGCCTATTTGCGGCTGAACATTCAACGCATAACGGCCGCATATGATCATGTGTGAGTCTAATTTGCATCTCATATCCGTCACGCGCTCATATGATACGGACCATAATCAGTTTCTGTATATTCCGGGCACCGTAGTGCACCGTCCGGAAAGGTGACGAAGCGATATCGCGGTTCGACTTCTCGCAGAATAAAAGGACGCTGTTACATCGTGCCATGTTCTGTTCTTCCTGACGTCTTGCGTCCACCTGTCCCCGCATCCTCTCCTTCTCTGTCTGGGTGCTTCTCTCTCTCGCGGCTCTTGACCAACCCGCTGCAGCCTACTTTCTACAGAGCGAGCGCCATGTCAGGCAAGGACATCGAAAAGGCGGAGGAGTCGTACGTGTCTGAGAAAAGCTCTGAGGGGAGTGGATCTCCGTACGTCGTTGATGAGGAGGCAGAAAGGCGGTGCGTCCATTTCTTTTCTTCCTGCACACTAATAGCAAGTTGACCTATCCCTAGGCTAGTGAAGCGCCTCGACATGAGGATTATTCCTGCTTCCATGATTATCTACCTATTATGTTTCCTCGACCGGTCAAATATTGTAAGTCGCACTCTCTGCTTTCATCGTGTTCGGAGATTCAAAAGGGATTAGGGCAACGCAAAAGTCCTCAATAGTGATGTCGGCGACTCCCTCATGCAAACTCTCGGAATCAGCAACTCCGACTACCTCACGGCTCTCATGATCTTCATCGTTGGTTACACCATCTTCGAAACGCCCTGGACGTACATGATAAAGAAGTTCCGACCGTCTCGGACGTTAGCCCTGCTGATGTTTTCGTGGGGCCTTTTAACTATCATCCTTGGATGCGTGACGAACTATGGTGGACTCGTCGCCGTACGCTTTCTCCTTGGCTCGTTCGAAGCTGGTCTCTTTCCTGGTCTGGTGGTGAGTACATTAAGCAGACCTCTCGTAACATTGTTCATGTGTCTGACATCAATTTCAGTATTATCTTACTTTCTGGTACACTTCTCGAGAACGTGCCGTCCGCATCGCTCTCATTCTTGCCTGTGCCACCCTAGCCGGTGCATTCGGTGGTGCCATCGCATACGGTGTGGGCCACATGAACGCCGCCCTCGGGCACGAAGCCTGGCGCTACCTCTTCTGGATCGAAGGCGTCCCCTCCTGTGTCTCCGCCCTCCTCGTAATCTTCATCCTCCCCGACTTCCCAGAAAACTCAACCTGGCTCTCGCCCTCCGACCGCACCCTCGCCTCCGCCCGTCTTCAAGGAATGGCCTCCCTCGGACACTCCACTATCACATGGGCCGAAGCTAAGCAGACGCTGTTGGATTGGAGACTTTATCTCCATTATTTGGTGTATATCTCGATTTCGGTCCCGTTCTCGAGTATTTCGTTGTTTGCGCCGACTATTGTAGCCGGGTTAGGATATGAAGGGTTGGACGCGCAGTTGTTTACTGTGCCACCGTACGCGATCGCTTTTGTGATTACGGTGGCGGTGGCCTGGGTTTCGGATAGGTATGAGGCGAGAGCGTGGGGGGCGTTTATCTCGTTGGTTATTGCGGGTGTCAGCTTTTTGATTGAAGGTGCGTTCTCCTGCGAAGGTGATTGCGCGTAATGCTGATTTTTGCATGGTTTGCTCTAGGCGCATTACCCGGCGATTCCTTCAAAGCACGCTATGGCATGCTCTGCATGGCTGTCACTTTCTCGTTCGCCAGCATTCCACCTCTCCTCAGCTGGCTCACGGCCAACTTGAGAAGCACGGGGGCTTCCACGCTCGCTGTGCCACTCAACGTATCAATTGGCCAGCTTGGCCAGATCGTTGGTGAGTATAGGATCGGCCTCGCATATTTTTCAAAGCAGCGCTGACCAACCGTATCGCATATGTAGGTGTTTATATATTCAAGTCAAGTGAAGCACCAGGGTACCCAACAGGTCATTTCACGAATGCCGGGTTTATTCTCGAGGGTGCCGTTGTAGTACTCGTTCTTCGTTATATCTATGTGCGGAGGAACAGAGCACTCGCACCTGGGGAAAGGTTGTGGTGTTTGTAAGATTAGGGTCTCGTAGTGAAGAACTATAATTTTTCGTTCCTCTCTCAATGTATTACAGTAACGATATCTGCACGACTGTATACTTCAATGCCAGAATAAATATCGCTATGGCATAAATAAAACGAGTAAATACGTACCCACATACTGTCCGGGGTCTTCGTTTGCTTGGGAGTACACAAGATTAGATCGGGGTCGCGTGGGATAGGTTGCGTGCCGTTGAACAGGGGTCGGGGTCCGCTCGAACTCAGGCTAGTCGCGTCTCCGTCAGGTCGCGTCGTCTCTCCCCCAGCCTCCCCACCACGACTTGCGACACATATTTCACACTCAATCCTGTGTAGGGCACCTCTACATAGACTTAAATTGTGAAGGATAAGAATGGCACGGGCATCTAGGGCTACTGCTGTCGAGAACGACGATGAGGGTCCGAAGGAATACGTTGTTGGTGCGCCAGCTGTTCCATGATCGTCTTGCCAATCAATCGTCAACCAACTGATCATCCTGCCTGTGCATCTGTACAGAGGAGATTTTGAAGGCCAAGGTCGGGAAGAGGGGCTCTAAGAAGGCTTATGTGCGTATAGTCACTTACACTGAGATTCGGGCTCAATATTCTGCCCTACTTACTTGCCTTGCCTACGAGATCCAATTCGTTCGCGTTGCTTACTGCTGTCTCAACAGAAATACTACGTCAAAGTACGCATTTGGTTTCGTGTAGCGCGTCGCAATAGATCTCACGTATATTGGCCACCCGCACTCCCCTAGTGGAAAGGCTATGGCCCTAAGGACAACACGTAAGTATTTTCCATATATATCTCAGTGTTTTGTTACAGAAATGCGGAATGTCTGACTTGCATTACGTAGATGGGAACCCAGAGAATCCTTCGCTAGCTCTCCAAAACTCTTAGACCGGTTCTGGGCTCGATTCGACAAAGGGAAACCTCAAATCGCCACCTTGAAAGGTAACGAAGAGCTCACGCCCGGCAAACCTGGTACGTCCGACCAACAACATCCACCCATTTTATCCACACATTGAGCATTGCGTGCTATGTAACCTAGCTGTAGCTATCGAGGACGACGACGACGACGAAGAGGAAGAAGCTCCAAAACGCACACCGAAAGCCAAACGCAAGAGCATCACAAAGGAAAATCCTTCGCCTGCTTCGACGAAGAGGAAGAGGGGAAGACCTTCGGCTGCTGAGTCTACGACGTCTAAGAGGAGAAAGAGCAATGCGTAGGATGTCTAGCGTTCAGTGTTCGCGCGGGACTTATTCTTCACCTTCGCCTTCTTGCTTCGGAATGGCTGTGGATCGCTTTTGTTGTGCCACGAATTAAATATTGTGCGCTGCCGGCTATCGAGGGCGAAGGCTATTTTTTTACGAACAGTTGGCCTTATCTGAAAGACAGGGTATCCTCCATTATGCATATGCATGTTGACGTGTCACATTCTGCTGTTTCGCCGTTTCGCAAGCTCGCGTGTAACCTTAAAGCCATCCGCACCTTGTTCTGGAGACTGTTGAATATATCATCCTTCTACAGAGATAGTCTTTGGGGTCAACAGGCGGAAAAGCAAAACCCCCTACGTTTGGGACTGTATTTCCAGTTAACCGACAGGACGTGCCAGGGTTTGTTGATTCCTCCCAGAAAGGGGCGTGGGAACATAAGTCGTCCCGTGGGAAAGCGAGACACCCGCTCAAGTTGAAGTTGGCCGGCCACTTGCTTCACTTCCGCCACCACCCATCTTGTCTTAACACTTCTCATTCTCATCTCACTCTACCCCGCAGTGCATTCTATTTATTCCTATTCAATCATGAGAAACTCTCCGAAGAAGAGAACAATGTCTGCAAGCGGTAATACGGACAGCGAGCCCGAAGTTTACGAAGTAGGCGAGTGCTCCCAAGATCTCACATCCTCGCCTCTTGTTTGCTGTGGCGAACAGAATAGAACTCTCGCCCCTGTAAACAGCATAATACTGCTTCGGCTAACATTTATTTTTGTTCTCACAAAGAATACATCATCAAGGCGAAAGTCGTTCGATCCAGGAACGGCAAGAACGCTTGGGTAAGTTCAATAGTATATTCGCTCCTAATTCTCAATAATAGTGTGCCGAAACAACCCTTTAACGTCAATTTCTTTCGATATGATAGAGCTATTATGTGAAGGTAGGCGATACTTTGGGATGCATCGAGCCATACTGCGCATTAACTCCTTCTTTTTGATTCTCAGTGGGAGGGTGAATGGGGTGACCAAACAAGGACGTTCGTCGTCTCTTCTCCGCACCACACGATGTCGCCAAACTAACAAGTGTGTTTCATCCAGCTGGGTCGACGCGAAAGATATCGTAAGGGGTTGTGCTACGCTCATTCGAGACTTTTGGGCGAAAGTGAAGCAGTCGAACGAGGATTTCGAGTCACAAAGCTATATACCGAAGGCCAGTGCATTTGAGGAAGACCAGGAGTTCTCTATTAACCAAGCCCGTAAGTCCATAAACATACCCGAGTTTTGAAGAGATAGCATACTCACGTCATTTGTCTTCTTGGACCTGTTGCGCTTGTGGCACCAGCCCGTGTGACGAAAGCGCACTATACGATTCCCGAGTCGAGTGCAGGCAGAAATTCTGCTGCGAAGACAAAGTCGTCACGTCGTTCAGGACCCCTTCTCGAAGCAGCTAACGACCTGGGATCCCCTCCTAAGAAACCTAACACCTCTCCTGTGAAGCCTCCGGAGAAGAACGCGATGTCTACTACTCCCATCAAAGGTCATTCGGACGATATCCATGTCAGCTCGGACACACGTCTCCGAGGTGGTACCGCTGTCAATGATAAGAGACTCAGGACTCCTCGTCGCTCGGAACTCGTTGTTGAAACGGCAGAGGACCCAGAAACCGACCTCAGGAAACCCGTGGCCACTCGCGGTAGACCATCGAAGAAAGACACCGATTACACAGGTACGTCATTTTTATTGTATATGTTGACGTGCGGTGTGCTTGAATTCTTTGGCATTTCCACCCTCCAGCAGCTCAGACGACTAAGCTCCGATCTCGATCCACGACCACGACAGACTTGCAGCTTGTGAAACATGCTGCGCCACAGTCAAAGGCGAAGGCCGAGACCCGCACGTCTAGGTCGAGCCTTCGTCAGGATTCTGTTATCGAAAAGATGGAGAATCCGGATATGTTATTTCGCAAGGTAAAGGAAAGATCTCCATCGAAATCTCCAGGGAAGGCCTCTACGAAAAGTGAGCATCTTAGCTCGACTTTCTGGCGTAGTGGTGCCTCGCACTCATCTCTGCCAAAAATACTGATTATGTCTTCGCCCAACCAGCTAGAAGCCCTACGAAATCAGACGGTGAATCTCGAGAGATCGAGCCCAAGGCCCAGGGCAGAGGCAGAGGCAGACCACGCAAGACCACTGCTCCTGTACCTCAAGCGCCCCCGAGTCCTGTTTCGCCGAAGCGCAAGCGAAGTCGATCCAAGTCTCAGTCCCGAACACCCGCTAAGAGGGTTAGGCTCAGTCTGCCTTCTTCGGGGTCGAACGTACGCCCGGATGACGATGTGTTTGCAGATGAAGGTCAGTTCCGTAGATTTAAGCGGATATTGAGATTGCTACTCACCTACGACATACATATCCCAGGGGTCTCATCATCTTCGGCTGCCATTATAAACGACATGCTCGGTATCGAAAGCGATACCAGCGACATATTCGAATCATCGCCCTGGAGTTCGCGGTCAAGGTCGCGATCGACCATTCGTTCCGCACCACGGAGACGGTCCAGTAGAATCGCATCAAGTTCGGCCTCACCTAGAGGCCGCCAGTCGCTGCCAACAGCCTCCCGTGGTCGATCCAGATTATCCATCTCCACCCTTCCCGACGAGATAGATGGTTCAACTTCGATGCCCGGATTCTACCAAGGCGAATTCTGTGTCTATGCCATGTCCGACTCCGCGCTGAAACGTCCTGCACCTGGACTGCTCAGCAGAGTCTTTTCCACCCTCTCTCTTTCCTCTGGCACTTCTGCCCCCGAGCCGCCCGACTATCCTACCCTATTCGGCAAGATACGCGCCTTGGACGGGGATTCTGGCGCCCTTGGACCTGGCTCGGATATTCGAGCTCACTTGTCCCTTCATCCTTTCGCCTCAGAGATCGGACCACACAATAAGTTTTGGGTTCTCGGTGACGCTTCCCTCGACGCCTTATTTAGCGAGATCCAGAGAGTCGACGACATCCCTTTCCCCGGAGGGACTCATCACAGCGGTATCGTGGCTAGACTGTTAACTCCAGAGGACAGAGTTGGGGTGGAGGCCTTCGATGGTGAGTTGACATTGACGAGGGTGTGGACAGATCAGGTTGATATGGAAGCAGACGAAGATGAGGGCATGAAAGAGAGTGCTACCGGAGAGTTGTTCGAAGGGAGGTTTAGGCTGAAGGTCGAGCACAATATGGAGGCTTGGAGTGAGGGGTACGGGGAAGGTGTTGAGTGTGACTTCGGATTTTGGGCTGTGAGGGCAAGCGAAATGTGATGTCGCTGTTCTAGGACCCTCTCGCTATCAGTCATGACTATAATTATGATCATACTTTTACTATGGTAGTTTTGGTGTTACTATTGGGGGTGCCCATGTTTTCCTATCTGTGTATACCCTTCCTTTTCTTGGTTTTGCTTCGAGTTCTCGCTATGTTCTTGCTTGGTATCGTATGTTACTATGGGATGGATTCATGGTTACTGGGATTACCATGGCTCAGAATTCAGTACTCAGTACTCAGAAGCCCAGTCGTTTGGACAGCCTTTGGAATATCGCCCCAGTTTCGTGAACTTTTAGACTCGGGCGGGCCCGACCGAATCGCTTACGCGTCGGTGGCTCAACAACCGGCGTCTACAGGTTGATCCTGGTCCACGTCCTTTCACGTTTCTCAAGCGGGGCATAACCCAACGTGCCCTTCATTTGACAAGAGCTACACCTGATAGTGAGAAGTACGTATCTACATTCTTCGATCAACGAGTCAGAGCTTTGGACTGACGGTATTTGTTATCTTATACCTTATGATCGGACTCGAAGGTGTCCACGTTTCCGAAAGAACACCCAAAGGACGCCCGTCTTTTATCTGCTAAATATTTTGACTCCGGACGTTTATTAGATCCAGTTATTCATTGTAGTGTTTCTGATGCAATTTGATTCTGCAGGCTTTCGCCATGATCCTTTACATCGTCCTATACGACCGTGGTCTCCCCGGGACTTTCCACTGGGGTCTCATCCCATCTGACGACGTTCCCATCGGTCCCGTCATGGTCTACCATATCACTGATCTTGACCCTCATCAACCCTGCAAAGTCGGGCAGTGGCGTATCGCCCACGGCTTCGACAATCTACAGGAAAACATCCGTGTCGTCGGTCTCGTCAGACTCCCACCCATTCCAGAGGTTTCGACGAAGGACATCGCAGAGTTCATTGAGCAGTACGATGCTCAGCCGGCAAAGAGCATGATTTACGGTAGAGCGCCCTGGTCGTGCTCGAAGTGGGTCATAAGGGTCATCGAGGATATGGCAGAGGCGGAGTTGATAGATGTCCCGGTTAGGAACTTGTATTCGAGGATCCTAGCTCGCGGGCTTAGTCTGACAACACGGGAGCCTCGCTCAGGACTCCGTATGATTGACCTGGTATGACAGAGCTAGATGGGTTATGAGGTACGTGGTGATCCCTTTCTTTACTACTTCGTGTCGTTGGCTAACTCCTGACAGGTAGGGAGCGCGGACTTGTTCTATCGATATTTTCTGTTATTGGGTTTCTCATGGTCTCTGTTGTGGTTTGTCTCTGTTATGGCTCTCTTTATGGCTTACGTTCTATTCTTGTCACGTCGCATTGTCCTCTAGCTTTTGCTGTGCTTTAATGTCGTTTATGTCACGGACTATGTTCACGATTTCTATCGCTCTCTTTTGCTTACGGCTTCGACTCTGGGTCCGACTATTTGGGCGGTAAGGCATAAGGGCTCAGACTATCTCATTCTCTGTGGGCTTCGGCAACGACGTGCGTACCTGCACCGTGCGTTCTTTCTCGCCCTCTCTCTCTGTTGTCGGACGTGAGACTAACACTCGCGCAGCGTGGTTCCCGACAACGCTTCGAGCCGTATCATCCCTAATCTTGTTACTCACCAGAAGCGGTGTCCCTGCTTTGTGTTCGCTCCCAAATCTGATCATTTTCAGTGGATCACGTCGCTACATTCCCGAAAGGGAAATGTGAAAGCCTACTTTACGCCACCCAACTCTCCTCGCCAACACCATGCAGTCACCTCGCACACAGCATAGGACGTTTGTTCGAGCTCCAGTCTTTCTTGTTGCGATCGCTCCTTCTGGTCAATAAGCTACTCATTTCTCTTGTGTATATCCAGGCGTTATAAGCTCCATGGAGCCAGGCACCACCAGCGACTCCCTCCTGACGTCACGGAATCGGTCGTCGACTTTGCACCTCAGAGTGACGACTTAAGGCCTCTCTCTTCAACTGACTTCTGCCACCATCCCTCCCATATCACTATGGGCTTCTCATTCTCTAAACCTCAGTCAAAGTCTGACGAAGAGACGGAGGCCCTTCTTCAAGAAGGCGAATCCCTGCCGAGCCCAGTCTCCTCAGCGGAGGCCATCATCGACGTTGTAGCAGCTCTGAACGCAGGCAAGCTACCGTCACAGTCTCAGATCAATATCATTTGTCAGAAACTGCTTGAGTCGGGATGGTTGGATACGAAGAGGGCAGGAAGACTGGGTGGGAGTATGACGGAGGTGCTAAGGAATTCGAGAGAATTGGTGAAGGCCGTGAAAAAATTTGGGGTACGGAAGAATTGTGAGTGTTCATCGTTGTCGTTTCCTGCTCCTTCAATACTGGTCACTCAATATATTACTGGATTAGATGACGATCGGATTCAAGAGTTTGTATACCATCTGTATCACCTTAGCCCGTCCGCCGTCGGGTTTAGCGTAAATTCTGAAGACCCTTCCGGCGAAGCTGGAGACGAACCCTCCGAAGCTATGAAAGACGCGCAGCAGCTCATCGCTGCCCTGCGGCGAACCATCCGACTTGTCCTCACTTCCTCTGTCTATCGCACACTACTCTCAGATTTGCTCTCGGCCTTTTCCTCTATCCTTGTTGAGGCAGCTCAGGACGTCAAGGTAGCCGCGATGAAGGTGCAGACGACGGCAGAGGCTTTCGAGATGTCGGCGAGAAGGGATGAGTTGACGGGAGACGACGTGGATGATGTGGTCAGGGACGCGAGAGCAGTGCAGGGTGATTTAAGGAGGACGAGAGACGGGATGTATGAGAAGGGTGGACTGAAAGCCAAGTGGATTTTTGTTGGCCGGCTTCAGCAGGTATGTCTGCATTTCACCTTGAAGTCTATCTATTTGCTTATTCTTCGAATCGTGCAGATTTTGTTGTCCGCACATGATGACAAACGGAACCGTGACGCTCTGCGTACGCTCCTGAAACTATTCCGTAAATACGCCAAAGAAGATCCAGCATCCAAGAACAAGGGCAAGGGGAAAGCTGACGAAGAAGTGGACGATGGACCACAGTACTCTATCTGGACGGACGAAAGTCTCGTGATGATCTTTCAAGACCTGAAACTCGTCCTTGAACGAGCTGCCGGTGGCCACTCGCTCGACGAAATAATTCGGCTTGTTCACCTCCTGCTCGCAGACTTCAAGTCAGATATCCAGGTAGGAAATGCACCGAAGCCGGCCAGTCCTAAACCTCCATCTACAGACGCTCCAAAAAGGAACGAGAAACTAGATAACGAGGTCGCAGGGAAGAGCGAGTCTTCTGCCGAGAAACCTGCCTCCGCAGATCAGCCGCTTGGCTCGACGGTCGATTCCCTCTCCGCCTTGATGGCAGAGTTTAACCGCCCTCCTCAGAACGACGAAGTTCAGCGGGGCGATACGCAGTCTCCACGGATGCCTGGTGGGCTGGACTCAAAGAATGAGCCCACGGATACCCCGTACGCCCCTGAGCAGACGAACTTTCCTTCGTCCTCACCCTCACCATCTTCCCCTTCTCTATCACACACCCCCTCGCCCTCTCCGGAACAAGGAGACCCAACCGTCTTTGACGAATTCGGTGAATGGCTCAACCATGCTCTGGCCAGCGCCTACTTCGTCGACTCCCCTGAGTCCCGCTACCAGCTCGAGAAACTCTACGACGACCTCCAAGACCAACTCCACCGATCAGCATCTGGCTCTGTCTCCGACCTATCGCCAGGTGGACCACAACCTGAAGATTGGAAGACTCACCTCCGACAGCTATTCTCTTCCCTCTCATCGTTCCAGGAAGCGCTCTCGAACGAAAAATCCACCCAGAACCTCCTCTCCGCGTTGACCACGCTCACGCGCTCCCTCACCCAATTCAGCATCAAATCTGTGCTAACCGCGGATGCGTTGGCATGGTTCGTATCGAGGTTTTTCGACATCATGAAGAATTCCCCCATGCCGAGGGTAGAATTCGTCAGTCCCTTGGTCGAACTCGCTGTGGACGGACTGCTCGTTCGTCCTTCCGAAGGCGATATCAGAGCAGACGTACGACCTGATCATATCAGAGTAGAGAATAATCTGGTCGTAGAGGCAGATGGCACGCAAAGCTGGGATTATGGTCCTCTAGATGAGGAGGAAGATGAGGGTAGTGAAGATGACGAGGACGGCTGGAAGGTAAATGATGGTGAGGAGGCTTGGGTCATCGCGGATAATGACGAGGATGGGGTGAAGGAGCCGAAGCATAAATGGAAGGTTGAGAGTAAGGACAGAACAAAGGTTCATATGGATGGGCTGAGGCTTTGTGCAAAGAATGTCGGATATTATTTCTTATACAAGGTATGCTCGTTCTTCTTGGCCTCTGCGAATATTCTGAACTTCTATGTTCCAGGGCTTCATCGGCTATGAGGACTGGGGCTTTGCCAGTCTCGACATTGGGAAACCAGGCGCAGTAGGGGAAGGCGCCATCATCGACATTGAGATCGAAACCTCCGACATCTACGGCCCTCACTCCCACTCGGACTCACAAGACCCAACTCCCGATCGCGCTTTTACGGTCATAGACGTCAAAGTCGACCTTCCAGGCCTCAAACTTTCTCTTGAACAGAATAAGCACTGGTTCTGGCAGCCATTCTCGCACTCGATTCTCCGTCGCGTTCTTCGCAGCCTGTTGGAAGCGCAGGTAAGAGCTGGGTTAGAGTTGTTGTCAGACGTGTTAGCGAGGGTGAATAAAGGAGTGCGAAGCCGAGGACAGGATTTCGGAGAGGGTGGGCTGAGTGACACGGGAATCGATATGCCGAGTATCGAGGACTGGTTGATCGAGTTGGGGAGTGTCGTTGGGTCGATGAAGAAGCCGCCTTCTGCTGAGACGAACAAGCAGCGTGAAGAAACGGCCAATGAAGGAGACGGCGGTAAGGGTGGCGACAGGGTGGAGAAGACGACTGTGGCGACGATAAAGGGCATTGTCAGAACCACCAAAATCTTTGATAGCCCGGAAGACTCGGGCGGCGAGGATTCGTCCTCTGCATCTCCCAAGAAGGAGACCTCGGTGGCTGTTGGTTTTGGTCCGATGGTTGTGGCGGACAAAGGCCCCATGGCGGCCAACCGAGAGGAGTGGAGTTCCGTGCAAGATGAGGTAGCAAAAGACGTGGAAAATGCGCAGGATAGGGCGAAAGATATGCTGAGGATGAGGAAGGAGCTGGTGAGGAAAGGAAGGAGGGTAGAGGCGAGGGAGGCTATTGAGACAATGAGGGATGGGTGGCGGAGTGATGTCTTCAATTTCTGATCAAATCCTACCGGATGTCCAGTGTTCTTGAGGCTTCATGTTATATCAGCCGTTCAACTTGTAGATCTTTCTAGTAATATGATCTGAGTTATTACCCATTTTACCGACCAATGACTGACTATCTGTGTGGCGAAGCGTTGAGCCAGTGGTTTCCGGCGTGTTCCGACGTGATGTACTTTTTTCTATCTCCGCACTTGCTCTACGCCATCATCATCTCTCCCGCAATATGAGTGGGACGCTCATCGACTAGTTTTATCTCTTGGCTCATTCGAATATCTAAGGTATGCCTGTCTCGGTACGCCTTCTTCTCTGTGACTTTCGAATTCTGTCCCTTGTCAATGGGCCTTGCCACAGGCTGAGCGACGGTCATCGCTCTGACTCGTCGCCCCCGCCGACGTCGATCTTGACTTGACTAGGTATGATCAGTCGATCAAATATTCTCAACGCTGAACTTTGTCAGGCGGGGCGCTCATTCGAAGACTTGTCTCTCTGAAGCTTGACTATGGCCCCATGATGACTCCCACGGTGCGGCGGGATACCAAAATACAGTGTTTCGTACCATCTATCATATTCTTGTTACTGCCTAGGACTACACGTACATGCCTTAACGCTGTGCAGGTACTACCTCCAACTCGATCAAAAGAGGATGGACAGACTCATGGCTACACGGCCGTACTCTAGGGCACAGTCACCTCGCGACCCTCTGCATATCTCGTAGACTTTACCAGCAAGAGGCAGCGCATCAGCAAGCAGTAGAGCGGGAGTAGATGGGTTCAAACATACATGATGATGCCACCAAGTATTCCCTGCTACGATATACGGAATCGTTTTCACGAAGGTCTTGCAATCCTCGGACAAATGAGGCGCCTCCGTGACCTTGAGGCACATCTCGCGCAGCTCCTCTTGACGTTTCTCGATCGCGTCCAGCACCTGTTTCATTGCCTCCTTCTCGGTGCATCCTGACCACTCTTGAAGCTTTGTGATAACATTATGCGCGCCGGATCCTTCATTGACTTCCTTGACGTACGAGGAGGCCTCTGCAAAAGCAATGTTCAGTTATGGATCATATCAATGGATACGATGGCTCACCATTCCTCAGCACACCAGCCTCTGTTGACGGTGATCAGCTAGTGAGCTATCATAGCTTTCAGTTATGTTGCTTACCTGACCCTAAAACTTGCGCTCGTTTGACAAGGGGATCGTCGAGCTCCTTTCCGGAGACAGAAAGCTCCATCGCGTAGATGATGTAACGGAATAGGACATACACGCCCACTTCGCCCGAGCGCAGGTCCAGGAGCTCCTGCAGAGTATTATACCCCGGTGCCATCCTCTGCACTCTGTCAAATACACAAACGGGCGTCTCAGTGGCGTACACAATGCATCATGTGGCGGTTTGGCAGGGTACCGAAGATACTCCATCATGTCGTTCACCATTCTGTCGTAGTCTGCTTTGGGCATATCGTCACGGACGGCTCCGTAGAGCTCTGCGGAGATATCGGAGAGAGTCATCTTGCCGGCTTGGGGCTGAAATAGTAATGGGGAAGTGTTCAGTCAGTTCTCGTCATACCGAGGATAACAGTGGAAAGGGGTAGACCACGTACAGGCTTGATGGGGACTTCGCTTGGAGGCGGAAGGAGGGCCATGACGGTACTCTTGTCGAGCTTCATACCGTTCTTGTCGACCCAGTCATCGAAGATGAAGTAAAAGACGATGAGGATGGAGACTTTGCGCATCTTCTCGTGGTCCCTTGCGAACGAGACGACTGCGAAGGACGTGGAGTCAGTATGAGGATGCAAAGGGTATGGACAATAGACAATCATACGACATACCTCTGCATGCATACGCTGGGATTTCCATCCCATTGAAGTGTTTCACTTCTGCGTCGTTGTTGAATGGGAAGTGCTCAGCAACGTAGTTGTTGCAGTATTTTATGATTTCTGCTTCGCGGGGGTAAACATTGATTGGAGGGAAGCTCTCCATCGGAGGAATCTCAGGTTTCGCAGTAGACATGTCGAAGCTGCAAGAGCAAGTCGTTGGATGAAGTGACGGGGGGTACTGATAGAATATCGAACCTAACATGGTACGCTGCGCTCATTTATGGGCGAATCCATCACTCATTGCCTATTTCGTCTGACTGGATACCGAAAACAGATCAAACGTGACTCTTTGCTCCACCATATTAGTTGCTAATCCGCCTTGTTCGGATCCTAGTGGAGGTTTTCACACGGCGAACGGAGACTCCGTGGTCGCGCACATCGTAGACCTATACCGGCCCCAAGATAATTGCGATGCTTGTGTTTGGGGACTTGGCCTTCTTGGGCAAACCGATACAATTTCAGGGTCCAAGGTTGAGTCTTGTCTATCCTCGTGCAGAAGTGATTTTTCTTGTAATATCACGAGTACCGTTCTGCGGGTCAGCCGTACTTCCGCGGCGCCTGCGCGGTTCCTGTGGACTAGAAGTTACCCCAAGTCATGGCTGCCCAGAGATCTGACCGATGACCAGTGGCGGTAAATGGCGCTCATGGTATGTGAGCCTATGAATGCGCCAATCATCCATTTTGATGAAGGAGAGCAGCCTTCTCCATTTGCACCATGCCCAGATGGGGTTACAGTATGTGCATACCTTCGAGGTTTCATTGCATCAAGAGGCCAGGGCGAAGGCGGAAGTTGGGGCGGTGGTATTTGTCTTGAACCAGACGGCTTGTGTGGGATTACTGGAGTCGCTGAACAGGACAGACGCTTTTGGATATTTCCGGCCATTATTTGAGTTAGGTTTAATCGCCTTCTACTTTCTTCATCCTCCCCGTCTTTTCGAGACCTCCCTTTTGCACAACCTCTCTTCTCAGCCCCGCAATGCTTTCCTCTATGCCTATGCCCACCAATATTCCGACCGGCCATGCCAAAGTCAATGGATGTGGCCCGAAAACTGGGGCAACGAACGGATATATCGCCTTACCTAAGGTCACTATTCCCTCTGGCGGTGCATGGACGGCTGCCGAAGAAAAGGTATGTCTTTACAGGTTTCTTTCCATCTGCATCCTCTGACTCGTTGCATCACTGGAGGCCCTCCTGGAACCCTACACCTATCTGGCCTCTGCGCCTGGTAAGGGTGTTCGAAAGCTCCTTGTTGACGCTCTGAATGTGTGGCTCCAAGTCCCCACTGAGCAGCTTGTCGTCATCGCCAACATCGTAGACATGCTGCATCTTTCGAGTCTTATGTGAGTCTGAGAAGAAAAAACTCGTCATATTTCCCAGAACTGATTCTCTACGGCCCCTAGGATTGACGATATCGAGGATAGCTCCGAGCTTCGCAGAGGCAATCCAGGCAAGCACCCTATATCTATCCGACTCGGCTGTCTTGGTCCTCATGATACTCTGTCTCGTCCAGCTGCTCATCACGTTTACGGTGTCCCACAAACCATCAATACCGCCGAGTATGTCTTCGTTCAGGCGATTGGTGAAGTTGCCAAATTGCGCGCGACACGGCCGGACAATGAACATGGTTTGCACAAAATTGTCAATGGTGAAGTATTCTCAGTGTTATTCGCATTATATGGAATTGTTCACTGGTTTTGGGGGTAGACGAACTACAGAACCTGCATCGTGGCCAGGGGCTCGAGATTATTTGGCGGGACTCGTTGAAATGTCCAAGTGAGGAAGAATATATCGACATGGCGAATAAGAGTCTGTACTCATCTCACTGTTTTCCGTGCAGTGCAGTGCTGAGAATTAACTGCTTCACAGAGACTAGTGGTCTTCTACGCATTGCTTGTCGCCTCATGATGGGTTGTGCTACTTCAAACGTTGGCACGTAAGTTCATAGTTCGTTCATAACCAATCTTTAACCATATTTAATGAGCATCTATCTCGGTTCGTTACAGTGATTATGTGCCGCTCATTAACACCCTCGGTGTTTTCTTCCAGATCCGTGATGACCTCTTGAATTTGGATGACGACGAAGTATGAGTATTGAGTTTGGATGCACTTCTGTTGCATGCTGACACTTGGTTACGCTCGTTTCAGTACACCGCCAAGAAGGGCTTCGCAGAGGACCTAAGCGAGGGGAAGTTCTCTTTCCCTATTGTCCATGGAATCCAGGCCAGTCCTAGTGACAATCTCATACTGCGTACGCTATTTAAACCTCCAAGCCGATACCTCTGAATCCCTCAGGCGCAGTTAACTCATATATATTTTAACAGAGGTGTTGAAGGATCGTCCCACGTCGCCGGACATGAAAATCCCGGCCATCAACTACTTGCGCGATGGGACGCACTCTTTTCAATATAGCCGAGTGGTCCTGCATTCGCTCGAACTACAGATGAAGGAGGAAATTGCAAGACTCGGAGGGAATGAGAAACTCAGTCGGATCATCAAACACCTCTCTGTACAGGTCTGATCCGTATGGTCGTATGAGGCTGGGGGACGCCTGCGGGTCCAGCGGAACTATGTACATGTTACCAATTGTTGTGTGGCATTGAATGGCGTCCAGGTTGTACGAATATCTCTTCGGGTCTTTTATTACCCAGTAGTAGTTATGGCATTGACAGAATACACGATCTGTTCGAACATGTCCTTTGGCGTCACTCCCACACTCGACGAAATCGCCTTACTGTGTAAGTACTAGTTTCAACTGTTGGAGTGTAACATAGTACCTCTCCAAAGCCACCTTACCCTGTGGCGTCAATGAGATTCGATTTCAGCAGTCGTTCCGGTCTTTCAAATCTGTCAAGTTTGACTGTGAGTTCATGGATTACAACCGTCCGCTCTAATTATCTGGAAGATTACGCCGTTACACCACCGAATTAGAGCTAGACGTGATGGAGATATATCTCGATTTCTTCAGTCATTGTGGCCTCGCCGGCTGTGTCCGAGTCCATGACAAGCGCCCGCGCTTGTTGAAGAGACGCTCACTCCTTTCTCGTCGCTTCGCCACTCTCGAGTCAGATCCGCTCGTCGGTCCCCGATGTCGTTCTCCTGACAAGGCATTTCGGAAAATATTTATTCACATCTTCAACGGAGCTTTCACCGGAGCAAGGCTTGCCTCACGGACTCGGAAATGATGCTCTTGGTTTTTTCTTGGATCCAGCCATGTATTAGGAATCATGTGTGTAGCTTCGGAAGTCAGGAAGATTTGTGCACAGACTACAAGTCGTTCTGGCGCAAACTGATTGACTTTTACCCCATCCCTGCCCTCACATTCTCTCCACTGGCACCAAGCAAGGACATCATGCTCGAGAAACTATTCGCTCACCTCAGTGCTCTGGGTGTCACGCAGTATCGCTTGAAAGACTGCGCACTTGCAGGCACCTACGCCTTGGGCTTGGTCCTGATAGTTCGTCGCATCCTCATGGGAAACAGGGGGTCGCTACCCCCTGGTCCTAAAGGCTGGCCAATAATCAAGAACATCCTCGACATTCCGGCAGAATATCAGTGGAAAACATTCTTGAAGTGGAGTCGAGAGTACAGTGAGCGGATTCCGAGTCTGGCCTTCTCCTTCATCGACTGATCTTTCTCAATTACTTTATCCAATCCAATAGGGTCAGACGTCATAAGCCTGAAGGTTCCAGGAGCTACTCTTGTCGTTCTTAATACGATGAAAGCAGTGGATGACCTGATGGTGAAGCGATCACATATTTACTCGAGCAGGTTTGTTTTCGTTTTTCTGTTAACCGACCGTATGCTGATGGTGCGAGATCTGCAGGCCTCGAATGGTTATGCTAAATGAAGTGTACGGCACTCTCAAATATATAGCTCACCTATGTGTCTTATAAAAGGACGGTTAGAATGAGACATGACTGGATCTTTGGAATCATGCCTTATGGCGACCGGTGGAGAGGTATGACTCTGCTTCATTGACCATATTATTTAGCTGAGCTGACCATTGTAATGAACACAGCGTCCCGAAAGCTCTTTTCGCAATACGTCGACAAAAACGGAATCAGGCCACACCAACTCACCGCAGTTAGACGGTTCCTCCCACGACTTCTCGCCACTGGCAGCGCAGAAGACCTTGATGGAAAGCTCCGTCTGTGAGTGATTTTACTAACTGTTATGAGCACAAAATACCCATATCCTTCATTACAGAGTCGCGGGTGATTTTATACTTTCGTCTGCGTACGGTCTTGATATCCGAGACGCCGATAACCATTTCGTCCGCCTCTCCCAGGATGCCTTGATGTCCATCATCCCGGGCGTCCATCTTGGTGGATACGTTGGTTAGTACTCCTTTCCTCCGCGAATAATCTTGTCTAATCATTATCATAGTCGACATATTCCCCATGCTGAAGCATCTTCCGGCATGGTTTCCTGGTGCCGGGTTCCAACGTATCGCGTCAAAAAGTCGCGAAATGGTGTATGAAGCTCGACACGCACCTTTCAAATTTGCGCAGGAGCAGATGGTGACCATTCTCTGTTGCCCGCAACGCAGTGTGTAGTACTAATCGACAACTCATATTTCCAGGAGAAGGGTACAGCGAAGCCGTCTCTGACCTCAGCTCTTATCCAATCGCTAGACAAAGACAAGACTCCTGACTATGACTGTCGTCTTGAAGCAGTACAGGACGTGTTTGCGACTATGTATCTTGCTGGTTCTGAGACGGTGCGCACAATTTTGCAGTTATATGGTAATATATGCGATAATAATAACATCGCATTCTATTTTTTCTTGCAGACCATCATAGCCATGCGCAATTTCATTGTCGCTGTTGCCGCATTTCCCTTGGTCTTGAAGAAAGGGCAAATGGCGGTCGACTCTTTTCTCGACGGTCGGCTCCCCACCTTCGAAGACCGCAAAGATTTACCTTACGTTGATGCGCTTGTCGAAGAGACCTTACGCTGGGGCGGGTTCTCGTTCATTGGTGTGCCGCACTGCACCAGTGAGGACGACTACTACAATGGGTACTTCATCCCGAAGGGGGCTCTTGTCTTAGCCAATATCTGGGCTGTGCTCCAGGACGAAAATATATACGGGCCAAAGACGGAGAGGTTCCAGCCTGAGAGGTTCTTGTACGAGGATGGAACGTTCAACGCGGAGATAGACGCGGATCCTGAATTTGGTTTTGGGAGGAGAGTGTGTCCGGGCAAAGGTATGTGAATGATTTTTCGCTGTGTTTATTCAAGACAGAGTGGTATCTTCACTAAAAGTGTTCGTTACTTCAGATGTCGTACGGGAGGCTCTCTGGATTCTCATTGCGTCTTTCTTGGCCGTCTTCGATATTCACGATGCGGTCGGAGAAGACGGGAAGCCTATAGATGTCGACAAGATTGCGAATTTAAGGTCCAAGTCCACCTCCTTTCTTCGCTTGCTGCCTCATGACTGAAGCCTGATCTTCTCCACACGCAGTTCGCCTCCACTTATCAATTGTGTCTTCAGGCCTCGCTCGAAAGAGGCAGAGATGCTGATTCATGCTGGCATTGAGGACTGATCGGATGTGTTTGTAATTCTACCGACGGGCTATTATGGGATACGCAGGGAGATTGTTTTGAGCATGCGGTACTTACTAGCTCTTTCTGGCGTAGAATCTTGAATGCAAATACTTTGGCGCTCTCTTCAGGGGATGAGAAAAAAGCCCTCTTGCGGGATTTAGAATGCACGGGAACAGGTCTGAACCACCTCCTGGAGCATCGAATCAGCAATTTCTAGACCTGACTCGGAAGTCTATCCTCTCCGCCACATGTGACGTCAGGACCAAGCCGTGCGGACCCGTAAGAGTCCTCGCACTCGAGCGGCGCAACCTTGGCTACTTACCTCTACTCACCTTCCAGGGCACCTCCAAGGGAATGAATGCCATTCTTCAAGTTTCACTCTCTCATTGGCGCTGCGCATTCCATCTCGGATCGACTATGAGCGCTTGTGCATCGAGTTGATAGGGGCCCGAAAGTTGGGGAACCCTACGTAAGTGCGGTCTCCATTTCCTCTAGAAGCTACCGAGGCGCTCAGTCCATTCAACAAGCCAATCCCCATGCACGCGATCATAGGTGCGGGGTCTGTCTGTGTGCTCGACTGCAGCTTGCTGATGCACAGAATGTGGGACGGCTTTAACCAACGGTCCGGATGCTTCCTCTGGATGGAGAAAGACCAGGCATGCTCTTGTTTATGCTTCGCCGACTCACTGAGATGATCGCATACTTGGCTCTGCTACCGAGCCGAATTCATCTCACCAGTTACATCTGGTTACTGTACCTTGGTGATGGTTTGCGTCCAAATATTCCGCATTCAAGTATTGTAGGATATCGCTTGAGTTCGCTTCCATCCTCACCCAGTTTCTCTCCTCACTACGTGACTTATACGCAACAACTATGAGCTCTCACATCATTGCTATCCCGTTCAGCGCATGGGGTACGTATACCATTGACCTCCATTCCTCTTTTCCTCTGTCCTGATAACGTAGTACTAGGACACACTCGTCCCGCTATCGCTTTCCTCGTTCAGCTACTCAAGCTTTACCCCGATCTTTCCACCACACTCATCACTGCAAAGAGTATCGAAGAAAATTGTCGTGCGGAAGTCATCTTTCAGCTCACGAGCGCAGGTCTCAAAGATGACCCGCGAATGAAGTATGTTCTTTCCTATGTTTATTTCTTCCCTTACTCCACTTTCGAGCTATGCTATATTGACTGGCACTATATTCTCTAGGATTGTCTCGCTCGAAGCGAACTACTTCATGGGCCCAGACGGCTACCTCGAACCCATGAAAGATGCCTACGCCAAAATTGTGAAAGACTACCCAGCGCAAGCAGTCATCGTCGATGTAAGTATTCTTCTGTCTGATTTAGTAATTGAATGAACATCTCATTCAACCAATGCGCGGCTAGCTTGGTTTTGTTCCCTTCATTGAACACATCCGGCCTCTCTCCCCCGCGGAGACCACAGTCAAAATTGCGGCATGGTGGCCTATAATGGTGTCGATGTTTCATACGCCACCTCTTTGCACTTTCAACGACGCCACAATCGGTGCATTCATGATGAAGCTAGGAGGGTGCATGGCTAGCGGAGACGATTACCTGACGGCATCCGGAAAGGTACGTTTCTTCCCGTACATCGGATTCGCCGGCATCTGCATTCGGAGCTCATCGTTGCTTTTCTCATCTAGTGCTGGGCCGATGAAATTGTCGGAAAGAAGATCAACATACCTGGGCTCCCGGAGATGAGTGACTACGAATGCTATGTTCAGGAGGTAATTCGTAGTCTACTATATCGTCCCTACCTGCTGAAACTGACGCGGAACATATTGCAGCCTCCATTTACCCTTCCGTCTTTCGTTTTGACGGATTGGATGAAGGGGCTGCAGCAGTCAGACGTGCTACTGACTTCTTCGTCTCATTGTCTTGAGCGCGAAGGTATCGCGACTATCGCCAAGGTCCTCAAGGCTGGAAGAGCCGTCGAACGGGTCTTCGCTGTCGGTCCCCTCCTTCCTGCCGAAAGCAAGAAGGTGCTCGACTTGGAGAGGACTGGTTCGAAGGCTGGCGATTTGAATGTATTTCTGGATCGCATTGTTCAAGAAAAAGGCCCCAAATCTGTCCTTTATGTCGGTGGTTTCAATTATCATTCGGCACATTCTACAAATTACTCATTAATTGTGTTCGGCAGATATCATTTGGCTCTATGTTCTACCCCGCACAACCAGAGATGGTGTTCACCGTCCTGCGCGTCCTCCTCGGCCTCAATATCCCCTTCGTCCTGGTTCATCGTGCCGAATCCCCTCCACTCCCTACTGCACTTCGTGAATCTATCGAGGCCTCGCCGCTCGTATTTTTGACGCAATGGGGGCCTCAACAATACATACTTTCCCACCCCGCGACCGGTTGGTTCCTTTCTCACTGTGGACTCAACTCCGTTCAGGAGTCTCTCGCATCCGGAATCCCACTCATCTGTTGGCCCCTCTTCGCCGATCAGCCTCTGCTGTCAATCATGGTATCGCAGGTGCTCAATTGCGGTTTTGAGCTCAGCGAGGTCAGGCAAGGATTTGGGCTTAAGTATAGGCAGAGCACAGGGAAGACCCCGACAGGGACATTGGAGGCCGTTGCGGAGGAGGCCAGGGAGGTGTTAAAAGCGGCTTTCTTTGACCAGGAGAAGAGGGCGGTCAAGGAAGAGGGGGCTAGGAAGATGCAGAAGCTGCTCAACGACGCCTGGAAGAAGAGTGGGGAAGCGAAGAAAGATACGGAGGCCTTTGTACAGTTCATTCTTGCATGATGTTTCGAACAAGACTGCTTCACCAAAGAAATAATGCAATATGTTGGTCTGTATGCTACTGTGATATGCCTGGAATTCATATGCCTTGTGATACGGAACAGCACTGTAGCGATTATCAATGTTGCCTACTTCATAATTCTTTATGCTGTCGAACTCAATTACTCTTCTGACTCCTTCTGAGGCTTAGCAGGGACTTCCTGACTCCGAGTCGTAACGCTGCTTGATCAGTGATAAATCGAGGTACTGTACTTTTTCGCGCAGAAGTTCACGCCACCCCTCGGCTGTTGCCGAGATGACATAATCCATCTGTGTCCCGGTTCGCAGACGTGGTGGGACAAGGGACAACGTTCCTCAATTTCGACTGTTTTCTATGATATTGCCATCTATCATGAATTTACAGCCATAAATATTTGCCTGTGTGTTAATTGAAATGGCGGAATAACGGGCTTAAGCTCAAAACTTAGCTTGAAGGGCTTGCAGAGGACAAATTGGAAGCATTGTGATTATTCTTCTATTTTGGACATGTTTTACTTTGTCCCGTTTACATGTTCATTTCAGGTCAACGCTGTGGGACTGTCCCAGGGCACAGGCTCGTTCGTGACCCCCCTGGGACGCGGGACACGAACTTCTGCCCGAAAAACTACAGTAAAATGTAGACAAATATTTCGTGAACTCAAACTGCGTAAGCACTCAAACAATGTATTAAGGCCCTTTCTCACAGTCGGTATAATTAAGATACGAGGGGAGTTGCAAACGCCACATCAAACACGAGGTGGCTCGGGGCTGACGCCAGTGGCACGCCACGGCCACTGGCAGCTGGCTCAGGCGCGTTATCATTATGGACATAAGTTCGCGCGATATTGTGGGGTACAAGTGCTACAGACGCTGGTGGAGCATCAGACCCTGAAGGTACAGTAGTCGGCGGTTTAGTTAGAGCTACGATGACTTTGGTTCCGAAACGGGGACCAGGCAGAATGGAGGCAGAAGCGAGGATCTTACGCCACTTATTCCGATAGATCCCGAGTCGTAAATCCGACAATCCGGCAGCGCTCAAAGAGGCTTCAAGCAGTTCACGCAAGCGCCTTCCGGGACATCAATAGCTTCGTCCTGCTGTCCTTGGAACACTAGAATTGACACTCTTCCCGCGATGACTCGGTGCTGTTGAAATGTGCTACCTTGGCGACCTGAATGGGCCTACCTGACCTGTTTCTTCAAGTTTTAGGGGACTCGATGCGGTGCACTGCTCGGTGACCGACCTGAGGGCAGAACTTGAAAGTCTGGGTAAGTCTTGGGTGACCGCCTGTGACCGCACTGCAGTATGCTAGCCCCTGTGGAGTATACAACTACAGATTGGATCCTACATCCAAAAGGCACATCGAGGTCAGGAGAACCGGAGAAAGAAATGGTCCTATGCAATGAAACCAAATTCCGATCGGGCTTTCCTTGTCACCACTTGGACTTCGGGGACTTAGTAGGATCACCCGCTTCAACGAGTCTCATGTTGGTACTAGTGGGTCTACATCTCCTTGCCGGCAATCTTTGTGAGCATTAGCGATCACTGATAGTGTTTATGTGCAGAAAGACGGCTGTGGTTGTGGAGTATACTGACCTTGCCTCAAGTTCCTTCGAGTCAAAGCATACGACACTGAAGATGTCATTATTGCCATACCCCGTCAGTGCACTCACACTCATCGTTGGATCCTATGTCGTGCACGTCATTTGGTCGCGCAGGCGTGTTCAAAGAGCTATAGCCAACGTCCCAGCTCCGAAGTCAGCCTCCTTCTGGACCGGTACGTACTGCGTAGCTTTCCAAACTTATCCATCTAACGTCCCAAAATTGATGTATGTGCGTTTCCTAGGAAATCTACCTTTATTATATGACCCCCACCGTGGATGGCCTTTCATTGACAGCATCCAAGACGGTAAGTCTCATAACGCATAATATAGCAAAGGATCCCAACAAGGCTACACATGCTGCTAACGACATACACAGCTGGCAGCATTTTCAGACTCACAACTCCGATCGGAGTAGGTATTTACTCCGGAATATTATTATATATCCGCCTACTGACACTTTCTGTCAACCTTTAGTTCAATGATATGATTTACGTTGCCGATCCATTGGCATTGTACTATATATACAGAAAGGTGTGCCCTGCTCAAAATAGTTTGGATCCACCGGGGTCAGCTTGACTTACCGTCGCCTATTTCTTAGGATGAAGCTTCATTCGAAGAGCCAGATGACGTCCTCATGTGACTCGCATCTCAAGGGGTCTCAATCTGATGTCAACTCTCTAATTTCAATGATTTTTTTCAGCATTGAACGTGTCGTCTTCGGGAACGATAGCATCTTCTGCACGGAAGGCAAGTCTATCACCTCGCTTCATTTTGCCTCCCCTTCCGCCGTTCATGTTTAATATGATTTCTCATAGGTGCAAGACACCGGAAGCAACGAAAATTCTTGAACCCCATATTCAGCACAGCGCACATGAAGAAAATGGTACCGATATTCTGCGATGTATCCCATAAAGTGTGTCTTATATTGGCACGTCTGGATGTCATTTGTCTCACTATGTTCTTAGTTACGGAATACTCTTCAGCTGATGACCGCGAAGGGTCCTGTGGAAGTGAGCTTTTCTCAATGATATGATGCCCTGTTTGACGATTCCACGACTTCATCTACTACTAGGTCGATATGGTAAATTGGCTCACGAGAACAGCATTGGAATTAATAGGACAGGCTGGTATTGGGTATACGTTTGACTCACTGGCAATGGAGGAGACACCGAATGTTTATGGCGCCGTACTCAAGGAAGGGGTGTAAGTGATTTTTTCGCTTAATTAGACAGCAATCGGACTAGGTCTGACACTAACTTTCCTCACGGTCTTTCACGCTTTTGTGGTTCGTACTCTATCATCAGCTCGGCCATCTCGTCGCCAACTTTGCGGATGGGCATGAAGTACGTCTTACCCTTCGTCGCAGGCATGGGTACCCCTGGGTTTTGGAAGGTCATCATCGACCATATCTCACTCGACGTGCTTCAGTCGGCGAGGCACTTCGTGCTTGAGATGGATCGGTCCTCTAAGGAGATTTACGAGACGAAGAAGAAGGCGTTGACTGAGGGCGATGAGACCTTGTCGAAGCAAATCGTGGGAGGGAATGATTTGATCAGTCTGCTTAGTGAGTGATATAGGTATTTTGTTTTGTGGATAGATTGGGAGGGCTGATTTATGCGGCGGGACGACCGTAGTGCGTGCGAATATGAGCGCTAAGGAAGAAGAACAGTTGACGGACGAAGAGGTTGTGGCCCAAGTACGAGCATCTCCATGCGTCATCGTATACTTATCTCCCCTGACAAGCAGAAAATCGACCTTTTCCAATAGATCTCGTGAGTCTGTTCTACGCCCCGCGCAGAAGCTAATTATTCAACCCGAGGCTGATATCTTCTGCATGGTTCATAGTTCATTCGTCTTTGCCGCGACCGATACGACATCTTCCGCGCTCTCTCGAGCTCTGTGCCTTCTCGCCGAACATCCTACCATCCAAGATCGTCTACGAGAAGAGATCCTAAACGCAAAGCGGAATTGTGAAGCCGGAGAGGAAGGCGATTTGAACTATGATGAGATGGAGGCCTTAGAGTTTTTGGATGCGATTTGTCGAGAAACAATGCGATTGTGGGTGTTTCACTCACTCTTCGTAGACTTCAGGCTCTGGGATATTTACTGTGTAATTACCCAGGTATCCCCCAGCCCCGTTCATAGACCGAACGTCAGTGTTCCTCACTATCTGCACTCGTTCGCATAAACTGAACCATGTATTCCCTCCCTCTAGCACGCTCAAAGACACCATCATCCCGCTCGCCTTCCCCATTACTGACGTTCGTGGTTCGGAGCTCAAAGAAGTTTTCATCCCGAAAGATACAGTGATCACAATCGCCATCGCTAGTATGAACAGAAGCGTGAAGGTCTGGGGACCGGATGTGATGGAGTGGAAGCCGCAGAGATGGTTGGACGGGTTGCCCGAGAGTGTGGTTTCTGCACAGATACCCGGGATTTATTCACACTTGTAAGTTCATTCCTTCTCTTTGACCCCACTATTCAATGTGGATAGGTTGAGACTGAAAGTACTGCTGGGTTGATGCAGGATGACGTTCTCTGGCGGTAAACGCTCGTGTCTGGGCTTCAAGTTCTCTCAGCTCGAAATGAGTATGTCTTCGTTCTCTATCACGTTTATCTTCGTCGTGTACGTGCCTTACTGAGATACCCTCTCTTGCAGAGGCCGTACTTTGCGACCTCATCAGCACGTTTCGTTTCTCCCCTTCACCCAAGCACTCCAAGGTCACCTTCCCTATGTCGACTATCGTTTGTCCATCGATAGATGGAAAACCCTCGTTGCCGCTCATTCTAGAGGCCATTCATTCTGTTGATTAGACCGTATCTGCAACCATTTCAAACGGCTGTGAAACTGCGATCGGGCCAATCGTCGCGTCCCGTTGGGCCTCAGCGAGCTTTAGCGAGGTAAAAAATTCACTCGCAGATACGGTCTATTGAAGGTTGAGATACTTATGTGGGGCAAAGCGTGCAAGCAGAGCCAATTTATGATGAGAAGTAGCACGCGGTGGGACTTTCGTATAATATATACGTTTCTTCGTCCCTGTTTGACAGCAATTTGCAGAATCGTAGTCGCTCCCACTTTTTCTCTCGATGGAGCGACCGGCGGTTCTTGACGCACCGCTTGCCATTTGAAGAAGCGAACGCCACCCTTGGCACACTTCAATGGCATGGCCACATTTGACCACCGAGTAGTATTCCACCTCAGAATATTGAACGAAACCTACTATCTGAGTAGCCCCTGACTCGCAGGGCCTCGCTGTACCAATGATATTCATCAAAAGCGCGAAATTCAGCTCAGTACTGTGCACTGAGGGCCTGCAAGAGCGATGTGGCCCAACTCGTGGCAGCCCCGTCGGGAGTGTCGGGTAAGGCGTCGTGTGGAGCAGAGCTTCTCTGCGAGAAATCGAGGTGCGACTACGATTCTGCAAACCGCTGGAAAGGCTCTTCTGAACTTGGCGGACTGGTAGAATAAATGGCTCTCGAATTATTGAATATATCGCTTGGTACTTAACTTCCACTTGAGTTCGGAGGTATGCCGCTCGGCTTACCTGAGTTGTTATGAAGCGGAGTCGGTCGGACGACAAATCAAAAATTACATAACCGAGTGGTGCAATAAATACCCAGAGTGCTTTAGACGCTTTAGGTATCCCTCTCATCCTCCTGTTGCCATGTCTAAACGTATCCGCATCTTCACCCCTTCCGACGTTGCGGAACACAATACAGAGGAGAGCATCTGGGTCAGCTATCAGGGTAAAGTGCTCGACGTCACCTCCTTCCTCCCTGACCACCCGGGTGGAGAGGAGTTTATCCTCAGACATGCTGGGAAGGACGTCGAGGACGTCATGAAGGATGCCGACGAGCATGTACACTCTGAGAGCGCGTATGACATGCTTGAAGAGTTTGTCATTGGAAGACTTGGTGCAGGTGAAATGGTTGTGAGCGACGACTGGGTCCCCGCGGACGATTTCCATCCGGATAATACGGACGAAGAGAAGGATTTTGAGAAGAACCAGTTCTTGGATTTGAGAAAGCCATTGTTCAGGCAAATGTGGTATGCGAACTTCAGGTATGTTTCACACATTGCTTACTGTTCGTTGTCTGACCTCCCTAGAGCAAAGCGTATTATCTCCAGCAGGTTCATCAGCCTCGTCACCTCCCAGAGCCGGCGCGCCTCTTCGGTCCTGACTACCTTGAGGTACTCTTGAATTTACTTCCCTCAGTTTCACAAATTCACTGACATATTCTTTCGTCCCATTCGTCTTCTTAAATACTCCACTACTCGATAGGTCTTCACTCGCGCCAGTTGGTATGTTATCCCCACTATATGGCTTCCAATCACTGCATACCTCGCCCTCCGCTCTCTCCTACAATTATCTGGATTTGTCTTGCCCCTCTTCTCCGCAAACCCCTTTGCGCCTTTCACCGCGCTGGTGTCTTCGCCTTCCGGGATACCTATCACGTCCGGCGCCCTACTTAGCTTCGCGGCATGCTTCTTTGTCGGGAACGTGATCTGGACACTCCTGGAGTATGGGATGCATCGGTTCTTGTTCCACATCGACTATTACTTACCGGACAAGCCGATGTTCTTGACATTGCACTTCTTGGGGCATGGTATCCACCATTATATGCCTATGGACCGGTATGTTGACTTTCCCTTTTCGAAGCCCCCTTGTCCATTAGGCCTGTCTTCTGTTCTTCATACTCCCCCAGCCTCCTCTTCGCTTAATTAGAGAAGCAGCGAGTAATCGTACTGACCGACTATGGGTCGTTTCAGAACGAGATTGGTGATGCCACCGGTGTTGTTTACGACTTTGCAAGCCCCCTTCACTCGGCTTGCACACACGTTGTTCCCCGCGTCCATAGCGAACGGCATCATCGCTGGCTCTTTCTTCATGTGTATGTCCCCTCTCCATTCGAATCTGCATTTACGTTTGTGCCTGCCGCTGACTTTCAACGTGGATTGGTTGTGTAGACGTGGTATATGACTGCTCGCACTACGCGATGCATCATACCAAGCTCCCGGCGTACCTTCGGGAGACGAAGAAGTACCATCTTGCTCATCATTATAAGAATTTCGAGCTCGGGTTCGGTGTCACGAGTACGCTGTTTTTCTAACTGACCACCTGTTCATGTCATGCTAATAATACTCCCTGCTATAGGCAAAATCTGGGACATCGTGTTCAACACCGTGCTTCCGATCTAATCGTGGCCCACATGAAACCTCGACACACTATGCATGCTGCGATGAGCGAACCGATATATACCCCTTGTAGGCCTTTGTGAAAAGGCTGCTCGTGTCCAGTGCTTGGTTCCGCTAACTACAGTTATGGTTTTATTCTTGTATCGCATCTCTGCTGTCGGTTGTCCTTGTCCGTTATCGCTACTGTTAGGTGTTTTGTGCTATGTTATCTCATTGTAATAGTGTTTTTGACTCTAGTCTGCAGTGCGAGGCTTGGTTGGCGGTGGCTTCGTGGGAAGCTGGGCGACTCCTGTGCCCTGGGTGCCGCTCGTGAGGCCCATCTCCTCTTGTGTATGAGGTTGATTCTTGCATATGTAGGTTGGCTCTTGCGTTGACCACGCCCGTGATGACTGCTCCAACCTGTATCTCACTTCCTAACTATCTCACTCACCATGAGTATACGGAAGTTGCCTCCCTGATCTCGTTAATATCTCCGTCGATGAAAAGAAGGCTAGAATTTTCCGAAGGTAAAATCCAAAGTCGTCCAACAAGAAGTATGAGACATCTCGAGAGTACCACAATATTTCGTCCTGTCCGTCTCCCTGCCTCCTTCCCTCCTATTACCACTTCACAGAATCGCTTCGGTCCATGTCGGATACGGCACCCACTTTCTCCTCAATCCGAGCCGACTCTCTCGCCCGTAGAAGGCTGCCACCACCCAAACGTGACCTGGAATACTCGAGCGAAGATGTTGGAGGAAATGGCACCAGCGCGGAGGGCCATGTGTGCGGGTGAGGCGAGGATGGGGATGACGAGGGATATGAGGTCCTGTCAATGTACACATTGAATGTAAAAATCTGGGCTATAACTGCTGATAACGAGCGAGACGAACGTCGGGATGGTAGAAGTCCTCTTGTAGGGCGATGTAGTACAATCCGTTTTCTTCACGGAGACTCAGATGTACGGAAAGGCTGTGATTCGTAGAATCTCGTCAGTTTTGGACCATGGAAGGGAAGGTGGAAGTGGGTTATACATACCGAGCAGGTGTGGCGGGTAGAGGATTGAAGCGTATGTGAAACTTTTGGGTAACGTCGAGGAATACCTTGCCTTTCTCCTTGTCATAAGCTGCATTCAGTGGAGATAGCATGTTAGTAAACGAGCGTCAGACCCTAGGATTTGTTCTAATGTATTCGACGTACAGACGCTGTTCACCTCGAGCTCAATCTTGGGAGACATAATGCGATACCATCTAAATGACACCATATTAATTCCAAGGGCAAAGCTTATCATATTAGGTGAGAGGGAACTTACTGGTATATCCCAATTACTGACTCCCTAGAATTGTGCGCGGAGGGGACAGTGCATAGGGGATGGCGGAAGCCAGCGTCGCTGGTGTAATACCTTCATAGCAACGCACCACGTCGACAGCAGAGTATTCCGGTCTCAGTTAAGGTCTGCATTTGAAGAAGGTTTTATGTGTGACTTACCGTTCGAGGGCGCGCTTTTGGACGTCTGGCGAGGGGGTGGTGGTGACTAGTTTCACGACGGATGCGATTTCGTCTGCTGGGTTCTGCATTATGGCAAGCGCTTTCTGTTCTACCAATTACGAAGTCTTGTCGAGGTCGTTTGGGGGGTTGAAAATGGCGTCGATGGGAACGTTCTGTGCGCTAGGTATTAGTAGAAGTAAGGTTGTAGGTCAGAAATCGAGAGGTGGTCGTAGTTCTGTTAGGATATAGCTTAGCTATCTTGCTCACTGGTTGATATGAGAGATATCGTAGCTTGTATCTTGCTTCTTATAGTCAGACGAAGGCTTGAGGATATTTATGACGGCGACTTGGAGCGTTGCTGCGAGTAACGATGACGGAGTTCAGGTTCATGTTGGAAGAGTGGCGGTGGCAAGCTACTTACGCGACGGAATCACATGCAAGTCAAATGCAAGTGGCGAACGCGATGTTGATCTGACGCGCTCTGACGTCACGAATCCTTCCGCTTTTCCTGACGGCGATGAGAAGCAGAGGGAGATGGAGTGCTATATATTCCAGCGCATCAGCCTTACCGCATCGTACAACCCTCCTCTCCCAAAGACCACAATCCCAGAGCCTGAACTGACTCGACCGTGATATATCGACTGGGGGCCCCCATCTTAATTTTTTCATTTAGATTTTCTCGAACCCATACGAGAGTGTTGGCGGAAAGATGGCATCCTCGAGTACTGTACGCGCACTGCGTGCCGTCAAGCACGATATAGAGCTCTTCAACCAAACTTCAGCGAAGTTATTCAAGCAGCGCAGGTTCTTGAGACTACTCAATCCTATGCGCGTCGCGTATCTTTTGCTCGATATATTCTACATCGCGATACAGCTCGTCATCTTGTTCTTTTTCAAACCGGTGAGCTAACACTTTACTTCATGTGCAGCTCAGGATCGGACTCCAATGCTTACATTGTCGACCGGTTTCACTTCAGCCTGTTCCAAAAAGCGATGAACTAAAGAAGCCGTTTGGCAAAATTGCCGTCGTCGGTACGTTACACTCAAAAATTACCTCCTGACTACGAGGTCGTGCTACTATACATACAACTAATCCTACTGCCCTTGGTCTCTTAGGTGCTGGCTTAACCGGAATCTCATCCGCTGCCCACTGTGTCTCGCACAACTTCGATGTTGTAATTTTTGAATGTATGTCTGCTATCTCACCCTCGGTTACACACTTGAAGCAGCAACTGACCTTTCATCTCGTTGTCACACTAGCATCCGACCGACCAGGAGGTATCTGGGCCCACGTTAACAAAACGTCGGGTCTGCAGCTCAACTCGATGCTATACCGTTTCCATCCTTCACTATTGTGGTCGCTCGCGTTCCCGCAGAGGGACGATATCGTCGGTGGTAGGTTTATATCTTCTATCGTTTGATCTTGTAAAACTGAGTACTGATATACTCTACTACACAGAAATTACAAGGATTTGGAAAGAATACAGGCTCGAGTCGCGGACTCGTTTCAACGTATGCCCTTTCTCGTCTTCCCCATCATTCCTCAGCTCACATGAACGACCTATATTTATCGATGTTCATCTTTTCTTTGTGCAGACTCCCGTAACTTCAGCCAAACGTGCGCCAGGAAGTTCTTCTCCCGGTTCTAAATGGATCATCAACGACAACGAAGACGAGATGTTCGACGCTATCATCGTCACTATTGGAACGTGTGGAAAACCGCAGATGGTCGGGTTCCCAGGTATGCCGAAGGATAAGGCGCCACCGAAGAAAGAGAAGAAGGGTGAGCCTTTCACTCGCTCAATTTTACCTTGATATGCGCGATCGATATGCTAACATACATATATGCCAGGCGGTGACGAGAAGAAGCAAGGAAAGAAACAAGAGAACGGTAAATCACAAGAGGACCACCACGAACCTAAAGAAAAAGACGACTCCCCCGAGATCGATAGTTCTCCTACCCAAGACTCAGGCTCACTTCCAAGCCCCACAGATCCCCGTCAAGCCGGCGCCCCCAGCTATTCTGCCATGGCAAAGACGGAACCTACGGGTGAGAATCATGTGGTTGTTGCACAGGGTGATGGCGCCGACGAACTGCGTGAAGAGTCGCCGGACGGGAAGAGGCCTGGTGAGCCCGCTGACGAGGGTAATCAAGACGAGGACGAGGAGGTATACGAGGGACAGCTTATGCACTCGAGCGAATTGGACGATAAGGATGTGAAGGGGAAAACTGTTGTTGTCGTTGGCTCGGGGGCTAGTGGGGTAGAGGCTGTTGAGACGGCACTAGACAGAGGGGCAAAGGAAGCTATCATGATTGCCAGGGATGACAAGGTGCGTTTATCTCGTGCGCCGCGGTTCACAATAAAGTGGAGGCTGAGTGGTGCATTTGCCTTTGTAGTGGATCATTCCTAGGAATATTATCGTGGACACTGCGATTTCGGCGCAGCCATTTGGGAGGGAGATGCCACTCAGGTAGGTGATTGTACTTGCCAGTCCATTTCTCAGTATAACTAACGGATCCTGTCAATAATAGCTTCCTTTGGGAGGGCTTCCTCAAACATTGGCATTACCGCGGAGTCGAGGACCTCGTCCCCGTCGACAAAGGTATCTATGAAGGTACACCGGTACGTAGCCTTTCTACCATAATCAACCCCTCCGTTATGTTAGAACGCTCATTTAATTCATGTCACAGGTTGTCAACGATGATTTCCTGCAACACGTCCGTTCCGGCTCCTGCACCTACATCCGCGGCGACACACTCCGTCTCACCAAATCCGGCGTCGAAGTCCGCGTCCGACCCCGCGGCTCTAAACCCGGTGACAAAGGTCCCTCTCACTCCCCACCACCCGAGAAATCGAACGCCAAATCCAACGAGTATCCCATCAAGGAGATCAAAGGCGAGGCGGTCGTGCTAGCGACTGGATTCGAGAAGCCGAGCGTCGACTTTTTGCCGGAGGATCTGTTTCCGGGGGATTATGGCAGGCCGAACTTGTACTTGCAGAATTTTGCGACGGAGGATTGGAGCATATTGATGACGAATTCGTCGTACTTGAATGCGATCGGGACAGTTGGCCATATGTGGGTGTTTCTTTCTGTATTCTATCCTAAACCGAGGCGATTCTGATGCTGATATGAATGATGGATTTTTTTTTTAGCCATATCGGGATTTATACGCGTATCTTGCTGATCTTCCTTATGGATGAGTATGCGCGCCCGCCACCGAAGGATATGAAGCTTTGGGTGGACGCAATCGGGTTCGTGAAGCGTGGTGCGAAGGGTGGTGCGCTTGGGTTTTTCACTTATATGGAGCTCAGTATGTCCCATTTATTCTTCATGATCCACGCCACAAAAATTCCACTATGCTCCCTCCTATTTACCTTCCATGTTCTTGATCGAACCTTTAAAGAGGACTTTCGCTGACTTTGGTACGATGCGTTACAGCTATCTGGTTCTTGCTGTTCCACATCTTCCGACCGGATAGGATTCGCTGGGTGTTTTTCTCGATGCAAGGATGGGGGCTAAACGTGAACAAGATCAATGCGAAAGCTTGAAGTACTTCTCGAGGCAGATTTCTTGAAGAAAACACTATCCTTACACCGTAGCCGTTTGTATGGGCGCATTAGACTGAAAGATTTATTGACACAGTATCTATCACTATTCTGTACTGCCGCATCAGCAATTTTATTCCTTTCTTTTTCATGAAGACGCCCGATTGACTCTTCTCCACAGTACCTACGAGGATACTTACCTGGAGTTGCGTGGGTTTTAAAAGACTAATACAGGGGAAATGCATCGCCTATGGCTTGTTCGCCATCCATGCCGCCGTACAAGAAGGTTCTTGAGAAGTTGGGAGTTCAAATAGGGGCCAAAGTCTCCGTGCCACAGTGGCGGAGGGTAAGAAGCGTGGGACTTGCTGACTCAGGATTTCACAAGCGTTCCCCGTCCGCGCGTCAGGCTCAGCTCTCCCGAGATCGTCAACGACGTTGTCGACGACGGTGAGCATGTCTTCGCCACTGCTTCCCACAATACATCATATGATGCAAGTTGTTTGGCGTGCATCTGGTGATGCGTACCGATCTCGTTATGTGCCCTCCATGTCGATTAGGGGCTGAGTAGGCCAGAGAATCTCGAGGTATGTCTGTCTAGGTCTGTCTCTGCTCCGTTCAGTCCTCTAAGTTTGGTTGCAATACATGCTAATTACAACCTCGTTGACTTTTATAGCTACCTGTTATGCTGTATATGAGGTTTGTGTGAATCGTAAGTCTTCTTGAGTTGTGTTCAACGTCTGCTCTGCTCACGCGCAGGCTTCATCTCCTAGCTCAGATGAACAAAACCTTACAACAGCCAAGAGTTTGAGAGAACAGTCTTTGTTGCGATCACAACTGCGCTCTGCGAACAAATCGTCCGGCTGGTTATTCAATGTGCATGCTAACCATCTATCGCCCTACAAAAAATTCATAACCTCGATCACATACAGCCTGTTCGCCCAAAGAGAGTTCTTGCTCGGTACGATCGCTCCATTCAGTTTTATCTCTCCTCGACAACTGCACGGTTCGCCCGTAGTGCTCCCGAACCTTGAGCCTGAGTTGTCGAGAAAAGATAAAAATGTAATCTACCGTTAGCCTCGTAGTAGTTCACTCCATACCCTCTGCCCTTTTACGAATTCTCGACTCTAGTCATATCGTCACATCCGTACGCCGCGCATCTCCGACCCCTTGGCCGCACCCTTTATTCTCGTCCATATGAGCCCACAAACGTCCACAACGAAGTGACTCGAAGTGCCCCATGTCCACACACGCACTTCACACGCTCCACAAACACGTCACGAGCGCCTATCATTAAACGCCGCGACTCCTGTTTTACCTCCTCTTTGAGTCTTTTGGCACGCGCACGCCTTCCCTTTGGGGCAGGTCTCGCCTTTTTGTTGCGGAAAGGGGCGGACAAACGAATCATCTAATTAGTGTGGCGGCTCGCTTTGTTCTTGCTTGGTCGGTTTATTGCGAAACGGGGATATAAACAGGACGTGATCCATTGTCCCCGCTCTTCGCACGCATTGCTCCTTGAACTCGAACCACCACCATCCCAATCATAACTGCTCCGCGCTCGAACATCTACGTCCAGATCCAAGAGAACGATATCGAGGCCCCGCCGCACGCACTGATATATCATTGCACGCGAATTCGCTAATTGATTGCGCAATATGAGCAATCCCGGTCGTGGCAGAGGAGGACCAGGAGGGGGTAGAGGAGGCCCACGCGGTGGAGGAGGTGGTGGTGGTGGCGATCGTGGAAGGGGTGGTGGGGGATATCGTGGCGGAGGAGATCGCGGTGGCGGTTCTCGCGGAGGAGCCTCAAGTTTTAGGGGAGGACCCACCGACAGAGGCAGCGACAGCGGACGTGGTAGCCGAGGTGGTCCCTACGGACCGGGTGGAGGTGGAGGACGCGGCGGTGGTGGTGGCGGAGGTCGTGGTGGTGGTGGTGGACGTGGCGGTGGCAACACCGGCCTATCGGCCTACGCAGATGCACAACTGATTTTCGATCCTCATCCTAATACTCCTGCTCGTATTGATGCCCGGCTCAGCGATGCCAATGCGAACGAACTCATCCGTCGACTTCGACAAACACGCACCGGGCCCGAACACCCTGTTCGTCCAGGCTTTGGAACACTGGGCAGAGCGATCATGGTCCGCGCTAATTTCTTCCCAATCACCCTCACGCATAAGGCGTTCTTCGAGTACAACGTGAAGATCACGCCCGAGCCTCGGTCACAGGCCAGGAGGGTGAAGAAGAGGATACTGGAGCTATTCGAGAATAGTTCGATCGGAGCGCCGTATAAGGACGGGATCGTGCATGATGGGAGTCAGAGGTTGCTCGCGGCGAAGAGGTTACCGCAGCCATTGACGGCGAAGATTAGGTATTTTGAGGATGGGGATCAGGGGCCGCATCCGAGGGCGGATGAGTACGAGATAGATGTGGAGTTTGGGAAGGAGTTATCGACGGAGCCTATGCATCAGTGGGTGTCCATCCTTGTCTTTGTTGTTTTCGTCACTGATGTCGCGCCATTTTTTTTTGTTTGTTTTGCATCGTCTTAGACATCTCGAAGGTATCAAACAACCTGCCGAGCTGATCGATCCGCTCATCTCAGCCATGAACCTCATCATCCAACGCCAAGCCTCCCAAACTGGATTCCGCTTCGGGCGCAACCGTCATTTCTGGAGCGACACCGAAACGCGGGAGCTTGCTCCCAAACTCTGGGCCCTCATGGGCTTCTTCACCTCCGTTCGGCCCGTGCACAAACAACTCATGCTCAACCTCAACGTCTGCATGACCGCATTCTACGAGCCCGGAAACCTGTGGAACGCCTGGCAGGCTTTCCGAAATGGTTCATTTGGTGGGAGTGCGAACGAGTTTTTGGTCAGGGCGAAGATCTCGACGAAGCATTATGGGTATAAGAAGGTGCATACGGTGAGGAAGATGGTGGGGAATAAGACAGCCAGGAGGCAGGAGTTCGATTGTGCCGAGTTTGGCGGAAAGATTACGGTGGAGAATTATTACAAGCGTAGTAAGTGCTCCTTTCTCGATATATTTTCTGTGGTAAAATATATGTGACTAATCATCGGCCATTCAATACAGAATACAACATCACGCTGCAACATCCTGATGACCTCCCCTGCGTCGACGTCGGTCCTCCAGGCAAGCAAACCTTCATGCCCGCCGAACTCTGCACAATCGAGCGCGGCGAACCTCATCTCGGAAAACTCAGTCCCGACGAAACGACCAACATGCTCCGCTACGCATCTCGCCGACCCGCTGTCAACGCGAACCTGATCGTCAACCGTGGCCTGTCGAAGATGGGGCTCAAGCCCAGCACTCCCGTCCTCGACGCTTTTGGCGTACAAGTGTCTGACGAAATGGCGGTCGTCCCAGCACGCGAGCTGCCTCCGCCGGAAATCTCGTATAAACCGAGGCAAGGGGCCAGGGCCGGAAGAGGGTTACAACCGAGAAATGGAAGTTGGAACATCTTAGACGTGCAATTCCAAGTGGGTGCGCGGATGGATAACTGGAAGGTTCTAGTCGTGAGGGAACAAGGGCGATCGGGATTCGATGGTCCAAGCGATCCAAGGATGGTTGGCCTCCTCCAGGCTTTCCGTAACAAATGTGCGAGCAGCGGCATGCAGGTGGCGGCCAGTCAACCCCAGATTTTGCCCACGCCTGTACTGCCGTCTAGGCAAGACGATCCGGAGAGGGTGAGGGCGTTGAATATGGTTGAGACGACCATAAACCAATTCGGCGATCCGAAGAGAATTAGCATCATCCTCGTTCTGCTCGCCGACAAAGACGACTTCATATACCCCGGGATCAAACGCTTCACGGCCGTCCAGCTCGGCGTCCATACCCAGTGCATGCTGCTCAAGAACGCCCTCAAGGACGAGAAGAAGCAGGATCAGTATCTGTCGAATGTGGCATTGAAGGTGAATACGAAGTTGGGAGGGATCAATCATCGGCTTGGGGGAGATGCGATGAAGTGGTTGACGAAGGCGGAGACGATGATGGTGGGCATCGATGTGACACATCCGGGGCCTTCGAGTGTGCAGGGGACGCCGTCGATCGCTGCGGTAGTGGCGAGCGTGGATAAAGATTTTGTGCAGTTCCCGGCGAGTTTGAGGTTGCAGAAGTCTAAGCAGGAGGTAAGTCTGCGATCTCACCGGGTTCACTTGTAAATTTCGGTATTTCGACGAACTAACGTTCCTGACGTTTGGTGTAGGGCATTGCTGACCTGGCAGATATGATGATCGAGCGCCTCCAAGCTTACCGCAGACGCAGTAAAGTCTTTCCTCAACGCATCTTTATCTTCCGTGATGGTGTCTCTGAAGTTCGTACAATGTCATTATCTGCTTTTGGTATATCAATTGACAACCATACATCAGGGCCAATACGACACCGAAGTTCTCAAAAACGAGCTGCCTCAAATTCTCGAAGCCTTCAAAAGAGTAGATCCAAGTAATCCTCGATATTCGCCCAAACTCTCCATCATCATCTGTGGCAAACGTCACCACGCCCGTTTCCTGCCCACCGCCCCCAATTCCGACCGCAACGGGAACACCCTCCCCGGCACTGTCCAAGACAGGGGCATCACCTCCATCTTCGACTTCGACTTCTATCTGCAAGCGCACGCGGGATTGCAGGGCACCGTTCGACCCACACATTACGTCGTGTTGTACGACGAGAACAATTTGGGCTCGGATGAGGTGCAACAAGGCATTCACACGGCTAGCTATGCGTATGCGAGGGCTACGAAGGCTGTCAGTCTCATGCCTGCTGCGTACTATGCCGATGTTGTCTGCGAGATGGCGAGGTATTGGATCCATGGGTTCTTGAACCAGGGTGACGGAGTATCGTCGAGTGGAGCGAGTCAGGCTGGTGGTGGCGCGAGGGGTGGAAGGGGTGGTAGTGGTGGAGGGAGTCGAGGTGGTAGAGGCGGAGGTAGAGGTGGGGGACCGAGTGCGAGAGAGGCGGCAGAGGCGAGGGTGTACGAGGCTGCGGAAAGGATGTGGGGGAATGGGTTGCATGAGAATTTGAAGGACTCCATGTTTTACTTGTGAGCGTGTTTGGATCAGGTTCTTGGGCATTCGCGCCTGCATTTGGTTCTTCCCCATTTCGCCTTCGATCGCTGTGTTTGTGTGAGCGTCCCTGATCCCTTTTGTATTGTATTGTTCTGACTATATATAAGAAGACGATTGTTTTCAGTGTTATATGCAATATAGCTACGTCTTTAGAGACTCTAAGGAACGTGCCTAATGGCCTGCGGCTCCGCCTCGACAAAGTTAACGCATAGCGACACATCGATCGTAATCGGGTGGCACCTAAGTAAGTTCAGAGCCTTCCCACGGTCAGAACTGGACACTGTTTTGTGAACAGTAAGCCCATCATTTCATTCCATTCCTCTCTATTCTCTGTCTGACGCAAATCTCTTCCAACGAAGCCGCTGATAGAACAATATGCTATAAGTGTCACGACTCCCGAGCTCGTTTCAAGTCCGGCGTGGTGTCATGCGGAGGAGGAAGCATTTTATCGGAGCGCTTGCAAGGCCAGTGTTTCCCCATGATATCCAAAAACCATCCGCATCGTGTTACAAGGAAGTCTTCACGGATACGCATGACGCATGACGATTCGTGCAGATAACTCGGTTGCAGCTCTTCTGAACTACTAGCACACTACAAGGAAGTACTACGAAGCCCACACTCAGTGTCCGAGCCTTCGAATGTGCCATGCCACCAAACCGCGGAAGCGCTGGATCGGTGTCTTGGCTCCGTATTCTTCGTATCCTCTCGTCATAGCGGGTAACATTGCAAAAGCTACTGAATGGATTCCATCCGATAGCTGGGAATACATACTTCGAGGAGGGTAACGTGAAAAGGTACTCAGCCTATAACGAGATGGTCTCTGACTCTCATGATGATTATCTATAAGAGTAGAGAGGTCAAAGTTCTGTGGTTTTATTCCCTCTTGTCATTCTCCCCGCTGAATCACCTCCCCGCAATTTCCCACTCTCCCCTTCGCATCGAAAGTCTTATCACTGTGGGTATGTTCGATTCAGTGCACAACCTCATTAGCGCTGTACTGGCTGTCGTGGTCATACTCTCTAGTATAAGCGCCTACCGACACCGTAGACGCAATCCCCATGCTCTGCCTTATCCACCAGGACCTAGTCCTCATTTCCTCGTCGGAAATTTCTTTGATATTCCCAAGAAGAGGCCATACATCGAATACGCGAAATGGTCCAAGCGATATAACAGTACGCCTCTCCCGTCCTAACGCTCTAATACGCTGATCTCGAATTGTTTGGTAGGCGACATCGTGTCGTTTCACGTTCCAGGGTTTCACACCGTCATCGTCAACTCTGCGAAAGTCGCGAAAGACCTCTTCGAGAAACGGTCTGCTATCTACTCCGATCGGCCGAGTATGGAGATGACGAATCTGTGGGTCTTTTGCCGCTACATACAAATCATTCCCTCAGTACTACATAGCCTGATGGTGTCGGGTATTTCATTGTTATTAGGATGGGGTTCGAATTTTCCACAGGCTTAATGCCGTATTCGGATTCCTGGAGAGCCCACCGCCGTATGATCCACCAGATGTTTCGACCGGATGCATTACCGTCATACGAACCCTTGCAGAGGGATACGGTGAAGAGTTTGCTGCAACGTATCCTACAAAACCCGAACGACGTCGTCAATGAAGTGAAACAGTGAGTTCCTCATCCACACAGTTCATTGACATGGCACGAGAGTGCAGACTTGTAGTCTCTGCTCACGATTTATGATTCATCGCAGTTACGCCGGCTATTTTCCGATAAAGCTTGCTTATGGCCGTGATAGCGTTGACCCCATGGGTGACCGATATATTCGAGTCGCAGAGGAGGCGATGGAGATGGTAGGAGACATGTTGTTTCCCGGGGCGATACTGCTAAATGCATTTCCCACCCGTAAGTTTCTCCTCCAGCTCTCCCTGAATAATTAGATGATTGATGGAGGGTCTTCGTATACTATTCACTAGTGAAACATCTACCGAAGTGGCTCCCCGGAATTTACGGCTTCAAGACGTTCGCGGAGAAGTGCCACCTGTTGACGGACGAGATAAAGAACAGTCTTTTCGATGCTGTGAAGCTTGACATTGCGAGTTCTACACGATCTCTCTGATTTCCTCCTTGTCTCATGCTCATGACGAGGACTATTCCAGGCGAACGGCCAAGCACCATCGTCATTGACGACGGATTACCTCCATAAATTGGATATCGAGGAACGGAAGGCTCAATGGGATGAGAAGACCGTCAAAGAAGTCATGGCTAACATTCATCTCGGTTTGTTCGCTTGCATACCGCACAACTCTGCTTGTCATGATATCGGACTGAGAACTACATTTAATTTCCAGGCGCCGCAGACACCGTACGTCCTGAAATCCCCTACATAGTACATACCACTCGCTGCACTCATGATCTCTCCCCCTCTCTCCTCCTTCCCTTTCGAAGTCCATGGCCGCCATGCAAGGAGCCATCCTCGCTCTCCTCCTCAACCCCGCCGCCCAAACCCGCGCCCAAGCCGAACTCGACAAAGTCATCGGCAGAGACCGTCTGCCCGATTTCTCAGACCGACCACACCTGCCGTTCGTGAATGCGATCTGCAGGGAGGTCTTGAGGTTGAATCCGGTTTTACCGCTCGCGCTTGCGCATGCTGCGCTGAGAGACGATGTGTATGGGGGGTGGTTTATACCGAAAGGTTCGTTCTCCCAAGTTAGCGTTTGGGAAACGATCCTGAGTTGGTTGGTGCTGGATGACACAGGGAGTCTTGTCATGGGGAATTCATGGTAAGAGTTTTTTTGGTGATTGCCATACGAGCGAGGTTTCATGACAGACTGTGTACAGGGCTATATTACACGACCCAGAAGTCTATCCCGAGCCTGAAAGGTTTCGTCCCGAACGTTTCATCACGCCAGAAGGAACACTCTCCGACGACGATATCATATCTGTCTTTGGGTTCGGACGACGGTAAGCTTCTTCTCCATTCTCCCATCCCCTCCACCTTCCCCTCCACCTCCTCCACCTTACAAATAACGCGCCGATACTCACCCATCGCATCAAGAATCTGCCCAGGGCGTCACTTCGCCGCCGACGCGCTCTTCCTCGTCGTAGCTTCCATCCTCTCAACATTCGACCTCATCAAAGCGAAAGACGAAGACGGGAACGAAATAGAGGTCGGTGGGGAGTATGTCGATGCGGGGATCTGGTACGTTCAGTGCATATTAATATGTCTCGAGACGCTCGGTTTAGCGCGTGCTTGATGTGCATTAATATTATTGTAGCCATCCGGTGCCGTTCGTCTGCGTTGCACGGCCTAGGGACGAGAGGGCGGAGACGCTGTTGAGAGCTACGGGATGATTTATGATTGATTGTTTGACGGAACTGATTCATGTCGTGCATTCGTTCTCGGAATTGTAGTAAGTGGGACCTTGATTCCGTTTGTAGTCTTATTTTTTTTTTAAATATAGTAACAAATACTATTGGTAAACTGGGTATGTCCTCTTCCGCCGTTAAAGCAGCGCTGTTTTTCCTGACTTTCATCCCTGCGGGTACTTACTACAGGAGTCCGAACTTGGATGTCGGTACAGCGGGCAACTTAATTTGTGACTGAGTACATGGTGTGGCGGTTAAAAGGACAAAGTGCCACAGGGGCTGCAATCTCACCCGGGAATCGCCGATACTCGTGGACGCTACTTGCGCCATCGTTAGAGGAAAAATGAGGGGGGCTAGGAAGACCGTTCACGTTCGTGCGATATCTTCCCTTCATGTTTTGTTGTCGTCCTATCGAGAACGACGACGGTTTGATGCTATCGTGTTGGATAGCGAGGACAATAAGTTACAGTACTCATGGACAGCGCTAGCGGAGCAAGTGACGATTTGACCCAATGCCAATATTGAGTGTCACGGACAACCCCATTTCACTTTCTGTCGTTCCTTCTCCACGTACATAGATGAGGAGTTATTAAAACTCCCAGTACCGCCTGAAAGAATCTTTGGGGCTGGCCGCAACAACCAAGAGGGGAATACACAGGGGTCAGACGAAGTCCAAACTTCTTAAGAACAAGTTGGAGGTCCTAGCAGTGTCTTTCTCTTCTCAGCTTCTCTTTTCTTGTGTCATGCCCCGGCGAGTGATCCATGTCTTGTACCCAAGTAGGTTCGAGCGGTGCCGAGGTTACAGTGGGCATATTCCGAGTCTAAATCGCACCGGCCGCTCATGATGCATGATCAACAACTAGTTCCGGAAACGAGTCAGGACCGTCAAGTCTGAGTCTACAATCACTACATAAATGATAAGGAAGCGGCGAAGTCGAGTAAGTACGTACATACCATACCATAGCTACAACGGTGAGCTGTGACTGGTGCAACCTTGAATGCTAAAATCCCGCCTCAGAACGTAAATTGAACCCGTTTAGAAGGTACGTTAGACGTTCACAGGCCCCTGACCTGGTGAGTAAGTCAGTATACTCCTGTTGGGCTTTAATTAGATGAGGTGTGCGGCTGTTGTTTGGGTGGTGGTGTATTGCTATTACGTGGCTACGTCTAGTCTTTCCATATTCTGAATCATGTCCATGAAGAGAATGAGTGTCAGGAAAAAAGGGGCCTCCAAAAGCGACCGCTCCGCATTCAGATATTCAAATATTCATCTACGTAAATCCATGGCTCCCCATGGGGATGTACGCGGAGGATTTCAGTGAGCGGGGTACCTGCAGGAATCGAAGTCCAAATCAGATTGAAATTTGAGAACACAGATGCGGGGTAAGTAAGTAAGACAGTCTGAGGAGAAATTGACGTCGATCCCCACTGATAGATTAATTGACTCAGATTATAGAAATATGCACCACGAGAGCCTGAACATAGTTACCAGAGAGCAAAAACGTATACTGCCAGGACTTAGCACGCAGCTAGTACCTTGAATTAAAAAGACTAGATATATATGTAGTACGATAGTACTCACATTTTCTGCCGTTTTGGTTTTCCCCCTAGACGGTAGGTCATGTCACGTCGTCAATTTCGGCGCATGGAATGGGTACAGATCCGGACAGGAATGAAGAGACAGGTCGGAACGAGGTTCAGAGCAGCAGCGAGAGTATCAGTACTAGTGATACTGAGAGTGCGAGCGAGACTGGGAGCGAGAGCGAGAGCACCAGTACTAGTGATACTGAGAGTGCGAGCGAGACTGAGATCCAGATAGTACGCCGCTTCGATCCGTCACGTCGTCGTCGGCATAAAACCGGGAGCAAATCATATCATACCATACAGGGATGTCAAGAAAGCGAGAGCAAGATGGACATGATGTAGATTCGATCAGGACGCAGCGGAGAACAATACCTGAGACCTTGCGCTACTGGCGCTAGTGCTAGTGCTAGTGCGAGGCTGACAGTAAGTGAAACCGACGAAGACAGCGAGAAGTGGAATACTCAGACTCAGACTTAAATCATAATTCAGAGTAGTGGTGTTCAGACTGTCAACGGTACCGGTGCTGTACGACAGTGACTGATAAGTACCTGCGGGTGAGGTCGATAAATTCGAAGACTGGCATAGATATTAGACGAGGGTAAGTATAATGCCAGTACAAGAACGGGTAATAGACCAGTCACGCATGACGGCGCTGTTCATAATACTAGTTTGAAGTCTTGGACGACGGGTTAGGTCGGTAGCGAGATGAAAATGAAAACGTACAGCCGTATTATTATAACCAGTAAGCATGATTTCATTATCGCCATCCCCATCCCTGGTAGAGAACTTTCCGGTACCTGCATTCCGAGTCAGTGCATTCATTAGATGTTATCTGCAGCCTGAAAAGTAAGAGTTTCTGTGAGCTTCGGATCGGCGAATCTGAAGGTCGGCAACGCCAATTTTCAAGTAATAGTTCGTCTCTGCACCTTCGGTAGGCGCCGACGCAGGCCAAAGGAGGGTGATCAGCCAATCACTGCCGGCCTACACATTCCCCTTCGAAATGAACTTTCACTTGAAATTCTCACTTTTAAAACTCATTCTCGTCGGTTTGCAACGCAAAAGTCCATTTTTCTGGCTGCAGATAACGTCTATTGTTTGGATATCAGTCTTCCCTGGACGTCTATGAACATGAACACTGACATGAGGTTTTAGCATTGAGAGTTGCTTGGAGATCATGAACTATGATGGAATGATGACGCATATCCGAGTACTCGTAACTTACGAACACAGTAAGTAACACTCTAAGCCGTTGAACACCGACATATAGCGATATCCTAACCCCTCGCACTATCAATATGTTATCACCCCCATCCTCATCCTCGTCCTCATACGCACGCTCAAGTCTAAGTCCTAAGTCCTTGCGGCATATCATGTCTTCTTGTATTACTTATCGTGTCTTCTGGCACAACTATTCATGGACAACGTAGCCCGTCGACCTACCAATCCGGAGGAACTACTACTGTCACGGTATACCGCAAACCGTAATTCCTTCCTTCCTTCCTCTATGCCATGGTCAACCGCGACGTCCCGCTCGCCATGGCCGTCTGAATCCACGAATAGATTCAGAACATAACATGGCGGGAAGTATAAGTATACTTTAAAGGTTACGTAGACCGTAGACGTACAAGAGCTCGAGACCCAAGAATCTTAATCAACACGTAGAGGATTGGACCCGAACTCGTACTCAGTACTCAGTACTCAGGGCTGCGTACATACAGTAGAGAACCGAGGGGTGAGCAGTGAGCATCTCATCTCATCTCAGAAGTTAGATTCGAGCCGTAACATGTACAGTCAGGGTGAGCGTGAGCGTGGATGTGTGAGTGTGTGGATGTGAGTGTGAGTGTGAGTCAAAGCGAAGGTAGTAGTAGTAGTAGTGTATGCATATGTTCGTAACTTACTGCAAGTCCGAGCCTGGGCTTTCACTTTTACTCAAGCCTTCCAGTAATCCGAAAACGACAACACACTTATGTTACGCGTTATCTCTCCAGTGATATCTTTCCAGTGTGGGTGTGAGCGACGATACGATGTAGCACCCGACAGATTGTGTCATGAATCGCAATGGTGCATCGCAACTTAAGGGGGCAAGACAAAAGCTCAGCGGCAGTGGCGTCGGTAAAGTGGATGGGAAAGGAAGAGCAAAGGCTAGATTCTGATTCAAACAGACAGGCCTCAATTTTCGCGAAGGCTGGGCAGACTACATAGACGGGTTTAGAGTTCAGATAGATCATACGCATATGGGGATAGTAGATATTGGGAGGGCGAGATGCGTCTTTCAGAGGGGAAAGGAGGCGCGCCGGAGAGGAGAGGAGGAGAGGAAGGAAAGAGAGGAGTCGGAAGGGCGTTAGCTTGGTTCGCTGACGTTTAGGTATCCATAATCCATATCCGCCTTTCCTCCAAGAGCAAAGCGCAAGATCAAGAAAGACATAAGTACGAGACCGATCGGGAAGAGCGAGTCTCCTCTCCCCCTTTGTCTTGTCCAATCCAAAATGTCGATGATGATGGACGTCGGCAAACACGCGAACGCGAGTGGCAAGCCCCCGCCTTACAGCTACTCTCCCACCTCCACAGAGTCCTCGCCCCCGCTCACCCCCGCCCCTCCTCGCAAACGCACACTCTCCACGTCTTCCACCCACAAGACGCGGAACAGAACCCGGTCATCATCGTCATCCGTCGCCGTCGCCGCCGCCTCGTTCCTCTTCACGCCCTCTTCACCCCCCATCCTCGTCGGGCCACGCACTGGCACCCGTCCGAGTCCCCGCTCCTCCACCACGTCGTCCTCAACGCCCTCCTCTCCTCCCCCATACCACGCCACTCTCCCACTCCCACTCCCACTCCCCTCGACTTTAAATTTCTCGACGTATACAGATCCGCCACAGACGCCGAGATCGCGCTCGTCGCCACACCTCGCTAGTTCAAGACCGGGTCAACACTTGCACCTTCGCGCGACTACTACTGACCAACATCAACACCAACGTTCGCATCCGAGTTATATAGGCGATACTTCGGACGACGAGCAGGATAGAGCGGGAGGGATGATATTCACTAGTCCGAGGCGGGTGTACGTCGACGGTGTCGGTGAGGCTTCGGGCAGTGCGACATCATTCAGGTCACGGTCCTCGACGACGCAGGCGCTTCTGCATAGTACCAGTGTGGGTGGAGGAGTGGGTGGTGGGAGTGGGAGTGGGAGTGGTTCGAGGGTGGTGAAGGTGAAGAGTATTTCGACGAATCCGGCGCAGCCTTGTGCGGGGGAGACGGAGACGGAGGCAGATGAACCGGTGCGTTGTCTTTTCTTGTTGGTGATTGGCCCTTGGTTCTGGTGATACGGAGGTCGTGAAGGCGGTTTGGCATTGAGGGATACATGTCGTGGCGATATGTTATTTTGGGCCACACTGTCCTCGGTTGTCCGTTACACGACGGAACAGATCGTTCTCTGCTCGTCAATCACGCTCGCGCCCCTATCCACCCACAATTCCTACACCTCTCATCATCATGTACCCTGAGCCCTCCCGCTCATATCTTTCTCCTCGCTTCCCGAACCTCGTCTTTCAACACGTACTGATGCGATCTCAATCCCCACCTTCCGTCATCGTCGACGTCATACCCTGCCTCGCCTTCCCGTCATTTTCATCGTCATTTCCCTTTACCGCTTCGTGTTGATCAAACGAACAAATAAACGTCGTGTCCGACCTGATCTACATCACACCACGCCACACACCACGCCACACCATCAATAACAACCCACGCCACACCTCCCTCCCTTCCTCCCTCTCCTCCCCTTCCTCCCTCTCCCTCATCCCTCCCTCCCCCTTCCTCCCCTCCTCCTTTATTCCTCACCCTCCCCCCAAAAAGTCTCCCCACCTCCCAACAACCCGCCTAACACCCCCCTCCGCCCCCCTCATCCCTCCCCAACCCCTCCAACACCTCCTCACGCCCCTGCTCTTTCAGGCTTTCAGGTTATTGTCCGTTGTGCCGGCGTTGTGTGGGGTGGGGTATAATTTGTGGTGGGTTTGGTGGGGGGTTGAAGGAGGTGGGGGAGGACAGAAAGGGAGGTTGTCGAGGTTGGATTTTGCGGTGGCGGCGCTTTGGGTGAGTCTTTTGACTTTTAGATTGATGCGGGATGCGAGAGATGACGTCGTCATTCGTTTCTTCCGTCTACTTTCCGTCTTGCTGTATCCTTTAATCGAACCGTCCACACTAACACTCATCCCTCTACCCTCCCTCCCACCCACCCACCCCCCAGGCCTCCCTAACAATCTATCAATCCCTCTCCCTAACAACCGGTCTCCTACACCGCTGGCGCCTCTACTACTCCCCCCTCTCCACCCTCATCCGTCTTCTCGCCCTCCAAGCGATCTGCTGGCCCGCCACCCATTTTACGTTAAGTTGGTTGGAGGTGGGGAAGAGACCGGTGGTGTGTTGGGCGGTGGTGGGGAGTACGACTTGTGTGAGTAGGAGTGTGCAGATTTGGGTGGTTAGTAATTTGTGGTGGGAGGTTGGGGGGGAGGGGGCGGGTGAGTTGTCTTAATTCAATCTCCATCTCTCTTTTTACGCTATCACACTATTTTACACTACATTCGATGCGGCGTTGCTCATGCGAAATGGGCGTACCTGTGGATACGGATATATAGGTCCTCTAGGCTGGAAACGACGCACCCTTGGCGGGCGATGGGGAGGGAGGCGATGGGACTGGCCAGAGGTTATTAGGGAGTGTGCGGTGCCGATGGGGGTGTGTTATTTTGTTATGGCGTGGGTGGAGGTGGTGAGGAGGGAGTGGGAGGGGTGTTGATGTTGAGTTGATTATGGATGGTTGAGAGGGTAGGGGATCGGATATTGGAGTTGGGGTTGGGAGAGGAAGATGCGGGAGGAAGATGCGGGAGGGTTGGTGTAGATTGGATGGATGGATGGAGGGAGGGAGGGATGGATAAGGAGATATATGCGCGTTCTATTGATTTTTTATTGTATTCTATCTACATACACCGAGTCGTCTGTTCCCTTTTTTCTTTTCCTTTTGTTTGTTTGTTTGGTCTCAGTCTGTTCGTCGTTGCTTTCGTCTTTTCGCTCTTCTTTTAACTACCTACCTACCCATTCACAGGCTTACACACTTACAGGCTTACATGCTTCCTACTGCTTAACGCAATTTTCGACTCGCCGATGATGGACATATACCTATACATGATTACATCGCTATCCGAGAACATCTTGAATAAGTAACAGCAGGAGGAGGATACGGGATACGGGATGTGGCTTGTATGTGTATCATTGACAGACTGGAGAGATTGTCACTGTCATGGTGCGCTTGAATTGCAGACGCGAACGTACAGTAAAAGCAACCCGCATCTGGGTTCTGAGTCCTTGATCTGATTTTGATTTTGATTTTGATTTTGATTTCTGCAGGTACGTATACCTCGCTCAGTGGAATCCTCACAGCACCACGGAACCATGGATTTATGTCAATGAATATTCCAATGCCGGGCGGTCTTGCAATTGAGGGCTGGTCATCTCTTTTCCTTGTCGGACGGATATGAGTATGGATATGGATATACTAAACGCAACCACGTATACGTACATGTAATGCAGCACTGCACGACACAAACAGCCGAACAACCCATCTAATTATGCGATCATTGGGAGCACTACATAGGAGTACATACCGACTCGTTCAAACGGAGCTCAGTGCCCTGAGAACTCCCAATGAATCCGATTCTGGATGGGTTATTACTAGTAATAAGTTCTGGCGAGGGATTTTAGCATTCAGGGTTAGGCTGGTCACGACTTAATGTCGTAGCTATGGTACGTACTTCCTCGATGTGGCTGCTTTCTTTTATGTAGTGAAGTTACAGTAGTAAACTTCATTGTACGCGTTGATCCTAGGCCTGTGTCGGAACTGGCCGTTGAGCGGCTGGTGTAATTTAGAATCTGCTCACGTCGGTACCGCTCGAGTCTACTTGGGTACATGTCGATACGCCGACAAGATACCGTAGCTTGAGAGCGTGAGATTAGAAATGGATCACTTGCCGGGGCATGATACGGGTGCAGAGAGAAGGGGAAGACTCGTCGGACACTGTAAATTCCAAGTTCTGAAGCTTCACGCTTCGTCCCTTATTCAATGGCATCCCCTCTCGATTATTGCGGCCAGCCATAGATACTATTTCAGGCGGGACAGTATTTCTTATGTAACTGCTGTCTATCTAAGTGTGTACGTGGATTAGAAACCGACGGAGGTCGATATGTGGCATTCGATAACATGGGGATACTTATATTCCAAGACTTCAAGCCTGGCTCCGCTGTCCTTAATAGCATCGGGCTAGATTTTTAGCTGCTACGACGAAAAAAACTTGAATGGAGGATACCTCAGACGAACGTGAGTCTCCCTTCCAGTCAATATTCCAACGAGTCCGCTGGTGGCGTAAGTAGGGTCCACGACTATCGGCGATTCCCGGGTGAAATTCAAGCCCCTGTGGCACTTTGCTATTTTCGCCACTGACCGCCACACTGCTCACTGAAATTTTACCGTCGTTCCGACTCCCAAGTTCCGACTCTTTGCATGCAAATGTGAAGTCACCCGTAGTGATACCAGCCAAGACAAACAGCGCTGCTAGCGCTTCGGAGGCTAGAGGATATCTTCAGCCAATGGGACATGCCCAGTTGACCACAGTGAGGAATCCCGGGAGTCCAAGAGGAACGAGGAACGGAGAGAATGTACATTTGAAGCCGTGGTCAGTCATAGACGCTGAGATGATCATCCTAAATGCTCCTGGAGCGTAGTGAGAAGACGTCATGAGTTTCATCGAGTTTCGGAGGTAAGTAGTGGTGTACAGACCTTGATTGAGTATTACTTACCCTCGCTTCCTTATAAGTATGCGAGTTGCATTTCGACGATGTGGGCCTATAGTTTGCTTGGTGAGCGCACTATTACAGAGCGTAGTTAACACCACTGCCCTGTGGGTTGACGGGACTCGAGTGGACCTAAAGACTGCAGAACTCGGAAGAGAAACCCACTTATATACCCGCTTCGGCGTGTTGTCAGCGTCCTCGGGCTTACCAATAAACATTTTCAACAGGGTATAAGTATCAGAGCAGGAACCGGCCATTATTATCTTAAAGCATAGGACTTCATCTATACTCTACTCTATTCCAGCCTTTCGACGATGACTACCAACCCGAACGATATCAAAGGCGAGCTGTGTATCTTCGTAAAGGTGACTAGTCACTTCACAGCAATCCTCGGTCGAAGCCACTACTAACATACGCCCCTTCACCGCCAGGTCTATCCCAAAGCCGGAACGGGCCCTCAGCTCGTCGAATGGATCCGAAAACTGAAAGCCGTAGTGGAGAATGAGCCTGGCACGCTCGAGTACAGTTGGGCGCAGAACGGAGACTCGGAGGTCCTGCTTTGGGAACGATATGTGGATGTGGCTGCGTTTACGACGTGAGTATGGTCCTTTTGCTGGCATTTCCCGTTCTACAGTATTGCAACGCGATGAATCTGACGGGGGTTTTTCTTGGGGTTGTAGGCATACCACGAGTGAAGTTTTCAATGCGTTCGTCGCTGCGGATCTTTTGAAAGAGGTGAGTGTATCGTCCTCTGTAGACTGTGTGTGCGTGACGTCGTGGCGGCTACTGATCGTGAATTTGGCGGTCATGCAGGCGCCGTTGATGACGTTCTACTCTGGAGAGGTGAAAGGAGACTTCTGAGTGGATTCGTACAGCGGAGAAAGAGTGGACCATCGGGTATACAGAAACTTGTAACAGCCTAAGACTTTTGATATGTCGAATTGTGTTTGACGGCCTCGTCTTCGTTTGCATATTGAGAAGTACATATGCCTCGCGTAGGTGTGTGTCCTGTATGAAACTTATTGACTGAGCGAGCAGAGGTGAGCGAAGACATCGTCCGAGACAGTACGCACGTGATAGAAAACACACGAGCGAAAAGTGCAAAAATAACAGTGAGGAAGAAGGATGGAGGGACCGTCCTCATGTGCTTGAGAATCAAAAGGAAAATATTCATGAGCGACTGTGACTCGGGAAGTCAGAAAGAAAAGCGCACATGCTTTGTTCCGAAGCCAAAGCGGCCTGGTCGAACTACGACTCTCCAGCATGCTCTTGAGAGAAATGAGATAGCGTCGCGGTCGATCCATATGAGGGATATGTACAGGAGTTCTGCGATCATCGACCCAAGTATCAAACGTGCTCGACGCCTCGACGCTCGATCGATGATAGTCCCATCCGCACGATAAAAAGAGAAAAAAAATGCAAGAAACCCAAGGGATACTCAGACCTACTGCTAACTCATCCACTTCTACTTCCCGGAGCCTCTGATTCTCCTAGTAGAGGAACGGCACACTTCCGCGTCGGATACAAATTCCATGGACCCCAACGCGCCTACAGACCATATCACCAATCAGATGCAACTGAGTCGGCCATGCCGATTGTTGATGATTTGCGTCGATTGTCAGTTTTACGGCAGGTGAACAAAGTTTGACAAGTCGAGGACGCAGGGGTAAGTGACCTTTCGAGGCCAAGACGGGCCTGAAGGAAGGCGAAGGCGAAGGCAACAGCACCTCGAGGAGTGGTCCATGTATCGGCTTAAGTACGTATACGTACATGCCACTGTCCGCGTCAGGCCCATCGCGATAATGTGTGGAGGCGACCGACACACGCATATCGAGCAGCGATTTCTCGATGTAGTGCTCTGTTCGATAGTATAGAGATGACATGTGTTTCTTTGGGCTGTGTGGTTTTGTGAGCCGTGAGCTCGAGGTCGTGTGTATTGTGTTCGTGCCTAAGGATTCGCATGAGTAATGATGGGCAAAATGAAGTTGTTAAAATTTTTATATGAACGGTCAATATGATGGCCGGTACTTCGAACCTGTTGGTTGCATCGTCAAACTCGCATGCTCTTCGTGGCGCTTAGTCTCGTGGTCACCTTAAGACCGATAGTCGACAACACCTGGAAGACCATGAACGATGAAAGTTGTCGATCTGATCAATATAGGGTTTGGGGGTAGTATGAGTGGCGAGCCGTGGAAAAGGGCGAGAAACAGACCTGAACGGAGCGCGCGGAGGAGCATCGGAGTTCTGCCACCTGCCCGGCCTACTTCCTTTGCGCCGTACCAGGTCGTTGGGCCTTGGCACCCTGCCATTATCATGACAAGTGACGAGGGGTGACGCAAGTGCAAGTGGGCTCAGAAGCTCAGGCTGCTGGGTATCAGTGTGTCAGTGATGCGAAAACACCACGGAATTTCCGACCGGGGGAAGTTGGAAGCTCCGGATTTAGATGAAGAACATGAAGAATCAAGCGCAAGAATCAGAGTTCAGCGACGATGGCATAAATTTCGAGCTTGAATCAAATCGAGGAAGTGAAGGTGATCAATCGCGATCCGAGGCTTCTCGGAACCCGCAGACCATCGAGCGTCTTCCAACGGGAAATGACACTACATAGCCATTGCAGCTTAGGTCTGAAAGGAGCAAGACGTGCAGATGAAATGAGTTGATAGGTGGTTGTAGCCGAGAGCACGACAAAAGCGAGGACTAGTAGACCAAATAGACTTCGATGTCACATACCAGAAACCAACCAGCCAAGAGACGGCATCATACAACACCTCTAGTTATAGAATGTCGATATCCGGAGAGCGAGGCTCCGGGAAGGCACTGAAAAGCGGACGCGGAGAAATGTGGAGCCCCACATCTCCGTACGCTGCAAGTTATGGCCAGTTCTCATCAAGGATGTCGAAGTCCTGAAGCCTGAAGCTGGAAGCAACTAGGGTCATCCAGAGCTTCGCCAACGCTTCCGAATTCTGAACCACGAATGAGGTATACCCGTGCGATCCATGTTGTGGGTCCACGTAGACGAGACGGACAAACTCGTGGAATATTCGGTGTTAAGAATACCTACAAAACCGCAAACTTGCGGTGGGGTGGTGGTTGGGAAGCCTGGCTGAAAGGTATTGACCGCGAAGTCCGGTGCCAAGACGTGAGAAGGTGAACGACTCCTTAGGGCGAGTGTTGACGAGCAGAGGCCTTTGTTAGGATGCTATGGGGATGCATGGCCGTAAGTTCAAGTAGGAAACCGATAACGGGCTGCCTGTGACACACGAAAGCCCCACAAGCGTCAATTAGTATCACGTTGTCGTGGCCGACCAGCTAACTTAGGATGAGTGGGAGCAGATGCATGGCACGACAAGTCGGGATGTCTTCCTTGGAGAGAAGATGTGAGGACGGAGCTGCCAGCAATCTCGGCGCTTGAGAACAAAGTTCCAAGTTTACAAAGTGGAGGAATGCGGGAAAAGAGACTGAGGCAGACGCGACTGTGGGTGCTGGCTTGCTGGTGTGCGAACGATGACAAGATTCGGAGAATAGGAAGGATCATCAGTGCGAGTTTAAGTTTAAAGATAGGTTTTTAGGCGGCGGCGAATGAGAGTTCAAGAGTCCGGCCGTGGACGACATCGCGAACGCCGAGCTCGAGGGTGACTGCTGTCGTTGACGCCGACGCTGACGACGATGACGAACGGTGAGCAAAGCGGCGGACACGAGGACGGTGGCCGAGCGGAGGGAGAGCGATGAGGGGAGATCGGGACGGAGTCAAATGCGCGGGTCGCCCAGATAGGAGATGGGGTTGCCGTAAGAGAAATTAAAGGAATAAGAGCGGGAGCAGGTGCCCGGCCGCGTGGCTTGATCATGTCCTGATCTCCGCATTCCCTTGCCCTTTCCGCTCCCTTTTCCTCCTCCGCTCCCTTTCCCGAACCACCACCTCCTCTCCACGTCGTCCACCCCGTCCGCGCCATCACCCTTGACATCGCTAACGACGACGACAACGCCATTTTTCGGCTCAGGAAAATCGACGCGAAAAGCATGCCGACACAGAGTGCTCCGCCTCCGGGTACTTTCAAGCCGCCAGCACCAGTACAGGCCGTCGCCACCCTCATCCTCGTCGAGAATTCCCAGCCTATGCTTAATAGATGGCCTGAACTTGCTGACCCATACATCCCCGCGCTCATCGATGCTGTTCGACTGGCGAACCCACCCCCGACAGCCGTACGCACGCTATTTGCATTGCTGTGGCAACTATCTAGTCAATTTTGTTCTTTGGTTTATTACAGATGCAAGTGGCGTTCATGGATAGCCTGCTAGCACCTCCGGGCCAGGGTGTAACCATCGATTCCTCGGTTCCCTCTTCGACACCATATTCACCGACGCAGGTCGACTCATTTCGGACCCCTAAGATCGTGTTCAACCCCGATCCAAGCAATAGAATCTCTCTCGCCACGCTTCATCGATGTGTGCAAGTGCGTATTCTTATCGCATCCTTCCCCTCCGTCCAATGCCCTTCGCGTCTTGTCTGCCGAACATCTCACCATCCGCATCTTCATCTCCACCATGCCCAAATACATCCCATCCCACGAGTCCAGTCGAGGGCGCGTCAGATCCTATGCTTATTGCCATCTAGAGACTCGCCAATGCATATCCGGGCGTGCAAGCCATACGCCACCTGATCGTTGTCGCTACTTCGCTTCCGGCAGATGAAAGTACGCCCGAGGGGATAAGCCTAGAGGATGCGTGGGCTGCTCTTGCGGATAGGATGCACAAGGCAAGTCATTTTTTGCACCGCTTTCTCTTATGTTTCTCGTACGCGAGGGCGAAAGTTCTAGCCTTGTTCGGTTAGATTTTGCATCAATTTTGCCTGTATAGACATTACGCGATGCTATTGGCGGCCGTTCGACTTGTGTGCATTCCACCAATCACCTTCGCATCACTCTTCGCGCCGTACATTCCGTCATCCCGTGTACATTAGATTCGGTTCATCGCTATACGTTTCTCCTAATCCTAGTTTCAGTCGGTTCCGTTACTTATCTATAACATATCCTCGCCACAGGAACGCATCAACCTGCACGTAATCCTCAGTCGTTGGCCGTCGCCTACCACAACCACCAACGCCGACACACCTTCTCCATCCTCATCCTCATCCGCCTCCTCCCAAACACTTACATCAACTCCCTCCTCAACCCCACCTTCAATTCACCCAGTTTCTCCCAAATCTTCAAACACCACGAATCAATTCTCTACAAACCCCACAGCGTCTATACTCCCCCACCAGTCACACGCACACCAACAACCAACCCCACCGCACCCACGGATCCAAACCATCTCCCGCCTCGTCGAACTCTTTTACGAGACCGCATCTCGTTCGAAGCGGTATCAATCGCCACTTTGGTTCCCAGCCGATCATCTAAACTTCCAGTTTTATATATCGACGGATAGGAGCCCGGCAGGCTCGCCTCTTCCTCCGAGCACGGGCGCTGGAGCGAACCTGAACCACCACGCTATGCTCATCGACGCGCCTCAACCACTTCAAATGATGCACAGTTCGATGTCTTTGCCTATGTCTTCCGGGCTCGTAGGGATGGAGGGTTCAGGTCTCGGGACGATGGAGGGACAAATGAGCAGTGGGTTCGTTGGGAATATGGGAGCAGACGCTGATGCGGATACGGAGATGGAGTTGGAGGGCGAGATAGTCCCTCCCACGCAGGAAAGGTCGGTCGATCCGGATACGGGGATGGAACTGAAGAGGCCGCCGGGGTGGGTGGTGCTTGGGAGTGGAGGTGGGGAGAGTGAGGTTTTCGGGAATGGGAATGGAGCTAGGGGGACCGGAGTCGGGATGAGTGAGACTGGAAACGGAGATGAGGAAGAGGAAGAGGGTGAGTACCATTCAGTTTCGATCTTTTCCTTATTTGTTTGCTTTTCTTCTTTTCTTGCATTCTTGCCTCTTTTCTTCGTTTGTTTTCTTGCTCAGGGGGTACTGTCCTCTCTCCGGTCGAGTTTCGATTTCCTCCGCTCTGTCATCGGCCTGGTGCCCCAAGAATGTCGTATCTCAAGAGCGTCCTCTATGTCCATCTTTGTTCGGCGCAGCAGAGCTCTAGCGCATGTCGCGCCGTGTGTGGCGTTTGCCTCAGACTCGGGCAGTGCGTAGCCTACTTCTGCCCTTGTCTACGTATACGTGGCATCGCGAAGTCCGATGTTGGGAGATCGTATGGTCTTCTACGCCTCGTTGTTGAGCTTCTCCAACACGCAGCATAGGCTAATGCGTTCGCGCACCTATTCGAGTTCGATCTGTATTTGTGTGGTTCGTGTTCTCGATTTGGGAGATGTGCTTCTTCGGGGATTAGCCTCGTGGCTGGCCTTCTCGAGATCTGATCAGTTGTTTGCTTTGCTTTGCGGGGAGTGTGGCACCCATGTGTCATGCCCCATGGGACTGTGCGGTGCGTCACAATGGCCACCCACCGAGGTCTGCTCCTCGATGTGGGATCGTGAGAGACAGTTCCGTTCCACAGCTCCGTTACCTTTCATCAGATGCTCGTTGGAGGATATAGAGTGATGGAGGGTTTGTTGGCACGCGACTATTCTTACCAAGTCATCGCGCGTTGACCATTACTCCAAAAACCTTGAATCCTTTGCAGTAGTTTCAGAGCCGATGCTGATCCTTCCTCCTGAGTTCTCACTGCAAATTACGGAGTGGTTGCTCCAGTCGTGTCGATGCGGTCTCGTGGGCTGGGTTCAGCATTTCGATTGGCTCTGGACTTGCGACGAGGATTGGACGATCGCGAGGTTATCATGATTGTGATTGCGCTCGGATTTTTTGGTATAGGTCGGAACGTGTTCTGAGGTGCAAAGCTCAGGTGGGTGGTTGGCTGCCGCCACAGTGTGGCGATAGTCGTCTGCCTCGGAGCGTTTGCTTCCGGTGTGGATTTTGCTTTGCTTCCGACTGCCCGGCGACATATTTACTTCCGTGTCTGTTCTACCAGAAGATTCGACACAGCCATGCCTTCCGTTGTTTGTGTTTTCTGAGTGGTCGTAGCGGTCGATTTGCTTTGCGGGATGCACGAGCTTCAGCGTCGAAGTGTCGTAAGCCAGAATGCATGGCAGACCTATTGTTGGCCTGACTCTGCGTTTTGCCTCAAAGTTGCTCGCACGAGCACTCATTTATTCTTCATTGTGACTGTGATTGCGGCGTTTGACATATGTTGCTTCTTCAGCTTCATTGATGGTTATCGAGACGCATGCGAAACCTTCTTGCGGGTCTATGTATTGCGCTGGTTCTCGCTCGGCTGCGACGATTCTCCGTTTATGCCTTTCGGGCGCAGACGGCCCATTCTCCTTTTGCTTTCGGTCGGGAAGTCTGGCCAGCGGTCAGCGGTCAGGTTATTTGTATAACTTTGTCGTGGTCGAACTCTCTCTTTTGTTTTGTTTTGTTTTGCTACGTGTGGATATCGTCAAGCCGGAGCTACCGGCCGCTAGGATGACTTTCATTTCATCTTCATTTCATTTTTCATTTTCCTTCGACTCGCTCTAGCCTCCCATGATTGCATGGTTGATTGACCAATTTTGTTCTTTCCCATATTCAGTCGTCGGACCTTCAGCCCCTCTGCAACCTGCAACTATCCCCAATACGCGACCAACATCAGTTCAGCAACATCCACATCTAGGCTCCCATTCAAGAGCACCTCCAGCACAAGCTCTTGCATCTCATGCAGCTCATCCTAATGGCCATGGACACGCTCCAAGAGGAACAGCTATCCCTCGGAACCACAGCTTTCCTCAGCTCACACACTCGCATCATCCGTACGCACACCCCTACCAGCACATGCAAGCCCAGGCGCACGCACAACAACAGGAAGCCATCGACATGGAAGAGATGCAGAGGTGGCAGGATATGCAGGTTGTAAACGGTGGTGGAAGTGGGTATGGTGTACCGCTGGCCCAGATGCCTGGGTATGGTTTCGTGCCCGATCAGCACCAACAACAGTCATTGGCGATGCAGGAGATGTACGATCGTCCACAGGAGATTACTCTGCATCCGCATCCGCAGATGTATTCCAACAATACGGGAAATATGCTGCCACCTACGCTCGAGCAAACTCCTTCGCACCAACTCCAACAGCAGCAGTTCAACTCCGCACGCTCAGCTCATGCCGCACATTCCGTATCTCCCGTGTCCCCGACGACGCCTCCTCTGATGTCAGGAAGCTCGCCTTACCGTGGCTCTTCGTCCACCGCGTCGAATTCACCTATCGACCCCGGTACTCGTTCGAGTCCAATCTCACCTCTGGTCACATCCATCCATGTTCCCGCTGCCATCGCCTCCGCAATGAACTCTGCACCTCCACCTGGTCGTCCCCCTCAGCTCTCTCTCATGGGCGTCATCGACCGTGATCGTAATCCGAACGGCCCTACTTCGTCCACCTCCTCAACCACCATCTCACCCCTCGATCGCGCCTTCGATCGAGCGCATATATCCTTTCCTGTGAAAAGGGAGCAGCAGGAAGAGATGGAGTGGGATGTGGTCGGGTCCCAACAGGAGCAACAACAACCACAGCAGAAGCTCTCGTTGGTCCAACAGTTACAGAAACTGCATGGGCTTACGAAGCGGAAGACGTTCGGCTTGGGAGGGGGCGTTCCTGGGTCGAGGGCTCCGTTCATCCGTGATACATCTCCGTCTTCGTCTTCCCCCTCATCGTCTGTGGGTGCGTCGGCAGCGGATGCGACTGGGAGTGGTGGCGCTGGTGTTACGGAGGAGAATGGAACGGCGGGTGGATCACCGCCTGCGAAGAAGCCAAAGTCGAGGAGGGGGAGTACGACCGGGGCGAAGACGGCGGTTACGAATAGTGGGGTGAAGAAGAAAACGACGGAGGGGAAGAAGGCTGCTGCTGCGACTGCGACTGCGACGGCTGTTGCTACTGCCGCAGCCGCTGCTGCCGCTGGATCAGGGTCTGTAGATGCGTCTGTTGCTGCTGCTGTTGCCCCTGGAAAACCTCATAAAACACCTCCAATACCGCATGCGGTCCCTTCTGGGGCGGTGGGGGGTCCTATGCCTCTATTTACGACGAAGCCGCAGAGGAGAAGTACGTTGGCGGTCACTTCTCTACCCGAGAGTTCGGAGGTGGAAGGGGGAGTGAGTGTAGGTGCCACTGTGGCACCAAGGGCCTCGAGTACGAGCGCAAGCCCGGATGCGAGGGGGACGGCGGTGACGATTCAGCCTATGATGGATGAGAGGATGGGAGGGGTCGAGTCCGGGACAAGGGGCATGTATCCTCCTGGGCCACCACTACCATCGCATACACAACCTGTTACTCCTAGCCCTCCCCTTCAAGCTCCAGTGCCATCTCAGACTCTTATGATGCCTTCACATAGCCATAGCCTCAGCCATGCTCCCCCAGTGCACACATCACATTCAGACCCTAGCGTTCCTACGCTCAATTCATACTCTTCGACGTCGCCGACAGCGGGGTACGGCGGCCCCGATGACGCCCCGCCATCCTTAACACAAATCGGGCGAAGAAGGTCGTACAGTCTTAGCTCAGTCGAAGGGCAGTCTTCATCCTTGCATCCTCAACCTGAGTACCCCGGTGCAGCCCCTCTGCCGCCGCCTTTGCTTTCTCAGCCCATGCAGCAGCAATACATTCAAGGACCAAGTGATGTCGCATTCCCGAGTCAGTCGACAGCTCTACCCGTCCAAGGTAACGGTAACATGGGCGCCAGTGCAGGTAGCGTACAGGCTGATGGTCGACCGCCAACGATAGACCCCGGTGACACACTGTTCATCTTCCCTGAGGAGTATCACAGCGAACCTCAGCTACCTCCTCGCCCGATGACGACTTCTACTGTCTTAGGCCAGCACACTGTAGTCATGGCCCCTGGCTCCATGCCCATATCCGCATCTATGGTCCCGCCGCCTCCAATCTTGACGCAGGGTATCGGCGTGCACCCTCAAATGCAACTCTCTCCACATCCGCCGCCTGGTCAGCCGTATACACTAGTGCAGAATGTCCGCGAGTACGCTCATGGCATGCATACTGCTATGCGGGAGCATCCACATGCGCCTTCGTATCTCGCCCCACTTCCGCCGAACCCCCATCCAGCGGAACACGCTCAAGGGCATGCTTTCGTACCGCCCCCTGGACCACCTCCACAGTCAATGTCTATGTCGCAGCATTCTCCCCCGATGCTCCCTCCATCGTCATCTTCATCGCGCGCGTCACACTCTCAGATCCCTCTTCCGCCCCCGCCACATCTAGTCCCCGCACTGCAGTCTAATGCTCAATCCACAGTGGCTGGCGCTCCGCAGGACGACTACTCGCATATTCTGAACCCGGCTGTAAGTCCCGGAATGTTGAGAAACAGCGCGGGCGTGTTCGCAGCGACACCTATCAGCGACATGTCAGCATCCGTACCCCCAGGCAAGCTCGATATGAAAGCTAGATATGATCCCGGCGCAGGCGGTGCTTACGTGCAGGCGTATACGCACGTTGGAGAGGGAGATATGGAGTACAGTGACGAAGGGTACACTACGGACTATAGTGGCGCGTATGATGCCTATCCCAGTGATAATGGAGGTGGTATGGGGTACGAACCTATGCCCGTTTCGGTATATCCGACTGCTGAGCAAAACTCGAGCTCTAGCCTGCAATCATGGGCTGGGTACTAGGAAGGTCGTATCTTATCCTCGGTGGAAGATCAGACGTAGAAGATTCCGTGAGTTGTCGTGCTGTCCTGACTGGCTTGCTAGTGTATTCTCGATTCGTCCGGACCGTTTCTTGATCATCTTTTCTTGAATCACATTTTCTTTCTTGGGGTTTCTACTTTCGGATCTTAGGTGTCTGGCGTATTCTTATGTTTCTCTGGGTCATCGAATTCTCGGGTTTTATCATCATTCGTGGTCGGATGTCGCATGCTCGTTGCTCTGCTCTGTCGCCTGTCGCTCGCTTGCTCGTACGTCGTGTCCTTCTTTGCCACTTTGTCATATGCTACATCTACCTTTTTTGTGCTTGTATATCAACTTCTACTTTCATACCCTTCTCACGACCTTTTACGATCACAATTAGTATCTCCGAGGGTATAGTCCTCCCATTGTTTCTTCCTGCCTTTCCCAGTGCCATCGTACGAGGCTCCACACTTCATTGGGCACCTCGGGCCTTCTGCTCTCCCGAGAAAAGGTCGGCCAGCTCATTTCTCCGTAGTCTTTCGATTCGCATCCCTGTCATGTACGAAGAAGATGTAATACGGGGTCGGATAGTGCATCTCCCCATCCTTTGGCAGGTCTATTTACCGCGTACTCTAAAGTACTATACAATTACTGATATACAGTTGAACGTGAAAGCCGGCTCACCCTTTCTTGTCAGTATGTACGATCGTGGTAGTCATACTAGCCATTTCTTGGACGTGTACGATAGCGATGTCAGACGTACGCCCGATTCATTTTGCCGTGCCTCTGGGCGCTACAGAACCATACTTTCCAAATCGCGACGTAGGCCTTTTTGGGCCGCTCCTGTTCTTCGTGCCCGAGCTACTGTAGTTGTAGAAGAGTAGTGTACGATAAATGAGTGTAGCATAGTCTGTTCTTGCTTATTCGCGTTACTGCTCGATTCCTCTTTCCGGCCCCCTTGCGAATCCTGAAGGCTACCTGATTGACACCTCGGGGAGGGCTCGGGGTGCCACAGTGTGGCGCAGCGCCGCCCTATAACTGGCTAAGTATCCGCGGCGGATTTGCAGATGGCTCTAGACGAGCACGAATCGGGCATTTGGGTGGATAGCGCCTGCGCAGTTGAGTGCGGTCGAAGGGTACCTCGGGGATACATTGTTCGGAGGAGCTTCAACGTCAACTGAGCGCTGAGAAGTGGCGCATCATCCGGCCGCGTCTAATAAGATGTCAACTGCTCGTCCACCCCGATCCATTTCTGCCTGCTAAAGGCGTCGCAGCGAAGGAAAGAGGTATGTATGGAAATTGTTAGTACGCCGTATGTGTACAAACAAAGATACAAGTCAAGAAATTAGGAGTACCATACTAGCTGTCTAATGCACATGCAAAGGCGTCCATACGAGCTCTTCACTCGAATAGAGCATCCGCGGATGTACCATACATAGGTCCCTGCTCGATGCAGCTAGGGAAGATCCTGACATTGTGGCGCGCGAGTGGCGTAAAGTAAGATCGAGAACCGGAAGGACTCGGGACGGCCCGGTGCCACTTTGTCCACAACCTGCGCAAGGAGTAGGTGAGTTCATAATACACAGTAGTCTTTCGTACAGACCTTTGCGTCGACAATTCTTCCTTATACGAGGGCGTGTCCGAGTGGAGATTGTACCTGCTTCCCACGCAATAATTTGAAACACCATGATGGACGCTGCCCATTAGCAGTACTAAGTATCCCGCATGGAATTGAACCTGAGTGGAGGGCGCAATTGGTGCGTTAGTACGATCGAGGACGATGAATTGATAACACGGCCAACAGGGACAGATTCATAGAATACGAGTTCATTCTGGAACGAATAAGCTGACGTGATGACCAGTTTGGCTTAGGGCGCGGAAAGTCGAGAGAAACACCACACTGCTACTTGTTTTCCTCGTAGTCGATGAACCCCCGGGTCTTGCGTAACTAGCCTGCGGAGAGTCAGTTGCAAGTCGAGAGAAAGATAGAGAGAACTGCTCACGCATACTCCTCAGGACAGTTTTAAATGTTAATGCAACAAAAAAACAGACCGTGTTTTGTAGCGCCCAATTAGAGCGGTGTCTTGGTCTCTTGACCTTGTTTCCGTTCACGGTAAAGAACATCCCGACAGATGATTACGTCGCATCCAAGCTCACTTTCGGAGAAAGGTTAGGAGCAAGATCAACGAATGAACCTCAACTTACCCTTGCAGTCGTGACTGTGCGCATAGAGAGACCCGGTATAGTCGTGGGTCTTTGCGCCACCATACCGCAGCTTGGCAGGTCCTACCAGGCCCTGCTCCGCGCGAACGTTGGTTCAGGGGGACTCAGGGAGACCAGAGGAGGGCAAAGTCGTCACAGGTATATGACCGAGCCGCCTGCGCACCAGTGGGTCCGTGTGGTTCGATAGCGTGCGTCGTGAGAAAAGCGTGTACGTGGGCAAGTAAAGAGCTACCAGCAAATTTGCCTCATGATTCAATGCGCAGGGTCACCACTGTGAGAAAAGTGTCGGGAAGAAAAAGCATAGGGTTGATTCGTATCGAATGAGTGGCGAGGAATGGGCTGGGCCCAGCAATGAGCGAATAGCGCGAGGGCTGTGGAAGAAAACGCATATAGACTACGGTAGGCATTCAAGTTTGCTCTCGATCTTCGGTCTTATAGTTGGAGTGACTTGGCCATGCCGGTGGTTACGGCGATACTCTCTCGCATGCAGCCGTGCCTTCTCATGAAACACTTTGAGGGACCACACACATATAAAGTTCCAGCGTGCGGCCAGTCCTAAGTAAATGAGCAGCGGCGAATCGTGAGAAAACTATGATACCACGAAAGAAAGGTCAAAGGACACTCCTCAATGACCCATACTCCCGTGATGCATGAGCATGAGGTTCATAGAAGTTGAACCCCGAAGACCCTACTGCTTCGTCGAAGAACGCCGGATTCAGAGGCTCTGGAACTTCGGGCGTCGAAAAGGTCAACAAGCGGAATTAGACCCTGTCAAGACTGTGAAGTATCTCCTTTGGAGCGATCTGATAGCACGCGGAAACTAGCGGTACGCGCTTCCAAAGCATCAAAGAAAAGTTGCATCGAATACGTACCGTCATTCTTCGAGGTCCTCCAGGCGGAGGCAATGGGGTAATTTACGCAATAACCAGCGAAAGCCCCGCGACTACGAATGTTCAAAAATGGACTTGGACAAAGTCCCGCGAACGTAAACAGGAGCACCACGAGGCTCGCAGAGCCGCTCACGCTGGAACGGAAGGACTATTGATGCCGCCGAAGAGTCGTCAAAAATAAGATCTATGCTCTCATCAATCTGCCAACATAAACTAAATACAAAAGGTACTCATAGGCCGAGTTGCTGCTCCATCCGTATCAGGCTGTCGATCGTCTCTAACACTGTCTCTCTCCAGCCCCTATATCGCTTGATACCTAGGATCTGACGAGCGCTACTTGTGTCAAGAGACGCACAGGGCTGCGCGTTTGCCTCCTCGTACTTTGGAAGCCGGTGCTGAAGTTGTGGTCTCATTTTGGCAATGAGTTCGATGGCGTCTTGCCATGTAAATGATCCGCCCGAGATGAGTATCCTTTTAGGCTGCTTCGACGGGGGGGTTTTGAGAGCAAGGACGTGCGCCCGGGCCAAGTCTGAGACGTGGACGAACATGGGCATAACGGATGATTGAGTGGAGAGGGAGCGATCTGGAGAACCGCTGATGAGGGCGTATAGGAGGCCGTTGGAGTTGAGGCGCACAAAGCTGTCATTGTCGGTCACCTGGCAGTGGCCATACGGTCCGTAGATGAAAGGTGGATGAACTATATGGTATGAAACTTGGTCAGTACCAGACCAATAAGGTAAAGTACGAACTGAAAACATACTAGTGGTGACATCCACATCGGGATGCTTGATGTGGAACCGGCGGAGTTCTTGCTCGGCCAATGATTTCGCAACTGCATATGCATCAAAGAGACCGCGATCCGGATCGAAAGCATCTTCATAGCACTGCGTATTCCAGTCTTCCCGCCATCATGTCAGTTATCAGGGCATCAGAACGCAGAATCGTTCGACAACTCCAAGACGTACCGTTGACTCCGATGACACGGCGTTTCCAAAAGTCCTCGAACTTTGCCATACACACGATTGATGAAGTCGCGACAATCTTTTTGACGCCTGCCTTGAGAGCATGCCGAAGGATGTTTTTGGTACCCGAGACCGCTCCCTGAACGTGGCATGAGAATAAGCGGATATATGTGCAAGTGACGGGAACGCACCTCTAATACCACTTCGGGTGAGCCACCCAAAGGACAACCGACGTGAATGACAGCGCTAACGCCCCTAAAGGCTTCTGTCATGTCACTTGTGGCGAAGTCCGGCACAATCGCAACCTGAAAACGGTTGCGGTAGGCAGTTCCCGCATAGGCATCTCTAACCTGCTCCGCCTTCCTTGCCGAGCGAGCAGTTCTATACGGAATTCAGTTGTTGCACCAGTAGTGACGCAATATGGAAGGGCATACCCTCGGACTAAGTAGCCGGCTTCGAGCAAGTGATGGACAACATGCGAGCCGGTGAAACCAGACGCAGAAGTGATCTTGAAGTGATGAAGATATGTTCATGGTATGTCGAATAGCAAGAAACGGGAATGCACATACCAAGACCCAAGACATGGTTACCGTACCGAGATGGTAACACACAGTTAAGAAGTAAGTGACGAGGTGGGGAAGGAGAGGAATGAAGTTTCGTGGGGGAGAGAAGTCGACAAAGAGGAGGTGATGGGGCGACCGTCTACGCTGCTCTCATTTACTTTATACCATTTGCACTCAGGCAAGATGGCGGAAGTTCCCATGCAGCGAGCAGCAGGTGCCTGTTTGACAGGTGGTGGTATTCCGGGCAAATAGACTAGAGCTTAAGCGTCGAAATGGAGTGTGAGAACGTTCTTCACACCACTTCGTAGCGAGCCTGTTTGAAGATTTCAAAACGGGAACCACGCGGGAAGAACGGTGTCCAAGATGACTTCCTGGGATCGAGCGAGCACCCACCCGAAACTGGACCTCAGCATCATTACGTTCCCACGATGAATCTGGAAACCGGGGATCTTTTCCAGGAGCCAATCCCGGTCCCGAGATAAACAAAGTCCTTCGACGTAGAACACAAGCAAACAGGCGCGCGGCGGCAACAAGGGGCGAGGGATACTCTGGACCTCTTCATGCTATTCCATGCCACTGAGTAGCTAAGCTCCCATCGTCTACTACCGTGAAAGTACAGCGGGACTGCTCAAAAGCTGGCCGTGTGCTAGTAATGGAGCAGTGCTTGATTGTGTCCGTCGACGCTGCTCCCCCTAATGCACCACAATCCCGGACTACCGAACAATTGCAGTCTTGGATAACTGAGCCGAACCTGGATTCATGGTCCATGCACACTCCGTAGAGTATCTGCCACAAGGCTGAGATGATGGGAGCATGAGGGGAGTCTCGACACATCGAAGCTTTCTCAAGCCTGGATGAATGGCTCTTTTTTGAGGTATGACGCATAAGCACTACAACTTAGGTTATGAGTGGGTGTATACGGACATATGGCCAAGTCTGCAGAGAACATATACCTATCCTCGTTATTGGCATTGACGCAGTGACAATCGCGGCCTCTTGACGTAGCCGCGAAGGCAGGAGGTGAGCCCAGAAAACGAAAAGACATGGCACACCTATAAGCGGCCACTTTACCATACATCAAGCTCTAGCGTTGTGACTCTGGAGCGGCCTCAGCTCATCAAATCTATAGAAGGATAGATGCATGGCGAGGACGGACGCATTTGGGGTGAAGGGGCCCAGGATGAGGGCAAGTATATGCGCGGGTATTCATGCGTTCATGCCGAGCACCCGAAACGAATTCAGCAGGAAGGGTGAGGGCTACAGTGCTGATCGCAGCATATGGCAACTCAGACAAACGATAATGACTGATCTGATGATAAGGAGGAGCATACGTGGATCCTACATGTCATCGCATTCAGTTGCAATGTCAAAACACCGAAACAAGAAAAACAGGCGATGCAGAGTTGTTCACTCTGCAAAAGCACAATGAATGGAATGGGCCAGCGGTTTCCACGAAGAAGACTTTCTTCCTTTTCTGCCGAGTCGGCGGAGGATGTATCTCACAAACAAGCGTGACACGCACCTTTCAGGGGATTAATGTCTCACATTGTCTGAATGCGATGGTAACACCCAAGCCATCCGAGCGACTAGCGAGTTGATAGCGAGTAAAGCTGCCGTGTGAACGCTGAGAAAGTAAACAAATCATCAAGGAGAGACACCATTGCCCTGCGAAGTTTACTGAAGGAGTGGTTGCGGGCTTACCATTCAAAAAAGGTCTTTCACATCGTCCACAAAATTTCAAACCTTCAAATGGAATGCATATGGAAGTTGACACCACGAAGATCACCGACGATTGAGTCGCAGGCCGAGAGACCCGGCAGGTGACTATGTAGGGCCAAACCACATGGGAATCTTGTTCAAAGCGAAGATCGTCAGGGAGGGAGACGAAATTTCCACCGCTCCATGGTTCATCCCCAACAATCTCTCCGCCTATGCTCCAAATGATGGAATGACTATTGAGAGGCGCCGCATCCCGACCATATGCCTTTACGAGTACCAAGAACTTGAAGCAAAAACGGCCGAGTTTGAACAGCGTACACCGATGAGTTCCACTAGTCAGCGCTGTTGGGATCAGAGACAAGAAGAGACGATAGATATAAGGCGTGGTATCGCGCATGCCATTCGCGGATAGAGGAGTTGAAACTTGAAAGCTGTGGAATTGGGGACGTCGTCGTCGACAACGCCGTTCACAACGCGTTCCCAACAGCCCGCGCAGTCTGAATCGGAAAGTCAAATTGAAGCGGAGTCCAAACCATCAAAGCGCCCTCCGCCTTGCAACAAATTTCAACTTTGCGACAACCTAAACTCCTCGTCGTCTTGCCCGACCCACATTACTGTAGACCCACATCATCCGCTGGTTTTTTACACTGAAAGGCTGTCTCAGTGGCTTTATATCGGATATAATGCATCACTGGCTTCGTTCTGCAGCTACCCATGCTGCAAACCCCTATCGCCGACCCCTAAATGCAAACGCCGACCCGCCGTCGACCTCTCAATGACGCGTGCATATATTCACGTCTACTCATATAAAAGCCTGGTTGTACCCTCGCGGGCCTCACATCATCTTGATTCTCAACCACCCCTGTCAACTTTGCTGTCATGTCTCCACCAGCCAAATTGCTCACACGCAAGATCGGTAAAGAGGATGTCACAGCGATAGGTACGTGAAGTCCCTTGATCCTCATGAACACGCGTGCATCTAATAAACTTCCTTCCTTTACCCAGGCTACGGAGCGATGTCTTATGACCAGGGGACTGAGAACTTTGAGGAGCGCTTGAAGGTGCGAAGACACCATATGTGGGCACATTACCGATGCTCTTCTAATGCACAAAAATCCAGATTTTTGATGCAGTGTATGAAAGCGGCTGTACAAACTGGGATACAGCTGATATCTATAGGTTCGTCAATTTATCACGCGCGATCTCAGATTGAACGAGCTAATATCGTTTGTGCTTGGGTACAGCGACTCTGAGCTGCTTATCGGCGAATGGTAGGTTGTTTCTCAATATGCATCGAATTTTCGCGGGCTGATATACTCTCATATATCAGGTTTAAACGTACTGGCAAACGTTCTGAGATCTTCCTCGCCACGAAGTTTGGGTTCTTCCTGCAACCCGACAGACTGATCAACGGCGATCCTGAGTATGTGAGAACCGCCGTGGAGAAGTCCTTGAAGCGTCTTGGGACGGACTACATAGACTTACTCTATCTTCACCGGTAAATTATCGTTGCCAATTCCCGACTGTACTCCGGGCTAATATATAATTTAGGGCTGACCCTACGGTACCAATCGAGGTCAGTTGTCTGCGTCGGCCGTTCGCTGTATCCGTCAACTCACTGTGAGGTCGCTCATTTCCACAGAAAACTGTGGGTGCAATGGTAGAATTCGTCAAGTATGTATTTTCATGCCTCCGCCCAGTGTTAATGCACGCCAGCTCAACAGTCAAACGCATCTCTAAGGTCAGGCAAGGTCAAATATCTCGGTCTCTCCGAAGTCTCCGCCGCAACACTCAGGCGTGCCAACGCCATCTACCCGATCTCTGCCGTGCAAGTTGAATACTCACCTTTCACCTTGGACATCGAGGATCCGCAAATTGCATTCCTCGCTGCGGCGAGAGAGCTCAAGATCCCCATTGTTGCATACAGTCCACTTGGTCGCGGTCTTCTTACAGGCAGATACGTACGTACCGATCTATCCGTCGACTCCAACTTACCTTCGTGCTCTCTGTTCTACCTGCAACCCTAATGCTGGCCCATTCATATCAATAGAAAGGCCCGAACGACTTTCCCGAGAATGATTTCCGAAGGATTACGGCCCGATACTCGGAGGAGAACTTTCCCAACATACTTGCTCTCATCGATGATCTGAAAGCAGTCGGAGACAGGCACGGTGCAACTCCCGGTCAAGTCGCGTTGGCGTGGTTGCTAGCCCAGGGAGACGACATCATCCCTATCCCCGGGACTAGGCAGGTCAAGGTCAGTAACTTTACGCCTTCGTGGTCACGACTGAGTCTGACTCATCATGTCTTGATCCCGACTTGTATGGTGCAGTATTTGAAGGAGAATATGGCGGCGTTGGACTTGGTTCTCACCCAGGAGGATATTGATGCAGTCAGGAAGGCTGCTTTGAAGGCTGATAAGGTCAAAGTCGGCGAGAGAGTGAGTCATGTTTTTATTATATATCAACGATATGTATCGGGATTGATGGAAATATTATCTAGTATCCTATGGGTATGATTCAGGCCTCGTTTGCAGATACGCCGCCACTGTAGGACACAGCGGACAAACACTGTCTAGCTTAACGGCGTGATTAGGGCTTGAATCAGGTTGTATTTGTACAGTCTGGCAGAGCTGAGAACCTCTGATACTCGTTATAGACAAGGGATGCAATGTAATTGGTAGGAGCGTCCTGAGTCGCCATCGCTTGTCTTTGTTTCATCAGTATGTGACCACGGACACCTCGTCTGATCCTCGATGAATTCCACATCTATGTCTGTCCTAGTGTTATCGGATACATTGCTAAACATTCTAGTGGCAACAGTTTGCTGAATGGAATCTTGGCATGGTCTTTTGTTGTATATGTGTGCTTCCTGCGCCACACGGTTCGCATCGGGTGGCACCGGAGCGGCAGTTGCCATCGGAACATTTCACAAACACCATTCCAAGCAACGTTTAGGAGTGTTTAGGTCGAACTTAGATCGCTTATGAGGACACCACTTGGACACCATGTCCTTTCGACGATAGTTGATGTTGGCAGGACCTGCCGCCAAAGTCGCTGTTAGAACGATTCGATATAGATATCGCAGCCCCGAATCCTTAGGGACGTTCAAGTTGTGCCCCGCGGAGACTCCAATCTCAGCTTGCTCTGGCGCTTGCTTCAAGGTGCGCCTTTCTCCATTAAGTGTTATACAGCATTGACCCGCGCTTTATGACAGCGGGGAATAAATTACAAGGGTGCGTATGACGGATCACGAAGACAGATCCTTCCAGGTCCTATGGCGCGACGGAACATCTTGAAAGAGCTTAGGAAGTTCATGCCAATGACTTCGAAGTTTCGCTACGAGCCGCCGTAACCACTTGCCAAAACCTTCTCATATTGTACGCAAGTCAAAGCATCAATACTAGCCTCCCGCAACCTTCCAATACGTTGGGCAGGTTTCCCAGCCATAACGGGAAGTACTACGCGACACACAACACGCTCTGTCTTTTGACCATACGATAGGTGAAACACTATCCCTTCGTTAATGGTTAGCTATGTCCGAGGCCCGAGACTAACCATAAGGGTCACCCTCAAAGGTTCGTAGGGCCTCGCTATAGCCTACGCACCAATGGCGCACTTACTATAGTCCCAGCACAACTTCCTCTGAGGCTCGGATTAATCATCGCACATGCGCGACCCCATGAGCCTCATCGATACTGGCGTCTTAGCCTTTTCGGTAGTTCTCTCCATACCTACCTACTAATGCAGTAGACGCAACACCGATGACCTTCCATATCTTTTAGGGCCCGTATCTTCATTTCTCGTCGGGAATATTGAAGGCGTTCAATGTTCCCGAGGACGATCACCCCTTGAGTTTCCAAAACGGTAAAACACCGCATCATTTTGGTTCATCACTCACCACACTTCCTCCGACACCGTCGAACCCGCCATGCTGACTCGGAATTTCGAAACATTGACGAGCGACATCGTATTCGTTCACGTTCCAAGACAGGAGGCCGTCGTCGTCAACTCCGCGAAGGCTGCGGAGGAAACCTTCGATACATGATCCGCTCTCAACTCCGACCATCCATGAATGGAGAGGCCACATTGGTAAATCTTTCGTCCCATGAGGTGATGTTCTCAGAGGATTCAACCAACCCAGCGCGTTTGCTCCTGCTATCCAACGCTCGATCAGGATGGGCTTCCAAGTCCTTGATAGGTCGGGTACCGTTAGGTTATTCAGACATCTGGAGGATCCGACAGAGTATATCCCACCAAATACTCCGCTCAGATTCACTCGCCGCATATCCGAGACCTACCCTACCGCTCGACATGGTCAAGGGGTGCACAAATTAAGTATATCACTGAAGCCGATTAACACCGCTAACGAAGTGAAACATCAAGTTGCCCACTACTCTTACTCCTTTCCAGCCCGCAAACGTTGTCATTTTATCTTCATGTCTATTAATATGCGAGTTCTCCATTGAAAATCGCATATGGATGTGGTGGGTGACCCCATGGCAGAACGATATATTGACAGCACAGAAAAGACAAAGAATACGGTGAGTAACATCGTGTTTTCCGGGGCGTCATGCTGAATATGTTCCCTGTTCGTAAGCTACTAGCAGTTTTTTCCCCTTAATCCCTCCTGCCAGTGTTGCCCGTGGTAGGGAAGTGCAGGCAATGGGCAGACGAGCTGAAGGATACCAAGTAGCCTCCTTTACTATGTTACTTCAATCTGACATGGCGAGCTCTATCCATCGACTGAGGTTCTCAGGTGAACTGGCGTGTTCGCTGTGATCACTTCAGACAAACAGTCAATAAATATCGTCATCAACGGCGAAATATCTTTGGGGCCTGGAAACTCGAGGAACTTGGGCGAAACGGGATGAGAGGATGGATACCAACCATCTAGGTAAGTACGATAGCCTTGTCGAATACTACATCCACAAGTACGGCGAACGTAGTGAGCTCTCTTTATTGGTTATTTTCTCGCTGACCTCCTCGCTAATACTCGCCATGATCACCTTGTCCACAGCCCAGTGCTACTGGTCCCCAACCTTCTAGCCATCCACAAGTCGCGCAGGTGACCCGTTCTGGATGGTAGGGCGTCCCTCATGTTGTTTTCGCACGCGTCTCGCAGAGTATAACGTATCGTCTTCCGAGGAATTCCGAATAACCCGACTACTTCGAACTTGAAAGAACTTCCAGCCTGAATCTTGCACCGTGTCCATCCCCTATGTAAAGTTTGTGTCATAATGATCCGCGAGGCCGTGGAAACTAGAGCTGGCAAGACTCCGAGGATCGATTTGAATTCTATCGTATAAGGTTGTAAGTGGGAGGTCAGTAGTATCGTTAGTCCTTATCGAAAGAAATCAGAAAACCACTCCTCACTTTTCTCTTCCCACAACTCGCACTGTAACAAATGCAAATTCCTGTTCTTCCTCGACTTCGCCCGCAAGGTCGGCAGTGGGAAGCTGAAAAATAAAAATAAAACGCTGGAGCGAACGCGAGAACGAGGAGTTGAGTCCGGGTCACGGTGTTGCCCGTGAGATCTGTGTACGTTGAATGACGAGTGGCGAGCGACGAGTCCGGGGAAGTGAGATCGGGGCTCAACTTGCACAGACTCAAAATAACCTGCAGGAAGCGGGTGGTTTGGGCATTCTGCGTGGGATTCACACGCGTATGGAAGCAGAATCCAGAAGTCAAAGCTAAAACCGAGGCCCGCGAATTCAAGCTTCAAAGCTCCAGAGCCGAAACCGCGGCTGGGGAGCAGGAGAATAGGCGGATGACATGGAAGTGGAAGATGGGATGGGATGATTTCGACTGAGCGATTCAGAGTTCGCGTGGTTTGCGTGGTTTCAAGGTTTGAAGCTCCAAGAAGCGGAGTCTGACTCCGCGATTCAGAGGAATCGAAGGAGGAATTGCTCATAGTGAAGCTTTCAGGGGCGCTCGGCCTGGTGGAGGTGACCGAGTGAGTCAAAAAAGAAGACAGACTATAGCTATCGCAGTAAGAAGAGAGCTGTCAGTGCAATCCAGAGGAACGCGCTTGGGGAGGGAGATGAAGATCGTGAGAGGGAGGTGAGAATATGTTCTTCCTGGTCACGGTTCTGGGTTCTCGTTATTTTCATTTCCCGTTCCACTGTTGTTCAGTCGAGTCAGAACCAAACATGAATGAAAGCAGTTCGCGAACCGTCTCGCGAACCACAACTAACGTCTGTGGAAAACCCCAGGATGCCGTGAGCCTGCACCACTCAACATGACTTGGCATGACGTCCATGTTCGTGGTTCCAACGTTGATAGCCTAGGACACGAAATCAAACAATAACAAACAGAGACAATAACATCGCCAATCTCACGGTCAGAAAAGTCAATTGCAGGGTTTGATAGTACTGCCTAAGCAGAATACAATTCGTCAAATACCAAACATGATCACATCGAAGCCCATGGGCAATAATCCATGGCCTATACGAGGCGGTCCGGGCTGACGTGGAAAGTAGGGTAAGTCAGTAATGGTCTTGGAAAAGTGTAAGTCACGGGGTACACACCGCTGCTCTTTCTATAGAGAATTTATTCCTATCCAAAATATCTGCCAAACCCTTGTGGGTGCAAGCTGGCATGATACGTGTGGCGTAACCTCCGCCAACCAACCTGTCGTGCACACGGCAATCATCCATAGCATGGTGATGAAGGCCGCAGAGATGCGATCGCGAGACTTCACATCCAAGCTCACCCAGAGCAAAGCAACCGTAGAGCCCTGCTCCCTCCAGCAGCTCAGATAATCCACAGCAGATGCAACCTTAGAAACTTAGCCCCTGTGGCTCCTGTGGCCCAACCCCCCGACTAACATCAACCTTCCAGATCTTCTTCCCACCGCCGCGTCCTTCCGAAGGCCCGTTTACCGTACTATCCATGTTCATTCCATCGTCTTGTCCGATTTCGCCTCCTGGACTCGAATTGGCGCGGAGACTAGGCTTGATGCCGAGGGATGCACATAGGACTTTGTAGCGAGAACGGATTTGGCGCTGCAGGGACGATATATCCAGTTCAGAAGACGGCGAAGATGTAGCGCTCAGTATTTCGGTATGTGATGTGGAGGAAGGAGCGGCAGGGGCAGGGGCAGGGGAAGGATTTGTTGCGGGAAATTGGGCAAGGAGGGAGAGAAGGTGGCGGGCATGGTGAATTGCACGTCTAAATGTCTGGTAATTAGTAAAGGCGAAGGCAGTTAGTGTGTACAGCACGCACTCATTCACATTTGTCCCATTCGAGGTCTGGCTCTCCGCGACTGTGATCCAGAACTTTGCGAATCCGGTATAAAAACCCATCTCCTCCCACATCTCGAATCCTTTCTCGCGGCCAAGCGCCCGACCTTCGATGAGGCCGTGAATGCGGCCGTGTGTATGACCATCGGCATAGCCTTCATCGTAGAACCTGAGAGAGAGTATGAATGGCCAGAAAGACATTTTGGAAAAGGTACACGAAAACGCACGACTGCTCGAGGTTAACCAGAGATTCGAGGTCAAAATTTGTGGCGTCCATAGTGAGCTTGTTGTTATTCCAAGTACAGTGATAGGCTTTTCCAGAGTACAGAAAAAAAAACAGCGCAGACTAAGATACACAGAGAATATCTGTGGGGGTACGATGGCTAGGGAGAAGAGACGATAATATTTTGAATTCCTGATAAATCACTGTTCCGAGGATGTGGCGCAGGCATCCCCCCCGCGCGTGGCCGAGAGGCTCACAACGGCCTTCGGCGCCATCCCGTCGTTGTCTTCGCCCCCATCGTGCACGACGTCGGCGCCGTATAAATACCCAGCACAGCGAGCATGGCCACCGCAGCAACGATGTCTTCCTCACCCATCACCCAGGTCTCCCAGGTCCCCACCCAGGCTCACCTCCAACCGCCTCTCCTCACCCGTCTCTCGCTCGATTTGCGCGGCAAGCGCTTCTCTGTCGACCGCGAGACGATCATGAACCTGCCTGAATCTGTTCTTCTATGTCTCTTTCCAAACGGCCTGGTGCTCAGCAGACAGTCGGTTGCGCTCACGGGGACAGACACGGGTGACAACTCTGAGGAAGAGGAGTTGTACGGCGTTGACGTGCGTATTTTGTCCTATATATCCCTGGCTTGTAGTCTAACTTTGCCGGCCATTCGCATTGGATGTTGCCTACAGTTTGACCCAGAATGCTTCTCATATGTCCTTCAATTCTTCCGTACCGCACAAGACGCATTCTACGGCACCGAAACCTCCCCGGGTCTGCTCTCATTTCAACAACATCTCCTCTCTCCCACCGACGGGCATCCGTCCTCCCCAAACGAATACGGCGGCTCGAGCGGCTCGCAAAACCCTCTTCTGTCCAAACAAGCCATCATCGTGCTCCGCGAAGAACTCGAATACTTCTCCATTCCGCCTAAGGATCAGGCGGGTAACCTCGATGGCACGATTTCGGCCCAGAAGATCGGGACGGACGCGAGCGGGTTGGCGAATGCGGGCTTGCAGGAGTTGAAGAAGATGTGTGGGAATTATCTGTTGGACAAGAAGAATATCTTCACTGCGTTGCAGAGGAACGTGAACAAGGAGAACAATATTGCAGAGCAGCATCTGATTGACATGCTTTGCATGAGGTACGTCTTCTTTGCCTTGTCTATTCTAGCATCGAAATGTTTCAGTGTATTGCATGTTGTTTCGGGTATCTGACCGATCTTTGGGTGTATAGCGGATTTGACCGCGATGACGAGTGGGGTTACCGTGCTCTCGAGCCGTCCCGTTGTTGCATATCCTCCATCGCCCTCGTCCTCCTAAAGACCGGAATCACACACTCCACGTCGGCAACGGGAGAGAGGGACGTGAAAGTGGACTACTCGCAAATGGGGACCGCGCAGAAATTGCTTCTCTTCTGGAGGAAACCTGCGGTGAGTTTCATCTATTGCACGGAATTCACCGGCCATTCGGAGGTGCTGTAGTCTGGATAATGGAAGCTCATCTGGCATTCGGTTTTTCAGAGAAAATGTTGGTGGGATGGAATCCAGGTCGATGACCTCAAGCCTGCAAGCGAAGGACCAGACGCCCTTACTGGACTCACTAATGTCAAACTCTGGGCAAGGCGGGTTTGGACTCTGGAACTCTCCCTTGTCTGATGGACCATCCATTCTTCCCTTGACACCTTTTGATACGACGGAAGCTCTGGAGAAGACCGCAAATCAAGGGGGACAGTCGTGCGGGTAGTCAGAGAGGCTTACAGCGTCGTCGTTCACGGACGTTTTACATATCCGCCTCAAATGTCTCCAACTTCCCCGGCCCCTTCCGACCGTTTCCTCTTCCACACATCATTCAGCTTACCCGTTCCTGCTTCGTGTCTACCCTCTTATCATCGCATCAGCGCCACGCATACCTTTCCGCCTCTTCTCGTCTCTTTGGATTCAGTATTTATCTTGTTCGTGTCTAGGCTCTCCTGCAACGCAAAACAATTTACGCTCACCTTCTTTCCCAGCCTCAAACTCAAAGCCTTTCTCCGCCCTCATCGTCCTTCGCTTTTGCATCATCTTGCCCCCGATTTCATTCGGTTCTGGTCTACTTTCTATCTCTACTGTTCCTCTCACGTCTCTCCTACTGCTATCTCTTTCGTCACGGATACCCCTTACAACCAGTACTTGCAGTCGACCGCATACATGTTTTTTTTTTCTTTCTCCCCTCCTTTCTATACACTCTTCTTTCTTTCGCTCCTGCATGTATCAGTGATCACTAGCCCCTCCATCAAGACGACTGAAGTTCTCAGGTATCCTTCTCCTCCTAATAAACGATGCTATAGGTAATAGTGGTTGCTTTGGTATTTATCAAAATATTTGCGCAACGGGATGTCATGGACAGAACATGGATCTGAATCTGGATACATACGAGGGCTCAGAGTTGTGGCCCTGCCAGCTTCGCCCAATGCTTCCTCGCTCATAATCAATAAAATTAACGACGTTCAGCAAGTCTTTCATGACTGCTATATCATGCTTCACGTTATCATGTTTATCAGACAGTCTTGCCCAGTGCCCACCCAGGAGTCGAAAGTCGGAGTCCTCAAGCTGTTTCTCGGCCAACAGCGCGCCACACTGTTCCTTTTCCGGTCATGTGACTGACGCGCCAATCACGTAACGTGTCGATTGGCGAACGCGGTGAAGACGCGTTTGCGGCAACCGCGTCCCTCTTCTTCGTCTCCATCCACCATCTACGCGTCCACCGCCACTTCCTTCCCTTCCTCTTCTCCTTTTCTCCTTACCACCGTCATGGCCGACGGCACACAACCCAGTGCCCCCACCACGGCCAACGGTCACCACCCCAGCATCTCCGTTACAGCTACCACGACGACCGACCCCGCAATCCTAGAACAAGTCGTTAATCATGTTTTTTTACCCCCCAAACTGCCTTCTGCCGCGCCAGATGACGATACCGAACGAAGCGTTAATTTGTTGATGCTGGATGAGACGGACGCGGCCGCGAGGGCCTTTAGGATGTTTTTACCGCACGAGCAGAGAAAGCCGTGGACACAGATTTGTAGGATGTTGCTTTGGATGAAACAGGCTGCGAAGGCACCGCTTGAGGCGACGAAGCTGTCGGAAACTTTGAAGTCGATGCTGCCGGGAGGTGTGTATTCTCCTTGTCCTTTTTACGCCTTTTCTGTCTTTGTCTTTGTCTTTGTTTTGCGTCTCCGTGGACTAGATGGTCTTTTTCTGATGTGTGACATTTTGATCTTTTTGCAACAGATGTATTGGCTCTACATGTTCGCGCTCAGAACGCGGCGATTATTATTCGAATGGAGCAAGAAGCGACTGTATTCGAGGTCTTTGAGGTTTCGCCCCTCGCTTCGGAGGTCATAGCGGCGAAGGGCAAGCTTATTCGAGCGTTCCCTGGTCCGACTGTTGAGGTTCCGACGACAACAGTATCCAGTCAGGAATTTCGAGACGAGTTCTCTTCCTTCATCGCTCAGATGGACATAGACATTTTGGATGAGGTCGTGAAGAGGACAAGGACGAAAACTGGAATAAGGGAGGAGAAGGAGACGGCAGATCCTAAGTATATTTCCGAGGTAAGCCTTCCTTTCTCCATCCCTTTGATTACAAGATATTTATTAACGAGTCGTATATTCTAAATGTCCAGCTGTTGATCGGCATCCTGCGCGGAATGGGTAAAATCGCCGACGTTCGTCGTGTCGTCAAACGCATCGCAGACGACTCTGTGTTCAAAAGCTCCGGGAAGCCATGGCGCAGATCGAACATGTGGCTCATCCTCCGTGTAGCTATCCAGACGACTCTCGACGATGTGCACGCATATAAATCCTTCATGCTCTTTCTCCACGCGAAACTCCTCAACACATCTCGCGAAGCAAAGTTCAACAGTGACCTACTCTTCGCTATGCGGGCGAAGATGAGCCGACGATTATTCAAGCTCGGAACGCATGCTCCCAATTTCGTCGTCAAGGAGGTAAAGGAGTCTGGCGAGGCGACTGAGGTTTTGCTTCAGAAACGGTGGACGACTGTTCAGGAGAAGGCGGCAGAGTCGGCCCCTTGGCAGCCCGAAGACCTTCAGTTACTGGCCAATACAGCGATCACACTCCCCAACTCCCGTTCCTACATCTCCGGCGCTCTACATCCTCCAACGGGCCATAACAAGTCGAACGTTTTCAATCCGAACCACCACCCGCGCCTCAACTCGGTCACCAAGTTCGAAAAATTCGCAAAGGATAATAACGTGCTGACGCACGCCGTAGCGAAGGAGAAATACGTCGCGCTCGGCGATTTCGAACAAGCTGTCGCAGAGAATCTAGACGAGTGGGTCCGCAGCAAGATTACGGACGATGAGGCGTCCGATGTGGCGTGTAACGTCGTGTCCTCGTGCTTGACCCAGTACTACAGGGCCGCTTCGACACTATACGAGAAGGACGCGGAGGAGCAGTCCGTCATGTTGTTGACTGTTATGGAGCTGTGGGTGGCGCTGGACAAGCTCGCGACGGCTGCGTGTCCGTTGTTGGAACAATATTCTCCTGAGATCCCGGCCAATTTTCTCGATCCGCTTCTTTTGCGACAGGCGCAGGCTATCGAGCGCGCGAATAACGTCGAGAGGTACCTCCGCGGACGCCACGACCTCATTGTACAAGACACACCGGTCTTCTCTGACGCGATCGACTCCTCGTCGTTCGCCTACAAATACTTCGAGGAGTCCGCGCGAATGAAGGCGACAAAGAAGACCATCGAGGAGGTCGCCCAAAGGCGGAAAGCGGAGAAAGGAGCCGAGCTCGACCGTCTGAACGCGGAGTATGCTTCACTCATGGCGCAAGCCGACACCGTTGGCCACAAGACGTTCGAGAACGACGACGGGCTCCGGATCCACGTCAAGCGCGGCTGCAGGAAATGTGACCTCGAAAATAAAGCGAGCGCGTTGAAGATCAAGGTGTACGAGTGGCCGCTCCCGGAGGACGAGGAGCGGGTGCGTCGAATCGTGTTCGAATTGCAGGTCCCGCCTGCGTTTGCGTTTTGGAGAGACGTGACTTACAAGATCCTCGTCGATATCGGGGCGAAGGAGCCAAGGGATAAGAGTACGGCGCAGGTGGTGATTTCGGATTACGAGGGACTGATGGATTGGGTCGTTCATCCGCATGCACCGAGGGTGACGCTGGGTTCGCCGGTGAAGTCGTATACAATGTCGGTTGAAGCGGAGAAGAAGATTCCTGCAGACGAGGCGAGCGTCATTGTCAACAATGGGCTCAAGTTTCAGCTGTTCGATACCCTCGGCAAGTCGTGGGCTTCTCATCCTATCGACACTCCGGATATCAGGAGATTATGCACACTTTCGATTCCCGAGACGAGTCCGTACGCGTACCTCCAATACAGCGTCGAGAACACCACACATCAGCACAACCACGTCATCGCGACTCAGCACCTGTGTCCGAAGGCTTTGGATCTCCACGAGCACCACGCGTTTGCTTCATTGCGATGTGGATCTCTACTTCAGTGGATGAATATACTCCGCGAGATCGCGTCTAACGCGCTCACGTTCAATCGGGAAGAAGTTCATACGCTGATTACGCAGGCTGCGTGGCAGATTGGGGCCTTTTCGAAGACGGATAATCGGAGGGAGTGGCATGTGGATCTTGGGAGGAAGGAGTTTGGGAAGGTTTTGCTTGAGCAGTTACGGAAGCTGTTGCAACGGGTGAGGTCGAATTGGCTCGAGGGTGTTACTGTTAGGACTATCGGTGCGTTTCGTGAAATTTCCCCGTCGTTCTTAGTCTCATGTACACTTTGCAAAATAGCGCTCCTTGTCTCGCGTCTCCTCGCCACCGCCACTCAAGGCGAGATTCTCGAAGGGTCGTATGCTCTTCTCCGCGAAGTACGAGGAGTAGCCCTCCAATGGACTCGAGAGCTTGCCGAAAAGCTCCAGGGAAGCCACGAGGAAGATCAAGTCGCTCAGTACCAGGTTCGAGTCTGCGAGATGGCGGCAACTTGTCGTGCGACGTACGACGTCGACCCGCAGCACGTCAGCGAGGTCTGCCATACTCCCGAAGACATCGCCGTTCTCGTCGAATGCGCCATCACTGTACACAACAACACGCCAGCTTCGTTCAGCACGGCTCCCACGGAGCTCAAGAAACTACTCGCTCGGGATCGACGTCTCGCGCATCGTCTCGAATCACACCTCGCTCAAAGTATTGAGGCGGATCGGACTGGACTCGATAAGGCTATTCAAGCGCTATGGGCGAGTTATCTCCCTGGTGCGGCGTCTTGGAAGGCGGTCGAGGGGAGTCCACGTTGGTGGAGGACAAGGACGGATCTGCAGAACGGTCAGAGTGCTCAGCGTATACATATTAATCTTCTGTCGGGAGAGCTGTTGATTGCGGGGAAGCCGCTCGGTCGTTTACCCCGCGAGATGGTTAGTTCACAGACTTATAGTCGCATTTTTGGACAGGTACGTTCGACTAGTTCGCAAAGAAGTGTCTCCCTTTTCGCTGAATTTACTTTTATTTTTATCTTATCTATTCCTTCTAGAAAGTACTTGACGTTGTACCCTCGGATAGACCTGGCATGTCCTTCGCCACTCGGACTTTACTGGGCGACTACCAGGTAATTATCGCAAAGCCTTCTCAAATATTCCGTTATCGTACTAATATATCTAACGTGACTGTAGATTTACTTCGGCCACCGCCCAAATAACCCCGACGAACTGATCGTCCAAGCCAGACACGATAATAAATTCCTGGAACTGATCCCTCACGAGCAATTCACCGAAGATATCCCTTCCTTCCTGCTCTCCGACTACGCCCACTGGCTAGACCCCTCGACCCGCACGGTAGACTTCCGTCCTCTCGCCTCAGTATGGGATCCCGCCTCGTGCGAGTGGAGGCTTAACTTCTCCGATTCTCCAAAGAATACCTCCACCCTCATCAAGGTATCATCTTCAGAATGGCTCATCGACGTCCATAGCCCCACCTTCGAGATGATCGCGACACGCCTCGCTCATTTAGAGGCCGAAGAATACATCACTATCACTTATGGATCGATTACCCACCGTCTGTTGGTAGACCTTCCGCGTTTACGGCTCTCCTTCGCTTTGAACGAGGAACATCAACTGGAGTCGCAGAACATGCCAGGCTTGATCGTGGACGATAACCAGTCTTGTGGGACGCTGTTTGGACTTCGGAATCGGCTTGTGCTTTGCTCGAAGGACCCGCTCGCTAGGCAGCTACCCTTGTCTCGTCGAGTCCTCGTGCCACACGGTGAGGTGAAAGCAGCACAGACTGAGAAGCACGTCGTCATAGCTATCAATCCTGGTCAAGCCCGTCGGGTCACATATCACGAGTATCTTATCGACACCGACCTTGGTTGTCTGAAGAGCACTGTTAGTTTAACGAGCAGGTCAGTTCACATCCAGTCAATCTGAGCGTTCTATATATTGAACATTTTGGGTTTCAATTGAAGACTCTTCAAGGTTTATCTCCATGCCCTCACCAGCCACTGTCTTCCCGACCCTTTGTTGGGCCGTACCGGTACGGAGGAGGCTTTGGCGGAGCTCGAGTCAGCATCTTGTCGATCGTTCCAAAGGCTCGACGTCGCCGACGCTGAACTCCTGCGCAAGATCGGCGCGCTTACTCCCAATCGCACGAGTCCATCCTCTGGCGCCAATCCGAATGACAAGGGCTCAAAGACTATGCAGAAGATCGACTGGCTTCAGATCGCACCACTCTCTCAGCATCACGGCTTCGTACGGGCCACAAAATCCATCATCGAGCTCGCCAAGCGTTTGGAGATTTTCCAGAACGAGAAGGTCGAGCTGAACCCGTATGTCATCAAGCGGGACGAAAATCTACTCGAGCGAGCCTCCCGTCGAAACTCCATTTATTATTCGTGGTCCACCCCGTTCACTGAGTTGGAGTCCGACGTAGAGCCAGATGTCGAGTACGTCTCGAGGGATGCGCTACTTGATGGGGCGGACGACCGCGAGTACAGGATCTATAAGGTCTCAAAGTTCGCGCAAAGCCCTGAAGAGGACCTCGCTTATACGTCGCATTCTTTGCTGGGCATGATGAAAAACTGGAAGTTACCGATTGAAGCATCGTCCGAGGAGAACTGGTCCTTGTCATACTCTCGCGACTGGCTCCAGCCTCCCTCTCTGGCATCCATCTGGCTTGCGATCTACGAACTCTGTGTTTCGAATGGCAATACTGATTCTAAGCGCACTCGCATGCAGCTCACGTTCAGTCTTTCGGCGTTCAAGTTCGGTGCCCCTGAACACAAGGACCTCATACCCGTCATCCTCGCTTTTGCCCACAACCGTAAGCTCGCACAGCAGAATATCCTTCCGCCGCAAGACATCGATAGGTATAATCTCGCGGATGGATTTGAGCCGACGCAAGATAGGATTGAAGCGCTCATACTCCGACACCGGCTTGATGTCAAGGGGACGCCTGCTTGGTTCGGTCCCAAGGAGGCTGGCGAATCTACGAGGTCACAGCGAGCACGGCAGCGTCGTGAATGGTCGACTAAAACAACTGCGAAAGGTAAGTGTCGTGTAACTGTCTAGTCTTTTTCTCTTCTCTGATGTCACCTGTATTGCAGCATTGATGTGGGCGAAGGCGATCGTTGATCAATGGCAGAACTTGACCCTACCGCCGCCCGGCGGTGACTTTGCCTCTTGGTTTTCTGTCGCCCCGTGCAAAGAGTCTGTGCAAGCGTATCTCCGTAGCTGCCACAACAACAAAAAACTCGGTCTCCACGTCAAGAAGGTTGAGAGAACTCTCCAAGAGCGTAACCCAGGCGGCTACGAAACGTCGCGGGACACAGATACCTACAGCTTCCAACCGCCGTCGAGGGATTGGCAGCCCGCTCAATCTTCCATCGCGATGGACGAGATTTTCCAGACACGTCGCGCCTGGAGAACGAGGTCTGAGGATATCGTCAAGTTCTACGCCGCCACCGAGATAGACCGTGACAAGGGAGAACCTGTCGATACCGCGGACTTGCAAAACCTCCTCTCCGATTTCCGCCAACCATCTTCTTCTACGTTGCTTCGGAAATACGGTGACGACCTGGACCTCAGTCGAGCCGATCTGGAGGGAAAGAAGGATTCGCCCCTGCCCAGCCGCCTTTCCTCCTCGGAGGACCTTGAAACAATAAGGGCAGGCTGTCTAACACGCTTGGATGACGCATTCCAGAGGATCAAGGACAGGCTTTCGCCCTCGAACGCTCGTGAAGAAGTTCTCGCTACCGCGGGTTTGTGGCCGACGATCACGCACAAGTCGGTGCTAGGCCGGCTGGCTATGCCACATCGCACCAAGCTGTCCGAAGCCTGGAGAGCCGTATTAGTTTTGTTTGCACAAGCACTCATTGAGTACCAGCGGTGTATGCGGTTGATAGGTCTAGCAGCGAGCGGAAAGGTGGAAGAGTTCTACAAGGAGGCGGACAACCATGAATTTAACTACAGGGACGCCATGGAGTATCCAGATTGGTTGCTCATTCAGGTACGATTTGTCGTCTGTTTTGTCGATATTGATATTGATCCCTCGGACGTTTGACAGATTGAGGCCAATTTCTTCGCTCGCAAGATCCAAACTGACTTCGCTCACGAGATGATCGAACCTTCATCGAGGCGTAGCACTGTTCTTCAACTCAACATGGGAGAGGGGAAGTCGTCGGTCATCGTACCGATGGTTGCCGCCGCTTTGGCAGACGGTGATAAGCTCCTGAGGGTTGTCGTGCTGAAATCGCTCTCTAGTCAAATGTTCCAACTTTTGGTGGAGAGACTCAGCGGTCTGGTCAATCGGCGTATCTTTTTCATGCCGTTCTCGAGGAATGTTCAGGTCAATCGGGAACAAGTCACTCTGTTTCGCAAGATGTACGAACAAGGCATCGCAGAACGCGCGGTTCTCCTCGCCATGGTACGTAACTATCAAACCCATTAAAGTACCCTTTCAATCTTGCTCACATCCTACTCTAGCCAGAGCACATCTTATCGTTCCGCTTGGCTGGTCTGGACAATCTAATATCAGCCTACTCCGAAGAAGAACAATCTACTGCACTTGCACTACAGAAAGTTCAAGACTGGCTTTCTGATAAAACTCGCGATGTGTTAGACGAAAGTGACGAGATCCTCCACGTTCGCTTCCAGCTCGTCTACACTGTCGGTTCACAACGTCCGCTGGAAGATCATCCAGATCGCTGGACCACGACCCAACAGATTTTCACCCTCGCGAAGCAGAACGCTCCGGCTATCCGACAACGCTTTCCCAAAGAATTCGATCTCGAAGAGGGTCCCCCGGGAACGTTCCCTGTCATGCGTATTCTAGGTGATGAAGCGGCTCGAGCATTTGTGGCAGCTGTAGCTAAAGATGCTCTCAGCGGTGGACTCTCTACTTTGACATTCGCTCTGCTCCCCAATGACGTTCGTAACGCGGCTTACAAGTTCATCACGGAGAAGGAGATTGTACAAGGCGAATTCCGGGTCCTTCGCGAGTTCTGTGGAGATAGTTCAACTTGGAAGGGTCTTCTCCTTTTGCGAGGCCTCCTTGCTCTGGGAATTATCGTTCACACCCTTCGTGATAAGCGTTATCGGGTAGATTTCGGGCTTGACCTTAGGTACGCATACATTCAATATGATGGATATAAGTTGCTAAGCGTCACTTTTAGTCGCACGCTCCTTGCTGTTCCCTACCGAGCGAAGGTGACTGCCGATTTCTGGACGACCGCTGAGTCTCATTGTTGATATTGTTCTATGCAGGATATTCCCAGTCTGCGTTCAGAGTTCGGCCACCCAGTGAGTGCCACGTACCATCCTTTATTATGTCTATGACTGACTTGAGGTGCGATGACAGGATGTCGCCATCTCGTTGACCTGCCTGAGTTATTACTACTCATCTCTCACCAGCACGCAACTCCGCCAGGCCTTCGAATCTCTCTACAAGCTGGACAATCCTGCACTAGAATACGACCAATGGATCCGCGGAAGTGACGGATGCATTCCAAAGGCGCTTGGTCAACTCAGTGGTATAAACGTCAAGGACCACGACCAATTCAACAGTCTTGTATATCCTCTGTTCTCGAGGAATCACGCGGTCGTGGACTTTTTCCTTCGTCAGATCGGTAGGGTCTCTCAACTCCCTGTACTCTATCTCTTTGCTAATCCCTCTTGCAGTCTTCCCGAAAGAGGCTAAGGAATTCCCTGCGAAGCTACAAACTTCAGGATGGGACCTCGCCGCTACGAAGACTCACGTCACCACTGGCTTCAGTGGCACCAATGACAACCGATATCTTCTTCCCACGTCCATCGTCCAGGACGATCCCCTTCGTCAGCTCAGCACGAATGCTCTGGTGCTCATGTACCTGCTTCGACCGGAGAACGACGCATACGTCTGCACGCAGAAGGCCGCAGACAATCACGCTTGCTCAGCCAAGCAGTTCTTGAAATTGCTTGTTCAACAAACTCCCGAAGTCCGTGTCTTGCTCGATGTCGGTGCACAAATGCTCGAGCTGCAGAACCAGGCCCTTGTTGCCCATTGGCTCGAATTGAGACCAGATGTCGCCGCGGCAATTTTCTTCAGCGAGGCGGACGAGTTGGCTGTGCTGACGCAGGATGGCGCCGTCGAATCCTTCATATCATCTCCCTACAAGCAACAGCTCGACAAGTGTATAGTGTATCTTGACGACGCTCACACTCGAGGTACTGACCTGAAGCTTCCCCCGGGTACGCGAGCTGCAGTCACGCTAGGTCCCAAGACGAGCAAGGATCGCTTACTGCAAGGTAACTTTACCCCGCCACTCGGCTCAGCTTCGTATACTGACTGAATCTACTTAGGTTGCATGCGAATGCGGAAGTTGGGAAAGGGCCACTCCGTTATGTTCTTCGCCCCGCTCGAAGTCGATCGACGCATTCGACACGTCGCCAACAAGGGCCCCAGAAACAAGCTCAAGGTCTTAGACATTCTTCGTTGGTGCATGCACGAAACTGTCGCGGATGTGACGCATCACCTGCCTCATTGGGCTCAACAGGGTGTCGACTACATGCACAGGAAAGAGGCAGAGGAGGAGTATCGCGATGTATTGTCGCCCGAGGACGCAGATATCAAGGTCCTCGAAAGAGGCTGGAAGCAACAGGAGTCTCAGACGCTCGAGGAGATGTACGGTCTGTCTTCGTCACTCTCGAATACGCAGCAAAGCTCTCCTCAGCACAAAGCTTTCGAGGTACCCGAATTACGAGAGCGCTTGGAAGAGTTGGGGGTGACCTTCTTGACGAACCCGAAGATGGAAGAGGGTAAGTACTTATTTCATTATCCATGTTACAAATTATACTTATTTCTGCGTCGCAGAACAAGAACGCGAAGTGGCTCACGAGGTCGAACGTGAACGTCAAATCGAAAGGCCAGCACAGGCTGGGACGGCCAAGCCCAGACTGCACCGTGACCTTGAGACATTCATTGAGACTGGCAAGGTTCGCGATGCTAACGGCGCAGGTGGCGTAGGGATCACCAGCCTCTTCCTGCCTCTCCACAGAGGTAACCTTCGTGACGCGAGGGAAGTGTGGTCGCCATCCTTGCTTTCGACCTGGGACTTCATCAAGACGATAGAGGTTCCCGGAAGCAAGCCTTACCTCGACGAGTACCTTCGTCCTGTCCAATGGATATTGTCCAGCGTTGTTCAGGGCCCCATGATCCTCGTCGTTGTCAGCCCCTTCGAAGTCAACGCATTGCTACCGAAAATCCGGAACAGTCAATTCGTCAACCTACACGTCTACACGCCTCGCGTAACGCAGTCTATGCAGTCCTTCTCCGATCTTCGCTTCTTCACTGTCCCTCCGTTACCTGCAGACTGGACTGGACCACCGATTCCTAAGGTCCAACTTCAGCTCGACCTCTTCGCGGGACAGTTGTACCTCCCGAACTACCCGGCATACCTCGAACTCTGCACGTACCTCGGTATTTACACTGGGCCGAGCGATGGTGAAGACGTGGACATGGATCTGAACATTCAGAGCGACGGGTTCATCCGGCCGGAGGATCGTCCTGCGGGACAGCAGATGGCCATGATTTGCCCATTTAACGAGAGCCCGTTGAGTATACTAAAGCAGTTGGTGGGCCTGAGGAGGAAGGGGATGTCGTATCAAGCTACGCATATGGGGAAGATTTTACATGCTCGTCCATTAACGAAAGGGGAGTTTGAGGAGGAGGAATAATTGTTTCTTACTGACCATTTATGTTGCTCATCTGTCTCTTATCTTCTCGATTACCTTCTTGACCATGCTAATACTATTAGACACAATATCTTACACCATCCAGTGCTTTTATCGTGTATGTACCTGCTTCGAGGCTTCTCTACATCCAACGTGTACCTATTGCTCACGTATTACTTAGAGGTTCCCTGCTTCATTTTTACCATACCTCTGTATAGTGCTCATCCGATACCGAGTCGGTGTCCTTATTTCATTATCGCAGACACAATTATTGCCATTCCTCTTCGGGTCGCGTCGTTCACGATGTTTCCAGCTTGTTCATCGTTGCCCCAAATAATCAATGGCTTTTCGAGGTCTCCAGGTGCCAAGCACGTACATTGCAGACTCAAACGATAGATCATGTCTGCAGAAAACCCATTATAGATATAGCAAGGATACATTGAATACAGGTGATGATGACTTCTGCACCACATCACAAAGTTCATACACATTGAACGTCGCCACATACAATATCAACGCAGAGAGAAATCAACAATCTAATTGCAGCAGCTGCCATGCGAGTCGCCGAAAGCAGGTACGCTCTTGGAATCTGTCCCACCAGGAACGTCGAGGGATGGGTTGGCAGTGAAGAACGAGACAGGCTTGAGCGTAAGGCGGAGATGCTCGACCGGCATTCTGCATCATCCAATCAACGATGTTAGCAAAGACGAAACAAACAGACAAGTCTACCATGAAGCACTCACATAGGCCAGTCCTCAGGTCGAGCGATGTGGGTTGTGCCCACCGTCGCGAACACGACCAGGTCCTCCTGCTCGATGCTCACACCCTTCTCCGCATCCTCCTTCAACCAGACCCCCACACTATCCGCCGGCTCACCTCTCGCCTGTGGCACATATTTACCCGAAGGCCACATCCTGCTCTCCTTCTCCTCATCCTTCACAACCCATAACGTCCTCGCCGCAAACCTCGCACGCTCTCCGACCCAACCATCTGCCCTCGGCATAAATGGCGTCGCTCCTCCCTTCAACCCGAGCGCGTATCCAACCGGGGCACCGCTAGCATAGTGCTTCCTATCCGTGTTTACAATCCTCCACCTCCTGTCCTTCTCATAATTGACATCACGAGCGCCATCGGCTGCGGTCTTGAGGATCGTGCTGTCCGCGGTGAAGCCATTGCCGGCGAAGTTAACGGAGGAGCCAGTAGGAGCATCGACGCGGTTGATGTCGGTCTCCATGACGGAGTTGGAGAGACCGTCAATCATGGGATCGATACGGAAGGAGAACATGTGTTGGTGGTTGATGCCGTTGATGCCCGGGGCGATCTGAACTCCGTAGGGAGTGGGGTCGGATGGACCTGCGGTAGGGTAAACGTGAAGGATACCGGTGAGACGGATCTCGAATTCGATGGAGCCGTCTTGGTAGAAGAGGTAGTTCCAGATGTATTCTGTTTTAAAATGAAAAGCGTGTGTGAGTCCGGGGAACGAATACGAGAAAAAGGATCGCAAAGTAAAATTCACCGTAGTTGGCCAAGGTGCAAACCATGCTGACCACCAGGCGTCTGGCACGCACAGAGTGCGTACGACCGCCCACCCTGTAGTCGGTGTGCTTCCACAGGAGTCCGGCATCCTCTTCATGAATGCAGATAACGTTCTTGATCACGACGGCCGAGCCATCGTGGCCGGTGTAGACACCCGACTGTTTCGAGTTTGACGTTAGCTGAGGACATGCAGGACTTGAATACGCAAACACATACAAGGTAGTGGATCTGACCGAGGCAATCACATCCAAGCGAAAGCTCGTTGGCCATAGTGCCCATACCGTACTCACCGCTACAATCGAGAGATACCGAGTGTTAATCCAACTGGACTGGATGACCGATCTTAAAGAAGTAACGTACGTGTCGAAGGCAAACTTCCTTGGATGAGGGTGGGAGGGGTCGCCGTAAGGAACAACCATCTCGGCCATGCTCAGCCTGTAGAAGAGCGGGCGGACGGTGCCATCGTCGTCATACGTGATCGTCGAAAGGGCGATACCCTCGCGATGACTGAAACCTGTTCTAGGTCGTCAGAATGTAATCCAAAAAGATGTTGAGTGGACCAACCGATATGCATCTTCCACTTCTGCCACTCCAAGACGTTGCCGTCCATCTTGAAGCTGACACCTTCCGGCTGAACCACATGCAGCGATTTCGGAGCTTCCCTCTTCTTCCATCCGTCTCTGCCATCAACCTTCAGGTTATCTGTGTTACTCTCCAAGAGATCAGGCAAGAAGTCCCAAGGAGCCATCGGAGGAGGAACACGTTCACGACCAGATGACTCGAGAGAAGCTACGGCAGATTCTTCCGCAGTCGCAGAGAGTGAAGGAGGTGTAGTAGACTTGTCCTTCCGGGAGATGAGGGAGTTCTTGTCGTGCGAGGCCTCCTCAGGTTTCGACGCGGAGTAGGTGGGAGCGAAATCGATGTGGATGACTTTGTTGGAAAGAGAGTCGACGACGGGGACGAAGTCCTTGATTCGAAACGAGGCTTTAGTTCAAACGGCTAAGAGATCGAAGATTACGGTCAACATACCAGAGGATGAGCATACAGGTTATCATGCTCCGATATTCTCGCGAACAGAAGCGCCTGTTGTATCCTCTGTGTCTTAGGGAAACGATCGTCAAAGCCAACCGTCCAGCCGTCGGCGAAGATTTGGTGAGGTTCAATTCCTAAAAGTGATAATACGATATCAGGGCATGAAACAGGAAATACCTGGACACAACGTTGGGTTGGACGTAATACGCACCGACAGCCTTCGCGAGCTTTCTGACGGTCTCGTCGGCCCTCACGATTTCTTCGGCAGCCAACAGCTCGCCGGGTGAAAGTTGCGGCTGGGTACCCTCGGGGAGCTTTACGTTGACCTCGACAGACCACTGGGATGTTTCGTTGGAGAGTGCAACGACAGCGTTGTAAGCGTCTCTGCACAGGGCCACAGTAGCCATCAGTAAAGGTGCGCCACAGTGAACGGATCATGGCCTCCGTGCGAAACAAAGAAGCATAAGACTAACCCGGTGAGAACATCAAGGAACTAAAATGCATCAACAGCGTCAGCGTCATCATTCGACAGAAATGGATATGAACAGTATTAGAAAGGACATTGCTAGCTCCGTCGATTCATCAGACGGAGTCCGAATTCTGCACGCCACAAGGAACGAAGGCATGACGGCGCCACACGCTTCAACTAGCTGTACTGCTCCCTCGAGTGCTTGGCTTGAGAACGTTTGCGAGACAAGAGAGGCTGAGATTAATTTATCCCGAGACTGGCGCAGTCATCATCCGTGCTCGTCTCACGAACCTCGAGAAGAAGCAATTCACGTGCGTTTCATCTCTAAGCTCTGTGTACGGTTTTACGCCAGTGACCAGAACAAGAAGCAAAACAAGCGCTTCGAAGCGGACACAAAGATAGGATCCGGCCCATGACTGAAATAACGAGGGAGCTACCACACGCTCGTGTATGGAGAGCAATGCCGAAGCGATAGAAGGAGATGGACTCACGTCAACCTCAGCCTTTCTGACAATAGGGACCTTGTCCTTCTCGTCAACTTTGCCGCCGGGAGTGAGAGGAATGCCCAAGTGTGCGAGCACGGCGCGCTTGGGAGGGGGGACGAGATAGTTTGTGATAAACCGGATAGCCTTAATCTCTGTTTCCTTCGCGATATAGTGGCGAACAGCGAAAGAGACGGCTACGATCTAGGGACCGGCAACCAAAGCAAAAGGATTAGTCTCGGTCCAAATTTATACGACAAACAGCAGAAAGACCTCATCGGCGGAAAGAGGATCCAGGGGGTGAGATGGGTACGAAGGCTTCGGGAGGCCATCCTTGTGGGCCTCCTTAGAATATTGGACGGTGGTAGCAGTGCTGGGAGCGATGGGGGCGTCGTTGGGAGCCATAGTAATGAAAAATGATCCTTGAGACTAGATGTATATGTTCCGAGAACAAGAGAGATAGCTTGTGAGAGAGTGCGGGGCAGTATTTATACTCATCGTACTGTAAGACCCTCCATTCTGGCCGGTGGCGCTATCTAATCAACAGTCAAAGCGCTCTCCGTCATCTGGCCGCGGCGCCAATTATGCGCTCTTCATCCGCCTTCCGCCGGCGACATCTCTACCACCGATATTCGCCGCCTTTTTGCCTCATCACAAACACTTATAGTTACTGGCCAATGAGACATCCCTTAATTTTTTCGTAAAATGCTGTGGTTGAAGGCTTTCGTACCGCCGGAACATGTACCTCTGCGCGACTGCAAACGCAGGCAGATGCTATCTTTCAGAACCACAACGGTCCAGACGGCAGATGCATATCGATGAGTCTCCACTTCGCAAGAGTGATGCCTTTCCTTTAACCAGCATGTCTACGCCGCTCACGGCCCTCCGTTTACGAATGTTATGAACTAGCCAAACTGCTTAGCCGATGCCCGAGGAGCTCCGGCGCCACACCGTTCTGGACATGTCTTGATTGTGCGAGTCCGAGCGCAGGCGTTGCACAAGTAACCCTCTTTCTTTGACGTGATCTTGAAGCTTCGAGATACGGAGATGGGCACCTATTTCCTCTATGTATCTTCCCATGGTTTCGATCTCCTCTGGACGGACGTCCCATCAACGTGCAGAGGACGTAACAAGACCAGAGTGAGTAAGCCGAGATGCTTACAGAGGAACCGGTATGCGAGGTGGTAAACAGAAGGTTTAATATTCCGTTGAAGACTGACATGGTCATCTAGAAGCAAAAGACAGAAAGCGTCGCAATTTACTTCAACCTAGGATCTCCTTCTTGGGTTCACTGTGACTCATACCGTCTACTTAGACTATGCAGCTGCCATACTTACACAATAATGATTGTACAGACTATTGTTCGTCGTTTTCGTCACAAGACCCAGTGAGATTCGTAATAGAGCCATAAAACCCAGAGAAATAAAGCCGGAATAAGTTGACAAACCTACGATTCTTCGTCTGACACGTCGCTCCCCTCCGCTCTCAAGGTGGCACGCCCTCGTATCCTCGATACCTCCCTTCTCGTATCCTTCTTCAAGACACCATCCAACCTCGATGAGTTACTGATCACCGACCCATTCATCGCTCCCTGCATCGTCTCTGCCCACTGCCATGGCTCTCCTCCTGCGTAATCCGGCACCGAATTGAAATACTCCCATCCCGCCACACCACCGAACTTATCACCATACAACGCCGTCAGCATGTTCACAGCTGTCACCACCTCGTCGATCGCGATGTACCCTCCCCCATTCGCTGCACTCGTCAAGGAGGTTGCTACGAGTCTGCTCGGATCCAGACCGGTTCCGTAGTTCAGGATGTCGATGTATTGGTCGTCTGGGTATATATAACCGAAGCCGGAATAAAATTGGGCGTTGTACCAGGATATGTGGTTGCCAATGGATTCTTCCAGTTGGATATAGTCGAAGCCGGACAGGTTTCCGGATTCTGTGAGTGCTGAGGCGACGGGGGCGAGTGTGATGATGAAGTCGTCGCCGAAATCCGCTTTGAGATGTTGTATGAAGTTAATGATGTCTGCCAAGCTCTCCGCCTGTTCAACATCGAGGTCCATTCCGTCCAGTTCGTATCTGCCCCATCGCAACATTCAATCAGCCCACCGTCACAACGAATGAACCATGAATGAACGTATAAAAGCTCACTTCGCGATATAAGCCGTCAGTTGGGGATAATACGTGTCGAAATTGGCCGGCGTGAGACACTCATACGTCCCAGGCGCCGCACCCCCCAACATCCCAATCACCTTTATCCCCGCTTGCTTCATAATCCCGATATCCTCCCACATCTGATCGAAATAGGGGTTATCGGGCGAGTAGTCGTTCAGTGCGATTGTAGTGGGGAGGTTCATGTTGATATGGAAAGCGGCGAGGATGAGGTGGGTGATGAAGGTGATGAGGGGGAGGGGGGAGACGTAGTGGCCGTAGTCACTGTTGGACGCGAGGGTGCGATCGTATTGGGTCTGGTAATAGACCGCGACGCGATGTCCGTCTGCCATGTCTGAATCCGAGCGGGTATTGGTCTGAGTAAATGGGTAGGAAGGGGAGGTGCAAGGGGGTCGAAAACCAGGATGTGGCCCAACGAGCTGTCCAGGCATCCCGAGAATTCCGAACTTATAGGAAAAGCCAGTCAATCAGGTCCGACTCGAGGTACGGCTTGGCAAGAAGCCTCAAAGCTCGAAGCATGCTTGTAATCCGAGAAGGCCAGGCAAAAGTGCGAACCACGCGTTATCTGCCGCTGTGTACCTCGCGCCCACTCGAGAGATGCCTCCGGGCCTGAGTGACAAACCAAGACTGGCAAGGAAAGTTCTAAACTTGGAAGGGTCGTGATATTCCTCGGGTGTGCGTCAGGATTCGGTGGGGGAGAGGTGCGGAGAGCGAGAGCTTATTCAGTTCGCGTTGAAATCTACATCCAGGAGGGATCGAGTAGCCTGATGAAAGACCCGAGAAACTATGTGGGATGGTGTCGATGCCAGCGCACGATTAAATCCCTGATTTACGCCGATATTCGCCCATGTGTATCAGGTACGAACCTAGAGGTCAGGCAATGCCTGCTACAGAGTAGAGCGTGACAAAGTCGAAAACTGGCCTCCGATTATCTATGGAGTGCAGCACCTATCGGAGTCTGAGAGATCGATGGAAGCGAAACCTGCAGTGACTATGGCCTGTGTCCCTACGTGAGACCCATCGAAAGCTGATACGGAATACTGCAGAAATAACCTGATGCGTGAGAAGCATATCACGCGGAAGCTGAGGCGAGTACAACCAGTTTGCCTGAGAGCGCCCGCATGAGATACTGTGGACACAGGGCAGCAGATGATTTTCGGAGTCGCTCAAAACCCGATGAGTTCGAGCACGATCCTTCCAATCCGTACCTCGATAGCAGGTCCACATATGAGGGTCAAGTGTCCAAGCACAAGTGAGCTGAAGAGGTTTAAAGAGGCGTTCACCAGGTTCGAGAGATCAATGGATGCGGAAGGAGAGACGGTAGTAAGTAGGCTGTAACGGCTGAACATAGGAAGTCGATCGGTACGGTTTCGCCGCTTCGCCAAGCGCTAGACTGAGTATAAGATTTGACGCGATATCTCAAGGATATCCAGTAGCTGTCGTGCAGTCATAGGTTGTGGTTGGAGGGAGAAGATCAAGCGGTCGTGGCTGGATTGGTCTTCGCCAGCCGCGATGGCCGGGTGGCGTGATTTAGGTCCAGGGCCACATTGAGGTCGTAGTGCTATTCCTATGTTACCTCGTCAGCGTCCTTTTCGAGTCCATGTGGATAACAGACAAAGAGGCTTAGAGTGTTTCGACAGCAATGCCCTCTTTGGCAACTGCGCCTTGGAGCCTGATCATCGGAGGCCACACTATGTGCAGTGGAGGATGTAACCGGACCAGACTGAGTAAGCCGAGTCGGTGGTAAACAGGAGGGCAGAATCAGAGTTCATCGAAGGAAAGGGAGACATGGACTCATGATCTATCCCCACAAGCTACTATTGAAGGTACTAGGCTAAGCACTAGAGTTTGAGCTAGCGTTGGCCTACGTAGCATTTTCTGTAAATCAATGTGCCGCCGCCTAAGCCGGCCTGCCTCAGCCTCAAAAATCACAGAAATAAACAGATATCGTACAGATGCAGCATTATAATCCAAGAAATACGAGACTAGGTTGATGACATATTGTTAAAAGTTAACAAAGCGAGACCTGTAAAATGAGATGTATCCTTCTCAACGATAGCGACGAGGAAGACAAGCAAGAAAACACGATGACCTGTATTACGGCGTTGGTCGTCAAACACACCCGGGCCCGTCAAATGATATAAAGGGACGTACAGAGACAGATAGAGAGGTTGTTGAACCCGATTAGAGTTGCACGATACTCCGACTTGGTGATTGCTCCTTCATGATACAACCTCCAATCTACACCACCACATAAGCCAACAACGTTCGATAAAGATGCAAGGGATGTAAACACACTTGAAATAAATGCGCATCTATAACATCATCCTCTTCCATACCCAGCTACAAACACAAATACCAGCACCAGCATGCCACACGCAGACCCACGGTGAATTATGTGGCGTTAACGCTTACAGCTACCCGAGCAAGCATGGGTAAACGTACCGCCTCTGGTGTATCGTCTTCATTACCGCGCACTGTGACTCCGTGGTATTCAAATCGCAGGTGGTCTGGCGAGATTTACGTTATTAAGGAAGAAACTGGACGAAAGATAAATTCCGACGGACCTCGGTCTACATTGAACCGTTTCTAAGGAGGAGAACATATAACCATGAGACAGGGAGGAAGGTATCCAAAATGAGAACTGGGAACACATACTGCGGCTTCGTTCATCACTTTCTTCAACGAGCCCGTCTTCCTGACCTTGAACTTCACCGCTACCGCACATAACCAACAACGGTTAGACGGCCTATCCTTCCATAAACAATCTTGCCCACAATCGCGTACGCAGATCCCAAAGCAGAGTAGAAGGAAGCCGATAAGAATGAAATCGAGACTACCCACTTCGTCCTTGGTGGCAAACACCGAACTGAATCTTGTCGTCAATGTGAGGTTTTTCTTCCCTTTCTTCACTCATTTTATGGCCCGTTCGTCTTTTTGGAAGAAAAGCTAGAGTCTAGTATTGTGCTTATAGCAAGCGTAGTGCGGTACCGGAGGGTCTATATGAAAAAGCAAGAGGAGGACGCGGTGAGGTTGTAAGTCGTGGCGACCGTCGTGAATGACCGTGTTCGTGTTGTTTGGCTGCCCAAACAAACGCGACCGCGTTACGTCACAGTTTGAGTCACCCGTTACGTTCTGTGACCCCGCGTAAATTGGAGAGCAATTCAAATACCACGCCCTCCGGGCCAGACCTGTTCCTTCAGTCCCCACAGATTTGGCCACTAAGTTGCTTTGCTTCAAGCTCCTTCGCCACTTGGCGAAGAGGAGACAATGAGGAAGACGAGAACACCAAACAGTAGACAAGTCGGAGTTGTACGAGAGACGGAAAGATGCGGGCCTGACGAGGTGACTGTGATGCTCCGAGATAACGCAGTGACAAAAACATGAAGCTCAGGACAGGCCTCACAGTTTTGACGCCACCGCCACAGGTCGGGGCGTGACGTGACTAGTGTTACCGCAATGAATGACTCTTGTTCTAAGACCTAACGGAACAGGAAGATTATGTGTGGCCCGGAACTGATTGTATTTGTGAATGTATAATTTAGAGGAGCAATGGTAGCGGTCTTCGGTGCCCAACAATACGAAGAAAGAGAGATATAAGCAACGAGGCAGAAGTAAAGTATGGTCATACAACTCTCCCTCGCATGACGAGTACTTCACAGATACGATTCAAAGCAGACAGAGGCCCACGAGAAGGTCGAAAAAGCGACGAAGGTGACACGAAGGAAGATAATCTCTGAGGCAGTCAATGAGCTCATGGTGAGAGACTGCCACCGACCTAGCGAGACGGGAATATATGTTTGAGCACAGCTCACGACTGGACATAAATCTAGACTCACCTGCTCTAGATGTGCGTCAATAACATCTCCGTCCTCCATACCCCGCTATGATCCCAAGGTCAGCTCTAGGACACCGCAAGTCACGTATTGCAGACGGGACGTACCGACAAAGGTGTATCCTGCGCGTTTACTCGTTCTCCATCGTACACGAATTTGAAAGTTCCTGGAGCGCCACGCCATAGCATAAGTGACGGGTTCAACGTTTGAGAGAGTTTACACACCTGGGTCTTTGCCGAAGCGTTTCTATGTTGCACGCACGACATGAACATTGAAGCTAGGCTACACCATACAAGCTATGCCACTGACCTCTGCGGCTTCGAAGATCTTCCTGAAAGGTGTATTGCCCTTTACTTTGATTGTGATGGCTGCAGACCAGGTATGCGATATTTCACGCGTTCATAGACGAGCATTGAGTAGATGTTATCGAGGATGGCGAGAACAAAAACAGAACTAGATCAGACCAGGACATCATTCAATGGAGGGCCAAGAGAAGAGACGCACGCGTGCCCTCGTAGTTGATGGACAGGCTGAGTTTTGGCTTGACGTCTTCCGGTTCTTCAGACATGACTCCCATATAGCGGTGAGGTAGTCAAAGTAAAGATATAGGACTAAGAAGAAAGAGTGAGGGTCGATAGGAGATGGTGGTCTGTAAAACAAGTCGCGAAAGCGATCGGGCGTGTTGTTTGGGCGCTGTTTGGCGCCCGTGCATTTCTGTGCCCATACATGTGGCACCTGGGTGCCACACAGGTGCCGAGTGCGATAGGATGGAGATTCTGGGATGCGCGATCATCTATGAGGGTAAGCCTGTTTATTACTCGACATGGCCCTAGCTGAATATACGTGGGTACGGCTATCTATGCAACCAGAACCCGCTCATCGCCTCACGCCCTCACCCATCCAGATCTCAACCTCCTCTCCGCCAGCACCGCTCTCCCCGCCTATTCTTACAAGCTTCATGCCCGTGTTTTTCTCTACCATATTCCAAAGATCTCGCTCTGCGGGATCACGTTGCTTGTACGCCAGCAGGACTAAAGGCGGCTCACGAACAGTATAATTTGGAACGGTCGGAGACGATGCGGAGGGGAATGAGAGAAAGCGTGAAAGAGTCTTCACGAGGGAGGGGAAGGACGAGGTGTTGTATGTTACGTCAGCCATGCTGTGACGAGCAGATGAACGAGGTTAGTCGGAGGTGGTCCAAGTAAAGAAGGAAGCGAACGAACACAATGAGGTCGAATCCTCCTATTTCCACCACTTCTGTGGGAAGATCTTCGTCCCAATCTAGTGGAAGAGCTTCTGGAGGACACACAGGGAAGAGGCTCATATTTTGGGAGATGTTATGGTTCATGAGTTCCATCGAAGACGCTGTGGCACAAGTATTAATATGCGGCCATGATTGAGAAGAGAAGAGAAGGGGACGGGAACATACGCAGGTCCGTGCTGATGATTCTAGTCTTCTTCCTAGTCTCGATTTGAGACGAGCGAGAACGAAGGGCGGCGAGGACGAGAGAGACGATTCCTGTTCCTGCACCTATACCGGATATGAGAACCGATTGAAGTTTACTCAAAAAATATAACATACCTAGCTCGATGATATCGCACCCTTCCTTCTCTAACAGCACTCTTCGAAGTTGCTGAACGAGCGAATCTTTTTCTGTGGTTGAGGTTATGCCTTTCGACAGCTCTACAAGCCATGCACTCAGCCCTAACCCACTGTCCCATAATTTCTATGTCACAGCTGAGTATCAGTTCGTCAGAAAGAGTAATTATGAGTCGTTCATGTTGGTAAGCGTACTTTGTCAAGATCGAAAGATGTCTGCTCTTTTATAGTCAGCGTGTTCTCATTGACTTCCGCATCCTCCTTCGAAAAGTCGAAAAGTCGAAACGACCGCAAGATAGACTCCTGCTTCCGCTGTTTCCCCCCAGGCAAGCGAGCAGCAAAAGTGATGGGAAGAGACGACACTGGCAGTGGTACCGCCAACACAGTACTCCGTATCCCGTTCCCCCGTCCAGTTTGCGTCAAATCAATGTCCATGGTCGCGTTCGAATGCGCCGTCAATACTAGACAACATTGATCTCCATTCTTCACTCGCGGTGGGGGCGCTACTGAGAGTTCTTTGTACGCATTCGCGTTTCGCCAAGTCGTAAGTTTCACAGGTTTAGTGATTGGGGTGGGATGAGGTCGAGCAGCATTCCATGACGGAGTCCAGAAGTAAAAGATATCGAGGGGTGATTCGTAAGGTTCTGTGCGGAGGTCGTTGGAGACTTGTGGCGTGATGATTATGGGAGTATTCAACGCACATTGTAGAGGCGGTGGTCTGAGAAACGAGACATAGTAGTACATGGGGGAGATTCCTGAACGGAAGCCGATCAAGAAAGAATTGAGGTGTGGCACTGGGCAAATTTGCCACAGTGCCAAGTGGCGCTGACATCGGTGCCTTCCGAATCTCCGCTTCAACCTCAAAATCAACTTTGAGTGATCAAGAATACGACTCAGTTGCGACTCAGTCGTTCATTCACTGGAGAGCACTCTTTGGAAGCAATCGCTTGCTTGCGGAAAATATAGGTCAGTATCCTGACAATACACTCCATCGCTCTTAGGATCATATAGGAAAACTCATTTTATCGACGGCATCAGTAACTTACTCACGTCGCGCCACAAGGAGCCTCTGCTACATCCACACACATCCACAGTACTACATCCAAGTAACATCTCTTCAGTCAACACAAGGTAGTAAACCTCCTGGCATATATGTCAAGCCACGCTCCATTTCATTATCAATTGCACCTCCGCCCGAGCCTACACTTTTGGGGATCAGATGAGCCGTTCAAGCAAGATGGTAACTACGGATTGCATTCCTGTGCAGAATGAACAGTCTCACACATCGTAAGGGTTATCTACTGGAATCTGGGCTATCAGCATGCCTCCCTCTCCAATACCAGCGTTTAGCAAGCATACTTTCCCAGACTTTCCCACCCATTCCCACTCCCCTATCCGTCTTCGGAGCGTAACTTGAACATCATCCTCCACGATTGTCTCGTAATGGATCGCCTACTTCAAGTCATCTACCCTTGGAATCCTCCTAACGTCTCATCGCTCATGTCCTCGTCTGGGTCGCTGGGGTCTTGGATACATGGCTTATCTACGATACACTCTTTGCAGTGTTTTCGCATGACGATCAAAACAACGAGTGTCGATTTGAACACCTTCGTCCGTACGTTATATTTCGGCTCATCTTCGTCGCGAAAGCTACCAGAGCGGACTCGCGCCAAAAGGGCTCATATACTACTCGCGATCACCGGAAGCTCAGCTGGCCAAGTGATCTCATTGTCCGCACCGGAAGGGTAGTACAGTAAAGCCTTGTACGGTAGGAGTACAGGCGCCTGCGCGATTGTCCGTGGGGTTCTGTCAATCGATACGTAGAACCGGCCTACCTTCCATACATGTAGTACCTTTCATACTTGTCTCGGATCATGAACGACCCGCACGATACTCCCGAGACCGCCTGATCTGAGCTAACACATTCACCCGCCGTCCTATAAAGCCTGTTGAGAGCTTTCGCTTATTCAATACCTACCAGTACCTACCCTTGACTTCCCGCTCTTCTTTTCTCTTCACTACACCTTCGTCTCACTTCTCTTTATACACGCTACGCCACCATGACGATCGCACCGCCGAAGGTGTCCTACGTTGATGTTCTCGTGATTGGCGCGGGTCCCGCAGGTGAGCCCCTATTCAGGTTTTAGACGAGTGGTATTACTGACAAACGCGCTGTGTCCTGGTATTCAGGCGTTATGTGCGCTAATGGTCTGGCGCGATATGGTATTGACGTCCGGATAATCGACAATAAGTTCGCAGTGTTCTCTCTTGCACCCCACGGTTGAGACTGACAATCTCTCTCTTACATATCGTCAGGGATAAAGCTGTAGCGAAGGGTCAAGCAGATGGTCCGTCTGACCTTCGGATCCTGTTTTCACGTGTGACTGATCATGAACTGGTTGCCTATACAGGAATTCAACCTCGCACCATTGAGGTTATGCAGGTAGGCCCTTCCCTGCCGCCCCTATTTTTACCCCTTCATATTTCTGCAGATGCGAGCACAAAACTGATGCTGAAACATCTTCTAGAGCTATGGCCTAGCGGACCGTCTTCTGCGGGAAGCGAACCACATATATTTGGCGGTTAGCACGAATACCTGCGAGTCGCGATCTAACTCCGTCCTGATTCTCCGCGTTCCTTAGGCGTTCTACAATGCTGACGCACACGGCAATCTTACGGTGCGTTGGGTATTCTTCCTTCTTCTCGTTTCGTGAGACTAACATTCGAGACGCAGAGAACACGAAAGCAGCCAGTCATCGGAGTCCCGGCACGATATCCTCACAAGGTACGCTGTTCCCTGTTTGCCCACTTTAGCTCCACTAACATCATTTTGTTGACGAAAAGGTCACCCTTCATCAAGGGGCGATTGAGTCGATATTCTTGGACTCTATGGCATCTTACGGAATACACGTTGAACGGTCCACGGCGCCTGCCTCGATAGAGATCGTATCAAAATCCTCGTCTTCCAACGACTATGCTGTCAAGGTCAATCCACCGATAGTCAAATGAATAGCTCAAAAGATTTCTGACTCGTTTTGAACATTTTTTGTCGTAGGTTCAGCTCCAGCGCTCGCGCGAGAACGGCGAAAACGAGGTTGAGACCGTGCACGCAAAGTACGTCGTTGGATGCGATGGCGCGCATTCTTGGACTCGCAAGGCAGTGGAGATACCCCTCGAGGGTGACAAACTGAGTACGCTCTATTTGCTTCCTATGCCACATCTGTGGGTCGTCAACTTAGCAACGATTACCCCTTCCTTTATCAATAGATTTCGTATGGGGCGTATGCGACACCGTCCCGGAGACGGACTTCCCAGACATACGAGCTCAGGTTTGTGAAACTTTCCCTCCGGCTTCGTTTCTGATTCAGGTTCTTCTGTACACCGTGCCCACCCTCCATCATAGCCTCTAAAAACGTCGAACACTAGCTTACTGACACTATCCTGGCTGCTTTTCTTGATCTGCAGTGCGCCATTCATGGCGCTCGTTCTTCCGTGATGCTCGTGCCCCGCGAAAATGACAGCGTGAGATTCTATGTCCAACTCCCGAGCCAGTACGCCACGAGAGAAGGCAGGGTCGACCGCAGCCAGTTTAGCGTGCAGGATGCATTGAAGGTAGGCTTCTCTCGCCGCTCTGTGTTTCTAGATCTAGCGTTGATTATCCGTATTTACAGGCTGCTAAGGCTGCGATGTACCCGTACAAAGTGGAGTGGCCCAATGAAATCGAATGGTTCACCGTCTACGAAGGCAAGTAGGATTGAGCTGGATTGAGACGTAGAGTCGAAGTTGACCTTGTTTTATGATGCAGTTGGACAAAGGGTCGCAACCAGCTTCCAGCGAGATCACCGCGTTTTCATAGCCGGAGACGCTTGTGCGTATTGTTTCTACTACGAAACTCGCTTCCATACTGATCTTTTTTTCGGACTCCACTGTAGGTCATACACATTCGCCTATGGCGGGACAAGGAATGAACACCTCTATGAATGATACACACAACCTGTCCTGGAAGCTGGCACACGTCCTTAGAGGATGGGCGGACCCCTCAACACTTTCGACTGTACGTTCTACCGGAGTAACCTCACTGAGAATTTTCTCTGACCTTCTCGTTTATCGAACATGACTGTTTTGTACATGATAGTATCAGTTTGAACGTCGCCGCAATGCTCAAGACCTCATCGACTTCGACCGACAATACTCAACACTTTATTCCGGCGCACTATTCCGGAAGACCTCAGAAGAGCACGGTTCCGCGAGCGTTCCTGAAGAATTCTTCAAGTATGTTTCCTCCTATTGCTCCATATCGACTGTGAACTCAATTTCGTGCGACACTGTGATTGTAGGGCGTTCAAACTCTTCGCGGGCTTCACGTCCGGCATTGGAATCCAATACCACCCATCCACCCTAACCAACACAAGAAATCAATCTCTCGCTCAGAACCTCGCCATCGGGAAGAGAATGCCCAGTCATTTTGTCATCAGAGCGACCGACGGACAGCCATTCGAGCTGCAAGACATGTTAGTTTCTGACGCGAAGTGGAAGATCTTGATCTTTGCGGGCGACATGCGAGCTGATATCAAGGACGAGGCACTATCGGTAGAGGAGGAGGAGAGGAGGAAAAGGAGGGATGGAGTGGTCGAGTGTTTCCCGAAGATGTATGGGGTGCTGAAGGGGTTCGTGGGTAAACAGGTTCAAGAGGCATTTGATTTCACCCAAATCAGGTATGCCACAATTTGTTTGTCTAAGAAATTTTATGCTCATTATCACTTGGGACTTCCTAGTGCGAACCACGGAGATGTGACTCTAGGTTATGAGATGCTTCCACCACTCAACGGCGTCGCGGCAAAGAGGTGAGTGACACTGGTCCCTGCTATGTTCTAATACTCTAATGGTCATGTAAACAGACACTTCATCGACCTACAAGAGATCAGTGGTACTCGTGGAGGTGACGCATACAAAACCTTCGGTATCCGTGCTGAAGCACCCGTTGTCGTCGTCGTGCGGCCTGACGGCTACGTTGGTGCTGTAGCGCCTATTTCAGTAGAAGGGGCAGACCATTTGCAAGCGTATCTCAGTGGCTTCCTCAAACGAGCATGACACAGGAAGATGATATGTGATTTATTGTATGGACCGTTGATTTGGCCTCAATGTATATGTTACTGTAATTGAATTCGGTGCAACCTAATCTGTGGCGGCCAAGTGGCCGCAACATCCGCGGAGTTTTGCGGAGTTTCGAATTCAGTGCCAAGTGGCCACTGGCAACCCCCACTTGTGGGTTGAGCACGCTGCACAACTCCTTTTTACTCGTAACGAGTGTCCACCCATATCCTCTTTTCTTTCCGTTTGAACGTTCGGTGCGGATATTCAACGCCATCGCGTCTCACTGAACCCGGCCCACGAACAGCCTTCATCTTCCCAACTGATAGTGAATGTTGATGGTCTGCTTCAGCTGTTTGTTTTTACTTCCTAATTCGTACAGATGGTCACAGGTATAGTCGAAGACCAGTAACTTCCCCATAAATTTGATGCTGCACGGGTCAGATATCAGCTATCGATCACTAGGGTGTCATATGGCCACCGAAGGGCATTGTTCCGAGAACAGGCATACGACTAGTCCCTGGAACTCTTGATCCATCTGAGCCGACCTCCCGCATCAATCGCGAAGCGTTTCATTGGCACAAGAAGCTGCGAGAAGTCGCGACTGCGCCCTGGTTTTTGCTCCCTAAGCTGCTGCAGGTTGGTCCATGTGTAGCTTCCCTATTGTCGGGCGCCACGGCCCAGTGGCATTTCTGCAGGCTGTGGGCTTTTGTTCTCGGGTATGGCAGTGCGTGTATGTCCCCGATATAAGCCATTCGTACGCTTTGTCCACGATACGTACACTTGTCTTCTACTCTCATACGACCTTTTTACCTCAGTACGTCGACATCCACTACTAGCATCTGACGCCTCACTAACTAACTCATTATTGTACTCCCGCTTTCAGAAGCGCACGTTTTTGTCCGTATTCCCATTATGTCCTCACAAGGCAGATCGTACGGAGCGCCCTTTTCGCCACAAGATCTATACTCTCAGTGGCCAGGACGTCGTCCGGTCCATCCAAGTCCGCTAAGATCTACATGGACTGTGGAGGATTCCTCAGACATTCTCCAGTATATCCCCACTGGACAGACAGCGCCAGGTAGATATGCAGGCTTTCCCAATCCCGCAATTTGGCAATCACCTACTTCTCGTGGACTACCGCCTATCCCACCGATAGGGCCGTACCTCTTCTTACAGCGTCAGGAGAATCCTTCACATGGACCCCAATCCCCTTCAATACTTTCTCCACTCGTCCTCGCCTTCCCACGCACTTCGTCAGACGAGTCCACTTGGGACCAATCTTCGTCCACTCCACGCCTAGCCCCCAGGACCGCGCAACCCTCTCTTCCCCCACCCACTGTTGCACCGACCGGAAGTACCGCAACGCAGGCTCATTCAACTTCCGCCAACGTCGGTTCTAGCGATCGCGATGACCAATCTCCTCCTCATCTCTGCGCCTGTAGCGATCCCACTCACCCACGTCACAGACTGCTCGGCGGGGTAGAGTCTGTGGGGACAGGTTCCGTACCTGGTCTTCCGGCTATGGGTCGACGATCCTCCAGTGAGCATCGTCGAGATAGCATACTCACCAACGGGCATTCCGATCACGGCCCCACTCGTCCTAGTATCGATACGATGTCGGGACCCCTTCCCACTTCTGGTACCCGAGACCCTAGAATCGTTCCTTCTGGACCATATACCAACTCGCCGGAGCAACGGACGAGTCCTTCGGTACGATTTTCCTTGCCCAATGACGATGAACCTGTGATCCCCACCACTCCTGCGAGCTCTCGACCAAGCGCACAGGGAACACATACGGCTAGTTCTCACTCAGGATCTGGTGGAACGGGCAATGGCGTTTCCTCCACGACTCCATTTCCCGAGACCCCGACCTTCCGCACACTCCTCCATAGCGAAGATGAGACGAGGGAGCGTATAGCCACCCAATTCATCGACCAATTGCCGCCTGGTCCCGTATCTCGCGGAAGCCTGCATATGCTGGTGATTGTGCTTTACGGTGCTCGACAGCAGCACGGGCAAACGAGAGACTACATTTATCGTTTCGTCGAAACCACTCGTCTGACCCCTGAGCAATACCAGGTCCTTGTGGCGATGGTACGGGAGCGCAGGCCAGACATCATCCTGCCAATTCGATGGACGGGTTCAGTGTCTACGGATGGCTCCATCCCAACCATTCCCGACTTCATTAGCGACAGCGTTCATCTGGAGGCTCAGTCTTGGGGACGACGTGGAGAGACACTGGGTGGTGATGAAGAGGAGATGTCTGTCCATGTGACACTTTCGCCTTCAGCACTGTCTACCGAAGCAGAAGGTCGCCGCACAGGAAGCGCTCTATCTGTGAGTTCTGTCTCGTATCATTTTCTGTGCACCCCTCATTGTGATTTAGGATTTCGATGTCCTTGCGACACCGTCGAGCTTGCGAGGTGAAGACAGCTCGGTCGACCCCGTCGTCGCACCCGGCCACAGAATAAGGGTCGATTTGGGGAATGGATTGACTGTGGCGATCACCCTCGAGATACTCAATCCTCAGCGCGCACAGCACGCCACAAATGCTGCTACAAATAATGTGTCAATCCAGGCGCCGGAAGACTTCATCTCTCCGGAGTCGACTCCTGCCCAATCGACTCCTGGTCCCTCTAGCAGTGCTATGCGATCCTTCCCTATCCACACCGAACCACCTTCGACTGTCCGTATGGACGATCTTCCAGATATACCTGACGGTGCCTTCCCTGACTCACTAGACTCTGAGGCACCTGATTACGACTCTCGTCTATCCACCGACTCTGTACCAGGATCACCATGGACGACAGGTCCTACGAAAGGAATGTCCCCGCTGTATGGATACCCGTACCCGGACGATATAGTGGCAGGCCAGGAAAATTACGGATTCCGAGGAGTTGTGATGGTAAATATTGGTGTCTATACCGTCGTTCCATGTCGTCAGTGCTGATTTGGATTTCCTTTCGCTCTGCAGAATATAGAAGAGACAATCCGCTCGATCGCCACCGTGCCTGCGCTACAGCACGCCTGCTCTGAAGTTCTCATGGCATTTGCGAAGCGTCCTATCAACATCTTCCTCGCGTTCGTTGGCACTCGGGTACTCGAGATTTCATCTCGACTAGGCAGTGGCGACGAGGGTGTGACGAGAAGTAATAAGGTGGCCAATCTGATCAGGCAATGGCGCTCGAAGCAGGAGGTCTGGCGAGAGCGACTCGTGAAGTACGTCGTGGTTTTAATCCTTTTCTTGCATCCACACCAATTCTCTTTTGGACAGCGATGTGGAGAAACTGCAGAATATCCTGTCTTCACTCGACCAATATGATTCTGACAATCCGACAGTCATACGCCGTGTCCATGCGTACGCCCGGGTGATATGGGAGGTCGTGAGACGCTTATGGGTAGGTACTATTATCGTCTGGTCTAGTCTACATCTCTTCTACCTTTCCACTCGCTGACCGTTGGCCTTGCATCCGACACCAGATGTCCCAACATATCCTCTGGGATCTGTACTATCGATCCGAACACTTCCATCTCCGCGAAATGATGCAGGCTTCTCTTGATCCTGCGAGCAACCTCAGTCAAAAGGCAATCAAGAAGCAGATGCGAGATGTCAAGGGTCGAATCGCAGCAGAGGTTCGGGCGATTCAGGAGCTGAGGCGCCTCGCACTTGAGAACATCCCTGGACCTTCATAAATTTCCATGACCATGGCCGGATCCAACGTACGAAACGAAACGAGAGATACGATCCCTTTACGAACTCTTACACGTATACACACAGCTAGTGCATCTTATATATGCATACTTTTAAATTTCTACTAGCATACGATACATATCTGTAACGAAAACAATTATGGGTATCTGATACAACGGTGCACCCGACAAGGGACATTGATATCTTCATCCTTCGTCATTGAGAGTAAATATGGATACCGATAGACCAGCAAACGAAGTCTCCTATGGAGTCCCGCCTTGCTCAACCAGGAAGAACCACCGAAGATTCGTCGAATAAAGAGAATGCCACCGTATTGACTTTGTTGGTGTCTACGTTGGCTGGACATACTCACCATCTCCACTCTTTGGTTCCATCTTTCAACTTGTACTTGTTCCCGTGCATGAACAAACCAGTCTGAAGATACTTCAGAGCGGCGACTGAAGCCAGGTGACACCTCTTGTCTTCCTGGACCCTCTCAATGCGTCGTTTCGGGTAACGAAAAAACGACGCGGCGATAAGTAAGCGGTGGATAAATGAGCAAGAAAAACGGCACAAAGTGGTATAATATACGAGATCTGTGCGCGCCCGCCCTGGAGCACGTAAGATAAAGACGGGAGGAAAAAAGATCGACGATCAGTAACTTATACATACAACGATCAACATAGAGGAGTCTTGTGGACAATAAAGGAGAGGAGACCAGAGACAGGCGAAGCATGGTGCCAGAGACGTGGGAGTGCAGAGCATAGAGACAGACTCGAAGGATTAAACGTGGATCTGTAGCATTGAATTTAGGGAAAAGAAAGAAAGATGGCCCCGAGGAACACGGTGGATCGCTCTAAGAGAATTTCCACCTGTTGTTGCAGACGGTGCAGCTGTAGGAAACTATAGAATTAATGATCTGGAGTGGAAGACATCAGGAACAGCGTGAACGCACGTCACGAAAGTCTGCAACGAAGGGTGATAGTCAGCTCAGGTGACAGCATAGTGAACTCTCGAATGAACTGACCGTCATCGGCTCATCAGCACTTCTCGTCTGCGCCTGGCGGTAGCGACATTTTCTCTGCATCACATCCATCAGCACCTAACACCGACCCATCTCCTGCAAACCAAAAGTCGCCACTCACCTGCTTACACCTCCCACACTGGAATGCATCCGTCTCAGCCTGCTGCTCTTCCGCCCCAAGCGCCTTAAACATATTCTCCTCTTTAATCTTCTTGTCCGCATTCTTCCTCTCTTCAGAGGCCATATCCTGACTAGTCATCTTTGCTAGCTTCGCCGCTGGTAGATCGCCGCTGACGACGCTTTCTCGGAGACCTGGATTCTTCTTGTCTTTCAGATTGACAACCAAGGAGCGAATCTTGGTTTTGTAGTCGCCGGTGGTACCGTTGAAGGTGTGGAATACAGCATCTTCAGCAGCTTTAGCTCGTTGGAAGATGAGCTCCGATGCTAAGAACGGATGAAGTGGGACGGTCGACGGTCAGTATTTATGGCGGCGGATTTGTGGGAGGGTGAAAAGCGTAGAAAGATGAGATCTTTGATGGATGTGTGTGTGAAAGAGTGACTCACGAGCTCCTGAATCAAAGGCAAGGGCATCGTACAGCAGCTCAATACACTTGTCACGCGTCTTATCGCGTGTTACGTCGGTGTTGATTCCATCCGTCTTGGTCGTTCGGGTTGTCGAACCATTGGATATGCTGCCTGGCGTTGAGACGGTGGGCGTTGTTGGTGTTGCTACAGAGTTTTTCCGGCTGGGTGCTGCGTCCAAAGCGAGAAGTGAGATATACAACCAGATGAAAGGTAGCATGGAAAATGGTGGGAATCAGCTCATCGATGGTGACCATCGTAGGCCGATAAAGACCCGTCATTGGTTTGAACCCTGGGTGTTCGTTGTGATATGAATGACTGGCCATGACAAGTATTGGATTCACCTCCACTCGGTGGGCTATAAACGTGCAGTTGAACCAATTACACTGGCACAAACGAAGCGATACCTCGGTCTCAAGCACATAAAGCACAAGCCATAGTTGCGATTACAGTCGTCATGCGTCATTCCCGTAAATACCACGGTCCTCGATGGGTGGTCGAGTATTCACGCCACAATACCCTCGATGGCCGACGCCACACCATTTCCGCAAAATATGGTCTCAAGAAACAGAAAGAAACGCACCTGCAGGTTTTCCATTCAGTACTGGCGACTTCGCTCCTGCTGCCTTCTTCTCCTTGTCAACCTCTGTCTTCCATTGCCGTACGACTTCCTTCGCAAGCTCTGAGACCTCCTTTGTGGCGTGTGAACGGAGTTTTCCCACAGCGAGACCGGCTTTGCTTTCCTACGCACCACCATCACCACCAACCATCGAACCCGAGTAAGACACAAGATATCAAGACGAAGTATTTGGAGATGGAAAGGTGGGAGTTGTTGGGGTGGGAGGGAGAGGGATACGAAGAGCGGGAAACAAGGCACACGAGGACTGGACGCACCCTGAGAATGGCCTCAGTAATCTTCGCCTCCTTCTTCAACACCTGCAAGACATCTATCGTCTCCTAACCAACCCAACGCATATCCAGCACATCGATCCCACATGGATGGCGTGAAAGGACGAAAAGTAAAATGAGCAAAAAATCAAAATGAAAGGGGTGGTTATGGGTAGACTATGGACGCTACACACCTTGTCAGACGACGCTTGCTGCAGCGATTTCACGAGTTTTTTGAGCTCAATCACGTCCGACATGACCTCTTCCAAGCTATTCCTCCCTATTTCGACCTTTTTGTGTCCTTTGTTCGAGAATTCAACCTCTTACAGCCCTTACACGGTTATGCCTTCGTGGCGGTTCAGAGCAGAGAGCAGACTCGGCCGAAGCGGCGCGGTGCGCGCGACCAAATAGACCAAAATACGGCCGATGCTATTGTGTCCAGTGACGGCAGCGCCTTTCTTTCTCAGCTGTGTCAGTTCTCGTTTTGTTCTGCTGGACTTCTTGCTCATTGTACTAATGTGTATCACGCTGGGGCTGGATTGCGACGTGTTTCTGCTCTGGCGTCTCTAGAGTCCATCTGCCAATGGATATGATCTGCACCAGCGGATTTTGCCAGTGTTGGCACTCGACCGGGGTCAAGTCCCCCGGACACGGGGGGTCAAGTTGAAAAATCTACGGATTTTGCTCAAACTCTCAATATGAACATCTACAGAGCCGTCATATGAGGCCCCTCCAACAAGAACGGGGGAGATTTCTTTGAAGTTGCAAGCTCGAGGCAGCTGGATGTCGACTTGACCCCCGGTGTCGGGGGGACTTGACCCCGGTCGAGTGCCAACACTGGATTTTGCCAGCCTCTCGCCCTCATGCCAAAGCAGAATGACCTGATAAATTTTTGTTTACTACTCTGAACCTGATACTTGGACCGGAACCATTGTCTTCCACAGCTCCTGAACCTGCATGGCAGAACCACCCAATAATTTACTCAAAAGCCCAAACAGCGAAGGCAGTCGAAACATGCATTCCTGACACTCAGGACGCTGCTACGCTCAGTTGACTATCCCGAGACCGGCGTTGGCTTGGACGTACGTCGCCGCAGCTTGAGCAGTAAGAGGCGAGTATCCTGTAATCGCGGATTCTGTATGTACGAAATAATCTCCCAGTCAGCCAATTTTCCTTCGTGCTCATGACACAGATGAGAAGGGGGTTTCGGAGCCTCCACTCAAAGTAAAGTATGAAGGGAAAAGGGGAGACGGGAAGACGTACGCGAGCTGAATGCGCTCAAAACTGCACTATCCAGAACGGCAGTCACGCTCCCAGAACTCAATAAGGTGTTCGTCTGACACGTCCGTCCGAGGGAGGATGCACAGCTACTGGCGTCGGTGCTGCTTTGGAGGAAGTATTCGCTACCGTCGGGATTGCTGTTGAGTGACGGTGTTGTTACGGTGTTCTATGATGCCATCGAAGAAAGTGGCGGTCAGTTATGCGTGGAGGGGAAGACGACGAAGTGTGTGGCGCGAGGTGGTGGCCCTGGGGATGCATGTGTGTGTGCACAGAGGTTGGCCGGATTAGATGTGAGCGTACGAAGTAATTCCCTTCCACGAGAGTAACAGCGCCAACTTCAGCGTCGACAGCATGTCCCCCAACGTCTACATAATAATCTTCAAGATCAGGCCACCACGCAGGTCCAATCAGCATCATAGCACCTCAGAGTAGAACAGAGGCCTATACATACTGTTGACAATATCTGCAAAATTGGGTCAATACAACTTCAAATTATAACTTACAAGATGAAGGTATACTCACGGAGATATTGCGTATATCCGCTCGTTCCACCGATATGGGGCCCACGGCCAGAAGTATGATAGACGTAGTTCTGGTTGAAGGTGATGGTGTCCGACGTGCCAGTGAATATGAAGCCCCAGTAGTGGTCACCTTGGGGGATGTCAGCACCATTTTGCTCATAGATGTGACCGACGCCGGAAACGAACCGTTGCAACTGTGCAGCAAATAACAAAAGTAAACACAAGGTCGAAGAAGTGTAACACGGAAGATCAGACGCACGTAGCACTGTACGTGACCCGACCATCGAAGATGTTGTTACCTGTCATATAATCCTGCTCTGTCAGATGCAGTTCATAACTGATTCGGAGCCAGAACTCACTAATCGTGACGTCCTTAGCAGGATCATATCCAGTGGCAATAAACTGCCGACCGACGTTCTCGACGTAGCAGTGATCAATCCCTGCGAGTCAGTAATCAGCCCAGAGCTCAACCATGGATGGAGGATTGTTTGACGAACAAACGTGAGTGGAGCCGACGATGGCGACTAGTCATGAAATAAACTGTTGGTTAGACGATGGCAAGATTGAGAGAAGACGGCTGAGATCACGCACTGGCATCGCCTCCCCAAACAAATTCAGCACTGGAATGAAGGCAGTTAGTTGGCCGCCTGCTACCATCGCCCACGATTGCAGGGTCCACGGAGAAAACAGCTCACTTGATGTCAGAGATCTTAATATCTGCAGGGTGTGAACCGGAGACCATGAGCAAGATCGAAGCGGATAATATCCAAAAGTTCTAAAGACCCACTCTGGATGATGACGTTATCTGCATCCTCGATGAGCAGCCCAATGCCCTTACTGAAAGCACGATGATTGTGATCAACACTTAGAAAAGTATCAGCACTCTCGAAGTATAACTTCACTTACATCCCACCCGAACTCCCTTTCCCAAGCAACGTTTTCTTGCTCCCCACTTTCAAACTGTAAGAGTAACTGGTCCCCGAGTTGTACCAGGTCGCTGTGCCGGTCGAACTAGTTACGAACAATTGATTCAGCGTCAGCTACGGAGCAATGTGTATATTCCTTGAGGTTGGAAACGAGTACTTACGCGCTTGGTTCGTAGTTCTCGCACCTAGAGAAGAGATGGAATGTGAGTTGAAGAGTTCTGTATGATCGACCTTGGTAACTTGCCAATCATTCTGGTCGATAGCGACTTGAGGATCCGGAGTACATGTCCATGGCTTGCAAATCTTACTGCCGCCGTACAAGAGTCGTCAATCAGGGAAATACACGTGTAACAAAAGGAAATAAAACATACCCAGTCGTTGTGCCATAATAATCAGTGAAGTCGTAGACGGACTCGAGCAAGATCACACGCTATACATCATATAAGAGAAAGTCCTGATAAGCTCGTGATATTTCCGAGAGCTCAATGGAGAGACGAACCTGAGTACTATCAGCCAACCACGACAGCAACTCGGCGTTAGAAGACGGTACAGCAGCGGTCGCAGAACCACCACCCGTCGTGGCTGAACCAAATCCCAGAGCGGTACCAACAGCTAGTACTTGTGTGACAGAAAGAGCAAGCGCAAGCACACTGAATCCGGTGAAAGTGAGCATTGTTCAGAGCTTTGGAAGCCTCTTTGGTGATAGGACAGGGCCAGGGTGAACAAAGAAATGCATGAAGCATCTGAGCAAGCTTCTCTTTATACCACCAAAGCATGCGACTAGCCCCGCACTCAGTGTACATAATTTCCTCCGAGCCAGGAAGAACATCGTTCGCAATAGCCTGAACACCTGGCAACGCTTGCCTCATCCCTAAGCATCCAGGCTTTGGGATATCGAAAAGCAGCAGATGAATGGCTCACCAAGTCAAATACCTCAAAGACGTTAGGAACCAGGTCCTACCAGGTCCCGAGGTTGGTTTATCCGAAGGAAGCATATGCAATCAGTTTGCAACTTACACGAAACCCACCATGTGGCGACGATGTTCGGTAGCAACGGGTTGCCGGAAAACACCAAAGGACTTGGCGTCGGTGTGATCTGGTCATGCCAGTGAGGGTGTTCAGGGAGGACCTTGGAGAGGACCGTTAGGCGGGCCGTATGGAGGGGAGGAATCTCTGCGCCAGCATGGGTGACTCGTGTGGCGTACATTGGAAGTTCTCACCGTACCAAGAGATGAGCCAACGGGGAAGGAAAATCTTGACGGTCCGGACAACAGATAGACTCAGAAACCGAATAGAGACCGTGTCGCAACATTCCCTAGTAAATTCGCTCGCCATTCCAGCGAAGAATATCCACAAAGGGCCGTCTGACACTGGGGGTGGTTTGTCGGGTTAGTCTTTCATGGGTAAGAGAGATTGAAGACAAAACGTACACAGATTAGCACATGGCCAACATCAGGTGGTAGGAGAGAAAGCTTGAATCCATTTGCTTGTGACAGATCTCAGTCTCTGGCCTCGAGCATTCACGCAGATGAGCCAAAGAAAATATCGATACATTCCAACCTACAACCATCATGATAGCCCACGCACGCGCAGCAGCGATAAATATCGGGAGGCAAGTCCTTTGACGACCTGCATCGCGACATCAAGTCGCCCAACAATGTTAAACGTCTCCCGGAATAAGCGCTGTGGCTCAAAAAAAAAGGGGAAAGCAAGAATAGAAAAGAAGAGAAAATGAAAACGAGGTATACCACAAACGTTCAAAACGAGTCCCAGTCCACTCCTAATCCCCATAACTTGGTGGAGGCTCCAGCCTCTGTTGTCTCAGTTCCTCCATCTCCCTCCTCAATCCCACGACCTCGTGCAAAAGCTGATTTGTGCTCTCTGTTGATGGACTCGTTACCCCTGATCTGCTGCCATCTCCCGCGCCGCCACTGGTATCTGAATTTCCACCGGGTGTGTCTTTGCTTGACGATGCCGTCGAATACAGCGTCGATGATGAAGCACTGGATGTCCCTCGGGCGAGTCTCATCGCAGGATGAGACGGTAATCGAGGGTTAGAACTATTTGAGGTGGCACTCATCCTGCCCTTAACATCTCCCATCGGTCTCGAGTTGACATTTACAGCTCGCATGGCGCTGAGAATCTGTTCAGACACTGGTGGAATGGTAGACGAAGATGACGAGGATGCGGATGGTGACAAGGTGTCCTCTGCAACGTGTGGATCAAAAGGCTCATTGGGTGCCAGTCGAACTCTTCTCGTCCGTGCCACGGGGATTGGGATCGTGACCGGCGGGACGTCCACCGATTCCATAGGAGGCGCAGTTCCACCATAACCACTAGTGTACTCGACGTCTTGTCTGCGTGGGTACTGTTGTCGTTGAGCGTTCTGGCGACGACGCCACCAGTAGAAGCCTCCGGCACCAAACACGCCAACAGCGATGAGAGTACCGATGACGGCGCCTGCGACGGTACCACCGCTGGTTTTCTTTGTTCCGGCAAGGGCGCCTGATGCTGTATCACCCGATGAGGAAGCGGTGACTGTGATAGTCTTGGGTGCCACACTACATTCACGAGCTCGCTCTCAGTAAATAATCATTTCAGGTATGCCGGTGTTATAGGACACTCACGTCAAGGCTAGAGGGGCAAAGAGAGCGCCCTGGGCAGGGCTAGAGGGTATGAGATCGCATCAGCACCCGCATAATTACCAGGGAATGATAATTATAGACCAATACCTTGCAATACCAGTAGTTGTGGTCTCAGCGGTAGCACTGAAAACGCTCGGGAACCCTCCGTAACCTGATGAGTTTGAGGATGCCCGAGCGTGAACCAATGACACGATCTGGTCACGAACAGTCGGATCCGTAGCAATTCCAGCAGCGAACATGTTCCACCCAGCATTCGCGTCTGTGGTATCTGTCGAGTCCGTTGGCAAGCCGAACTTCACACTTTGAGCCTGTGTACCGTAGCTCGCGGTTTGAGCGGCCAGGACCTGTCACAGCGGAACGCACGTATCAGCGACCAGCATCACAGCGCTCGCGCCCGTCTCTGATGGGCATGCAGAGCTAGACATGGGCGGTGAGGTGCGACGCACCGTTGAATTGACAAGGTTAGTTCCTAGCCATAGGTCAGCGAACAGATTGTATCCAAGCGTGAATGAACTCGATTGGCCGAACGCGTCCAATAAGGCCTGGCTCGAAGGGTCCACTGCTAATGACTCCCACTGCGCAAAGAGGTTCGTCGACTCGGTCTACATCAAAATGGCCACCATGAGGGATAGAATGAATATAGAAGCTCTCCAACCTGAAGAAATAGTACTGACCGCATATAGTTGTGCATCCACGCCGTTTCCTAAGGCCGTACTAAGCTGAGACATGGCCTTGATCGCAACAATACCTTTGAGCGCCAGATTTGTCTGGTTGGAGACCGTGTTCTGGTCGGCTGAGAACCTGATAGGAACGAATTGTAAGTGAAAGGAAGGTGCAAAAATCTGGGAAGCTGGAGACGTACTGCCCGGAGGTGAAGAGCGTGTTGTTGACGAGATAGTCTGTCCATCCCTTCAGCAAGTCGTACTGGATGGGAAATTTGAGTTAGCCTTCGCTGACGCCAAGAAAAAAATAATAAAACCTACGTAGGTTGCGACTAGGTTACCATCTCCAGTAGCTCGCGCATGAGCAGCCGCCATTATGATCATGTTGGCCGTCTCTGTTCGAGAAATTTAGCTCCCGAGTCGCACTAACTGAACATCAGGAACAGAGCAGAAGCAGACTCACGTTCCACCGCAAGTTGGGATGTTCCCTGGGTGGTCGCCTTCGCGACAGGGTAGCCAGAGCCTGGGAGTAGTGGGGCATGAGAAAGGACGAGAAGGTATGGAAGACTCAGGTCTACGAACCAATGTCGGCGGCCGCGAAGTCACTTTTGTACGCGGGAGAGTTCTGAAAGCGCAGAAGAGGCTCGAGTAGGGGAGCGCCGAGTGTTGGATCGATGAACATGAACATCGGAAACGACGCGAAGAGGGTTTCCACGGCGTTTACTCGACTATGGATAGGAAAGAGGTCAATTGCGAACGTATAGAACGGAGGAGATGACGCACCCTTCGCTGGCGCCTCCGATGTTCTTCATGAATATCATCACATCCGAAGTGTTGTACGATCCAGAACCATCGGAGCTTTGCGAGATAGTGAGTTCTGTCGCTGCGAAGACTTGACGTGCTGCAAGCGAGACGATGTCGGCGTAGTCAGAGGAGATGTTCTGGGCGGCGGTTAGGATCTTCGAGTCGAGTTGCTGGGCACGTTGAACGGCGTTAGGGAAGTCGAGGATGAACTCGTCGATCTGAGCAGATACACCAAGCATATTCGGCGTTCATCTCAATATTGATGTAAGCGAAAGGGAAGTAAACACTCACGAGTGCGCCGTCCGTGGTGAAATTGGCCTTGTAGTACAAGCTGCGGTTTTGGGCCACACCGCTAAGGTCTGTGTACTGCACGGCTTGATCACGAGTAAATCCAACAGCCCAGACCACAGGTTTCTGCGTCGAAGTAATGGTTCCCAAATCCTGTGAGATACCAAAGACAGGGAAGGAACTGAAGTCCCGGTTGTGAATGAGAACAAGGGACATGCTAAGTGACGGAACAAATATGGGCTCACTTGCTGATTTGCCGGAAGTTGGGATCTACGGTGTCGAGCAGGTTACCCTTGCTAGTGAACTGACCACGATTAGTAGCATCGGCGGCGATTTGATACGTCGCTGTCGAGCTCTGTCAAAACGATTTTGTCCGACGCCGTGCATCCCAAATAAGTTGCATATCTAATGCCATAGCCAAAACAGACATATACGCACCGCTTGCCCAGCATGATACATCGTTCCCCATTCCGCCTGGTTTGCCGTCTCTGTGAAAGGTGTCTGCTTGTCGAGCGTGATAGCGTGGAACATGCTATTCGTGCCCGAAGTGGTCGTCCAACTAATCGCATCATTTCGATTACCAGAGTTCCATTCTACATCGACGGGCGGCGCGCACAAATAAGAATTACTTGTCATCACGCTCACGACCTAACGGCACATCAACAACTCAAAATAAACCCTTACCTCCGCTGATATCGGAATATACCTACATGAACCAAAGCAACATTCACATATCACAATGAGCGCATTGCTAAGGTGATCAGGAATGGCCGACAGATGCAAGTGAATACGTACCTGTACACTGTGCGCTTTTCCATCATTCGACGTGGCTTCGAGGTAAAGATAGCTAAACGGCATGGATTGTCGCACATAGTCTCCCGGCTGCATCACATCACAACACACAATACCACCACCCTCTGTAAACACCTTCGCCGCGACCTCCACAGCACAGAAATCATCCAACTCACCTCGATCGGGCTCAAGAATGTAACGTTCAAAGTCATTGGGCCAGCCGGGATCGTAACGATAGTGCGTGTCGGGGTGATACTAACAGCCGTCGCGTTCGTCGCATTCGCCGCAGAGCTCGTCGAGTCGGAATGGAGTCCGAGCCACCGATAGGGGGTATTGTCGACTCGGATGAGGCCCTCCCATCCTAGGACTTGCGACTACGACACGTAGCATGAGCAATCAGGAGTAACAGTAAGAGCGCATCGACGGACCTCTGTAGACCATATCGTCGGCCATTGATTGAGCGCGGGGAACTCGGTTGACTGTGACGACTCCCAGCAGTTGAGGTATGGCGAACGGACGGCGAGGGGAAGGGTTCCGGGTGTGAGAGCCGCATGGGATAGCGACCACCAGAGAGAAGAGGCATAGATAAAGGAGAGGACGAGAAACGACAGGCGGTGGGTGAACGTCATGTGTAAACCCGGGTAGTGTGTGATATGATATTATATCGTTCAAAGGATGGTAAAAGCTGACTTGTGCACCTGGCACGAGCAGGCCACTCGCTTCAAGTAGCTGGTCAACAGGTGAAGGGTGGAAGAAAGAAAGGAAAGAAAAAGTTGAAGAAAAGAGAAGAATGGAACCGAGAACGCTGGTGGACGTCCGAGGGAGAGTGATGGAGCCGCCTTTCGTCCACGAAAAGCGAAGCAACCACAAGGAGACGAGATCGCAACGTGGGGGCACAGCGATAGATGACTATATGATGCGGCATAGGAGCATACGCATGATGATAGGGTCTCGTTCGTCCCGCCTCTATGGTAGGCTGTGCGAAAACGGCGTCGTGATAGGTAGACAACCAGGTACAACAACAGAAGAGGAATACGACCGCCAATTATCCTGTTATAGATAGGAGAGTAGGATCAGATCCAGCGCTTGGTCGACGATGCAAAAGAATTGCGTACGTACATTGCCGTCATAATTTTGATCGAGGAACACCTTCCGTTCAAAGCGTTTCTCCAGTAATATCCTGAACTCAAACTCTACACAAAGTCCTCCGATAACTTGCGTGCAAGTACACATGCAAGTGGCCAACGACAAACCATGCGCAACACTTCAAAAACATAGAATAAGTCCCAGAAATCGAATGCGGATCCATCACGTCGGTGTGAACGGTAACCATGATGATGTCCAATGTTGATATCAACATTTCATGCAGCACCAGATCCCGGCACGGCTTACAAGAGAGATCTATGTAGCACGCCGAGGTACAGCCACGACTTTGAAGCGGCACCAGTGATTGATATGTATCTTTTAGAAGCCGAGTGTATGTAGTGAGATATCCAAGCCCACTATAATAATAATTTCGTTGAACTGCACTCACCGACCTCTCTATCGAGCACACATACGAGAACTGGACTTGAAGGTATTCTTCGTCGCTCCTAGGGCGCAAGGTCCAGTTGCCCAGTCGACCCCAGCATGACCGAGCAAGCCGTAGAGACTAGGAACGGAACGTGTAGTCGTGCGGTCGATACGAAGAAACTCGAATCTGACGGAGGAGTCATTAGAGGCTAAAAACGCGTGCGAGGGAAAACCACAGTGGGCGCTTGCTTTTCTTCTGCTTCCGCTTCCGTGCTGTCTTTCCGAGTCGAATTGAGGAACGTAGTGCGCCAAGCTCTCGGTTTCAAGATGAGAATACAACTCTCTCCCCAAAGGAAGATATGCTCATATCGGCGACCTGAACGTACCGATGATCTGGCACGATCAGTCGTAGAGCAGACCATATACAGACTTTACAGGAACATTCGACCCGTCTATGAAGTATACGCAAGTCTACTTCGTCTTGTCGTTCCACCTGGGATGATTCAACCGTTCGCGTCAGCCACAACAAAACGCTCATCGAAAAATATCAGACTCACAGATCCATGAACAACTTCCACAAAATAGAAAACATCAACCCCTGACACCCATTCGCAATAATCCTCGTCTTCAGCCCCCTCCCAAACAGGCCCTTCAACCCATCCGCCGCGACGACCGCCTTCGCCGCATCGAAATAGCCTATCCTCGTCTCGTTCACCTGTCTGTACGTCTTCACGACGCGCAGCGAATTCGAGATGGTGTCGGAGACGACGGAGGCTACGAAGCCGATGAAGGCTTGACGGGCGAGTTTTTGCATGAGGGTGTGGTCGGGTGGGAGGTTGGCGGAGAGGTAGTTGTAGGTTGCGAACCACTGGGCCGGAAATGACGGTTGTCAGGATTAGAGGAAATGGAGAAGTTATGGGAGGAAGATGCTTACGGGGTAGTGGCCGACGAAGGTGGCGGCCGCTGTGGCCCAAGCACCGTACCACAACGAACTAACGCCATAAGTCTTGACCTGCGCACATCAATCCAAAACATCAGCCATTCGCACCAATCTCACTCCTAAAAAAAAACACCGGGAACCTACCCTCTTCTTCAACAACCCCCATCCCCTCGCCCCCTGCGTCTGCAGCGTCGTCTTCACCGTATCCACCGGTGTCAAAATCATCCTAAACAGCGCCGCGGCCACCGACGCGAATACCGTCTTCAGCAGCGCCGGTAAATCCTTCAGATACGCGTTCGACTGCAGGAGCGCGAGGATGCCCGCGTTCGCCGCGGTGTCGCCGAAGCGGGAGACGGGGCCCTGGACGAGCGCGGCGAGAAGACCTTGGTAGTACCGTGCGTAGCCGCCTTCGTGGTAGAGGGTCTTGATGGCGGAGGTCGTCGTCGTTCCGTAGCGGTATTGGTAGTTCATGACGGTGCGGAGAGGCTGTGAGAGATTGAGAGATGATGGGGTCAGCGAGTGCCACAGTAGCGGGAAAGGGGTCGGTTTGGGTGGTCGAATCGTGGGCTGGTTCTGTATATCCTATGGAGACTTGTGGGGAGTCACACAGGTGCGGCTGTTAAACAACCATACAGCAGACGGTGGTCTATCTCGACCACCGAGAGCTCACTGTGGCCCACAGGCCCATGCCTCCGACCTACAGCGATAAACTGACAAGGAACCGAATCAACTCACCATAAGCGTCAAGACCTGAAGGACCATAGCTACACAACAAGGTTCAGCAACGCGTCCGAATCCCAGCAAACATAAATACCGAGAACAGAAACTGACCAGCAGCACCGCTCAACCCTCCTCCCAACGCGCTCTTCAACGCCTTTCCGAGATCGAACTATGAACACACCCAACTAATCAGCACTCCCGCATCTCTCTCTCTCCCTTCCACCCACCACTCTCCCTCATCCCTCATCCATCATCTCGCAAGCAAGCAAGAAAAGCTCAAGAAAGTCCTCACCTCAACATCATCAGCATCCATAAACCCCTTAACGAACACTCCCACCGCGCCCACACACACAACACCCAACACAACATACCACGCCATCATCCACCCGCTCGTTTTCTGCTTCACGCTCGGTTTCGGGAGCCCTCCTGCCCCTGATGAGGCGAGATCTGAGAGTTCGGGGTCGGGTGAGATGGAGCCGGAGGGTGAGGATGAGGAGTCGGTGATGATTTGGATTTCTGTGGATGGTTGGGCTTTGGTTTGCTCTTGATCTTCTGGAGAGGAAGAGGAGGAGGGGGTGTAGGAAGGGGGTTGGGAGGAGTCGGTCGTGGCCTCTAGTAAAGGCTGACGTTCAGGATCGGACATCGTATCGTTCGCTAGATCTCAACTGTTCGCTCTCAGCGTCGAACGTTGAGGGCTCGCCTAAGTCAAGATTCAGGTTATAATAAGCGTAGAATGAGTAATCCCAAGAGGTCGCCCGAGTCCGAGTCCTGTGCGCACGGTCAGTCGTTCGTGGTCGTGGTCGTGGTCAACAGGCAAGAGAAGAACGTGGACGCGAGAGGCGGGATGAGAAATGTACATCTATTTACAAACGATGCTCGATCCCCAGTGGCCAGCTTGAGTCGGTGTAGTGAACGATTATTGATAAGGGTGTAGGAAGCATTGCGCCTTCCGCGTTCCGCCCCGCGTCAGCGTCGACCACAGGCCCCTGAAGTTTGAACTCGAACTTATTTCACACAAACAAAAAGTCGTTCACGAGTATTCTGACTGATGTTCGCGTTGAGGATGCCAGTACGCAGAAATAAGCAAACAAAGCAGAGCAACGAGTCTCAGAATCAGTAGGTAAAGGTTACAATCCGACAACCTCAGCCCGCACGATGTGGCGCGCCACACCCCATCATGATCAAGAATCATGCTTGCTCAGCGTAAACCTACATCCCCCAAAAAAAGCGTACACAAAACAACCAATGATTAACTTCATCTCCAACGGCGTATGGACAAAAGAAAAGCGAGCGAGAGAGAGGGAGGGAGAGAGAGAGAGAGAGGGAGGGAGAGAGCCAAACGCACCTTGATCGTCTTGTCCGCCCCGCCCGTGATCAGCCTCGTCCCGGTAGCGTCGAACGTCGAACAAAACACTCCAGCCTCGGCTTCTAACGACCCCGGCTGGGGAATATCGTCCATATGCTGGAATGGCGTCCCGGTGTCGTAGTCCCAGAGCGTGAGCGTTCCGTTGTCGCCTGCGAAAGACGTACGTTTAGTATGAAGTCTCAACGCAAGCGTCGAAGGACATAATAACGAGAAGGTCGAACGGAGGAAGGGAAGAGGAAGACGAAAGACGAAGCACTCACCGCCCGAGAAAAACACCCCCTCCGCATTAACGCTCATCGTATTAATAATCGCATTATGCCCACTAAAATTAAACACGAACGTCCCCTCCGGACACTTCCACTTCTTGATATTGTTCCCCCCCGCCGAGCCCGAGGCGAAGGAGTATTCTGTAGGATGGATCGCGAGCGCGCGCACGGACTTTTTGTGGTGCGTGAGGGTTACCATCGTTTTGCCGGCTGCGAGGTCCCAGAGGCTGTTTTCGTTCGTGTGTTGTGTTGTGAGTGGATTATTCTTACGAGAGGGGATGGAGGGAACGTACCGAACGGTAGAGTCCATACTACCCGTAATAACCTGCGGGTCCGACTCCTGACACTTCACATCCGCGACCGTCGCCGTATGTCCCGCCAGGACATGCACCTGCGCCTTCGTCCGCATATCCCACACGCGCGCTGAGGCGTCCCTGCCCGCCGTGACGAGCACGTCGAGCGTCGGATGAAGCGAGAGGGAGTAGACGCCGGACAGATGGCCGTGATAATGCCTGATGACTTTGTTCGCCTCCAAATCCCAACATTTCACCATCTATCACAAGCACAAAACATCAGCATCCCCTCTTCCCATTCTGAGGGCGTTGAAGTTGAACGGAGTCAAACGCACCTTATCCTCCCCACACGAAAACAAATACGGATGCCTACTCGACACCGCCAGCCCCCTAACCGTCGAAATATGTCCCGTCAAACTCAACTTCAACTCCCCACTCGCCAAATCCCAGATCTTAATCACCCGATCGCCCGCGCCCGTCGCGAACCACTTATTGCCCGGCTCGACGGCGACGGAGCGTACCCAGCCCAGATGGCCGGAGATGACGCGCATGAGCTTCCATTGCGGGTGGAACGTGGGCTTGATGGTGCGTGTGGTTTTGTGGAGGGAGAGGGCTTGGGAGAGGTGGGAGGAGTTGGAGAAGGTGGAGGGGGTTTGGGTGGGTGTGTTGTCGATTGTGGCGATCATGCGGGAGGTGTCGGTGGCGGCGGAGGCGGAGGCTGAGGCTGAAGTGGGCCGAGTTAGTTGAGTTTAAGGGTAAAGAGCTGTAGGAAGACGTACGGCCGGCTGTGATCGCTTTTAGCTGCTGTTTTGGCCGGGCTGGGCCTACGGGCATCTGTTGCTCGAGCAGAGCAGAGGGCAGCTGTTTGTAGTGTTTGTACTCGTCGTTGATCTTCACGGCGAGCCGTATCCGCGCACTATGAATGCTTAATATTAATACACGTCTAGACGGTCCATAGAGCATGTTCACGCACCTCTTCTCCTCCTCCTTCATACCCTGCTCCGGACATGACGCGAACACGCTGTACGTCCGTTTCGCGTTCGCCTTGTACAGCGGGTCCAGAGGAGGCAGACTTGTGGTTGATGCCATAGTTACGCTAGCACCGTGGTAGTACAGAGCAGATCAGAGACTTGTAGTGTAGAAGAGAAGGACAGAGGACGAGGAGAGAGCTATGAGGACTGGACTTCCTTCGTTGGAGGAACGCGAGACGCGAATATTCAATATTTGTGCCTGTTTGGGGAGCGCCACTGTAGCCCTCCACCATCATTGTGTGGCACCCCCATCGAACGTTCCTTCGCTTCATACTTTACCTCCAAATACATTTCTTGAAACTCCCAGATAACAAGGCCTTCAATACGCCCGACCCACGAGGCACTCAAAACGCAAATGACGTGGCGACGAAACGACGGACGATGCTCCGATGGATGCACGTTCTGACTCGAGCTCACGACATCGACGGCGTGGTCAGCTCGAGCCCTATATAACACGCCGTTTTACATCGACTCGACCCATCTACTCTTCTTTCTATCTAACCTTCACCAAGCTCTATCGTCACCAGCTCTTGAACGATACTCGCAGATGTCAGTCAGCATACAGGAGATGACGCCGAAGCCATCGAGGCCGTTGCCCAAGGCGGAGGATATCAAGATGATCGTTTCTGATGTAGACGGTGAGTATCTTAATTTTTTTCGGACAACAATATACACCCTATTCTCGGACAAAAACACTCGGAACTCTGCTGGCAATAGACATCTAATCTACCATAAACCAAACCATCCCCCAGGAACCCTCCTCGACTCAACGCACTCCCTCCCCCCCACCTCCCCCACCCACCTCACCCTCCTCAAACTCCGCCAAACCCACCCCACGCTCCCATTCATAATCTCCACCGGCAAACAACACCGCGCCACCTCTTCGCTCCGCGACACTTTCTCCCTCAACCACGCCTTCCACTCCATCCACCTCAACGGAAACGTGATCTACAACCCCGACGGCTCGATCTTAAGGGAAAGCGGATTCGAAAAGGAGGTGGTGTTGGAGGTGATTGAGAGGTTGAGGGGCTGGGGGGATGTGGCGTTTATGGTTTATGATAGGGAGAGGGTTTATGAGATTTTGCCTGGGGTGAAGGGGCATGAGGGGGAGGGGGAGGGGGGAGAGTATACGGGAGAATCGATCTGGGCGGATAAGTTGAGGGGGTATGGAGAGGATCTGGTTGGGTATACGGTCGACGGGTCTAAGGAGATCTTGAAACAGATACGGAACGGAGAGATAAAAGTGATTAAGATGGCGGTCGTGGCCGACGAGAGCATCATTGACTGTGCGTTCCGTCGCCCTGCATTCACTTCGCCGTTTATCGCTTTGGATGCACACTTATATTAACTGACCTTGATGCTTGATGGTAACACACAGCGAAACGCGAGCTCCTACAGAACTGGCCACCGAACCTGATATCCTCCGGAACCTTCGCGATCACCCAAGCTCTCACATTCTGTCTCGAGCTCATCCCCGCAGCGCACAATAAAGGCACCGCCCTCGCCTTCCTCCTCGAGCACCTTAACTCCTCTGCCTCCTCCTCCACCTCTCCCACTGCCTCCTCCACCTCCTCACCACCCACCTTCGCAATATCCCCCGCCAACGTCATAGTCTTCGGCGACGGCGAGAACGACGTCCCAATGATGCGCGTCGCGGGGATGAGCGTCGCCATGGGAAATGCGATGCGCGTGGCGAGGGAGGCTGCGGTTTGGGAGACGGGGACGAATGATGAGGGGGGTGTGGGGCTGTTTTTGGGGAGGGTGTTTTTTGGGGAGAGTTGAGTGGGGGATGAGGAGTGAGTGAGTGAGTGAGTGGGCGGGGGATGACGGGAAGGGTGAGAGATGGGGATGGGAGCTGGTGATTAGTATGAGGTGAGGATAGAGATCTCGAAGAGGTGTCGAGAGTTTTGTGGCTGATTCGAACGACTCCTGCATAGAGGTAGATCGCCAGTGCTGCCCTCCTCCTTAGACTGCAGCTGCAATGTTATTTACTTTATTTAGATAAAGAGAATAGAAGCAATAGATAGGATCCTATAATGGAGAATAATATACACACGAAAATAACATGATAACTCCCTCTCCTCCCCGTTCCCTCCTTAAGCTTCCCCCACTCTCCTCGTCTTCCTCGTCTACTCTTCCCGTTCTTCCTTCCTCAGACTCCCAGCCATTCCACCCACACACTCAATCACTCACTCGGCGTGTCACGCATACCTGCACCTGCACGCCCAACAGCTTCCACCTCCAAACGTTCCCGCCCATCTTTCCTCCTCTCTTCAGCACGGCCAACAGACCTACCCACCCGACCAACCATTATTGCAATCCTCCAATTCTCCGAAGATTCCCCGAAACCCAATGTGCCCATCCTACGTCCAAGCTCAAGCTCAACTCTCCCTCTCCCTCCCGATTACGATTGCAATTGCATAGTCCCACCGCACCGCACCGAATAGCATGTGCATGAACGCCTCGCTGCCAGCCGCCCGCAGCTCCATTCTATCCGCCCTTCCATTGCCGCAGATCCCAACCAAGACCAAGGCCAAACCCTCTAACCGACCCGAACCACATTTCTTCGTTTCACAACTTCGACGTCCTTACACCCGCAGAACACTCAATACGTCCCCCCAGCAGCCGCAGCCCTCCGTCTCCTACTCCTCGAGCTCCAGCCATACCCGTCACTCCGCCGATGGCCCGCGCGCGCGCGGCCAGTCCCGCAGCGGCAGCAGAGGATGTCGAGGAGGACGTCGAAGATCGTTACGAGGATCTGTGTGGGTGGATTGGTGGGTGCAGGAGGGGATGGGGGGGGAGGGGGGGACGCGTTCGTTGGATGTTGAAAGAGGATGGGAGTTCGTTGAATGTCGAGATAGGGTGCAATAGTTTGGGATGAGAGGGAGGAGTGTGGGGTTTGCGCGTTGCGAGATGAGACTTGAAGTAAGAAGGGAGAAGAGAGGAGAGGGAGAAGAGACGGGAATACGCACTAGGACGATCGCGCTGACGATGGCTTCGAGGAGGTATGCGACGGCTGAGATTATGGCGATGATGCCGGAGCCGATGGCAGAGAATATGGAGCCCTGTCATTGTCATTATCGTAAGGAAAAAACAATCAGGTGAGTGAATGAGTGAGTGGTGCAAGAGACGAAAGCGACGCACCATAGTCAACTACGAATATTCTCGTTCGCTGCAAACTCCGAATTCGAACTTCAACTATACACCACCAAGTCCAATCCAAGCACGGACAGAACAGGAAGCAGCAAACAGATGGAAGACGGCGACGGCGAAAAGCACCAGGTGCAGCCAAAAGGCGTCAACACAACAGAACAGAACAGCGCAGAGGAAGGAAGAACAATCGCAGCGCGAAGCGACCCCAACACCTTTTATATATCACACCTACTTTGCCCGACCCCCACACATGCTCACCCCGTCCTTCCCTTCATAACGCAAATGAAAACACTCGGAGCGCCTCGAGGCCACAATCCGCTTCGACCGTTCAGTTCGGGGGACCGAGGGCTACCGAGAGGGACCTGGGAACTGGGACGAATACAATATGCCATTGCCAGTGGGCGGGAGGGAGGACCGTGATCACGGTTCGCTGGCCGGGCGGCCGCGTATACTCATTGTGCTTTACGTTCCGATATAGGATAGGAAACGTCCGGATGACGTACGGAGGTATATTTGTTTTATTTTTGATTCTGGTGAGGACTGGAAAGGAAGATCATCATCATGCGCAGACATATGCTTATAGATGATCATTGATCACTGTGTCGTGTGGGCGGATCGTGAGGCGTATGCAGCGATGAGTGGAACAGTTCGTGGCGGGCACGATGGGGTGTGGGCTTGTATGAGCATGCGTACGGTTCAATTGAGAATTCGATGGACCAGAGCGCCCGACGGACGACGACGGATATCGTTCGGCATGAAAAGCTATATCGGATCCATTTGCCCACAGGGAAGGAGAAGCCAAGCCAAGACGAAGATAACTATAACTGTCGTCCACTTCTCCGTGCAGTCATGTCGTACGACTATGGCGACGTTAGGGCGGCTGACGAGAATGCCACTCGTCCCGAGGCTCAAGCGAAAAGAAAGGAAAGACGATAGCACTGAAATAGCAGGCTCTGGACCAGCGCTGGGGTAGGCTTGCGTTCGCCATGGGTATCGACAGGATGCCTAACTAAGGCTGCGGTTTGGAGGCAAGTGCACTTGCCAAGAGCTTACAGTTGTCCCATGGACGAACTCGAGACCGGTTTGTGCTTACGTGTCAATGTCTGTCGTGTTACAGCAGCAGGGCTGACAGATGGACTCAGGACCAGCTGTCATGCCCTGAGCTGACAATGCATTGCCTGTATGGTAGAGAAAATGTTTGTGAGTATTAGGCATGTGGCCGAGAGACTTGGGTACTAACCCACGACCCACGGCAAAAAGGGTGCGCGTGCAGGATGCTCGCATAGTAGGGGTTTCATCAAGTCGCAGGATTTTGCCACAAAGGGCATTCTATTCTAGGCTTGTCATTGTTTGAAACAAGTGGTCAATCCGAGCGAGTGTGCGATGAGGGCTCGCCACAGCGACGATAGACCAGTATATAGAGAAATCCAATATAAGTTCCTAGATGTTTTTGCTGTGAGTTATACCATACACAAGTTGCCGTCAGAGAGAGAGAGGGCGTGGTGGACGTTTGGAATGAGGAGGCCTTTCGAGTGGCGAGGTTCCTCAAAGCGTTGAACACCGAGCGCCGGCTAGATCCGACCGTTGTTGGAATTGAGCAAATGACGTCAGTAGCGAGCAGTAGCGGTACCAAGAGGGGCTGCTCAATTCTGGCCGGTCAAACTGTCAAGTCAAACTCGAGCAGGTCAAACTCTGCGAAGCGATGCAGGTGGAGTCGGCAAGAGTCCCGCGACTTCGCGAACACCTCATCATCGAGTGGTTCTCACGGGGAGACGCATACTGTATACACTGTCCAATGCAGTTTGTATTCACTAGGTAGGATAAGTCCAGGATTTTTCTTTGAGCGGACCTGTGCGTGCTCGGGTTAGACATATTTTTTACTGATTTTTACGAAGAGGGGCATGCAATACAGAATTTCTTGATGGAATTTGCACGTCTGTGGCAGAATGAGCAGATCGAGAGTGGCGCAACTCGGCAAACGAGCCCATGTGCGCCACCGCGTAGAGTTTGACCAGCTTGACCTTGACCAGCTTCACTTGACAGTTTGACCTGCGAGAATTGAGCAGCCCCAGAGGAAAGTTGCCCACCGTCGTTCGATCGCTCCGCAACAGCTCTCGGAATACCATTTTCGACTCCACGAAAGAGCCAACAGATGGCGCCGTCATCGTCTAGAATCGTCCCGAAGCCGGACGGAAGGCGCGACAGCTGCAAGCCGTACAACTTCCGGCCATGGATGACGTCGTTGTAGATTGCCAGTGACGCCGCTTCCGTTCATTTTCTAGTGACGCACTGTGGCGCCTAATTCCCCGTCGTCACTCCACGACTTCAGGAGCCTCCTCTATAAAAACGCGACGCGGTCGATCTGGTCTCGACATTATTCGCAACCACCCCGCTCATCATCTCATACAAACCCCCACTTCATACCAACCAATCAAACAAACCACTTGAACACCCAAACTCACAATTATAATGGTTCGTCCTTTTCTTCGTACTCCCTGTCGTTCTTCGTCCTGATTGCAATATTTTCCATAGGGTTCAATCTTCTCTGCAATCGGCTCCGGCATCATCGCCATCATCTCTGCTATCGCAGGAGTTCTTGAGACCATCGTCGGTGCAATCGTCATGGTACGTCCTGACCCTCCTACATCCCACCTCTAGTCCTCACCTCTAACATGCTCTTGCGCTTTCCAGGTCATCGTAACCATCTTCGACGTCATCCTCGACATCCTCTGCTGCCGCTGCGGTACAGGAAGGAGACGCGCAGGCACCCGTGGAGGAGGATTTGGTCGCCGTCGCCGACGGACGGCTGCGACCTACTAAAGTCTTCGCGTTTGAGGGTTCCAGCTAGACTCATGATTTCCTTTTATCCTTCATCCTCTTTTCATTTCACTCCCGTCTTCCATTCGCATTCTCTTTCTTTATTCTTCACCGATACCCACACTTGCTGAGAGGTTACACACGCGATCGTACGAGTATGCAGGGGAGTGGAGGTTGTGGATGTATTGATTCTTGCTTGACTGACTGTATCTGTATCCTTACTCTATCCTCGCTCGCGTCTGCGCTTGACAATATTTTTCTTTTAATATCATTGCACGCACATGCTCTTGTCATTCATTCATAACCTCGTGCGCCACACTGCGTTGCAGTGCCTTGTGACTGAGAATCTTCGCATCACTTCAGAGATTTCCTTCTCGGATTTGTATCTGACTAACTTGTCATGCCTTACCAACGCCACAGCAAGATTACGGAGTAGTACGTGTAGGGAGCAGGCTGACAGAATTTAGATGTCACGGATTCGCATCTTAGTCGGTATAGTTATCCTGCGGACCCACAAAACATACACAAACGAGATCAGTGGGTTTGAGAGGACTATGTGCAATACGGCGAAGTGTCGTGAGAGATGGATTATATTTATTTCTGCTGCACTTTTACCTACACAGCACTGGAAGCTCGACCGACGATCGACAAGGACACTCATAGCTGAGACAACGATACTGTACTAGTATGAGTGTACTTCCTGTCACTAGCTTGTCACTAGCCAAGTGTTCAGCAGTATACGCCAATGGTTTTCTCGAACGCCAGAATCTGGGCTCACTTTTTTGCAGACACTCAACATGCGTTCAATCGTCTGCATACGTTTCCGAGTTTGTAAAAGGGTACGTACTGTATGTGAATTCGGCCAACTTCGACGCCGGCACCATGGCACTCATGGCCAATTTCCAGGTTCTCCGTTTTCTTCTTGCTCCTTCATAAGTTTTTGGGGAGAATACGCGACTTTGAAGGGAAAATACCCCGTAGCCTTGTGCAAGCTAAACAAGAATCAGTTTAAGTTAAGTATTATATGCTGGACATTGTTCACCGGAAACACTGCACTTTCTGAACAATCTCAAGATCTGCAAGTCCGCTCAAAAGTCCGCTCCGACTGACGCCACAGTGGCACTTGATGGCCATTGATGGGCAAGACACTGCGAGACAAACATCTTCGGTGCTTTGGGTAAATGGTTTTTTGGAACAGTACCATGGACGCTACATATATGGATAATTGGCTAAATGGACGTGAATGAGTACGACTGACTTCCTCTGTATTCGAGTCAGGATTTCGTGACTAAAATGGACAGCACATGAGCTGTGCCCGTAAATAAGACGCTGACCGCAACCCATCTCCTTGCTTCCCACCACCACAACCTCTTCTCTCACCTTCCCCCTTACTCAACCACCCTACCCCCCAAAACATCGCAATGTCCGACCCCGTTGCCGACAAATCTGGTTTCCTATGCATGTACATGTCTTCCCACCCGGACACCCTCGTCTCCTACGCCAAACACTTCGGGCACATCTCAGAATCTCTCCTCTCCGCCAAGATGGAGTCTATCGACTCCAAAGCAATGAACCTATCCTACGTGACAAAGAAAGATGGACCGAATTATAAAGGAGAAAAAAAGGTGGTGAGGGTGGTATTTGATCCACCGTTGAGTGGGTACGAGGAAGTTAAGCCGAGGTTGTTGGGGATGAAGGCGGACGCAGACGAGGCGCTAGGGACGGTACGTATCTCACTAATCACCCTTCCTTCATCCCGCGTGTTATATTTGCGAGGAATCGATTGTTCTAATATTGCAATACCTCCACGTAGTCCAAAGTCCCACACATCACATCCTTCGTTCTCCCCACCAAAGCCATCCAAACAGCCCTTCTCCTCGGTTTCCTCGCCTATACCACATGGGCCCCGTCCACCTCTTCGTCCAATTCACCCTATTGGATCCCGGCCAACTTCATCCGCAGCTACGTAGGACCGACGGCGCTGAAATGGATCTGGGGCTTTACGCTCGTCGCGCATGGGCTCGAGGGCGCGTTCGCGTTCACGTTGGCTAGGAAACACCAGATGCCTTTGGGAGTTGCGGTAAGTACCTATATATTTCTTCCTTCACACATCACAAAGTCCCTATCACTACTTTTTTCTCTTTACTGTTACCTGGTTGACATGGATGGCGTGTGGCGTGTGGCGTGTGGCATGGCTTGGGTCGCAGAGCATTGATTTCTGACTAAATGAACCCTCATTGCAGATATCATACATCTCCGCCGTCACCCTCTTCGGATTCCCAGTCCTGCTGGACCTTCGCAGCAGGATACAGACTGCCCGTATCGACTCCATCATGAAGGGCAACTAAGCGTGGTCGAAACAATATACTGTGCTTGGATCTGTCATCACCTCTCTATCTATCTTCCGATCGCGCTCATGTACTTTGTATATCTATTCGCGGTGCTGGTTTGAACTTTCGAATTTACTATGTCTTTGGATCTGGAATGCTCATGCGGATACGTTCGTGGACTTGGTACCTCACGTACGGCTCACGTACTGCGAATGGTGGAGGTGAGTGCTTACGATGGTGAAGGTATGATTCATGTATCTCGTTCGTGTGAATCCCATATTTGTGTTCCCTGTGTTTCCCTCGCACGCTCTCCCCTCCACACGAAGCTCGTTCGTGCTGATATCGGCCTTCCCGTTCACGACATCATTGTGTCTATCCGGTCACTATTACTTACTAAGAGCTCGACGGGTACGTCGACAATTATCGTCGCCCGCTCAGTTCTGTACCTCTTACTCTTCTCGTTCCCTCCATCCCCGCCGTGATCCATCTTTCTTGCTCCATGAGCACGAGCAATGATGAGAATGGACCTATTTTCGTGTTCCAGTCGATAGGAACCACCCTGTCTGTCGTTGAAAACGTTACTGTGGATTATACGGACGTGAATGTCCAGGAGTGGCTGTGCCTAAAACGTTGTGCTAACCGACGATCGTTGGCTAAGTTATGAATGGACTCGCCTTCAGGCATCGACAGCTCTATAATTCATTCGTATCAGTTGAACTGTCCTAGTCAGAAATGATGACCTTCTGGATTTTTGTCTGGAACTGTACCCACTTGTTATTGCATGATGCATCCAAGTCTTTCTTTCTTGTCTGAAGAGTCAAGTCAATACCTTAAGCTTGCAAACTCTGCGATGAGTCTCTCCGAATGTTGAACTTGTAAGGCTTTCTGACGGTCCGACCCGTATTCCCGTGTTTCGGTGTTCCCGCTTTACCGTCGATCAAAATTCAGGAGGCAGCTATGTTTGTGATCGTAAAGTAACATAACCGCTATAATTATACATACGGCACTCGTAGCCACGATTTTTCGGGTCTTAGAGGATTTGCGAGCCTCGAGGATGGATGAGGGCTTCTCGCAGATCGAGAGAGAAGTCCGAGTTGCTGATCGTACGTGAAACTGTGCGTGAATGGGCCGAGTAATTGGGAGGCGTGTGGAGAGGACATGGACGAGAGTCGGAAAATGGTTCAGACTATTATAGGGATGGCTATAATAACGGGGGTAAATTGGGTACGATGTTGATGTGATTCAAAGTCTGAGCGTCGGGTGGCGTGGATGTGGCACCAGCCAGCACCAACCTTCTTCCTAGCGGATAGTTCCGGTCGGCCTACGTCACCGAATTGATTGTTTCCTGCTCTTGCCTTCGCCTCACAACCTCAAGGTTGTAAGTACCGCCATCTTCACGGAGCATACTCCTCCGAAATCACTCTGCCAAGAGTGTGAATATGAAGACATCTCACCGCCTCAAAAATCCTCCTGATTTACATATGCACCCATGACGAACAACTCTCCCCATCCTCCTCCTCTTTCTGATCATTTCCGGTAACGGGGATCGGCGGACGATGCTCAATTGTACGAACGGACCCCACTTCGATACGTTTCATACTCTTTCATACTGCTTGGGCACGGTCATTTTTCTCCGTAGCATGACTTCCTTACCATCACACGACGAAGTCTTGTCGATGGTGGAGGGTATATAAGGAGGGCAGGCAGGTCGGTATTCTACCCATCCCTCATCTCATCGCCTTTCAACCGCAACTTACTCAAACACCAATCCTCTTCTAATCCTTCTAATCATGTTCTTCCGTTCCATCATCGCTGTCACCCTCTCCGCTGCTGCGTTCGTCTACGCCGCGGACGTCACCCGTGAAGTCAAGGTAGGCATCATTCCGAGTCCCGCTGAATCCACACATATTTCGCTTTTTGCTCATTAACCGGTCTGTTCTTCTTCTTAGATGCCCAACGGCGAGACTACCGACGTCTTCTGCCCTCAGTGGACTGGTAGCTGCACTTCCGTCGTTGGTGCCACTGGTACCGCGTCCGCTCAGTGTGACACCGGAGCCAACTCTGGTACGTTTTCTGTCCCCCGTCTCATTTTCTTTCCTTTCCTTGTGTTGCCACGTGTCACAAGCCCTTGTCGCTCTTACAAGCCGCCACTTCCCACGCTTCCTTTTGATACTTTCTCACTTTGCTCCCCGTTGCCATCTTCCCTCCCGACGAGTCAACGAATACTAAATAAACCTTTTGATCCGTTCTCCCCCATAGGCACCGCCCGTGTCAGCTGCCTCTCCACCTACGGAGACAACGTCGCTGACTACACCGACGCCAACAAGCAGAGGATGGGTATCGAGTACGCTTAAGAGATGATCCGAGTAGGGAATGTGGCCGGGAGGTGGAAGGTTAACGAGTAGCACGAGAGGGTGATTGAAATTTGGACATAGTCTATGCGCATTCATAATGACATTCATGGCCCTTCTGGGATTCTGGATTAAGCTTTTCGAATGTGGGCCTGTCTGAGTATGTGCATGCTGTCTGGATGGTCTTCGGAGGAGAGTTGGCAAGGTCTCCGAGTCATTCTTCGAACTCATGGTTTTCTGGTGAATATCGCCTACCGATTTGTGAAATTTAGAGGCAGCGCTTGTGACAGGCAGCAGGCTCGTACTGAGTCTCGTGAGGGGAAGTCATCTCTTAGATGCTCGACGCGGTCGAAAGGCAATCGAAAGGAGTTCAAAATCGTTTGAAAACACCGGCCTCGCGTAAGAGCGATGACGTATTTGTTTGGCAAGAGCCTCTGATCCAAACAACCGCTTGTCGCCCAAACCAGTAAATTTCAAACTCAGATATTTTAGCGCGTCTCGACTCCTCCCGACTACACCAGGCCTTTACAGTTACGGGTTCTTTAGGCCGGTATACGGCGAACTTATCACCTAGAGAGCATGTTCCAGCTCTCACGACGCGTCGTACACCGGACATCTGTTCGTTCTCGTTCTCTCGCTCGTGCATTCGCGTCTGAGGCGCGCTCGTCCGATTATACCTACGATGGTGCGTAGCCCTTCGTCTCACTTTTTTTGTCTGCTCAATCGTACTACTTTTCTCTCAAATTTTGATTGCCATGGCCAGTGTGTGTCATTGGAGGCGGCCATGCAGGCTGTGAAGCAGCCGCTGGTGCAGCCCGTACAGGCGCCCGGACAGTCCTCATCACACAAAAACTAGACACTATAGGCGAGATGTCGTGTAACCCGTCTATTGGAGGCGTCGGAAAGGGAACGCTGGTCAGGGAGATTGATGCTATGGATGGGTTGATGGGTAAAGTCGCAGGTATGGTTTTCGTTTCGATAATTGTGTCCATGTGTTGGTTCTGAGGACCCTGCGTTTGGTACGAAGATAAGGCGGGGATACAGTTTCAAATATTGAATCGCTCGAAGGGCGCTGCTGTATGGGTGCGTATAACCCCTCGTTGCTTCGGTCTTATTTCGCTCCTCCGATGCATACCCATTTTCCCATTCCATCCCTCTCTGCCTATGTGTCGTATATGTGGCCTAACACCATCGAAATAGGGTCCCCGCGCCCAAATGGACCGTAAACTCTACAAATCACACATGCAACATGCTCTGCACAACTACGGCCCAAACCTCTCCATACGCACTGGAAGCGTCTACGATCTCGTGTACTCCCATACGCATTCTGGTTCGAGACCAGAGGATATTAGAGCGAGGATTGAGGGTGTCAGGCTCGGTATGTTGACTCTTTTTGTTCCACGGCTACTTACAGTCGTCGCGCCCTCTCGCTGCAACACGTCAATTGCTGACAAAATGCGCGTATAGATACGGGCGAAATAATACACTGCTCACAAATCGTAATCTGCACTGGTACCTTCCTATCTGGCGAAATCCACATAGGCTCTCGGCGCATCCCAGCCGGTCGAATAAACGACCCCGCCTCACCTCCCTCTCCCTCCTCCCTCGCCTCTCCCTCCTCTCCCTCTTCTTCCTCTTCTTCCTCTTCTTCCTCTTCTTCCTCCTCCTCCTCCTCCTCCTCCTCTCTTCCTACGGCTTCTTCTATTCCTATCCCTCCTAGCCCCACGATATCGCACCAGTCCGGCCTTTCCCATACCCTCCAACATGCCTTCGCCCTCCCGCTCTCTCGTCTCCAGACGGGTACACCTGCGCGTTTGGATGGTAAAACGATCAATTTCGAGCATCCGAGGATTATCGTTATGAAGGGGGATGAGAAGCCGAAGAGCTTTGGTTTTTTGACTGGGGAGGGTGAGGATGGTGGGCTGCCGAATAAGGTGTGTCCGTCGTTCCTTTCCATTTTCTAGGTATACATCTAAGCTTGAAAGGGGCTATCGTATTGATGCGTGTATTGTGTGTAGGATAATCAGGTCGTTACGTGGCAGACGTTCACAACGCCGGAGACACATAAGTTCGTGCGTGATAATTTGCATTTGAGTGTGCATATTCAGGAGACGAAGAAGGGTACGCCTGCGCTGCTTCCACCTTAACAGTCTGCAATATTGATGCTTACCTTTTTTCATGTGGCGTGTGGCGGACTCTCGTTCTCAATAGGTCCACGGTATTGTCCGTCTCTCGAAGCAAAAATCACACGTTTCGCAGCGAAGAACGAACATACTGTCTGGTTGGAGCCAGAGGGGTACGATTCCGGTGCATCTCTATTTTCCTGCTCCATCCGTCCCCCACTCGTCATATTCCACGTACCTTCTGTACTTACCCCTTAATCACCACAGACGTGATTTATCCTAACGGCCTCTCGAACTCCATGCCCGAGGAACTCCAAGAAACGATGTTGCGCACGGTCCCTGGGCTGGAGAACGTCAAAATGGTGCGGCCTGCATATGGGGTCGAGTACGATTTCGTGGATCCGAGGGAATTGGATTGTATGTCTACCCTCTCTCGTTTCTTCATCTTCTTGTACACCCTCTAATGTATAATGCATCGAATGATATAGCTACCCTCGAAGTAAAACGCGTCCAAGGCCTCTTCCTAGCTGGTCAAATCAACGGAACGACGGGTTACGAAGAGGCAGCTGCGCAGGGAATCGTAGCTGGGATCAACGCGGGTCTCGCGGCTCGCGACTTGCGCGCCCAAGTCTCAAGTGACGTTGTTAGTGGTGAAGATGCGGCCCTGGGGAGGGGTAAGAGATTGGTCGTGAGCCGGGCGGAGGGATATGTGGGGGTTATGATTGACGATTTGGTGATGAAGGGGGCTGAGGAGCCTTGTGAGTTCTCTCTCCCGTCCTAGCCCTCCTGTACTCTCGTTCGATCCTGCTAACCATCGCCTGGTGTGATCAATGGTCCAGACCGGATGTTCACGACGAGAGCGGAATACAGGATGACGCTCAGGAGCGATAACGCGGATTTAAGGCTCACGGCAAAAGGTATGTCTCTGCCTTTCACCTGTCTCCTTCATCCTCCTCGCTTACACATTTTCTCCTTAAAAGCCCATGCACTCGGCGCTGTCTCCGACACCCGTTGGGCTTCATTCAGTCGCACTAAACGTTCCATGGACCTCGCCACCTCTTTAATGCAATCATACACACTCTCGCCGCAGGGATGGTGGCTCAGGGGGTTCAACGAGGTGGGAAGAGACGGGGTCATGAGGAGGTTAGCTGTTCGGTCTACTATGGACTAAGGGTGGAGGCCTAACCATGTCTTGTTGAATCTAGCGCGTTCGATATGCTCAGGTTCCCGAAGCTGAGGACGAGAGACTTCGTGGAGGTCATACCTGAGCTTGGGACGATCGAGGAGGGTGTTCTAGAAAGAGTTGATATTGATGGTACGCCTTTCCATGAGGGTTTATACGTGATGTAAACGTTGATATACGGTCTCATACAGGCCGCTACCACTCCTACCTCTCCCGCCAACAAGCCGAACTCCGAAACTTCACAGACGAGGAATCACTGCTTCTTTCTCCTAGGATGGATTACTCTGTCGTGCAGGGGTTGAGTTCGGAAGAAAAGGAGAGGTTGAGCAGGGTCAGGCCGAGGAATATTGGGCAGGCGAAGAGGATGGAGGGGATGACGCCGAAGGGGATCGTTATGCTTTTGAGGTATGCGAAGAGGACTTGGGGGAGGGATGGGCAGGGCGGTGTAGGCGCGAATGTGGCTGGAAACCTGGGGCAGGAAGGGGTGGAGGGAGTATTGGGGGAGGTGGCTGAGTTGGAGGCGGACGGGTCTGCGGATGCGGGGAGAGTGGAGGCGGCAGCGGTTGCTTGACGCTGTTAGAGACCTCTTATTTTCCTGACGCATGAAATATCACTGCTCACGTATGATTTCGTGGGCGTGTGCCATTGACTATCACATACCGAGAATATTCCTGTGCGCTGAACGTGAGACGCCACACGACGCCACGCGACTCTTTTGGGCGCTTGCTGGAGACCTCTGGAGACCCGCTTCACCTAAGTAAGTACTCCTGCAGACTTCTTGTTCCTTCATCTTCGCCAGCTTCACTGTTTTTGGTCGCTGTACAAGAACACTCATTCTCTGGGGTGATTCATGGATTTCTGCCTCAATGATCGTTTGTAGCCAGCCGATCTGCTTACAACGTAACTGTGAAGCGCCGAAGTTGGAACGTGCATCAACTTGAAAGGCCCGGCGGTCTGTCTCGCTTGCACTAAACATCTCCACTGGTTTAAGAGCATTCTTACTCTCTATCTTTCTGCTCGGCGTGCTTGAGCATGACAACAGAGTCTTCGGCACCACCAAGTGGTTTTGACACCAGACGCTACAAGCGCGAACTATGGGGATGGCTCAGTTACGCGTTTGCGAGGTATGTGAACTACCTGGGCATCCGACAGCGTCACTGACTAGTCCCTCTGTTGTCACTACCGCTCTCCAAAAACCTCTGAACTGAACCAAAGCGAAGTTTTCGTCATCGTTTCCCTCACGCTCTTCCTACCCATCTGTCTCGAACAATTCGCAAGAGATAATGGCTACCTCCTCCCTGACAAGCAAACACCTTGTTCCGCTGGTGTTTCGCTTTCCAACTCAACGTCTACGCTATCAGGAAATGGGACGGAAACGGAGCAGAGATGTGCTGTGAAATTAGGTTGGGTGTGGATTGATACTGCGAGTTTTAGGTGTGTGGAAATGTACAGTTCGTTGGGGTGCCACATCATAGCATCGAGAATGAGACGTGTGCTGATGCGTGTGCTGGGTAGCCTCTATGTATATTCGATCTCTGTTGCGCTGCAGGCGTTGACTGTCATTTCAATGGGCGGGATTGCAGACCACCGTGAGTCCCCCTTACCCCTCACGCCTTCCCACTGTCCCGTTCGCTCAACACACTGGGCCGTCTTCCTTCCATCTTGCAGCCCCACATCGCAAACGTCTGCTCTTCACATTCGCCTTCCTTGGCTCCCTCTCCGCTATCCTTTTCTTCTTTCTCCCTTCGTCCTCTCCAGTATGGCCCCTATCCGGCCTCTTCGCCATCTTCGCAAACGTCGGCTTCGGAGCGTCAGTTGTTGCGATGAACGCATACCTACCAATGTTAGCGAAGAACAGCGAGGGAGTTGTAATGGCAAGGCAGTCTTTGGATGAGGAGTTAACAAAACGACACAGGGATACCGGAGGGATATTGCCCACGGAAGAAGAAGAGAATCATGGTACCAGAGAGGGAGGCGACGAGCATACCGTTCCACTGCTTTCCGGTTCTTCTGGCCTTAATGATAATTCAACCGACGACCCCCACCTCGCCCAGCTCCACGAGAAATATAACACCTCTCTTTCGCGTTCGACTTCACATATCTCTTCCCTCGGTATTGCACTTGGCTATTCTTCCGGCATCGCCCTCTTGGCTCTTACTTTAGTTCCCGTTACGCTGCTCAAGGGATCGACTTTGGTGTTGAGGTGCGCGATTGGGGCTAGTGGGGTATGGTGGGCTGTATTCTCCGTGCCGGCAGTTTGGTGGTTGCTGAGTGGGGAGAAGGATGACTTCAATAAAAGAGATGGAGCAGTGATGGAGGATGGCGAGGACGGATGGGACGTACGAAGTGTAGAGGTGGGTGGCGCACAGAGAGATGTGAAGGAGGACTGGAGTATGTGGAGGGAGGTTATCAGGGCTTGGAAAAGACTGGGTGGGATGCTGAGGTGGAGGGAAATCAAGAAATTGAAGAATACGTTCAGATATCTTGGAGCCTGGTTCTTACTTTCGGATGGTGCGTCTCCTCTCTAGATGAGTCAATTAGGATCCTTAACCTGACCGTATATCTTCATGCTTGGTACAGGTTTCACGACGATAACGTCCACTGCCATCCTCTTCGGGAAAACGACACTCCACATGTCACCCTCCTCACTCATCCTCATCGGAGTACTCACACCGCTCTCAGGCATCCTGGGCTCGCTACTGTGGCCTGCATTACAGAGAAAGTTCGGGTGGTCCAACCTCAAGGTTATAGTGATACTGGTAGTGATGGCGAGTCTGATTCCAGCATATGGATGTCTAGGATTTTTGAGCGTGCTGAGGGAGAAGGCGAAGTTTGGTGGATTGACTACAGAGGGAGAGATGTTTGGGTTGGCGGTTTATTTCGGTGCGTTTCTCTCCGAAAACTTGGCCGTACACAGCTTGGATGTCTTGTTGACCCGTTTCTTTCCTCTCAATTTCAGGTTCAGTCTATGGTGCATTCCAAAGCTATGCAAGGGCGCTCTATGCAGAGTTGATACCGCCTGGGGAGGAGGCCAGGTGGTACGTCGACTTGAATTGTCTCTTTACTATCGAATGCGTTTTCGTCTCGCTCATTGTGTCACTTTTCATCTAGGTATGGCCTCTTCTCCATAACAGACAAAGTGAGCCCTCGTTTATCTGTCCTCTTGAAGTTTCACTAACGCTCATGCAAAAAATCACAGTCCTCGTCCTTCCTCGGTCCTCTCATCGTCGGTCTCATATCAGATACGACAGGAAATATCCGCTATGCTTTCTTCTTTCTCGTGTTCATGATTTGGGCCGCGGTACCACTATTGGTGAGTGTGGACGTGGAGAGGGGGAGAAAGGATGCGAGGGGGTATGTCTTTAATGCGAGGAGGGCTGCGTAAGGGTTCGTGATGTGGGTAGGTGGGTCTGAGAGTGTAAGATAGGCTTGGGTTTCTTGTATGATATCTCATGGAACTCTTCTTGGATATTTGATGCTCAATCGATCTTATTCGACATTCCCGAGTATGAGACCTTGATCGTCAATAGTCCACTGGAGCACTGGAGCACATGTAGTATCGTACCGCAGTTCTTCGGACGAACTATGGAAAACTTCACGGTAGTTGTAGCAGCGAACAGCATGTCATGTTTCCACCTCCCATCTTCTATTGACCCCAGACAAGAGTCAGTTTCAATGTCCAGCGTGGTCTTCACGGTGGCTGTATTAATTCGCCTGTTCTTCCACTTTCTGCTTATTAGTCCCTTTAGCGAGTCGACGGTCCGTGCTGCCCTCTCTCTCTTAATGCATTAGAAATTTGACATAATTCTGCATATATACTTACGCGTTTGTGTTCGTTTGTTGAGTCTGCGAATAATGGGCCAGAATTTAGAAAGTTGGCTTGTTCACGGATTGTGGCGTCGAACTTGCTTGTGCCACTTACGCAGCTCCCGGCCCTCTCCGGGCCGCCCGGTCTTGTTCCCAACGGAGCCCAGAAATTTGGTCCTGTCGGTCGTTCCTTCGCAGCTTGTTCGCAGTCAATCATCTGCATCATCGTTGTCGCGACGAAGGTAGAAAATCCTTCTCCAGACATCAGTCCTTTTTCATCAGACTCACCTCCTCTGATCCGGCAATCCTAGAAGCGGTACCCGGTTGCCATCGCCGTCAACGTCGTCCTGCATCGTCGAACCGTGAGCGCGTCGTCAGCCAGAGCATCCGTTAATATCTAAATGAAATATCATTTACCCCTCCAGAACGGAAGTTGACAATGGGACCGAACCTTCGTGACGACCAGGGACGCATGCATTGTGCTGCACGGCTCGGAGCTGCGTTCTTCTGTAGACTGGCGGACCGCATTGCACCTTCGGACCCTGCTCTCTGATAGATTTTCTGGGTAGCTTTACTCGTAGGTGGCCCGCCGAAAATCATCCTTCTACCTCTCTCGCGAGGAAAACACCCACTGTGACTTGATCATGCATACGTGCTTACAGCCTAGTTGATGCCTGTTGCGATCCGGTCTTCCGTCCACTTCGTCCTGGCAAGGCTCATAGCACCTGGTCGGAGTCGTCTCTCGTCCTTCTTGGCCACGTGCATGCGATCCGTTGAGTCGCAATTTTGAAGATGCTCGGAGAAAGCAAAGCGTACTTCGGGTACCTGACCCTGCTCTAAGTAGCGTTTCCAACGCACGGTGCCTTTCGTCCAGCGGTGCCATTACGTCGTGGATTTGCTTTGTCGCGATGCTTCAGAGGGTCTCGGTCATGCTTGTTCGGTCGTTGTGCAGCACGAAGTTTCTCCTGCGCAGTATATAAGGACTGATGGACGATGACATTGACATTTTCCATCTTATTTTTCATTTTCTCCTTCTCGACCTCCATACTTACCTTTCCTTTCATTTGACGGTGCACATTACTTGACGATGATTGCACTTGCTGGCTTTCTTGCACTTTCTGCGATTGTTCCTCAGGCGTTGGCTGTTGGAACCGCTCTTGGTTTCGGCTCTGGTACGTGTGTGCAATGACTCGGACCGAGATATGCCAGAGATATATTCTAACGACGAAGTCCTTAGCTACGGTTGGTGGTGGCTCCGCAACAGCTGCTGTTCCCTCGTCCACCGCAGAGCTGTTGGAATGGTTGGCGGATGACACTGCGGTCCGTACTATTTGACTATTCGGGAAAAGCAAAGACTGACATGGCCGCGCTATCATGCTATATAGCGAGTCATTCTGCTCGAGTCTATCTACGACTTCACCGATTACTACGGTTCGACGACTGGGTAAGCAGCCATAACGACTAGTAATATATATCATATATACCGAACTTACTTACATATTTCCCCAGCACCGTTTGCGCGCCCTGGACTTGCAGTCCGGACCCGCAACTCGCTATTGACCAGGATGACTGGTGCGAGAACTACGAGCCCGACGCGTACGTTCTTACCTTACACCGTCATCCCGCGAGATGTATCCTGACATTTCCTCCTCTTCATCTCGTCGTTCTTAGATCGAAGTCGACTGCTACGTACTATAATTCCGGAACGAGCTACGAGTATAGCTTGAAGGTCGCCAGCCAGAAGACGCTGCTCGGTTCGGGCAGTTCTGGTGGAATGTGGGTTCTCCTTGTGACTTCACCTCAGAATTTGTTAAGACTGTTCCTCGCTTTTCGACATTTAGTAAGGGCATTGGTTTGTTGATTCAGGATGCGGACAACGTCATCATCCAGAGTAAGCTTCTTGGCCGTATGATTGATTCCGGTTGCGTATTACTTACCCTGCGTTTGCTTTTTAGACATCAAGATCTCCGATATCAAGTGGGTCTCATTTCTCGGCTCGGTTTATCGATCAAGTTTTTCTTAGAAGGGGCTGACGTCTTTCATCTGCAGCCAAGAGTATGTCTGGGGTGGTGATGCTAGTATGAATATATTTCCTTCGTCCGTGCTCTGTTAGTTTCTGACTTTGTCCCGGTTGATACATAGTTGCTATTGTCGGCTCAACCCACGTCTGTAAGTTCCTGTCTCGGAAATTTATAGTGTCCACGTTTAGGGTGTTTACACAAGCGGTTTGTGTCTTTTAGGGATCGACCACTGCTACATCGAGAACATCGGTCGTCAATTCATCGCTACTGGTTATGACTCCGCCACGGACGTTACAATCAGTAACAATATATTCGACGGAAGGGAGACTTACTCCGCTTTGTGAGCCCCTTTCCTCATAAGAGTTTCTCTAATCATGCCGTATTGACTCTTACTTTTTTCACTTTCATTCTATTTAGGTGCAACAGTGACCACTACTGGGCATTCATTTTCACTGGTGAGGCCGATACCATCACGTTCACCCAGAACTACGTCTACCACACTTCTGGCCGTGGACCCCATATCGGTGGTACCAGTGGATACACACAATATATCCGTGCGTTCTCTTCACCGAGTCCTGCATACTTCGGTTGAGCACAGAATTCTGACTACTTATCCGTCTCTTTTGGTGGATGATCAGACATCGTGAACAGTAAGTAACCGCCAACATTGAGTGGAATGGTCTTCAGCGTTGCTAATGGATATGAATAACTAGACTACTACGTTGACGTTGACGGTCACGCCGTCGATGCTGAAGTCGGCGCCGTTACTCTTGTTGAGGGCAACTACTTCGTGAGTGACATCTCTTTGTTCGCTGTCCGGCCCTGCACCTCTGTCGTTTCGAGACTAAAAAAATCGATACCATGATCTTTCAGAACACGGTCACCACCCCTTCGCTCAATGACGTCCCCGACGGCAGCGAATACTTCATCCAGAGCAGCACCGATGCCTCCACTTGCGGCTCTTCACTCGGAAGGACTTGCCAGACCAACACGCTCTACAGCTCCGGCGCTGTGACCGCCGTCGTGGATAGCTCTGTGTTGAGCGCATTCTCTTCCCGTACGTATTTCCACAGCTCTCATTTGGGGCCTCAACGACGGTTGATTCACGCATTGTGACTCTCTTCGCAGAATCTGCTATCACCGGTTACACACCCCTTACTGCATCAGCTGCTGCGACCTACGTCCAGGCCAACGCTGGTCTCGGTGTCGTCAACTAGAAAACGTCTTTCTAGCATCACTGCTGTCTTTCTCCATCTCTTCGCCTTCTTCATCGACTCGATGTCCGACCCCTCCTCATTCACCATTACTCTCTCACGCACGCAGGCCCTGCTATCTATATGCGGCATCGGAGCAACATTCTTTCTTTGTACTGTCCCATATACCTTCTTTCGCTACCTCAGTGCAGTACTTTGGTTCCCTTGGTTTTGTTTTGTGTTGGTCTCGTCATGGTCTCCGATGACCGTCCCCTTCGCTTTCGTCTCGCTGTTTTTTACTCATTCGATACCCTGTTGTAGTCGACTCTGGACTGAGTCGCATGTCGTTCATTTATACGTGTTCGTAGTAGGGTCTTGGAAGAACGTGAAATATACTATATTGTGCCTTACAAAATACAAGTTGTGTATCAAAGGTCTGCAGAATTGTGGGAGTACGGTTCTTCGTTGTGATCAAGATGTGCAAGTAAAGAAACAAGACCGAGGAAAGAGAGTCAAGAATACATGTCTGGCTTCCGTCTTTGCCATCGATTGTGTAAGTACACTGCAACTGAATTCAAGCAACTTCGGGCGATTCAAAGCATTCCCAGTTATTATTGCCGTATATTGTTCAATGACGCCTCCTGATGAATTGTGCTCGCTGTCGCACCAGCAGTGCATCCCACCTAAAGTAACGAATGTTTGAATGTCAGTAGAGATTTCACAAACACTCGGTGATTATAGTCGGCGCCAGCGGGACTGATACTGATGTGAAGTAAACGCACCACGTCCAGGCATTGATTTTCTCTTCACCGCTCAATCCTTCCACCTTCTCATGCTCATAGAACCCTTGCACTCGCAACCAATTCACCAATTGCAATAGATAATCGTTCTCCGCCACCACATAGTTATACCTCAACAGCGTGCTCTTCACCGCGAAATAAGTGATCGTGAGATTGTCCCCGCGCAGATGGCACATTTCCCATGTGTTCTGGACGACGGGGTCCGTCTTCATCACGTTAGAGGTCGGGGTGAGCTTGGAACGCGGATCGACGCCGGTGGTGTCGAGAGCGACGCGCCAAGTAAAGCGATCGTTAACGTTGCGGACGGTATCGAGCACGAGGCAGGGATCACTGCCGGCGTAGGGCCATAAATAGGTCGCTGCGATTTGGAAACCTCGACGGCCGTATTTGGAAATGGCCTTGACTTCCTCGGGTGTGATTTCTCGCATCAACTGCATGCGCCTTTCTTTGAACGTGGCACGAGGATAGAGGGAATAAGCCGTGTCGAAGGATATGAGGTTCATAACGCACGCTAACGTGAGGAAGTCAGTTAAACAGCATATGCCAACTTGAAAACAAGGGGACGCACTCGAGTGGAAGCTCAGAATCGTCGTGAAAGCAGACTCCCTCGCCTCTACAATCTGCACCTTTCGCACCTCCTCTACATTACGCCCTTCGGCGTCCGCGGCCCTAACCTTTTTCTCAAAGGAGTAGACATGGAATACTCCAGAGAACCTATAGACCTGCCCACGATAGGAAGAGGCGTCTTCCTCCTCATTATACCTTCTCTGAAAAGGGTCCCACTCCTCCACATTTTCCTCGAATGTCGACCCAAGCTCCTGCAAATTCTTTGGCACAAACGTATAGCCCTCCTCGTTCATCAACCAATTCCCAACCTCAAGCGTATGCCCTGGATGAACATAAACGTCTAAATCTGAGCCAGGGTAGAAGCTCCTATCCAGGAACTGAAGCGCGTTCGACCCCGAGATAAGTGAGCCCGTACGGGCTTGCAAAGATCGGAACGATAACGGGTCGTCGAAGAAGCAACGAAGATGGCGATTTATGTTGTAAGCTCTGATAGAGTGCTCAGCGAGGGCTGCACGGGCGACCTTAGAGGTACGACCTAGACGAATCAGGTCGGCAATGTCGAGACATGATAGGATAATGTCGTAGATTGGTCTGCGAGAGAATACGTCCTCGAAGTAAGGCAGCTGAAGACCTGGGTTGGGTTCTGAGACTTTCTTTAGAGAGTAGCCGTAGAGAGGCGAAGAATACGACGATTTCGCTGGGTCGTTGGGATTCATGATGATTGTCTTGACTGTGATCGAAGTCAGGAGTTAGGGGTCGAGCGAGGAGGCTTGAGGAGGCTACACTGCGGGCTTTCGAGCGGACTTTGGGCCTCAGGCCCGAAGTCGTGGCTCATTTTTTCAGCCTTATTTCGGCGGTCAACCGCATTCCTTGACTTCATCTACGGCCAAAACTCTATCGTACGAAGTACAATGTACAAAATACAGCACAACCATTCTTTTGATCATATTCAGCGGCGAGAAACAAGAAACAAGCGGATACCTAGCGATAGAGTCACATATCAGTAGGTAAATATTTGCTACTGCACTGAGCTGTAGAATGAGGGACAGACTGTACCATTTACATGGAAACAAATAAAGGACTCAATGGTTAGCTTTCAGCAGCGGTCGTATGCTCTGTTATCACGTCTATCGACGCGACTTGAACTGCATCCAGAGGTCCGGCAAGGAGGAATCCCACCTATAACGGAATGCAAAGCACGAAATAATCAGTTCACTGTCAACAGATCAAAGCAAATGGGGACTCACCAGGTCCAGTGCTTCAACTTCTCCTCGCCGTTCAAGCCTTTCACCTTTTGATGCTCCATCCGCCCCTGAGACCTCGCAAACCTCCCTAAATGCGACACATATTCCTGGTCCGCCACCACATAATTATACCTGAACAGTGTGCTCTTTACCGCATAGTACTTGATCACCAACTCCGACCCATCGGAACCCAGCAAAGTCCATGAATTGTGCACGACCGGATCCTCTTTCATGAGTGCTGACGTGTACGTGAGCCGGGGACGTGGCGAGACACCCGTGGTATCAAGCGAAAGACGCCAGGTGTACTCGTCGTTGAGATTGCGGTGGGTGTTGAGCATGACAGATAGGTCGATTTCTGATCGGGGCCAGGAGTAAGTCGCGTGAATACGGAAGCCGCGGCGCCCATATTTGTGAATGGCGGAATATTCATGAGTGAGCAGGCTTTTCATGAGCTGCATACTGCGGTCTTTGAAGGTAGCACGGGGGTAGAGGGAATAAGCGGTGTCGAAAGTGATGAGATTCAGGACACAGGCTGTGAGCGGGTAAGAAAGAGAAACGATGCAGTGAGTCGGTGTAACGCGCAAAGGAGCTCCAGGATGATTAAGAAGGGTGCAAGGAAAACTCGAATATACGAACTCGAATGAAAGCCCATGATACTCTGGAAGGGCGACTGCTTCGTTTCGATGATCTGAACAGTTCGTATCTCCTCCGGAGCCTGACCACCCTCTATATCCATCATGTCCCTTCCCCTGACCATTTTCTCAAATGAGTAGACCTGCGCAATGCCAGCCATCCTGTAAAGGTTTCCACGGGGCCCAAACATTTGGTCTTCTTCCTCGTTGAACCTTCTCACAAATGGGTCCCACTGCCCGACATTCTCTTCGAAAGTCGAACCAAGCATCTGGTTATTCTGCGGCACAAACGTATACCCTTCTTCCTCGCTCATCAACCACTTTCCAACATCGAGAGCGTGTCCCGGGTGGACGTAAATATCTATGTCTGCATCGGGATAATACGTCCTGTCCAGAAACTGGAGCGCGTTCGATCCTGAGATGACCGTGCCAGTACGGGCTTGTAAAGATCTGAACGAGAGTGGATTGTTGAAAAAATTCAACAGATGTCGATTAATGTTGTATGCTCGCGTAGAGTATTCTGCGAGAGCTGCTCGAGCGAGTTTCGAAGTACGACCGAGATGGATTAGGTCGGGAACTTCGAGGCATGATAAGATGTTGTCGTAAATTGGTCTGCGAGAGAATACGGCTTCGAAGTAGGGGCTTTGGAGGCCTGAGTTCGGCTCTGAGATTTTATGAGATGAATCAAATCCGAAGAAAGGCGAAGAGTAGGACGATCTGGCTGATTCGTCAATGTTCATGATGTCGGTCACCGTCGAAACACAAGACCGCTACGCGACTCGGACTCATGTGAAGCCCCGGCAAGTGGCGGTCACAGTGACCTGACGCGTCAGGACGCGTCTGTGGCGTATGTGTGTCACGCTGTGTCTCTCTCTCATTTCCCTCATATCGTCATGTCCCCGTTTGCTTTGGCTGCAACATCCTCCGCATGTCCTGAGGCTCATTTGTCTAATTGATGAACTACCGTGGATTCAATTTACAACCGCCCACATGAACTCTTACTCGGCTTCAGTATTCTGGCTGTCTCTTCTGCCCTCCTTGCTCCGTATTATGTAGTAAAGGGTCAGCACCTTGCCAGACGATTTCCATTTGCATGACTTCTGCTCCTTGGTCCAGCTTGAGATATGGGATATACAATACTGTCAGAAGTGGGTCTAACTAGGCTCCGAGCTTGACATCTAAATCCTCCTATTGTGGGGAATTTCCACCGAATTGCCACAGGTCCGTTCTCATTTTCTGGTCTCAATCGACTGGAAAAATGGCACCCTATAGACCAACGAGGCTTTCAATACTTTCTGAATGCCCTTAAATGCAGCAGCACACATGTTCAATGCGCATATATGCACCGTTGCATGATTTTTTCTGCAGGGTTCCAGTGGTATGTCATATAAACTCTTTCATCTCCGCCTCCTCACCCTTGAGCCGTCATGTCAGAGATACCTTGATACTCGCTGACTCCACGCTTCATCTGCTTGACATAACAGTGTATATATGCGGTTCAACATCATGCCACACAATCACAAGCTCTTTATGAGAAATGCGGTACATCGTCGCCAGTGCTCCGTTAGTTATGAATGGATACGAACTTGAAGCTTGTCAAAACCTCCACCTTTTCAAGGAAGCATTACTCAGTCAGCCTTTTCTTCCCTTTCCATCCTTTTGATTTACCTGCCTGATCTGCGATGCTACCTTGTCTCCTAGGCATGCGGATTCCTCAGGTTATTCATGATCGTCTCACTAGCTTGTAGACTTATTCTTAGAGCCGATCATCGATAAAAACTCGTCGTACATCACAGATAGTGACGACACATACGCTTGCATACTCTCTCTCAGAATCTACAGTCGACTATCCTTCCGCCACTGGCCGTGTCTCGATCACTCTCGACGAATAGAACGTTGAAGATCTCACTCAACCTCATATCCAAAGCACTTCTTGCGCTCACCGCATTACAATTGATCAATATCGATACCCATGGAGCCACGATAGCCATTTTGGCCGTTGATGGGCTCACGCGACCTTGGCGTCCAGCTCTATGAAAGCGCGCTCAATACGCCATTGAGCGGAAATTATATCTCACCAAGTCCTAGGTACCGACTACCCTTCAGGAGCCCGCAACAGATGACAACCGTCTTCGCCACACTTGTCCACCAGCGGTCTCCCCGCGACCGCAAAGTCCTTCAGCATACAGATTAATCGCGAATTTGTCTACGAACTGCATATTACTGGGACGACGGCGTTGGGGCGCGATGTGCTCTGCAACCTCAGTTTAGAATAGGAACTTCCGTATGAGTTATTAGTGATAGTGGATGGCGTCGTGTGGCGAGGGAGCACTGAGCGTGGGAAATTATCCTTGAACAAGGTCCGTCCGTTGCCGAAGCGAATGACGAGCCTCGATGACGCGCCTAGGGCTGAGCATAGCACTTGCAGGAAACCGGTCTGCCCCTTTCCGTGCTGCGTTGCACGAGCAAAGCCCGACGACTTGATCACCATATCGCTGCTCTCCATCCTTATAAACCTATGGCTGCTTTCTGTTGACCATTACACCGACTGATTGACCCGCCTTGGCTCGCTCCATGGCGGCCGCACAGAAACCCTTGCCCTCCGTACCGCCTCGACCACACATCAACTCGCTTCAATCAAGACCGGACACGGTACTCACTGTTCCAGCTCAAGAGCATCTCGCAAATTTCATCAGACGCGCACTAGAGGAGGAGTTCACTGAGATAGCGCGGGAAGGATGGGAGGACGCGCTAATGGCTACGCTTGGTGAAGTGGGGGAGGCGGTGACCAGGAATGGGTGGTTAGCTGGAGTGAAGAGGACAAGGGGGATGCGGAAGAAGAGAAGGGATGATGCAGTGTCCAATGCGAGGAGAGAGGAGCGGGAGAAGGAGGAGCTGGCGGCGAAGGAGAAGGACGCGGAGAGTCGGTTTCGGACGAGGTCCAAGGGAACTGCTTCCACGATGGAATTGACGGGGGTGAAGGAGAAGGACCCTGATCCAGAGGAGGCAGCGGCACGTTCGCGAATGCAGTGCGAATTAGCCATCCAACAGCTTCGAGAACTTGCGACGCAGTCTGTCTCGCCTTCGCCCAAGCCTCTTGCCAAACACCTCTTGCTCACTCTTGTCCCTCTGCATTCCAACGCACACACTCGTACACCCTCTGACTACGAGGTAATTCCGCAGGGTCCAATTTGCACCTTTGCCCCAGGAGTGTATTCACTGCCCAAGCCTGGTTCCGAACTGGATCCTGACACCATTTCCCGGCTCGTGTTGTTCGGTTTCAAGGAATGGGATGGTAAACATACTACTCGTCTCCCTCCATGCGATCATAAGTACTGATACTCCCATCAGTCTCACATCCAGAGGATGCACTTCAACTCGTCGGAGGTACCTTCACTCTCAAGGGAACGCTCTCCGCTGCGCATCACGATACGCTGTCCAAGATTCTGCGTGTCGCTATTTATCTTCATCTTTCTCTCCTCCTCGAACAACATTTCCTCTCCGACTCGCATATTGAATTAGAATTCCCAAAACCTGCACATCCTGTCATCCCTTCCGTCCCCATGGCCGTCACCGTCTCAGCCGAGTCTGCCCAAAGACCCGCGTCCTTCAACGACCACAAGCGCAAGAACCGTGACTCGCCTACCTCAACCCTCTGGAACTTCTTCTCGAAAAAGACGGAACGGCTGCTGCAGCGCACGACCACCCTCAGTCCCACTTCGTCTCCTAGGTCATCTCTAGACTTCCCTCGTTCTCCGACGTCGCCCATGGCGCCACCAGTATCAGCTGCTCGCGTTTCTGAAGATCGTCCTCGTCGAGAACGTCGGTTCTCATTATTTGGCCCCACGCGTGCGCCTCCACAGGTCGCTGCTCTACCACCGCCCAATTCAGAGGACGAACCTCCATTCCAGACTGCACTTCGCCGGATAGAGGCGAGCAAGACCTTGCTTTCCAGTTCGCCCGGCATTATCTTCGTACCACCAGTGCTTCTCGTGCGATTGGCTGAGAAGGAGAAGGAACGGCCGACGCGAAAGTTGACGGGAGAGGAACGGACAGGGTTAAGCAGTATTCTAGGATGGGACGGTAAGGACTCGCGGGGTCGCGGCATGGCTGGCATACCTGGTTTTGTCCGGCAGCAGCGATTGTCGGTGCTGTATTCTGAGCATGTCCCAGCTCTACAACCGAAGACCTCCGAACCGGCCGAACCTTCAGCGATGGAACGGACGAGGTACCTGAGATGCGGCCCAAGGGCGAGGTGGGACACCGCTCTGTATTATGGCTCGGGTTCGGACTCACTTGGTGAGGTGGTCGTGGATTTGTGTGGCAAGGCGGATGAACCTTGCGAAAGGTTTGGGTGCCAGTCTTCGCAAGGTCAGCACGAGAGGAGGTGGATCCATGATGGGGTGAGGATTGTAGCGAGGGTGAGCTCGACCGAAGCGAAAGGTAATCACGTCGAGCCGCCGAATGACGAGCATGTTATGATGTGGCAAAGTTGTAGGGAGTGTGGCGAGACGACCGCACGGTGTAGGATGACTGATGGGACCTTGTGAGTCTCCTGCTTTTCATTTCATAGCCGTCTTCTTCACTCATGCGAAATATCGCAGTTTGTTTTCCTTTGCCAAGTTTCTCGAGTTCTTAATATACTCTCCGGTAATTTGCACGATTATACCCTCGTTATGTACGCACACCAATGCCTCCCCGAAACCATGGACATCTTCACCCTCGTCGTCTTCAATTCCTTCTGCATACGCCAAAGTTCCATTACCATCGTCTCGTTTCAATATCCTTCGCCATTTCTCGTTCAAATCGCATACTGTCTCGTTTACCATCTCACCTATCGAGGACATCTTTGAGCTGCGGGTTCCGAGGTTGCAGATCACGAGAGGGACCAATGGAGCTGACAAGTTGACGGAGAAGGATAGGGTTGGGGATTTGACTGTTTTCCAGAGAGCCAGTGTTGAGGGCGATGTGGAGAAGAGGGAGTTGAGGAAGGAGATTAATGGATGGTGGCAAGGTGTGGCGGAGCATCTAGACAAACTAGTATGTGTTTAGAGTCCGGTCTATGTTTCGACAAGCTAACTCTCAATTTTCGTGCTTCAGGAATTGCAACTTTCCGATCAAGACCCAAAATCATTCCATAAAAGTCTTCCACGGTTACCCTCCGCCGACGAGGCTTACGATTCACTATCCGTAGACGACTCTTCCATCACTCCCCTCGCCACCCCCCGAGCTGGCGTATCTTCCCTTCCTTCGACTATGCCCCCCACACCTGCAAGCGAAGACAAAGGCTCTTTTATTTCCGCTGACACAGTCAAGTTCTCTTCCGCCTCCGATTCGCATTCCCTCTCCGGTGAATCCAGCCACTCAAACGCAAGCTCTACCGACTCCATTACCCTCCTCGCGAGCATGCGCCACACATTCCAGAGAACCGAGCAATCGCTGTACGCTCAGCTTTCGCAAACACCCAACGCAACGTTGAACAATGTGAGGCGCTCGTTCCATTCGGCAGCAGTTGGTGCGAATAAGAGGATGTCCGCTTGGGAGACGAAACATCTACCGAAAGCCGCGAGGGCGGTATTTTCGAAGGAGAGGGAGGCTATGAAGGAGCCAAGGTGGTGGGAGGCGAAGAGCCACGCTGTGCCCAATGGGAATGTGATCGTGAAGGAGGACGACTGGGGGAGTATCATCGCGTTTACGCTGAGGTGCGTCCGTACCCCACCGTGCTAATTCCTCTGTGGCACTCATCTTGACTGTTGATCTGTTGAATGACCTTTTGCGGCACACAGTTCGACTGACTATCAACATGAGCTGGCGAAGTTGTCGCTTCCTCGTGGAGTCGCAAGTCCTGCCGCACCTTCGTCCCCTACTCCTGGCTTACCTTCGTCGCCCCCTGCTTCAACTGCTGCTACTTCATCATTCAAGTTCTTCTCATCACCTTCGAAACCTAATCCGGATAAGGAAGACACCGTGTGGCACGAACCCGAATCATGTTCAGCTATCATAACTCGCAAAGAACACCCTCGAGATCCTTCGTCACTCCTCTCCATTCGAGACGTGCTACGGAATAAAGCACCTTTGGACGTCACTGCTGGCCTCCCATCGTCCATGTTCACAGCTTTTGGTTCCCTGTCCAATCGAAACATCAGTAATCCGCCACCTTCCGCCTGGGCCAAACCTGCCGTCGAGCTTGATACGCACGCTGCCGACGGGCACGTCTCTGCCGTTGGAGAGAATTCTGAGACTGCGGGCAAGATACTTCAGGATATGGAGAGTGGTTCGGCGGTGACGAAGGGAAACATTTCGGATCTGGAGGGTTCTGCATTCGTAGAGGCGAATATCCGGAGGGGAAAGACGTCCTCGATTATTTCTACGGAGAGCAATAGTACGGTTGGGCCGGAGACTTCGACGTCGGTGTCGTCGATTGAGTTTCCAAGTGTGCCGCCGCCGTTACCGCCGAAGAGTCTTGATGTCGTGGATGAATCTCCCGAGGGATCGTCAAAACCGTCGCTTGGGACGTCTTCGACTGGAAACAGCGACACTCAGATCACTAGTCCTGCGTCTACCGCCAACTCAAACGTCCACGCCCCGGTCCCTTCCGCTAATGACGCCGCGAATGTATCCCTCTCTTGGACTAATACGCTTACTCAAGCTATGCGTTCCATGCTGAAACCCGTCGATGTACCTCGTACCCCTTCTCCTGTCTCCAACTTCAAGAGACACCACGGTCTACTGTCCACCGACCCACTTCTGATCGATGAACGGCCGCACATCAAATACGACTGGACGATTGGGAAGCGGTTGAAGTTTAGTTGTACGGTGTATTATGCGAAGCAGTTCGATGCGCTCAGGAGAAGATGTGGAATCGATGATATTTTCGTGAAGAGTATGGCATGGAGCGAGAATTGGATGGCGGATGGTGGAAAGAGCAAGAGTAATTTCTTCAAGACGGGGGATGATAGGTTTATCATCAAGACGCTGGTCAATGCGTGGAACGTGGCGGACTTGTGAGTCTTATCCCCCCTCTGTGCGTATGTGTGGCGCCCGTTTAACGAAACATTAACATTCTAGGCAGGTGTTAATTGAGCTTGGACCGTCGTATTTTCGGTATATGGAGTCGACGTCCAACAGGGCTTCTATTCTGGCGAAGCTCTTGGGCTTTTATACCGTCGAAGTGCGGAACCTTGAGACCGGGACTGTACAGGCGAAGGCGGATCTTCTCGTCATGGAGAACCTCTTTTATAACCAGAAGATTGGCAAGACTTTTGACTTGAAGGGTATACAGGGGAGGAAGGTCAAGGCTAATACCAACGCTTCAACGTCAAAGACACTGTTCGATGGAGAGTGGATGGAAGGTGAGTGCTCACAGCATGGAAATCTGCTCCGAGACTGACAGCTAGTCGGACAGGTCAAGAGCGTGCTCTCACTCTCGTTCACCCACACTCGAAAGTCGTACTTCAAGAAGGTATCAAGCATGACTGCGACTTCCTCACCAAGAGTAACATCATGGACTACTCGTGAGTCCGATGATCCTTGTTTCAATTCGCTTCTTAGCTGATGTCATTTTGTTCAGGCTTCTTCTTGGGATCAACGAAGAGAAGAAGGAAATTGTATGCGGTCTGGTCGACACGATTGGAAGCTACACCTTCGCGAAGACATTGGAATACAAAGCCAAGCAAGGTCTCGCTGGCACAGGCAAAGACGTCACCGTCATTCCTCCGAACGAGTACGAAGAACGGTTCGTTTCGTCTATGGACAGTTACTTTGTTGCATGTCCAGGTGCGTCTTTCGCTCTTTGGTGGTCGAGGTGTTCTTTATTCAACTTCGCCGCCATGCAGATAAATGGTCGAAACCTCCCGACGACAAGAAACTTCCTCACGACCCAATGCAGCTCTCCAGTGTCCTATGAGTAGTCCACTCACGCGTCTGACTCTTCTCTCTCTTTGCTCTCCTATGTACTCTTGCTCTCACTCTTTTTTCGTCACTCGTCACGCCTTGCATCGCATCGATTAGCAATTGTTGTAAACTACATTCCACTGCACTGAACTTCTGTATACCGCAATCTTGTTGTCATTCATGCTCATCTTCATTTCCTTGCACAGGATGACTTTTCAAGGCAGGACTGGAATAGGTGTTACGCCTCGGGCAGAGCCCGATTGGACTTCGCCACACTTCGTCTAGTCAGAGTTCAAGTATTTCTACAAGCCCGCTTGAGCCGTGGATAAGCTGGCCGTCGCTAGATAGACGTCTGAAGCCTTGGGTGAATTTCTGCCCCCAGCCAAGATATTATTTGGATCGTCAGAAGTGCTATGAGAGGATCGAATCGTCACTCACAGACGGTTGAGTAGAATATGTTTACCAATTGTCTCTGTCGTGCTCTTGGTGTGCATCAGTCAGACTTCAGACGCATTCGGAAGTACGATGACTGATCATGTACCGATGCCGGTGTGAGCTGCGATGACGCAAGTCGAGAGCTCTTGGTGGTTATTCGGGTTGGCTTATATAGAGACAGTTGTCTCTGGATGTTTACAATATCTTCGCACATAAGACTGGACAAGCCTATTTGGTTTCATCTTCGCTACTCATTCTAGGCTAAACAGCAACAAATATGGTCGCTCGCCCGCTTTTCGTTGTAGCTGGTGTAGGCGCCGGGCACGGTGAGCCCTACTCTTTGTGCACGCGTTCTCATGAAGGCAAAGTTCTGACTGGATGGTATCTATGACTATAGGGACAGGCGCTGCTTCCGCGTATGCTTATTCATCTCCAGCCCTAGGTGCTTGAGATATACGGCTGACATGGCTCTAGCCGCGTGTTTTCTAAGGCGGGGTATCGCGTCGCTTTGATCGCGCGGAACGCCGATAGCTTGAACGAGTTTGCCAGTGAACTTAACTCTCAAGGCGGCGAGGTACAAAATCTCGTTCATAAGGTCGTCTTTTGTACTGATCCCCACGTTCTCTAGGTTGCTGCCTTTCCTATCAAAGAGTACGGGTACAAGGATATCCACTCCGCTTTTGAGGCCATCAAGAAACAATGGCCTGATTCTGAGATCCGTGCAGCGCTCTGGAACGCAGGCTATGGAGCTTGGAAACCATTCCTGGAGCTCACGGAGGAAGAGGTCACAGAATCAGTCAAGACAAACGTGACAGCGGCATTTTCGTTTTCTCGCGAGGTCATTCTCGCTTTCAAACAGCTCCCCTTGAATGAGCTTGGGAAGCGTGGAACTCTGCTGTTTACCGGGGCAACGGCTTCGCTGAGAGGTAACACTACGGTGGGTACTTGGTCTTCTCGAAGTCTCTGCGCATCGGAGTCGTATCTTCCTTCCAAAATAACCCGTGGCTTATCCGAACCTCTTCGATTGTATTTATCCTCATGCAGACGTCTGGCTTCGCTGCTGGAAAGTTTGGAGAGCGCGCGTTGTCGCAGAGTTTAGCGAAGGAGTTTGGGAAGGACAACATCCACGTGAGTGTCGTCGCTCCCGTATAATTCGTGAACATTGTCTGACAGGCCCATCTGCTCTCGCAATTAGGTTGCTCATGTGAGTATCAAGCTAATGTCCTTCCTTTCATGCTTCTGACGGATGTGCACGACGACATAGGCCATAATTGATGGAGGTCAGTTCAAGTTTCTTGCAGGTGATGCGGCGTTCTCACTGCGCAACCTACAGGTATTCTCACCGAGCGTAGCCGATCCCGACATGGGGAGGAGTGGGAGTCCAATCCCGACGTTAGACTGGACCCTGAGAGCATCGCTAAGGTTAGACATATGTTCTCGCCTTTTGACTGCTGTTACTCTTGGCTCTACTCACACTGGATTGGCAGTCCTATCTTTACCTCACGAATCAGGATAGGTCAGCATGGACGTGGGAGCTTGATCGTGAGTGTATCCCTCTCTTCGACGCGTGAAGAAGTCATCGCTCAACTTTTCGTTTGCGATAGTCCGTCCTGCCCACGAGAAATGGTAGACGCAAGGTTTGAATGTCGGATGTTGTGTAAACCCTTCTGTAAAGTACTGAAGCATAGATTATGAAGAGCCTCGACAATACATTGTATCTGCTTGTATATGAATGTCCGGTTTTTGAGATAGTGACTCAAAGCTGTCCTGCAAAGAAATTGAGCATTGGCTTGAGGAACGCCACACGATGTGGCCAGACATCGTTCAAAAAAAATTACGTCATGCCACGAGAGCGGTCGATGACTCGACCAATCGCAGGCGCTCGGTCCTTCCACCTTGCCTCGATCGTCCTCTCGTCTGCTATCTAGCCATGGGTTGTAGCGGAGACCTCGAATAGCAGGTATACTGATTGTGCGTCTATCTCTTTTTTGCAATCACTGTAACACCAATATCACTTGTAATGAGCGAAGACAGTGCAAAGACAATGTCTAAAACACGCTCCCCAAATAAGCTCCCACCAAGTTCATGCATCTCGTGATAAACTTGACGGATCCTGCACTCTTGTTATGGAGTACGTGTGGATCATTTATAGAGGTCGGTTCTCTGTGATGTGCGCCCACCGCTAGAGATAGATAAACGGCGGAATGTTTATGCTGCGTGCTCTCCTCATCGCTTCTTCAGATTTTTGCCCCAGAATTTAGTATCAAATATCAGGCAGTATTTCTTTCCATGCGACTTGCTCAAAATTCTTGTCTCTGCACGCAGGCAAGTGTTGCTTGACGGCTGCGTTTTTTCTGCTTTTCTGCTCCCCAAGCGAATGCTGTCTATGGCCGCGCTCAACCAATGACTCTCGTTAAAGTCTCTGCATGGGGCTAGAAAGGAAACTTACTCTACGCTCGTCATGGGTCGCCTGACGTTCTCCAAAAGACCCAGCGTTCAAGACATGTCCGCGTCCTCGGACTCTCCAGGGAGTCAAGAGACTCTTTTAGTGCAGTCACTTGTCATAAACAAGCGCTTAACTTCCCTTCTCTTTTGCCCGTGACTGGGGTGGATACGCAAACCACCAGGGCACAAGAGGTCAAGCGACCTGCTGTTTCAATTATACGGGCTTGTTCGTGTGTTTTCGGGAAGAAGAACGCAAGTCTGCGTAGGCGAAGCGGCAGGCAGTTGGCTGGTCAGTTGCGCCCAATCCAAACTTTACCTCTCTAATACACCGGCATTCCCAAGCTTCGCAGGTTTATAGCGTTCGTTTGTCCTCCGGAAGAATTGTTTGCCTATCTGTGAAGGAGCTATCCCCATCCTGCGAAACCAGTGCGACACGTTACCCCTCTACTCTCAACTGCAGGTCAGAGATCATCATCAGGAGGGAAAATCCTGACACCGATAATTTGTCAAAAGCCAAGCGATATACCCCGCATTGGCCCTGGAAGGCTATTACCCCACACTTTGATCTGAAGTCACCCGGAAGGCGGGAAGCCATACCAGATGCCCCTTTGAGTGAAGCGCGAGCGGTGTGACCCAATAGGGGCTGGCGTTGTCCACACTCCAAATATGGACACAATTACATTCTCGGACGGGTCATGGAGAAGCTGCACAGAAATGCTATGCAATGCTCTTGTTGGGCTCTACGCCACTGCGAGCAGCATAGCGCTCTTCACGTACCCACGGAACATTTGAGCCCGTCTCAGCCGAAATTCCATTCACTTGATCATTCTGATCTCTCATGCCGAGGTCTCCTGCGCAACTTCACCTTGGGACCCACCGTCCTATGACTTCATCTCGGCAGTCCTCAATATTGATAGTTTTGTTACAGCTAACCATTTCTCTTTCATGACTCTCGACTGACAACTTTGGGAGTAGAGGCTGAGGGATCTTCCTGGACCGTCTTTGAAGAGGCGGGCCTCATGATGATAATTCTCGTCAACGGGAGCCCGCTAGAATCTGGCACGAACCAATCCAGAATCTTACCAGGAAGAAGACGATAGGAGCACCACAGTCACGTTCAAGACCATCCCCTCCTGGTTTCTGTCCTAGAACAACCCCATGACGAAAGGGAGTGGGTCAGGTCTCCGGTTCTCTCGCGAGCACTCTTACATGATTGGCTCAGCACAGTACTTTCCTCTCTCATAAATACCCTCGTCCAAGGATAGGTCAGACGCATACCCCCCTGACCTCCACTCAGAACTCTACCTCATTTCGTACTCTCACCACCCAAACAACATGGTCCACCCTCAGGAAGTCGATGTCATCGTAGCTGGGTACGTTCATCGCTCTCCTACCTTCGAGTCTCCCCTCTGAACTACTTCTCTCGTAGTGGCGGTCCTGCAGGTTCGTCTACTAGACCTTTCTCGGAGATAAATTATGTTCTAAGCTGCCCGAATTGCAGGATGTGTTGTTGCTGGACGAATGGCCTATGTTCGTCTGCGCCTTTACTTCACATGCTCGTCGCACTGACTCTCCCTCTGTAGGCCGACCCAAACCTCAAGGTCATGCTCATTGAAGGTGGGCCATCGCGCTATTTGATTATGTTGTATATTCGTACTCAAATCACTATTAGGCGGCATGAACAACCGCGATGACCCGTGGGTATATAGGCCTGGTATCTATGTGAGGAACATGCAACGCGACGGAATGTGCGTACTCTCCAATGTCCTTATCTTGGTGACTGCTGACCCCTTTGGTGGCAGCAATGACAAAGCGACCTTCTACACCGACACCATGGAGTCATCCTACATGAGGGGCCGCCGTAGTATCGTGCCGTAAGCCCCACTTACCAACCTCATTAGACCGCTGCTGATCCGTCATCTTCCAGCTGTGCCAACATTCTCGGTGGTGGAAGCAGGTAGAATTCCTTCCATTGTTTTCCCTCATCGTCGAGTTCCCCGTTAATTCTTTCTTCAGCATCAACTTCCAGATGTACACAAGGGCTTCGGCGTCCGACTGGGGTCAGTGTGCTACCGTGTCTGTGACTTCACTTTCAGTTCTCACGATTTGATCGTCCAGATGACTTCAAGACCGAAGGATGGAGTTATGAGGATCTCCTTCCTCTGATGAAGCGGGTAAATGTTCCTCCGGCTACCTCCTTTCTCTCGACGCTGATGTCTTCGACCTTGACTCTCAGCTCGAGAACTACCAGAAGCCCGTCAACAATGACACGCACGGTTACGACGGCCCCATCGCCATCAGTAACGGTGGCTGCATCTCCGCACTTGCTCAAGATTTCCTTCGTGCGTCCGACGCTATCGGTATTCCCTACAGCGGTAAGTTTTCGTCTCGATATGACGTCGTAACTATCTCTGAAAATATATTTTCGATCCAGATGATATCCAGGGTATCTCTACCGTCTTTGCCGCTCAATTTCGGTATTTGCTTACCTTCTCCGTTAGACTGTAAAACCGCAAACGCCTCCGAAATCTGGGCCAAGTATATCAACAGACATACCGGAAGGCGAAGTGACGCCGCTACTGGTAATATTTTTTTCTTGATATATTTTCTCTCTCTAACATCTGTGTATAGCCTATGTTCACAGCGTCATGGATGTCCAGACGAATCTCTACCTTCGAACCAATGCTCGCGTCAACCGCGTCATCTTCGAGGGCGACAAGGCTGTGGGTGTAGCCTACGTTCCTTCGCGCAACCGTGCCCACGGTGGTAAATTGATTGAGACCATAGTAAGCTTTCTCCTTCTTGAGTTCTCATTGGGCCATTTTTGACGAGGTGATCCGTAGGTGAGGGCAAACAAGTGTGTCGTCCTTAGCTCCGGTACTCTCGGTACTCCGTCAGTTATTTTCATCTTTTCCCTACCCCCCATGAACACGAGCTGATGTCGTTTACGATAACTAGGCAAATCCTCGAGCGCTCTGGTGTCGGTAGCTCAGATCTGTTGAAGAAGTTGGATATCAAGGTTGTCAGCGACCTCCCTGGTGTAGGGTATGGTCCTGTTCATCTTCACTTCTTTCATTGTTCGTGCGCTAATCCTCCGTCTATCACTCTAGCGAGCAATACCAGGATCATTACACAACCCTCTCTGGTATGTCTCAGCGAAGTCACGGTTTTCGTGTGGCTGACTGTATCTCACAATGAATTTAGTTTACCGTGTGTCCGAGGAAAGCTTCACATTGGATGACTTCTTGCGTGGTGACAAAGAAGCGCGAAGAGAGGTGTGTTCACATCTACTCTCCTTTTTTTCCCCCATAAATCCTGTTAACATATGCCCCGCAGTTGTTCCAAGAGTGGGAGGTTTCTCCTGAGAAAGCCCGCCTCTCTTCGAACGCCATCGATGCCGGCTTCAAGATCCGCCCAAGCGAGGAGGAACTGAAAGAGATGGGCCCCGAGTTCAACGCCCTGTGGGACAGGTACTTCAAGGATAAACCCGACAAGCCCGTCATGTATGCCTTCCGCTCGACTTAATGAGCATCAAGAACTAATCACATTACTATTTAGGTTCGGCTCGATCGTCTCGGGTGCCTATGCCGACCACGCCCTCCTTCCACCGGGCAAGTATATCACTATGTATGTACCACTATGTTGCTCCCTCCGCGTTTATGAGCACCTAACACTTCTATCCCACAGGTTCCAATACCTGGAGTACCCTGCTAGCCGTGGCAGGATCCATATCACCTCGCAGAGCCCATACGTCGAGCCTACCTTCGACAGTGGTTTTATGAACAACAAGGCCGACTTCGCGCCCATCCGCTGGTGCTACAAGAGGACCCGCGAGATTGCGAGGCGTATGGATGGTGCGTGCCGTCTTTCTTCCTCTGGTCGTTAACGCTCCTTACCTGATTTGTGTTGTATATAGCCTTCCGCGGCGAGCTCACCTCGCATCATCCACACTTCCACCCTGCCTCCCCGGCCGCATGCAGGGATATTGATATCCAGACCGCGAAGAAGATCCTCCCTGATGGATTTACCGTCGGCATTCACATGGGTACCTGGCATCGCCCCGGAGAGCCCTTCGACCCCTCGAAGGTTCACGAGGACATCAAATACACGAAGGAGGATGATCAGGCTATAGACGACTGGATCGCGGACCATGTTGAGACTACATGGCACAGTCTGGGAACGTGCGGTACGTCTGATAGTTTACTTTTTGGATGGAGTTTGACTTACTGGTGACGATACGTAGCGATGAAGCCCAGGGAACAGGGTGGCGTTGTTGACTCTAGGCTTAACGTCTTTGGCACCAAGAACCTGAAGGTCTGCGACTTGTCGATCTGCCCGGTACGTCTGCCTTTGCCCATCTGTATGACCATTATTTAGTTCACACGCATTTCAGGACAACCTCGGCACGAACACTTACTCCTCCGCTTTGCTCGTCGGCGAGAAGGGCGCTAGCTTGTTGGCCGAAGATTTGGGTACGCCTCGGGCCGCTTTCTACTGTTATCCGTCTGTATCACTTGCATTCGCTCATATTTGTTCACCCTCGCATAAACAGGCCTGAAGATCAAGACGCCTCACGCCGCTGTCCCTCACGCCCCTGTGCCGACTGGCAAGCCTGGCACCCAGTTGCACAGGCGTTGAGTGACTGAGCCCGACGTTCATCGGTCTGCGTGCTGTATGATCGTCTTGTGTCAATGACATTGTCCTCGCCTATTTTTCCTATCGTCATTTTGCTCGCGGTCCCTTACCACTATCCATGTTTTGTATGATTCCACTGTACGACCGTGTACGATGCGATAACCGCTGAAGTTGGAAGTTGTATGTACGTTCTCGTTTTGTCCGATATGTACTCGTAGTCTTTTGCTCGAATTTCATTGTCATGTGGAGTATCAGTCGATATGTGTCGACAGTTGTCGACAGTCCCGGACATTTCCAGCAAATAAGGGTTCGAAGAGTTGGATTGATATAGGTTCATGGGATATGTGAATGTAATGAGTACGGTGTACGGGAACAAGTCTATGACTTCATGCAGTCGCGTAACTGGGAGGAGGCCCGGGCATGAATGGGATCTCCTGGTCAACAAATGCGGAAATATCAATGATGTTATCTCCTGAGACCTCATTTTGGGATGGGAGCGACGGGAGCGAAGTATGCCGGGAGTGCGTGATAGGCAGATCTCGAGTATTTGTGGTCCGTTTTGGATCGCTGGGCATAGCAGATGTTGGAGGTAATATGAACGGTGTGATAGTCTCCGACGTGGCTATCGCGTAAGCAGAAAGTGATAAGAGGCCCAATAGGCTGTGAGACAAGCTCAATGTACTTGACATACCTTCATTCACGTTGCTCCTCTGCGCTCCATGGACGAGGAGCATAGGGTCGATTGTCTCCCGTAATACTGTCTTTCGGCGCGCGGCGGACCTTCTTCGCCAAATACAAACTGAAAGAGCCGCCAGAGCAATGATACATAAAATGACAGGCACTACCGAGCCCACGATTGATGTGACGTGCGAATGGTGTACCGACGCAGGTGATGTAGCCGTATTGATGCTCATGCTGGTAGATGAAGCTGATTCGTTCGACTGCGTGGGACTGAGCGAGGGTATATATGCCTTTGACGATTGGACTGTAATGTAGTCGAGGTAAAATTGGTTCGGCTCGCTTGCGGTGATCTCGAGTGTATGTTGTTGCTCTTCTCGGGATAGAGGGAACGTTGCGCTTATGAAGGCAAAGTTTACCCATGCTCCTGGGTGGGGCGTGACGCGTACACCGGTTGGAACACCACCGTCGAGTGTATATGTAGCAACGGGTGCCGTGCTATTTAAGGATATCCCATACACAATGACCGCCCACCCTAGACCACAAAAAATTGAACACGTCAGCATATGCCAGAATAAAGAAGACTTGTGAATGATCAGTGAAAGGACCTGTGAAACTGAAGGACAGTGTGGCGCCTTCCTTCATGGCCCCCTTGGAGCTCGCGTTCATCACGTTATTGTCGTTGAGGTATGGAGTGTTATTAGTCCAGTCTGCTTCCGAGCTGTACTCCAAGTAAGGGCTGGTATCGTCGATGAGGAGTACGGACGCGGGCGAGTTCTTTATTGAAAAATTGGAGGCCGTTTCGATAAGGAAGTAATCGAAAAGAAAGTTGGACGAGTTCGTCTGTGTCAAGATAGTGATTTCGATAGTGTGATTGGTAGTAATTGATAGTGAATCGATGGTGAAGATATTTTGATGAGACAGTGTCACGTCCGCAGTCTCAGACTCGACGGTGTGAAGCGTAGGAATACCATCGTCTAATGCATAAATGATATCTGTGTTGATATTTGATCCATTTATTGCGGCCCACGCAGAAATGGAAGTTCCTACGAGAGGTGAGCGATTAGTATTGAGGCTCACAGAATTACTCACCTAGAAAAGTGTACGTTAAGCTCGACCCATTCATCCCGGATTGTGTTACCGTTCCAAGGTAGGTGGCGCTAGATGCTGGAGACCGTATCAGTCCTGTGGCGACTCGGAGGCACCTGTAGATGTTTAACGACAGATTGCATACATGGGTTGTACACCCAGCCGTCGATTTGTCTTCCGCCAGATTGCGATGGATGTGGTGAATATACTATCGCTGAATCCCTATCATCCACTATGATCGTATAGGTCGACATGAGGGGTCTGACGAATGAGTGACAGGACTAATGTCGGGGAAGATTTCGGTCAGCGGGTGTAGCAAGAGAGCTGGTATTTATCTAGTCGCGTATGAGCCGTTGTTGTCATCCTGGATCAATGGATGACTTCCCGTAGACAAAATGATATGTTTATTCGACACGATCACCGCCCGGAAACGCTCGGAAACAAAGACGGCAGCCACCTGCAGCCAACCAGTGAGCTGCGATCTTCATTTCGGAGCGTTGCCGAACAGCGATCGCGTTGAATCAATCCCAAATAAACATATCTTTTCTCTACGGGAAGTCATCCAATGGGCGTTACATGGAACGTTGATTGCTGGTTTCGTGCGGGTTACCTTGGGGTATGTATATCAGGAATTGTTCGGAATGGAAACTCGAAGCAGATGACGTGAAGCAGGAGGACTCTTTAAAAATGGCTCTGTACAACTCGGCAACCACGCCCTAGTGAAAAAACAGGGTTGGGCCGCTGCAGCCAATCTTTCTTAAGTATATAGATTATAGTATGACTCTGGCGAGCTCTGGCGACAAACCTTACTAGATGCTGAACCTGAAAACATCGGAATTGGTCATTAGGAGGGGCGACAGCAGTAAGATATCATTCAGATCCAGGAAGGCTCAAAGCTGCAAGTGAGATCGACTGGCAGACATGCTCGGCGCACATCGCGGGTCACTTGCGCCCCGCTGCACCCTGTTGCCAACCTGCTGCACCGCTGTCATTGAAGCGTGCGGATCCGTGCACTTCCCCTGACAACCACAGTGGATCAACTTTTGGTAGACTAACATTTAGTTAGGCTCGATAATAAAGATTTCGAAAAGGTGTCACAAGGGATTACCTGTAGTCTCATGAATAAGAGATAAATCCTTGCCGTTGTATATTCGGTTCAATCCCTTTATACAAGGGCAGTTTCGAAACAATGCCGAGCTTCGACGCGCTGGTACAAGTACAGAGTCGTTAAGCAGTTCCATTATAACGGTCGACTCAAAAAGCATCGGTGTAGAGAAGCGAGTATCAAGGACGCGGCGGAAGTCAAGGGGATGAAAAGCAGTCCAACATTCCACGTGCAGCCGGCGCCGAAAGCGCTCCAGTAAGCGCTCAGCATCATCTCGGCAATTCCTTCCTTCCCAAGCTTTGGCCTCAAGGCCTCACCTCGCCACATCTCAACGTCGACCAATTTTACTGCGCCTTTCGAAACGATGCGGAATCGCAAACATCGCGATTTCGCTCCAGCCACAGGCCAGCCGACGGCGCGTGCTCCGGCTCGGGAACTTCCAGAATCTCCCGTGTCCGAGAGTGGCGAGTGGATGGTTGCCTACTGTGGCCCATCCCTCATGCTACCTCATTGGACTAATACCTGGACAGTATATCAAGCAGTATCTATGTCTCAGTCATACTCAAAATATTATGGAGCATATGAGAGGTTGCTTCCCAGAGAAATGTCCAATCGAGGGATGTGATGGGTAATGTCGGGCAGGCTTCTGCCTTTTGGAAGCATTGCTTGCGACTCGAGAGCCTTAGGACCTCATATAAAATGTACTCCATACAAATGGGAGAACAAACAGCTATATTGACTTATTTGGATTACTCTATTGTCACAACTGTATACTTGTAAACATATATTTGCAGTTGGGCCACAGCTGGCCACAGTGACTGTCCTGGAGACAGCCGTGCCGAAGCACGGCCCGTCGGCTGGCCTGTGGCTGGAGCGAAATCGCGAAGCTTGCGTTTCCGCATCATTTCGAAAGGCGCAGTAAGTCAAAAAACGCGATGGCGTGTTCGAAGCGGCATGTACACATATTTATAATGTGATCATTGGTAGGGGTAAAACGGCTAGGGTTTGTGGGTGTCACAGATAAGTATAAACTTGGTGCGGCAAACGAAAGCAAGTCAACGTCATGAAGATGCCGCAGTCGAGTAACTAGGAGGAGGTACAATCCCGAACGGAGAAATATCGATTACACTACTTTCTGGGACGTCGATTCGTGTGGGTGCTGGTGGCGTTGAAGTATGCTGTGACAAGCCTATAGACAGAGCTCGAGTAGCTGTAGTTGGTTTTGGATCGAGGAGCATAGCAGAAGAGGGAGGCAATATGAATGGTGTGATGGTTTCTGAGCTGGCTGCACGAATAAAGAAAAGCCGCATGAGCGATCATGATAGGTTGCGGAAGTAAATACTCGGTATGTATGACTTACCTTCATTCATGTCGCGCTCCTGGGCTCTGTTGACGAGTAACATAGGGTCGATTGTATCTCGTAACGCCTTCTGTCGGCGCACAGAAGATCTTCTTCTCCAAATGCAGACTGAGATGGCGACCGAAGCGATGATACAAAGAGTAGCAGACACTACCGAGCCTGCGATTGCTGCCACATGCGAAGTGTGTGCCGACGCAGCTGATGTGGCTGATTCGTTCGACTGTGTGGTGGCACCAAGGGTAGGTACGTATGCCTTCGATGATTGGACGGTAATATAATCAAGGTAGAAATGGTCGGAAGAATTTGCTGTGATTTCGAGGAAATGTTCTTGTTCGCCTGCATTCAGGGGAAAGACTTCGCTTATGAAAGCAAAATTGAGGGTGGCTCCGGAGTAGGTCGGAACGTGGACACTGTCTGGAGTATGGCCGTCGAGTCTGTAGGTGGCGATAGGCGTTGTATTATCAACGCCTATTCCGTACACGATGATTGCCCAGCCTGTATTCCGAAAACGAAGCGAGACATCATTCGGCGGCCAGACAAACAAGATACAAGATGATCGGTGAACAGACCTGTGAAAGTGAAGGACACAGTAGCGCCTGCTGCCAGGGTACCCGTGGAGCTCCCATTCATCACGAGATTGACTTGCGGCGCATCTAAGGACGGAGTTGTGTTGGTCCAGTCCGCCTGCGAGCTGTAGTTCAAGTAAGGGCTGGTGTCGTCGATGAAGAGAACAGACGTGGGGGAGGTCTCGATTGATGAATTGGAGGGTGCTTCCACGAGGAAGTAATCTAACTCGAAATTGGTGTTGTCTGTCTGCGTCAGGATGGTGATTTCGATGGTGTGGTTTCCACCTGTAAGTGAATCGATTGTGAAGATATTTTGATGACCCAGGACTACGCCTGGAGACCCTGACTCGATGGTGTGGGATGTAGAAGCACTATCGTCCAGAGTGTAAGCGATATCTGTGTTGGGTTTCGAGCCGTTTACTATGGCCCACACAGATATGGAAGTTCCTATGAGGTACTCACAATGAATAAAGTGCAAAAGCCAGATAAAATTTTATCTTACCTAGGAAAGTGTAGGTCAGAGTCGACCCGTTCAATCCGGATCGCGTTACTGTTTCTAGATAAGAATAACTCGCCGCTGGTGACTTCTCAGTGTCGTGCCATCGGTACTGCAAACGGCTGTAATCTCGAAATGCACACCTGTTGTGTGTAACCAGCCATCAAGCTGGCTCCCACTAGAACCAACTGTCTGTGGTGAATATATGATGCCCGGATCCCTGTCATCGACTATGATGGTGTAGGTCGCCATGAGAGGTTTGGGAAACGGGTGGAAATGAGACAACCCAAGGGAGACGTCGCAAAGGGGGTGGAACGAGAGGACCTTAAAAAAACAAAGGTCGAGCCACTAGTCGTTATTTATGTCGACCAAGCACGTCGAATACACAGGGCCTTACGAGAAATATGTTTAGTTTGGGTTTTCCTGGGCTTCCTTGTAATGTCAGTATCATTTAAACTGGCAGCTGACGAAAATGGGACTGAACTGGCACGTCAGGCATATGTCCCATCAGAGTGATTGTGGCGCAGTCATACACGCGAATACACTTGACCATACTGACTGGTATAGTTTTCTACCTTTGTCATATCAGCCCATTGCTCTGACTGTGATTGTCGGCGGGAACACATCTGTTGAACGTCGACAATCATGAATCAGCGCTCTTCCAAGCCCATTTTCCCTTCGCCGTTGCGAGTGGCGGTGACAACTTAGGCTTCTGGAAGTTGAACGCCCTCCTGACGTGACGAAAATCAGAAATACTCTGATCAGGGTCGTCGACCATTCCCACCATCAATGAAGACCCATTCGTCTTTCGAAAGGGCATTGTAACCCAACAAAGAAAAAGTGTCGACTTCCGCGGCCGCAGTTCGTGCATGGAAGATCCTGGTCTATGGCTGGCGGGCCTGGCCGGTTGCGTGCTCTATGTTCGTTGGATGCATCTTGCTCTGCAGCACTCTTTACTTTGGATATATGATGTCCTGTGAATTCCTTCCTGCCAATAGCGGTGAGATGATGTGGCCACCCGTGATAACAACGGTATTGCGATCTGGACTCCAAATTATTGTACATAACGACAAGATAGCCTCGGACATACTAATAGCGTGGAGCGAAAATTTCATCGCTTTGCAGCCGTTAAAGAAATCGTAGTCGCTTTTCTCCTCCGTTCCATTCAGGATTTCTGTTTAGCTTTGGAGCTGAACAAATAAGGCCACGCGCATTCCCGCGCGGTACTGAATGCTTCGGAGCAAAGAGCGCTCGGGCGAACCCCGTTGGGGCCTCAGTGTGAAGGAAACTTCCGACTTCAGTTTCTGATCGAGTCTCTCAACTGTTGAGAGCAGCCGCCCAACGGTTGAAAACCCCTCTACTCTGCCTTTGGAAGACTACTTCACCTTCCCTGACAATCATCCCAAGTTTGATCACAAGCATCAGGTTTCCGCAACAGACCGGAGCGGCAAGAACAGTATCAACCCATCTGGCAATTAGAGTTCCGATTTAACTCCGCGGCCAGACAATTCCGTGGCGCAGGCGACATCTCAGTCGCAGTTCGAAGCCTCCTTCGTTTACAAGCCACCGTACCAGTGCCTAGCGTCACGGCTTGACTTCCATGGCGATTCGCAGGGCCTCGGGCAGATACAGCCAAACAGAAAACCTGAGAGCCCAACCTTTGACCTAAGCCACAGGCCATGTCTGGTTCACTGGGTAGGCAGTACCATCACTCGAAGTTTCTAGACTCCAAGCTCGAGTCTATCGGCCGTAGACCCATTGTATGGAACGATAGTTTGATGGCGCATAATTTCCTCGGACAAGTCGCAAAGCGTAAGAAACGTGGGGTCACCAACACACCTTCGATTGGGGTGGCACCGACGCCACATTGATGCCTAGGGCTGCTTTGCAGTCGCAACTATCTCGGCCTCATTCCGCCCTAGCTCTGTGGTCATTTTTCTGTGGAGCCAGTGCGCACAGCACGACATAACATCGATCTGGGGCCCTGATTGACCGAACCCACCAGACTTTGTATTGCGACAAGTTGATGCGAGACCATCACCTACGTCTACATCTCCCCACACTCTGTCCAAACCATCACCAAAAGAAAACCAGTCATCAGTAAATCAGAAGAGTACGTTGTCACCGAAGATGGAAGGACCCACCAACGATCTTGACTGCCAATTTCGGCCTGTTATTGGGACCTGTGGGTACGTTCTCGATTTTCCTGAGCGTGAGCATGCCGTCGATGACTTTACCGAAGACGACGTGTTTGCCATCGAGGAAGTCGCATTTGGCGGTGGTTATGAAGAACTGCCAGGGTAAGTTGAGTAGTGAGAAATTCGAAATACCGCCATTTGGACATGAATTTTAAGGTCTTGAACGACCGGCGGGGAGGGAGTGGTGAAGCAGCGGGGAGTGCTTACCTGACAACCGTTCGTGTTGGGTCCAGAGTTTGCCTATGAGACGTATTGAGCAACTAGCTTTGGGAATTGGCATGAGGGGCGTACCATGGATAGTAAGCCTGGGCCTGTATGCTTCTCTTGGAAGTTCTCGTCCTGCATATCGTGACGAACGTCAGCATGATAATCAAGAAGATAGAGGACTCCGCGGCGAACAAGTAGGAAAGATGACGTTGCGTGGCATGCGACTTACCGGAAATTTGTCACCGTATATCGAGAATGTTCCTGTCCCATCACCCTTGATGAAGTCGCCGCCTGGCAATGACATCGGTTACAATGCATTCGGAACTTTTGGGCCACATTCGTACGCGAAGATAGGAACACAAAGGTCTAGACATACCTTGACACATGAAGTTTGGCACTCTTGATCGTAGAACACTCGTCCGTCAGCCGACAGTACGACAAGATTTTGGAGGTGGCGAGGTTGGAAAGGCTAAAGGGGGGAAGTGTGGACTTACACTCTATATCAGAGTGAAACTAGTCAGCACGCATGAGACAAGCTTAACGACAGTTCGAAGATCAGACAGGCAGACGTACCGATGGAAGGTCGCGTTCTTATATCCTTGCGGACGCGAGTTTACTCTGATCTCCACCAGGATCATCAGCGCTGGACGTCCCATGCACACGACTCAACGAATGGACGTTACCTGTATTCCCCTGTACACAGTTGTCGGAAGTTTTCTGCGGTCCTGTAGATATACAAATACTCGTCAGACTATCATTCCACCGTTCTGGTAATACTGATAAGTATTGCGCACTTGGGCACAGTCTCGCTGAAAAGCTCCATCTTTATCCTTCCGGCTGGCGTCTCTCCGATGTTGATGTCCATGAACACGATAGGTCGTTGCGTCGAAGCCATTGTGAATGATTTGTGCGTCCGACAAGAGTTTCGTATGCGGAAGCGTGGCGAAAGCAAGGACGGCTAGGCAGTAGTACGAGATGAAGAGTAGTCAACGCCACACTTCCTCGAAAGCCCTAGAAGTCGGGAAAATAGGCGCCCATCGCTCGATTTCTCAAATCGAAATAGGCGCCCAAGCATCCTCCCTTCCTCCTCGCCACCACATTTGAAACAAACCAAACGCGCCTCTTTGCTTTGCTCTCAGTGTAAAGTAGCGGAACGACATGTCTTATTTCCTGCCTCATCTTCCTTCTGGCTGGCACGTCGACGAAGCCATCAAATCCGAAGAAGACCGCGTTGTTGTCCTCCGCTTCGGTCACGACTGGGACACGCAGTGCATGACTATGGACGAGACCCTCTACTCTGTCGCTGAGAAGGTACAGAACTTTGCGGTGGTGTATCTCGTAGATATTACGGAGGTTCCGGATTTCAACAAGGTGCGTTTGGTCGAGGCAGGAGTGAAGTGATTGAACTGTGGGTGGAGCTGACGATGGTTTGTAGATGTACGAACTGTATGATCCTTGCACAGTCATGTTCTTCTATCGGTGCATACATGCTGTTTCCGTCTTCCAAATGGCTCTGAATACTCATGTTCTTGCGTTTGTACTACTAGGAACAAACACATCATGATTGATCTGGGCACTGGTAACAACAACAAGATGTAAGCACACCATCCTCCACACCGCTCTCTATCACATCTGTTGACTAGTGATACTAATCCTTCGTGTTATTCTCGATCGCTGGACGGTGTAGTAACTGGGCAATGGATAACAAACAAGAGGTAAGCATGTGGCTCTCTTGCGCCACTCCCACTCTACCACCCTCAACCCTGTTCTGTGCCCCACTCTCGCTGTAACGTGTTGTCTGGATTATCGTTGACGTTATGGGCCATGCTTTTTCTAGATGATTGACATCATAGAGACAGTCTACCGTGGCGCCTCCAAGGGTCGTGGTCTCGTCGTTTCTCCCAAGGGTTGGTTTACTTCCTTGTACTATAGCGCCACCATACTGATTCCCCTTTACCGATCACACCTCCAGATTATTCGACACGCTACCGCTACTGAATGTCTTGCATTCCCAATGCACTGTCGACAGCCGTCTTCTTCCTCAAAGCAGCGCCGCTCTCGTCGTGCATTGAGGCCTTTCCTCGTACGTTGCTTGCTCTTTTGGTTGACCCGTGTGGGTGTGGTAGTGTTCTGCAGCGATGTCTTCACGTACTCATGATGCATTGTATTTTATTCCTTTGGTCTCTCATTTGACAATGTACTTTGCTTTCTCGCTCGTTCTTGCTTTATATCGTATACGGGACAACGCCTACGTACAGCACCCACGATAATCTATGTGTGATGTATGGCGACAGTAAAAACCTCATTGCATTGCATCGTAAACGACGTATGAACTGCTCAACATCCAACGACCTACGACCCCGAACCTGCCTCCCTCTACGCTCGTGCAACCTCTCCACCAATGTCTTCTCTCCGACACCTCTTCACAGGCCCTTAGTAAGTCGTCCTCACCGCCCGACATCCTGCAGGCTGAACCGCCCAAGGCCATGTACAGGTAGATCGGTGGAAGGGTACCGACGCTTCGTCATCAACTCTGGAGACACGGTGATCGCGGTCCTCTCGTGATGAAGGGCGAGGAATCGTAGGCGAGTACTGGACGCTGAGTATGTCGTAGGCATTGACTCGGCCAGTAGAGGATAGCTATCGATCCTACGAACGGTGACGCAGAGAAGAGTGTAGATCAGGGCACGAGCGAGACTGCCCATTGGTGGAGGGTGAATCGGTGAATGCGTTCGTCTACGATGTCGAGTGCAGCTGAGACGCTGAGATGTGTGCTGGTACGGGGGGTAAGTTGACTTAGGCGCTGGCGGTGACGGCCACAGCGACAGGGACTGTGGTGACAGGGTCGGAAGCCTCCTTCGCATCAGCAGTCGAGGACTTGTCGTCGTCAACGTGAAGCTTCTCGAGTGCATCAACGAACTCTCCGTCCACGGAGCTACCATCCTCCTCGTCCTCCTCGTCCTCCTCGTCCTCCTCCTCAGATCCAGCGCTCTCGCCCTCTTCATCATCGTCCTCATCCGGCTCATCTTCATAATCCAACTATCATATCACAGACCACAAGTCAGCTCACCTAATATTCAAAAAAGTGTGTTTTCCGAGGCGGGTGGCAAGATGTTCGGCGGGTGAACGAAAGACTCACCGGATCATAAACAACTCGAATGATCAGCGAACAGCTGGGACAAGTCGCGATATCCTCACAATCCCTAAGCTGCGCTCTCGAGATTTCGAAGCGATCGCCGCAAGGGCATGGGTAGTGGAAGACGCGCTTGACATCGTCCCAAGCCATGTCCTCGATTTCGATTTCATCGTAGTAGGCACCCATCGTGATGCTTGAAGTGGGTAGTTTGTTTTGTGCACAGAAATGATTGTACTTGGAGGATGTCAATATCAAGTCTGAATAGATAGGAGAAAAGGATCCCTGGGAGACTGAAGGAGACGAGGTGAACGATGAGGATGCCGTGCAAGCTCGTGCAAGTCCTGATCTGACTCAAAAATCTTGAAGGTGGCGTCGGCGTTTGCCGGACGAATTTGGCCACATCATCTCACTCAGTGTTGTTTTGAAACGTCTGCTTCGATGTGTCTTCGACAACTTTTCCGGTCGAGGTTGCACAATTTTGTTTCGAAGAACTTTACTTCCTGGCGCGCATCCTTACCTTGTTAATGCCGCAGTAGCAACATGACGAACAAGGGGGCCTCATCGATACTTATCAGTCTTCGAACTTAGCCGCCAGCGGCCATTCCATCTGAGCCCGAACGACCTCGATCTGCGCTGAGATGTATACAGTCCTCATTTCTGTTGCAGGCTGCATACGGGAGCGCACGTTTGTCTGAACCTCTGCCATACAGGTCCAAACCATTTCCTTTTGCGGAAAACAAAGCACTCCCGATCGGGTAAGTCGTCAATATCCGTCATATCTTGCTTTGTCTGCGCTCTTTATTCCTTTATCTCTCTTCAATTTTGACCACATCTCTTACAAGCACATATTTGGTGTATAATGCCTCGAAGACTATGGTCTTTTCATGGTCAGAGCGTCGATGTCAAATTTCCAACCACAAAGGCGAAGGTCTTTGAACAAAAGAAGCCCGCATCATGCCGCGGCGTGGCCACCCGCCGGCATATCACGTTATTCCCTTTGACAGAACGTTCAGTGTCCTGACACGCCGCTTATAAGTGGCACTCCCTTTCACATCTTGACTCCCAACCTCTTGACTCCCGACCACCACCATCCACCACCAACGTTCACGCTACTGATCTCATCCGTTGAGATTCCATCCTCTTGAGCACTATCACTCTATTCCGCTCATCAATATGACACGCCCTACGACACGCTCTTCAACACGCACTGCCCGAGGGCGTTCTCAAGCGCCCATCCACGGTGCCCCCCGCCCTACGACTGGCGACAACCGCCATTCTAGGAGCAATGGCGCTAATCAAACTCAAGCAATTGATGACCACGATAGGCATCCTGCGAACGGCAACGATGCGACAAGAGTGCGTCCTTAGTCTTTCCTTTGTTGATCCCGTTCATTGACGCCTACCTATTACGCCCTCCCGTGTCCCTAATCAGAGTGACATGCCGCTGCCCGACAACGATATCTTCCCGGCTCAATCGAGTGCGGCTCCCGGTGTGGTACGTGTGTCATTCTTCTGGTTGTGTCATAGTGAGCTGCTCACGCTGTCGCTTCTTCAACAGGCTCCCCTCCCTCCCTCGATACCTGAGCCACCGCGTGCGCGTCCGCAAGGTCTTCCCCTCAATGCGCTGACGATCCTCAACGATATCTCCTACGTACCCGTCAACGGCTCCGCCCAACCCGACAACAACGGTCATGAGGCCTCGAACATCGATGGCGCCGCCGGTGCACCAGCCGATGGCCGTTCTGCTCTCAACCCCATCGATATTTACGATAACGACGTCGACATACCCGGGCCATCGAATCCCGGCACCCAACCTGCGGCTACCCAGGACACCCTCCGAACGACATCCACCCTCAGTCCGCCTCCCCCTAACCAACTCGCATACACCGAAAGCTGGAGAGAACGCCACACTCATGGCAACCCCGCACGACGCTCTCAAACCGACCGTCACCGAGATCCCAAACATCAAGCGGAAGAAACTGAGTATCCGAATCCTCGCGACTCTCCAGAGTACTCGGCTTCCAGACCCCTGTCGCCTTGTGAGGGGGATACTCCGTGGGCCGTCGCCGACGAGCCTGCCTTGAACGTTCGGCCGATCGGAGACTGGCACAACTATAGCGTTACGGGGTTCGATACGATTGGAAATCCAACGAGTTCATATATCGAACCCACTCCTGATGTTCGCCCAGGTTGGTCAATTGTTGTTCTTTGTATCTTCTCCTCATAGCGTGCTTAATCATCCGCCCTTGAAAAGCATCCCCTGTCACGGGCCTACCTCCCTTTGCACGTCCCCCCGGTGAAATCGTCGACCTGATATGGCTTGACCGTTACATTGAAGACCTTACCAACTCGAGGGACACGAAAGTTCCTAGAATCCGGCGGGCGATCGATGGACTGAAGGATCTATATACCGAAATGTTCGTCACAAAGGGTCGATTAGCTGAGGAGGACAGGTTATGGGACGAGCTGCTCAAAAAGTTCGGCAAGAGGTTCGGAGAACAACGGGCTCTGGAGATCACCGGGAATGTGCAGAAAAAAATGGGGCGGGACGACAAACATCGTAGGCGTAACCCACCGCTCGCTTCTGCGGACTCGGACGATACGAAATCAGATGAAGCGGTTGATGACAGGAGGGGCAGGCAGTCGTATGAGAGAACAGACGATTACTGGCTCGATAACCTCTTCTACCAAGGGTGCGTCTCATTCACCTTCATATCTATTGGCCCTCGGCGGAAATGCTCATTGCTGATATTGTTTATTCTAATACTTAGCGGTGACATGCCCGGTCCGCCTGAACTTCAGAGATATCAGGACACAGGGGACTATCTCGACGTTGCTCCCACGTCATCTCCCCACCGACCGGACGTGAACCCGTTCTTGGACTCGGAGGCGCCTGGTCCCCACGGCTATCGGGACGACGAGAACGCTCCATTCGACCCATCTCACTGGCACGCGAGACATCACCAAGGATCCAACCCATTCGACGAATACGATGGTCCAGGTCATCTCCGTGCCAGACATGACGAGAACGCTGAGGCCGGTCCCTCTCGCCCTGTTGCGCAAAGGCGTTCTCCAAACCCGTCATATTCACTTCCTGATCCCGAGCACTCAGACGACGAGGATCCCCGTACCGCCCCTACTCTCGGAGCCAACCTTCGGTTCAAACCCATCTGTGGCAAGGGCAGGGCTCTCGATGATGACCTTCCTCCTTCCTCTCCGGCTCGTTCCACTTCCGCTCCTCTATCCGATCACGAAATGGGCGAAGATAAAGAAAATGCATTTCCTCGTCCCAGTCTGAGTATCTCCCGTTCGTCCGCTATCGGCCGTTCCTCCTCTCAGCTTTCCGAACGTGATCAAGACCAGGGCAACGCAACTGATTTCCACCCACCGCCACCTCCGGTCGCAGTCAGCGCTACCTATCAAAATCCATCTCCCTCCTTGAAACGTGGTCGCGATGAGTACGAAGACGGATCAGCGGAGGATGGCGACGAGGGGGCTATGCAGGGTGACGGGGACGACTCAAACTACGATCCCAATCCTGACGAAGAGGAGCCGCTACCACCGCCACCCAAGAGATCTCGGCTCGGGGCCCAAGAATCTGCCGTCGATAGGAACACCAGGCGTGCTTCTGCACCTAGGACGACAGGACGAACGGTTTTGGGCGCGCAAGCGGGACCGCCAAGGCAAGCCCTTCCTCTCGACAGCATTCACGCGTTTTCCTTTGGAGGATCCAGTTTTGCACACCACCAGCAACCGCTCCGGTTCTCCGACAACACATCTGGATGGTCCATATCTGGCCTCGGACCATACTTTCTCGAGCAACTGTTACCTGGGTATGTCGATGCTGCGGAGTCTCGACGCGTGGACGGAGGGAACTATACGGCGGTACATGAGCAGAGTGCGGACGAGAAGCAAGTCGAACGTGAAATAGAGGTTCAGGATCAGGAAGGGTGGAGGCGTGAGAGGCGGGGATACGAGTTCAGCTCGCGACAGAGGACACAGAGGATGGGTGCTTCGCATGGTGGGATCGTGCTGCACGAACGGACGAGGACGCCAGATTTCTCCCAGAAACAAGATTGGGAGTGGGACGAGGAGAAGCAAAAGGGTGTGGATGTTTGGATGCCTCGCTTTCAGGAGACCCTTTGGAGTATGAAGTGATATGATATACGTGCCTTCCGAAAGGTGAACTCCGAATTTGAGTAAGCCCTTTCCGAGTCTTCGACACGAATTCTTGCTGACATCGTTTTTGTCGTACGTTTAGTCTCACAATATCTGCTTCCAATGAGGAGCAGTATTCGGAGTGACCGAGCCCTCAGTCGCTAACGCATAGCGTGGACGTTCCGAGCGCAGCATCTGCGCTCGTTCGCACACAACAAACCCTTATATCAGGTCTCCACTGTCGCATTAGCTGCCGCACCTTGGCCGCACCGAGACCGCCTCCACCGCGACCAACTATCTTCGAACCAATCCCAGGGGTCGAGACGCCGCACATTACGGCTGTCGCTACGCAGGGACTGCCAGAGCGGGACCATGACTATCGCGCGATGAAACGCGAATAGATAAAGAGGTCGTGGAGTTGGACGAGAAATTGAGCGACCCTGAAAGATTGTGCGTACAGACCGTCATCGACGGTCAACACTAAACGAATGTACAAAAATTTAAACTAATATGCAATCAAAATAATACTCGTTTTATCCTTGTACTGGATCCCAGGCCTGCTTCATAGATGAGAAGTAGTCAGCGCATAAGCTCGGACGCCTACGCTATCCGTGAGGATCAGGTCTAACTTACATACCTCCTATCAATTGACCCCCCTAAGTAGTAGTACGGTACAGCTTAAGAAAGCTCTTGACGTACTTCAAGTCACCCATTTCGACGTCCAAGAACCGATGGATGAGTCTTGTAGGCTTCTCAACTTTCGCAAAAATCATATTATCTCCCCATCTATGTCCAAGCTCTGGTCCGGCGAGGGCGAGTGCACATCGATTGAACGGCGATCCGTCGATCAAAAAGCAGTCGTCGTGGTACATGCAGAATGTATAAGGGAGATCTCGCGGTATGAAAGTCGCATACTCGAGCCCTATCGAGCTATGCGTTCTGATCCACTTCTCGATCGCAGGATATGCGTGGTGGTTCCATTGCTGATCGTCTTCGTCATATTCGACGGTGTAACTGAGACGGATGAGGCGAGGAGTGGCAGAATCGAATGGAAGAAGAATGGCGGTACATTCTTTGAGTTGTTGACCGGTATCAGAAGCCGGTGGTGTGGTTATCGTGCTTTGAAGTTGTGGGGCGAGTGAAGCCCTGAGTGCGAGGCACTCAGGTTTATGGTGCTTCCAATCCTGCGACGAAGAACATATGCGGCATATAAGACCTTCGTACTGGTGCTAAAAGTGTCTCAGGCTCGCCTGCTTCATGTGCTGTCGATTGCAATAGTGCGCTTGCTTGCAGGCTGCACAGCGCGCCTCGGTCGACGTTCCACATACGCGACACTTCGAAGATGAAAATAATTGTATGGACATGCTGCCCGATCGACTTGAGATTAGCGTATGACAGTACTACTGGCCGACGACGGTCTATGGTTGAGAGCTTACTTACAACGCGACGACTGTGTGGATGTTGGGGTTGAGCCCTCTCCTTGCGATCTCTTTATATCGATTTTCTTCTAGCGCCACAAGAATTGCGGAAGATCGTTCCGATAGCAGTAGTTATGCCTCATCAGTTCTATAGTTACAGTCAATTACCCCGTGGTGGGCCAGTACCTCGTAATGGGTCACCTTCCAAATGCGGGCGCTCGAAGCCCTCATATGGTGGAGTTGTGCTCCCATTCGAAGCTTTGGAGCATGATATCATAGCATTCTTGGCCTTTCGATGCCAGCCCTCGCCGTAAACAGTAGGTGACCTATTACGGGGTACTGAACATGCCATCCAATCCGAGCCGCGTCCAGTAAGACTGATGAAGTCAGGAACCAGCACGCTTATGTAAAATTCTCCAGGCTTGTGATTGGCTCGCCACCTGCTCGCCACCCATTCTCACCGCCAAAGAATTTTACATAAGCCGTGCTGGTTCCTGACTTCATCAGTCTTAAGTAGACAGTGGCAGTGCACTGGTCGTCAAAACAAGTGAGCCAGAAAAGAAAGGGAAAATCAGTTTGCATGAGTGACCCGGGACCACAATCGATAGAAGACCTGCGTCAACCATCCAGATCGCTTCGCTGAAGCAAAATAAAGGGCAGCACGTATGAACTTCAAAGATGCATGTTGCAAGAGCAAGTCTTCGACGACGGCGGTCGCGGAGCTCGAATTCCAACTGTCCCGGCCCTGATTGGACAAATAGACGCAAATAAATCAGTTCGCACGGCCATCGATGTGGCAATCGCTCCGAGAACGCTCACAACTCCTAAGCCGTCCTGGTCCCTTGCCCGAGTAGTAGCATATCTCTCAGTGTATTCGATTCCACATCAAGAATCTTATCGCACGGGTACGTGCGGTGTCAAATGCTCTGTGCATCACAGAACAATTCAGTGCTGATATCCCCACATCTTACCGTATCAAGGACAGGCGAGGGCGTCTGACCACTACTCAATTCAACCTACCATCGCGACCGGTATCTGTTCCCTCACAAAGAAGATCATAATCACTCACTCATCGGTAAGATACTATGTCGCCCAACTTGACAACTTGAACTCGGTCACTTATACAGCCAGACATCCCAGCTCATGCACGTGTCAGAATTTCCTGTGGAGTTGCTTTCCGCCATATTCTTTGAATGCGTACCCAGGGCACCAACAATGATCAAAGTCCGTGGTGATTGGAGCCACAAAACCTTCGATTCAAACTGGATAGTCATCACTGAAGTCTGCCACCGATGGCGTGACGTCGCTCTATCGACACCGATTTTATGGACGAATGTCGCCCTCACGCGCCCCGATGGGGTCAAGTACATGCTAGAACTATCGAAAACCGCACCTTTCAATGTATTCCTGGAGATATACCACAACGCAGAGAATTTACTTCCCTGCGTTGAGCTTGCTATGCAGCATGTCGATCGAGCTTCCGCTGTCCATCTTTCTTACCGATATTCTGATAAAGAATCGGAGAGGCTCAGCAAAACCATGGTTATCCCGTGCAGAGTTCCATATCTGAAGGAACTATGCCTCGAAGGATCTCGATTAGATGTTTACCAACAGCCGTTCGCCTCTGATCTACAAAGACACCATGTCAACTACGCCCCCCACCTTCGCCACCTCACCCTTGAAAAGGTCTCCTTGCCGAATATGACATCATTTGTGACTCTCGAATCCTTGACCTTCCACGGAACGCTCACCATGTCCATACAAGAGCTTCTCGACACTCTTCGACTACTCTGCGCTCTTCGCTCTCTAGACCTGGAACTGTTGGAAGGTAACAACGACCTTATTACGAAACCAACTACCACCTTACACATCCCATCCTTGATGAACTTTCATTTCGCTGGAGATAACTCCATCTGTGCCACTCTCGTCCCGTCCATATCTTCGTCTCCCCAAGCATACATCGACATACGAGCGGGTTCGTTCGGAACCTTCACCAATATTTCACGACAATACTTCGGCCACGATAGCAAATTCGGTCCACCTCGTACATTCGCAGTGTATCGCAATTACGGATCCTTCCAGATCGAAGGCTCTTCTACGAATCACCACGTTGAAGGCATCGTCGTACTCAAAATGAATCGCCGCATCGGAAATCGTGATTTCAAGGGGCTCTTGTCCCAGCTGAACCTGCATGACGTGCACCAGCTCACCATTACGGAGCGCTGTTCGGAGTCCTCCCTGCCATACCAAGGGGAGGAAGGAGGCACATCACCCGTGTTGTTTGCTCTTTCAGAGTTGCCCCAGGTTGAGACCCTGGAATTGGTTGGTTATGGGTTGTTGATGGCCGTCGCCAAATTTCTTTCTCCACGAACTCTGGATGCGCCAAGTGGAACACGGGATGCATCCTTCCCATCGCTGAGACGATTGAAGCTCAGGAGGCAATTCTACGACAGCGATGCGTACGATGAAGGACGGCTGTTCGCGGAGACCGTAGAGAGCTTGGTGAAGCGGCAGGTAGAGGGCCTCGCGGAGCTGGTGGAGTTGATCGTTCCAGGGTATCGGGTTTTGGAGGAGAAATTGCGCGATTTGGAGAGTTTGAGGCGCCCAGAGGTTCAACTAGAGCTGAAAACGTAGATGGGACGAGGATACTGATCACGTTTCTCACTTCTTTGTCTTGTGGTCCGTAACATGCTAGCTAACTCTCCTGGATATTCGATCTGACTTTTAATCTTGTAAGACTAGAGCTAGCGACCTTTCAGTTCCCTTTTCTTACGCTCAGGTTGCAGACTTATTACTTCACCTGGTTTTACGATAGAGATGATAAATACTGTGCCTCGTATGGTCCGTTCCTTCGACACATACGACTATCGACAAACTCTGAAATTCATGCCTTCAATAATGAGACTATGCTCCAATTCGTCGGATCGACTTTATTAACCTATCATAGCTCTCACATCTGAGTGCTCTCTACTTTATATCCTGCCGTACCATTAGCCTCTGATGCTTTCGATCCACTCCAGCAACTTATTGTTCAAATCCTCCCTGCTCTTGTTAATCGGCAACCAATGATCAGACTCTGGGAAATCCTTGATGGTCAGTCCTCCTTTCGCGTACTTCTGCAGCGCTGGTAAGTAGAGCGAGGGGACGCATATAAAGTCTTTCTGGGCCGCGCCGTAGAAGACGGGAACGTTGATCGTGTAAGCCGACTTCGGGATGACTGTAGGGTAGCGGTTGTTTGTTTTATTTTTGCAGATCAGTGTCATCGTCATCGCAGAAAGGAGTATCGGTGGAACAGCCGTACCTTTATCCTCCTCCATGTGTAACTCAGACGTGGACCACCTGTACCAGAGCAGCGGAGCCTCCAACCCGCCCACGAGCAGGGCTTCCTTGGAGTATTTCAGATCCTGTGAGGATGACAGTTGGTAAGGCTCTTCGCACATGCGAGAACGCTGAGCACATAAATGCAGGACATACCTCTTTCGTGATGTAGTCTGCTGTTCCCTTCACCGTTCCGCTCTCTACCCATTCCTGCATAGTACCTCTGGGACCCATGTGGTCGATCCAGAACTCAGGCTTCAATGGGAAGACCAGGCTCAGGAAGGAATCAAACTGTTCTCCAAGTCAAAGAGCATTTTTAGCAGCGAAGGGATGACGACAACGGCTGACAGGATTTAAGATGGATGAACGTACGTTCTTCTTGATGATCTCAGCAGTTCCTTCCTCCGAAAGCCAAAGCTGATATCCGAAGGTCTCCCTCCCTAACTCTTTCTCGACTTCCCTGGTAGAATCTTCGAACGTCGTCGTCGGAGCAGGTGGGAGATATCCTAAGGCGAGGAACCCGAAGCCAATGAAGCGCTCCGGGTAAAGGTTCGCAATGCGAGAAACGACACGGGAGCCCCTGTCCATACCACACCACGCCACGCAAGATTGTTAGAACATATTATGTCTCGTCAAAGAGCAGAAATAAGATGTACCAGTCGTGTCCAACAGCAATGGCCCTGTTCCCTTCTACGCCGACCTTCTCTTTGTCCAGGATATCGATAATGTCCCTCGCCAAACCAGTGCTCCCATATGATCCCGTGTCAGTCGGCTTGTCTGTTCCTCCATAGCCTAGCATATCAGGGGCAATGACATCGTATCCTCGAGCTTCGAAGAAAGCAACCTGGTGACGCCAGCTCTTGGATGTGGATGGAAAGCCGTGCAAAAACACGAGGGTCGGCTTGGACCCTTCGCCATGAGAGGCAGAGCGGTAGTACGCGTAGATGAAGCCGCGAGAGGTTGTGTGGGTTTTGTACGACACAGTGTTCATGGTTAGAGATGTGCTGGCACAAGTGATGTGGTACTGTAGATGAGTTCAAAAGATGGTGGATGGTTCTCCAGATGCAGCTCACAGTATTTATACTTGGAGACCGTCCCCGTTGCCTCGTACGTAGACTGGATTCACTTCAACAGAGGGCGCTTCGGCGATAATGTTAAACGCTAAGGACCCGCAGACAAGTGACTCCATGGGGAATGGAGAATATCCGTGTTCTACTGAGCTCTACTGGATTGAATCGATTTTGTCATTGAAGCGGAGCACAATGACCGTAGTTGGATTGTGAACGCGTAAGGGATGGCCCGATTTGGACTGTGAACACAAATGCCCGAAGATGACAGAGCAGCAACCAAAGATGTCTGATGTTTCAGTCCACTCGAGAATCGTTTCAGCGTTCGATTCTTAGTAAGATCTTTCTTACTATGCATGCCGACTCGGAGTGACGAAAACAAAGGGCAGTATCACTCGTACCACTTGAATCGCAAAAATGGCGATGACTTCCATCTCGAAAACGTAACATGGGTAGCAATTGTCATCGAGCACTCACTGTGTCACCCCAACACATCCCTCGTATATTCCCGTGACGTTCGTTCTCTGCACATATACCGTATCCTAGAAGAGCTTACGACTGAATCAGAGGCCCTCAATCCACTCCAACAACGCCACATCCAACTTATCCCTCTGATCATTGAATGTCATCCAATGATCGGAGCCCTCGAAGTGCTTGATCGTCACTCCACCCTTGGCGTACGCTTTGAGTGGTGGCTCGTATAACGAACCGACACATGTGGTGTCGAGTTGGCCGGAGCCGTAGAAGACGGGAACGTTGATTGTGTAGGATGATTCCGGGATGACTAGAGTCGACAGTGGTTGGGAGTCAGATAACGGTAGGTAGAAGAGCAGAGATCAGAGTAATTAAGAAGACATACGTTTGTCCTCCTCGACGCGCAGATCGCTAACGAAGAACTTGTACCAGCAGAGTGTAGCTTCCACATTAGTGTTCATCCTTGCTTTCAGCCAATTTTTCTTGGCCTGAACAACCAGTCGTCAATACATCGAATCGCACCAAGACCACTGGGACGCTGAAGAACTGCCAGGATGAAGGAGCGAATGAATGGCCTAGCACGTACCTCACCCCGAGCGTACTCCATCAACTCCTCCTCAGGCAACACCCTGCCGCTCTCAACCCACTTTGCCATCGCGCCAAGAGGATTGACGTGCTCAAGCCAGATGCTCGGATCTTTGGGGAACGAAAGACTGTATCCCGAGTCAAACTAAGCGTATTGTCATGGTAAGTATATCTCCATCATCCATCAAGCATAGAAGCATTCGAGTATTAAGTATACTTACATTCTGTTTGAGCACATCCGCCGTCCCATCTGCGGCAAACCACGGCATATAGCCAAACGTTTCCCTTCCCAACGCCGCCTTGATCTGTCTTGACATATCCTCAAACGACATTTCGGGAGCGGGTGGGAGATATCCAAGTGCGAGGAATCCGAAACCGACGAAGCGGTCTGGGTAGAGGTTTGCGAGGCGTGAGACGACACGGGAGCCCCTATTACACACCACAATCAATGCATCCGTCGCATCACTATACTGCCACTATTGGGCAAGAAGAAACCAGGAGAAACTATGCACCAATCGTGCCCAATGACAACCGCCTTCTGCACTCCCTCTTTATCCATGATATCGACCACGTCCTTCGCCAGTCCATTCCCACAATACAACTCCTTTTCGACGGAAGTACTCGACCCCCCATAGCCTAACATGTCCGGTACAATCAAATTGTAGCCTTTTGACTCGAAGAAGGATACTTGGTAACGCCAGTCGTTTGAGAGGCAGGGGTAGCCATGGAGGAGGATGAGGGTCAGTTTCGATTTGGGACCGTTGTCGGAGGGAGGTGTGCGGTAGTAAGAGTATGTGAGGTTGCGAGATGTGACGTGGGTCTTGTAGTTTGCGCGATCCATCTTGTGAAGGATGTCAGTGGGGGATGCAGTCGAGGTTGGTGGTGTATATATAACTGATACCTATGATAGTGAGAAAGCGGACACCGAGGTCGGTTGGAGCAATGGATGAAAGGCGGTACATACGTATATCTTGAACCGCGTAACACATTACGTGTCACATGTAGAGAAGCCACTTGTTGTGAGATCGCTGTGTACTGCTCATGTCTAGAAATAGAATAAGCATTGAATGCTTACTTAGGACTGGCAGACAATAACGTGCAAAGTTTGCTTCTTTCACCGCTCGAAGAAATCGTGCTATTTCCCGGAGACAGTCTGTCGACGTCGCTCACCGTTACACAGAATATTCTTGATATAGTTCTGACCCTATGGTGTTAGTGTACGCTATCGATGCTGTAGGTCACTGAGAAGCAGCGAGAACTCAGATCTTCTGACTGAGAGGTGCGGTGACACAGCGGCTTCAAGATGAATCACATCGTGTATGAGAAGAAAGAAAACGTACAGAGCACCCTCGGAAGTGAGAGAATAAACAAGATTTCCATGCACCGCGCGTCCTGGAAAAACTCGCCGTCGAGTCAGAGTCAATTTCCGTTGTTCATCGCACATGCGAAAAGATCAGTTAGCTAGACGCCACCGCCACGCCGAGGGCTCGCACGTTCATGCGGAGTTCAATAGAGGGGGGTCGGTCAAGCCACTGGGCAAGTGATCTAGATTATGAGAGCATTAATGTAGAATAATATACGTACGAGGACCTCAGAAGGTCATTTTGACGATACACCCTGTCGCATCTCGATGGTGGCCATCTATGAGCGCAACATCTCCTCATGCCTTCACCTTCACCGCCTTCGGAATCCTCCCGAATGCCAAACCCTCGACGCCAACCCACTCTCTCCCAATCGTCATCTCACCACGTACCTCCTCATCACTCATCTGCCCCAACCTCCTCACCTCCCTCCTGACATACTCGACCACCCTCGCCATCGTCTCCGGATACTTCAAATACAGATCCGCCTGATGAGGTGCGAAATCGTGCACGCCAGAGCCGTCGTCTTTCGATTCGAGCTCGCGAAGCTTTGCGGGCGAGAGTTTGGAGTAACCTTCGATCTCGGCAGTTGGGTTTATGGAGCGTTTGAAGTGTGTTTGCTGCCCATCAACGACGGAGGATGGGGATGAGGAAGACGGATAAGCGATCCCCTGCGCCCCACGCGCACCGAGCAGGTTACGCCATACTGCCGCTGCGAGCTCTTCGTCCCCCTTCACGAGCGCCAGATCGAACGCGAGACCAAGACCGGCCCATTGTTCCCTGAAGATTTTCATCTGTTTCGTTACTAGAGCTTCAGGCGCTTTTCCTTTCTTCTTTGGTGCCGTCGACGAATTAGACTTTTCGGCGTAGAAACTGTCTTGCTTGCTGGCGGGTTGTGTTTCTTGTGATGATGAGGTCGAGTCAGAGGAGGAAGAGAAGGAAGGGGAGGACACGGCACGAGGGGTGGCAGGCTGGAGGACTTCTCGAATTCGGTCTTCGACGTCTAGGAAGAAATGGTCGATTAGGCCTTGAACGAGGTGCTGGGCTTCGGGGGCGGGTAGGGCGCGCAAACGAGTGGTGAGGATCCAAATGTGGAGGTTCGTTATTGTAAACCAGGATTGGAAGGTTGGTGGTAGGTGACATTCTGTGAGTTGTGAAGTGGGTGGTGGGAGGAGGAAGCGAAGGTGGTGAAAGAAAGTCTGGGTCAGTTTTGTTGTACGGGAAATAGAGTGATGATGCAGGAATTATCAAAGTGATTCGCGAAGAGTGAGAAACAGTGTGAGGGGTCAGCAGGCTGGCATCAAATAGATAGACATTTAAAGACGGAGGTTGAGCAGATCCAGAGATTTGGCGCTGTTCGTAGCGGTCAATTGTGGCGCGCCACCTGACTCGCTCTACGTCCAAACTTATGTTAACGTCTTCATCCGCATTCCTGCAAGACAGCATGGTAAACCAATCGTTTATTCGTATCCATGAAACGTCTACGCGCACTGCATGCAGCAGAGAGTTGTATGGCGTATTCGTGTTAACTTCTTGCAATATGCCAAGCCAAGATTTGCTTCGACATACTCGACATGATCCACAAAGGATGAAGTAGGAGCTCACGCATGTACAAGGTGTCGCATGCACAGTATCTTGGATCTAGGGACGAAGTAACCCAGGAATAGGGGCCGCTTATAACTCTCCGCAAGCTCTACCTCGCATGCGTGCACTTGCAAAATCGTCCACCCGAATTCCTCAAGACAAGATAGAACTCACCATCTCTCCAAAACTCCATCTCTTCCTCCGCCTTACCACTACAATGTTGATCGTAAATGTTCAACGCCCTCCTGGCCGCAATCTGTTTCACACTTCCATATCCAAACACACTCATCATGTTCAGGAATAGCTTCATCGCGAGTGGGTTCTTCCTCAGTTGGACCGTAAGCCATGTCGGTGGTGGCGGTGGTGGTTTTTCATGATGATAAGGTTTTGCTGGGCCCGTCGGTGTGGCGAGTGTTCGTCGATGCTGAAGAGCAGTTTTGAGAGTCGGTACGGAGGTCGAAGCACTAGAGCTTGCGACTATGAAGGCTCGTGAATGAGAGGATAACGCTCGCGACGTCCGTGCAATGAGCGACATTTTCGACGACGGAGATGATGGTGGTAAGAAAGAAACCACAGATTTAGCAAAGAGGATGAGGATGAGGACGTTTTGCTCGCCGTCCAACCGCAATTGACGCGTTTCGGCGCGCGTCGAGCATATTTGCTCCGATCCTCGCCGGAGCCGGGACTCGGCATCGGCCCGCCAGAAGACGCCACACATGCTCGCCACACACGCGTCTTTCCAATTCGTTTGTTGCCCATCACCGCGTTCGACATTGTTCTCACCAGCGGTACAGCTCCTTGCTATCGACACCCACGTCTACTAATACCGCTATATTCAAAAGAACCGAAAATGCCTAGGAAAGAGAACGCTAGTGCTCCCGCAAATGCTCAGGCTCAACAGGACCTTGTCTCTGAAGGCATCGAGAACTACGAGCTTCCTCGCGCGCTCGTCACCAGGATCGCCAAATCTGCTGTGCGCATCTCTTATATTCATCATATCTATCTAGCTCCATATCTTATACGCGTCGGGAATGTGATTCCTGCGTGGATGACGCGTCGAAAACGCGATCACTGATATTTATTTGGTTGCCCATAGCTGCCTGAGAATGTGAAGATGCAGAAGGATACTGTCCTTTCGCTCGTCAAAGGCTCGACCGTATTCATCAATTACCTCGGTTCGTCTGTGTTTGCCAGCCGACTTCATGCCTAATCATACTCATGTCTCGTTAATTGTTGACAGCTGCTACGTGCGTTCTTTCCCTGCTGTGCACATCAATATGTACTCATGTATAATCATAGCGCACACGAAATATCCCAAAACAAACAACACAAATCCATCTCCGCCTCCGACGTCCTCAAAGCCCTCGAAGTCGTCGAATTCGGAGACCTCGTTCCGCGCCTCCAAATCGAACTCACCGGTAAACATAGACTTCCCGCCTCCGATCCGATGATCTGTCCTGTCTCATACACGCACTGACTGATTAATTTCCGCCACAGCCTATCGTGAAGACATAAAACAGAAACGTCTTCTGGCCCAGCAACGGGCCCAGCAGCAACAACCCCACGGCCAGCCCCACCCCCATTCTACCTCCGCACCCGCCCCAGGACCTTCACACCCTAACGCCAAACCACGAGCGAAGCCGTACAAGCCGTACCCTGATGCGATCCCGATACCCGCTCCTCCTAGACAACATGATCAAGTCGTTGGCCCAGGTGCGGCAGCTCAGGCTCAGGCAGGGAATGGAAAGGGAAAGGAGCGAGCGATTCCGGTATCTGCACCTGTTCATACGCAGCAACTCGAAGGACCGGGTTCCGCATCTGCTATGACGGATATGAGCGAAGTGGCAGGGCGGTATGGCGCTGAGAGGGCAGACGAGGGGATGAATGATGATGAGGAGGACGAAGGCGAAGCGGAAGACGAGGAGCAGGATGAGGGTGGGGAGGACGAGGAAGACGAGGGAGATGAGGAGGGAGGCGAACCTGAGGCGGAGGACGATGATGAACGAGTGTTTGATGTTGATGAGGCGGATGGAGGAGTGGCTCACTCGTTTGGTGGGCGAGGAGCCGGAATGGGCCACGATTCGATGGACGTTGACGAGGACGAGGACTGAAATTTGGTCTCATTGCATTATTTGGAGTTGATGGAAGTAGAGCTGCGGATGCAGAAAGAGCGAGGAAGTTGTATAACGGCCTTCATCGGCTTTGACTTCTCGTTTGTTTGTTCAATTCTGTCATTTTGTTTTTGCTGTATGTTCAGCTTTGTTTGGTCATGCAGATCTTCTTTTCCATCGGGACCTTTACGACCGTACGCATAATTGTGCGTTAATTCGAGCCAACTCCGAGCGTATGTAGGAAGATCCCAGGAAAACATCAGTATGTCTCCATTTGTTGCTTCATATCTTCGCGTTCCAGCCCATGTCGTTTGTGGTCCGCACCAAGCCCTCTCGCGTGCGAGTGCTCATCTCCGCTGTTCTCGCATCCAATAATGCACCTCGATCGAGCATGGGTCCTCCGCAATCTCTCGAATCGAGGTAGCTTCTTGCTGCTAAGGCTTTGGACGCATTCTTCAAGGTGCTCTGACCTCGAGACACTTCCTGTCCACCGACTATATATGCAGGCGTCGTACAGTACCCTCGTCAGACGCGGATTTTAATGGAGTGAGTCAGTGAAATAGAGATTAACTCACTGTGCAAGTGAGCGGTATGGGTCGGTGCATTCGCGGGACCCTGTCAGTGAGTGAACCTCCAATTTGCCTCAAGTCCGTTTGACCGGCCCGGGAGATAGGCGTTGAGCTCTATCGTAGAGTCTGCGTTGCACATCGTTTTGAACTCGGTCTACCGGATGAGTGCAGAGTCTGCCATCGGTAAAGACGTCCTCTTTGGAGCTGCTTCAGACACGACTTACCAAACCGTCTGGTTGTGAAATATTTTTGTCTCTCGCAAGTGCTAAAGGGTGGGGAAGGACTGAGTCTCGATAGAGCGTCGAGCACTCTTGGATCAAGGACCACGTATCTATATACATTCGAACCCTAGGACGGAGCTATATTGCGAAACAGGCCATGCCGAATCAATGTGCAGCTGGCGTCAAATCGTCCTAGCAAAAGAGGCCTGATGATCGCGGCATACGAGGAACCACGAGGAGATGAGGGTCCTCGAGAGTCGGTATGTTCCAGTATGGATCAGATGAATACACGGCATAGGACTGGAGGCTATGGCTCATATTCAACAGAGAATCGCCAGTTCCGTTCGCACCTCTGTGATGCGATGCTTCCAGGTAGACTACCTACTGGGCGGTGTGAGAGTTTGGTTGACCTAGTTGGGGCCCAAATCATCGTGACCCTCCATCAAAACGCTGAAGCTCTGGAGCTAGTATTCCTGTCTGCGCCTCGTCCAGTCATAAGTATCCGATACGATTTCAAAGTACGCCAACCAATGATACAACCTCTAAACCGGCTTTGATTACGGGGGACGATCATATGTAGTCTTCGTGGAGGGAGGTGTATCTGCTCTCAACTCCACGGTCGGACAACGGTGGTCTCTAGATGGTGACCACTGAGGCTTGAGGAGGACCTAAAGCGAGCACTTTCATGCTCAGGCTTGGATTGATCCTAATATCTAGCTCCATTAAGTTCCTCGTCCTGACCGTGCGAGACACAAGGTACGAACAGAGAAAACGTTCTACAAGGGATCGGCGAAATATGTTCATCATTTTCCATTTACAGACTCAGGGTTTCTGCTCAGAACAGATGCAACTGATCTTTTGTAGGCCCAAGTATATATCTATGCCAGTTAATCAGAACGGCCCAGGATCCGGGGATATGAAGACAGCACATGTCGTTTGCCCACTGCAGGGTGAGTCCCTTGCAATCCTTGAGACTCGCCTTCACCACGTTTTGACGCCACAAGTTCATATGTGGACAAAAATACATGAAACCTCGATGGGCCATGATGGCGCAAGGTATTTAGCTCGTAGAGTCAACGTGGTGCCGCCACAGTATCTCTAGGTGTATATACTAAAGGTGAAGCCGTATGCAAGGGGCAATTCTTGCGAAGTCCCCGCTAGCTTGCCAAGTTCAATCACGAATCCTCATTCCGACCGCATACTAGCAAACACTCCAAATCGTGCTCTGCGGATCAAGAACACCAATGACGAATATACGCATTGAGTCTTCAGTGAGCTGACAACGCCTTCACTTTGCGATAATTGACCAACGCCGTTTACCCTCAATATGTCTTACAGCGACACTGCCCAGACTTTCGCTCCCTCCCACACGAGAACGACCTCGATGAAGAATATTACGCAATGGATGAGTCCTCCGGTACTTTTCGACCCAGTTTTCACTGGGCCTTCCTCGGAGAGATAACCCACGACACTTCCTTATTTATCGGGGACCGCCCGCGTTACCTCGTCAAGGACAAAGTGGGAAACAGGCATCCTATCCACTTTCACCTTGATTCTCTTGATGATATGTTTTTTGATATGAACGAGCGCAAGGACTATAAGGTCGGGAGGACTATTTGTGTGTATTATGCGAATCAACATAATTTCGTCGATGGGACTATTGGCTTGAGGATTGAATCTACAGAGAGCGTCAAGGTCAGTCTCAATCATACCTATAGTCTTCGCCTACCATATTCTAATTTGGTCTTCATTCTTTCCTTTACATCGAAGATCATCCGTTGCTCTCTAGAGGCGCTCATAGAAGTCAACGTCTCCGAACTTGATCAGGCAGTCAATTGCGAGGCATGCGGGAAGGAAGGCGGCGGCACACTGTCGAAGTGTTCAAGATGCGGGGTGAAGTACTGCGACAAGGTATGCATCTCTCACATCGTGCATCCTGTATTTTTTTCTTAGTTCCTGGCGACGTGCTGAAATATATGTGTGCAGGGCTGTCAGGCAAAAGACTGGAGGAGCGGGCATAAAACGAGATGCACTGCCGTTTGTCAGGTCAGAGAGTGGGAGAGGAAGGACTGGGCTACGTTTCGTAGCTTCTGGTGAGCATATCTAAAGTACGTTATACCCTGTCTCAACTGTATAACACAAAGAGAATAATTTTGAAATGTGATTATTTGAAAGGTGAATGGACAAGCACAATTTTGCGAGGCCATAGGTGGAGGACACTGATCATGTATGTGCGGTGAAGGAGCTGAGCAGTGAGATGAATTGGGATATAGTAGGCAGTTGTAGCTTCATCCAAATATGATGAGGTGCAAAGACTCAGACAGAAAAGTGTGGGGCAAGTGGGACGGAGCAGATGTGACAATGTTGTGATTGGAGTTTCTCTGTCCAAGTCCTAGCACGCCTAAGGATGTTGTTCACCGAGGTATCCACTGGCATAAAGAGCGCTAAATGAAACAGAAACGACGGCGTTGTATACAGTGTGTGTTCATTCCGCCAGGGAGAACCGTATAGCTTGCTAGATACGAACATAAATGAAGTTAACAGCCAAAAGTTAACAGCCAAAGTCATTCGTTATCCACGCGAAACGTATGGGGGTCACCTTCACTAAACCCTTCCACCACCGCGACCTCTTTTATGATCACCACGGTGGTACTTCGTCGCACCTCCTCGACGAACGCCTTCTCCTCCTCTACCACGTCCACGGAAACCATCAACGCCAAACGAAGCTTCTTGAGCCACCGTCTCCAACCATTCCGGAATATACTGTTTTGCCTCTCTCAATAGCTCGACCATGTCCCGGACGTTGTTCTCATTACCACGGTTCAAGAACGCACTGGAAAAACCAGTGTTACCATCACGATCCGTACGACCAACACGGTGGACGTATTCATCAATATCGCCTGGAAGATCGTAGTGTATGACGTGCATGACGTTGGGGATATGGAGACCACGAGCGGCCACAGCAGGCGACCATGATGGTAGTGTGCCCTCGGCGGAAAGCGTTGAGCGCTTCTTCACGTTCGCGTCTGGTGTGATTGCCGTGGATGGAGGTAGCAGCGAAGCTGTTGGCGAGCAGGAACTCGGTCAACATGTCGACCACTGGGGTCCGTCAGGCTCCCGCTCTCGACCCACGCCGCGACAGCCCCTATTGCACTAAATTTACACAAAGCATACGACGAAACGAGGCCCACGATATCCACTATATCACTAGCAAGACCCATGCCCGCATACATCGCTGAATTGATCGGCTTGTCTGTCCCATCGTATCCCGGCATGTCCGAGTCAATGCAGACATATCCTTCAGCTTCAAACTTGAAGGCGGATTGGTGGTGTCGATCGTGATGAAGAGAATCAATGGAAGAGAACTATCGATCCTGTGTTGAAAGAAGAGGCTTAAACAAGTAGAACATCGGGAGCTGTCGGGAGCTGTCTCTTGTAGGAAGCAGGGCACAGATATGGGTCGAAGTCCTTTAACCAGGCATGATAGTGGAGATACTGTGCGAGAGACAAGACATTCCTCGTGCCTCATATGGCTGACTGCGTGCGCGTCTTTTGGAGTGAAAGTGGCCCAATATCAGATGGCTATACGAGAGGACAACGACAGCAAGTCGAAAGCAAAGTGAAGACTTTCAGAGCCCGAAGAGTGATGTATAACTGATCGTTGACTTGACGATTCGTGCCCAGAGGCCTATGAGAAATGGGTCAGCCGCGGTGTCATGAAGGTGGTTAGAAACGGGACAATGTGAAGTTCTGCACAAACGTTCAAGTTCATGAAAAATGCCTACAAAAATACGTGTGCTTTTCTGTCATTTCCTCCTGAAACAGATTCTCTGCGCAATCCTGTGGCGCGTGTTCTAACCCAATTTGGGACTTGCATAATCATCAGGTTCCTCCACGCCACAGTCTTACATCCATCGTATCGAGAACCAGTACTTTCTATATCCTCACTCAAACGCTAGCCTCTGTAACCAGAACATTCTTATAGCATCGAAAGCACAATGTCTACAGTCACACCCACAACTTACGCGCAGAACGAACGCGTTCTCTGCTACCATGGTCCACTCATGTACGAGGCCAAAGTCCTCAAGGCAGAGGTCCTCGAGACCGGCAACGCGAAGACGGGGAGCGGGGGCATCCATTATTTTGTGCATTATAAGGGTTGGAAGCAGACGTGCGTCTTCTTTGTCTCTCATATAAGCAATTCGAACGCTGACTCTGTTTCTCGTGTTTGTGGCTCTCCTTGAACAGCTGGGATGAATGGGTCCCACCTACCCGTCTCCTTAAGTATAACGAACAAAACATCCAACTTCAAAAGCAGCTGACTCAAGCCCAAAATGCGGCTTCTGCTTCGTCCTCGGCCGCAAACCACAAATCTTCAGCTTCGGCCTCAGCTTCAGCGCGTCCAGGTGGCAGCAGTCGCCGGAAGGACGGCGCTGGTGGAGCTGGAGCTGGTGGAGGCGGGCACGGAGGAGGTAGGGGCACGAAGAGAGGGAGGGAGGATGAAGATGCTGGAAAGAGGCCAGAGTTGAAGTTGGCGGTGCCGGAGGCGTTGAAAGTTATGCTTGTGGACGACTGGGAAGCAGTCACGAAGAACATGCAGGTAAGTGCCTTGTGCACCTCGATATTGTTGCGGATGCCTGGATGGTAGACTGACGGTGGATCTGGCCTCTTGTAGCTTGTGACTCTGCCACGATCACCGACGGTACACGAACTTCTGCAAGAATTTCAAGCACATGTTTTTGCGAACCCATCACCAAAGTGCGTGTTGCCCCCTTTCGTCTATCATTTTCTCCTGTGCTGACACGAGTTAACGCTTTTTGAATATGTCCTTGGTCCCACCGTCTGCCACCGTCGACCCCTTCATCGTTGACCAGTCTTCGCGACCCAAAAATTGTTCTCCCCACCATTCTTGCAGGCCTTCAAGTGTACTTCGATCGCGCCGTGGGCGCCAACCTTCTCTACCGTTTTGAACGTGCCCAGTATGCTGAGATTCGAAGACGATATGTGACTGGCCCGACAGTGCAGGTGGGGCAGGAGAAGGAGATGAGCCATGTATATGGAGCAGAGCATCTACTGAGGATGATAGGTGTGTTTCTGGTATTCCAAGAGCAAAATCGTTGCCACACGGTGCTGAAACGTCCGGTGTTCAGTGAGTTTGCCATCGATGATAGCGTTGACGACTATGGATCCGGAGAGCATCGGTTACGTGAGGGATTATGTCGGGGAACTTATGACGTGAGCCTCCTTGATTTTGTCTTTCTCTCGTCGTCCTTTCCTCGTCATGAACATTTAGATATATCCATTACTGACACGCTCTCACTTGTTGCGTTACATGAGAATAGCTGGATGCTTCAAGAGCGACACCGGATATTTCAGCAGGAGTACGAGTCCGCTTCGTTGCAATACCAGAGCGTCTCGCGCAGCTGAACAAGTTGTCATCGCGTCATTTTGCTATCTTGGTGCTATAACGTCGTTGTGCTTCCTTTCTTGACCTAGGCTTCTGTGGTAGCGTCCTGTTTGCGTCTGTCGAAATTCTACGCTATAATTATGATCCTTTTCTCGCCATTATTCCCGGGCTTCCATTCGTCGTACTCGTCACGACACCAACGGTTTCACGGATTTCGGGTCGGTGGGCTCGATGGTGTGCAGTGAGTACCGCACAATGCTAGGATAAACTTGATTGTGTAAGTCAACTTCGATTGAGCTGTTGGTACTGGCGAATATTTGGGGCGTTTCCATATCATTTTTGGCGGAGATGCCAAAGTTGTAAAACTACAAATGCCCTATTGCACGATTTCGCTAGTCTAGTATGTTTTCCGATGTCTCTGGCGTACATACCAAGGCTACTCTTATAACACCTGTGCTGGCCAACTGTGTGTTTGCTGAGGATAGAGTGCGACATGACTTACCGCCACAGACCGGCGCCAACTCTTCGGCTCAGACACCGGCCACTTTGCATTTCCCACGCCACCTGTGACACGCCTGCTGCTTAAAAGTCAACCAACACCCTTGGCTCACTCTCATCTTTCGACTTCCATCAAGTCGTTCGACTTCTTATCATAGTCTCTCACAGCAACAGTCGCCTCCCTGGGCAGTATATCTACCTTCACCCGCTTCCCTCACATCTGAATGGCTGCAAACGATCCCGAGTGGCAGGACGACACTGCCTATGGCGAATTGAAGCTCTCGGCAGAATTTTGGAGACCCCGCTTCCAGAGCATACAAGATGTGGGCGAGTCGACGAGCGCATCCCTCGACATCCAGGCGGCAGCTGTAAACTCGCTCAGAACAGTCATGGCCGACACCACTTCCGCACTGTTTTTCATAAGGCCTCAACAAGAACAGGAGCGGGTGGTGATTGCCTGGGTTGACGCCGAGATTCTGGAGATGTTGGAGGCGCATGAGAGCATGTTGTGGCGCGTAGGCAACAAGTGGGCAAAGCCTATCGATACTTTAAGCAAGTGACAGTCCGACTCAATCAACGGAAGCGGTAGTGTTCTAAACTGACTATTCCACCACCATCAGTGGAGCTTTCGATAGCATTTAGGACTATACACGACGCACTCAAAGCGACTAGAACCCCGACACTTCTTGAGGCGCTCTACCCTCACCTTCCTCGTCCTCGTCTTCTTCGCTCTCTTCTTGACCGCGATCTAGTCAGGATGAAACAGTTTCCCCCGCCTCCCGGCAAAGTCATTACCCTGCAGCGTTGCTATGGCGAGGTTCTCGATCACCGCCACAATATGCACTGGCCATACGTTGTTATGTTCGTACTGAATAGTAAACGGTACGAAAGGCCCGAATGTGGGAGGAGAGGGTGTACCGCGCGCTGGGTATCGCAGTGTAGTGCGTGTAAGAAAGTGAAGTATTGCACGGCCCAGTGTCAGAAGGTGTACGTTATCTTATTTTATCCGCCTTGTACGCCGTTGACATTTCTGTTGAACTTGCAGAGATTGGGCGGAACATAAGCACGTTTGCGGGCTGCGTATGTGGCTTGACAATCGTGAGTTAGGATTGCCAGAAGAAGAGTGGCCTCTTCCAGAGGCGCGCTGTGGAGTTATTCGTCTCATGTTTCCAGGAAAGACTGCATCCTATGGATACTGGCGAGTAGTATCTATTTAGAGAGTCGTTACTGATGCCCTGTTCGTGCCAGAAGAGACGACACAGATTGAATCACACGGTCTTCAAGAAGTTGAAGCAGAGATTACATAGTTGTATATAAAATAAATTTGTCTGCACACATTTACCTTGATCGCTCGACGCGCCTCAGCTCCGAGTCTGAGCGAGAGTTCTTATATCTGTCGAGTTCTTTCTTGTGAACCAACCTCAAGATCATCTCGACCGCTATCTACAGTGATGGACCGGTCCTTTGGGCAGAGAAATGCGACGACCTTGCTTCATCGCACAGTTGCATTTTCGCGTTTTTTCTTCTAATTCATATTGTTATAAATGTGTATAAGACTGCATTTACTTAGTGAGACAAAGGATAACGATGACATTCTCAATCTGCAGAGGGGAAAAGGGGGTGCCCAAAGGACCGGTGTTTGCCGAAAACTGAGAACGCCAAAAACAACACCTTTGCGAGGACTCGTTCACATACGCCACGAGCCTTTCATTGCAGAAATAAAAGATGTATCCACCACTTTCGATGCTAACGTATTTCATTCTGAATTTTAGTTTATTTTACTCTGACGAATCAGATACCAACTCGTGAGCAACATTGCCCAAAGGAACAGTGGTGCCCAAAGGAGTGGATCACTGTAATCTTTTCCGATCCGCCTAACGCCGGACGTGACACGCGTCCAACGTCGGTTTTGAATTTCCCAGTACCGAAAGACTCACCATCGACTTGCTGTTGGTGTTCAGCTGCAGTACATCCTAAAAAATCCCGAGTAATCTTACCTTGCTCTCCTTCGTCCGTAGACTTCATGTCTGCAAGCCTTCCTGTGGAGCTTCTCACAGTGATAATCTCACTATGCGCAAAGTCTGATTTCCCTGCTCTCTGTCTCGCGTCCAAGACCTTTCACGATATCACTGAGCCTCTACTTTATCACGATGTCTGTATCTCATGCCGAGACGTCGAGACGGATACCGAAGCGAGGAACATGTTTGACCGTATCGTTGGCTTATTCGAAGGACTGAGGAACAACGGATATAGAGCGGCTATGGTGAAGAGGCTGGAAGTAATGGAATTGTAGTGCGTGTGCTCAATCTGCATCCTTCATGTGTACTGAGATGTTTATCACATCCTGTTCACAGTGATCACCGTGACGTGTCTGAAGCCCATCAAATACCAGGCTTTACCCCAGTACTGCATACACACGGAAACTCAGAACCCTTCATATCGCATGTCTACCACCGACTTGGCATGCTATCCATGGGCATCGCGGCCGTCCTATCCGTCCTACCTGAACTCTCTACACTCCATATTAAAAGTCACGAAACACGAAGAGGCTTTCCAGCAGTCAATCTTCTGGGACTTGTCTCATGCCCTGCACTTCGCCAATTCTATTTAAACGTACCCGACGACGATTCACCGGACCGAGCCACGCTGGCTTACTTCTTCCAACGTCATTCGCAGCTGAAGAACGTCAAGCTCCTCATCCTGCTCCAAACGCAACTCGTGCTGGAGGTCGACGGGCCTTTAGATTTGCCCAATTTGGAGCAGGCGGAAGCTCCGATGGCATTCTTCTCTAGTTTAGCGAAGACTACGCCTTTGCAACATGCTTTAGTCGTTCTTGGGGATCCGAGGAGGGATCGGCTTCTCTACCAAGACTCATATGGCCAAGAAGTGATCGAGAGAGTCATGTTGAGGCTAGCCCTCAACAGATTCGAGTCCCTTTCGTCCCTGACAGGCTTGACGATCACACAAACGACGACCTTCAGGTCACTACACATCATTGCCAATTATCTCCCCCATCTTGAAGAACTCGAGATCAGATTCCCAACCGCACCGAATCAGCCAATATCACGAGTGAGTGAGCCTTATACTGTGCACTGCTAGCTGTTGACTCACATCTCTTTGTTTTAGCTTGATTTGTACCCGCAGCAAACCATCAGTACGTTTGCGCAGGAGTTTTCGCGGTTCGATCGCCTACGTGGTATTGCGTTCGTCTGGATCGTAGGCCCTCGTGGAGAAACAGATAAGATTGTCGAGGATGATGACCACGATTTCAGCGCAGTGGTTAGCTGGGGTTCTGCATGTCCGACACTTTCTCGTTGTGAACTATGTGAGCGGCCTCAGTTTTCTGTCGTATACCATCTGTGACTGATCCTTTTCGTGATGTTTCTTCAAGACGGAACTGTTTGGGAGAGGCCACACCGGCATGGTGAATGGAGGCATGTACAACCGTGAAGACGACGCCCGTCTTGCGCGGAAGTGTGATCAACTTTCGCGTCGATATCGTCTTACCGGCTGCATCGTCTTCGTTCGTAGTCTGGGACTTTGCTACTTGTCCTGCCTCCTCAATTGTTCCATTCAAATGCTTATTCATCATTTCGAGTTCGCCAGTTGTAGCAGCGCCCGTGTACAAATATCAAGACGTTACTTGTCAGCCTTTTATATCGATCCTTGTCCTCTCTGCTGTACCCCGTCTCAAATATACCGCGCAATTCTCATGAAGGAGTAGACTAAGTCTTGTTTACATATATTCATAAAAATAATATGTACAATGCAAAGCTGTCGATCGAATTCCATAATCATACAACAAAACTATACAATGGGTCTTGATATGCAAGCGTCTCTTCAACTGGGCACTCTCTGCCCTTCCCCTCAAACCTGTCCCCGTGTACATGAAGCACCAACGTCTCCATCAATACCGCGTGCCAGACCAAGTTGATACCTCAATCCCCTAGACAACGTGGCCAACGTGGCCATTGTGACCATTCGTTGTGAAATCTTCCTGATTCTTCGTCGACGATCGTGCACTCAGGCCGTCCTTGCGTCTCAAGAAATTGGACAAATTACCGAGAGGAAGTCGGAACGGCATATCGACGGATTCGCAGATGAGGGCGAGGGCGAGGTACCAACCACCTACGACATCCGCCTGTTGAATCAACGCGACGGTCAGTACATGGGGATGTGGCGGAGAAATGGAAAGGAGGCGAGAGAAGAAGAAATGTGCTCACAAAAGCGAAGGCTCCTCCGGTTTTCACTAAAGATGGGAAAATGTCGTGAGCGTACTGGTTCTCGTCGTTTGTGTTAAAGCGAAATTAGCTTACGGAGTCGAGTACCAAGCCTGGAATTGCCGTCACCGAAAGCTCCAAATCCAGCGGAAACTGTGTGGTGCAAGTGAGTTATCGACCCAAGGCAATGAACAACGTGTGACTTACTGAAAGCGTAATACATCCCGAGTGTAAAGAAGATATACTATCAAAATAAATATCAGGCAATGTTCTTCGACTGACTTGGATGGAAAGCGACTTACGACGTTGACCATGTGTGTCCTCACAGACCCGACCATAAAGAGGAATGAAAGGAAGGACCAGAACGCAAAGTAAAACATGACTCCGTGGTTGTATTCGAGGTTGTTACCACCATCAGCAAGTGCGGAGGCAACGCCGTGCATTGGGTCATTGAAGACACCGACGCTCAACCTATCAAATGAAAGAAGATGAGCGCCATGCGTAGAGAATAACGAGGGGCATGCAGGGGACTCACCAGAAGCCACCGTAGGTGATGAATACAACTGTAAGACGGCTTCAGCACGACAGAGCCATTGGCTAATTGAAGTACGTACCCATTGAGAACGTGTTTCCAAGAACCTAAGAGTTGAATATGTAGTCAGCAAACAAGATTTCGCCATTCTTTCCTTTCCAAAACTCACCCATTCCATCACGCCCGCAATAACCATCCCCAAACCGCCCAAGAAGTAGAAGTCCCCAATGATCGTGATCAGACTCGATGGCCCAGTTCCCGCCCACTCCATGAAGAAGCACGCCGTTGGGGTCAACACCATCAGATAACTGATAACCCCCAACACAGTCGGACTACCAAAGCGTCTGGTCACCGTGCCCTGCGTCCCCTGAGTGTTTCCACCGTAGTTTCCCCCAAGGTTTCCTCCGGCTGCTTGCCCAAGAAGGAGACGTTCATACTGTTCGGTGGAGAGATGGACAGTGCCGGTCGTGCCGGTGCGGTGCAGCAGGCTGTCGTTGAGCGTTGGGGAGGGAGCAAGGCCGTGCGTGTGGATGCCATTGACGGCGGGGTGAAGGTTATCTTGGTGAGAAATGTGACTGTGACCCTTCTCTGGTTCGCAGTTGTGAGAAGGGGTAGAGTAGGCGACGCTGTCCCGAGCTCGGATGGGTGAGGTGTCTCTGACTTCGTATCCTGAGGATGGGTTTGGAACGTTGGCCATGGATAGACGTAGATAGAGCGACTGGTAGGAGAGCAAGCAAGGCGAGTGACAGAAAGTGAAGTGATAGTATATTCTAGCTTCGAGCGGATTAAATACTACAACCAATGCACCGGAAACAGATGGCGTAGCTTCCGCTGCGAGGAAGCGTTCCAGCGGTAAGTAGTTGGAGTTCTGATTGAGAGATCCTCAGGAGCGAAAGCATAATGACTGTCGGAAGTACGCAATAAGCAAAGAATAAGTCGGAATGTAATCTCTAGCTGTCTCTGGTCCCTCGGGAGCAAGACTCGGATCAAGCTCCATTTAAGACATCCACCATGGATGCACGCCAATCGCGAAACACGGTGTCTAGCGAAGCATTTAAACGAGCCAAATGTCGGTGGTGCATGGTCGCTTCTAGCCAAATAGCAAGATAGTTGGTGTAGCACATAGTTAGCGTCACAGAGAAGTCCTCGACAAGAGCGATTTCCTTTTCGGTGACAACAATAGGAGCGACCCGAACCCTCCCGCATTCGGTAATGCACGGGGGCGGTACCGGCAGTGACGTCGACCGAGCCTGGAGCCCTTTCTTCCTCCTGTGTCAGTGCTCCCAGGGAAAGTCAGGAGATACTGATGTCACTGGCGATGTATCCTCGTCGTTGTCGTCCATCGGCCTTCAATCTAGCGGTGTGAATCCCATCCGTCCGCGATATTCTTCGATCTGAGTGACCTTGCAACGACAGCTAGTAATAAGTTGGTCATAAGTAACACAGACGTCGACAAAGAGTGGAAAGCCTTTGAACTGTGCATGTTAGGAGGACACGCATCGGCCTTACCGGGCCAGTTCTCTGTTGGAAGAGTGCTATAATTCTACTGTATCATCGGTACCAATTATTTGCTGAGCATGCAGGTTTGAAGCCGTATCGACAGTACCGCCGGCCGGCTATCGACGGAGGTCTGACAACAGACCTTCGAAAAAAATTTCGAGACGAGCTGCGTATACGGGCACCCGTGTAAAAGTTCCATGGTCATTAAATCCTGAAAGGCGAAGCTCTTGCACTTGCCCGTGGAGCCACTGACTATGCAGAGGTCCTGAAGTGCTGGAGGACATGGAAGTGAACAAGGAAGACAACGTCGTTGGCTCGGTGGCGCTGCGTCGTAGCAGGTCGTAGGCTGTAGCCGGTGGCCTGGCCGGGCGTCGCCGACATGCAAAAGGCCTTATCGTTCCCCTTCGGGCGACTGCCATCATGATCAGAAGCGCCGAAAAAAGCTTGTCTCACGAATATGTACGCCCTCGCCCAGAGGGAAAATGTTATCGCCCAACACCATATAGGTGTCCTTATCGTCATGGGCTGAGAAAAATAAACTGGAGCATAACATCGTAGACGCGCACACGCGCTTCTCAACTTCACTCAACTTCCGGTTTGCTCTTGACCTTCTCTCAGCTCTTGCGGACGCCATCATCTTTCTTTAACCTCGCTCAATACGAAACCTGCAACTTCAGCAGGTAGCACACGATGGGAAGCTCGGTCAAGGATGAGACTATCGTCAATGAAGCAGGTGTGAATCTGGAGGAGAGAGACGAGGCTGAGTTGGCGAAGATGGGATACAAGCAGGAACTCAAGTAAGTCTTTGTCCGCAAACGCGCTCGAGAAGAAGTGTTAATTGATCCGTTGTTGTAGGCGTGACCTTGGTCTTCTCCAGGTTCGTCTTCCCTCAGCCGCTGTCGTATGTGTATTCGAAGGCTAAGTTCTATATCGCAGAACTTTGGTGTATCATTTTCGATCATCAGCGTCATTACCGGGACATCTTCTCTATTTGCCTATGGTCTGGTACGTGCCTTGCTCAAGTCTTAGCAGATATGTGTCTAAAAATACTGCTATAGACAACGGGCGGTCCAGCTGTCATGGTATGGGGTTGGGTGGTTGTCTGTACGTTGAACATCCTACATTTGCTCGTGATTGGAAATGGCACTCATGATCCACAAGCTTTTTTCACCTTGTGTGTTGGTTTCGCCATGGGAGGTACGTCATCTATATTTATATGTATATTGCCCATTTTCTGACCATGACTTTCGAGTAGAGGTCTGCAGCGCACATCCTACCAGTGGTGGCCCATACTTCTGGGCCGCAATGCTCTCGCGTCCACAAAACGCAGCGCTCGCGTCTTGGGTCACTGGTTGGTTCAACCTTTTAGGACAAGTCGCTGTCACTACGGGTATCAGGTTCGTCCACACCTTTCTACGCAGGTAACGCCAACTAACTTCCGGCTGTCGCAGTTATGCCTGTGCAAACTTCATCTCGACCGCAAGTACCCTCGGGACCGATTATGTCCCTACCGCAGGAAAGACCATCGGTATCTATGCTGCTGTACTCTGCACCCAAGGTATGTCCCTCAAATCGTCGTGTTCCACGTAATGTCTGATTACCTGCCCGCCAGGCATGATCAATACCTTCGGCGTCCATCTCCTGAAATACCTCAATAACGTCGCCGTATGGTGGCATGCTAGTCAGTCATCATTCATTCTAAGCTATCTTTTCCCCTTGTGCTTAACCATACATCTACATCACTATCATTCCGTAGTTGGGACAGTCGCCCTTGTCATCGCAGTCCTCGTCAAAGCCCCAACACACCAATCTGGCAAATTCGTCTTTTCCACCTTCATCGACGGCACTGGCGTCGATGGAGTTGGGTGGTCAGAGCGTGCCAGTCCGGCTTATGTTGCTGTTATCGGGATTCTGATGGCACAGTATACTTTGACTGGGTTTGACGCTAGCGCACATGTGAGTGCCTGACTTGATAGGAGAGCCTAGAGGTTCTTGATGTCTACGTAGACCCTTATGGGCTCGTAGGTTGCGGCACTTTTATGACGGATAAACGCTGACCAACGGGCGTATCTTGCTGCAGATGACGGAAGAAACGCATAATGCAGCTATGTCAGGCTCGATTGGCATTGTTATGGCTATTGGTGTCTCCGCTGTTCTCGTGAGTTCTGTCAACTCCGCTATTTCTGCGATTTTTTCGTGTGTACTGATGTTTCTTTTCTTGTCTTAGGGATGGTTCCTCCTTCTCGGCCTTCTGTTCTCGATACAAGATTATGACAACACGGTTGCTTCTGCGACTGGTCAACCCATCACTCAGATCTTCCTCGACACTGTAGGAGAGAAGGGTGCTATCGTTCTCATGGTATGCGTCGTTTTTGCCTTTTGCCTACTCGAAAGGGTCTAGGTGGCTAATTTGACCCATGAATTCATCATAGGTCATCGTTATTGGGTGCATGTTCTTGTGCGGGTATGTTACATTTATTTTCAATCCTGCAATTTTCAAGAAAGTTCCGTGTTGAAGGAACGTCTCTTATGTTTCAGAACGTTCTCCGTGACGTCCAACTCCCGTATGATGTACGCTTTCGCGCGTGATGGTGGTATCCCCGGGCACACATTCTTCCACAAAGTCGACTCCAAGTGGAGATCCCCCATCCGTACCGGTAAGCCCCTTCTCCCTCGATTCCTCGTATATTGTTCTCCATTGCCGCACTTTACTTACGGACCGTTCGGCCTGTTGCGTTCAGTTTGGTTGGCTTGCACGCTTAGCTTCTTGCTCGGACTGCCGAGTTTGGGAAGTACGGTCGCGTTCTCTGCGGCTACTTCTATCGCCACCATCGGTCTCTACATCTCATACGGTGCGCATCTCTTGTCCCCCCCCTGCTCTTACTCTTCACCGATACTAACACCGTCTCCACCAGGCATTCCCATCGCCCTCCGCGTAATCCACGCCAAACACTTCGTCCGCGGCCCCTTCCACCTCGGTGTCATGTCTTTCCCCGTCTCAATCATCGCCGTCGTCTGGATCGCCTTCATCTCCATCGTCTTCATCCTTCCCGAGCTCAACCCCGTAGATTCCCAGACGCTGAACTACGCGATTGTCGCTGTGGGTATCGTCATCGCGTACAGCATGGGATTCTGGTTCCTCAGTGCGAGGAAGTGGTTCACTGGACCAGTGAAGCAGATCGAAGGTGCGTGTTGACTCTTGAGTTTACTTCTCTGCGTTGCGGAGCTGATCTCGAATGTTTTCGTTTTCGTTTCCGCCACTGTAGCCGAGTCGAGAGGTGTAGATATCACAAATCCGGAGGTGATGGCGGAGAAGGATAGAGAGAGTTATTGATGCTGTAGACTTTCACTGATTGTTGAGAGAGGTGGTCGTATTTTGTTGAGTCGATTTATGAGCGGATTTCTTGGATATGTCCACGCAGGAGTGTAATGTACTAGGCCACTGCTCCGCTATCTTATTATAGACCATTCGCTTTCACGTGGTCTCGTGCCGTCTCTAGATACCTCAACACAAACGTTCGTCTGGTCCGCAAGTGGACCACACTACCTCACCGGCCACAGGGAACTTCATGTAATTCGAGGTAATCTGTCTCGTCATGTGGAGCAGCGAGACTCGGTTTAACATTCTACTACTTCCGATTGCTCTTGACCTAGATGCTTCAGCTTGCAGCTGATCCTTCCAGTCGAACATATATTTTCAACAACTATCAAGTTCTACACCCGGTCAGCCACGCTCAACTCCGTTCTAAGCCTCTGAATTCGAATCATACTCGTGTTGACATTAGCACCAATACGCCGACATCCCCAAGTCAAATATTGTACAAGGTAAAAGAAGAAGAACCATGACGTAGCACCGTCAATGACCCAGACGACGAAGAGAGGATCCAATGTGATGAGTAGGTAAGGCATCCGTTTCGACAGGTCCATCTCGAATGATAGGTATCCCTTCAGGTTTACGATTTATGGAGAAATGGCCTGACGTCATACTTGGAAGTCTGTCCCCCTACAAGCAGCTCACGAAGAACTCGACCGAGGACCGGCACGAACTTTATCGCCCACTCAACCGTGAATATGATGATGCTCTTATCCGCCTCTACTCTCCGCACGTGGATACCGCTCGGGGACAAAGTCGGGAACAAGCATGTTGTCCGAAACATTCGTCTGGAGGCACGTACCCGCAATGCTGTAACTGGGTGCGGACCTACACCGATGACGTGTTTATGGATCCATTCGCGCGTGTGCTTGAGATCGGATGAGATGACCGAGTAACGTCGCTGCGATGGGTCCGTAATAATATTCGTTGTCGAGTCGAGAGCGATGCGTATGGCGATGTCAGAATAACTCGGAAGTCGACAGCGAGTACAGTCAATCCACGCACTATGTATGCCAAATAATTAAAGACCCTGAAAGCCAAGAGATAGATACGCCCGTCGTCGACTATCGTTTCCGTCTCAGACACTCTGATCGTTCTATCATTCATTGCCAACACAAGATGCCAGCTAATTACGCCGTTCGCTCCCCACAATACACGTCCATCCGAGGGAACGCAGCAAAGCTCGTTGTGAAGACCACCATCGACCCACACCGTAACTTCCTTACCGTGGTACCACGTCCCCAGCTACCGACACCCCCTCCCCGCCATCCAGGTGGCAAGCAGTCCCCGCTGCCGATCTGCATCATCGGTGCTGGATGCGCGGGGCTCTACGCTGCAATGATCCTCGATACACTCGACATCCCGTACGAAATACTCGAGGCGAACGACCGCATCGGTGGGCGCGTCTACACCCACCGCTTTAACGGGGACACAGGTCGATACGCACCTATCAACGACCCCGCACGCTACGACTACGTCGATATGGGCGCAATGCGCTTCCCAAACATTCCATTCATGGACCGGGTGTTCGACCTGTTCAAGCGACTCGACATGAAGAAGGGCGAGCTTCTCATCGAGTATAAGTATTCCGCAGCGAATACTTTCCAGTTTTTCAACGGTGTACGCCACAACACCTCCAACTCGACGCCCGCAGACGTGGACACCTTCTTTGTCTCGAAAGGCAAAGGTGGCGCTGTCCCCGACGATTTCGTCGGGAAGGGCGTAGACAAAGTCGCGTCTGAAATCTTTGAGCCGTACGCCAAGGCGTTCAGGGAAGAGCCTTTCCCCGAGGCGTGGAAGTTGTTGATGGCGGAGGATCCATACTCTACGCGCGGATACTTATTGGCGAAGAAGGCGTACCCAGAAACCGTTGTTGAATGGCTGGAGACTTTTGAGACTGCTACGGGGCTGTATAACGGTGGTTTTGTGGAGAGTGCGATGGACGCGATGGACTTCGGTTCGTCTTCCGCGGTCAGGGAGGCTGGGGTAGGAGAGAAGGAGCTTGACTATTCGTGGTATTGCATTGACGGAGGTAGTGACCATCTCACCACCAGAATGGCGCAGAGTGTCATAGCCGCTCCTGTAACTGGGATAAGGGTGAGAAAGATCGAGAGTACACCTTCAGGAGAGATGAATGTGGTATATCATACTCACTGTACGCCCCACTACAATGATCTTCTCCCAAGAGCCACAACTGATTTCGTCACATCCCAGACGGCAAGACGGTCAAGAAGAGATACTCACAGGTCATCACTACGGTTCCTCTGGGATGCCTCGCCACGATCGAGATACCCAAGAACGATCTCCTCTACATGCAACGCACGGCGATTCGTTCATTGAACTACGACACTTCGACCAAGATTGCTCTCAAGTTCGAGTCGCGCTGGTGGGAGGATCCGGCAGTCATGGGCGACCGGACGATCAAAGGTGGACGAAGTTCCACCGATCTCCCCATCCGCACCTGCGTCTATCCATCATACGGCTTCAAAGCCACCGGAAAGGTTCCAGGCGTCATACTCGCCAGTTACGCCCAGGCTCAGGATGCTCAACGCCTCGGTGGGCTCGCCCAGCGAAAGGGCACCGACGCTGACAAGCTCCTCATCGATCTCACGCTTCAGAACCTATCGCAACTTCACGGCGTCCCAATAGAGAAGTTCGGGCCGCTCGTCGACCACTACGCGTACAACTGGTCAAACAACGAGAACGCTCGTGGCGCGTTCGCGCAGTTTGGGCCCGGCCAGTTCGGTCAGCCGAGGGGCGGGAACAGCATGTTCGCGAGTATGAAGGCTCCTGCGGCGAACGGGAAGCTCCATATCGCTGGAGAGGCGACGTCGGTGCATCATGGATGGGTGCTGGGGGCCCTGAATTCGGCGTGGAGAGCCGTATACAATGCACTTGGACAGCTCGAGCCGGCGGAGATGGAGCGCAAGAGGACACTCTTGAAGAGAATATGGGGCGTTCCGGAGGAGGAGAGTACAAAGTCATTGACTGAGTTGGCTGTGCTCGCCCAATGCAATCTATTATAAGTGCCAATAGCGAGAGAGATCGAAGGTATGAGAACAATGATTCCCCGATTTTGGTCAAGTGCTGACGTCGGAGTCGGACGTAGTACCACCATTGTTCGTTGCTTCCGAAAATCACGAAGGGTAGCCTCGACAAGAAGAATGCAGCATCCAGAACATTGACGGTACAGTTGAGCACATTACGAGTTTGCGCAGAGTCCTGAATGTAGAGTACTTACTTCTGATGATGGTGAACGAATCGGACAAACCGCGTCGAACTTCATAAGGCGACGCTTATTCTGACTAAGCTCCGACTCTTCCGAGTGCCACTCAACATAAGTATTGCGGCCGCCACAAAGCCACCAATTGTCCTCCGAGTCGAGTTGCGATATTCAGAATTGTCTTCATCAACGTGGAGATCACCATCCCATATCTGATTTGTCCTCTCTCAATTTAAATGAAGGCTTCTCTTTGCTCTTTGAATACTTAACTCAAAATCACACTCCAAATACTGACCATACACGTACATAGCTCGATGGGAGTGATGATATTTGTATCAGCGCATAAGCATCCCTACTAGCCCACAACAAACTCTGAACACACCACAAAACTCGGAGATCATGCCTGTGAGGCTACACCACTCCCGCCTGTCGCTGATAAATACTACGCCACATTTACGGGCCCCTCAAACAAGCAGTGCCACAAATCCAAGCACAAGACCTGCCACTGCTGCTCCCACTGGATTCACTTTAGCGATGTGGAACGCGGTACCGGCCTTTAAACCTGGAAGGGGATCAGAGGTCGTGGCTACATCTGCGGTTGTGGCGGTCGTAGTAGCATCGAGGGTCCCAGACGCCACGCCTGAGCCACTAGCAGCAGTTGCGCTGATTGAGGAAGAGTCAATCGAAACCTGTGATATAACGAGATGAATTTGTTTCAACAATCGTGTTAAACGTTGCTGGTTGCTTTACTATAAATAGTGGAGGGAGGTCATAACCTGACGCACCGTCAACGCTCCGACTGAGATTCCGGCTTCCTCGCAATATGACTCGTAGTTTATCAGTGTAATTCAGGCGAGGGAAGTGAGTGTAATACCGAAATGAAGGGAAGACGGGAAGGACGAGAATATGTCAGACTGACTGATGAGATAATCTTGCGCGAGCTCTAGGTTAGCAGAAGTAGGGTTGAGAGACACAACGCAGTCGACGCAATTGACGAGGTCGGAGGCAACTTCAGAAGTACAACCGCAGGAGATTGTGGTGCAATCCTATCACAGAAGTCTCAAGACGTGTAACTCCCAAGACGTCATAAACAGAGGCGCACGTTGATGGTCGTTATTGGGGTCGTACAGGTCGATTTGCACTATGCAAGAAGCGAGTGAGAGTTGACCAAAAGCGGTTCACGATGAAGAGAACGTACTGAAGATGGGATGTCGTCGGGATTGAAATCCCTCGCCACCTGTGAATGGGGGCTGAACGGAACAACGACACGCCCGGCCAATGCTGCCTCTGACGAAGACGGTAGCGTGGTAATTGACTTAGACATTTTGACAATCGAGATAATGTTGAGTGTGTCCTTACCTGAGCCAACAGCCCATGTTACAATCAGGACAAGAGAGTCAAGCATGATGACAATCGAGAATTCAAGTTGTGAATGTGGGCAAACTTCGACCGACCCGAATACGCGGAGTCGGCGGAGACAGCGAGACGGGGAGACTCGCCGTACGACTTTGCCAAGCCCCCTGCTCTTATAGCGCAAAATAATTATCAGGTCGTATGGGATTTCACAAAAGCATTGCCGGCCTCTGTATTTCTGTCAAGAACGATCGTTGACATCGCTCAAACAGCGATTGCGAGGTCCAACATCACGGTTGAACGTCAAGATTAAAGCCTATTTCGGAAAGTATTGTGCTGTGATGGGCAAGCAAGAAGCAGATCCGAGATTGAGATATGATACTTATGGCTTTGAGGACTACATGAGGCGAGTTCACCACCGGCGGCCAGCGGCATGAATGTAAAGCTCTTCGAAAGACTTCGCAGAGACTAGAGAGATGTCCTCTCTTCAAGCTTTAGTTGTTATAACGTTCCAGTTATACGTGACGTCCGTTGACGCCGCCAGAATACTGAAGTTGACGCAAGAATCACCAGAAAATTGTGGTAGGAGCAAGCCAGGTCCAAAAATAGACTGATATACTTACTTTGACTGATGGGATGCTGTACTGTTATCGTGGCCAACCATTGGTGCCCTCGGCAGCCAACGACCCTGAGGCCTGAGCGCACTCGATAGCTCTGCATTTCCCTGAGGAAGACGAAGGAGGAGGGCTCGAGAGAAAAGTAAGGTCGTGTGCGCGATGACAGAGTTGAGCGACCGAGATGTCGCGACAAGTTGGAAGGAGGTGACCGTGCCGGACTCATCCGGGATCCTTCCCACGCTGTGTCTGACTGCGGACCGGATGACCGGACCCTGGATTCTCTTTCTTTCTTGCCATGAGTGCGGCGTACCTGCACTTCCTCAGTGCTACTCATTGGTGAAATCTTGCCACTTGATCATTGTGTAACAGGCATATCACATAAATAATGCTTCTTGACGATGCATCTTCATGAGATCGACTTGTTCACTCCGAGTCTCGCGTCGACGGCAAAGAACCTTCAAGTTGTCTGTCCATCTAGCTCGACTTTTATGTCCCACTTGAATGATTATATTATCAATAGACACAGAGCACTATATCTCGCAGCGCAGGGCCAAACCAGGTCAACCTAGGCTCGTCATATCTCTCGGAATACAAGTTTGAGACGTCCTCTTGGAAGTCTCAGATCTAGTTGCTTTTCTTCCTTTCCGGCTGTGGACTCTCGGAGGACAACTCTGCTGAAATATGGCCTCATATCTACATTTCGACATACTCGTAGCTATAGTCCACTACTGCTCCAAACACGAACTTCTTGCTCTGCGACTCACAAACAAGGCTTTCAGTGATGCATCGGAATACTTCCTCTATCGGAATATCTCCTTCGACTTCTACGCGAAGACTATGACCGAAGCCGAGAGCACATTCTTTCGGATCAGGGGGCTGTATGAGCAACTACGCCTGGACGGAGAGAAGGCTGCGATGGTACGGCGGTTAGAGGTCAGAGAGATGAAGTGCGTTTACCCACTCTCCAGTCTTTATATCCTAGCTAACATCAGGATGCGCAATCATTGACCACACCGTGGTACCGTAGTCATCTTACTGTCTCTCCTGCCTGCGTCGTACCAAGCTTCATACCTATCAGACACCGTGCATCGACACACGACTATGACTCCTTCAGCAGTGCCGACAGCGCACCTGAACCCGAACCACGCGACCAGCTAGTCATGGTCCAGCTCTCGGTCGCCGCTCTCCTCTCAGTTCTTCCCTCCCTGGAAGTGTTTCATATCGCCGGCACAAAAAAATTGGGAAACCATCTCGCGCCACTTGAAGTCCTCGAATACGCCACCTGCCCTGCTCTCAAGGAGTTTCGCCTAGAAATCTCCCGAGACAGTAGCTGGTTTCCAATTCGACCGACCCTAGCTGGCTTCCTTGAGCGGCATCCTCAACTTACCGATATCACACTCGAGATAGAGCAACCGACTGGTCGTGGCCTTCTCTCCAACGCAGATCGGCTTTTGTACTTTCCGAATCTCACTCGATTTGCAGCGCCAGCCGGAGGATACTTCGAACACTTGTCGAAGGATACGCCACTACGTCAGGCGGAGTTGGACTTCAGACCGAGGCCTGATGGGGCGCATTAATTACCACTTGAACCGGAACTCATCGCGCTACAATCCTTCGAATCACTCACATCGCTGGCGATCACTCGAAGCCCGCAGGAAGTGGAGACCATCACCTTGATTGCCACGTATCTACCTCAGCTGGAAGAACTGGAGCTGAGGCATACTGACCTGACATACAAGCTTCCCTTGGTTCCGGTGAGTTCCATGGTTAGTTTGTTTACTCGCAACGCTTCCTCACTAGTTCATGGTAGGAACGTATCGAGGCATTCGCTTCAGCACTCTCCTCGTTCAAGACCTTGCAATGCTTGACATACCGCTGGTCCGGTCACGGTCGAATTCAGACTATGGCCGACCGAACCGAAGCGATTGACCGAGCGACCGTATCATCCAGGGGAAGAGCTTGCCCTACGCTAACTTACTGCTCACTCTGTGAGTGCAAACTCTAAAATAGAACCAATCCAACCATTTGACTGAATATGAACCCCTTCAGATGGAAGTGTATGGGAGCGAATGGACACGAGCTGGGTCTATTCGTGCTAAGAGATTTCATTACTTCCTCCATTATTTTACGGGAGGAAATCGGTTACTTTGCGCCCAGAGCTGACTTCTTTATCATTTCTTCCGTATATAACCCAAACGTATCCACTCACATGTTCTCGCATCCCCTCGTCCATCCATCACCATACTTGCTCTTGCATCCGGACATCTTCCATTGTTCCTCACAGTCCATCACGCACTGGAACTCCGTACACCATAAATATACAATATCATTGACGTTATGTTCGGAGCAGACATGACGAGACTCGAGTTAGGAATGTCCGAGGTATACTCCAGATTCGTAAAGGTAGAACGAAGAAAGACTAGCCACCAGACTTGCTCGCATCCATCGCCGACTTGGTATAATCTTTACTGCCCCTTACACCAAGCACGCCACGACACCCATCAAAACCCCAGCACCAACCACTCCAGCAATGTTGGCTGCCCCGGCAACGCGAGCACCGTTCGCATTACTACCAAGAGGGTCGGAGGAGCCCGTGGAAGTCGCAGATGGATCTTCGTTATCCGCGCTCGAGGTGGCGGCCGACCTGGACGAGGTGATAGTCCCGGCAGCCCTTGTCGAAGAGGCAGCGGCGGCGGAGGTAGTGAGGTCGGAGAAGGAGTCAGAGAACGTGTCGGTAAAGCTGACGGATCCGGTGGCAGAGGAGTCGGAGGGATCGGCGGTAACCTAGTGAGACCAACTTCTGAATACATGGGGAAAGGCCTTGGACGAGAGTAGGGACATACCGTCAACGACCCCACAGGGATATCCGATTCAGAGCACACTTCGTCATAGGCTATATAGGTCAATGATCAGTATCACGGGAAGTGGTAGTCCTCTGGATGTACAACACACCATCTAGGGTCTCCTGTCCCGACTCAATGTTATCGGAGGTTGGGTCGAGATCCACGACACAGTTGATGCAGTCCTCGAGGCCCGATGCGATGCTGGTTGTGCATCCACACTCCGCGGTGACACAGCTCTGTTATATACGAATAAGATCGCGGGTAAGTAAGTTGGATTATGAATGAATTTGCCAGAAATATATCCACGTACGTTGATGCTGTTGAGAGGGCTCGTGCAGGCAGATTGGCACTATTCAATACCGGTTAGAAAAGGTAGTGTAGAACGGCCAATATGGTGAACATACCTCGGTTGGAATATCACTGGGGTCGACCTGCCTTCTCACCAAGGAGGTACCTGAAATGCCGAGGGGTAGGAAAGGGCTGCGTCGGGATACAGCTGCCTCTGTGCATAGAAAAAATCACGACAGCGTAAGCCGTCAGTCTTATATACTGACAAGGAGGAGGGCCATAAGCTGACCGGATCCTGCAGCGGACAAGGCGACGAGGAGAATACTGGTGAAGAGCATCGTGTCGAAAATGAAGACTAGGAAGGAGCTCTGAGGGCAGGAGACAGTATTAGCAGGCGTCGGCGAGTCTACCCCGTCCCAACCTCCAATACAACTTTTATATTCCTCACATACGCATTACCAAGGAATCCGGTCGTTTTTTACCTGTCAAAAGTGTTTTCATATCGATAAAGCATTCCTGCGCCAAGCCTGGGGAAGTATTGATGGGATGTCGAACAAGCGCCCATCTAAGAGCAGTGTCAGCAGCAATAAAGACAAGTTTGGGGAAATAGAACGGAGGCAAGGACGACCGCGAGGCATGAGCCAAACATAGCCGTATGCTCTCCATCGTAGAGAGATAATGGATAGCTGTTGGCTCTGAAGTTGACCTATGGGCAAGTGAAGGATACATCGTTAGAGCGTGCTATTGTTCATGATTATGGCCATATTTTCGAATCCTCTGGCCGTGTAGTGACGAGGTCTATACATAGCCTATTACAAACGCCCGGTAAGCTACATCAAGGCCTTGGGTGAATGGGTTTTGGAAATAGCATTCTCTGGGCGCCAAGAAAGGACTCAAGACGATCCAAGACGAAGGCAAAATCCAATCGGTGCAAAGCCCAGGTGCAGCGCCACTGTGCCAAAAAAAGAACACGAGGTGAACGCGCCAAGATACGTCGAACGGTCGTCTTGCAGTTGAATGATCCGGGTTTCGCGAGTAGAGCTTTATTTCAGATCCAAGAAATGTCCGTCCTTGGAGCATTGGTGCGGAAGGAAGTGAAGCCGAAGCTCCTAACTTCAAGCTTGAGTGTGAAGTGCCAGGCCTGTTTGAATGTTTGTCCTTCTCTTGGATCCCGAGTCATACCCATGAACAGAATATGGCAAGACTGAGGGATATCGGGAAAATGCAGAGCATACGTGAGGCCAGAATGCTGCGAGGTGGGTCGCAAAACGCTATCTGGAGGGATGATGTTCAGGAACAAGAGCAAAAACCTGACAGAGATGTTCAACTTCACGCCACACGGATCAACCCGGTCCGAGAAATACCCCTCAGTGTGGCACCGCTTCTCTCACGAAACTCACCATCCAGTGTCCACAGACAATCAATCACAACGATGGCAGGCCATGTCTCACACTTCGCGCCATAAAAGGCCAAATGAATCACATCGTGTTCAAGCAAGACAAACCGATATAAGTAGGGGCGGTGATACTTAGTCAACTACTTAACAGTACCGTAACAGAAGGGGGCGGAGGGGAAACTTCAAGGGGGGACATTGATTTAATGGTACTCGTACGGGTGTTATGTACGCGGTAGAGTGTGGTATGCAAACCACGGATAAGTACAGAGACTCTGACAGACCCAAGGACAAGCTCGTAGGATCATATAATGCGTAACTTGACAATAAGGAGGCTGATAGATAGAAGCTCGGAGGTATGGAGAAAGGCCGAGAGTTCGATCGTCGAATGAGGTCGTCAGCTGTAGCAGGCCGTGGTCAGAGGTATCGCAGGGAGACCAAGATATTCCAGAGGAAGGGAGACAATGGGACAAGGTCATGAAACAAGAAGGAATCGCAGGTTTGGACGGGTGAGAGTGTGGCGGACCGGTGGAAGATGGTGGGAAACGTAAGATAGTGGTGTGAAGATGGAGACATGGTCGACGGGGCAGTGGGTGGCATAGATTAGTATCGAAGCAGGGTTGAGGACAAGCACGAGGACGAGGAAGTATGAGAGACAGTCTACAAGGCAATTGAAACAATAAGTAAATATACAGGTTAATAAGCAATGCAGGAAAGGTATGAGCACAGAGGGTTGCGAGCAATGAACAGAGGGAACGAGAAATGGAGAGAAAAAACTGCAAGAAAAAAGTCGATACAAACATGCGCCCACCTGCCTGCAAGCAAGAAGCGGGCAGGTTACCTTGCAGGTTCAGGCAGGTTCAAATGAACCCTGATCATGACAGCGTCATGACAGGGCAAGGGTTCGGGACGTCGTATTACATGGGTCTTCCTTCTCTTCCCTCCATGTAATGCCCCATGTTTCCCCAGCTCGAAGGCGTTGCCCCACTGGACTCAGTCTGCTCCTCGACGGTTGGCGGAGCAGTAACGAACGAAGGCGCCGCCGTACTGATCAACTCTGGCTCGCTGCCTGAGTCTCCGGGCCCGAACGAGAAGAACGCGGTACTCGTGCGGCCGGGCGCGGTCGGTCTAGTCGGGTGCGCTGAGCCTGAAGGCGTCGGGACTGGTTGGGTCGGAGGTGGCGAAATGCTGACCGTCGGTTGATGCGGTGCCGGGTCGACAGAGAGCGAGATAGTGCGTTCGGAGGGTGCGGTGCGCGACACGGTGGATATCACTCTGGTACGTGGCGATTCAGGACGACTACGACCACGCCCCCCAGACTGGCTAGACTTTGGCGACCCAGATCCTGAACCAGCCAAGATAGAGCCAGGCTGAGACATCGTCAGGTCATCCTCTCCAAACTGGCCATCGTATTCCTTATCAGTCTCGATCTCGACCTCGCGTTCCTCATGCTCGTGTCCCGGCGATCTTTCTACCTCACTCTCACCACCAGAGTGAGACCTTGACCTCTCCAGGCTTCTCGTACCTTCTCTCTGCTGGTGAACCTCCCTCCTCTGCTGTCTCTCGATCAACCTCCTCGCAAGCGGCGCACTCGGTTGTCCGAAGGTATGGTTCTCTGGACTGCTCAAACCACCCTCTTCCGAGAAATAAGGTGAACTGGGACTAGACATCCCAGCCTCCTCGTAATCCTCGAGCCTCACGACGGATTGCGCCCGACTTCGACGATTTCCCGAGCCGGCGACGAGTTCGATACTGGAACGAGAAGCAGATCCGATGCTATGGATGAGGGATTGTGTACGTTGGCGCATGAGTTCTCCACGTGCGAGAGCGAGAGAGACGGCCGAAGCGGTAGGTCCGCCAGCGTTGGAATGCGTGGAATGATGTCTCGAGTTCGAATCGCTCCTGGACCCAGACCCACTCCCAGAGCTATTATGCCTCGATCTCGAGTCATTGGCTCTCCTCGTCAACGACACGATACTTCCGGCTCTGGCCCTCAACCCACCAGAAGAAGATTTCGGACTCGGGGCGGAAGACAATAGGCCTACGCTGTCGTCTTGCTCGAGCGCCTCGAGATCGGGAGAGTCCGTTTGGCCGGTACGAGAGGGCGTACGACGACCCTCTGAGGGTTCGCCCAAGCCAAGTTCGAGGCGTCCCACGGGCTCCTCTTCGATATCGGACTCGTACAAGATTCCAGTGGAGCGGTCCGATTCGGTCCTCGTGCGTGCGCGGGGACGGAGACTTGGTGGATAGGACAGCGGAAGTGGACCAGGAGTGGGCGACGCAGGAATGGGCACCGTACCCGAACGCTGCCTTCTTTGCGCTGCATTGCCAGCTGACGAACCAGGGTGTCTCGGTGGCATGGGGATCCCAACGACAGGACTCGGCGCACTACTCGAATTCCCGGCTCTGCTCCTAGGCGAATGTGAGTCTGAGCTGCTCTCGACGTTGCCTGTGCTTCTTGTACTCCTCGAGTTCCTCGTCGATGTCGACTTGGACTGGGGCGTGCCGCGAGAGTGGTTTGTCCCCGTACCGGTGTGGCCGGAAGACGAGGCGACGGAAGCGCCGCGACCTGGGTAGCGGAATTGGAAGGGATAACGAGAAGGAATGGGTTGGCCGAGGGAGGAGAGCGAGTTGGATGCACGGCCGGAATTGGAGAACGAGTTGGAGGTGCGAGGCTCGGCGGAGGATTCTTCTTCATCCTCGTTGACGTATCCCAGTTCGCGACGAGAGCCTGTCAGATCTTCCTCCTCTTCCCCCTCCCCCTCCTCTTCTTCTTCATCCTCATCGACCTCATCAGTTTCCTCCGGGTGGATTCCAGGCGAAGGAGGGAACGGAATTTGCTCCGACTTGGGACTATCCGAGCTCTTCCTCTCGCCGTTCTTGCCGCCAAAGCCCGTAAAAGGATACGGTGCCGCCAAAAGCGGACTCCCAACGGCCAAGGGCCCCTCGTCCTTCTCCGGCGTCCTCTCCACCCTCGGAATGACACTGACCTCCGTCGACGCCTTCCTCTCCACCGCCGGCACTTCCTCGATCTCCCGCACAGGAAGTTCCCGCTCACGCTCCTCATCCTTCGGACTCTCGAACAAATCCTGCGAAAGCATCCCCCGTCTCGCATGATGTACGGGCCCCGGACTTCCCAACCCCACCGCCGCCAAAACCTGCTCCATCCCCTCAAACCCGCCCGCCCCGATATCTTCCTGCCTAGGCAAAAACGGCACCTCTGACGGTTCCTTCCCCTTATTCCTCGCACCAACTCCAACTCCGGCACCACCAGCAGGATCTGCGCTAGCGACCCCGCGCGGCGGTCGTGTCGTGAGACAGAAATCGTAGGCTTCTTGGATACGGAGGTGGGTGCACTCTTTCCAGGTCCAGGGGAGGGAAGATTCGCCTGCTTCGTCGATGGATTTTTCGGAGTAGATGGAGAAGGTCTTTTCGGCGTCTTCTTCTTCCCAGCGGAAGCGAGGTCCGCAGATTCCGGCACAGCCGTATCCGCTGAAGATCCACACGCCAACCCTGTAGGATACAGTTAGTACGAGTCATCCATGCGCGCATTGAAAGAAAAGAAGTGTAAGGTTGATTTTAGTTAGTCCATGTGCGGGTCAGAAGTGACGAAACCGTGCGAAGGGGTGAGATGGAAGATAAGGAGAGTGGGCCACACGACACTCACCAGCTCATCAGGAGGACCAATATTCTCCACCCCGTCCATGCCACATTCGCTAACAACACACCCTTCGCGTACCCACTCAACGTTCCTTCATTCTGATCAAAGAACGTCCCGTCCCTCCTTCCCACGCTCGCATCGAAATCGCTCAACGTCAATTCTCCAGGCAATTGCTCCGGGCTCCAGAACGACAATAATAGCGCGAGTGCGAGTCCGGCGCGGGGGAGGAGCAGAGACACAGTGGGTAGGTTCTGGGAGTAAAAGTAACAGGTTTCGGCGAGGCCGTCGCGAAGTGATGATTCGGAAGAGGGAAGAGCGGAGTGCTGGTTCACGTAGGGAAATGCAGAGTTGCGGATATGTTGCATGAAGCAGAAATTGCTATAAGAGGTCATTGACACAAGATTGAAGGCCGGAGAAGAGAGATAAAGTGGGAGCATGAGAGGACGTCCTTTTAGTGCAACGTCCGAGTGTTCGGGTCAGTAACGAATGCAAGGTAAAGAGTGAACGGGACGCACTGTATCGCCAACGGCGGTAAAAGGAGTAGATGAGCTCGTAGCCGATGAAGACCCCCAGGATCCAAACCGCCCAACAAGCTACGTAGGCCGCAGCGCCGAGGGCCCAATTCCGACCTGAGCCAGGCACACCAGACGCAATCGGATTCGGAAACAAAGCAATTCTAGTTTCCATACTCTCCATCAGCATTGCGCATGGTGCAAAAGACAGCTCAGATATGGTTGAAAGAGAGATACGCACTGAATAAGGATAAAGACGGCATTGAAGTCGAAAAAGGTTTGAAGTGGGATGTGCGCGAACACGAAGAGAGGAAAGAGAAAGAAATGAAGACGAGACTTCCACGATGGGTTCCGTAGCAGCTCGAGGTGAAGACCTGAGGCTCTGAACCGAGGCCGTGGGGGACCTACTATCCTGCTCCCGTCGATAAGAGTGGGAGAGAAGACGGTCGGGCCCGGGGACACGCCAGTCGGTGTTGCGCGAGACCAAACGCGGTGATGACCATGGGGATGGGCAGCGGAGCTGATTCTCGTCTGTTCAGTTGGTTCGCGTCGACCGAACTCGTCCTGGAGGCTGACGATGCGAACGGAGCGAGGAGTAGGCTTGCGACCAGCAGAGAAGACAGGGGGTTCGCTCGGACCTGGATCGGCACCCCACATGTTTGCGTTAGATGAATGGTAAGTAGATCTAGGCGCTGGCGGAGGAGGCCGTTTAGGGAGCCAAGAAGGATAGCCTTCGTCCGAGGTAGGCAGCGGAGATGGTGAGGACGGCGAAGGCATCGAGCGACGGTCACCGCCGTGGTAGAAGGCGGGGTCGACGGGCGAGTCACCCTGCGAGGGGTTCGTCGGGGCGGGCGACGAGAGCTGTCGACGAAAGGGGGCCATGAATAAACGTACAATTGAAGCGTTTCGAAAACAAGAGGATAAATCGTAAAGAGACGATTAAAAAGAGAACACGTAAAGAGGAAAAGACTGTTTTTGTGGAATTTTTATGGTTGAACTTCGAGCTGGACGCTGGTGGTGCGCAGCGAGAAGGATAGCTCGAGGGTGAATGGCGTCGAGGTTGGATAATCGCCTCGTGTACTGGGCGATTAGTAGCCTCGTGTGTAGCCTGCTCTAGGGAACGAGGGCAAAGAGCGAGCACGAGATGGCCGCGCAGACGAAAGCGAGTCCCCAACACGGTTCGCGTCAGACGTACCTCGCCCTGATTAGGAAATCCTGGCATAATATTTCCCCGGCTTCTGACGGAAAGATCTCTAGTTCGAGAATACGATAGCGATATAAACTGAATTAAAATGAACGTCGGTTAGCGAACGTGCCGGACGCCACGGCCGATGTCGAGGACAGCGGCGGTCGAGGAGTCTAACGATGGTAGAGGTACGAGTACAAGATGCAATGCGTAAGTAAAATGCTGTCCTCACAAGAGTTCTCCACATTCTGTACATTCGTTGCCATGATACTCACACAGAACGAAGGAATGCAGAGCGTGGGTTTTACTAGCATTTGCCTCACACTCAAGGCCCAGCGAAGGTGATGAGGACGACGGGCCATGGCGATGCAACCTGACTCCGACGTTGTTCATCCTTCTCCGTCAATCGATCAGCGCGAGCGCGGCGACGGAAGCAAATCTATTCACCACGCCTGACAGACGTCCTCAGCTGTGGACCAGCGAAGGTCATATACGGTCATATCCATTCCCGAGTTCTTCCCACCTGGCACTTTCGGTTGCGTGGGTGAAACAGGGCAGCAGGAACCGAAGAGGGAGTAGTCGACTTGAAGCATTCGACGGAGGGTTTTCGATCCGTTCAATTCCAGATAGAAGAGGACCGTGGACACTAACAATACAAACAGGAACTGGAAGCGATAGGTACACAATACAACAATCATGCTCTGTCGTCACTGTGCAACAAAAACTACAAACAGCCAAGAAGACAACATACGCTGATAGCAAGTCAATGCGCATAAACAAGAAAAGCTGACCACACAGACCGAATACGACAAATCATGGGCCACAACTTGAACCGAAGAGGGAGTAGTCAACTTGAAACATTCGACGGTGGACCGAGGGGTTTCAATTCGTTTGACTCCAGGCAGAAGCGGACCACGGAGACTAGCAATACCAACAGGAACTGGGGCGTTAGATACAATGCAACGTTCACCGTGCAACATAAATCACGAACAACCAAGAAGTCAACATATGCCGACAAGGCAATGCGCACAGATGAGAAGAAAGCAGATAGGACCAAGCAATAAGACTAGTCACACAAACCGAATACGACGAATCATGGGCCACAACTTCACAAAGAAGCGATAACCCACTCCCCTTGCATTCGCTGCCAAACAGTCCTATCTTGAGCACAAAAAGTTGCCACAAAGTGAACATCAGTACACATACCATCGCAAAAGTTCTAGAGGACACTCACATATCTCACAGTACATCAACGTCGGGCACTCCAAACCCCACCTCCTCACCGTACTCAAATCGACTTCAGTATTCACCCTCGCAGACGCCCGGCCGTCGCTTCTAAGAGAGACGTACGTGAAGCGACGTAGGCCCTTGAACCGGGCGAACGCTTGCGTCATCCTCTCGATGCTTTCCTATGAAAAGTTCAAGATGATCCCGCATAAGATTGACCAAGACAATCGTGGAATCGGGGCTAGAGACAAAATAACAATGACAATGAAAGGCTTACTCGTGGTTTCTCCAATAAACATGGATAGGACTTATGTCTGATCTCCAATTGTTCGATATTCGGAAAACGAGCGGCGACGACGCCCATACTCTCGATATCACGAAGATTCTTCTCGTCTATGAGCGTCAAAAGTTCCAACGACGGGAAGGATCGGATGACGGCGAGCTCGCGCTTCAGCAGGCTGAGGATTTCATTGCGTGACATGCCGGCGACGTGTGTTAAGTCCATCGAAACATGCGAGAGTTTCGAAGGCATCGGGTCCGCAAAGTATTGGAAGTATCCCGCAGGCGCTTCGAATCGCTCCAAGCTCGGCATGCATAGCTCAACCCGATCACGGGGGACCTCATACTGGCTGATGTGAAGTACGGCGCCTATAAGGTTAGAATGGCGTCGAATAAAATGGGGAAGTGGGGGTTCAATCTGGGGCGGGTTGTGCGGGAAATCCAAATGGAACTCGCGAAGGGTTGGACAGAATACGTGGCTGAGCAGGTGCAAGGGCGCTAAATGTTGGCGGATCTGAGGCGCAAGATAGTGCCTACGGCCATAACGATCATAATCATCATCATCATCCAGTGATTCCTCAATGATGGCGCCGCCGGTGAGATGGAAGAAGGGCAAGTTGGGGAGCACAGAGAGAACAGCGGCGATGACCGTGGATATCTTGTCGAGATTTCTAGAAGTGTGGCTTGGTGTATAGTTCACAAGGCTGAATCCCGGTATCTCTACAATGTCAGAGTTATTCGATAGGTATTCACTGGGACAGTACCAAGTAAGTTGCAATCGCCTAGAGAGAAATATAGGTGGATTATACGCACGGTAAGTCTGTCACCTCAACCCTTTCAACCATCGCTGCCTTACGATCATCGCCCTTCAACGAATTATATAAGCCAACAATCCAATGGAACATCTCGACTACTCGGTCGTCGTCGGCTCGAGGAGTCCGTCGACCATCAGTCAGGGTATCGCCGCAAGGAATGCAGATGTGACGGTAGATGAGAGGTTCCACGATCTCACGAAAGAGTTTACTCGTGCGACATAGTGCAGGGAGGTCCGACTTTGAGGACAATGAGACGATCTCTTCGATGAGTTCGACTGGGAGATGGGGTGCCATTGACAGGACGGCGAATGAGAGACTCAATGGCGGAAGGAGAGGAAGTCCCCTATTCCGCCTACCGCTTCAAGCGGCGATTGAAGTCGAACTTTCTAAATGGTGTGGCGTTCGTGTGTGGCGAACTCGAGATGCACCCGAATTTATTGAGTTGAGATGGTAGTTGTTGCAAGTCAGTTGATTCGAAGAGATTCCTTCCTTATTCCCCTTTACCCTTGAGATGTGACCTGCGTTTCGGGGATGTGGCTGTGCTCTCGTGGGCACACAATCTTTTGTTGACCGCCCATCCGCATCCTGCCTTGTATGCTTTACCCTCCTGCCCCGCAGCATCAGGTTATTTGACCACTGGCATCGGCTTCTACGTTCTCCATTCCACGCAATGACTACCACACAAATCCCGCTTTCATACCGAAGCAACCGTCCATTCTCCGTACTGCACACGCTCCCATTTGGCTCCATCTTGATCGGAAAACCCCCACGAGAGATCAGTACACAAAAAGACCTATACACATATATTTCAGGGACTCACATATTTCGCAATGACATAGGGTATGGCATGCGGACGCCCAATGAACGTCGAGCCCACCAAATCCGCTTCGGACCTCGACCACATCTCCGCTGGCAGTAAACCCGTCCACGAGCTCAAGTCCGACAAAAGTGACCCGGCGAAGAGAGGAGAACGGGGATAACGCCTGAGAAGATTCATCGATGACACTTTGCAAGAACTAAAGTCAGAGTTCACACGTTCGTGTTACAGTCAGTCTATGAGTTTGCTACTAGATGACGGGTCGGCGCGCAGATAACGGACTCACCTCAGGTGTTGTTTTGATAGGATGTATATGGTGCCTGATTTCCAGCTCCTCTATATGGCTCAGATGAGAGGCCACATAAGTGATGATTTGTTTGGGTGAGAGACGAGTCCCCAGGTTGATCGTCAAAGTCTTCAGCGACGAAAAAGTCTTCAGGTTGATGAGGCCTTCTCCTAACTCCATGTCGACCTCGCTATGATAGATATCCAGGTGAAAGCAGTTCATCGAAGCATGTAACAGTGGTGTCTGGTTTGATAAACACTTGAAATATCCTGCGGGTGCTTCGTAATATTGCATCTTCGGCATCTTCAATGGGACATCTAAGGCAACCTGGAGTTCTGCATTCCATCCAAAGCGAAGTGTAGCCTTCTCAATTCTAGGATGCCGTTGAAGGAAGTGGGACATAGAGGCTCTTGTGCAATCGCCCTCGACGGCAAGGGACAACTGGAATTCTTCGAGGGTGGGGCAAAAGACATAGCGGAGAAGGGCGATCAAGGAAGATGGCTTGCGATAGCCATCGATTTCCTTGAGATCGGAGAGATGGAGAACCGTCAAACGGGGGAGGATGGATAGAACGGCAGCGATGGCTGTCGCGATAGATGCCATGCGCTGCTTGTTGTAACGGATGAGCATGTAGGAGTCATTGGTGTTAGGTGTATAGTCGATCACGGTGAAGTCGGGTACGATAGCCTCTTTCAACATTTCTTCTGTGCTAAAGGTGAATGAGAGTGAGTTTCTCCTAGATGGTAGTCGACGTATATTGGAATGATCCTGGAAGTTATTTGAACGCACGTTGGCCCTATCATCACCTCCATCCTTAATACCTTCGCTGCCTTATCACTGTGATTCCGAATTGTACCGTATAGGCAGAGAAGACGACGGAACATTTCATCGTTGGGAGTTTCAAGGGTATCTGCACTGATGCAGGAGATGGAAATATCGCGATACAAGAGGGGTTCTGCGATATACCCAAGTGCCTTGGTCGTGCGACATAAAACAGGAAGGTCAGACTTCGAGGAACATATGATGATCTCTATAAGTAGCTCCAATGGGAAAAGAGGCTTCATTTGAGAGGACGACGAGTAAGGAGGGGATTGAGGCAATGAGATAGGAAGGGAATGAGGAACAGTCCCCATTAGGTTTACCGCTTCGGGCGGCGACTGAACCAAGACCTGTAAGCGGTGTGGCGATTTCTATGTGGCCCGAACTGATCTTCAAACCGACTCACAGACCACCCGATAAACTTTTGATATATGCAAGAAGTGGACCATAGACCTATCGTGGTCGGAAAAAGGGGGACAGAGGCAATATAAACCTATTGAAAGAACCTATTGAAAGAACCGTACAGTAATCTCACAGGAATCACAGATACAATATCTATCTCGCAGCGGTTGAGCAGTACAAATAACGAACCATCTGTGATAAGCCAATAGCACTGGACGCCAACAATCCCTTTCTGAACCGCAGCTGCAGTTTGGACCAATGACCGACCGTTCATCGTCAAGTATGTCTCGAGCGATGCAGATGTGGCGCCCAAAACGATGTCCCCGAAACGCGACGTCGCTCCGAGCGAGATAGCACCCAAGCAACAAGTATAACACCAGTGTTGATAGAGGAATCAAATATAGGGCGACGTCTACTGACAGAGCGCAAGGTGGAAAAGCAAGGAATCAAGAAGACTTCCAAAAAGTCCACAAGTGAAAGGGAATACGTACATTTGGCACGATGCAGCGATGGAACAATAAAGGGGATAGTCTAGTTGAAGGAAACTTGCTGGTGCCGAGGACGACTGCCCACAGAGAAATAAGCTGGTTGATAAGCCACATACAGTAAAGTTACATTGACGGGTCGCTATCCTTCGACGTACAACATTCGATCGACATAAGAGTATGAGGCAATGAAGGCCCACATAAAGCATAAATATGGACGAACCGTGCAAGTAAAATCTGTCGCGCACAACAATCACCATATATTGATGAAATGGTATACCACATCTATTCCCAAGAGCACCCGGTCCGAAATTCAAAAGTGACAACATATCACGACCGGAGAGCTGGAAGGACCATCAACGCCTCCGTTTGTGGCGACAGCATATGGCGAAAAAGCGACCAGGGCAGAAAACGGAGAATCAGGGAACCTGTCAATTTTGTTGGTCACAATCATCGTTGCACTACCAGCGAACGAAGACATCGACACACCTTGAACTCATTGTCCAACGATCTTCTTCAGATGGTGAAACGTTTCGCGTGCCACGGCCACAGTGTCGTAGACGATGCGCTGAGGTACCGATTCCTCCCGCGGGCGTAGCCGCCAGCGTGAGATAAGGGGGCTGAGATTTGACCGGATGACATGAAACTGAGAAAGAGCATTTGGTGCAGTAGGTCGCGCGGAGGGGTCAAGTTTTGTCATGCTTGCGATGAGAGGTGTCAGAAAATCTAGACTAGAATATTTCTGGTGGTCATAGGATGAGCGATGAGCCAGATTTCGAGTAGAACATCCGTACCTCCAGGAGACTGTGTTTATAGAGGTTGCCCAAAATGAAGATGTCAGCTTGAAGAGCGTTGTATTTTACGGTGCGAGACAGCTCCGGCAATCCTTTTTCGCGACCTTTGGCCCCAACCACCATAGTGGACTCTCCGAGGGCGAATCGCGTGGATATACCGAAGTCAATGAAGTAATAGTTAACGGGATGGTCGATGCGGGAAAGGGGGTGGGCATTGTAGATCCCGTCGACAGTTGATGATCTTCGGATAGGGTGATGGCCATGAGGGTACAGAGGGGTGGCATCCATCATGATGTTTTCGGAGGCGCAATCTCTGCGGAAATGTGGATCGCGTTAAACTCTGGAGCCGAATTGAACTGAGGAAAGATCATGCCTGTGTGCAACATTTTGGCTATGAATGAAACATAGACCCTAGAGCTGTTCAGTGCAAATGAAGCGACAAGAAGCGGCAGCCTAGACACTATACCTCTAATGTCTGTCTCACAAAATCCAGAACCTCGCCAACTGCTCCAAAGGGGGGATCGTCAAATGGACGCAAATACGGCATGACGAGGAGATATGTTTCGGGCTGGAGTGAGTCTTTAAATGCATCCAGAATACGAACACAGTGGTTCATAGAGTGGTCGATGAGGTCGGGAGTAAGAAGCGAAAGTGCGATGTCGATCTCGGCTTCATTGCTGCGTATTCGCTTTATACAGACGAGTTTCCCGTCCTCTCTACGCGTAGCATCCATCACATCGCGATTCTGGAGCGAGATGATGTCAGTAAGGATGTGCAAAAGAAAGATGAGAAACGTACCACAAGCGCAATGGAATCCTCGCAAAAAATGGGATCGGCCCTTGTACCGATCCAGGAAGGTGTCCAGTCAGGGTCATATCGCGGTCTGAGCTGATAACCCCTACGGTACAACATTTCGTAGTGATCTCGCCAGAACTCCTCAGCAGGTTGGACGTTGAACAGGCCCCTCGCTGTTGCTGCTTCATAGACCCGTAGATCTTCAGGTGAGAGAAGAGCATAGAAAGGGAGACGAGATTCATCAATAGTCATGGGTTTCCTTGAAGTGAAATGTGATTCTAACAAATGGTGTTGGTGTGATGGCTGTAAAAGATGAATGTCACTAGTAGGAAAGCTCCTTGAAGGCTCGTCGGAAGCAGACCGAGAAACAGATATATGTCCTTATTTGAAATCATCTCCAAGACGGTACACGCCGGACCGGGTTCACCGCCTTCCTCACTTCACCCTCACGTTTGCCTCCAGTTTGCCTCGAGGAAAAAGAAGCTTTCAATGATACCGAGCTCACGACTTCACAAAAGGGCTGGTGTAGTGCGCGATGGTTGCGTACCCTTTTCAGACTATTCCATCTCTCTCAGAGTACCTCATCATCCACTGCTCACCAACTGCTCACTCGAGTCCCTCCCGCAAACCAGAGGGCTCCAAGTTCTTTGTGAAATATCAAGGTTCTTTTTACGAAGTCCCCACAGTGAGTGTAGCGCCCCAATCGTTTCCAACTGGATCCGTACAACTACTACTCTCTAACAATATTCTATACGTATACCGTTCAGACTTGTGCAGGCCATGAATCAGGATTCCGGTCTCGCCTGGTTCGGCGCTATCGTTGCCATCATTTCTATCATCTGCGCCTTGCTCAAGGCGATTCAGGCGTATTTGCCGTCGAAGAAGATGCTTGACCTTGACGCCACCCTCCAGGAGACAGAAGAGCTCCTTCGAAGCGCGGTAGAGGAAGGATTGCTCACAGACGAGTCCTTTCTGCGTGACACACATACTCAGCTTTCGGTGTACGTGATCGTCGAAGCTTACTTATCCTTCGCCGTCAATTAATATGAAGTAGAACAGACTTCGCGATTCCACTCTCATTATTCGCGGCAAAGTGCACTCTGCAAGCACTTCGACTCTGAATGAGTATGTCGCCGTATTCGGCGGCTTGACGAGCAAGGTGTCTATGATATACCGCGACGTCAAGGAACTGCGCGCTACCATATCTGTACGTCCCATAGACCATGATCCAGCCTTGTACGTCTTATCTAACGGAATTTTCAGAGATCCTCTGCTGAGGCAAAGCTGAAACTTCAGGAGGGACGGATAGGTGCAACACCGTCTGATCTGGAGGCCTTGCCTTCAGAAACGGGTGGCAAGGCTCATGTCGCCGAAGCTCTGGCCAATCCTCCATTCTCTGTCATCGCTGAGGACCTGAACGGAGGGCATAGACCGCTCACATCTCTCTCGAATAGCATCTCCAGTATGTGCCCAAAAACCTATCAGTGCTGTCTGTTTTCAGCGGTGCGCTGATGTAGTTCAATTGCATAGGTGTAAGCTCGAGCGAGGAATCCAATGCGACTCTGGTAGATTCATCAGCCCAAGCTCTATCTGGGAAGGAATGTGGTCGATATTATTATGTCAAGAAGATTGTCTCCCCTTTTTACCGCATTCCCCACGCCTCTAGTAGCACTCCTTAACACGTCCCTACTGCTTCATGTCTGAACAGTTTCCTTCAAATTGAAACATTGCTCTCGAACGCCGCTAGTCACTCAGTTAACATCACCATAAGTCTACAGGCTGCACATATACGTCGGGTGCTTACACCATATCTCCGTACTTCTATTTATTACCGTAGTACCACTCCATTGTATGTGAGTAGGCTCCCCCCATTCATACTATCCTGTCCAAATCAGGACCAAGGGCGACATTCTCAACCTATTCATACTGAATACAAACGAACAAATGAACGAGAAAAAAATTCTGGGCAGGGGAATTATAAACCTATTGAAAGAACCGTAATTGTCATCGCGAAGATCTCACAGAAATCACACCTATCTCACAACGGTACAACGATACAAATAGCAAATCCTTTGTGATGAACCAGTGACACTAGACGCCAACATTGCCCTTCTGAACCGCAGCTGCAGTCTGGACCAATAACCGACCGTTCATCGTCGCGCCTGTCTCGAGCGTTGCAGATGTGGCGCCCAGCAAGATGCCCTCGAGATGCGACGTCGCGCCGAGCGTGACAGCACCTAAGCAACAAGCATAACACCAGCGTCAAGAAAATTCTCCGGACCTCAATAAATCTAGCTGCCTGGTTTGTGATACGTACCTGAGACAACCCAGACGATGTTATTCATTGGCACGCCGCCTACGCCACCGAGCAGATTGATGTCGGTGTTTACAGCGGAGGTGAGGTCACCAGATATCTGAAAAATCCACGCTGGTAGCCGTAGGATGTGACGAGCGATAGTCAGTCCATGTAAACGGAGAAGGATAGCGGACATACTATCGGTGGAATTGCCAGAGAGGGTCACTGAAGATGAAATAGAGACATCACTGGTCCACTTGTAAAGACCAGGCGTGAGCGTCAGTCCACCGATGTCACCTGTGCGCAGAGATCAGTCTGCGTGTACTATATGGAATGGCTAGTCAAGTAGAACATACCATCGGCGAGATTGATGAAGTCAGGGCCAGGACGACCTGAAGCATCGGTAAATGCCGTCTCCATGTCTCCAACCGCGGTAGTAAGTTGTGCTGGTGTTGGTGCCGCATAATCCGCAGCGAAAAGTTGTCCAGACACTTGGGTCGAGTTGCCAAATGTGCCGGTACTGTCCTCCGTGATTGAGAAGCCAGTGAGGAAAGTGGACGCCGCGGGGCTTAAGCCTACGTTACCATCTAAACCAGACACGATGAGCACTCGAAGTGAGAATATATCGAAACAATGTGTACTAATTAATGACGGTGGTATGACTGACACTCCTGCCTTAGCCAGGATAGCAAATGTTCCTGCTTCACCGAGGGAGACGGCAAGAGGTCCTGCTGCGAGCACCACAGAGACGAACTTGGGATGAGGATTAGAGGAGACATAGGTAAAGGGAAGGGGGTAACGGAACATACCGCTAGAATAATGGCAATGAAAGAACGCATTGATAAACTGGTGTGGTGCAATTGTAGATGGGATAAAGATCTTAACGCTCCATCATAGAGGGACGTTCACTTTATACGATTCCGCATGCAATGACAATTTCGTTCAGATACGAGTGCAGCCCTGAAGATAAAAATGCTTTACGAACCTTTAGGCGTAGCATTTGAGCGGCACAGGCGTCGTTTTGTTCCGATCTTCGGATGGGATGCTATGTCCGCTTAGAGTACGACTAATGGGACAATAAGGCTTAAGGTGACGCACGCAACAGTATGGCACCATTCAGTGCTCGGGGAGAGATCGGAGAGAATTGGTACGGCCGCACGCAAGTCCTACTACTGAATAGTAGATGGAGTTAAGGGAGGTTAGAAGTTGGCCTCCGATGCGTTGAAAGAGTGGCTGTTAGATGAGGTCGTGTCAATCTTCTCCACATACAACGTTCCCCAATGACGCTTCATCAACTGAGATGACCGGTGACCTAGGGTATGGTCAAGCCGTCGAAAGCTTTGGTGCCTTTCAGTGGCTAGTACCTTGAGCGATTTAGCCCTTGTTATACTTATATACCACTGGTCCTAAAATACTTGAGATAGAAACAGGGCCTATCAATGTCCGTCGAAATGTAAAAGGGGAGAGGTACTATGTGCAGAAGAAACTGGTCAATGACATCTAGGGAGCTCTTTTCGACTGTGCTCAAATTTGGGCAACGAGCCCTTAACGAGGAAGTCTCATCCACGATCTCATCAATTTGGGCCTATTGACATACAGAACCGCTCTGCGAATACCATCAGAACGAGCGACGGAAGACCATTCACGTACCGCTTGCAAACGTGCTCGACACGCAAATAGCTACAGCGAAAGATCTTTCACAGTTAAGGCCACTTTAAGGGCCCCGCGGTTCCGGGATGAGCGGGTGGGAGGCAGTTCCTGGCTTCAAGTTCGACATGCGAGGGAACTCTGCTAATACGAGAGCATCCACGCACCTGGACGCGCGACCTGTGGTATTAGAGAGGTTCAAGCGCACGGCACGAACACACATATTCATTGCACACTCCCGTCAGCAGCGCACTGTAAGTCTTGGCTGGGTGAAAGATAGGTTAGATAAAAATCTCGCCAAAGATAAAGAGGTCAAAACGGACTGACACGTCTCTGCATCTACCACTCATTGACAAAGGCCACACCAACATGTGCAAAAAGTGGCTGGTGGGAGAACAGGTAGAAAGTGATGGTGCAAAATACGGGTCTCGAGTGGCTTCATCTGCGCGAGAGCATGAAGGAAGTCAACCAGGAGAGGACACGGAAACGGCCTTTCGCGAAATTCATAGTCTTCAGTTCGTTCGACCACCATCTTCGAGACGTTTAGACCACTGGATATAGAAGAGGACCATAAGGCGGGCTCGATATTGCCCCTGATGGACAAATAACGAAGACACGGGGCCTGTCCGCTGAACAATGTCGATCGCCATTGAGGCTGGTCGTCGGACCCTCCGAAGTGGGTGTATTCCAACCTGGCAGATTCGAGCAAAGGTGCGGGTTGATAGAGCTGCTCTATGGCATCAGGGTCAGGCGCGGAACCGCGAAGAGTGAGCCATCTCGTCCTGTGCAGGTGAGGGAATGTACCACGGGCAATAAACAATGCTTCCTGGGCGTTCACTACCCCAACGGAGTCAGGGTCCACGTCGATCGTCTGAATATCGAGCGGGATGCCCTTCGTTCGATGGTGCATTTCTGCTGACCAGCTTGAGCGTTCCCATAGGATATCTCTCCACAAGGCTGGGTATTCGCCGCTTGTCTTCAGCGACGACATACGTGGGTGACGTCTGCGAGGGTGACGAAGCCTTGGCGGAACCGGCGAAGAGATGGGTAATATAAATACTCGTCTGGGTCTAATGACGCTAACGAAGTCGTCCCAATTGGCGGTGATGATGATTTCGAAAATATGGGAGAGAAGCTCTGGAGGGAGCTGAGCGACGGGAGTGAGATTGTTCCGAGCAGCGAGGAGACGTAAGTTGCCGGGAATGTTCGATCTCGTCCTCGACAGCTCGTATCAGTTCCTGATTCGACGACCACACGGCGAGACAGGGGGCGTCTCACAGGCTTCCAGGACGGACGACGTGAAATCGATCCATCTCTGATCGCTGGTCATGGGCAATTATCTGTGAGTTATCCAGACGCGTGTCAATCTCAGTGATGCTCACCTCGAGCCCAGCATGTTGCATACGCGCTAATATTCTGTTTATCTGGATATAATGTAACGTTGGCTGTCAGCATGCAGGATTTGCCGAATTATACTCCAACACAGAAACCTGAGATATCGAGCGCAAAAAAATGATCGCGCCGCAACTCGCTAACACGAGCGGCTACTTTGAACCCACTAATAGCGCATGGATCGTTCGTAACGAACGCTAAGCGGGAACGTACATACCTCTATCCAGGAGTGCAACGGAAACAAGAAACTTGTTTGGCTAAGGGAAGGTAACCTCTTGAGCAGTGTTGAAATGGTCGTTCAGGTTGTTAAGTGCAGATGAACCTCGTTTGCTTGGTGAAGTCGATGCCACGACGTCACGCTTTACAGCAAGTGGCACTTCACATGTCGTCGCCACATGAGCCGTTCCGAACTCGATCTTAGCTATACCCTTAGGGTAGCTAACAACATGGACTACTTGGTCCAACTGGGTCAAAAAGTAGTCAAGAACAGCGATATGTACGTGCAAGGAAAACATTGGTATGGACGCAGGTCACCACCGGGATGCATAGCGAGACTGGAATAGCCTGATGCCATTTGTGGGAGAACAAGAGCACGTCAACGACAAAGATCATATGCAATACAGACGTTAGTGGAGCAGCTCACAGATACGGAGGACTACTCGTGTTTACCGATACACCTCTTGAGGATAATACTGCTGTGGGGGCGGATAAGGACTGAATGATCTCGTCTGCGCCCTTGTCGAAAGTAGATGACTACCTCCTGGGCTGTAACAGGTACATGAATCAGACCTATAACAAGGGCCACACAAAGTACCAGAAGCTCACCCCATCTCATGGTTCAACACGTTATCCAGTGCCACATCCTTCGCCTCCTTCTCCTCATCCTCCATTATCCGCACGACCCTTAGCTCCTCAAGTAAACCCTCATTCTCCCTAAGCGCGAACCTATGTTTCGCCTTCATGATCAGATATTTCACCATCTCCGGACTACGACCCATGATCAAACCGGTATTGAGGTCCATAGCCTCCAGCAGATGACGAGGTATCCCGTCATGGGGATCGTCGATTTCGGGTGAGGGAGAACGGCGAGGGGGCAGTGTGGAGAAGTAATCGTCGGGCTGTGGTGAGCCTCTGTCGTCGTATTCTCCATTTCCCGGCGTCACATCAAGCGGAGAACCAGGCTCATGCAACTTGAACGTCGTATACCCATCCCGATCTCCTGCACCTCTTCCCGGCCCCACTGATCCGCCAGGGGTCCCGCCTTCAACATCTATCACATCATCCTTCTCTCCTCTCTTTCGCTTCTTAGTCGCGCCTCTTCCAGGGAGTGGTGGGCTGATATTGTGTTGCAGGCGCATGTGTTTGGCCAAGGCGTCAGAGCGAGTGAATGATTTGTCGCACTCTGGCCGTGGGCAGATGAAGGGCTTCTCGCCGGTATGTGAGCGAATATGAGAGATGAGAGCAAAGCGGGATGTTTGGGCAAGTCCACGACGAACGCAAGTGGCCCATTCACAGGTATAGTTCGACTTGTGTACGCCGATGTGATCTGCCGAACGAAGCGTTAATTACTGACTAGCTCAGGGGCAAGGTTTGACTTGGTATTAAAAATAAGTAACGCACCATTGTGTATGTGGTCGATGAGTGAGGGAAGGTGGTCAAACACAGTTCCACAATCCTCCCATTCGCAAGTAACGGTGTCGTCGTCGAAGACATTCACACCCGGGATTTCAGGTATGTAACTCCCACCGGCACTGGGTGATCCGCCTCTCGAACTGGTCGGCACACGGGCCATGACATTATAGTCAAGAGATTGCTCCATAGTATCGTCGTCCAAAGAGGAGTCTGATAGAGCAGGAGAGCGAGATGTCGGGCCTGGAGATAGAGAATGACCTCGTCCACCAGGTGTGGGGGAATTATAGAAGGTCCGTGCCATGATGGGGACAATCAGAATGATTAATTCGAATGCGTGCGCGTGCGTGGATTCTGGAAGGTACGAGCGTGAGGTAAAGTGAAGCTCTCAGAAGACGGAGGCTGTATTTGTTGGCGAAGGTTGTGGCGAGAGCGAAGAAAGAGTGGCCCAATGTCGAGGCGGACGACGAGCAGGTGTTGATGTTTGTTTACGTGCCTTTAGCGCGCGTTGTGTGGCACCGTGGCGACGCGTCCCTCTCCTTTCTCCACCATCATCTCAGTCGCGACCTTACCAAATCGACGATTTCACTCACAATGTCTGCATATCCTTCGCCAGAACATCAATTTATAACTTCTACTCTTGGCTCTGATGCGGGAACACCAACCTCTTCTCAAAAGCGTACCAAGTCCACAGCCAACGGCAAACGCGGTCGAAAGCCCAAAAACACGACAGTATCTACTCCTCAGGAAGTCAGCACACCAACGACATTGCAATGGACGCAACCGTCCATGCCCGCTCCCTCCACTTCCCAATCCACCATGCCGTCCGCGTCACAGAGCGTAGGTGCAACCGCTGAGGGGCCCAGCACGCAGACTCCATATCGACAGAGTTCCACAACGGGTCCGAGTACTACAGCTCCTAGTGGTCTTGGTGGCTCTGGATCGGAAGGAAATGTTACATCGGGTCTTGTACTTCCTACAGGGGCTTCAGGAACCGGGCAGAGGATAGGAACGGCTGGTCCCGGAGCTGCTGAAGAGGAAGCCGAGGGTGAGGACGAACTTTTGCCTGCCATGGCCGACGACGATTATTCGGCACAATTATCATGGCAGAGTCAATCAAAAGACAATCTCAAGTGCGCCATTTCTTTGCCTTGTTGTGTTATTATGGCAATTGACGGTGGTAAACTTCCTTTCAGGGTGCTCATGGACAGCTTTACACCGGAACAGTACGAGCGGTTCGAAGCATACCGACGACATGCGCTTCCTAAACAGGCTGTCCGAAAGGTACATATGAGTGATTATATTCGGCCTCAGAGAGATCATACTCAATGTCTTGTTGCCCTTTGGCGCAAACGCAGGTCATTCAACAGACCCTTGGCCAACAAGTCTCGATGCCTGTCGCGCAGGTAGTCGCCGGTTTTTCAAAGGTCTTCGTGGGAGAAATCGTTGAAAAGGGTACGTCCTCCTAGCTAACATCGCTTTCTTCGGCCCTCGTTTTGATGTGGTCCTGAACAGCCCGCGAAGTGCAAGCCCGTCGAGGAGAAACTGGTCCACTTTCTCCCGATCATCTAAGAGAGGCGTACCGATCCTATCAGCAGGAGACAGGGAGAGTAGGTGCTGCGAGACCGATCCGATCGAAGAAGCTGTTTGTGCGATGATTCAAAAGTACGTCCTGGTGGATGGCATTACCAACCGAACGTCTTGGAGGTACGAGCAACCCATTGGACTCTATTGTAGGACCTTATTGAGTGGAGGGTGTAGTCGGTATTCCCATTGTAACATATTCTTTGTATATGTAATCATGTCACCTTCCAAACGCACCATAAACATCGCAGACAATCTCTACGATGCTAAATCGGAGAACGGCGAAGTTTGGATGCGGCGATTCCTGTGGTCGGAGTTTCGATCGTGTGGCGTTATCCTCATTTCAAGATGAACTTTCCTCCTGCCATCACTGACGACGCTCGTTCACAGTTATATTCGACTTGGGAATATAACAAACGGACAGTGCTGGGAGATGTACTGCTAGGACCAAATAATGGTACTGCGTCATATCGGTTTCAGAGTCTGAGATTTTCTGAGGTTCGTCTGAGACTGCCAGGCCAGACTAAAATGACCCAGATGGGTATTCACTGCTCACCATAGAACCGAGCTCTACGTTGTCCCTCTCGCCACCAAGAAGTCATGTCTATTTTAACTCCTTCAGTACATCCCCATTTCCTCACCTCTGCAGAGACATGTCGTTTCGCACCCGACAAGGTCGACCTCAAACCGCTTTCACTCGACCTCGACGACCACACGGAGCTTCTATCATCTATCACTTCTGCTTTGATCTCGCTTTCCTCGTTCTCTCAAGATATTCTCGACTCTGTGGAAACCGAATCTTTTGACATCACACCCTTCAGACCAAAGTCCGCCAAACTCAGGCCTCTCCCTCATGCGCGTCGGTTCCGGGTAACTGAGGGGTCTAAAACTATGCTGAAACAGGCAATACTAGCTCGTATCAGAGAAAAGGCCAAGGAGGACTTTGCAGTGCGCGTGAAGAGGGATATGGCGAATCTTGCCACGACTTTGGGTATCGACCCGGAGCTTCTTCCAGAGTTCAGGAGAAGGATGGATGCTGCGAGGCAGCGAGGATACAAGGGATACTCTCCGATTTATTCAAGATCAGCTCCATGCGAGCTGGATCAAGAAAACGGTCTGCCTTCGAGGAGCAAGCGGTCTGTCATCCGGATGTCACGTTCTTTTGGGTTTACGAAGGGAGACACTGCAGTTGTAGAGGCTAATGTCGCGGGTAAGCGAGAGTATCTGCTGAAATGGTTCAATCTTGCTCATAGCCCCGATTGTCTCAGAGGATCCCTCAACTGAACTTTGCTTGAGCGACAAACCTTCGATAATCACCTTGGCGAAAGCAAGAAAGGTCATTTCTCATGTCTCCGAAATGCTCACTTCGCGCTCGAAGTTGACAATATCGGAAGTTGTGCAGTTAATCAGTGAGTCCCTATCATATATGAAGCCATCCTGTCGAGGTTTAATTGATTCGTATCCGAATAGGTCCTGACTCACCTTTTCGTCGCGCAAAGAACCCCATGGCCAGGTCGGGTTCACAGTCATGGCTTGCGTGCTTCGACAGTTCTGACGACGACCTGGTCGATACGTGACTCCTTTGATTCCGATACCTGATATGTACTCCTATAATTTTATGAGCGATACGACAAATGCCTCACCCAGTCTATTCGCATCGAAAGCGTGCATCAACCCTGTAAAACTTCGTGAACAACCGGTTTCAACAGCTCTGAGTCCAAAACCTTCATAAGCCTCTCTTTCCTCATCGGAATCCATAACCTTTCTCCACTACCCTCCCTCGTTACCACTAAGCTGTGATCCTTGAACTCCCCTAACAGTGCCCGCAACGCTGTATCGCTCGTCGCCACGAACTTTCCCTTCGCCATGATGTACAACACATCGTAGGCGATCCCGACTTCCTCCTTGTCGGCCTCGGTAACCTTGGCATCGTCGCCTGCTTCCTCCATGGCCTCAAGTTGCTGGTGGGCCATCAGAACGAAGAGTTTCTTCGCTCGCTCGGTAACCGACGCCAGAATGTGTTGGGCTGCGGTTTCGGTCATAGTGAGACTGGACGTGGCGGACGGGTCCGGGTGGTGGCTTCGGGAATGCGCTGTCGTGGCTCCTTTGATGGAAGAGCGGTCTGCGAACGCAAGTTCTGTGTCGTATGGTTGCAGTGTCGTCAAGTCGTGCCATAGCCAACCAAATCCTCCGTTGCTCAGATTCTGCCTCCGTGTCATCATCTCCGAGGAGCTCCAAAGGATCGGAGCGTTGATATGATCGACTGAGGCTACGAGGCTGACATGAGCGCTGAAGAAGAGAGGGGAGAGACAGGCCTTGGCTTTGGCTGTACGGAGAGCGGGCGCGTCGAGGTTATGGATGATAAGAAAGAGACGTTGTTCTGAACTCGCGAAGAAATCGCAGATACGACGCGCCTGGTTCTCTAGGCCTCGTGTAGGGAGCGGGAGATCCAAGATGCCAGGTATCTTTTCGATAGCAGCAAAGACATCGTTGAGACTGAAGTTGGGAGAGTACGCATTCATGACGATGACGGGTCCGCGCTTACGACAACGCTGTATCGCAAACTCGTTCAGAATCTTGCGCTTGGATCCGAACCCGTAGAATGCCAGATTGAAACCCTGATCTAGCTCGAATAGAAACTGCACGAAATGACGTCGATGTAGGGCGCTCAGTGAAGCAATACTCCGATCTGGTCCAGCAATAGAAGGATAGTGGGATGTCCGGATGGAGGTCGCGTACTCCTCGGGAGAGAGTGGCTGCACTAGTTGCGAAAAGACGTTTGCGGATGTGCGTGCCGCTTTCGAGGCATGCAGAAAGTACGCGTCGAAGGACGTGTCGGTAGAAAGAACGGGCTGCGACGCCCTGCGAATCGACGTGTCTGCGCGACTTGAAGGTCCAGCTTGGAGTTCCTCGTCGGAATATGCGATATCAGACGTGTCGCTGTGTGAGTCATCAGAGAGCATGACTTCAGTGGACCCGGGGTCAGCTTTAGGATATATGTCGCGAGTTTGCCGGATCACTTACCTGAGGATGTTCGACTTGAACTCGATTGGATGAGTATGCGCGGAGAAGGTGGCCAACTTCGAGTATATACTAAAAGAGTAGGAGTAGGAGTAGCGTGCCGGTCCCCGGAGTGGACACCCGATCGCACCCTGGGCGTGGCTCCGTTGTTCTTGTGGCACCCTTTGTACTGTTGGCCTGTGCCATTGCCGTCTCTCATCACGGAAATCTGCCGAGTCCTGCAAGGTCATATATTTCGCTTGCAGGGTCATATATGTGATTCAATCGCTGAAATACTCCTACAACAAGTGAATTGGGTTATCGTGCTCATTCACATATTGCAAGGTCTATAGCAAAGGTGCCCAAGTTACTATAGGCCCCCAAAATCTGTCGAGGGTCACATCTCTTCAGCCCAGGTTGTACTTTCGAGTGTCCATTTTGACAGCGTAATCGAGCAATGAACCGTTCGCAGACAATAGCGTTGTGTATTAGGTAGCGCTACAGTACACAGTGGTACATAAGCATAGAGGGCCGAGGTAGCAATTACAGGCGGGGCGTTATACAGATCGGGCAACAGCAGCAAGAGACGAGACGAGACCAAAGAAAGTAAGAAACATATAGTAGTTCCTGGCATCGGACAGGAGATGCGAGTGTGCGTAAAGGCGCTCAAGATGAGGTACGAATGTAGGTAGTTGCCCGCATACGACAGCGCGTCGCGTACGACGTTCACGCTGTAAATTGATGATGTCATCCCCTGGTCCAAAGACGAAGCACAGTGTCTGCTTCGTCTTGTGCGGAGGGGATGTGGAAAGGGACGAAAGCAAGACGAAAGCGAGCGCGAACAGGGAAACAAACAGGGACGGAACGAAACGAACGCAACAACGCTAACGGACTCCACCTGCCACCGTCGCGTCAACACGCGCTCGCCTCGCGAACCTAGTCCAAGGGCATCCGAGCCGTATAGCGCCATGTGAAAGAAAAGGCTTTGGTCATCGTAGAGTAAAGGCTGGAGCTGTAGATAGAGTGACCAGCGAAGGTTTCAGATTTGGGGGAAGAGAGGATGATGGTGGTACAACTCGAAAGGAATTCAGCCCGCACAAGAAAATAATGAGTGCGCTGGCAAGTCCCACGCTGAGTCCCAAACTGCACCTTCTTTGGTGACGCATCGATTCCGGCCGAGCTCGGCCGGTCTAGATATGGGGCTGATCCCAAGCCAATCCAACATTTCACAGCTTTCTAAGCTTTAACAACCTGTTTCAGCGTAAATAAGTGTTTTCAAGGGCGATATAACTGCAGTTAACCCCGCCACCATTTATTCGGTACAATCAATTGCAAACGTCGGCGGGAATCCGTGATGCTGGTGTCAGGCATATTCGTTGCCATGAGTGCGCAGTGCCCGGCATTGTTCTTACTTTTCTGAAGGCATATATATATATTCCTCAGTAATGCTTGCGACAAAAGACCCTTCCGTTCCCTCTTCTCCATCTCCCGGTGCTTTGAGACTATGCCCGCTGCAGACGTGGACACCGACGACGCGAACGATGCACAGAATGTTCCCCCGCCACAGCAACAAGATCTACAGCTCGAGCGTCTCCTAAACCAGTTCGGTGAAGACAAATTGATTGAATATAGGGATACAGTTCGTTCTTTCTGCTTTCTTCAACAATTATGTGTGGCTGCCACTAACTTCTGACACTCTTCCGCAGAGATGCAAGTCAGATCCCACATTCGAAGGACTAGTCGACTCTTTTCCAGACTTTTACACAATGGAAAATGCGTCTCTCTGGGTCAACACTAAGGAATACTTGGGCTGGATCTCTCAGAGCTTGCAGCAGCGCTCACCGCGAAAGGTTCTTGTGGCTGCCTCTGCACCTTTGATCAACGGTACTCCTCACACACCTCCTCGCTCGGTCACACGAGCGGCACCGTCTCTTCCACTCGAAGCTAGCTTGTCCCGGTCGTCACCTTCCCAAGCTTCGTCCCCACTCAAATCCTCTCATACAGCGACAGCGGCTAAGACTCTGTCAAAACACAAGCGCAAGCGACAGAGTTCCGTCATTTCCATCTCGTCGGATGACTCTGACCGTGCGGGATTACCGCCTGTTGCGCCCTCTTCACCGCCCACAGTTCAGCATGCTGTATCTTCTCCGGCTGCAGTCCCTCCCTCGTCCCCTGTTGAACCTGCCCCATCAGCTCCGCGTCCCTCTAAACGTCAGCAGAAGAAGAAAGCCCGCAAGGATCGTGCTCTGATTCGGATTACTAGGTTGACAACTTGCTCTGAGCTGCGGCATGTCACGGAACTTCCTTTCTGCTGGGACGTACCCGATCACGACGGTGGAATTGTAGCTTATTTGGTGGATCTGAAGGACAATCCTTGCTCTTGGGAAGATGATAGTGGCAATCCAATGTCAATGGCCGCAATTATTAGGTCACAGGTGAGCACTGTACGATCTGTCCTATTTCTGGATTGACGTGGCACTAACATATTTCGTCAATGATCTACAGGATCAAGATGCTTGGGGCGACGGCTCTGCTGGATCCGACCGTCCGGAGGATCTCTCCAAGGTCTTTGCTTTCAACAATGATCCCTCTTCAGCCGGATTTGTTCTCTGCAGGAAAGCAGACGTGGTCTGTCAGGGTGTCCTTCATTGCAAGCACATGGACATGGATCTTCTTGATGACTGTCAGCGGTATGATGCGAACCCAGAGGATCGCCAGAAGTTGATTGACGCTGAGCGTGCGGTCAACGGGCTGAACACGAACGAAAGTGGTGCGATCAGGTACGTCTCCGGTCTCTTGCTTCAATGAAATACCCGTATGAGCTTCTTATATGTGAATCTCTGTATCTTTTACAGCTTCTACAACAACGAGGTCATGCAGAGCAAGTGTAAGTATGTTGGTGACGATGGCAAGCCATGCAATGGACGGGTAGTCTTGCGAAAGTTGAGAGAGGTCAGTATTCTGTTCATCAAACCTTAACTCAATTCGTACTCTGAGCATACTATTTGCAAACTATTTGTCTCTGTTTTCAGGCCAACTTCGATAACAAGCACTTCATGTTCGGCTGTGAAGGATGGCGACGTGATGACGCGAAGAAGGCCGACCATCGCCTTGTCAGTATACCGGTCACGATCGACGAAAACCTCGTCGTCGAGTTGTTCCGCAACGACGGGGTTCTCAAGAGTGCAGATGGTGGGAAGGTAACACTAGCTGGGAAGTGTGCTCATGTTCGGCCTCGATCGCAAGGGAAGAACAGCAAGCTTGACTGCCGTACGTTCAGCATCAATCCCTATTGACATTGACATACCACTGACACCTTCTTCTGATCACTTCTCTAGCGTATGCTCATGTCGATGAGAAAGGTAGATCCCTTCCCGGGAAACTCGTTGTTCGTAAATGCTCGACAAAGATGAGCATATGGTATCCTGTCGACAAGGGAGATAGGCGTGCTATCGTTCTTCTCAAGAATGCACACAATCATCCTATGCCTCGTGCTTGGAAGGCTGGATATGATGGTAAAGAACGATATAAGAAGGCGGTGAAGATGGCAGGGACTGCCGGTGCAACGGTGTTGAAGGTTGATCAGGGTATGGCTGATGTGATAGAGATAGAATAATGTTCAATTTATCTGATGTACTTCTCTGTTTTTGAATGCAGCTTCGAGTACAGTTCAGATCTTCGACGGCATGACACCTGCAGAGTTTGATCCAGCCCTCAACAATGCACGCACGAAGCGCGATCTAGCTCGGAAGGTTAAGCAGCAACAGCAACCGCACGGAACAGGAATTCCTGGTCAGTTCTTCTTAGTATTGAGCTTAAAACAACCCACCTGATAGCCACCATTGTGATATATTTCTATTACAGGGGTGTTCGCTCGTCAAGCCGAACAACAGCTGCTTCCTCTTGGTCAGCAGTACATTCAAGCGATACATTCCGTCTCTGGTCTCTACATAATTGTCACCCTTCTACCCGAACTTGCCTTATACTATCACAAGGCAACGGCATCTTACCACGATAACACATACAAGCGACTTCACGGCAACTGGAAAGAGTGGGAGGTGGTCATTTGGGTGGACGAGTTGAATATGCGTGAGTCTCATCCTTCCTGGCATGGACTCCAAAGTGCGCTGCGTATCATTCGCTGTGGAGCTATGTCGTGCATAGCTGACTACTTGACATCAGGTGTCACTGTTGCCAGAATATATTGCGAGCATGAGACCCGCGAGGCCTTCTGCCTTATGTGGTCCTGTTTTTGGAACGCTGTGGAACGGGCAACCGGACAACCCGTTCAGTTCAACTTCATGCACGGAGCAGGACTCCTCGCTATTCTTGTCGATGGCTGCAAGCCTCAGGTAGACGGCTGCGGTGATGCGCTCCTTGAACGCCTCCGTGCTTGCTCGGATGCACTGGTCAGCGAGACAGACCCTCAAATTGTTGTTCAGCATATAGTGAAGCTCTGTTCAGTGCATCTTGATCGGTGAGTTGAAGTCATTTCTTGCTGCAAGGTGTTGTCTTGACGATTGATGTACCGACTTAGCAATCTGCACGAACTGGAAGCCCATTGTTCCGAAGAGGAGATGAGAGTCGTACGGCGTTGTAAAACACTCGAGACCCAAGCGGAAGTGGACGAGTTCTGGGAATTCTGCTATAGCGCTTCAAAGAAGCTTCGTGGTGAGTTCTTAGTTTGGATTCCTCTCAAGCTTCCACCATGTTCTACTTACCCAGTGCTGTACATAGACTGGGCATTTGACAAGAAACCGTATCCTTGGTTCCTTCCGGGGCTCAACGTGCATCTCTCGAAGATGAGTCGAAACATCTGGCATCGCACACCCTGCAATACCAACCTCAATGAGAGCGCACACCCTCACACTAATGCTCATACAGGGATTAATCTCTCGCTGCTCGAGGGCATTGACTCGTATGTTTTTTATCGTTTGATACTATTGCTGCCAGGTACCTTGCACTGACTCGTCTGAACTGACTTTGTAGTGCACATAAGTATGACTTGGGAGTGGCGAAGAAGATCAAGATCGCTGAGACCAGCGGAATTGATCCTAACCACCGCAACACAGTCGCTCAGCGCTTGCACAACAACACTCTTCGGGCCACAAACAAGAAACAGAAGGTTCAGAACGAGAGCAATACCAAGGGCAAGAAGAAGACAGCGACATCTAAGTTCAAGACCGCTGTCGAGGCCTTCAGTGAGTCAACAGTGGTTGACGCGCCACACCTATCGTCAAACACACTACCAGCATCACAGCCCATTGCGAGCTCATCGAAGACTGGAGAATCAACGCAAACGAGCGCCAAACCAGCCCATAAAGGTTCGTCTCGTGCATATATACTGACCGTCCATCGCTGACCTAGAGCCTCTCCTCATATAGCAGGCCCATCGACACTTCCAACAGCGCCGAGCATCCTCGCCACCCCAACTGGACCTCAGCCACAGCCATATACACCATACGGGTATTATTCTCCTTATCCTTACTATGCTCATCCGCAGATGGTGCACCCAGCGTATCCATATGCCTTCACCGGACAACAGCCCTATCGTGTACCTAGTGCACCTCAACAGCCTTGTCCCTCTGCATCTCCGTCATTACAACACGACACTACGACGTCTGAGGTTTCGGATAAGCGGTGAACTCCCATGTACCAGTACTACTGTAGTAGAATAGAATCAATCACTCACGTTATAGCCGTTTAAGTACCTTTAAATTGCATTGAGAATGAGCTTGTCTTGTAGAAGCAACGGTCTCGCATAGCTCAGGGTGATTCAGGAACAATGGAGGTGGGGAGAACAATGAAGGCGAGTCCACGACACGCGTCGAGTAGGAGTAGGAGACGCCACATCAATGTCCGGCATATGCCGGCGCACTCCCACTCCTACTCTTTTAGTCACTACTCCCAACTTCAAAGACTCGATGGTGGATACAGTCTGTGTCACCTTATGTCATCAAGTCCGTGTTAAATAATCTTAAATGTATATACACAAATAAATAATCATTCAGGAAGCTTCAGTGGTGTAGCGGTAACATTGGGTCTTCCCATGGCCTAGCTCCGGGTTCGACTCCCGGCTGATGCATTTAATTCATGTCACCCTCATTTTGCTCAAGCAACTCCCATTCCATAGTGAGGTCTAAGACGTGCGTGGTTCTAGTGGACCAGTAAACTTGGTGTTCATAACTTGCATGTTGTCTCATCGACCTGGCATATCATCCACATAATATGAAGTCGACGTGAAGTGTCTCACATAATAGTGTTTCAATGCTTGCTAATCTACAGAGTGATCAAAATTATCCTTACTCAGGGAAGAGGGATGACTTCGAAGCGTGAAGCATCATACGTAGTAGGCCCGCCTTGGATCCGAAGATGATAGGGCCCACGCTGGTCATCGTGGTTCAAAGCATAAATAAATATCATACACGCTGACGTTTAGTAGATGCCGGGTAGATAACGCGAAGGGACTCTTCTCGCCCAATCCTCCCACTCCGCTTTGAACTGTTTCCTCAAGAAATGATCTTCTCGACCAGCTCTCGTAAAGACCTTCAACTTCCATCCGATCGCAGCCGCCACAAGGATACTACAGAACTTTCCATACGGACCTTTATACCCCCCCTCTCTCCACCAGGATCCTCGTCCCACAAATAATATGGCGAATCCTATCACAGACATGATACCACCCGTGTAACTGGGGTGACGGACGACGTTGTAGGGACCCGTCGTGATAAGCTTGTGGCCATCACGGACTGTAAGTCGAAAGGTGAACTGGCGGCCCATCTCACGGTAGCATCGCAGGCGAATGAGGGAGCCAGCAATGACCAAAATGGAGCCGGAAAGGGAGGAGGTAGTAAGACGTCCTGGGAGACTGGAATTTGCCACCGGGGATTTCAGAACGGAGAGGATGTGTTGTGAGATAGGGCCCTCTGGGTGGCGAGTCGCGAGAGTAGCGGCTATCTCTGTAAGAGCCATGAGCCAGTATATGGCCTACGAGGTACCGCTCCGAGTCAATAACGTTCAAGTAGTGTCAGCATAGAAGGCCTCACATTTCCTGCGGGAGCAGCATACGGAATCAGCCTCTCCCCGAATGGAATTGATGCTGCATCCGATGCTTTCTTCTGCTCTTCAACTGTGACAGTGACTTCAGACTTGACAGGCGGACTCTGCGAATGATGATAAAGGACAGCGGCGAGGAGAGTGAGGGCGACCTTTGGTAAAGATTGCATTTACACGAGCAGGAGCAGTATGACGATAGCCAGTCTTCTTAGTTCTTTGGAGAGGACTGTAAGTCGTTGATGCGAGAGTATCGAGATTCTGGAGCAGAAACGAAGAGTCGCGAAGACAATCAAGGCCCGAGCTTCAATACATGGATCCATGATATTCAGAGGGTGTAACAGGTCGCTCACCGGACAAGTCCAAGTCAACCGGTAGTCCGTACGTGCGAGGATGTTCTGCTAGGGCAGAGGCCATGGCCTATATATCTCTCTCGCCTAGTGATAGATAATATATCACAGATTCCGGGGTAATCAGTCGTGAGATAAAAGAGAATGACAGAAGAACTGCGATTCGAATATCTTATCCGTACGATTCGACAGAATCGTTGAAGAAACGGGGCCATGGCCTAACTTGAGCCCGACTGCCCCTCACCGCACCTGACACTGATTAACTTTCCGTAAGGAAATGTACGAGGATGGCATCAGCATGTGAAGTAAACGTATGAAATGCGTTCAATCCTCGCACGCAAAACATGTAGACTCGTGTTTCATATGTGAGATCTAGAAGCGCCGTCATCGACGTATCCGACCGAGGAGCGCTGTTAAAAGAGGCGCTTTCTCATAAAAGATTCCCATGAGGGCATGATGGCTCTTTAGTAGAGGCCTGGCACATAGCGATACGGAACTATCTTAGCCCAAGCCTCCCACTCGGCTTTGAACTCTTTTCTCATGTACGCATCCTCCTGACCACCTCTCAGGAACGCCTTCAGACAGAACCCGATGGTCACCACCAACACCCCGGCACACACCTTCCCGAACGCAGTGTTGTGACCAACTTCCCTCAACCATGAACCACGTCCAGCAAGCGTCAAGATGAGCCCGACGGTTGTCATGAGCCCTCCGGTATAGCTGGGGTGGCGTACGACGCTGTATGGCCCGGTAGTGACGAGCTCATGATCTTGACGAAGTGAGAGGCGGAAGGTGAAGTGATGTCCCATCTCGCGATAGCAGCGCAGACGGATGAGAGCCCCGAAAATGATAAGTAAGGAGCCGACGATGTTCGTTGTAGACGGATGGACAAGGGATGTGAGTGCTTGCTGCGAAGCACCATTGAGGGCAAATGTGTGGCGAATATGCGAGGAGGCTCGGTACTGCGGCAGTCGAAGGGCAAGAAGGCTTGCCACTTCGGCGACACTCAAGGTCCAGTATAACACCTTTGATAAATAGGAGATTGCGATGAGTGCACGTCCGTACAACTAGTGCAGAAGGTTGAGACCAACCTTCGCCGTGAGCGTCGCCGCTGGGATCAGCCTTTCTGCCACCGTCACAGAAGAAGCTCGAAGAGCTCTCTTTTGCTCGTCCTGGGTTTCCGATGTGGACGGCGGAGTGAACGCTCGATCATAGAAGGCTGCAGTCGCAAGTACCAGAGGAATTTTAAGAGTCAAAGGCATGTCTGTTCGTCTGACTACTGTGCACATCACCTCATCTTCGTGGCCATTTATACCTGTCTGAAGTTTCTACAGAACTGCCACGAGATAGATGGCACGCACTTCCTACAATAGCCCTCCTGAAGGCATAATTATGAAGGAATGGAACCTGTCAAGGCTAGGGAGACGGCTCTCCGCAGCCCCATCGTGAGGAAGGGTGCTCTGCATTCTGTCGATTGACAAAGTGTTCTGAAGTGGAGTGGGACCTATAGGACATACTCTATTCCAATCTATTCACTGCATTCCTTTGCATGACACCAGAAGTGGCTACCATGAGTAACGCGCCAAACGGGATAGGTGTCCACATGAAAACAGGCAGGTATCCGTAAACAAGGGACCCTTGATGGAGGTGTATCCTGGATCAGTCATAATCTGACAGTCGCAATACACACATGGGAGACGAGCCAAAATCACAGCTGAGTGGTGGGCGTAAACGTCGAAAAATTGCCAAGGCGTCACGGTGGGCTCCGGAAATGAACACACACCAAGACTATATAGCCCTCTCGACGAGGGCCTCGAGTGAGGATGCGCGTATCCTGTATTCCAGCTGGTAAAGAAGATCGTAGTCCGGTCTCCTTCCGCACTCAGAGCTGTCGCGTCAAGTGGAACCTCGGCTGATTGACGCTGGTGAGACTCTAAGAAAGCGGAAGGGGACGTAGTAGATCATGCATATCTAGTCTCACTAAATTAGAACTCGCGCCCACGGTTCGCCATGACAGCTCTATGTATAGGATATCTGTGAACTGCAGTTCTTTTACCTTGATTCTGAGCCGTCAGAGACCTGTTTGATAAGAAAAGGTAGCCTATAAAGACAAGAAAGCGAGGAGCCGTAGATCGAGCGGGCCTGCGTCGTGCGACTGCGATGCTTTAGGCCGGTGACGATGGCGGAAGACAGGAAGCGTGGGAACATTTCCTTCGCTTCACCACGACGCCACACTGAGCGCTCTGTTTTTCCTTTCACAAATGCAATGGTGCATATTTCTGGTCATGATCAAGGGGTCTTATATATATCGCTCCAAGCCTTATTTGAAAGCAGTAATATCTCCTGCAGTGAATGTTAACGGCAAGGCTCATTTCTGAACACTCAACAAATCCCGGGCGGGTAACGATACTTGACCAGGCTCTTTGCCCACTCCTCCCATCTCTCCTTAAATTCTCTTCTCAGGTACTCATCCTCCATCCTTCCTCTCGAATAACACCGCACCTTCCACATACCACTAGACAATACGCCCAACATGTATGACTTCCCTAGCCAAGTCTCCCAACCAATATCCATGAACCTTCCGCCGCGAATGTCATGAATAGTCCTGCGCATATTCTGAACCCACCCGTGTAGGCAGGGTGTCGTACGAGAAGAAGGTCCCGTCGTGATGAGTTCATGATTCTTGCGTAGGGAGAGTTGAAGTGATGGACATGTTCCCGGAAGCAGCGAAAACGAATGAGAGCACCGGTGATAATGAGGAAGGAACCCAGGAGGTAGGTGGAAGATGTAAGTATGCCCTAGGCGAGAGGCTTCACGGCCGGACAAGGTATACATATCTAAAAATTGAATAATTCGTCGAGAAATGGGATGGCCTGGAAAGCGCAAGGCAACGATGGAAGCCACTTCCGTAAGGTCGAAAGCCCAGTACAATATCTACGTAAGCCGAAAACAGCAAGTTGAGTTTACCATAGTTGAAGTACGGGTCTACTACAAACCGTTTCAATGGGTGCCGTGTATGGAATAACTCGCTCTCCGAAGGGTACCTTCGAATCCTTGGATGCATTCTGCTGCTCTTCCGTCGTCATATTTGCAGAGACGCCAGGTGGTCTCTGAGACGCATGGTAAAATGCACAAGTGAGAAGGATGGGGGGTATCTTCGCGATAGATGGCATGATTGGATTAGCCTCTCAGAAAAGGATGTAGCGGGAGGTAGAGAAAGGCTTCGTTAGAAGCTGCGGGTGACCGTGATCGTATCCTATGTACTCAAACGTGAGGGCGAAGCAACTTTGCACGCGTAGCATGTCAAGGCCCACGATAGGATATGGAAAACACTACTCACGTATGTCCTAGTCGCCGCCCAGGAGAAGTTCTAGTCCATTAGAACTTGGAGATATGCATGGTATTCAAACCGCGTGACAGTTCATTGTGGTTCGTGTTTCTCCCAAAGAATACAGCACCACCAGGGCTTTCGGATGATCAGTAGATCCCAGGAAGATACATACACGGAACTTTCTTCGCCCACTCCTCCCACTCCGCCCTAAACTCCTGCTTTAGGTAACGGTCCTCCTTCCCTGCCCTTGTGAACACCTTTACACAAAACGCCGCACTCACTGCAAGCAAACCTGCGCAGACCTTCGGGAATATCCCCCTCGCGCTCCAACCTCCAACCTCCTTCCACCAACTCCCGCTTCCCGCCAAAGTCAGCACGGATCCCAAAGTCGTCATGAGTCCTCCAGTATAGCTTGGATGCCGAACGATGCCGTACGGGCCGCTGGTGACGAGCTTGTGGTCCTCACGGAGGGAAAGACGGAATGTGAAGTGACGACCCATTTCACGAAAGCAGCGGAGGCGGATGAGTGAGCCTGCCACGATGAGAATGGATCCGAAAAAGTAGGTGGGCGTGATTGTGCCGATAGAGGCTATGCTGGCCTCGGTGCCGTTCATCGACAGAAGGGTACGCGTATAGAGGGAGAGTGGGTGCGATGGATAGCGTGTGGCGAGGATTGATGCGATTTCGGCGGCACTCATAGTCCAGTATAAAACCTAGATATCACGATAGCGTCCGAGACTTTATTAGGTTTCTTGACAGGTCGAGAACAGATGAAGGAGTGGGTGGAGACGACAAACTTTGACCATGAGGGTTGTGCCGGGTACAATCCTCTCCCCGAGCGTGACATGAGCCGCCTTCAATGCTTTCTTCTGCTCCTCCTCAGTCTCAGTAGATACGGGAGCAGTGTAGGCTCGATCGTAGAGGACTGTGGTGATAAGTATGAGAGGAATCTTGACGAGGGATATCATGACCGATAGACGTTCCCGTAGGAGAAGACACAGCAGAGCCCATCCGAGATAGTGACTGGGTTTTATACTTTGTTAGTATAGATGAGAAGTATCTTCGTCAGATATGTGGAAGATCTGCGAATGATCTCAGCCATGGCGGTGGTGTGTGGAGAACGTTGCAAGCTCTTGGGCAGCACCGTGGACACATGACGGCTGAATGCGTCGAATCAATGACTTCTCTATTGCAAATCAGGTCAGCACAATAGGTACGAAAACCAGGATGTATGGGAACGGTCGGCAGAGCAAGTATGCGTCACCACCCATGAAAAAGAAAGACGGAACCATGCATGTTCAATAGATCCCAGGCAGATACTTGCACGGTACCCTCTTCGCCCACTCCTCCCACTCTTCGCTGAACTCTTGCTTCAAGTACCTGTCCTCTTTCGCTGCTCTCGCGTACACTCTCACACAAAATGCAGCAGTCACTCCGAGCACCCCAGCGCAGATCTTCGGTAACATGCCGGCGCCGTTCCAGCCCCCAACACCCCTCCACCAGCTCCCACCGCCAACCAAGGTTAACACCGAGCCCACCACCGTCATCATGCCAGCCGTGTAGCTTGGGTGACGGACGATGCTGTATGGACCACTGGTCACGAGCTTGTGATTCTCGCGCAGGGTGAGACGGAATGTGAAGTGGCGGCCCATTTCGCGGAAGCAGCGAAAGCGAATGAGAGTGCCCGTGATGATGAGGGCGGACCCGAGCAGGTAGATAGGTGTGATAGCTCCTATGGAAGATAGATTGGTTTCGGGACTGTCCAACGAGAGCAGAGTGCGAATATGCTGGGCGAGATTGTGCGACGGATATTGGATGGCGAGGACCGACGCGATCTCCGCAGCACTCATTGTCCAGTACGTCGTCTAGATGTACACTATTGAGTATGTCTTATTATATACGAGTGAGCATTTGCGAGAGAGTACACGACCCACCTTGAGCAAGAAGCCCGCAGGAGGGATAAGTCTCTCCGTAAGGGAGATATCAGTAACCTTCAGGGCCTTCTTCTGCTCTTCCTCGGCCACAGGCGGTGAAGGAGGAGCCGTGAAGGAGCGGTCATAGAATAGCGCGGTGGTGAATATCAATGGGACTTTGACGAGGGAGAGCATGTCTGATATGCCGCTTCTCGAGGTGAAGAAGTGTCAAGCCGGATGAGGTGGCTGCTAGTTCCTGGTTAGCACTGCGGGAGTCTTTATGTGAGAGTTAACCGCCCGTAGTGGCCGCGGGATAATGATACTGTCCCATTCAAACCTTCTCGAGGACATACGAGATTACTCATGTAAGAGGAAGGAATGATTCTGAGAAGACGATGGGTTGGAACAGCCAATCGTATTGATTGGCGGAAGCATACATCAGTTTCTAGTGGAAAGGCTCGCATAAGTATAGTTCAACTTGATGGCGAACTGAGATAGCAAGTGGTTATGGTCGCGGCATGCATGGTGTACCTAGAATTTCATCAAATAGCCTGAAGTAGAACGCCTTCAGTAGACACCAGGCAAGAGCCGATAGGGAACCTTCCGTGCCCACTGCTCCCACTCCTCCTTGAATACTTTTCTCAGATACTCATCTTCCTGCAACATCCTTGGAAAAATCCTGGAGCAGGCCGTAACGCACGCCACAAGCAGCACAGTGTAGAACTTTCCGAGCGGACCACTCTTCCACCCGCCAACGCCTGCCCACTAACTTCCGCTTCCTGCTAACGTCAATGGTTGACCTAGCGTCAGGCGCAACGCGCCCGTGTATCCAGGGTGGCGGATAATGGAATAAGGACCGGTGGTGCAAAGTTTCTGGTCTTTGCGGAGGGAAAGGCGGAAGGTGAAGTGTCGACCCATCTCTTAGAAGCAGCGGAGGCGAACGAGGGAGCCTGAAATGACCAGAAGCGCTCCGAGGAGGTATGTAAAGCTCATAGCGCCAATAGTTGATGCATGGGCTCGAGAATTGCTCAAGGAAATGAGGGTACGAATGTATGGTGCGAAAGCGTGCGACGGGTAACGCAGCGCCAGGATAGAAGCAATTTCGGCGCCGCTCGTGCTCCAGTACACGGCCTAGGCAGATGTACGATATATCAGCACGAGTCGTGATGGTATACCACGGTCTCTATGAATAGTATAGAGGACTAACCTTCACCATGGAGTTCGTGAAAGGTATAGCTTTCTCTGAAATTGTGACTAACAAAGACGCCGTACGCGCCCTCTTTTGTTCCTCCTCGGTTTCGTTCGATGTAGGTTGCATGTTTCCACGCTCGAAAATAGTAGCAGCGACAAGTAATAGAGGCATTTTGCGAGAGAGAGTATGACGGATGAGAGTCTGATGGACCCAGGATGTGGGTGATGATGGGCGTGGACATGTAACGTAGGACTCGTCGGCCTGTTGAGTGAAAGCAGTGTGGGAGTGGTAATACTCATGTGAGGGTGAGCACCCAGAACACCTGCCGAGAACTAGAGGTGGAAGGACTATGATGTGATTTCCCAGAAATCTTCTCGTGATGCAGAAAAACAGACGGCTAACTCTATTGCGCCGACTGCAAATAGTTGCAACTGCCGTCAAGATTGAGATAGACAGGAAGTGGACGTTTCTTCATGGACCAAAAATACATTTCCAACGAGATGCCGCAAGAGGCTTTACCTAGTATGAATCCTCTTCGCAGTGGTATATGGTTCGTATCCCTTCGAAAGATAGATCGTAGGCCAGCCCATGCAAGTATTCATCCCATCGGGATCGCTTCTAGGTCATGAATGTCTTCCCCATTGACAGAGAAGTGACAGCTATTCTCAGTGAGTCGTGAGGCATTAGGTGTAGTAGACGAAGCGATAGAGTCAAAGTGACGAGCGACGAGTGTAATGGAGGAAGAAACAGAAAAGCAACTGTGCCTGGGTCGCCACGCTCATCGTGAGTACCGGCACTCACCCATTGCGTGCTGGTTCAAACTCCGCTGTGCCGCGTCTCGCTTACTCCCATAGCCGAGTGGCTGCAGGCTGTCACTTACGAACATTGCAACACAACAAAGGCAGCAGTGTGCATAGTGACACTCAACATAGCTATGCATAAATTCATCTAAAATATGTCTCTCTAATTTGGTCGCGACAGAATTTTCTAATTTCAACGTGAACGAGCTACACAATGAGCCATACGCTCATATCAAATCACTCGAGGAGAGTGAAAGGATTCTGTCGCGACCAAACGAAGTGAATGTATGTCAAATAATATACTAGAATTTATAGGATTTACTGGTGGGGTGTACCTTGCCCTAGACGCGAAAGGTCTCGTACATAGGTGCCACCCCGCCAAATCGGTGAGTCTTACTGTGGCCCGCGTCGAAATGGGATGCGGCTTGCCCGGCAGCTTTCAAAGTCCGCCAATTTGCAATGGACATGGCGCTTGGTGGGAACGCCGGTACTCACTCATCGCCGAGATGTTGGAGACCTAGGGTTAGGGTTTTATTCTCACACGTAAGAATTATCTGAGCGGCTAACGAGCCAGCTACTTTATACTCCTTCTCCCATCGTTTCCTCTGCTCTTTTCTTCTCGACTTCTACGCTTTCTCATAAGCATCGTTATAGGGCTACACATAAAACTCCGTACTCAAAGGACCCACAAGCTGGGAATCTTATAATCGCATATTCTCGACCGCCAGCTTGGACGGACTTGAAGTTATCGAGACAGTCAAAGCAACACGAAGGGCAGCATGAAGACGACTAAATTCCCCGTCGTAGGTCTCTTTGGCTATGATGAACGTACATCTATCTCATTGATTACTTTTGCAACGCGCGCGCTCCACAATCGACGGCGTGACAACGCTATGTCGAACTTGGCTCTCTAGGCACGAATAAAGAAGATTATGCAGAAGGATGAAGAGGTGGGCAAGGTAGCACAAGCAACTCCGGTTGTTATTTGTACGTCTTTTCTCTGTATAACTCTCTCTACTCTCGTAGCAGTGTGCTTGTTATCGTTATGGCGACGAGTTAACGGAGGCTCAAATTGTTGCTCCTTACAATGTAGCAAAGGCGCTGGAGCTGTTCCTCCAGCTCATTATCGACGAGGCTAGTGCTGTTACAGTCTCAAGGGGGAGCAAGAAGGTCGAGGCATACCATCTGTACGTCTTTATCTTTTTCTGGCGGGTATGACCCAGTCTTTTGACGTCTACCTTTGTTCCTCCGTCTTTGCCACATCCCTCCAACATATTTCCAATTCCCCATTACACAACACCTGGAATATCGCACGCGAACATACACATCTGTCGTGGCTTCACCCTCCCCTTCGATACCCCTTCAAAACGTTAGTAAACATGCAATCGAAACCACCGAAATGCTCGATTTCCTCAAAGAGCTCGTCCAGGAAGTCCCCGACCCCTCCGCAGGCGGCACAATCGACCTGGATGGACCTGACAACAAACGCTCGCGAAAAGGTAAGAAAGCTGCCACCGCAGGAGATGATGATGAAGAGATGGACCTCGACGACGGCGAGGCTCCTAAGCCGAAGCGAAAGCGGAGAAAGAAGAAGGACGATGCGGATGACGATGATGATGGAGCTCCGGTTGCGAGCGGGAGTAGGAAAGCAGCGGGTGGACGGGGTGGAGGAGGTGGAAGGGGGCGGGGCAGGAAAGCGTCTGCGTCAAAGGTACCTGGTGCGGGGAAAGTTGAGCGGACGAAGGCTGAGGCTCGGGCTACGGATAGGGAACCGGTTGAGGATGACAGAAGGGCTGCGTTGAGGGACGATGAGTATGATTATGAGAACGGGGATAGTAACGGACAAGCGAATGGAAGTGGATATGGGAGGGAGGATAGGATCGAGGAGAACTTCGACGAGGAGGAAGAGGACTAATTTTCCTTCGTTGTTTGTTTGTTTGAGTAGGCTGTGGGTGGATAACTATGGTGATACTTGGGTGAGTATAGGACATTTCCGTTTTGTATTTTTAGGGTCATTTTGTGCAATAAGCTTGAATGGGTTCTCCTCGTTGAACGTCTAGTGTGTCTTCACATTTCCCTGTTCTTACCTTCAACTCTAACTTATTCCTGTGTCAACTGCAAGCGCCACCGTTTGGTTACAGTTTTCGACGCTCTATGAACGTATATTGGGTGTCCTCCTCTAGAAGAGGACGCTTTTGGCATCGAAGCTCCCTTTTCTGGATCCAGGAAACACTGGCGTGTAAAGTCGGAACATAAGGGCTCCGAATAGGGGGGAATCGGGATGGAGAGCTGTGCTCCCATCAAGGTTGAGTTGAAACCTCATTAGGCCTCACTAAGCCTCACTCCCAACCAAGCCTATACTGTATAATCTCGCTAGGAGGGGCCTGAACAACCGCCAAATTTCTTTACTTCCCCGTACACCCAGCCCAGAGTTGGGCATAGCCATAATATTAGTAAACTACCCAACGACTCCGTGATGGAACGATCAGTCGCTCTCGTCACAGGCTGTTCGAAAGGCGGTATTGGTTTCGCATTGTGCGTTCCCTCCTCATGAGTGTTTTCGCTTCCGTCCTATTGTTTTCCTATATCAGTCATTCACTGATATCATTTTCAGTTGCGAGAACCTAACCGCACGCGGATACATCGTCTACGCTACAGCACGTTCTTTGTCCTCAATGGACGACCTCCATCACCCCAACTGCCGCAAATGTGTGCTCGACGTGATGAGCGATGAGCAGGCCAACGCCGTAGTGGCTAAGATCATTGAAGATGAGGGTCATATTGACCTACTCATCAATAACGCGGGGATGCCTGCTGCAGGTTTGTGTCATCCGCCTCCCCAGTCGCGCGCTGTGTGGCGCTCCCGCCGCTTCCTCTGGCCCACTCGTTCTGACTGGTACGCATAGCTGATTTGATGTATTTTGGACTTGTTATAGGCCCATTGATAGATTGGACCATTGATGCAACAAAAAATGTTTTCGACACCAATGTCTTCTCCGTGCTTCGGCTCTGTCGAGCTGTGATCCCACACATGGCAGAGCGAAAACAAGGGACCATCCTGAACATCGGCTCTCGAGCTGGAGAATTGTGCGTCCCCTAATGCGCAAGCAAGACACCTCTTCTTCTTGATTGTATGGAACTGATAATACCTTTCTTCCTTGGTTTGCAATATTGATGTCTAGCGCACCACCCTGGTTCGGCATCTACGCCGCCACCAAATCATGCCTCCGTACGATCTCCGAAGTCCTCTCCCTCGAATGTCGTCCCTTCGACATCTCCGTCTCGCACATCAACACTGGCACCGTCCAGTCCCGTATCCTCGATAAACTGGATACTTATCTTGCACCTCCTGGATCGCTTTACGGAGCATTTGTACATAACATCGGGAGGATTATTGAGATGGGTAAGGGGGAGGGGAAGGCGATGGATGCGGGAGTATTTGTTGAGAGTGTTCTAAGAAAGACTATCGGGAGAGGTTTGGAGGCTCGGAAGAGGAAGGTACCGATTGAGGTGTTGGATGGGACTGGGACGTTTGCCTTGATGGTGTTGAGATGGCTGCCGAGGAGCTGGTATTTTAATTTGATCTGGAGAGTACTGGGGAAGCCAGAAGTGAAGAGCAAGGACGCGTAAAAGCAGATAGGTTGCTTATGGACGATCATTGTTCTTTGTGTTGGCACGCGCATTTCCCTCAATTATTAGTCTGTTCAGCGTTCTGTATAATCTTCCTGTGTTGCATACGGTCTTGCTTGTGCAAAAACTATCCAGCGTCATTCAAGAGAACACATCGTAAAATATTAGTAGGTAGGTGTAAAACGTACAATCCAGGGAATAACAGCGGTGATTGATACAAGTTGGGGTATAAAGCTAGCAGCGACCGTAGCACAATGACAACACCCTTCTCCAAGACGTATCACTTCTCTGAGGACAGTCTAAAGTCGGTATGATCGAGGAAATATATGGCCTCCGGGAACTTCAATGACTCCTTGTAGGAGCCAGCCTGTCCCGGAGGCCTTGTTTAGACTCGACTGTAAGAGTAAATTAGTACATGTACATGACAAAAACACATGAAAAAATGTTGGCAAAGACAGACTATTGTGGGGTAGGGAGGCTGATATGGCAGAACGATGACTTACCCACAGCACAAGCAGCCGGTGATACAATCAACTAAGCCGGCGAAGAACCCTGCGATGGCTAAAATCACGCACACAAAAGTTCAGACAAACATCACGAGCGTTGATGATACGGACAAAATACCTGATATAATACACTCAAGGCATCCTGCAATGCAATCAACGATGCCCAGGATGAGATCGCCTATGGCGGCAAAAATGCCTGCTATACATGATATGATGATACTGAATGGTGGAAGGAGATTGTAAGTTTCCGGAGGTTGAGCCAGCAAGAAAGAAAGGTGACTCGCCCCATTCTGAAGAGTATGAAAGTCGTGCGTGATAAGACCGTTGGCGACTCACTTTTATACTTTGTCGCTTTCATAGTGACGTTGCCTCCGGGGGAAGTTGACCTATGTCAAACCTATGTGACGCACATATCCATGCTATTAATAATGGTACAGGAGCGCCGTAAATACATTTGGGAGCCAACACCGTTCTTGATAGTTGGTGGTGCAGCGGAGAGTACAATGAGGAGGGGATACTCAGGCACGAAATGACATCATGCCAGTGCCACACGAATTGTGGCGAAGAGTCACGCCGAACGCGTTGCTTTAGGGCAGACTGTTTCGCGTGCGCGTCTTCTCTCTCTGCCACTCCATTGTTACGCCTTTGCCGTATTCCATCATCACCATGGCCCGCAATGCTCTATTTGACGACGATGAATTCGACGTTCCCATGGGCGAAGATTTTGTCCACCGTATAATCAATGCACCAGACGATGACGACTTTGACATGCTTCAAGTCGAAGCTCCTCGAAACCCCGATGCAGGTTTTGCCAACGCACACGATCCGACAGCAGAGAATCAAACACCTTTGCAGCAGCTTATCCGGCATTGGATGAATGAGAGACATTCGCCAGATATACTCGAGGGGCAGGAGGGCGTACTGGGGACTCTGTTAGACCACATCCGGAGACAGGTGGGTGAGTGTTTGAGAATTATGATCGTCGAGACGAGGAGTTTGAAGAGAATTGAAACCAGTCAGAGACCGTGACACTTCTGAAGGGCGATCCGAATTCGTCTGAGGATGAACATTTCCGAATTGTACTCGCTCAGACGGAGATCGAAAGAGTGAAGTTCATCGTACGCTCGTATCTTCGGACCCGCCTCTTCAAGGTTCGTTCATAAAAATCTAACTGTACATGGATCGTTCCAACTCATTCAACGAGGTCACGTTAGATAGAGAAATATTCTCGGCACATAATACATGAAGTTGAACTCCAGACGCGACTGTCTCAGACAGAGCTGAATCATGCCAAACGGTATATCTACTTACCATACAAACCGATCTATGCTTGACCATGCAAACAGATATGCCGATCTCTGGGAAGCACACCTGAGGACTGCACTACTGGATGCCCTACCAAGAGCCCAGCGCGAACTCGATGTGAAGGACAATCCGTTTGAGCCTCCGATGGGTGCGTTCACTCGTTACCTTGACTTCCCAACCTATAAAGAGGCTGATATCCGCGGATCATGGGTTGTACTTGTCATAGTTACTATGCCTGATCATATGCGAGCCGTTTTCGTGCACGCACTGGACGAGTGCCCTCCCGTGATCCTACCAGAGTATGTCACTTTACCTCTTTCTGGCCTGCCGATACCCACCCCTCGCCCTTTTTTCTTGCTTTTCTTTACGAGGTACTGACGTTCGGGCTTTATAGTGGCACAACGCTGCAAGCGCAAAAGGGGCACATCGTGCTGACACCATACGCTGTCGTCCAGCAGTTACTTACCATGGGCCTCGTCGAGCTCGTCTAATACGTCTGATTTTGTATCGCCTTGTTTCGTTTGGAATGTCGATGTTGTAATTGTACGTTCAAACGCGGCTTCAGGTAAAGAATCGGAGAGCAGCCTTCCTTTGCTACGAATATTACCCTCGATATCTCGTGTTTTGTGTAAGTAACATAAGGTGCGTACCCTCGTCTTCTATTCGATCCGTCTTGTCCTCGTTTTCCCGCTTATGCCTTCTTACAGTGATTGTGAGTGGCATGCAGTTTGCTAGGTTACCCAAAAACAAACACATGAGCGAACCTACATCATAACATCGTCAAGAAGTATGCTCGGGTCGCTAAGAACGGCGCACATGAACAGATGGCCGAACTGCCGTCTCTGCATGGGCCGTGAAACTTTGAGCATCTCCCCAGTAACTTTTGCCGGACTCCCATGCGGTCATCCACAGTGACGATGCATGCTCATATATGTTCCGACTCAGTATTAGAGGGTTCCCAGACACACTAACCTCGATAGTGGACGCCTATCCCATGAGAAGAGTCCCAGATGCCGATGCGCATCAGCACTTCTGCCTCAACTGCGTCACAGTTTTCTAAAGCACTCGCCATTACTGACCGACATCGCTTGACAAGAACCAATAGGCTACACAGTCATGGACTCATGGTTCCTTTGCCCTTGCTCTCGGAAATAGGAAGAACCGGGTCCTCTTCCCAGCAAGCTCTACGGACACGTTGGACGTCTACTATAAATGACGCCGGTGTGCATATCTTCAGCAACGCCGTATAGGTGTCCCACATCAGCATCTACCCATCATCACTTGTTCTTCTGACATGCCTTCGTCAAAGGTAGATTTTGCTCCACCGCCTTTTGGTTCTTTTCCTATGCCTCAAGGGTACAGCAGTCCCACATTTCACCCACCCCCTGTTGATGGGACGCTATGCATTCCCGAGCTTTTCGAGTATCACGCAGAGCATAGTCCAGAGCATCCGCTTTTCATCTATGCCGACGAGGACTCTTCAACCATCAGTGGAGACGATTGCGGTTCTGGTACTAGAACAATCAAGTATCCCGAGGCGTGGCGTAAAATCCAACGAGCGGCGAAGATCGTGAACGGGCATTATATGAGGTTCGAGGATAGGTATGCACGTCAGGACAGGGAGTCCGGGATCGTTGCTATGAAGCAGAAAGTTCCGCCGACGATTGGAATCCTGGCGAATGCAGGTGAGTATCACCTTTACACCATCGCTCTTCTACGAGTGTGGCGTGGTGACTGAGCCGACCAATATCCCCCCGTCTTTTCACCCTTATTCTAATCTTGGCGTCATTGATAGACTCGATCAGCTTCTTCAGCACCATAGTCGCTATAATGCGTCTCAATCTCACTCCCTTTCCGCTTTCCGTTCGTAACTCACCTGTCGCTGTGGCCCATCTCATCAAGAAGGCGCAGCTGCTTCAGGTCTTTGTCTCTCCGGATCCGGCTATGCAGAGGTTGATCGCCGAGGCGAGGGATATACTGAGGGACAATGACGGGATTGAAGTCGAGGTGCTGGCAATGATTCAGTTCAAGGATATTGAGGATAATGACAAGGCCGTGGAGGTCCAAAATGGCGATGCGTCGGCGCGGGCAACACGGGCAAAGGAAGCGGAGGACATTGAGTTTCCGAAGGTGGACTTGGACACTACTGCGGTTATACTTCATTCTTCTGGTGAGCATGTGTAGCGTTAGGACGAGCAGCTGGCTAATTCGCTCTTGTTAGGCACAACGTCGTTTCCCAAACCCATTTATCTTACCCACAGAATGTTCCTACAGTGGTGTATGGTCATATGTGAGCATTTCAACCGCAATTACATGGTCTCAGCTGTCATGCTGATCGACACATTTTCAAAGGCTATGGCGAAGTCGATATGTGTGGTACTATAGTTGCGGCGCATACTTGCCCGCTATACCGTATGCTCATTCCTCAGTCCAGCTTACTACGATGAACTGAGTTCGCATACCTAGACGGCATGGGCATGTTCATCATGATGTGGACTGTGAGTCGCTCATTAGATCGTCACTTTGTTGCATGTCCGGTACCAGTCTGAACGTACTCGCTTCTTTTGGTAGTGCATCCCTGGCATGATCATGGCGGTATTCAAGCCTGCGTCGCCGCCCGTCATATCAACACCCGAGACTTATCTCCAGGGAATCATCCAGACAAAGAGCGAGGTGGTGTTTTGTGTTCCTTCTGTCATCGAGGTCAGTAGCTCGATGTCCATGCCGCTTACAATATGGCTCGCTGACGCATATTATGCCGCATACGTGTTTTGTTTATCAGACTTGGTCCCACGACCTTTCAATTTTCGACTCTATGAAGTCTGTGCACTCGATTGTATGAATCTCATGATTATTTTTCGGTGTCGAAGCTGATCAATTGCTCGCGACAATGCAGACATTCGGAGGCGCTCCAATGACCAAGTCTGTGGGAGATACACTGACAGCACGAGGTCTTACTCTGATCCCCTTCTTTGGGTCGTACGTACCATTTATTCACCCTAACTTCCACCATTCTTGAGCTGCTTTCGTCCTCTGATATGCACGATGCGATACAGGACCGAAGTAGGTTGTCTGAACCTAAGCTTCCCCTCTGGACGCCCGACTCTCGATACCTGGGAATGGTTCGAATTCTCACCGAATGCCGAGTTTGAGCTCTTATCGCAGAATGAAGGCGTGGATGGGAACGATATCTTCGAGCTCTGTATCGTCGTAAGTACACTCTACTACTCGAACGTCTTGGGTCGTCACTAAGGATGAATTGATGGAGGCGAAGCAAGTGACTAACTTACGGATACCCTATTTGTATACAGGATGTGCCTCATAAAGGCATAGCTATGGCGAATGCCACGTCGAAGGATGGGCGACCGATGTACAGAACCTCCGACCTTATACAGAGGCATCCGAGATATCCAAAGAAATGGAGAGTCTATGGCCGAGTGGACGATCAGATCATGTTGTCCACTGGTGAGAAGGCAGGTCCCCTCTGTGACTATACCTGAAACTACCCAACCAGTATTGACTGAGCGTATGGCTTGACGATAGACTAATCCCGGACCTCTCGGTGAGTTTTTCTGAGTACATTTGATGGGACACGACAATGACACTACACCCGCACTGCCTCTTTCAGAGGCGATTCTGCTGCAAGATCCTCATGTAGCGTGTGCCATCATGTTCGGACGAGGTCAAACACAGAACGGAGTCTTGGTTGATCCAGCACCAGAATACGCGTTTGACCCAGAGGATGAAGAGAAACTTGTAGAGTTTCGCAACAAGATATGGTGAGCAAGCCTATCCATTTGCTTCGTAGCGATTGTACGCAGTATATTGATGGTTTACGCCTTGCATGATAGGCCAACTGTTGAGAGAATGAACAATTTCGCGCCGGCTCATTCCAGACTCTTCAAGGAGGTCAGCCTCATAGCTCTCTTTACCACGCGTCACGCTGACCTGTTCTATCTTGTAGATGATCATTGTATCGAAGCCTGCGAAGCCCTTCGAATTCAACTCAAAGGGTGGACCAAGGCGCCACGCTATTATCACCAAATACGAGCCCGAAATCCAGGCTCTGTATGCTGCTGTCCAAGAATCATCGCAAGCGGACGTTGCTGCTCCTGGCGAATGGACCGAAGAATCCGTGGTGCAATTTGTGAGGCGAGTAGTAACGAAGGTCATGGACTTGGAACTTGAAGGCGATATGGACTTGTTCCAGCAAGGGTGTGATAGGTAGGTGCTATGCTGGATGAAACCGTCACATTAGCTGGGAAGTACACTGACCCATTCTCCATTAGCTTACAGGCGACCTACATCCGCAATGCGATCATTCACGCCCTTCGAGAGCCTTTGGCTTCATCTGGCTCTCGCCTTCGGCTCCCGAACAGCTTCGTCTACAACAACCCTACCATCTCTGCCCTCACCTCATACATCCTCTCACTATTTTCCTCCGATGAACAGAGCGTGGAAAACAAACGTGAACGTATCGCCAAGTCTATGCAAGCCATGGTCAGTAAATACAGCGGCGACTTCCCAGTTCACAGTCCTCGTGACGCCCGCTCAGTAAAGACGCTAGATGAAGTTGTCCTCGTATCTGGGACTTCGGGAAGATTGGGAGCTCATCTCTTGGCTCAGTTGCTTGTGAAGCCGTCAGTGACCAGGGTATACGCCCTAAATCGACCATCCAAGCAGAACATTTTGGAGAGACAGCTGAAGGCCTTCGAGAATTGGGAACTTGATGAACGATTGCTGGCCGGAGGGAAGGTAGTTCTACTAGAGGTGGATTTTACTAAGGCTGATTTTGGTGTCGGAGAAACTGTGTACAACGAGGTATGTTCTGTTTTTCTTCCTTGGAAAAGTACCCAGGATGACCATTCGAACAGATGCGCGACTCAGTCACTAGTATCATTCACAACGGTGAGCTCCGAATGAGCTCCCGTAGCCCTCTCGGTTTGGTGTTCTAACGAATAAAAATCATGTAGCGTGGCGTGTGGATTTCAACGTTGCTTTGTCCTCCTTCGAACCTCTCGTAGTCGGCATGCGGAACTTGATCGACCTTTCGTTGAGCTCACCCCACCCATCGCCTCCTCCCATCTTGTTTACGAGCTCCATATCAACTATCATGAGTGCGTTGTACTTCCACCTGCAAAGGACTCAAACCTGATTTTCTCCCACCAGCCTCGCCCATTGCACCGGTGCCGGAAACGCCAGTCACTAATCCGCTGATCGCCAGCCTCTCCGGTTATAGCCAAAGTAAATGGGTCGCAGAAACCTTACTTCTACAGGCGAGGAAAAAGCGAGCCCTGTGCGTGAATGTGGTACGGGTCGGGCAACTGGCTGGCGACAGCAAGGTTGGAGGATGGAACGAGAAGGAGTGGTTACCTGCGTTATTGAGAGGCTCGCAGGTGTTGGGCGCTGTTCCTGAACGTACTGAGGTGAGTATTCGTGACCGCTGCCAGTCCACGAGTCGACGCCTAATGATCTGCACTCGTTACAGCAAATATCGTGGATTCCCGTAGATGTCGCTGCGTCTGCCTTGATAGACATGGTCGGCAGCCCTGAGCCCGTCATGCATCTCGTCCACCCCTACCCCGTGTCTTGGACCGTTGTCTCCTCCACAGCTTCCAGCGTCCTCGGTGTCCCCATCGTGCCGTACAGCGAGTGGCTCTCCAGATTGCAGGATGCCGCACAAGACGCCGAAGCTGATACCCAGAAGGCAAACCCCGCGTTGAAGTTGTTTGATTTCTTCGAGAAGGACATGGAGTCGGCGACTGAGCTCGCCATTGCGACGAATAAGGCGGTAAAGGTTTCGAGTAGTCTGATGAATGCGAAGAAGCTAGAAAGCGTGGATGTTGGGAAGTGGTTGAGCTATTGGCAGAAGATCGGGTTCTTGAGGGGTTGAGATTACGCTTTACATGCATGTGGGAGAGTGGGTTGGTTGGAACTGTAGGGTATTCTTAACTGTGTAGACTCCGGGATCCCTGTAACCCGATCTTCTTCGTTCCATGTGATGTACAACTCATCTTGAACAAGGCGTAGATCAGAGTTATCATCAATGAATCAAGATAGAATTTGAAGATATCTAGAAGGAATCGAGAGGAAAGAGTACGTTATCCCAACGTAGGCAGATGTGAAGCCAAGTTCAGAAGTAGACTAGATGATTGCTCCATTACCAGGTATCCCTTTCGTTACATCTGACTCTGAGTTTCCGGTGGACGAGTAAGTAGTTTGTATACTTCTACCTATGTGGATGCCCACGGAGACTGAATTATCAGACATAGTAGAGAACCGCATCCCACTCAGGCCCTGGGCATGCTGCTGTGCACCAATATCAATATGCTCCGAAGTCACCTCGTCTTCCATGGCCACAAGTACAATGAGAACTCGAACATGCGCTTACTGCTGTTCTGTTCAACACCAAGGACTCGAAGGTCGCGCCATGCAAGATAGGATGCCAGCACATATCAAATCATACAGAAAACGCGTAAAGAAACATACAGCACGAGGTACGTTGCAAAAGTTCGTGGCAAAATCTGGAGCTCTGGCTGATCAAGTTTCTAATACTGTCATCGAGCGTTCTATCCTTAACGACCGGCTCATGCAGTGAGTCAACGTTGGCCATCTGCAAATACAGCGAAGTCAGTGAAAGAGTAGTGACCGTAGAAAGAAAGATAACTGACAAGCCTTGGTCGCGTATGCTCCTACAAATAGCCGCATTAGGATCAGCAATCTCTTCATACCAGTATCGGTGCACATGATCACGATTTGACTTACCTTTTGCGACAATGATATTGCCCGGCTCCTGCGGCTTGCCTTCAAAGAAGTTCTGCAAGATACTCTTCGTTCCCGCCGCATACCTCGCTTGCGCGTCTAGCGTTGTTCCGGAATAGTGGGGAACCATGCCGTTTCCACCACCGAGGGGGTTCTTCATTGTCCTCCAGACGTGGTCTTTTGGGGCAGGTTGCTTGTTCCAGACGTCACCGGCGTAGCCGTTGAGGTGACCAGAGGCGAGGGCGTCAGCGACGTCTTGGGCGTTACAGATGGCGCCCCGAGCGGTGTTGACGAGCCATGAACCCTATGAAACCCATTCGTGAGCGATGGCCGCAGACCTAGCGAGGTACAAAGGAAGGCTTTACCGGCTTGAAATGCTTCAACAGGTTTTTGTTGACGAGGTCGAGAGTTCCTTCGTGAAGAGGGGCATTGACGGTGGTCACATCACATTGGGCCACAAATTCCTGGAAAAGCACTCTGTCAATATCTAGTCTGGTCGAAATATGGACCTCACGAACCTCTATGCTCTCAACCCGACGAGCGTTCACGGACTTCTCAACATCTATAGCATCGATATCGTTGAGACTCGGGAAATCACAGTTGCATGTTTAGAAAAGAAGACTGACCAGGAGGCAAAGGTGTATAGTCATAGTACAGCAACTCTTTACAGTCGAAAGGAGCAAGCCTCTGCAAGACCCTGCGCCCAATTCTTCCAGCACCAATCGTTCCCACGACCTTACCCTCGAGATCGAACGCGTTTCGCGCAATATCCGAGACCTGCCAATCCCCACGCTCGATCATCTCGTGAGCTGGGACGAAGTTGCGGACTAGTGTGAGGATGGACATCATGACGTGCTCGGCAACGGAAGTGACATTGGAGCCGGAGACCTCGACGACCTCGATGTTGTGTTTCACGGCTGCGGGGAGATCGATGTGATCTGAACCGACACCAGCAGTAACACAGATCTTGAGGTTCTTGGCCTAAAATGACGCGCCAACACTCATTCAGTGAGAGGTTTTATAGGACGTGCTTATCGGTGATTTCACCTTCTCTATAAGGTCTGGGGTCAGATATCCAGGATGGAACGGAGTAGTAATCAACACGTCGGCCTGTTCAGTCACAATTATTCAGTTATAACACCGAGTCGAACACCATATGCAACGCACATCCTTAATGTGTTTCTGGAAGTCGCTATTAGGGCCTTCCTTGTCACTGCTGACCTGTGTATAGTGAGATAGTCAATGCAAGGGCGTATCACGAGAATGAAGTGGACGCACGATATATTCATGACCCAACCCCTCAAGGTATGCACGAAGTCCAAGCTACCGAGCCGTGGTCAAGACTGCTCAGCTTTAGAATGACATCAAAAATACCTGGTTCTCCACAGTACCCAGCAAACGCGGCTCCTTTAAAGCAGCCTGGTAGCCATTGTAAAGGATAGCGAGAACCTAATCACCACTATGATTAGACTCTTTTCTCTGCCAGGAATTACACTGCGCAACGCACCTTCATAGTCGTTGATGTCGAGAAGTATAAGAGACGATGTGGGTCAACTGGTAGAGGGCTACTGTGATGAGAACCATGGGTAGTTTCGATGGGCCCCTTTATATATCGATGCCTGGTATCCCGTGGGTGATCATAGTAGGTCTACCATTGCAAAGTCCCCTGAGGACGGTTCTCGTGAGAATGTCATCGGACGGGTACAGTCATCTGAGCATCCATAATACCATTCCGGCGCGGCCGTACGCAGGGTGTCCTCGGATTCCATGAATACCTGTTGGCGGCGTTGCTAATGTGGCGCTGCTTCACCCGAGGTCGTGGGTATTGTTGAACAAGAATGGGTGAGAGAACAAGGTGCGCCCCCGCACCACTCCGCGACGCGTCCCGAACAACATCTCACGCGTAGCACACACGTGAGCACTTACCGACTTGGTCCGTGACAGCCCGTGATCAGCTCGGAACACTTCGGAATAGATGTGTGGCAAGATAGTCGGGGTGGCCCAACTCCATCGGATGGCTTTGGATTGGCCAACACCCTCGGAGCAGGCAAGAAGTCCGTACACACAGCAATATAATCGTACGTTTGAACCTGTTACATGTCATCGGACCAAAAAGATTCAAGGTAATCCCAGCGCGGTCAGGTTGAAGACTACCGGAGGAATTATAGAAGCTGGAGAAGACATCCGCGGGCAAGAAACCTCTGGTAAGATCTCCGGAGCTATTGATGAATAGTATGGTTTTCATAAGTTATGTCAAGAACATGGCTTCCACCACAGATGTGCCACCCTCACCTTGAGATCCACTGACGTCGGAAGCATGCTTGATCTGGTGGGAGATAGTTGTAGAGTAAAACATATGGTTAGACGAGATACAACAGGGTACAACGTACCAAAATAGCACCCTGTGCAGTATAATTAGCATCGTCCCGCAGGTAGTAGAACGACTCTCCGTCGTCGTGTTCTGTAAGCAATGGACGGACATTATGGTCATCTTCCGGGTGAGAACGGGAACAAACGAACATACCGACGTATTGACAACACTGGTCATCGTGCCCGAATAAGGACCAGTAAAAATCTCCTGCTGTCCCGGTGTCCCCGACAGTCTGAAGGAATGTCGTTAAGTTATCCCCCTGCTTTCAAATTTCAATCAGTGGCCAGTTCACAAATGGAGGAGAAAGTGGACTACCGCGCCGGTCCAGTCGAACTCTCCTGCCAGATAATTGCGGTTCACGGCGTTGGTGAGTGCCAAGTCAGATTCTAAAATTGTGATGTTCGGAGGGTCTGGAGCACGTTTGTCAACGCCGAACCCGTCACTAATTATATGGCTAACGGCAGTGACAGGATCTCACAGTAGTGATTCGAACTGTGCGTCAATGTCAAGGTTAGTACCAGTGAAGAAATCCGTGTCTGCACAAGAGGGCGCACAAGATATCTACGACCTCGTTCTCCAGCTGGCCAGTTTCGGGGAACAGCCCGTCTACATCATGGTCAAACGAGGTTCATAAGCAATCTCTGCAGAAACTTACAAGAGCCATCCACTATATTGGGATTGTGTCAGCTTTCGCACTTTGACCTGAATGCGTAGAGACATGTGCTCACGGAAGAGATGATTCGGTGCTAAACTCTTTATTAAATCGCCCATTTCTTTCGTCCAATTCGCGGGGGCGGGTCCATCGCCGAATCTTGCTCCAGACAGCTCATTGCCTGACTCCCAACCTGTTCGATGATTCGAGGCATTAGCACTTAGCGAAGTGGCGAAGAACACCTAATTCGCACCCAGGATAGTAGGATCATCCTTCAGCGCCACGCTGGTAAACTGGTTGACATGCTATTGACGTCTTGATCAACACCAGCCCGCCACAAGTATCAAGCAGGTAAGAAGTAAGAACTCACATTGAGATGCTGCGTGATATACCTCTTGAAGCTTTCCACGACACTGGTATCATTGTAGAAGAAGGCTCCAACATCCGGAGGGGTGATATCGGCTCCCGTGCCAGAAAAGTTGTGTCCTCCCCATTCGATGAATTGATATTTTCCTCCATGGTAGTAATTGTACTGCACCAGGTCTGTCAGCGTTTCAATCAGGCAGGAATGCTATTAGGAGAACATACGTTATCCACTAGCGGTATAAGAAGCTGAACATCGGGTAGGTCAGATTCGTGATATCACACATGCGATAGGTCCAAAAATGAACCTTTATACCATAAACCCTCGCCACCGTGATTGCGAAGTCAATTGACTCATAAGCCGACTCGTTGAATACGTCCAGCTCAGGCTCGACGCTCAATGGGTTTCCAATTGATATTCCGAGCGTATGGCCGCGAACTGCCGTACCACGCATGGCCTAAATCATTCAGTTTGTGAGTCATTCTCTAGCACTAGATAATCACGGATCTAGCATACCGATACAACGCCGAAGATCTCGACGACCCGTTGTTTGCTTGGATATGCCGGGTCGGGACTGCTCCAGCGAATTCGTTCCCAGTTGAATAAGCAGCGGAGTAGAAAGGACGCAGACAAGCTTCGACTTACATGACATTCTCGTCCAGTCCAAGCCAATATACATTCGGTCCAACAATTCTGAAAGGCTCACCAGCCAACGTCAACTGCGTCCCAACCCTTTCACAGATATTTCGATCAGCATGGGCCGCACTAACGAATTAAACTGCAAAGAAGCATACCTCTTCACGAATGCATTTCTCTTCTCCAGATCATATATAGAAGGAGAGGTCGGGCTCGGGAATGAACCGACACTTGCTGGGCAAGTCTCGTTCTCCGTTTGACGGCGGACGGGTAGCGTTGTGGATAACAATCGCTCAAGATCGGTGTGAGCTAGACTAGTGAGTTCCGGAAGATCTGAGGGGATAACTATTGTTCGAGCAAGGCAAGCAGCGTAGAGACTAATTAGTATACTGGAATATAACTTCATAGCTAGCAAAGACCAGAGCGACAGAGACCAATCATCATAGCACGATGCGCGCCCATTATGTAGCCCACAGATGACGAGACATTCCCGTTTTGAAGGTATTATTGAGTCATGCGCTTGAAGATCGAGGAAATAATAGCTCAGAACGATGCCTTGTGATATCCTAGGGGCACCCGTGGACAGGAACTGCCAGAACGTGGAACGGAGGATTTTCGGGATGAGGTCAGGTAGCAGTCACCTGTGAAAGATGGTCTAGCTGGCGGGCGGAGTGAGCGCGAAGAGATGCTTATATTTCGATGTAGGCAGAAAGGTCACTGACAAGGGAGTATGGAGACCAAGAATAGTCAAGTTAAATTATTAGGTGTTCGCCACACACTTTTAAGAGGGAGGCGGTTTGAGATCCCAGAACTGAACCTCAGTCTCTTCATCATCGGTCACCCTGTATCGCACAAGATGTCGAGACCTGCAAGTACAGTGCTATAAGGAGAGGAACTGATAGGCGTAAATGTCGAGGACTGACCACTGTGTGTTCCCATAATGTACTGCCGTTTGCTCATGGTCGTCTTTGCCCCAGGACAGCAACATCTCGTAAAATTCCCCCATATACGCATTATGGCTCACCAGTACAACATGTTTGATGCCCTCTGGCACTTCTTGCAGCCCTCCGGTGTCGTCATCGCCCGTGCTCGCTTCATACCGCCGAACAGGGTCGTTCCCCTCAACTACGCTCGGTACCTTATCCAAAGCAACAGCATACTTCAATAATATCGCTAACACATTCTCCGACCTTCTCTCTACATCAGACAAACTCTCTCCTCCACCTTGCGGTCTGTGTTCGCGATTCACGCTCCCATCATACAGATTTCCATCTCGCTCCGCGATCGCAGTCTTGAAAAGTCCTTTGCTCATAAGTCGAGGGATGGAAGTTCCCAGTTTACGCTCAATGAGATTCGGTTCTTTGGTAATGGGGACGTCGTTGTCGTTCGACTTTGAGATCTCGAGAGCGGTGCTGACTGCGCGTTCGTATGTGGATGAGAGGAGCACGTCGATGCGAGTATGCGCGTAAGAGTTGCCAAGGGCTGTCGCTTGAGATTGACCTTCGGAAGTCAGAGGATCAGGGTCTGCGTCATCAGGTTTCGAGTTGGGGTTGACGTTGCTTTCGCACTGCGACAAGACCAGGGCATAAGCAAGTACGCAGATCGAAAGAGAGGGGGGAGGACCGGAGTATACCTGAGCATGTCGAACTAAAGAAACAGTGACATACTTCCAGGGAGAGGCTGTTTCTTGGGCCTCCGACGAGTTTACCGATTTCATGACGGGCACAAATCGAATGCAGTCAAGACTTCAATCGTCGCAATTCGTGTGGCCCAGGGTTGGTCTGCAACCACATCTTTCGAAGCATCCCTTCTTAGACAGCCATATCCTTCACAGTAGGCCTCTCGCTCACACGGCGGGGGGACCAGTATTTGGAGCACGCCAAAGCCATTTGCATTGTGAAATCCATATCCAGAAAATAGATAACACATTGGGATGCTCCAAATTATGTATTTAGCGTAGTTCAGTGGGAAATCCATAGTGCTGCTTTGGATTTCGCTTTAGACTCGCCCGAATGAGACACTGAAGAAAGACAATGGTGCCCTGCAAATAATAATGTTTTGCTGAACTTCAGAGCCCTCCGAATCAAGAGACAAAGGCTGGCTTTGGATCCCAATCTCGCGCTAGCCAAAGCTATCATTTAGACCGCTCGATTCGTAGAACCAAAGGCGAACAATCGGGTCCCGTATGGAACTCTCCATAGTCCAACTTTGGAAATTTTGCGAATTGACAGCCAATCAGCGTGCGCCACGTGGCAGATTGTGCTCAAAGCCAAACTATAGAGAGCACCATATCGGGCTCAGTTGTTCGCCTTTGGTTCACCAAATCGAGCGGTCTAAATGATAGCTTTGGCTAGCGCGAGATTGGGATCCAGAGCCAGCCTTTGTCTCTTGATTCGGAGGGCTCTGAAGCTCAGCAAAAAAATATTATTTGCAGGGCACCATTGTCTTTTTTCAGTGTCTCATTCGGGCGAGTCTAAAGCGAAATCCAAAGCAGCACTATGGATTTCCCACTGAACTACGCTAAATACATAATTTGGAGCATCCCAATGTGTTATCTATTTTCTGGATATGGATTTCACAATGCAAATGGCTTTGGCGTGCTCCAAATACTGGTCCCCCCGCCGTGTCAAGGGTTTAAGTCTTACAGTGCCGACGGCACCACACTATATGATTTATACTTGCCTATACTGATTGGCGAATTGGTTCGACTGGGTGGTCCTTTGTCCAGGGGTCGTGGGAAAGTTGCTGTTGATGTTTACGAACTTCAACAACTTGCAGCAACTTGCTCCATCCCACCATCGCTGCGACGACCCGTCACCATCACCAACAGAATTACCGTGCAGGCACTTATGTTTTTGTGTAGCGCATCTCTACACTCAATTGCAGCACGGGGCTGCTGGCAGGAGCACCTCGAAACTTTCTAGGAATTTGGCATCGGACAACCTGACTACCGACTTGAACAAACTACTGCCATCGTTGCTCCAGCTGCTATCCCTCTCTGGAGTCTACGACAACAATTCACTGTTTCAAAATACTTATTTGCTGGCCGGTAGTCACTTCTCAGCTCCGCCATTGGACCGTAGGGCACTACACACAGTCTTCCATTTCCGGTGACTGGACCAACTTCTTCACCCTCTGGCATGCCACGAAAAACGAATTGTTTCAGGGTATGTATGAACAACAGCGCTGGACGACTTGTCCATGCGATACTCTGTTGGCGACTCGGATGCTAGAAGAGCTCGAGCGCCGTTTCGTTATATACAAAACTGCATCGCCCCCGGGTCCAGTGCGCTTGCCGTTCAAACATGATGAACAGCTCGGCGGGACTCTCCTCACACTGCTCGTTGACGATCATCCGTGGTTCTTTTACTTTACCGTTCTTCTTGCTTAACTATTCAGGAATAACAACCACCTGCGTGTATCTAATGGGGATCCGTTTCTTATGATGTTACACATCGCATAGTCTATTGGCGACACTCCTTCTGAAACCCTTGGGCGACCTTGACTGGACAGCAGTTATGTGCTGGTCTGCTATATCGGACTTGCCAGCACGATGAGTGAGTCTTTTCCTTCCCTATATAAATATGCCACAATCCTGGATGTCAATCGTTACCCACCAGCACATCCTTCACTTCCAAGATGTCTTTCTTCATCCGCGCCACTCTCCTTTCTTCTGTCCTCATCGGCTCTATCGCCACCACATTTGCGTCTCCCCAACCCATCGATAAACGTGCGAACCCCTCATTCCAAGCCGATGGATCTATCAACGCCGCAGGGATCTACTCCGCCGCGTCCTCTGGGTCCAAGGTCCTGGCTACGTATGCCCCTGATCAGGGTGTAAGCAAGAGCGTGAAGATCTATGGTGACTGGCAGAAGCTCAGCGGTGTCTCTGCGTACTACTTCAAGGCGGACATGGACATCGACTGTGATGGCCCAGACGTGGGTTATCTGCCAGCCTCTATCTTCCACGACACCTTGCTGACCATCCCTTTGGTTCTCAACAGTACAAGTGCGATGTAAGCAGGCTTTCGCGCAAACTCGTCCCCCTCCTGACCACTAACTTCCCTGTCTTCATATACGCTATCAGGGCAGCTCTGAAGGCGACCCCAACACCGCCTTCGGGGCTCTCGACGCTCGCTACGTTCCCTACATCGTCCTCCCAGAAACGTTCGCCACCAAGACGGTTCAGATCAAGGGCAACGCGCTCTCCGCCGTCATCTGCAACGGCAAGATGTTCTATGGTATCTTTGGCGACGAAAAGTATGCTCTTCCTGTCCGACCTGTTCCACCAACTATCCATACCTGATGTTGAACATCTTACGTATTTAGTGGCGCCACGCCAGAGATCATCGGCGAGGCCTCACTCCTCATGGGATAGACTTGTTTCCCGAACGATAAAATCACGGGAAACAACGGGCACGATGCCCAGGATGTCGTTTGTTCGTCTTGTCCTCTTCTTCAACTACTTATCACGGACCGCAGGCTGATCTCTACTCCTTGGTTGTTCACAGACATCGTCTTCCCGGATGTCGTGCCATCTGGTGATCTCTCCGGCCCTAAAATCGACCTTGACGCGTTGAAGACTTTGGGAGACAAGACGGCCAAGCAGCTTGCTTCGGCTTTGAAGTTGTGAATACGTACAGATGGGTGGGGATGATGGTGGTTCGTGACAGTGACTAGGCTTGAAATTTAGAGGGGTTGTAATATGTTTTGTGCGCGGTGGCCCGTAAATTAATATCGTCTTGTTGGTTTTATGATGATTGAGACCTCGAAAAATTGCGGGCGAGGCCTTAAACTTAATATTAGTTGATGAGTGCAAAAGTGGACCAGAAACCGCATCGGACTCGGGCTAGGACACCACGAACCACGTGGCCCATTCCGAATCAACCATCAGCACGCAAGCTTTGAAGAAAAAGGCCATGGATTACAAGCAATACAGCAACAAGCACAAACACGTACACAAAGAAACAAGTATAGTCTCTATGTACAAGAGCACGTACATGTACACAATTTTAGCAATAGTCTGTGAAACGGCAGGACTCGAAGCACACAGATAGATGGAGTCAACGGTGGGTATAAGCATCGTGACTCAAGAGGCAAGATACTGTACGCTTGACAGGAGCAAACGCAGACGTGTAAACTTGAGAAAATGAACGAACGACGGTCAAGGGAGCGCGAATCCGTAGAAACAGAAACTGGTGGATGGTGTGAATACTATGTACGATAAAGTGCATATGTAACATGGATCCTTTTCCGCCTTTGACGATCGATCTTCGAATGACTCGTCTACGCCGACTGACTACAGTGAACTTGAACCCCGAATACACGATATGGAATGGCACAAGAAGGTGGGCGAATGCGAAAGAGAAAAGTAAAACAAGTGTAAGATGAAGTGAAGAGGAATAAAGAAGCAGGGATGAGCGGGAAGTATGTAGATGGAAGCAGATGAGTAGAGGTGGGTAGATGAACAACGACACGGCCGAATCGAAACAAACTAACTAACAAACAAGTACGCGAACAAATACTCAGATCCACAAACGCTCTACAGCCCTATCAACAACACCCGAACACTCTACAGCCTCTTCTCCTCCGGCTCCACCATATCAATCTTCCTCCCCAACACATGGTCCTGATCCTGACTGCTCGTGTCAACCCTCTCCAGGCTATTCATATCCCTCTCCTCCATCGCGTGCTCGTGATGTTGAAGCTCACCACGGCCAGTGATACGCGCGTGCACGGTCTTCATCCAGATGGGTACGATGCCGCCTGGAGGGATGACCCATGGCTCGGCGGAACCGTAGTTAGCGGGAAGAATGCGGTCGTTTGAGGCTTTGCGGATGAGCCATGGGAGGCCGTTGAGGAGGATATAGGAGATGATGCCGGCGATGACACCGTATGCGATGCTAGAGGCGGCTCGTCAGCACTCTATCCACTAGCGCCAGAATCTCTGGAAATCAGAAGACGGGAGATGTGGGCTTACTTGTAGGTCAACGGGATGACGATGATGGTCAAGAACGCGGGTACGGCGTCACCAATGTAGTCCCAGTTGATATCGCGCACGTTACGGATCATGAGCGTGCCGACGATGACCAGAGCGCCACCGGTGGCCCAAGCAGGGATAGAGGCGAAGATGGGAGCGAAGAAGACGGAGATGAAGAACATGAAACCGGTGGTGACGGCTGTGATACCGGTCTTTCCACCCTCTATAAATCACAAACGTTCGTCAACATACGTACTCAACGGAAAAGTGCGGAACGAGGAGATGAAGGCGGGAGATACGCACCAGAGATACCCGTCGCACTCTCGATGAACGCCGTAACGGGACTCGTGCCCATCAAAGCACCCATAGAGATCGAGAACGCATCAACGCAATACGCAACCGTGCTCCTCTCGAAATCCATCGTAACCGGGTCCCTCAATCCGGCGAACTTCGCCATAGAGTACAAGGTTCCCGTGGTGTCCAAGATATCGACATACAACATCGTGATGAGAGCGTACCACACCCTGCCGTTAGAGTAGTCGAAGTCGATGGCACCGCCGATGAGTTTGAGAGGACGCCAGGCGACGACCTGTTTGAAAAAGTCGAAGGCTTCGTCGCCGGCATCGGTATGGGGGAAGGCGGTGACGGAGGTGGGACGAGGCCAGGAGATGATGGAGGTGAGGAAGATGCCGATGAGGATGGCGCCCTTCACGCGGTACATCATGAGGAAGGTAGTAAGGAAACTGTTTGCGCCGCGCCCCGAAATCAGTATGAAAATCAGAGATGGAGCGGAGAACAGGAATGAGACTGACCCGCCGATGAAGATACCGAGCCACATCGTGGGCAGACGCATGACGCCACCCGCACAGTAGTAGTCGAGGTCAGTCTCGTAGTTATCTGACGTGCAACCACCGAGGCCGACCAAGTTCGTCGTGTCGCCACCGACAACAAAGAGACCTCCGGAGCCAAGACCAATAAAGCTGGATGAACCTTTCAGCATTATGAATTGTAATAAACGTGGTAAATGAAGAGAACGTACGCAATGTAAACACCGATACCAGTACCGACTGCCATGACGAGCGACTGGGGCATGATGCGGGCGAGCCATTGACGAAGACCGAGAATAGAGAGAATAAGGAAGATCCAGCCCTCCATAAAAGTGGCGGCGAGGGCTTCGCGATAGGAAATAATACCGCCGGTACCGTGGAAACCGACGATGGAGTAGGCGAACTGATGGTGAGACATGGAGTATTAGCGTCGATTCCTATACGACCTTCCACCAAGTAACGAAGGACACAGAGACCGCCGGATGAGGCTGAATGACTGCCCGAAAATGGAAGGCTTCTTCAGATGATCCGCAAGTCTGTCCCAGTCGGGAAATATCTGTGCCGAAATCCGCTGTGGCACCAGTGAGGCCACCTCTCCGCGAAGGAAGTAAATCGCTTGCACACAGAGGCAGGTAACGAGGGAAGTGAAAACCAGTAGAACAAGATATAACTTGGAAATCCATTGACCACTCTGATCAGCGCACTTCTACCCAGATGTACCTGGCTCGAACGAATAGCGTGAATAGCACCGGAGAAGGCGCTACCACCGGGTAGAGCCACTAGAACGTAAACTGTTCATGTGGTACCAAGAACTTAGAAATGGAGAACATGAAACCCGACATTTGCTCGAGTGGGCAAAAACCGAGCTAACCCCAAACGAGCAGGCGATACGCAGATATGCTAAAGACACTCACATAAGCGTTCAAGCCCAGCCCAGGTGCCATGCCCACTGGCAAGTTCGCAAGTAAACCCATGAGACCCGATGCGAGTGCAGAGACAGCCGCAGTGGTGGTGATGAGGTCGCGCTGAAGTTCTGTAAGGCAAGCGGTGTAGGTATCGTCGGTTGTGCATCCGTCATTTGTTGGGCACTCGCAAGTTCCTCCGGAGTCGGCCAGGATGGAGGCGTTGACGGAGATCTGTGGATGAGAAAGACGTGGATGGGTAAGTCGGATGAGGGGCTGTCTAACTAAGCAGGGTAAAACTCACGATGTACGCCATAGCGGCCTGATGGTATTAGATTGTTAGCCAGAGAAATGAGACTTTGAAGATTGTATACGCACCCATGTCGTGAGTCCAGCACGAATCTCGGTCTGTAGTCCGTACAAACTGCAGTGAGCATGAAAAGTCGCTCAGGAGAGTAAAAGGCCACGCACGATGAAGCGAGAACCCTCGCGCTCCTTCTTAGCGCCTGATCCCTCTAAAGAGAACCATCTTCCAACGAAGGAGTCGGCCACCTACGCAAGACGCTCAATATCCTGAACCTCCTCGACGAAAAGAGCAGGCAAAACGTACGAGGGCGTTGAGTCTATCGGCAATCGTCAGGCTCATTGCTTTGAAAGCCTAGTAAAGAACGAAGGCGAAGAGAAGAAGGAAGGGGATAGACCTGCGAAAGCCGGTGTGGCAGTTCGCGGGATAGATATGTAGAAGCGGGGATAGATAAAGGATTGGTGTTATAGGATGGGGCCGTGTGGCTACCCACGCGAAGAAACGAGAACAGACGGCAACTCAGGAACGTCCTGACAGGAGCGGCACGCAAGATCACCTCCTCTTATACCTTCGTCCGCTAAGCTTATCGGCCCCAGAAAAAACAGCAGAAATCTGCCCTATTTTCCCCGGTCTTCTGCGGACGCCGCTTTGCATCTTCCAAGCCTATGAGCTGCAGTGTTCGTCTAAGTTCGTCGTCATGTGCGACATGTACGCTTCGCTTCGATGGGAACAGGTTCGTCACGAATGGCAGCAGGTTCACCGCGAAGATAGTCGACGATGACTGCGTCGCCTCATGCTCTCCATCAATATTCTCTCGGCCGCGGGCTTCGGCTCCTCGAATGTCCCGGCGCCGGTCCTCCTCATCTCCGATCACTCGTCCGCCTTTGCTCGCCGGGTTTCCCTTTTCATTTCCATCTTTGTTCTCTCTTTTCTTGCTGTCCACGTTTTCGGACTATGCATTCTCTGCTCTGATGTCTGCTATTCCTGCCATCTACGAGAAATAGCCAGGCTCGCGACAAATTTTCTCAGACCTCCGAGTGCACAGCCGAGCGGATGCATATGCTACGCTTTGCCAATCTGAGGCCCAACGCCGCCACAATCCCCGTTAGCAGCAGGTTCGGCCTCGATCTGGCGATTCCGATTTCCGCCCATTGACAGGTCCACTTGACAGCCCTGGAGATCCGAGTCCTCATCACGTCACCGCTTTGACATCCTACCATCTCCTCAGAGTCAGAGGCGCGAAAAATAGATGTGGCGCGTTGGTGGCAGTGTGGCACCCCTCCTAGATTACCGCTTGAGTCAGGTTGTTTTTGAACCAAGCTCTCTATCTCGCTGCGTCTACCACGGTCCACCGATACCTATAAATTTGGCCCTCGATGTCTCATGAGCTAGCGAGAAAAGGTACGCTCCCGGTTGTCAATAGCAGTAAGGCCAGGTTCGCCCCGCTGTCTCGGACGCGGGACGTCTCCTCCAACGGCCATCGGAAATCCTCCCGCGTGGTCGGCGACCAAAGCCTTTGTCCTCTTCCTACCTTTCCCCCTGGTCTTCACTCTTTCTGGAGTTTACAGATCTTGTTCAAAACACCTAGGCAACCGTACCGAAAATGCATTACACTCATATTTTGCAGCACTGCTGCCAAGCACCTGTCCGTGTTTCCCGCTCCTAAGATACTGGCCTCTCGACAAACGTTGCTCCCCGAGAACGTATTTGCTCGCTGAACTCTACTGACACTGACACTGGCAGCAATAGTTCCTCTGGTTACTGTACCTACATTTTTCGCTCCCGTCCCATGCTCGGTCTGCGTGTGCACGTTCACCCACGGCTGTGAGTGCAGAAGCCTCGTCCTGCGAATTCAATTATCGTCTGTCATATGCACCTCCTGGAGATGTGGACAGCCTATCAGGATATTCTTGGGTCTTTGGATCGTTCGACGTATCGTTTATTCTTGGGTGTTTGCGATTACGGTGGGATGGCGCTGCAGAGCACATGGGAGGACTTCTAGTTCTCTGGAGGCGTGGAACCACTGGCAGGACGATTCGACGAGTGGGGGTTGGGTTCTGAGGCATCATTTTAGAATACTAGTACTCGTGCGCACTCGTCCGGATGGCGAGAACGCCGAACTGGGAGTGTTGTGTGGTACGAAGCCTTGGGATGTCGATGACGTTCCGCAGCACAGCACGGTGAAAACGGGTAGGTGTGGGAGTCCGAGAGTATGTTAAGTTGAACGTTCTGCGTGTTCAAGTATGTTTGTCCGCATTTTTTTGCCGTCATAGTCAATAACGCTTTCTCTGCCAGTGACTGACTGAAGGAGAAACTGCACTACTGTTTCAGTACATTTTCGACCATCACACCTCCCAGGCTCCACTGTCCCGTTATTCGTAGTGTCGTCAAGATCAAGACTCGCCTTCCACACCAACCATGACATCGACCCTCTAAACCGCACTCGCACTCCAATCCTCCTCCCGAATCCTATACCGCGCCATCGTCCCCACCTCTCCAAACATACAATTCCACGCCCCATCCGCACAAGCGCTCAACGCCCCTCCCACCCTCACTATCAACTCCACATCCTCCCTCCGAGTCTTCGCCTTCGCCTTCGTCAATATGACCTCTCTAGACCTTCCATCTCCCCCCGCCTCTCCAGAACTTCCTTCACCTCCCGGAGGAACAGCGTCCGATCCCGGTACATCCGGAACGACCTCCAAACCACGAACATATCCCCTCCAAAACGCCCTCTCGATCTCCCTCGCATTCGGGTGCAACACGTATTTATACCCGATGCCCCAGCCTATGAGCCAGAAGAGCGCGTGGGCGGAGTAGCCGAGCGGTTTGAGGAGGACGAATTGCCAGTCTACGAGTCCTGAGACCGTTACTTTGTGGTTCTGGTTCTGATTCTCGTTCGGGGTGATTTTATCGCCGGTGTCAGGGTTGGTTTGGACTTGGACTATGATATTGGTAGGCGAAACATCGTCGTTCGATACCTCCATCCATACTGCCCGTCCCCGCACTTCGTCCGATTCGGATTCGGATTCGGATTCTGACTCACTCCAGAACACTCGTACTTCCTCCAATAATCCCTGGTATACCTCCTCGTACGGCATGATCTTCGGATTTGTACTGTTCACCGCCATCATCAACTGCTCCTCCATCTGTGCGAACCCAACCGTCGCAATCACCCCTTCGTCCTCTTTGGTTCTGGCGATGCGACTCCGACCCAGCAATTCCCCGATCCCAACAGCCACGTCTGGTATACACCCCGGTGCGTACCCCGGATCGCGAATGATTTCGCTCAGAGATACGCCCGGGAGTCGAGTCATCTCGTACACCCATACCTCCTCGAATTGTGACTTTGATCCGTCTCTCGCTGTACTAGTGTTCTCGGAGACGGGCGAAGGGACGATTGTAGTGGAGATGGGAGTGGGGTGTAGTAGTCTGATGGAAGGTACGAGTTCGTACGGGCCCAGGAGCGGACGGACGACGCTTTCGAAGGAAAGGAGTGGGATGGGTGATGTACGAGGACGAATTTGGACGATGAGATCGAGTTTTAAGTTGGACGGATCGACTGATTCGCGTGTGGATCCTGTCGTGGGCCCGTTGGTAAAATTAAGCGAATTCAAGCTGTTGGGACTTGAGATTGGGATCTGATCCGTGGACGGATTCGCAGTGAAGTTAGAGGGTGGCGCGAGTGAGACGAAGTACGTCGTGCTCGCGTATCCCTGTTTCTCGAGCTTCTCGAGGGAGAGTAGTTTGTGGTCTGGGTAGGCTTTGGAGTAGATATTTTGGATGAGAGATGTATAGTCGCCTTTTGCTCGCTCCATGGTTCGAAGAAAGGATCGGATAGGATGTGATGTTGAAGTTGTGGGCGTCTATATATGTTTGATCGGATTCGAAGTTGTGACACGAGGTGTGAATGTGGCCCAAAAGTTAAAATGTGAGATATGTTTTCCAAATTCTCCCGAACGATATGCAAGAGACACAAATAGCAGGACTATAATACAAATACGGTGGACACTATGCAAAATAGCAAGACAGAGATTGAACAAAGGGAATTGAATGGAAGATATGGCGGAGAAAACAACAAAACCTCGACTATCGTACAGAGATGCAGCAAATCTCGAAAGATCACCTACGACATGTCCCAGAACTTGGACTTCCCTAAAACCCCAGGCCTAAACTGCGGCTTCCACAGTGTATCCACGTCCACATCTTCCTCCTCCTCCTCCTCCTCTTCATCAGCCATACTACTGCCCTCCCCCACTTCCTCTGTATTCCCCCGTGTATCCTTCTTCTGAATCTCCAGGCCGGCCACCCCTTTCATAATGCTCATGGCGAATTTATACTCCATATCTGCCTTCTCCCTCCACGCTTTCTCCTCCTCCATCCTCCGTTCCTTCGTATATGCCCTCCTAACTTCCGGCTCCATACCCTCAAAGTCATTGTCACCTTCCCATTCCTTCTCGAACGACTTGATGCGCTCCTCACGCCACTCCCTCATTGCCTCCACCTCGCTATCCCTAGCTGAACTGCCCCCCGCCCGTGGAGGAGTGTCAGGCGGCTCGTACATGGCCTTCGTACGCGCGGCGAACATCGATTTGACGATCCCGTCGAGAACGGGACGAAGACGACGTTCACGTTCTTCTGAAGGAAGATCCTCCGTCGGATTGCCGAGCAGAGTTTGCATGAGTGCCTGTCCGCCATCATCTTCCCCAGACTGAGGATGAGGCTGTGGCTGTGGAAGCGATTGACGTCGTGCTTGCTCCATAGCTGGTGGCAACGGGGGTCCAAACTGTTTCGATGCAGCCTGTTTCTGCTTTTGGTTTGAATAAGGCATCGCTGGGGGCAGTGAAGGGATGAACTGGTTGGGAGGAGGGAGCTTGGGGGGTGGCGCGGCGCTAGGACTAGCGCGACTTTCCTCCGTTCGCGCTTGTGCGGTTCCGGTATCGATGGAAGGTTGAGGTTGTTCCTTTGTTGTCGAAGCGGAGCCGGAGGAGAACCCGAATAAAGCAGAGAGACGGCGAAAGGCCGAGGGTTTCTCAATCGGAGGCTGTACGTCATTGTTCGACTTCCCTTCTGGTTCTGTGGCGTTCCCACCTTCATTCTCTTCCTCTTCCGGTACTTCCTCTTCGTCTTCTTCTTCCTGCTCCGGCTCATCGTCCTCCTCGGATTCTTCAGACTCTTCTTCCTCGTCATCCGTTTGTTGCGTGGTTTTAGCATATTTGATAGGTGGCTGGAGAGAAGAATAATAGGACTGTTCCTGAGGCGCTCGTGCGAACATCGCCGTATGAATAACGGCAGCCGGTCTGAGATCGAGCTGCTCCGCCAGCAAAGACTTCTTCACTTTCTCTTTCGAACCGGCGCCGACTTGAGTGGAGTGAGTCGTGGTGGCTACGGGGTCCACAGCTTTCTCCTTCCCCTTCGCAGACTTGGTCGGTGCTACGGGAGCCTCTTCCTCCGCGACTTCCTGATCGTCGACTCGCTTGTCAGCGATAGAAACCAGGGCTTCAATTTCTTCCTCCTCCACAGGCGATTCGAGGCCTTTACCCTTGCCCTTATCCTTCGCATTTCGCTTCGCAGCAACATTCGGAACGGTGGTCGAGTCGGAAGGAGCAGCAGACGCAGAGCGCCCTCGTCGTGTCTTGGGCGCCTGGACGACAGGGGAAGTAGGCTCTGGGGTAGCTTGCGTAACGGCTCCAACGTCTGCAGGTGCTTTGCCGGTGCGCTGACGACCCCGACCAACAGGTTTCGCAGGGACCTCTTCCGCCTGGACGACTTCCCTCTCTGGAGCAGGCTCCTCGATGTTGGTTTCTATGGCCTGGTCTTCTTCCTCTTCCACAGGCGGATCGGCGACCTTCGCCTTGCCCTTGCCCTTCGTGCTCCGCTTCGTAGGAGTCGGTTTGATGATCGTGTCGGCAGCGGGAGTGACAGAGGCAGAGCGTCCACGCCTCTTCTTCGAAACATGGGCGGTGGGCGATGCAGGCTCCTGGGCGTCTTGAACCTGGACAGCTTCTTGCGTGATGGCGTCGGCTGCGCGCTTGCGACCCCGGGCAGTAGGTTTCGCAACGACGACGGCACTATCATCGACATTGGCACCATCAGCACTCATCATTCAAAGCAACAAACTCGGAAGAACAAGAAGGTGAGGCGGCACTCACAGTTCGGACGGTCCTGCGACCTCTATTGTCGACGTAGTCTTCGACCTCTTCGAAGCCCGCCCGGTGGGTGCTGCAGCTTTCACCTCGGGTGTCTTCTCCGGAAGCGTCACAGGCGCAGGCGTCTTGCGACTACGACCTTTGGACCTCGAGGATCGTCCAGTAGGTGGCTCAGCCTCAGCATCAGGGGCCTCGGTAGGACCAACTGGAGCGTCTTCAGGTTCGGGTTCGGGTTCGACGAGAGGAGCCGCCTTCTTCGCCCTAGACGTCTTCCTGGTAGTCGACACATCCTGCGCAGCCTGCCTGGCAGACGGCTTACGGGTCCGAGTCGTCGATTTAGTAGGTTCATCGATGGTGGGAGCAATGGTCGTACTGTGCTCGGCAGCAGGAGCAGCTGGCTCGTCGACATTGATACCGACTTCGGCAGTGTCTTCAGGTTCAGGTTCAACGAGAGGGGCCGCCTTCTTCGCCCTCGACGTCTTCCTGGTAGTTGACACGTCCTTCGCAGCCGCAGCCTGCCGAGCAGATGGCTTACGACCTCGAGCGGTCGATTTAGCAGGTGCCTCGATGGTGGGAGTGATATTCGCGGCAGGGGCAACAGGTTCGTCGACATTGGTATCGGCTTCGACCGCCACGCGGGATGTTGCTCTCCTCGTTCTTGAGCTCCTCTTGAGGGGAGGCATCTCGGCAGGTGGAGAAATGGCCCTCTTGCGGCCTCGGGTGGCAGTCTTTACAGGAACGGGAGCAAGAATTGGGTCGGCCTCGACGGTGACGGCAGTGGCAGGGGCAGGTGTGGCGTTGGACGTGGCGCCTTGGTCGTGAGAGGTGGCTTCGAGTAGCGAGTCTAGTACGCGCATCTTAGAGCGCGCCTTGAAGAGGGCGTCAAGGATATCGTCGGGTGATGTCTTGTCGGTGACACCGTAATGCTGATAGAGGGAAAGTAGTTTAGTACGTAATACATATGTAGCCATAGATGACACGAATGAACGTTGAAAAAAGAGTGGAAGAAAAACGTGAAAGAGACTCACATTTGCGATGTTGATGAGCATGTCATTGGGAAGCTTTGAGAGATCGGTGCGCGTCTTGAACTTGAATGTACCTCCACCGGCCGGCGGTGCTGGCGATTTGGGTTGAGTTTGGGTTGGGGCTGCAGGTGTCGTAGCGCGCTTGCTGCTGGCCGCGCGGCTCTGGGTTGCACGAGTTTTGCGAGGCGGCATATTGTGTCAAATTGAGCCAAGGTAGAGCACTGTAGTTTGTTGTGACGCGTAAGACCAGCGCGAGGGGGGGTTTCGCTGGATGCGAGTTGCAGAGTGGTGGTGGTGGTGGTTGGGAGACAAGAGGGGAGGGTCAACGCGCGGACGCTTATCTACCGGACTCAAAGGCCAAAACAGAAGAGTCCTTTGTTGAGATTAGATTCCGGTAATTGATCGGAGATTCGCGACACGATGAGATGAATGATGCTGAGGTTCTTTTGTTCCAGGTCAGGGTGCCGGAATCCGACTCGGAGGCGCGACACGGCCGGGTGGCGCACAAAGGGAAGGGGACGCCCAAAATGGTCAGTGGACACCGACGTGTCAATGAAGTGCTGGCAGCGACACGTCCACACGGAAAAGCAGAGAAAATTGTAATGCTCTCAAAAGTCGAATTAGTTTCCGACTTTGTGAGCAGAATGCATGGGCATGGGGAACAGAAAGGACGAAAAGGAGAAAAAATCAAATTCGAATGACCTTGTTCTTCGGGCCGGAAGCTGAATGCCGAATGCCGTCGCCACACCGGCAGCACGTTCGATTGTGGCGCCCTCGAAGGCATGAAGAAGAGCTTCACAGCCGCAGATTCTATGCTATGCCTTTGTGATTGGTACAAGTACAACGCGTAACCCAGACGATAAAGTAACAATAAGGCAGATGCTCGCGTACATCGATACACAATACAAAAAAAGCAAAGTCAAAACATTACAAAGCGCCCAAACAACAAGCTTGCATCTAGCACAGGTCCCAATGCGCAGAAAATGGAAGAACGCCCACTCTGAACTGAGGACCCCATGGTACAACATGTGGAATCCGATTGCCAGGAAGAGTCCAAGTCGGCTCCACACCCGCCATCGGTTTCCTCCTCGGAGTCAACCTCTTCAGCTCTCGGTACTTCACCTCAACCTCTTTTTCCCAATCACTCTCCCCATTATTGGTTCCTAATGCGAGGTATTTACCCTCGTCCCACGTCCCAGCAGTCCTCTTCTTCTTCGCCTCATGCTGCAACCTCGCGCGTCTCCATTCCTGTAACTCTTTCGCCTTCTCCAACTCTTCCGTGAAATAGACCTCAGGAGGATTGTCGTCGCCCTTGTCCTGACCCATCACCGAATCCGGGTCGTCATCATCCTCCAACTTATCATCGAGGTCCAAAAACTCACTAATGGTCCCTTCCATAGTCTCGCGACGATTCGACGGATCCATCCTCCTCTCCATCTCTTCTGCGATCAGATCCTGCTCAAAGCTTCGCCGAGCGGACGGAAGGATGATCTTGAATTTTGTCTTACTACCGCCCGCTTGTTCTATGATGCGTTGCAGCATCTCGAGAGGTACTCCGTAGGTATCCTTGTACCTGCTGGTGTCGGGTTTGTAGACGTGCTCTTCCTTGTCGGCGTCTTCTAATGCTTGGGTACGATCGTCCGAGGAGGGATCCCAAGCTTCACGATCGAGGTGCTGAGAGTCCGGAACCGATTGAGGGTCATGAAGAAGATGGTTGGAAGTCGTGGGATGGGGATGAGAGTCGGGAGCTGGGGTCGCAGAGTGACGAGAGCCGGACTGTGTCGCAGGTTGTGGACGTGAAGATTCGGGGGACAGTCGGGGTGGTGACGACGATGATGGTTCGTCATCGAGCTTCGGTACAGGAGGACGACAATCGACAGGTGCTCCCTGGGACCGGGTTCGTGGTAGCTCATAATCCTCATCACTGATTTCGGAATGTCGCTCTCTCGAAGGCGAGTTGTTCGAATGGGAGGACTTGTGTCGTTTGGATGGACTGTCATCGTCATCGTTGGGCCCATCGACTCCACAAAGAGAACGCTTGAGGGAGACTCTGGGGCTAAGGCGCCGGGAGTGTCTATGGTGTGCATTTAGCGGATTGGATCGTCTGAGATGATATATCATCCGATACACACCTCGAATGAACTGTATCTCCCTCTCCTTCCCCTTCTCCTTCTGATGAACTTCCTTTGTCCGCCCGTGTACTTCCACACTCGTCGTAATCCGGCCCAGAGTAGTCACCACCCAATATCCCTACCCTCTTTGGCACAGGCACCACAAATCTGCCCTGACCCCCGTCCACCCTCGCTGCGGCAGCGGGAGTACCATCATTCGTAGTTGGCCGATCGCGCGCTGCAGCTTCACGGCTCCACTCGTCGAGGCGATCAAGAATGGGCTTGAGGGAGACTCTAGGGCTGAAGCGCCGTGAGTGTCTACTGTGCATGGAGATGATATATCAGTCGACACACACCTCGAGTGACCTGTATCTTCATCTTCCTCTCCTTTCTCTTCTGTTGCACTCGGGCTTCCGTAGTCCGCCTTCATACTTCCACACTCGTCATAATCCGGCCCATCATACTCATCATCCGGATATACCATGCTCGCCACAGGCGCCACCACCCTGTCCCGATCCTCGTCCGCCGTGGGAGTTGGAGCAGGAGCAGGAGCAGGAGCACCATTATTTGCAGCTGGGTGATCGCCCGCTCCAGCTTGACGGGTGAGCCTACTATTGAGACGATCAACAAGACTCTTCAGGGATGCTCTATAGATAGGGCCGATGGGCCGAGGGTGTCTATTGTACATTGACGTGGTGAACATTCAGTTAATTAGGTCATCAAGTGTGATGCTACTATGTCAGTCGATACACACCTTCGGTGGACTATATCTTCCTCTCCTTCCTCTCCTTCCCCTTCCTCTTCCTCTTCTTCCCCTTCCTCTGTTGACGGTCCTCCGTCGTAGTACGGCGCATCATACTCTTCATCCACCATCTCCACCATCGGCGCAAACGACACCACTCTGCCCCGACTCTCGCTCGCCCTCGGAGCAGCAGCAGCGCTAGCAGTAGTAGGAGTAGGGTCATCTGCAGTTCGCTCTGGTTGATTCCCCGCCCCAGGCCCAGCCTCAGAGCCTTCTTCTTCCGGCCACGTATATTCAATCTCCTCTGGGATCTCAAGCTCCTCTGAATCCGCGAACAAAGCATCGAGGACTTCCTCCCTTGGAGTATCGTCCGGGAAGTCGTCAAACTAGGCAAACCAAACCAAGTGAACCGGTTCGACATCTTCAGCATTCGAAGAGGCAGGGAAAAGAAGGGGGAAAGAACAACGCACGGGACGTACAATTGACGCGACGTTTCTGACCGAGTCATCGCTGAGCTTTGCGAAATCTGAGCGCGTCTTTATCATGTTGGTGAAAGTTTATTGTTCGAGATATCGCCGTGTCGTGCTCTTGAATTACAGTCGTGTCGCGCTTCGATATTCTAGAGGCGCGTAAGATTATCCGCAGATGACAAGTTGCAGATGTGGAGCAGGCCGAGCTGTGCGTGCAAAGCAGTTTGAGATGTGATGGTTCGGAAGAGGAGATGGAAAGACGAGACAAGACACAAGCACGCGCGGGTCAAAGCGCGTGGTGTGGCGAGTTATTGTTTCGTCTGAGTTTGAAATCAATTGTGTCCCATAAATCAGCGGATATTTTATCGTGTATCAAGCAGGACGAAGTGACACATACCGAAGCATAGAGATGTTGTCATTTCGAGCAGTAGGACGGCAAGTAGATTATATCCATTGACCCAGTACTTATTTTATTTTATTGTATCTTACATTTCTTTTTTGGCGCCACAATCGACGTCCACCGTCGGAGTTTGAATGCCAAATAAGTGCAAGGTGGCGCTGTGGCCCAACGTCTGTTCAGGAAAAGAATATTGATGCAGAATGCTATAGATCTGATTGGCAGTGATGTATGGTATGGAAAAAATACATATGCGTATTGTTTATCCTACCTACCAGAATGCGTGTGTATTAGCGCAAAAACCGTAACCTAAACCCAGTAGAATAGAGAATAAGAGCGAACCGCGCTGTCAGTGTCCCTGCCACATCGGACAGCCGATCTCTCAACCCCCTAATCCTTCAAACATCGAGACTCTTCTTCTCCCTCCGTACCTCTACTACCCCGCCATGCCCTACCCCCACCGCATCATCCGCTCGAAGGACCGGCAAAGAAACGACTCTGACTCCGTGCTCATGACGATCCTCAAAATCCAAATTCGGCAACAACCTCGCACTGCTCCTCTCACTCGTCTGCGCCGTATGCCCCGTCCCAAGTCCCAAAAATTCCGATCCCGACCTGGCATCCATAAACGACGACTCAACCTCTCCAGACGTCTTCCCGTTCAAAACCTTCATACGCCTCACACTCCCACGGGACTCTATATCCCCATCCCCATCCTCATCCTTGTCCCTATCGCCACTCCTACCCATACACCCATCAACACTAAAACTCAAGCTCCTCCCAGCCATCCCAGTAAACTCCAACTCCCCCAACTCAAAATCCCTCCCGTCCCCGTCCTCATCGCCTAGTATATATTCCTCCCCAAACGCACTCATCCCCGGCTGTCCCTCCGCCGCCGCTCTCGCCCTCTCAACACCCAGCCGGTCCGATTCGGCGCGCAGAGAAAGCATGAGACGACAGACGAGGGTCGCGGAGAGGGCGTTTGTGATTAGTGCGCCTACGCCTTTGTGGAGCGCGGGGCCGAGGAGGAAGAGGGTTATGTTGAGGGCGTTGGAGAAGAAGAGGACGCTGTGTGGATGATTGTGGTCATATAGGTGCGTCAGTGAAAGGGTGATAGGGCAATGGGGATAGGGTGCGAGAGGCACGTAGATGGGAGGGGAGGAGGGAGAAGGAAGTAATAGAACGTACACGAAGTAAACCGTTCCATCCCTCAACAAGACATGCCAGAGCGTGTACGGGTTGTGCCAGCCGATTCTGAGCGCCTTGTTGAGCGTCAAGACGAATATGGCGATGTCGAAGACGAGAACGCCGGACCAGGTTACCGCATAGCGTCGGCCGCTATATCACGAATGGAGATAGTGTGAGTGAATGAAATGTATTGCAGTAAGTATGGGAAGAAGACATACTCGGCGACGGAGTAAATCGGATTACAGCCCGGTATGTTGACGTCGAGGAACTTGATAGAGTCATGCGGCATGAATAGACTCCACTAGAAGTATCGGTTAGCACGTCAATCTGGGAGAGTTTGCAGAAAGGTCTCGGCGCGGGAACGCATAAGATAGAGTGGGAAACGGGAGTGTATGTCCGAGCGAGGTTCGGGCCATTTTGTGGACAGAAGGGGAGAGAGACAAAGCTGAACAGAAGAGACGTACACATAATAGGACGAAGGTCGCCACCATAACGAGCACGAGCCCGGTGAGGACGGCGCGGCAATGCGAGTAGAGCGCTGATACGCGGAGGATGCAAAGGATTGCGGTTAAGAATTGGATGAGGATGATGTAGATGAAGTGGTAGGTGTGCACGCCATGGCAAAAGTTCTCCTGGAAAGACGCTTCGTGTGAACGGGTGCCTGTGGTCTCGCATGTCCAAGAAGAAGTAAGAGCGCGTACCTTGGAATTATATTCGGAAACGAAGCTGGCGATGAATGCAGGGAGATGTCCAAGGATAGCGAAGTAGCGGGTGATGAAGTAGAGCAGTGAAGGCCAAGTAATACGGTTCTTCGGTGGCCAGAAGAATGTGATCTCATTGATGAGGGTGAGAGCGTAGTCGTAGTAGAGGATCGCTGCGCAAAAGTCGTCAAGACAAGAAAGTGACCCACAAAAAATCACATGCTGAACAAACCAAAGGCGATAAGTGTACCAGCATAGTTGATCTGTCTGCCGCGAAACGATTATATCAGAGACAGGACGAAGAGGGTGCAACAAAGAGGCGCGTACAACTGGCGTCCTAGGTCCGTTGACATCTACTTGAGGAAGACTGTGGGCGAGGCTACGACCTGTTGTGGCGCGCTCATGGACCCGACTTGTTCGTCACTCGAACTCACCGTCGAGGACGACGAGGACGGCCTGCGGCGGCAAGGGGAAAATCGGCAAGATAGCACCGGGTAGTAAGTTACGTTGTGAGGACAAACGTGGGGGTACAGACCAACAGAGCATATGCATGCTCGATGGGTTCTTATAAGGAGGATGGAAACGCACGCGAGCGCTGTCAAGATGCTAAGGCAGATAAAGTGAACACTCCGTCACGATCGTCGCCATCCGTTAGCCTTCCCCAGCTGCCTTCCGCATTGCTTTCCCGTTCAGGCCCTCGTTTCTCATCTCTTCGTCCCATTATTTCGCCCGTCGGGCTCCGTCGGGCGCAAGCAGTGGGAATGCTAGCTAGTAGATGGGAACGCGAAAGAATTTATGATAACCAAGGGCAGAGGCAAGAGCACTCGTTCAAGGAGAAACGAATGAACGTTGCCTTTCTTCGACAAATTCCGCTTCTGATCAATCTATTTTCCGATCCGGAGGCACATTTACGGTTGCCACAGAGTTCACGGTCTATTGACGCGCGTCGCGCGTTCGCGCTGCTCGAATGCAGACGATGTCAAACTTCGATTTGTGCCTCTCCTGCGCCGATTTTCACATTTTGGAGAACCCAGAAGTGCTTTGAATAGAGGTTTTATGATACGGGCGCTTCGACGACCTGGGGACAGAGTTTTATGAGCCCAGAGATCGAGGTGGCTCCCGGTTCCATTCTCTCACGAGCGACTTCGCGCCGCCTCTGCGTCTTGTCCGCTCTTTATTTATTGCCATTTTTTCTCGTACAACTCTCGGGATGCTATTCAATCGCGCTTCCAAAGCCCGGCATAAAGTTGTTTGAAACGAAGAGGTGCTGTAGCACCTTCAGCAATATCCGAGAGCTCGAGGCGGAATACGCCGGCTGCTGCTGCCTTCGTCATATGCGGGGCCGGCGCTCGAGGTGGAGCATTCTCTGGCCAGACAGAAATGAGCTCTGGGGCCGTATCATAAAACCCCTAATAGCTCATTTGGTCTCCATAATTCATATCTGCTGCCTAGAGCACAAACCTATACCACAGGAGCCCGAAATCGCATTTCGGCCAGCCCAAAAAAAATCCGGGATATCCCGGAGGTCGGCCGGAAATGAGACGGCGTCGGTATCCACTCCGGTCTCTCGTGTGGTGTGGCAATCCAGTGGCCCAAATCCAGGACTGAAGCTGTCACGCATCAAATGGCCCAGGAAATATATATGCTATATAAAATTTACCGTGCATATAAGGAGACCCGCAAGGTGGCCCATCCATTGTATCTATTACTCGTTACGAGGAGTGTAGGAGTCTAAGGTGCCGCGTTCAACTCGATTGTCGCGACCAAACCAGAACAGTGTCTTCGATCGTGCATACGATGATCCGAAGCTACGTCTGGGTATAGACACATCACAAATAACATACCTACCTATAGTTTCCCCAGTGAATTCAATGAGACCAGTCCACCAAGTACTTGGAAGAAGAGTAAGTTGAAGCGGTGTGGCGGGTCCCATGCGGCGGGTTGCGGCTGGGCCACCTCCGGGGTGCATCCCGGATCCGGCAATGCCTTTTTTTAGCTTTTTTGCCCGCTGAGTGCGTTTTGTGCGTTTTCGTAGCCTGAAGTCGGTTTATACTACATAAAAAGGGATGGATGTCATTGGATACGCATTCACGAGCATCCTAATGGCCCATGAGGTTTCATAACAGCAGAGAATGATTCAGAAAATCGGTCAGAGGGGCACAAGATTGGCGAGCATGAGAATGGCTCGAACGCGCGACGCGCGTCAATAGACCGTGAACTCTGTGGCAACCGTACACATTTCGGCGACGGCAGGTCACGGCCCGACACAATATTGCCCTTTTTGGATGCCACCTAATAAAGCAACTCTCCACATCCGTTACAGCAATTTGCAGAATCGTAGTCGCTCCCACTTTTTCTCTTGATGGAGCGACCAGCGTTTCTTGACGCAACCGCTTGCCATTTGGAGAAGCGAACGCCACCCCCGGCACATTTCAATGGCGTGGCCACAATTGACCACTGAGTAGCATTCCATCTCAGGATATTGGACAAAATCTGGCCGAGTGGGCCCCTGACTCGCGGGGTCTCGCTATACCAATGGCATTCATCGACAATGCGCAATGAGCTCGTATTGTGCATTGAGGGCCTGCAAGAGCGATGTGGCCCAGCTCGTGGCAGCCCCGTCGGGAGCGTCGGGTAAGGCTTCGTGTGGAGCAGAGCTTCTCTGCGCGAAATCGAGGTGCGACTACGATTCTGCAAATCGCTGTAAAGGAACCACCACCTGTCCCTCTTCCACTGAGGTGTTCCTCACAAATCAAGGTTTGGACGTGTGTTGACCCTGACGACGCCTAAGTGTAACATAACAGCTCTACTCTAGGGACTCCGTCGACCCATACCAAAGCTATCAAGTACTACTTGAAGGGCTGTAGTCATAGCCCATCGCTCATCTGAATCCTCCGTCCGGGCTCCAGATCGACGCAATTAATATAAAGGCATATATCGAAATCCCTCCCATAGTGCCTACAGCTGTAGATCATTTATCATTGTCACCGATAGATCCAAGTTAGGCTTTCTTCATCCAGTCACCATTGAGCGGATCGGGAGTGCTGCGACGACGGCGTCATCGTTATCATCTGTCTTCATGAAACCAACAGCGGTGCCCCCTTTAACCACATCCTCAGGCCTCCCTTTTCTAGTTTGTCTTATATGTCTAGACCCGGAACGATACCACAAAGGGAATTCTCCTGTGTCGTTGTCAAACTGGCTACTACGCCTATCGGTGTACTCGGTGATCCTTCAAACCTCGTCCTTGCAAACAGTTGACTCAGGTCAAATTCTCGTCACCCTTACTTTACTCCACCGTAAATGGGCGATGATACTAGCCCTCACATCAACTATCGCGGCTGGTTACCGCGGTTGATGATCCAGTCGTTCTATCTTGGTTCTACTTGTCTCTGATCCTACATCCCCAAGTATGGGATGTCTGGATCTTGGCTTGTGCACGGGTCGTACTGGGACTGGGGTATCTGGATGTGTACGTGCATGATATGCCATCTGTTCCGCCCCAATCTCGAAGTACTAACAAAGTATCCCAATGGTGTGTAACTATATTGATGCATCAGGTCTTTAGGCCTCTTCAGGATTGACAGTAGTAAACTGCCGCGGATCCAATATACGTTGATCCAAGAGTGCATCATTCATGCACACATCCTCGGAGCTGTAGCGAACAGACCTGTCTTGCCAACACCCAAATACGCATGCATGGTACAAGTGTCGCACAGGTGTGTCCTTATTCATATATCAGGGACATCGATGGAGACTGATTCGATTCGAGTCGGTTCGGGTCCATGCACGATGTTGCCAGCTGCAGTAGTCTGACCGTGCCATTTCACAGTAGCACCTTCTCCGGGGGCAATCAACATCTCTTGGTGTACTTATACTTATAACGCTCCAACCTTTGACTTTAGGGTTTATCGTGACCAACATGTCTCTTGCACCGTCTGTCAATGAGCTGGAGCCTACCGGTCTGAGCTCCACAGCTCGTGAGTACTTGATATAGATTGTGATGGGGCTTGAGTTTGGGATATGATGTGACTAGGAGACGAACTTTCGTTCCGATCGAATCAAACCGTACTCTCGACATTTGCCGCTTACATTTTTGCAGGATAATCAGGGGTCACATGAATATGATTCGACGCGTATATCCTTCTCCTTTACGAGGATACATACTGTCTTCTCCGAGGCTAATGAAACATGTTGTACCGAACATACTTAGAGGGTACTCTGATTATATGGTCTCGTGAATTAGTATAGCTGCTGAGTTTTTCCAATAGGGAGACGAGGAGGAAGGCTGCCATGTCCATGCAGTAGTTTAAGCCAAACGATCTACTGTGGGATGCACCTCTTCCCAATTCGAACTCCGCGCAGGTTCGACTTGGAGCGACTCCGAGACCGAGACCAATTCGAGAAGAAGAGGTTGCTCATGTCGTGTCCAACGTCTATACAGTGGATCACTTGTAGCCAAGATAGTAAACTGTCGTTCGGATATCGTCGTGAACATCCGTTGGCGAATGGTGGAATTTTCATAGATACGTTCTTCCGGTGGATGACTGACTGACATGAACGGACTCCGTGGCAATTCTACACTATTTATTGTCTTACATATCGCTCATTTCATCGCTACGGTGTTTGCTATCGGATAACTTGTCCAGTGCCTCCATGTATGTGAATTGCACAACTAGTCGCGTCGGGCGCCATTTCGGTTGAGACTGTGGTGTTACACAGCCGCTATATTTCCAGAGACGAATGTAGGTATTTTGTATTGACGTTCCGAACCAGTCGAGTTCACAAGCCGCCTCAGCACTACTTGCACTATACATAGATGCAAATACCCGCCTTTAAAGCTAGTCGCTGCTCATGTTTTCACAAGTTTGAGTCACTAATTTCGAGATTCCTCACCAAATCCTCGGCTTTGGGGTCTCTTGGCCGTACAGCGCATTCAAATGGCTCCGGGTGGCTACGGAGGGTATAACAAACATCATGACACGAAGAGACATAAAAAGAAGAATGAAGCAAACCCACCTGACACCACTGTCGACGTATTCGGTATTAACTTCGACCTCATTCCCATCCTCATCCTTAGCCTTCACTATATCGAACACGGCTAGGATACAGGCTACTGCAGACCACAACGTAGCAAATGCTAGATACCTTCCGGGACATATCCTGATGCAAGAACTAATGAGATAAAGAAGATGAGACATTTGACTACGAAAATGCGTACCTTCGTCCGTAACCAAAGGACGCTAGTACTTCGTCTTTTGAGAGTTTCCCTTCGGGTGTGATGAATCTCTCAGGAAGAAACCGTTCTGGATCAGGATAGACCTCGGGGTCGTGCAGGATGGCCCTATCCAGAAACACGGTAAGATCAAGATAGATGGCGGTAGAAGAGAAGGGACTTGATCTCGCCAAGCGTTTCCAACAACTGTAGAACCTGTACAGGTAAGTAAACCCGATCAATGGGATAGACGAGACTCCTGATGACGTATTGGTGAACATACCTTTAGGGATGAAATAGCCGTTATAAACGTCGTCACTTGATGTGGCATGGCTCCCTGCCAATGGTGCGATCAACCTCCATCGCATCACCTCTCTACAGATCGCGGAGATGTACGGTAGTTGTTCTCTGTCGGCCAAATCGGGTAGCCTATCTCTGCCGATTACTTTGTCCATTTCGGCCTGACCCCGGGCTTGAACGTCTGGATGATGGACCAGGGCCATGATGGCGCCTGTTAAAGCCGCCATAGACTGAGCGTCGGGCGCGGTCTTAGTGCCCCCGACTTGAGACATAATTCAAAAAATACATACCGTGTCCGCCGCCGCTAAAAAGTAGCAGACGGTGTTGCAAGACTACTGTATAATATTCTTCAACGAAAACGCACCTATGTGTATGGTAGCAAAGCTGCGCCTTATCACATACTCTCCAAACTCACCATCCTTGTTGTTGTCGAGAACCTTTGCGAGTAGAGAATTCGGAGGGTTTCCATTTCCCTGAATGAACGTTGACTGTGGTGAGTGGCTCGCACAGATTTATCCTACGATGGTGGACATCAGACTCACCATGTTTTGTTTCGTCTCGTTGAACAACCCGTACTCAATCTCGGTAGTCAATACCTTGCACTCTCGTGCGTAATCCTTGAAGTCCTTGATTCCGGGAACCCATTCGGGAAAGTATTTCACTGAGAAGTTGGTCAATATGAACTCGGAAAGAGCGACTATAGAGAAGAGTCGAAGAGATACTCACAAAACGAATAAGTATTCACGAGGAAGATTCCCGGGGTGACGATTTGACCAAGCACAGACACTGCATTCTCCACTTTCTGAATCAATGGATCTCCGTTGAGGCTGGCCTCACGATTATATGCAAGCTTCAACGATAGGCTGCCAGTATGGCTACCACAACGGGTGAGACTGAATAAGCACGAGACGTGACTTGTTGTAGGCGGATGGGTACTCACTGCTTCATCTGTTCCACTGCTGTGTTTGGATCTGCCAAAAGACTCCGCAAAAGGCGCTTGTTACGCGAGGTAAGAAGAGGATAATAGCCTACTACGGCCTCTTGGCGGAAGTGTTGATGAATGACACGCCTATGGGCGCGCCATGAATCAGAATAAGGCATCCAGGTAATATTGAAGTCCCAGCCGGTACTGGAAAGCACTGTAAGTACTATATGGAACCAAACAAAACAGAGGAGGAATAGCGTACAGATATACCATCTCGAAGTGCGGTCTATCCGAGTAAATGGTCGATCGTCGCTCAAATAGCTCCTTCGCCGCTTTGGCAGAGTTGATGACGATTGTATGCTCGCCCGGAACGTGATACGACACGATGTCGCCTAGAACAGGAGATTTTATGATCAAGGGAGTAGCAGCAACGACGGCGAATGAGCTTACTGTTATAGCGTTTAGACCATTCCGCCAATATTAAATGCGTGCGGGCCTTCGGTAAATCAAAAAGGTTTCCCAGGATGAAACGGGGAGGTGGTCCTGGTGGGTAAGGAAGCCTGGAGGAGTTGTGTTGGAGGCGACGGAACGTGCGCAGGGCAGCAAGAGGTGCGAATGTGAGGAACAAGAGAACGAGAGCGCTAGAGAGCTCAATCATGGCCCCAAGTCCAGCGAAGTTCTCAAGGACGGGATTGCTAGTTCACCTGCTATATAAAAGGAAAGGAACGGGCGCTTTCTCTAGCTACTTCTACTCGTCGATACCTGTTGCGTCCACAACCTTTCCCCAAGGACTAAGCGAACGCCGACGAATTTAGACGCGAAATTTTTGAAAACAAACTTCTAGCTTTGGTTCGGCAGACGGATCCTGCATGTACATATGATCAAGACGAGGACAGCCTGAGGAAGAGAATGTCTGAGGTTCGTCACGCTGTAGCCTGTGTTATCGTCCGTGCATGCTCTGAGAAAACAGTATGGCTATTTGAAGCTCGGCATCCCACAGCCTGAGAACACGAACAGAAGAAAAATAAACAGCATCATCGATGGTGAGAGACAAAGAAAGCATTGCGCAGTAGATGATATGCTATGAAAGGGTATCCATTTCCGAGAACATGAGGGTCCGCATGATGATGGAGTGCTGAAATAACGCGTTGTGAAACAGCTTTCGTTCGCTGCCATCAGCGAAGCTGATAGTCTCTTGGAGAGCTAGCCGAAGCTTGGAGGAGCTTGCTAGCGCTTGCAAGGCTCGCCAAGGGGCTCAAGGGGCTGTCAGCTTCGCTGATGTGTGACCCTTGGGGGCCGACGGGCACATTCCCATGATGATCATGTGTGATCCCCTCTCTGAATCACAAATTCGCCGAGGGTCCACATTCAGTTTAGCTTTAAAGTGTGCGAGCACCATCGGACGCTGATATCAAGGAGAAGATCCTCAAGGCTACCGCTGCAAGAGAGATTGAGCAGGCCAAGCTCCAAGATGTCGTGATGCAGCTTCAATGTGATTGGCCGTGGAACGGAGGGAACGAAGATCAAATCTAGCGTATGGCAGGTGAAATTCTTGTCAAAGTAAACGGCGTTGTGAGGCTTCTCGGAGAGGCGTGAACCATAGTGTCAAGCCCATTTGGAGGTCAACGTTTAGGCAGTATCGTGCCTTGAACGGATATACGCCTTCAGAACAGGTTCCGTTTGCCCTCAGGTTGCACCGCATGTTCAACAGCTCCGGCTGTGTCTCAGAATGAAGGGCTCATTCATCACCATCCACGACGCCAGAAAATCCGACGAGATTCCATTGAACGCGAAGTAAGTTTCCGACCAGGATGCTTCCACGGACTGAAAGCTAGATGCTTACCCAAAAACTGGACGGTATTCATGATGACCCCAAAGGTTTTCGGTGTCTTCTTACATCCTTCAGGTTCGGCCCAGTCCGACATGCAAGAGAGGAGTCAAGACGAGTCGATCTTCTGAAACCTATATGATCTGTTTATCTCTCGCTATAAATGGCCACTGGCCAGTCACAATGCAGCTCGAAGTGTCACTCTGACGGAAACGTTAGGAAGGGGACAGTACTCGTGCTCTGTTCGAAGCATAACAGGTAAGAGATGGTGGGATTAGTAAAGCTGGCAAAAAAAAAATGCCAGCATGAGTAAGCGTGTAATATCTCAAGGGCAAAATACTTGTACCTCCAAAGAACAAGGAGAACGAGGTAGGCACCGGGAATTGCAGGGCCAGCGTTAAGGAGGATGGAGACCGCTGGCCGTACTCAATCACGCTGGTAACAGAGTAGTGAGAACACGAGTTATTAGTAGAACTGAGACCTTGTTAGTTTCATTGAACATGTTTGGGAAGAAAAGCGCTAGCGCGTATTGTATGCGGGCATGATGTCAGTCAAGCAGCCGCCACACGACGTTGTCGCATGCCAGGTTTCGAGAAATCGAGAGGCTTGAACTTGTTCTCCTACCGTGAGCGCGGACGGCAGTCCTTTACTGGTGCAGCATGCTCTTGGAATGCTGCGGCAAATCATTTATTTATACGCTGCAGGATTACTACGATGAAAAGCATGCGCGCACCGTAAGACAACCCAGCATGGAGGTTCAGTGGGGCTTGGTGAAGCTAGAGAATGACCATCTGTGTATGTCCTGAATTGTAATTTCGTCTTTCAAGTCGTTAGACGGAGTGGTAGATGACACGCCAGTGACTCCTCGGGCAAGATGTTCATGACCTTGGTACTTAGAACACCTGGCCTCTACGCGATTGCCATCTTTGCAGCTCTCGCTGTCCTGTGCGTTGGAGAGCTCGATGGTATAGCTAGCATTAGCGCACTCCATTTCCAATGCTGCTAGAGATGAGACCGTAGGTTCAGCTGCGTAAATACTACGACTTGAGGTACCTACACTTCTCGAGCTTCCCATGCGCATGCGACGAGTCTAGTATTCTGCTGGTCTTTCGTGGATGTATCCGGAGGCTCTCCGATTTGTAATTCTAGTCGCCCAATTACTTACGGTAGAGTGAGCGGCTGCGATGCAGTAAAATTGCTATTGTAGGGTGCGACATGGTGTAAGTACAATGCTGAACGTGCTTGAACTTCACGTCGGGCCACAGGTGATAGTACTTCTGTGTGGCTCCACCTCTCGGAATCAATACAGTGTAAAGTTGATGGTGAGACTCAGGCTGTAATCTATGACTCTGTTCATGAGCAGTGGCTACTATCCTGAAATATGAGCGGGGTGCCACAGACCTTATAGAACAGGCCTACCAGGCATGGCCACGGTAAGCACACAGCAAGTCTGTACTATAATTGTATGGCCGCTAGTATACTTAGTACCAAATAGTCATGCTGCAAGCTTGATCTTGAGAGACAGAGAGACCATCTGGAGTAAATCAACTGGGGGAGAAAATGTCTCGTGTCTTCCATAGTAGACGAACAGGCCCGCAGGGAACTGTGCTCGTACGAAGGGTCATGCGGAGATATTATAGATGAGATTGTTCGAGCCGGCGATCGCAATTACCAACTGAGTGAGTGGCACTGAGGGCTGACGAGAGCTCAAACGATATTCTTCTCCCAGCAAGGTTGCTGCTACCGAAGGTAGCTCCCCCAGTCAACGTTCAAGTAGAATCCCTTCGGACACTGAAGGATCAAACATCCGGTAAGTAAGTAGTAGCAATCGATGGTTAGGCTGCAGAGGTTTACTTACCTCGAACCTGTACGTTCCCTATCATAATATCCTCGAGCTGTACAAGTTGAAGACGATGTCCTTTGACTGACCTCAACCTGACCTTTCATTTTTAGACGTTTGCGGTTGGTTTGCGGTGTTCCGAACTCGTGGCCTTCTGTGGATGGGCCCACGTAGAGCCGGCGGTCAGATCGCCAAGATCATGAGACGATCGCGTCGCAAAAATTCATTTGCCGCCGGCCCACGGGCCACTGTTGCCGCCACACCAACACGTCAATAAACCTGCTTCACCGGACTGTCCTTGGGCCGGAGTCATGTTTTGCTTCAAGGGCTTCTTTGGCCAGTGGTCACACCTCGGTCGACTTACTCAGACTCCCAGGGGGTTGAAAAGCTCGCTGCTGGTTCTGTTTCGGTGATTCGTCTCTTGTATCTTGTTCACGACCTTCACGACACCCAGTTCATTCCATTTGACACTTGCTCATGTCTCTGGAGGAGCAAAAACCTCAAGGACTTGCCACGGTCGGCAAGCCAGTGCAAGGACCAACACGAGAAGGTTCACTTGCGGAGGCGGGCTATGACGCTACGTTGAATGACGGTCGAGATTTGGAAAGAAGGTATCTGGACATGGAAAAGTATGGCACCGAGGCTCCGATTTCACCACCTGAAGAAAGCGACCACCGGCTGGAAGACGGTGACTTTCCAGATGGTGGAACTCAGGCGTGGTTGGTCGTCCTCGGGGTTGGTCACATTTCTTGAACTCAATTTACATGATTATGGGCTGGCTGACCGACACTTCTCTCATGCTCATACAGGCTTTGTGCGCAAATATTTCAGCGTGAGCTTCCCAGTATGACCGACCTCTTTTCTGGATTAGAGCGATGGTAACACAAATCCCTGTCTTTTTCTACTTCTCACGCTTAGATTTGGCTACGTCAATAGTTGGGGAGTGCGTATCATCTTTCTCTTTCCTACCTACCCACTGCAATCCGTCCGGCTGACCTTTCTGACAAGGCCTTTCAAGCTTACTACGAGAGCGTTGTTCTCACCACCACCACGCCATCAACGATGTGCGTCAACTTCCTCCGCTCGTCTTCCCTGTAACTATGCGTTATTTTGGCTGATCTCCCGCTGACGGTCTTCTATCAATCAACAGCGCCTGGATAGGTTCCATCCAGGTAGAGACCAACTCTTCTCTATCAGATCATCACGGCAGGATGCCTGGACGCTAATCATTACCTTTCTGTCTCACAGTATGCTCTCGTGTTTCTGCCTGCGTTGCTCACGGGTCGGATGTTCGACCTCGGATATTTCAAAATCCCATTTTTCGCCGCTAGTGTGCTACTGGTCGTTGCGACTTTCCTCATAGCGCAATGCACTCAGTACTGGCAATTCCTTCTGTGCCAGGGTTTCGCCGTCGGTGTAAATATCCTTCTTCTCATTCATATGTCTGCCCATCTTTCACCCTCGGTTTACGCTATGGCTCCACATCCGCTTTTCACTTGTTCAAGCGACCTATTGCACCATGCTGACACACCACACTATTTATATTTATAGCTCTCCTGCGGATTCATCTTTGGTCCTGTCATGGGCATTATTTCACATTGGTTCAAGCGGCGAAGAGCAATGGCGCTCGGGATTATCGCCTGTGGGTCTAGTATCGGTGGCACCGTCTTTCCCATCGCGTTTCGCAATCTTGTCGCCACGGTGGGGTATGTCCCACCCTATTTTGCTACCATATTTCGAGGAGGCTCACAGATTTTTCGTTAGGTTCAAATGGACGATGCGCATATTCGGATTCATCCTGATATGTACGCTCGGCGTGGCGAACGTGGTGCGTCGACACATCAGGTTGTTGATGTAGTAGCAGACCTTGCCATACTCACCGCCCTTTCTATCGATTTTTCCTTGTGGCAGACGCTCAAGAGAAGGTTGCCCCCTGTGAACGTCTCGGGCGGTCTACTGAACCTCAAGGTCTTTCGCTCGCCTGCGTTCACCGTTTACACCATCGCCAGCTTCGTCGCTTTCCTCGGACTTTATACCGGTCCGTACTGCCCTTATATCTCACCTTCTATTCCCATCCTCTCGCCAGATAGCCTTGCTTTAACATTGCCCCGTCCAATTCCAAAACAATCTTGCTGACAGCCTATTTTTATTTTTGTCTTTATGCTTTTGCCTTGCTATCCGCTATGGTATATCCGTGGCGGTTTTACTTCATGGCGGTTGTGGGGACGTATACAGTACTCACATATATTGACGCGAGCGGCCCGACGCAAGGTGTTAGCTCGGATTTCTCGTTCTATCTCGTCGCCATCGCCAATGCATCCTCGGGATTCGGCCGACTGATGGCTGGGTTTGTGGCAGATAGGATTGGTAGGTTCACACCGAGCGATTGCTTGGCTGTATACTCTAGCCCTCAAAGGACCCCGTGCTGATGTGATCTGAACAGGTGCACTGAACATCATGATACCATTCACTGTGCTTGCCGCAGTGTTCACCTTCATCTGGCCGTTTGTCTATGGTCAGACCGCCCTCATTATTATCGCTGTATTCTATGGGTCAGTGACTTTGTCTCCTAATTCTGGTCATTGGGATCATTGGGATCGGTGATGGAAACACACTCGCTGATCACTTGCCGCCCTCACTATTATATAGCTTTGCCTCAGGTGCCTTTGTCGGTCTCCTCATAGCACCCATGATCGCAATGGGTGATACGAGTGACGTCGGTCGGCGTTCCGGGATGTACATGACGCTGCTCTCGTTCGGTGCTCTCGCGGGTCCGCCGATCTCAGGAGCTATCAATACAGCCACGGGAGGCTATAAGGCTGTTGGAATATATGCCGGTACTTCCATCATGGTGGCGGTGGTGCTGATGTGTGCGACGAGGCATCTGGTGCTGAAGAGCTTCTGGGGGAGGTTCTGAGGTTGCTGAGTAAGTGGGCAGAAGATGGTGGAGCGAGTTGGTTGGAGAGGGTTTGGAGGGAGGGACATATGACGGGGACCATCAAAATAGTCCACGGTTGGTGCACATAAACACATTTCCACTCACTACACCACATCGCCACAAACGGAGTTACACTTTTCGCATCTAGAGATCTCTCAGCATATATACTTTACTGACCTGCATGTTTACTTACGCTTACTGACCTTGAGGCTCACAGCCGCGGCCTCGATGTTTACCATTCAATATAGACGCGTACTTGCATTATCTGAAATGTTGAAAGAGCGCATCAAGTGTGGCGCTGCCTTGGGTGGCGCTTACTACGATTGGCCCGTCGGCATCCTGCGCTGGTTCCGACTGTTCCCGAATCCGCAAGAGTGTTGTAACGTAGTTCGCCCTACCCGTCTTCTTGTGCAGCAGAATACTGGGTGGGCCTCCTGGAACGCTCACTTTCTCGCTGGCACCTGTCACGGTAAGGTGTTAGTGAAGAGTACAGATTTTTCTTCTTATTGATACATTGTCAGAAAGAGAACTGTATAGGTTTATCGCGATAGACATTATGGAGTGTATCTGCGAAAGGCTTTTTCGCTAGGAGAGCCGAGATCGTACATGTTCTTCTGATTCTTCTAAGGCTTGCAGGTCCACATATGCAGATGTAACTGATGAATAATACATATACTCAGCAAATAAGCACCCTATCGGGACAAGTCCTCAAAGCTGCCCTCAATATGTGTCCACTCCGTCACATCCGCCAGGTTCATAACTTTGTTCGGGCCTCCAAACCTTCCTTGAGTATCCTCCCAATTCCTGTTGACCGCCGTCTCCGGCCTCCACCTAAAACTCTCCTTAAACTCCTCCGTCAACTTCCCTTCCATCGCATCCACAATAAACCCTCCTACAGTCGGAATATGCATGTATCCATGTCCTGAGCCTCCTGCAGCGATCAACAAGGAGGGGTGATCCGGGTGATATCCGATCAAGAACATTCGGTTCGGTGTGTCCGCGCACCAGCAGAGACGTGCGGAGACGAAAGGACGAGAGGCGAGCTGGGGCATGATGTCGCGGAGAAAGTTGCGCACGCGGTCTTCTGATGCTTTAGGGACCTGTTTCTTCGCAAAGGGAACGCTGTGGCGTGAAGATCCTGTGCCGACCCAGTTACAGTAGCCCGGATGTTCGTCACATATCTTGAGCTCGTGTTTATCCGCATCCGGTTCCATGAAGAAGCCTTTTTCGATATTGAAGAGTACAGGGAGATCGCGGTACAGGGAAAGTTCGTCAGAGTTTATCTTGATGTGCGCGAGCGTCCATGCCGTAGGTCGAAGTTGGTCCTTGAAGTCGATGAGGTTTGGACTGTTCGCCCCAGCGGAGAGGATGACCCGTTCTGCGAGATGAACTTTCCCATCCTTTGTCTTCACGCCCACGACGTCGCCTTGACCCTCCTGTCCTCCAGCATAAACCAGCTCCACCACTTCTCCCTGTTCGCCGCCAACGAACTTAACGCCCAGCCTCTCCGCCTCCTTCGCCGCACTAACCATCGCCTTCCTCGCGTGAACCCACCCGGCCCCTTCCTTCTTCCACCAGCCCTTCCACCCTGGAAACTCTCCCGTCAAGACCCCTTCCGGCATCGTTGCGCGAAAGTCGGAGGCAGAGTGAAGCGGAGTAAAAGAGGGATCATTGTCGAGGTTGTCACGTTTCCGGAGCTCGGAGATGACGGAGGGCGTGTGGGCTGAGAGGATGTAGCCAGTAGGGTGATAATAGGGAGAGAAAACGGGATCTGAGGACCAGGCTTGGCCGGCTTTGTAGAGGAGTTGAGCCCAGACGTGAGTGTCGCCTTTATCGTCGTCGGAAGGTGGAAGGGCTACAAGAAGTAGTAAATGGTAAACGAGACTTCGATCATATGGATAAAATACTGTTACATACGCTGTTCTATGATCTTATTCACGTCGTTTCCGGCTGATATGGTCGATGGTACTGGGTAAGGGTCGAGTACGACGACGTTTGTATACCCACGACGTGCGAGGTGTAATGCGGTCGAACATCCCCAAGTACCTGAATATTCGACACAGAAATTACTACCTTTACCTCGGAGTAATGGAAGTAATGGGCGGTATTCTACGCACCTCCTCCAACAACGAGGATTGCAGCGCTTTTGTGGATTGAACCTCCCATTGGCCTTGGTCAACGTTAATGGTAAATACTCGAGTGTAAGGAGGTAGGCTTTAAGGAGGGTTGGTTGGAGCTATGTAGAGTTTCTCGAGAGGCGATTGTACCGCAGCCCGTAGGTTCTGCCTCGACGACTCGAAGACCAACATTATCGCGAGCGATATCGTGCACGATGCAGTGAGCGACCGAGTGGCCCACGGCCACCGGCGGACGGAGCAAAGCAGGAAGCGCACATGGGATAAAAATGCCGGTTTAGTTGCCGGTTCTGTGGCACATCCGTAACATCGTCGTTCACGGTTCAGGTCTTTTTTGGTATGTGGAATCTGGCTGAGTGTTGTCCACTTAATGCTACGTTAGAAGCTAGATAATAGGGTGCGAAAGTATCTAGACCATCTTCGCTCATTCATTGCACCCTCACCAGTAGCTTGCCGGACTGCCTGAGCCAGTAGCCCCTGTGGCACTTGAACATCAGTTCGATCCATCAATATTCACAACCGAATCGTTCTTCCCCTCCAGCGAATAACGCCGTCACTTTGGATCTCCCGTCGAGCATACATCATTAAAGATACCAGTACAAACATACAGCTTTCAAGTTCTTCTCACAACGCGTGTCTATATCACGATCAAGGAACGGTCTTCAATGCGTTCTCGAAATCGGCGATGATGTCGTCCTTGTTCTCAATGCCAATCGAAACCTATAGGACAGGATTGTCAGAAGTGAACTCGAGCTTAAGGAGAGGCATGCATACCCTGATTAGGTCTGGCGTCACACCACTCGCGAGCTGTTCCACCGCCGTCAGTTGTACATGGGTCGTCGTGGCCGGATGGATGACAAGCGTCTTCGCATCACCTGTACCAGACCAGCCAAGGTGAGTCTGCATCCTCTATCGCTAGATACCCCTGACACTAGGAGTACTCACCAACATTCGCCAGCTGACTCGCCAACTTCAACGAGTCCACAACCGTACTCCCCACTTTCGGATCCTCGCCCCCCTTAACCCCAAAGCTCAAAACGCCCCCATACTTCCCCTTAACCCTAAACGTCTGATCCGCCAACTCCTTACTCTTATGACTCTCCAACCCAAGATAACTAACCCACTTCACCTTCTCATGCCCCTCCAGATACCTCGCAACAGCAAGCGCATTATCCGAATGCCTCTCCGCGCGCAACGACAGCGTCTCAAGGCCCTGCAGGAGAAGGAAAGCGCCGAACGGGTTCTGGCACGCGCCGAGGTCGCGGAGGATTTCGACGCGCACTTTGATAGCGAAGGCGATGGCGCCGAAGGTTTCGGAGAAACGGAGGCCGTGGTATCCTTCTGCGGGCTCGGTGAAGGAGGGGAATTTACCGGATGTCCAGTCGAATTTTCCAGAGTCGACGATGACGCCCGCGATTGTCGTTCCGTGCCCGCCGATCCATTTCGTAGCGCTGTGGACGACGATGTCGGCGCCGAGCTCGATGGGGCGGATGAGGTATCCTGAGGACGATGTCATTTGAGCTCGATAGCTTGCTTAGCTGAGATGTATGGGATGAGACGCTTACCTCCTATTCCGAATGTGTTGTCCACGATCAGCGGGATCTTGTGTTCATGTGCAATCTGCATGATGGATTCGTATTAGATACGAAGGCCGAAGAAATGTGAACAGCGAACCTTGGAGATGTCTGCAATCGGGCTGACATTATACTTCGGGTTCCCGATACTCTCGACATATATCGCCTTCGTTTTCTCGTCGATGGCTGCCGCGAAAGCGGCCGGGTCATCTTCAGTGACGAACTTGACTTGAATGTCGAATTTCTTCAAAAACACTGAGGAGAGTAAGAGGAACACAGAGATTGAACCATTAGATCAACACATTCCTTATTTTTGCTCTGATTTATGACAAGAGAGAGGAAGGGCTTTACCTTTAAATTGATTGTACGTCTAATTCGAGCAAAACGCAGAGCCAAAGTCACATTGAAAACTCAGTATCTGCGGCGGTAGGATGGGGAATATCAGAGAAACACTTACGCCACCATAGAGGTAACTCGTCGAAACGATATTATCCCCAGCCCCCGCAATGGCAGCGATAGCCATAAACTGAGCCGCCTGTCCACTCGACGTCGCAACAGCGGCCACTCCGCCCTCGAGCGCTGCTATCCTCTTCTCGAAAACATCCTGTTACGTGCACGCCACACGCCACACCGCAGTACCAGCCAGAATCGGTGGGAGATTCAGAGCTGGAGTGCGTTTGGAGGGAAGCGGAGACGTACGACGGTGGGGTTTCCGATGCGGGAATAGAGATTCCCGAAGGTGCGAAGACCGAAGAGGTCTGCACCGTGCTGCAACAGGAAGTAAGGCCGTCAGTACGACACGCCAGCATTGACGGACCTAGCGAAGGAAGAGCGGAAGTATGTCTCCAGAGTATCGTGCTGGCCAAGTGACCCAGTGGGTAGAAGGAATATAAAAGTTAGAATACGCACCGCAGAGTCATTGAACACGAACGAAGTGCTGGCATAGATGGGAGGGGCACGAGCCCTGGTCGAGTCAAGCTCTTGACCTGCGTGTAACTGCAGCGTCTCGAAGTCCGGCTCCCTGCAGATCGTAGAACCCGAGGCGAGCCAAACCATCCAGTACCACACACGAGAATATGTTAGCTCTTCCTCAAGGACGACGCACGGCCAAGCAGATACACGCACCGATAGAAGTTCCCTGTGTTAGACATGTCCGACTTAGCAATTTCTAGATGTGTAGATGTCCACTTGTTCAAGTAGTGTGTTCGGCGCTGTTGAAGTAGCACAGCAAACACAGGTGGGCAACGGAGTAGTGGAAGATGGGGAAGACGAACACGGCATGGTCGAGGATATGCTTGGGTCTTTATTATTATTCGGAAGCATCGCGTGCTCGGGAGACATGTATGGTATTGAAGCACGTCATGTCATCGAGCTCGTACCGAGGGAGGACGAGAATGGGACTAATAGGCGGACCACGGGGACACTCCGAATGATCAGAACGCAACGAGTCAAAGAGCGCAACTTGCAAGGAAAGAGGCGCGAGAGCCTGCGGCCCTTCCCGGCCAGGTTGTTTCTAGATGTAAAGGCACACGGCGATACCAGGTAACTCACTCGACAGCGGCTGTATAAGGGTATGTTCGCTTCATCTTTGGTGACCTTGGTATGGAAAGGGGAAGACCAAAAGGCGATATGCGGGTGAGCAACGGGTGAGTGTGGGTATAGGCTGAGTGAAGGAAGTGGCGGAGACCTTGTGTGAATTATGTTGTGTGGCGTTGTGGACGACAAATTCTGAGATCACCGCAAGATAGCACAAATGTCGTGACTAGGAATTAGTGTACTACCTCTACGGAGAGATAAGCTATCCCTATAAAACAGCAAGGTGCGCGTCATGACCCACAAATCCGAGAAGATATTCAAGTTAGAGTGGTCTAGCGGTAGTCCCGTGGACCTTATTCTCCGTCGGACGTCTACTTCTCCCCACCCAACTCCGACTCCCTTTTCAAAATACAATCCACAGTCGCATCCAAAGTCTCCTTCCACCCCTTATAATCCTCCTTCTTCATCCCGACCCACCTCTCCGAACTCGTCCCATCCGACCTCGCACACCCTTCATCCCCCTCATACCCCTCCGGAACCACAAACAACCTCTCCCTAATCGCCGGCCTCGTCTCCTCCAAATAACGTACGGCCTCATGCCACTTCATGAGCCCATCGTACAGGACCACTCTCTTGACCTGTCCTGCCGGCAGGGAAGGAGTACTGCTAGTGCCGGTGAGGAGTAATACGTGTGCTCTTGCGGTGTCTTCTACGTTGATGAACACAGGAGGGAACATTAAGGATTTGGGCTCGGGGAGCGGTTGCCGGGATCCTTGAAGGAGCATGTAGATAGCGGTATTGGAGCCGTCGGCGGCCTGTCCTGTAGGGAGGACCTGGCTGGGACCGGTAGGGCCGATGATGAGGGCGGGATGGACTATATATATAAAAGGCACAGGGATACAGAATGAGTAGGTTTTCATGAAAGCAGCGGTAAGAGAGCTAGATGACGAGAATTTCGATACAAGTGATTGGACCCACCGGTAGCGATATCCACATCTGGATGTTCTTTCGCGAACTTCCTCACAGCTTCTTCCGCCACTTTCTTCGACACGGCATATACATGCATAGGATTCGCGCCAGGTTTCGTCGCATCTTCGTATGTGAGCGGATTCCAATCTGCGACATAGTCATCACACCAGATGAGCATTCACATTTGGGGGGAAGGAGGGAGAAGACGAGATAGAATTTGAGCTCACCTTGATCTCCGTAGAATCGACTGATCCACACATCGTTAGGATGGGAAAGTGTCGAGGTGCTGGACGTGACGACGATCTTCTTCACGCCGGCTTTGGAGGCGGAGTCAAGGACTCGGATCGTCCCGTCAATAGCCCCCTACAGACCCGCCCCAGACGATTCAGACAAGTCCATAGTGAGCGTGCCATGTCATTATCAGCCGTCGATTGACCAGAAACAGTGCGTTCCATACCTTCAAGACTTCCTCCGCACTCAATTCAAACATCTGACTGAGCGGTGACGCGACGTGCGCCAGAGCGTCAACGCCTATAGAATGACAAGTATGAATATCGTCAGTATATTTTATATTGTGGAGCGTTGATGGAGGGGGACGAGGAGGACCTTTGAAAGCATCGCTGAGATCCGAATTACTGAAGTCTTCTACGACAGTGACCTCGAACCTGTCGCCATAAGCTTTGTACGCAGAACGAACATGCTCGGCTTTACTCGCTCGAGCGGTTCTGTGATGAAAAAGCAAACGCATAGACTTATGTCATTTTCATGTCCTCGTGAAAACGGAGGGGGTAGGATGATGCATGAGGAAGACGTACCCTCGTACTTTATGACCTGCTTCCAGGAGCTGTTTGACGACATGTGAGCCGAGAAAGCCAGAAGCACCGGTTACCTGTCGATGTGGGACGTCAGTTAATAAATATTCACGGCGGCAGGATGGTTGTGGGACGAGCCGGTGACTTACAAGTATGAACATCTTATAGGCAACGAGGAAGGACCCGAAGGAGGAGAATCGATAGCGAGTTATGAGACCGGCTTGAGTGTAAACGACACAGACAATCAATCTGTTTTATACTGCTTGGTTTGCGGGTAGCCCACACTCTCATATCCACTCTGCCATATAGATGTTGTGGCGAACTGGGACCTAGATGGACCACAGCTGGACAAGGCATCTTCGACTGAACATGCAAGAGATCCACTCCTGGACTGGGCACTTCGACTGGAGTGCCATTCAAGCCACCATCGAACGTCGTGGACTACGGTTATCCCGAGCCTGCCATCCATGTCCATCCTCACACGAAAGGTGGACGACAAACGGACTCTACGAATCAGCCACCGGGAGACGTCTCGGCAGGCTTGCGTAACGTGGATATAGTGGCTGACTTGCAGATACAACGCCACAATGGTAGAGAACCAAAGCCCGTAGTAGATTAGATTAGATTGATACACAGACACAGCACGTTCCCGTTGAGGAACAGCTGGACTTTCTGAGAGGTAGAAGAAAGCGATGTCTATGCCGCGGTGGCGCTACACGTCGTAGTGCTCCGGCTTGGAAGGTGCCAGGAGTCACGAGTTCGAAGACAAGGAAACACCCTGAGTAGACCGTATCTGCGATCTGAAAATATCAACCTTTGTTCTGAAAATTTGAGACTTCCGAGCCACAAAACAAGCGTGGAGCCAAGGTCTCAAATGGCAATCCGAGGCGGCGAAAGGTAATCACAACTCGCAAACGGTGCTTTTCCGGCTTCCGATGACTTTTGAACGTCGAGCCTCGGTTATTCTCAAGTCCTTCAGCTGAAAAATGAGAGATTTTGATGTCAAGAAATCTCTCATGTTTGAGCTGCAGTTACGGTCTAGGAGTATATTTGAGCACGGTCTCAACGTTCGCTGAGATGATAGACAACCTCCCTTGAATAAGAAACAGAAAAGTCAATGAATTCTGTCAGCTGCCTGTCATTTGGCGAGGGCTGCTCGCGCACCCAACTGAACACATGCCATTCTCAAAATCTTTGTCCGCGGAAATGACAAACGCAGAAGAGGAGCACACCGAAAATCGAACGAAGGGGATCACGCCACCTTCGCTGTTCGCGCCGCCGCAATAAATTCGTCCAGAATGTCAAGCACAATCCAGAGTCGGGTGAAAAAGTCTCGATATGCCTGGATGGGGGCCCGTGGGGGTCCTAGACCAGGATAGTTGAAAGGCTGGCCCGTCCGCTGCGAGACGAGGGAAGTGGTGCGGATAGGAAATAAGCGCACCATGAGAGGAGCTTACCTAAATGCCATATTCGGCGGTTGCCCGCAGATGGCACCACTATTTCAGTCCGCAAAATCCTCAGCTCACTTTGACGACCACCTTCTTTCGGTCTCACCACCTCCTCCCCTTCTTTTATACCAGCTCCCTGTCCCCGTCTGAGGTCGCCATCGTTCCCCCCGACCTCGACCCGGTTCATCATTTCTCGTCGCCGCCAAAATGAGTTTCAACGCGACCTTCGCATCGCCGAGCAGCCATGAACCGACGGCCTCTGAGCTCTATGCCAGCGCCGGCACAGACTTCTCGCAGCTCAACTGGATGGAGCAGTTCTGGGCTTCATGGTACCTCTACTTTGACAACCCTGTCATCGCGACCGGTCTTGCCAGCTTCTTGCTTCACGAGGTATGTTTACCATCTTTTGGTTGAAGTCGCGCGACGCGTTGTGCGGAGAACGAGTCCTAACGGCCGCTCTTATTTGGAACTTGTAGGTAGTATACTTCGGACGCGCTATTCCTTGGATCATCATCGACGCTATGCCTTACTTCCGCCGATGGAAGCTCCAACCAAGCAAAATTCCGACGGCAGCGGAGCAGTGGGAATGCACCAAGCTCGTCCTCTTCTCTCACTTCACCATCGAGGGTCCTGCTGTACGTGTCTTTTCACCTCTTCCTTTTGCGGTTCATCTTATTGACTTGACGCTGTGGTATAGATCTTCCTTTTCCACCCAGTCGCCCAGGCTATCGGCATGGACACCTGGCAGGTTCCCTTCCCATCATGGAAAATCATGGCCCCCCAAATCGCATTCTTCTTCTTCTTCGAGGACATGTTCCACTACTTCGCCCACGGCCTCCTCCACACCCCCATGCTCTACAAGCACATCCACAAGATCCACCACAAGTACTCCGCACCCTTCGGTCTTGCTGCCGAGTACGCTCATCCAGCTGAAGTCATGATCCTCGGTACGGGCACTATCGCCGGCCCTCTGCTCTGGTGCTACTTCACGCGAAACCTCCATATCTTCACCGTATACATCTGGATCGCCCTCCGTCTCTTTCAGGCCATCGACGCTCACTCCGGCTATGGTACGTTTTAATCGCTTTCTCCTCGCTACCATCTCGGGTAGGTGCATTCTTTTACTGACTTACGTCGCACAGACTTCCCCTGGTCCCTCCAACACATCCTCCCCTTCTGGTCCGGCGCAGAGCACCACGACTTCCACCACATGGCCTTCGTCAACAACTTCTCCACCTCCTTCCGCTGGTGGGACCGTATGCTCGGCACGGACGACAAGTACCGTGCATACCGCGAACGCCTCAACACCGCGATGAAAGAGGCAAAGGCGAAGGGCCTCACGCTCCAGCAGATGAAGGACCTCGAGGATAAAATGATTCAGCAGGCGGAGATCGACGGTGTTAAGGCTGAGGCTGAGGTCGAGAGCAGGGCGAAGTGGGGAGGCGCGAAGTCGTTGAAGATTCAGTAGAGTGTTCGGTTGTATGTATGGGTGTGGTCGGGGTCGAGGTAGGGGCTGGGGTGATTTATTGTTAGATGGGTAATGGTGACGAGGGAGGATACTTATATTTTGGTATGGTACTATACACAATCGCATGAACTGCATATATTTCGGATTCTCCATCTGCTGTGCTGTGTGATAGCCGTTTGGATGGGTCTTGTCTTGTCGGCGTCGAAGACTCAGGTCGTTCGCATGTCTTGCTCTACGTTTCAACAGTGCGCCAATGCTCTATCCTGTTTTGACCTTCCTGACAATCTTCTTACATGTTACAGATATCCTGTATTGCTATCACGATGTATTCGACGATGTTGTGGACCTGTAGCACGTACACTCTGCGCCACTGTGGCCCTCTTCGCCAACTTGCCGGTTCTCCGACGAAGCCAACGTTGGATTGAACCCTCCGTTCCCCGCCGACTCCCTATCCTCCCGCATCCACCCAAATATCCCCATACATTCTGGGGCATCCTTCAAGCCTTCAAGGTGCTCCGACTTTCATGGACCGAAATGGTCCTACCCTTGCGCTGTTGCTATTTTTGCTTTCGGTGGAGGTTTGACGTCACCGTAATGCTCATCATGGCCGTCTACGCCGCTGCGTGAGCTGCTTCGAAGCAAAGGCCTACCTGTGTGGGCTGACGTTTTTTGTGTATATGAACGCTGGTATTGATATACCACTGGCTCCCCCCTTGGTCCCCAGCGCGAACTCACTGTTGTAGCCAACTTGTGAAGTACAGTAATCTGTACATCAGAGCTAGTACTCATGTCCGCCACATCCGATACAACTACGACGACGATCACCCTTGACCCGTCGGTCAATAAGGCTCCTTACCGTGACGCAGACGCAGCGGGTGTGCACCACCACCATCACCAGCATGATCTAGCGAAAAATCTTCCGGAGCCTAAATCGCTCAAGGTACGCCTTGAAGCATTAGTACACTCTCAATTCACCAAATCATGCCCCGCGGCCTTCTCGTTGTTGACTAGATGGGTGATGCTGATATTTGTTTGACTGTAGAGCCATCCTTCTGGAGCAGACACAGGAAAGGAAAATGCGAGCATTTATTTCGTTGGGACTGCGACGACGATACTTGAATGGGCGGGGGTGAGGATAATGACGGATCCGAAGTGTGTAGCATTCATCCATCCATACTTATCCTTATTCCAATAAAAGTCCACTTCTGATGAATTTTTTCGGGACCGGAATAGCTTCCTTCACGCCGGAGGTAAACAACGATTTCATACTTCATATTGGAACGGGTGGCTAATCGTTCATATGCATGTAGATCACATCCATCTTGGACCAGGCATAACAGGCACCCGTCGAACGAATCCTGCTGTCGATCTGCACGACCTTCCACGTATCGACCTTGTTCTGCTGTCGCACTACCATGCAGACCACTTTGACGAACATGTACGCGTGCATGTTTTCCCACCCCAACCTAACTCGGGTATTAATCATGATATATAACCCTACTCGGGTCCAGGTCGAAGCAACCCTCCGACGCGATCTTCCCATCCTCACGACCCCACATGCCCACAAAGCTCTAACGACCAAAACACCTCCATTCGAGAACTTCACGGCCGTCACGCCGCTCGATACTTGGTACTCGGCCCTCCTCAACGTCGCCGACTCGTCGTCTACGTCGTCTGGTACGGGGAAGACAATCAAAGTGACGGCTATGCCCGGAAAACATGTTCCTCCAGGACCTGGCGATTTGATCGAGAAGGTGAATGAGATTGTAAAAGCTGTGCCGCCGACTAATGGATGGATGATTGAGTTTATGGGGGAGAGGGCAGAGGGAGAAGGAGAAGGAGAGGGGAATGGTGTGGGATATCGGGTTTATGTGAGCGGTGATACGCTGTTCGTTGATGAGTTGAAGGATATACCGAAGAGGTATCCGCATGTGGATCTGATGCTCATACATCTGGGTACGTCTCGTCGCATTTGTGAGGACGATATATTTTCTGTGATTTATGACATGTGTCCGTATGGGTGGGTGCTTAGGCGGAACGACGATCCCGGGGCCTTCGATGCCATTGCTTATGGTGACTATGGACGCGACGCAGGGCATCCAGCTCGTTCATCTTATTCAGCCAGACGTGACGATTCCGATTCATTATGATGATTATGGTGCGTCGTAGATCCTCGCATCCGTCCACGGACACCTCTCATTTATAACACCTCTACGGTGTAGATCTGTTCTTGAGTCCGCTGGAGGTGCGTGTTATTTTCTGCTTGACTCGGAACAGAACCGATTTGATTATGAGATGATAATTTGCTGCAGGACTTCAAAAAAGCGATGACGAATGCGGGACTAGATAGTAAGGTGGTGTATCTGGACAGGGGCGATGGGTACAAGTTCACCGTGAGGGAGTGAACCTCAGGCTGTGTCAGCAAAGATGACTAGTCGCTATCATTGTACCCTAGTTGAACGATTTTATGTATAGGAAAGTTATCGTTGTAAGATGAGACGTCGATGTGAATATGATGATGCGAGGAGGGTAGTGTATCGTGTGGCCCACAGGTCCACACGCAACGCCACTCAATGAAGTCGTATACTTACTATAGGGGCTTTCGGGGTTCGAATTCACATTCTCTGATTTCGTTTTGTTTTCTGTCTCTCACCGTGACCTTCATCAAACCTCCATGCTATAGACTGAGCTACTTCATATCGTAGCATATCGCTCACTCTGATGCCTGGTAACGTGAGCGCCTGTGCGCCTATCCTTGGGCACTGCATCGGGCTATTGCGTCGACCGGAATGGACCACTGCCTTCTGACAGGCTCCATTCCATCTGACGCTCGTCCTTATAAGCCTCAGCATGCAAGGGCTTACCACCATTCATCTCCCTGATCCGACTGTCATCTTGGCCTAGTAACTCTGGCAACATGACCCCAAACCTCGACCCTGCATCCTACAAGACCCATAAGACCTCACGAGGCTACACTTATTCATACTACCACTCTGCGCCCACCGACTCCAAACCAACGCTCGTCTTCCTGCACGGCTTCCCATCGACATCGAACGACTGGCGCCACCAAGTTGCGTACTTCAAAGCGAAGGGCTATGGACTGATTGTTCCCGATATGCTGGGGTATGGAGGAACGGACAAGCCGCTCGAAGTGAAGGCGTACGTCGGAAGTGGCTTGGCGAAAGATATTGTAGATTTGATGGATGGTGAGGGGGTACAGAGCGCAGTCTGCGTGGCACACGACTGGTAGGTTCAACGTCCTTTTGTATCTCCCTGAAAAGTCATCGCCAGTCCTGACGCAGCGATGAACAGGGGTTGTCGAGTCGCCTCTCGCCTCGCAAACTTCTACCCGGACCGTTTCACTTCCTTTGCGTTCTTCGCAGTAGGCTACAGTCCGCCTAACGTGGTAGCGAACTGGACGCAAACGAACCAGATGATCAAAGGATTGGTGAAGCGTGACATTACGGGTTATCAGACTTGGTTCTCTGAGGATGATACAGCCAAGGTTCTCGAGGACAAGGTTCGTATCTCACGCAATTCCGTTCACACCAGCTACTCATATTGTCTCTATTCTCGTAGTTCGACTCGTTCTTCAGCCTTCTCTTTCCCTCCGACTCGAAAGTATGGGCAGAACACCTCGGGCCTGCGGGAGCAGCGAAAGCTTGGATCGAGAGCGGGAAACAAACACCGCTTCCGTCATATATCACGGAGGAGGACAAGGAATACATCAAGAAGGCATTCGTCAACGGGGGGTTCGAAGCGCCGACGTACTGGTACAAGGTAATGACGAGTGACGCCGTGGTCGAGGACGATAAACGTATGTTTTGTCCCTTCGTATCTTCCACTCTTTTCTTAGTCCATCTCCTCACTCTCTCCTCACGCATCAATTAACCCTGCTTTTCTGCGTCACCAGAAATCCCCAGAGAAGCCTATGTCATTAACCAGCCCGTCTTTTATGGTGCTGCGGTCCAGGACCACCTTTGCCTTCCCGCTCTTTTCGATCGCGGATTCCAACAGTTCGCGAAGGGACCGATGACAAGGGTTGAGTTTGCGGCCGACCATTGGGTGATCTTGAGCCATGCGAAGGAGGTGAATGAGAAGTTGGAGGCGTGGGTGGAAGGATTGTAACTCCGGGGGTCTGCGGTGACTGGTATGAGCGAAGTCGCAGGATATTTGTAATGAATATAGCAAGTAGTTGAATACGAACACGTAGGAATTTTCATACTAGTAAAGCAGAAATGTCCTACAAGCGGAGGTACCAGCTTCGATCCTGATAACCATTCTACGCTCGTCTGATCGAACAAATAATCGCACCGAGATCCCAAGTGCCCGAGCTTCGAGTGTAACTATAAGTGAGAGATGGATGGAGGAAAGAGAACCAGTTTCGATGGTGAGCGCCACCTAAGTCACATCCCTGTGGCGTACGCCGACCCCTCGGATTCTCGGCTCCAGCCGGGGGTGCCGTGTCTGTTCCGACTTCCAACTTTCTTGACTTTTCTTGACTTTCTCCCCTCGTCCATGGCCTGCACGCCGGTTTCTTCATTTTCAATTGAATTTTATCGTCTACTCAAACTCAAATCTACTGCCTTGCTTGAAGACTCATATTCCATGCTGGCTTCCGCATCTGCAACGGTGCACACCGTGTCGCGACACTTGAACTTCTGTCGACACGCTTTCTGGGCACGACTAATGGGAACGACTAAGTAGATTTTCATGATTTAGCGACCTTCTTTTCTCTCTCTTTATATACACCAAAAGCTTAAGGGGATATCGACATCTGTTCCAGTCGAGTCATGGTCGACAAGAGTCATTCTACGTGTTTTGTACACGACGCGCCACAGTAATCGTCAGCAATTCTTAGTACACCATCTCAACGCTTCCCGTATTTTGCGGAGGAGCGCGGAGAACAACTCCGGGACCAGCTTCTCGCGACGGAGATCATGGCGAAAAACACGGCTAGAATAACTTCGTTGACACAGACTAGCTGAGATCTTGGTGATGGAGATATTGGACGATGGATGACTAGGGAAGCCAATTCAGTGAGTGTTGACTCGTTGCGAGGCCCAGAACCTGATTTACCGTTATTGAACAGACTGTGGGTATCCTTGTCCGTCCGGTGCTTTACTTATAAAAGCGACCATGAACCCTGTGGGTTGCATCACTTCCTCTCTTTATTGCGTTCACGCATTCCGATCTGCCAACATCACGAGCCCCTCTACCATGTCGCTGGCACTTCAAGTACTCCTGGGGTTGTTATCTCTCCCTTTGCAGTTTTTACTCTTTGTTGCTGTTCGTGTCATAAGACAGTACGTCAGACAGGCCTCTTTGCACGATATTCCTGGTCCGAAACGAGATTCGTTGATATCTGGTATGTCGCCGACTCTCATTTTCACCTACTGTCGCTCGAACTAAGTCTGCATCCATTTGTTGTAGGTAATATCAAGACACTTTTTGGATTGAACTCATGGCAGTTCCACAGTCGAATCGCGAAGACGTACGGAAAGGTTGTCAAGATATGGGGCTTGTTTTGGGTAAGGCATCAGACCCGTTCTATACAAGGTATCAATTCATCGATGCATATCGTCTTTGCACACCTAGGACACACAGTTGTATGTCTGGGACACGAAGGCTCTATACCATATCCTCATCAAGGATCAGTATATATTCGAGGAGAGCGAGGTATTCCTTAAGTAAGTTATGTATGATTTCTAGTCTACAAGACACTGACGATAGTCGTCTTCATGTCTAGGTCCAATGCAGCAATCTTTGGACTGGGGTTGCTGAGTACGTTAGGAGAGCATCATCGTCGCCAGAGGAAGCTCCTCAACACTGTTTTCTCGATCAAGCATATGCGTTACATGCTTCCAACCTTTTACAAGATCTCTGATCAGGTGGGTCTTCTTCAGACCAGTGTTACTGCCATTGAGTCTGACGTATAAATACTACCCTTTTACTGCTGCATCTAGTTAGTAGATGTACTGCAGGACAAACTCGCCAGTAGGTCAGCTGAAATTGACGTCCTTGAGTGGAATACTCGGGTCGCACTCGAACTCATTGGCCAAGGTGGCCTAGGATATTCGTTCAACAGTCTCGACGAAAACTCTGAGAACCGATATAGCTCTGCTCTGAAAAACCTCATGTTCGTCCCATCCTCCTTGGGACTTTCTCATACACTATTATAACACCCTATCTAATACCATTGGCTCGTCTTTCCCCCTCCTAGACCTACCACGACCAAACTGAACGTCTTCCGTCAGCTGTTCCCCTGGGTATCTGACTTGGGCACGACGACCATGCGTCGTTGGGTCGCTCGTAACATTCCCTGGCCGGACTTCAATCGCCTAGCATACCTGACAGATATTATCGATGAAACGTCGAGGGAAATATTGGGCTCAAAGATGGCGGCGCTCGAAAAAGGTGACGATGCGGTCGTACATCAGGTCGGAGAGGGTCGAGATATTTTGAGTGTACTACGTGAGTCTTTTCCCCTTTCGTCCCCAACGAAATCAGATGTTGACTCATATGGTTGGCTATAGTAAAAGCAAACATGGAGGCTTCGGAGCAGGATCGCTTGCCCGAGGAGGAGATATTGGGCCAGATTTCGTATGTCGCTCCCCATTCGTATGAATAACCAGTACTGACACTTCACGGACGTATCGAAGAACACTCACCTTCGCAGCAATGGATACAACATCTTCCGCTCTATCTCGGATTTTACATCTCCTGTCGCAGAGGCAAGAACTTCAAGAACGTCTTCGTGCGGAGTTGGTAGATGCCCGCAAGGCAGCTGATGGTAATCTCGACTATGAACATCTCATGGGGCTACCGTTCCTTGAGGCCGTCTGTCGTGAGACTCTTCGTTTGTAAGTCGACCTCATCAACGTCTGACGCAAGTCACGCAAGATTAATCTCACTTCACTGCTAGGTATCCCCCTATTGCGCAGATACCACGAACGTATGCCCGATTCGTTAAAATTGTGGTTCTCTCCCTTGCTCACCACATATATGTCTTCAACAGGACTCGCAAAGACGTCATCCTTCCCCTCGGCTCCCCGATCACTATCAAGGGAAATCTAGTCTCGGAACTCTTCATACCCAAAAACACGAACATAATCGTCTCCATTTTAGCAGTCAACAGAGATGTAGATATATGGGGCCCTGATGCAGGCGAATGGAAGCCTGAGAGATGGCTCGCACCGCTACCGGAGAATGTCATAAACGCTGGAATTCCTGGGGTGTATGCGAATACGTGCGTCACTAATCTAAACCTGTGGCTCAATATATAAATTAATACTCGTATTTATTTCTAGTTTGACATTCTTAGGAGGTGGAAGAGCTTGCATGTGAGTTTGATTTCGCTCCATGCTACCGCTTGTGCTAACCGCACTCTTTGTATTTCTAGTGGATTCAAGTTCTCAGAGTTGGAAATGAGTACGTCTCCGTCCCGGAATTCACCTCAGGTAGATTCTTGCTGATGGACTTTCTAACAGAGGTCGTCCTTTCGTGCCTTATCATGAATTTTAAGTACTCACCATCGGAGAAAGAGACCCACATCGAATGGAAATCGAGCAGTATTGCCGCTCCGTTCCTGGATGGTCGGCCTTCCTTGCCATTGATTGTCTCGGCTATGTGAGCATCGGTGGCGATCACGATACACATGTAGCGCGGAGTTATATTGGTAGCTAGGGAAGTAGCACACGTTGTACTGATTCGGGTGAAGTCTAAGATGTGGTGCAAGTATTCGAGTCCTTCTGGCGTTGTCTGAATGTGGCTAGAGTCAATGATCGAGAATTATATGATGCCGTATGGCATTTCAGTCGTATGGATAAATTGATGAACTAGGCCTCTACTATCATGTCGCATTTCGACACATTCATGGTGAATGTTGAACGTTGAACGCCACAAGACTCGCGGGCAACATGCATGCAGTGGCGCACGCCTACCCCTCGGGTTTCGGCTTTAGCCGGGCATATCAACTTTCTGTTCGTGCAAGTTTTTCTTGACTTTCTCTCCTTGTCCATGGCTTGCAAGGGTCTGCCCTTGGACTCTGCTGTCTGATCTGATACTTCTTTGAGGATACGTCCTCAACGTTGACTTCTCTATCTGAAATGGTGTAAGTGTGCCTGGTGTATACCTCACGATGCTGCCCGCCGGGCTTGTGTGTTTTTCAACTCGAATCGTCACGTTCAACACTTCTTCCCGCCTCTAGTTGCAATGTCATGTTTTCAATTGAGGCTTTCTCGGAGAAACCGGAGGCACTAAATTGTTAGTCTCATCTAGGCGCAGATATATTACTCGGGTCTCAGTGTCTCGATCTGTCTCGATGTCTCACCTACGGCGGTTCCTGCCAGTTTCTCGTCCACACTGGCCTGCGCCCGCCAGTCTGAGACAACTCTCACTCTCGCCCATATAAACCCTCACTAAATCGCGAGATATTCCTCATCCTGTCTCCCTTACTCTTCTGCTTACTCCATCTCAGCACTAAAGCCCACAACCTCGACACCCACTCCTCTCAACTTCCGCAGACTCGTCTATGCCCAGTGTTCGGACGTTCAGCGTTCGTCACTCATGGCTCGTACGTCTCTGTGTGCTCGTTCGACGTGTGGGTGGTACATGCAGATGAGCCACCCGTGGTCAGCTATTGCATTATATGCCTTAGTTGATAACCAACGATGGTCCGTCCATCCGAGGCTAACATACGGTGTAGTTTGTGTGTACTCTCGAGTGCTTGTGGGTGCTGGGCTCTGGGGACCGCTCATATCCTGACCCTACGTGTTGCGAATAATCGATTTCTGGTCGACGAAAGCTCGCGATGGGCCGCGCTCTGTGTCGGTGGCGGGGGTGATAGGGGAGCGTTTGGCGTACGTATGTCTCTCTATCTTTGTCCTTGAAGGACGTCTCCGAACAAGATGCCACGAGGGTTCAAACAAATACGACGGTCTCTGATGTGAGATCTATCGAGCCGTGGATGGGCGTCTCTGAATACGTGAGTTATAAGTTCTTTTGTTCGTATCAACAATTACTGATAAAACATGTCCGTATTTCATTTGCACGCCTGCGCGTGAGTTACCCCTGGGCCAATCCATCCAAGTTTTGTTTGTTCACTCGGAGTCGAACTTCTTGCTCAACAAATACAAGGAGACTGCGAGAGCCAAGGTCACCGAGAAGTCGAGAATTGGATGAACGCTACCCTTATGATGGTTTTCGTTTCACTCTTGAACAGGGTAAGTCAACGGGCACCCAGTTTTTCTTTTGTGCGTAGAAAAAACTGTTTGCTGACTCCTCACGTGCTTATCATCACAATTCCTTCCTCGCTACACTCCAATCATCTACACTAACAACATATATATGTTTCCACGAGTACCCCATAGCATATATTTGCCGATATATCCACATACTTACCCTGTCCATTTACCTCACAGGAAAATATGTAGTAGATATCACAAAATGCCCACGTTCTTTATCGAAGCAAAGCATACGTATATTATATACAAGGCGAGTAGACATCCGGATTTATCGTTCAACTCATCCGTACCAACATTACTCATTGCCTCCTCAATCCCTCCCTAACTCCTCAAACTCAATTCACGCCAGCTCAATGTGAAGAGGCATGCCGGGCTTCCCATTCACCATGGGCGTGACGATATTGCTCGACTTGAATGAATACTTCGTCTTCCCGGGAGAGAAGCGGAATGTCGAGATCAGGAGGGCGAGGACGACTTCTGCATGACGAATATATATTAGCAAGCTATTCTCAATCTCAAAAGAAGGATACATATGGGAACGATGAAAGGAAACGTACTCATCTCCAATTGTGAGAACTTGAACCCGCTGCAATAGGTCGGTCAGTAACTTGACCGAGTGATCATGGAAAGGAGAACTCACATGCACGCCCGTCCTCCACCCAAAAACGTCAACCTACATGTCCACATTGCCATAAGTAAGTAACCTAACATGACGTGAATGCACACAGCATGCAACACAACACGCACGTATTCGAATAAACCCCCGGGATCCCAGCGCTGGTCACGCTCTCCGGAAGAGGCCCAAGCCACCTCTCAGGCTTCCACTCGTTCGCGTCCGGGCCCCAGATCGTCTCGTCGCAGTTGACGGCTTTGATCCCGACGATGACGTTCGTGTTTTCGGGGATGAAGAGCTCGGAGAGGAGGCTGTCTTTGGTGGCGATGGGAGTTCCGAGTGGGAGCACGACGTCCTTTCGGGTTCTGTGGCGGAACGACGCAAAGAAAAAAAGCCAATTTTTTTGTGTGATGTCAGTGAGCTATGATTCGTATAATAGAGGCGGTATGGCGAACGACGTACGTCCTGAACATGTGAAGCACGGGAGGATATCTGCAGATGTCTTCGAATCAGCGCTGATAAAATCTACATGAAATAACTCAAAAGGTCCTTACAGACGAAGAGTCTCCCGACAGACCGCCTCCATGTACGGCAGCTCATGCAGAGTATCATAATCCAAATCACCATCGGCCTCCTTCCGCGCCTTGATGAGCTCTGCGCGCAACTTGTCCTGTGCGTCCTGGTTCTCGGACAGAGTATGGATGATGCGCGAGAGGGCGTTGGAAGTCGTGTCCATTGCCGCGAAGATGAGGGTGCTATTGTTCATGTTCGCGGTCAATCATCATTATTATGGTATAGACGAAGTGAAGAGGAGAAAGTGACGTACGACATCTGAGCTGTGAGCTCCGAATCGGGCAAGCGATCCTCTTCAGAAGCCTCCATATTCGCTTTCACTAGAAAAATACCCCCACCAAAGGTTTTTCGCATCAGTCACACTTCAATCCCTATTCAGAGCTCTACGCCGAAACGTAAAAACAAAAACCCACTAAGAATACTCATAATATCCCGTCCCTCTCCTACCTGATGCACGACCGCGTCATCTCCCTTCTCCAACGCCTTCCTCTTCGCGCTCAATATCGCATTCGACGTCTCGTCCATGATATCCGATAACTCGACGAGGCGGTTCAGACGCTTGAATGGCAGGTTCTGCGCGATGTAGCGCCGGAAGGTGGGGGTGCCGATGTTGGAGAACCAGGGGAGAAGTTGGCGGATGAGCTGGATGGAGGCGACGGTGGGTCTATTCGGGGGTGTCAGCGTCGAGCGAGGTCAATGATGGAGTATACAAATGAGTAGGAAGGAAGAGGAGACGAGAGAATGGGAAAATAAGAGGAGAAAGTACGGACACGAAATCCTTCATCGCGTTTCCATACAAATTCGATGAATTCTCATCGAGAGACTCGAACGAATAACCTAATCCTCCTTGTCCGACGAGTTCCAACGCAACACGGGTCATCCAGTCCAGAACGTCGATCTCTTGAGTGCCACTTGCGATCTTCTTCTGGAAGACGTCGCAGAGCTACCGCACAGATACACGCACATATCACGTTCGTTAGCCAAGTTGACAGTCAGTTCGACGAGCGGAGACTTCGGACGGCCTTACCTGGTGTGAGATCCCATGAAAGATGGGCAACATATATCGCATATGTTTAATCGAAAACACCGGATTCAGGAGTTTACGCTGTTTGCGATGATGTTCACCCCGGGTCGAAAGCAGGCCCATGCCAAACACGAGGCTATTCGAACTATTTATAATGCACACCCAAAAAGGTTATCAGAGGAAGTCTTTCATCGAGAAGAAGTGGGGACTGGGGACACATTCGAACGTATACGCACGTGATGAACATGTCCGTCTCGTCATAGATGTATCGATCCTTGACGAGGATATGGTGCAAGGCTTTCGGATCGCTCACGTACAATTGCGTGTCCTGCAGTTTGAACGAATGTCAACATCGAGCAACTTGAAACATCCAGCCCTGGGCCCAACAGTCACGAGATGAGATGACAAAAGTCATGCGCCAACTCACGCCGAACAAACCCAATATCCTCACGACCTTTCCATACGTCGCGATCTCCCGTAGGAATCCCCACGCGTCCAGATTGAACAGTTGTTTGAGATTGCCTGGAATAAAATCCTCGTCAGTATATACTTACTTGTAGTTTCCCATCACAATCCACGATCCATAATCGGCCTCAGGATGGAAGTCCTAACGTTTAACACTCACCAGCGACGAGCGACGTCCGCGCCGGCCCCGGAACAACAGCCCTCAAATGCGCCTGCCTAACCCAATGTCTGATCGCCCTCAACAGTAGAAACAGGCCTCCCAATATCGGGAGAGAGAACAGCCCGAGAAGGACCTGGGACATCGTTCGATTTGATGGCCTATCAACTTTCAAGTAGTGATGAAAGCAAAGGGGAAGCAAAGAGTGAGATGAGAAGAGGGGAATAAAGAACTTGAAGAAGCAGAACGGTCATTGTACTACTATTTATACCAGTCCGTGGGTTGGCTGACTAGTTTGACAAAGGTCCTGTGGTGCACTGCACTTCTACCACATGATACTCGCTCAATCCACATCCTGCACCCTCTCCCGAAGTCCATCGGACGAACAGCATCGCACTCACAGGGTCAGATCCAGAGCAAAAACGTCACAGAGGTCGCCGGTCGAAAAGTTCGTTTGTAAGCAAACCCCGATGAAGAGCGGAAATGGAACGAGTAGTGTCAAGTGTAGGGCCCAATCGCATGCTGTCCCACGGACAGAGCAGAGTAACAAGGTCCGATGCCGTGGGGCTTCGAAGTTCGAAAGTGGTCGTGGGGAGAGGATGTGTGAACACTGCATAAGAGGTGCTGACGGACAGAAGCCATGGTCCCGAAGATCTACACAGGGTCTGTTAGAATAAGCTCGGACGTTCCTCGGGCGGGCGGGGCGAACTTTGTGTGCTCGGGGCGAATGTGGAAACGATGTACACAATTGTGATTTACCTACCGTAATCGGGCTGAAGAAGAAGCGGCGTCGGAAGAGGTCGATGGCGGTGCGAAGAAGGCAGGATCGACTCACCAGAAAGTACGGACCGTAGAGGATCTTTGCGAAGTGGAGGACGGCGTGCGTCGAGAGGTAAGAAATACAACAAGCGTTTCGCTTCCTGAGGCCGAACACGAAGAGTCTGATTTGAAGCCGTCGATAACTTGAATGGGACCTCAATCCTACGATCTTCGTAGCTGTCTCGTCCTCGTACTGTATACACGAAAAAAAAATCGCGTCCACAAGCCTGAGCCTGAGAAACAACTTACATTCCGATGGACGTCCCGGCGGATGAAGGACGTCGGGAGGGTTCCTGGCATTGTATGTATACGTCGAAGGCAAAGATGCTGGCCCTTCTTGCTTCGACGAAAAGTAACATGATTCAGAGCTGTATGGCGCACAGGTTTAATGTAACTTGGGTGCGTCGACTCACCACGGACGACACAGCGATCCAGATGTCCTACATAGAGTGAGAAAAAATAATCATAAAGGATCGACAGTTACGGTCCCGGGGGATGTGTGACGACGGGAGGGAGTACGCTTGAAACCGATGCCGCAGTGGCACTCATCCCCGAAAAGTGCTGCGGCGGGAAAGTTGTAAGCTCGTATGTAGGGGTGGATCTGTCGGTCGTCGTCGGAAAGGATGCACCTCCGAATCAAGAATGAATGCTTCCCGATGGACATCCCAGTAGATGAAACGTCGACAGGATTTGAAGACCGACTCAGCCGGAGGAGCCGTACGTGGTGCTGTATAAGTATAAATATCAACCACGTACAGAAGCATAGACAACGAGTCCCACATACCCACCACCACCATCATGTTCTTCATCCTCGTCCGCGTTCGTCATCCCCCGCGAACGATAGAGTACTTACTCAAAAACTAGCCCGCGAGAATCCCTCCAGTGGCCACTCATGATCACGCTCGACGTCCGTTCCTACGATTAAAGTTCCAACTGTAACTCCTCACGACTCGGACACAAGAAGGCCATCGACACCGGACAGCACGGTTATACTCGCGTTGAAAATGCCGTTTCCATACGTGTTGTCCCGCCAGTGTGAGCACATAGCATCTGGACAGGCTTTGTTGAAGGTTACGTACTCGTCCATCCTGAGAGAGAGATTTCTGTAGAAGTACTTGACAGAGTAACTTAAGCTTATTCGTCCAGCCTTCCAGTATAGGATGGGCATGAACAGTGCCGAGCTATACAAGTGCGATACAATATAAGTACCATCCATCCATCCACAGTGATAATCTACTCTCGCAATGCTAACAGGTATCAGGTCGGTAGGCACAGCGGCTGCAGACACGGAAACTCCCAGTCATGTAGAGTACTCGAGAACGCGTCGCCGTCTGAATCCAGGGCGACGACGATCAGCCTCAGACCAGTACTATCTGAGGGTTACGTTGATGGCGTCGACTCGAGCCCATCGTTCAGAAAATCCTGCAACTCGAGAGCGAGAGCGAGAGTTAGGCTTCAGAGGTCCAGGACTGGCGGGGAACGAGCGAGGAAGGAAGAGACACCGAAGAAATTGTGTTCTGAATCGAGAGGCAAAGTTGAGAAAGAAGCGCCAACGTTTGCGTTCAGGGGTGTGTGGCGCACCAAATGGATCTATCCACGAAAAAAGAAAAAGAAAAAGACGTGAGTGTGCAACGGACGGTGATACGTAGGGAGATGACGGTGAAGTCGAACCAATAGCGAGCCTAAGTACAACCATATCTGACTCACTGTGCGAGCTCGAGCATGACGACGACCTGCGATGGGGCAGCGACTGTACATAGAAGAATCGAGAATATTCTAATACGGTATATCGGTGGATCCGATGGATACCAGTGGGTCAGTCGGCGAGTTTAAAAAGTCACTGACGGCTCGCATTGACACAATGACAGTCCGAGCAGATCGTCCGCCAAAGGAGAAATCGAGGACGAGACACTCGTCTAAGTACAAATCGTAGCATCTCTACCCCGACGCTGACTCGAATCCGTCGTGAAGAGACCTCCGGCTCGAGAACGAGCTTGAAAGCGAGAGCCAGAACGTTACAGTAACAAGCGAGAGTTGTTCGGAAGAGACACAGCAGAAAACGTGTATGGACGGTGTTCGACGACAAAGTTGATGGAAAACAAGCGCAGGCGATCTCAGCTCAGGCCTCAGGTCCCGAATGGATCTAAGTTACGAGCTGTGACGGTGCAAGGAGAACGACGGTGACCTGGCAGACCGTGACGACGACTCGCCAACATTGGGCAACAACTGAAGAAGAATTGAGAAGATTATATTATATCGGTGGATCCGATGGATGGATGGATGGATGCCAGGGGGTCAGACGTCGAGAGTCGCACAGTCCGAGCAGATCGTCCACTGGCAAATAAAGTCGTCCGGCTCGAGAGCGAGAACGGTCAAGTCGCAGGCAGGCGAGGAACAAGCGAGGAATTCGAAGAAACACAGCAGATCGTAAAAAACGTGTTCGAGGCTCGAGGCAAAGTTGAAAAGAAGCGCCGGCGGCGCTTGCGTTCAGGGGCGTGTGGCAACGCAGCGAGGTGCGGTGGCGCCCAAATGGATTTATCTACAAAAAAAGCGGTGAGGGCGCAACGACGACGGTGATAGCGAGCTCACCGCGATATTATCTGACTCACTAGTTGGGCATGACGACGACTCGCGATTGGGCACCGACTGGAAGAAATAAGATTATCGGTGGATCCGATGAACCATCATGAATGTGAAACGTTCGACGGACGGCCGCTTGTCCTTTCAGGAATGGAACAAGGCGCTCGTATACTTAGATCGTCCACTACAAGAGTAGGTCGACCTCCTCCAATTCCCTCCCCCAACACGAACACCACCAACGAAAATGCCATTCCCCTACATCCCCCTCCTCCTCTCCACCTACCTCTCCCTCTCCGGCCTCCGTAGACGCTCCCTCTCCCCCTCCGGCGCCCTCCTCGCCTTCCTCACCGGCCTCCTCACCCTCTCCCTCCCCGGCCCCCTCGTCACCCCCGGCCTCTCCCTTGTCGCATTCTACCTCACAGGATCCTACGCCACCAAGCTCGGCAAACAACGCAAGGCGAGATTGGAGGAGGGACATGATGAGGGTGGGGCGGGGTATAGGACGGCGGGACAGGTGTTTTGTAATAGTGCGGGGGCGGTGGGGGCGTGTGTGCTTTGGGGGGTGATTTTTGGGGCGGGGGAGGGATGGCCGTTTGGGTTGGGGGGTGTGGTGAGGGGGTGGTTGGGTGGGTTGGAGGGAGGGGAAGGAGGGGAGTGGGATTATGCGAGGGGAGAGTGGTGTCCGGTGGATGGGAGCGTTAACGGAGGGTTGAGCAGGAAATTGATGTTTGTCGTCCTTGGGTACGTTCTCTCCCTTCTCCCTTCTCCTTTCTTTCCTTCGCCACACCACCTCGCCACCCCCTATCCCCGTCCAACTCACCCACCAACGTCCAACAGCCACTTCGCAACCTGCCTCGGCGACACCCTCGCCTCCGAACTCGGCATCCTCTCCCGCACCCCCCCAATCCTCCTAACCACCCTCCGCACCGTTCCCCCCGGTACGAACGGTGGTCTCTCCATACTCGGAACCGCGGCTTCGGTGGGCGGGGGCGCGATTATGGGGGGTGTGATGTGGATCGGTTTAGTTGCTGAGAATGTGAATTGTAGGGAGGTGCTGGGATTTGGGATGGGAGGAGCAAGAGGAGCAGGAGGATCAGGAGGGATGGCGTTGGTGGGCTGGGGAGCGGGGGCGGGGTTGGTTGGGTCTATGGTGAGTAGTATCTTGAGTACTTGAGTTTGACGGGGGGTTCCAGTTGTTGTGGCCCGCTGTGGCGAGGATAGGGGCTCTTACTGATGGACAGTACGATTGTATGTAGCTCGATTCACTCCTCGGGGCTACACTCCAACGCACACAATATTCCACATCTACGCATCGGATCCTCACCGACGAGGGCTCGACCTCGAAGGACGGGAATAAGGAGAGGAATAAGGAGAGGGGGAGGGAGGGGGAGAAGGAGGAGGAGGAGATCAAAGTGGTCAGTGGGATCGACGTATTGACGAATAATCAGGTGAGTGACGGAAGTGTTGAGGCCGTATTTCTTTCCGTCTGTCGTACACAACTCACAACTCACACCCCCCATCTTACATCTCACATATATAGGTCAACCTCGTCGCATCGCTCGCTACGGCGCTTTTATTGGGATATCTCGCTTGATTTTGATCCACTTGTTCTGCATGATTTTCATGATTTTCATGATTTTATGCTTTCTTGCTCTCAGATTTCAATTTTCACGATTCCATGATTTTATGCTTTCGACCCATAATTTCCACAAGTCGCAGTACTTATTCCGCCCAGTCTAAGTGCTCGTGTCTCGTGTTTAGTGTTCAGTGTCTAGTGTCTAGTGTCTAATGTCTCGTGTCTAATGTCTCGTTTTGTATTGTAGTCCACAATACTTATATCCTGTCTCTTCGCGATCCTCCTTCTCTTTCGAGTTCTTGCATGAGTAAGTAGTACAGGTACATATTATTCGAGAGTCGATGTATCGGATCGGATAGTGGACCAAACGACGAGCGACAACCTAAGTATGTGTCTGCGTCTGCGGGTTTAGTACTTATAGTAACCAAATGGAATGGAACGAAAAAGTGAAAAGGTCCGAACGAAGTCCGCAAAGAAGAGAAAAAAAGGTGGCCTTGGATTTGACCGTGAAAGCAAAAGCGGGTAAGAGGAAAGACCGGAGAGCAAAAACAAGAAACACAGTCCGAATGCGAAGGGAGCCTTGTTCGAGTCCAGGAATGTGCGGGTATGTATACCTATCTATCTGTCTGTCAGACTCAATTAAATCCATCCTTCATCCCTCCCCCCTCCCACCACCCTCTCACCCCCTCAAACCAAAACCCCTCCCCCACCCCCCCTCAAACCAAATGCCCAAACCCAACCCTCCTCCCGCCCATATCATAAACCGTATACACCCCCTCCAACCATTTCTGCCCCAGACTAAACGCCCCGAACCCCGCGCTTGTCACCCAGCTGTATCTTATCCCTGCTCCTCCCTCTTGTGCTCCAGTTGCAGATGTTGTGGTTAGGTTTAGGGAAGGATAGAGGGAGGGCGGGATGAGGTATTGCGAGGGGGGGATGATGAACGCTTCGCCTCTGTCCCCTCCCTCGTCTACTGACACGTCGATGTCGACATCGCTGTTTAACGACGAGGAGGACGAAGAAGACGAGGCGGATGATGATGATGAGGACCCGAGGTAGAAGGTGAATGAAGGTAGGTCGCTATCGTCCGTGATGTTGGAAGGCGCAGGCGGAAACGCGAGATAACCCAGGAATGTCGTCGATTGGTTCGAGGAGACGTAGGTCGCGTTCGTGGAGGAGACGATGCTTAGGATCGCGTCGCTGTGATCATTGTAACGTTATAACAGTGAGCGGATATGCGAAGGTTCGGGGATTGTGAGATGAGGGTAATGAATGATGGAATGCGTTCGAAGAGAGTGGAGAGGAAGAAAGGGTGGATGAGTAGGATGGGTATAGAACGTACATCGGAAGTCCGATAGACAACACCCCGGTATCCGTCCGCGCGGGCGTCGTCTCATTCACGAGCGTCGTATTCCCAACGTCGAAACTCGAGACCTGTATGCGTATGCGTATCCATATATAGTGTGTGAGCGACGAAGTAGAAGTAGACAAGGCGACTGGAATAAGCACGAAGTAGACAAGGCGACTAAAATACTAGTAAGCACGCACATTAAACTCCCAATGAAAATTATAAGGTTCGTTCTGTGGTACCCACGTCAACGGACCTACACACAAAATAAATCAACCCCAACTCCGAATCACGAATCACGAATCACACGAAAACGAAAAGACGAAAAAAAAAGACGCACCATCCACCCTCCCCTCATCCCACCCCCCAAACACGATCTCTCCCCTCCCCATCTCCTGCGCCCCACTCCCACTCCCACTGCCCTCTGTCGCATTAATCGGCCCACTCCCCTCGCTCGTATTCAAAGAATTAACATAAATCCCAAAAACAGGCTCGTCGATCGCGCCCTGGGAGAGCAAGTTCTCTACGAAGGTGGGTGTAGAGGATCCATTGAACCCTAGGACTTCGCCTGCGTTGGAGCCGGGGGGTCCGAGGCCGACTGTGTGAGGACGGGATATGGATATGGATGTGGATTAGTTGTTGGAGTCGGACTACGTTCGAGGGTGATGGGTGAGGAGGGGTGGATAGGAAGTAAAGGGCAGGGAGGATGGAGGATGGAGGATGGAGGATGGAGGATGGAGGATGGAGGATGGAGGATGGAGGATGGAGGATGGAGGATGGAGGATGGAGGATGGAGGATGGAGGATGGAGGATGGAGGATGGAGGATGGAGGATGGAGGGTAGGGAGGGGTGGACGAGAGAGAGAATAAAGACGAATAAACGCACGAATCCCATCAATCGGACTAACGAGCGTAAACCCCGTCAAATACCCCGCCGCGCCGATGATCTGCGAGGTCACTGTGGCGTCGCCGATGGTCACTGTGTCGTTATAGGCTGTGCCGTTCACGCCGCCGGCGCCGTAGCCTACGCTGAAGGTTTTGTTGATCCTGCGTGTGGTGAAGTGGCGAGGTGGGATGGAGAGGGAGAGGGCGCCGGAGAGGGAGGGAGACGGAGAGGGAGGGAGAGACGGAGAGAGTCAATATGGCGGATGAGCGGATGGAGGGATGTGTGGAAGTGGAGGTGAGTGGCGGGTCATGTTGGACAGACGGCAGGTTGATGGAGAGGGATGTGATGGGGAGAGGGAGCGAAAGGGGGAGATGGACAAGGAGAACGTACGAAACAGTATTCGGCCCAACTTCATACGGATCCTCTCCGCCGACCCATAGAATCGCACTACCCGTATCAACCAAGACCTGCGAGAAAGTCTGATTGTTTCCTGCCTGAACTGCTCGCCCAAACCGAAGAAAGAGGTTCAGTATGCATTGCGGGGAAGGGGAATGCTAGTGCGCACCTGTAGTAACGACCTTCAAAACCGCATTGTCCGTCGGTGCATCCGCCGTCGAGTTCGCACTGAACAGGCCTTTTTACAACGTACGTCAATGCTCTCAGTCGCGTAACGAGGAGGGAACGGACGCACCGTAAGTGTTCGTGCTCGGTGCATTCCCGCTATGGGGAACAAGATGCGAAGAGAACGAAGCTTTCAGCGTGCCCGCTGCGTTCGCCACACTGACCGTGCATCCGAGGGTAGTGACGACCGTTCGTGCGAGGGAGGAGGAGTGCATCCTGCGCAGCGTGTCAATGTTCGTGTGGGTTCACCGCTCAAACGATTGACGTATGGAGGGTGGGAGGGAAAGTGGGAAGGGAAGCACTAGCAGCAGGATAATAAGGACGAAGGACGAAAGGAAAGAAGGTCGAGTGCTGAGTGAACCGCAGTCGAAGTCCGTTGGAAGAAGGCCGGTCTGAGAGGAAGAGGGTGGGTACTACTGCAGCTGCAGGATGGGCACACGACGGGTTACGGTCAGCCTCCGAGGCTCGATTACGTGGAACGAGGATCTTCCATGCGCTTCAATGGTTCGGGACATCGCGGACGTTGTTGTCGCTGCATTCGTCGACGGATGGACGGGCTCTGTGGTTGCTGAGGGCAGCGTCCTCGAGGTCGAGGTCGAGGTGGACAAGAAAGATGAAGAGTATGTTCGTTTCTTTTGCCCCTGTCGGTTTAGGCGAACTTGATTTGATGGCGCCTTGCCATCCGGAGAAGTTCGGGCAAAGTCCGCGTCGAGCGTTTCTTGTTACCTCCACTCGGTCATCTACTACGTGCACTGGGTTTATCGTTTCTTGGGAGCTCATAGGACATGCTGGATTGCATAGCTCTACTCCTCATAAGTATTCTTCAAGTACTCCGTCTTTCTTTCTCGTCTTCGGGTGTTTCCGGAGGGGTTACTCGCCGCCACATAAGTAATTCATAGGCTTTCCCCTTGGCCTTTTTACCTGCATACCTGCTCTTGCAGCTTGCTCTCGTCGACACCCACAATGGGCATGAAACTCTCCTCAAACCCCATACATCCCGTGTTGTTCGGAGTCGGTCCCCCGCACTCTTCTCACAATGGCATACAGCAGCCATGTGCACCTCGCTCTCAGTGTCTTTCGACTCATCCACCCATATGCATGCCCGCTTCTTCGACTTGTGCTTGTGGTGCCCTCCGACGCGTCTACGTATATTTCCATAGGACTTATCGAAGTTTCTAAAGCCAGATAATGCAGTGGTATGATCTCAGCTGGATGTTCTCTCCGTCGTTTCTTTCGTGGAGCGTACTAACTGGAATCTTACTTTTCGATGACCCCAGGCTACGACTCGGGCCAGGGTACTGTATGCTTAGCCGCTGACTCAAAGCTGGAGCATCCATCGTCGACTCATGGATACTTATCGTATTTGTTGCCTTCGAACCACAGCTGGCAGTGACGACACTGGACTTCAGTCCAATCACTGCCGGCGGTACTACTGGGCTATCAGTCAAAATCAATCGTCTATGACCCTCTATGACCTCAGGCTACGACAGTACGGACTTTTGCCTAGCAGCTGACTCGAAACCTGTTGCAATCTACCCTCGACATCGACACTTATCACATCCTCGTACATCCCGAACTCCAGTTGTGACGACACTGTATACTAGTATAATGACTGCCGGCGGTATCATGATGCTGTCGGTCGACGGTCAGATGTTACTCGCCGCTGCACCAAGGAACGGCGAGCTATGTGAAGCTCCTGAACGTCGACCTCAACCATAGACGTAGACGTAGACGTTGACGTCGATTTATGATGCGGGCTTGGGCTAGCTCTCTTATGGCCTGCTTCGCTCGTGTCAATGTGTGGAGTTCTCAGCGTACTTATCATCATCCTTTCCTTTCCATAATATGATATGTACACCTGCCAAACAGTCTGACTTGAAGTCATCGAACACGTCACTGAACTCGAACCGACCCCCATGTCCTCTGAATCAGGCCTCAGGAGTTGTCCAATGTGGGCCGTACTCGAAGATCTAGAGAAGATGAGTTTAAATTCGTTCGAGGACGTGCCTGAGGCCTGATTTCCGACTCGGTTTTCACTGGGGGACTGGTTCAACTTGAAGCGCCTGGTACTTACCCGGAAATCATAAAATGAGGACAAAGAGCCAGGCGGCAGGCGAGCGTTGCTTCTTGTTTTCCTGTATTCACTGATACCTACTAAGATCCATAAAATCTAACTTATAGCGCGGACTCTCCAGATGCCACGCTACATACCTCCCTCCACTGCTTCGCAATCGCCACATCCTCCATCTCGAGACCCACATCCTCACACTTCAATTCCCCCTTCTCGATCCTCTCGCATACGTCCATCCTGAGATGTTTATCGACCCTCAGGATAGCGTCCCTCATCTCATCTCATCGCATAAAAGGCCGAACGTATCCATTCACCCGCGGGTCCCGTGCTGCCTTGACGATCCCTCCACAGCTTCTGCTGGATACTGATCAGGTTGACTGTTTCGCCTACTAACTGCTGTTTATAGAACGACAGTATGTCATTGACGACCTCCTATGCAACAGTGAGCAATATTCAGTTCACATATTACTGTAATATACGACCGGACGTAGATGGTTTTTTTACTCACCGTATATGTAGTATGTCATGTCCGGGATGGTCTTGACGAACCTCGTCAAAGGCAATCTCTGGCTCCTAGTCGCCTTGAAGACCGCGGCGGAATAAGCGTCTCCGACGCCATTCCTGTTACGGAGGAAAAGGGGACTACATAAGGCAGTCGCGTCCAACGTACCGGTATCGTGACGTCCGTCCGTCCGTCAGTAAGGTGGTAAATAAACGGTGCGTCATCAAACAATAGACTCACAACTTGACCTCCGCTTCTTCTGGCGTCGTCTCCGGTTTCACGACCACACCCGGGCTCAGGCCCCTCCTCCCTTCCAAAATCCGCTCGTATCCCATATCGTACGGACTAGCCCGCACCTCCTCATCGAACGTCAAAAGCCTCTTCTCCAAAAGACACGCGTTCGTATAATTTATCCACGACGTGACCGCAAGACTTCTCAACACTGCGTCTCCCTCATGCACCTCACAAATCTCCTTAATAGTCTCATAAAACAGACTGAGCACCGAGCCTCGCCCGCGTAGATTCGGTGCGCAAAGTCCTCGAGACCCATGTCCTCGTATGCGTTCCCGTTGTTGATAGAGTCGTCGATGTATAGAGCTATAGCTGTGATCCGCGCGAGGAGGAACTTCATCTCGACGTCTGCGAAGGGGATACACAGCTCGGAGAAGGTGGTGGAGAAGTCTTATTCCATCCCAACCCGTGGTTTCCGGACATGGACCTCCGCCACCTGACGCTCGTCGTTTCTCACAATGGCATACCACAGCCATATGCCACTTGCGAGCTTTCGCCTCGGATACTCTCTCATCTATGCTCACTTGTCGACTTGCGATAGACTTTCTACAGGGCAACACGTAAAATCTTATCCGATGCTGATATCTCTCCGTCGTGCTTTCGGGGAGGCTCAATCCCTGACCGTGCAGAAATCTTCCACGGCCTCAGGGGATCCTTCCTCCACTTACCTTGTACCCTCCGAGTCCGCTACTGCCAGTGTGCCCGTTCACCACCCCGCCACCGCCACACAGCTGCGGCTGCGACCTTCAAACAAGCTTTCAGTTTTACTTCCGCTCGACCTAGTGGCCCTGCAACTTGGGATCGGACGACGGAAGCGATTCGTGCGTACCTAAGTTACTTGCGTTTCAACATCGTGCGAGAATCTGGCTGGAAGTCTCTCGTTGCTTTCCTCAGCCCATCTACTTACGAGGTTAATTTCAGCGGCCTTGCTCGCAACTGCAGCAGCCCTCAGGCCTCATACTACCAATAGACTCCACCGCAGACCACTGGCATACGATCTGGATCTCTCGACCGACCGAACGACCGACCGACCCGACCGAGTCGGGGAAATGATATTCTTCCGCTCCTCCTCCCTCCACCCCCTCGAGCACTCGAGAGTCGAGTGTGGGTCGAGAACCGATGTCAATGATCGACATATGAATGACACGGCCCATGGCGATCGTACGCGGAAGCGAATCTCTGGATGAGACTGGAGACGAATCGAATCACGATGGAGGGGAGGGGAGCTCCCAGACTCCAGTAGAGTTGACCATGATTGTGTCCATACTTAGTGACGGGCTACAGTACAATATTATAATAATGGCTCAGCGGCGTCTGCGATGTTAATGTTTTTGATGTCATTAAATGTTCACGTCTAGGACCTCATAGGGCAAATGTATGAACGAATGCATAGCAGGGAATTTATGCTCATGCAATCAATAATCACAGTCGTCAGTCTGCGTCCACTCTGTATTACCGCTATCCTTGCAAGCTCGCCTGGAACCTCGCCCTCCAGACTAGGTGACTACCAGCCAACAACAGAGCGTAAATAATCGGACTTCCCGGCCTCCTATATGTGCTCGCACATGTAGTAGTAGTATCAGACTGGAGCGAAATCCGAACGTTTGCACGGAGGTCTCAGTCTGATCATAAACGTTGCGAAAAGGAGAGTTGCGAAAGTGGCTGAGGTCCAAGGCTGTACTACATGGACATATTTCGCCTTACCGAGCGGGTGAGACACTCCTACAGACAGACCATTGACCGTCGACCGTCGAGCCGAAATCATCCAAAAAAGAAAAGCATATCCCAAGTTATGTAAATATATTCAACCAGGACGCAAATATCCATCCGTACCGACCGACCGATGACCAAGGACCAAGATCCAAATGTTCAAAAAGGCACACAGTCAGCATACTCGAAAGGAGAAAGATCTAGTGAGGTTACTTGGGCTTGAGGTTGAGCGCTGAGCCATAGGACGGTCGAAAGGGGACGAACTCGAGAGAAAGATCGGAATCCGAATAATGGCCTGCGTCTGTGTCCGAGTCGAACGACCGCGCTTCTGGTCGTCGATGTCAGATCTCAAAAAGATAGAAAGAACGAATAGATTACATTGACTGGAAGTTGCGTACTTACGTCTAGTACCAGCCATACGGAGTCGACCGCACGAAGCTCAGTGTCGTCGCGGTCGGGATAGTCAATCATCAGACTCAGAGTCTCCTCGTAAAGAGTCGAGCCTGTCGTCTCGGCTGGTGAAAGGTGAATTTAATATATTATATTACAATTTTATTTTCGCCGGCGACCGTTGAAGCGTCAAAGCGTCGACCTCTCGTAAGGTACGAAAGCCACAATATAGCTTTGACATCGTCCGCATCGATTTATCTGTGTTATAGGTTAACAAAGCCCACCCGCAACAGAAACAGAAACGAAAAAACGGAAAACGGAAACAGTGGCCTTACTACACCTACACAGCATTCCGGTGTGATCGTACTTGCTCATAGTAGACTTTAAGATCCCAGGATAATGTCACGAAGCCCGAAGCTTTCGGGACTCACTGAGAGGAACGAAGGAATGGAGTAATGGGGCAAGCTTGGGGAAACGAGCGACGGGTGATTGTGCAGTAGAGAGACGGAGATGAAATGCGCCGGGCTTTTCGATGGAGCAAGTTGGAGCTCGAAGGAGTTCGTCTAACTTACAGTAAGTCACGACGGGGTACATATGAACTACCCGTGAAGTCGGAGCTTCACTCTACATATGTAAGTTAAGCATGCGTAGTTCTTCGACTTACTGTATGTTGGCCGTTCACTCTGTTTGAGTCACGACGAATGTGAAGTGATTAGTCAATCAAAAGCAGAGAATAAAGCTTGAGGAGGGACGGAACTCACGTGACCGGTTGGAACGCCACCTACAAGCAGACGCTGGAATCGATCCGGGATTCAAACAGCACGGCCGAGCTGTACGGCCGCTGCCATACATGTATACCTCATTGAGATACTCGATGTCCAGGAGAGCACGTAGGCAGCGCTGCTCGCGGCGTCATGACTCTACGGGTGGATCCAACTCAGTCGTCTACGAACGGCGCAAGGTTGGAGGCGACAGATCAGATCATCAAAGAGACGGCCAAGAATAACAACACGAACGCTGACTCTAGAACACAAAACGCCTCGTAGACAGACTCGTGTCGTTGTCGTCGTCGTTCGAGTACACCTCCTACATAAGCCTAAGCCACGAAGCGGCGAAGTCGGGTCGAGGTCGAGCGCACGAATTCGGATTAGAGTTGGACGCGTCGAAACGTCAAAGGGGGATCTTGCATATATGCCGTTAGCGCCTTACGAGTCTGAGACGGTAAGTTACGGATTGCCTAATTCGGGAGACAAGATTGGGAAGATTCGGGGCGAGGGACGATCGTGGACGATCATCGACGATTGCAATCGACGGTCGTAGGTGCTCCTGAGGTCCGTGTTCGAACGGTCGCCTTCGGAGCATGGACGACTGCGACTGCGTACTACATAGAGCGGAGAGGGAGAGCGCAGAGGGAGAGTGCAAGCCAAGCAAGTGAGAGTGGATGAGCTGACGAAGGCGGGTATGGGGGTAGCCGGGAGGGTGAGCACAGGTATGCGTGCTACATGCGCAAGAGTGGTGTGGATGGATGGATGGATGGATGATTCAGATTCAGGTGCGTAACGGCAGGTTACGTTCGGAGGATAAAGCGATGCAATGAAGTTGGTGTGGTTGAGGCGTTTGAGGCAGGAAGGATAAGATCCGCTTATGGACGACGAGGAGGTTCCGCTGGACAGAAAGCATGGATGCACGCCAATACATAATGCCACATACTTTACATACCGCTAGGAAGTACACGAATAAACTGTCCGCATCGAGAGACAAAGAGACGGGGGCGTTACGGGGGACGACGAGGAGGGCGCACGATGGGGCGGTGCGTGCGGGAGGCGCACGAGGGCGGGGAGGCTGCGCGGGCTGTGTTTCGTCGCAGTGCGGCGATGTGGGACGACGGCGGGATGGCAGCGGGTGGCGGGTGCTGTGGGCGGTGGCCGGGGTCCTTACAAGCAGGCACGAAGCGAACCGGTTTGGGGATTTGAGAGGACAGTGATTGGCTGGTTCGGGGTCGGGGAGGGATGTGGCGGGGAGCCGAGTATGGGGCGCCTGGCGTCGCGTGGAGGTGATCGGACCGGAGATCGGAGGAGAGGCTTGGACTGAGATTCGCACGGCCGAGGGAGAGTCGAGCGCCGGGCACGCTTATATACCCAACGCCTCCATCCATTGCCCCAACACGCTCTCCCGACTCGACGCACACAGCGTCTACACCCTCCCCCGACGCTACATCCCGCCCCCTCGTCGTCGTTCACAACATCGAGCTCATCATGGCCTCCAGCGCCCGCCCCATCCGTCTCCCCGTCGACCAGGACGCCACAATGGCCTCTTCGTCCTACACTAACAACGGCTCTTTCAACGCCAACCCTGCCTCATACACCCGTCCTTTCTTCGGCTCCCCCATCTCCTGGAGAGCTGGCTCCTTTGGCAGCCGTTTCTACCACCCAGGCAACTCCCCTGGTCAGCTTCTCGGCCCATTAGAGTGTGTATCAGCCTCCTTTATTCCTCTTTTCGCCTCCTGTCTAACTCCTTCGCCCAGTCCCACCGACTTCAGAGCCGGAAAACTCTCCTCTTCGCTAGAAAGTGACCGTGGCTCCCTCATTAATGCCCTCAGCGCCATGGAACGCGAGGAGGAATTCGTGAGTACTGCTTTCATACCTCGCTCGGCTGTCTCATCGCCTGACTTGCGTCGTACCTAGTGCCGCAATTACACTTGCTGTGGCCTTAATCTCACCGATCTCCACGCTCTCGTTGACCACTTCGAGGAATGTCACGTCGTCGTCGTAGACCCATACACCCAGCAAGCCGCATACGTATCCCCTGCACCAGGCACGACCGTCAAGCCAAATAATTACATGACCGCAGAGCAGCAACTCAGTCTCCAGCAGCAACAACATCTCCGATTACAGCTCGATATGCAACAGCAGCAACAACAACAACAGATGCAGCAACAGCAACATCAGCACCATCAGCAGCAGTCCCTTCCTCAATCGAATCTCTCATCGCATCCGCAGCAGCAGTCCCAAGTCGGTGCCTTTGATCCAGACGACATGGAGCTTGACCTCGACTCATCACCCTCTTCCTCTGCCTCTTCGCCACCACAGACTCCACTCTCTACCACCATCACCCCTTACCCTTCCAACTCGGCATATCCTCCCGCCGGTCTCTCCAATCTCCAGACCAACCTCCCACTTTCGCAACCGCACCCGAATTATTCCCACCTCAATTTCAATTCGCTCAGCCTCAATTCTCCCCACTCGCAGCCCACCTCATCATGTCCGTCCCCCGTCTCCGCCTTCGACACCACCACCGTCCTTCCCTCTCGTTCGTCGCCCCTTGGCAACTTCCCTCCCTCCATGGCTCAGCGCTCCAACGCACCCGCCGACGCCTTCAATGCCTACTCCACCTACGCAGAGTACAACAACACTCCTAATTCCGCTGGCATGTCTGCCGCCGGTATGATGCAACAGCAGGCCTCGATGTCGACAGACGAGTGGAGTGCCAGTGGTGCAAACGGCCAAGGTGTTGCGAGCGAGCCTTCGACGCCCTACGGGTGCGTTCCGCCCGCGTTACTCTTCTCCAACCACACTACCCCGGCCGGCACTCCCGCCGGCTCGCGAGACGGGTCCCCGAAGTCCGCCTCTGCGACCGCTACCCCGGCGACGTACCAGCCCCAGGCGTCCTCGTCCTCCAGCGCTGCGTCGTCGTCTACGGCAAAGGCATCCAAGAAATCGGGCAAGTCGTCGCCCGCGCCACGCGCTTCTGGCTCGTCGTCGTCATCTGCTAATGCGTCCGCCGCTGCCGCTGCTTCTATCGCCTCCCGACCCGGCGCCTCTCTCCTTCTCTCGAAGCCGTTCCGCTGCCCGAAGCCGAACTGCAACAAGTCGTACAAGCAGGCGAACGGGCTCAAGTATCACATGACGCACGGCTCGTGCAACTTTGCGCCTCCGAAGGATCTCGAGGCACTACAGGCGCTGTTGGCGGAACGGGCGGAGAGGCAGGCACTTGCGAACGGAGGCGCCGGAGCGAATGGCGCGGGAGGCGCCGGGGGAAGGTTGGAGGTGAAAGTTGGTGCGGGTGGAGTCGTGGAGGGTGTGAATGGATTGGGGATGGGGATGAATATGACGGAGGGGGAGATGAGGGAGGTGGAGAGGGAGGCGGAGAGGCGGTTGAGGCCTTTTGCGTGCGGGGTGGGCGAGTGCCAGAGGAGATATAAGAATATGAACGGCCTCAGTGAGTATCAATGATTGATTGTTTTTCTCTCGATAGCTTTTAACTAACGCGGCATGTACGTATAGGGTACCACTACCAACACTCTGGTGACCACGGCGCCATCGGTCTCGCCCTCCTCGCCTCTGGCCAACACGAATGCCTACAAAACTCAAAAGCCCACGCCTCGTCCATGCACCGTTCCTCGTCGCACTCCCGAACGAACTCTGCGTCTGCATCGACGTCGACGAGCAGGACCGGGACGCCGCATTCGACTGCACCGAGCACGCCTACGACGGGCGCTGCGCCTCCCGCTTGGGCACAGATGCAGCAGCAGGTCGTGGCGCAGCAACATCAGCAGCAACAACAGGCGGCTCAACAACAACTTGCTCAGTCGCAGGTGCAGCAGGTGCAGCAGGGTCAGCAGCAGCCACAGTCGTACACGGCGTATCAGCATTCGTTCCCCGCCCAACAGGTCGCGGCTACGGCGCAACCGGCTCAGCCCCAGCAAGCGGCTCAACAGTATAGTCCGCAGGCTCAGCAGGCGTATGCTCAGCAGTATGGGCAGGGCGTCCAGGCCCAGGGTGTGCCGGTGGGAGGGAGCGGCGGACAGGGATATGCGCAGGCGGTGCAGGTGCAGCAAGGGTATGGGCAGCAGCAGCAATGATGAGTTGAGTGAGCTGTTGTGCTGTTGTGGATCGTTGTTTTCGTTTTCGGGGCCTCTTTTCCTTCGGCCTTTTCGTTGCCGTTCTCTCTGCTCGTTTTCGTTCGCTGTAGACGTCATCCGTCGCCCACGCCCATGCCCATGGACGCTGCGAGGTTGACATACATAAAAACACCCCACCCCCCACCCAAAAGTATTGTTCCCGTTCGGATTGGACCAATGACTGCGTACTACAGCTATTTTCTACTATTACTTTTTTTCTTCTTTTTTACTCGTACCGCTATCTGGTGCGATGTGTGTCTGCTTGTCTGTGTCTGCTTGTCTCCCTCCTCCCCTCTCACCTCTCATCCGTGTGTCCCTCCGTGCTCCGTGCTTGTTCGTGTCTTGATGCTCCGTGGTCTGCTACTGTTGTTGTTGTTTCCTACCCCCCTGTTTCCTACCCCTTGTGTCGTGTCCTCCATTCGAAATTTCGTAATTCGATTGTTGTTTTTGTTAGATACATATAAAGTTATGCTATACTTCGCGCGTTGTTGGTGTTTGTTCCCCTTTGCGCAATAAGTACATAAGCTTCGTCTTTCGTCTTTTCGTCTTTCGTCTTTCGTCTTTCGTGTCACACCTCTCAGATTCTATCTCGTCTCGACTTTTACATAGATTCCGACTCATGGCCAGTGCGTCCCCTTTTCCCACCCGCGCACACGTATGTATACGCAAAATAGCGAGAAGCGAGAAGGGACGCCCACTCAGATAAAAAGTACATATATTATTGTCGTATGTCGTACATATTTTCTTTCCTCTTTCCTTTTTTTCCCCCGGTTCTGTGATTGTGATCATGATTCATCGATCATTACTGCTTTTTTTTGTTTTTGGTGGTGGGGTTCGATTTCTTTGTGGCTTTGAACGGGGTTCTTTCGATTTGGTGATCAATGCTTGGAGCTTGGAGCTTGGTTTTTGCCGTCCGTTTGTGGATGCGATGGGGCGTGGTGGCGTGGTGGTGGATTTGAGGGTTTGAGGATTTTTGAGGTGGGTTGGACGGTTGGCGAGGGAGGGCAGGAGGGGACGGCTAGGAGGAGGAGGAAGAGTAGGATGTATGCCTTGCCTTGCCTTGGAATTGTATGCTGCGATTCGTTTATGCTACTATGCTACCTTGTTACTTTTGACATTCTGAGTTGCGTGCGTGTGTGTTCGAGATTGCAGGTATGCCTTTGAAAATATTCGTGGGAGCCTCCGCAAGTGGCTGGTTGTGGCAAAACACCCACCGTGTATTGACTCAAAAATCGAACTCGATGACCCTCAGGCCCAGGCCACTGGATCATTGCATTGTGCAGTATGGAACCCTTTCGCAGTGGAAGCGTGTGGCGAGGGTGGCGTAGCTCGAGGATGCCGGCGGTAACGAGAGGAGTTTGAAAGTGACGGTTCGCGACGTTCGAGGTTGACAGCTTGGTCCTCGATGCTAAGTAACTTAATGCAAATGTCCGTTGCTCGCTCTGGAAGCTAGAAGACTGGCCATGGCTGGTGTCGCGAGGCTTCTAGCTAGGGCGACGACTCGGACGTCGACGATCATCTACGTATGATCTGTCCATATGCGCCAGTTTGGTAAGTACAATGGGATTGGACATTGGACGTTGGACGGCGTTGACGTGGAGGAAGGATTTAGAAGAGGTACGCGGTGGTAGTGTCTGTCACGATTCGGTTCGGATTCGGATAATAATAAGTCTAAAATCCGTCACGGACGAGGAGCTGTCGTCACCGCCCGTGCGCGCAGGAAGGATAGGACCATGACTTGACCTGACTTGACTTGAACTGACTTGGACGCGGTGTTTAAAGTGTTAGTGGGTGTTGGATAGGAGCACTCCCTGGAGGACACTCCGAGGGTGGAGTTATGGGCTTTGGAGCGGTGCCGTTGAAGTTCGAGCCTCAGTTGGCCGTGGCACGGGTCCGAGTGGCTCTGGGGCTCAAGTGAAGACAGGAGAGGCTGGACATACGTACTTACCGGCGGTTGGGATGGTCAGGTCAGTGCCAGTAGATTAATTGATCATGAATCATTGACGGGCAAGTCGGAGTTGAATGCGTGGGTCGTGCGGTGACGTAGGATTATGATGAACCTCGAGCGAGCTATGTACGTGTGTGGAGGGAGAGATACGCTCAGGAGGTTGGGAGATGAGGAGGAGCAAAGATGCGAAGGTTCGGACAGGGCGATGGTGCCACAATCATGGTGGCGAGCGAACGAAATGTCGATGTTCGAAGAGCCTAGATTCGAAGAAGTTCGTCCAGTCAGTCATTGCAAAGAGAGTAGGCAGTGGGTCGCAGAGAAGAATTCGACAAGGAAGAATTTGATGGTACAGGTCTAGCCCACCGAGGAGGGTATACGTATCAGATTCAGAAGATCACCGTGAGCAGTCACCGGTGAGACATGCACCATCACGAAGAGGTCCAGCCTTCGAGCTTCAAGACCCTGAGAACCAAGAGTCCGTGCCCAAGCTCTGCTTAGTGTTTCTTCGCGTTTCGATGAGAGGCCAAGACCACATCTTTCACGCGAACGGGCCAGACAAAATGCCTGAAGATGCCGTATGGTTTAAGCCCTTCGAGTAGAATCTGCACACAGTCAGTACAAGCCTCTCCTGCGACTGTAACAATAATTAAAACGCGCCATCATAAACCTTCACAAGAAACAGATCCGATAGTCTCGCAGATAGGTAGGCGGACAACATATTATCCCGTAAAGCATACGGTTCCGAAACTCGACTGGAAGGTACGGAGCAGTGCAGTTGCGGGGGAGAATGGACGCATGTCGGCCGGCACGACGTTAAGACGACGATGCCGGCGAACAATGCTGCGACCAAGAATAGGATTGGATAGGTGTTCTCGTAAACAGGCCGGGAGTCGAGGTCCCTCGAAGCTGTGCGTCTGTTACAGTTGCTGGACATTTGCTTAAGGCCTAACACGGCCTGTGTGGTCGGTTTTGTTTAGGTTTTGTTTTCGTGGTACGTAAGTTAGGCATCGGTGTGTGTTTTGTGCATATTGAGGGAGAGAGCGGGGAACGAGGCAGAAAACACGCCACTGAATACGGGGTTGGGATTCGTGATGCATGCGGACGTCGATGGGAGACTGAAACGGTTCGCGAGGATGGGTGTGCGAAGAGCGGAGGCCGCACGAACGTAAGATGGGTCCAGTTATGGGCGATGCGTGTTGTTGTACTACAACGGAGGATGAGATTGTCGTGGGCCACGGATGGGTCACGGAACGAGGGTGCCGGGAGGAGCAGTCGTGTATTGTGGACGGATTTGGGCATGGGCCGGGAAGGCAGGAGGTGGAGAAGGCTAATAGGTGGCACCGTGACAGAATGGATGCATATACGTACGGGTGTTCACGATTGAGACCGGTCAATGTGTGTCAGACCATGTAGCCCGCAATGCGCTCACAAAAGAATCAGGTGCATGGGAGTGTCAGAACATGAGGCCGCTATTGGAAGGTATCTTGGAACTTCGCAAAGCGTTCAACATGAGCTGAGATTGAGCCGTGAGATGAACGCAGTTAAGCATACGCTGCGCCACATCGCAGCCCTCCCTTTCAACAAACCTCGCATAAGTTTATGCGCGAACTTCATCAACGACGCCTCCTAGAATATATGCTTCTCATCATCCCAAATTGGAACCTTCGCGCTTCCCTCGGGAAGGTTCCTGAACAATGCTCCAGAGTGCTCCGCGCTAAACCTCAAGCTAAGTATCGGAAGTCCGAACCCATCCGTTCCGTAGCCCCATACAATTATGATGCTAAGTTAATGACAATCATCGCAACGCCGACCCTAAATCCATACCCGACCCCGCCCACGCGTCCGAGACCATATGCCACTTTAATGTGCCTCGAGACCCTCTAACTGCAGTAGCAGCACGACAGCAGTGGAGCATCAAAGAGCATCGCTGAATGGTTTCGAGAGGATGCCAGGAAGAACCAAAGAGCTTGCTTGAACAAATCATCGCACGATGAGGAAGGATCACGGCCGTCTCAGTTCGGAGAACGAATCAGGACCCATGATAGACAAAGTTCGAAACAAACTGCACCGCCGAGCGTCAAAGGGAACCTAATCATAGTCGTAGCGATGCATCGTCACAACAGACACAAGCAGACATTGGTTGCTGTATATTTGGTCCGAGGTCAGGACGAGTGGGATCGTGCGTAATGCGATGGAATCAGTGAGCGCATCAGGGTCGACTATCTTAATCTGATTGAACAAAGTATGGGATGATGAGCCAAGGACGGCGTCGGAGTGTGCGAAGGGAAGAAACAGAGACGAAGGGCGGAGTCTATCGGCATTCTGCGTATGGAGCTTCGTGGTAGAAAGCGCTAAGACTCATGGCAAAGAACACTCGCTGGGGTAGAATGGCCGAACATATGTGCAGGATGGCTTGGGGACGGTTAGCCATTGGAGTTGGCGGAGTAACAGAGTTAGTCGGCCGATGTCAGTCGTCGCGCAGGGCAGCGAGAAGACTGGGTGTGTGGTACAAGATGATTCGAGGCGAATGCCGATGAGGTCGATGAGGTAGCAACGACGCTAGCGCTAGCCAGAATAGGCGGTCAATACAGGGTTCGGTGGGTAATTGTGCTCTTCGGAAACAGTGGACGGCTCCGCGCGGACACAAAAGGAGTCAACGAGACGAGTCGAAAGATATTTTAGTCTGCTTTACACGCTCGCAAGGTAACCTCATGATATACAGCGTCCGTCCAAGTAAACGCACAGAGAAAGCTCACGGCGCTCGACTCGAATCTCCGTGCTTTCAGGTCAACAAACAGGTCGTACGAGCGCAAAAGAAACCTGCGCAAGAAAGAGAAGACGATGATTCGCCTTCGTAAACGGATGAGCCGCGCGGATCAAGAGGGATCACGAATTCCAGAAAAATAAGGTGTACGGGGTCCTCGCCATGAGTGCGATTCGGACGAACCGGTTCGAAGCGCTATGCTGTCCTCTGCGCCAGGACGCATGCTGTACTCGGGAGGGTACGGTACGCTGAAGAGCACATTGGTGCGGCCAGCGTCATAGACAACGGCTGAGACGACATGGCCACAGCAACGGAACAAGTGGACGTAGCGTGGAAGGCGGCCGAGTATAATGATGCATAATGACCAGGTGCAAGCACAGTATTACTGTATGCGAGAGACAATAACACCGACAATCGCGCAGAAGCTAGTACACTCTTGGACCAGTCTTCACAAGGCTTCACAGGAGACTGAGAGTACATGAACGAGCAACTGCACGTAATAAGTATGCCAGTGTGCATAATCTACAGGCTGGGCCGAGTTAGTATCTCGAAGCCAAAGAGCAAGTAGGCGGGAGGCCTCACAGACCTGTGGGCGAAGGTGAACGCGCAATTATTGTACCTGTCCTAGCGGGTGGCGTGCCTGTGGCAAGAAACATGCCACAAAGCTGATGCGGACAGTCCTCCACAAACACAGCTATGGCGGGTCTGATGGTGATAGTCTTTCCCGCCTCGAACTTCAGGGAGTGGGAAAGCCACAAGAATGGAAGCAAATACGAACTTACAGAGCCTAGAGCTTGACACAAGACTCGGCTGCGATGGACGAACCTGGAGGAAAGGCTGTCAGCGGCCAGCGAGAGACAGAGGATGTAGAAGAGGAAGGAAAAGGGCACGACGACGTCGTTGCCCTCGCCTTAGATAAAGGTTGCAGCAATAGAAACGAAAATTGATACGGAAATTTTCAGGATGTCCAGGATGAAAGACGTGGCCCAAGCGGGCGGCTGGATCAAGTCGTGTTCCCACGATGTCGCCACGTCCATGTACCGCCACGTCTACGGTCTATAACGTTTAGCGAGTGACGGTCACCACGATATTCCAGGTGTTCCCTCTCGCTCCTGTATATCTACTCATGAATCCTACACTAACAGCGACTTTCATCCATTTCGACAACTCTCCGATCACTGTTCATGCCCCTTCAACGGATCGCCACTACGTCTTTTAAACCCAGTGGCACCATCGTCCCAGTCCGATTGTTCGTCGTTGAAGTTCTTCATTCACGGTTGCTGAGACGGAAGTCCGCTGCTTTTAGCTCAGTCTGTACATCTCTCATTTCTTTGTGATATAAAGCGATTGGTGCACAAGTTCAACTGCGTCTCACAGTGTAGTGCTAATATTGTACTGCTCCGTCATTATTAGCCCTGCTGATTGCCCGCAAAACCCGAGTTCACTACAACTTCTCTAGAGACGCTAGGGTTGACTTATCCTTGTCTACGACCTACCCACACTTCCTCAGCCGTTCTCAAGGTCAAGCACAATGTTTCGTCGCTTTACAAAACGGCGAATACGCCACTCGAAATAGTATTCGTGATCGGTCGGGCCGAGAACGATGATGACTATTTGTGCCTTTTTGGGCCCCACCGATGTTGCTCCGATGTGTTATTTACGTTTTCGATGGTGTTCCTGCACCAATCTTATATGGGCCAAGGGGGCTAAGCGGGGAGCCGTTCTCACATCGTCTTCGACGACGAGTCCACATCTCTAGCCAGTCATTCATTCATTTCCTGGCGCTCCTTCGCTCTTTGTTCACGATAACACGCCTTTCTTTCGCTGTTAATGCCTTCAATACATTCGGGGTACACGGCTCTACAGCAGAATGAGGCATTTGTTCCACCACCTGCATCAACTGTGAGAACAGCGGGGAACGTGAACACGACGTCCGGTCCAGGAGGAGTCACTTTTATCCCCGTGCCTCAGTCTCCTGTCGAATCGTTTGAGATTGAGGAGTGCAGTGGGAGCAAGAGGAGATGTTTGTCGAGGGCGAAGGTCGTGTGGAGAGGAGCTGTGACGACGTTCAAGAGCAACACTGGGATCTTGTTGGTCGCGGCGTCTCAGTTTTTCTTTGCGCTGATGAACGTCGCGGTGAAGAAGTTGAATAGCCTGGATGAACCGGTGTCGACACTAGAGGTGCGTCATGCAGTCGATCTTGTCATCCTATACGGGCGTAGCGCTGACTTGCGCCCTAGCTCGTGCTGGTTAGGATGGTGAGATATTCACACTCGCTGCTGAAACAAGAATAACACAGACTCAATTGAATGGGACTGTCGTTGCACAGGGTATCACATATATATGCTGCATGACTTATATGTATGACGCCTTCTCATATGAGTATTCCTCGATGTTCTGACGATGGTGTAGGTATTTCATGAATGTCCCCGATATGATGTTGGGTCCGAAAGGCGTCAGGCTATGGTTGCTGTTTCGTGGATTCTCAGGGTACGTTGCGTCACACGACATGCATTCTACTACCCACTCATCATCTATACCCCACTAGGTTCTTCGGTCTCTTTGGTGTCTATTACTCCCTACAGTACCTGTCGCTCTCAGACGCTACGGTGCTCACATTCCTTGGTCCGCTCTTCACGGGCGTCACCGGTGCACTGTTCCTCAAAGAGAAGTTCACTCTGAAGGAGGGTCTGGCAGGATGTGCGTTCCCAATTTTGATCATATTCTTTGTCAACCTCATCTGACGACACTGGTGTAGTGGGCAGCTTCTTCGGTGTCGTCCTCATCGCACGGCCGCAGTTCTTGTTTGGAGCAGCGTCAGAACACCAAGTTCCCCTACCTAGTGACGTTGCTGAGTGTGCAGGACGATGTGCGACTGGCGACACGGGCACTCCAGAACAACGGTTGGTTGCTGTAGGGTGAGTATGACGTTGTCTTGGGCGCCATAGTCTCATGCTCATCAGACGTTTCCCATAGTGTGGCCTTAATCGGTGTCCTGGGCGCTACTGGCGCTTGTAAGCACTCGCCTCGTCTAAGCTCGTGCATCATCTGAACACTGTGTTTGTGCAGATACCTCGATGGCCGCCATCGGGAAGAGAGCCCATCCGCTCCACTCCTTGACGTCATTCGCCTCACAATGTGTCGTCGTCGCTACTATTGCGTGAGTATCCTTTGTACAGTACGACAGACGCTCGTCTAATCACGTCCAAAATACAGGATGCTTGTCACGAAAGAACACTTCGTCGTCCCTACGCGGCCGGAATGGCTCGCCATGCTCGCCATGATAGGTATATTCGGTTTTATCGCCCAGGTTCGTCCTTTTTGCTTCTATCTTCTCGTTCTTGACTCATCGTTCTGTGTTTTACAGAGCCTCCTAGTAATGGGACTTCAACGTGAGACTGCTGGGCGGGGAAGTATGGGTGTTTACATTCAGGTATGTTTCCCAGCAGCATCCTCATCGCAATCCATGTCGCTAATGGAATCATGCAGATAATATTCGCTCTTGCCCTCGAGCACATTTTCTTCCATATCACACCACCTTTCCTATCCATCGCTGGGATGATCGTCATCCTGGCCTGTGCAACCTATATCATTGTAAGTGTCCGTGCCCACCAGATATCTCATCGCATCGTCCGTTCTAGAAATCACAATAACTAACGAGGACGACGCTAGTTGACGAAGGAGACTTCGTCGAGTACAAAATCTACTCAGGTCTCACTCGAGTATCCTGGCGAATCTGCTTTAGAAGAAGGCCTCCTCCGAGCCCATCACGAGTCACGACTAATGCCCGGGAACGTAAACATGAACGAATCCAAGGAGGTCCTCGAGCTCGTGGACGATGCAAAGGCTGAGGGCAATTAACGGGTTGGATTTCTAATGGTTTCGCGTTCTCTCCATACCGGTTCCTTCTGCATAGCCCTTCTGGACAGTCCTTGGAATAGAGGCGTAGATGACACTCATCGTTCTGCTATGTCTGTTTCTTTTCTGCCCTATCTGGGGCGCTTTCAGGCTCAACCGCCATCGCCGGCGAGCTATTTTTGGATATCTTCGGATCCTACGTACCATTGTTGTATTCATAGATTTATAGTGCTTTCCCAGGTCAATATCGTTAGTTTTTCCGGTTCATCCTCAGCGTACGCATGCATCCTTTCGAGAGACTGAAATGCTGTCCGAATCAGACAGAGCTCGAGAGCGCATCAGTACTGCTTCAATGCTTGGGTGCTGCAGTCCTCACTCAGATACTTTCTCAGGCACCACCGCCTTCCATCCCGGATCGAGACCTTCGTGAGACCCGCCAAGAGTCCTACTGACTATGACGCCATCCTGTCGGAAAGTCTATAAATCAATTTTTACTAATCTTGGAAGCGCCACACCGCCATGAACCTTCCAAGCGTCTGATCAGCCGGCCAGCAGGCATCCCTCCGACGAATGCATCATCCTTCGTCTTTGCTTCCTTCCACGACCACCAGCGTCGGAGCAGCTGCCTGCTACAGGCCTAACACTCGAGCTTTACTGGCACCATGATTATCGAGGGCGATGCTAAGGTGCCTCCGAGTGAAGACAACAATGAACTTCAGGCCGCTCAGGATCTTTCTCGAAGTAGATCAAGCGCGTCTTCAGCTGGTGGCCCGAGCTTGTCGTCTAGTCTACCTCGATATTCGGATGTGCCAAACAGGTCTTCTTTGAGGCCTCAATCTCCTCCAGCATCCCCTCCAGCGTCCATTCTGTCGAAAGAGACGGACGCGACGGAACGCAATAGTGTCAGGTCGAGCTTCAGAAGTTCTGTGGCCTTCATTCCGACGCCAGGTGTCGAATCAAAAAGGCTGGAACGATACGTGGGTGTTTCATCGAGGTTTGGGCACAAGCAACGGACTGATGATTGCTGACCCTGTATGATGTACGATAGGAACCATGGACGTTGAGACTCGGGGTGGTCATTGGAGGAGCGAGCGTTATGATCGCGACTGCAGTTGCGCTTGAAATCGCGCTGCTCTTGTCAATGAAACAAGATGGTCAGTCGGGCGGGCATGAAGTCTCACTGTGTCTAACCTATGTTGCATGGTATTCTTCAAGGCTTTTCTGTACCACCTAAGAATGTGTTCGCATTTGTGTCACAGCAATTTCTGTTGGTAGGGACTTCTCATGATGTGCGCTTAGAGTGGCGCTGACGGCTGTCCACATAGTCCTTCTTCCCTACATTGCTCATCATCCCGCTCGTCTTCCTGATTCAAGCATTCGACTGGGCCATTCGGTGGTGGCAGGTATGTCGTGTGGCTGAAGTTTCCTCGCGGCACCTATTGAGCGTCCCGGCATGTAGCCGTATCTTCTCCTTTCTCATGGACGTGTCCGGGCAGAAGAGTCCCTTCTCCTTGATTATGTGAGTGGGACCGGTCGGCGATTTAATGATATCTCCTGATCTCTGATGTTTCCAAGCTCAGATTTCTATGAAGTGCGTCCACCTCCCTTTCATCACGATATAAGCTCTAGAGTTCATTCGCATCCACCCAGTCGCGTGCGCGTACTCTGGAACGCCGGGAAATGGAGACATGTACTCGTCATTGTCTCGACGCTTACCACGCTCTGCTCCTATGTCCTACAACCTTTGGCTGGCTCGATATTCTCAATACAAAACCGTCCGCAAAATTCTTGTGAGTTACTAGCACCCGTAGATACTCCATGTACTGACCGTGTGGACCTTATTTCAGTCACGGAAGTTGTTAGCACTCGAGCTATCGGGCTCTCACCAAATTTCGAAGACCTTACCGCCTTCTCTGCCGCGGCCGGAGTATGTGATTCACCATTTAAATACCTTGCCTATTAATGCCTCATCTCGCTATCTTCAGTTTGCCGAAGCATCAGGTATTTCCATCGCCATACCCATCCTGAACCGTGGGCTAATACTCGTTCGTAGCCTACAATGGCCTTCCTGACCCTCCATTCGTGCTGGGAGGGTGGGCAGTCGCTCAGTTTGTTGTACGCCTCACTGACTGTGAATCGTCCCTTTCGTATCTCATCGCGTTTGTTGCAGGTCCCGAGCGACACTTCTGGGAACGGCACCGTCGCCGTCAACACAACAGGCATCAAGGTTTCCCCTGGGTGCTCACAACCAACCGTACTGAAGCTGGTAACCAAATCGCCTAACGCTTTCACCATGCTCGCCGGATATGACGGCTGTACCATCACATCGACCTTGGACCCTTCCCACGGCCCACAGCAATACGGAGTCGCAAACATGTCCTATGCGAGTTGTAATATGTCGCCAAACCCCTTACCGAGCTTTGTCGAGTTCCAGCCCGTGATGTTTTGGTTCTATGATGCTACCACCGATGCGGGACCACAAGCTCAGGGGATCTTCTGCGCCCCGACGCTCGAGGCGCACAACGTCGTGGCGGTAGCAGATATTGCGACGGGAAGTTTGATTGCAGTGGAGTCTTTTGCAGAGTTCTCACAGGATAACAACGTCACCAGCGCCGATGGCCCTCTCAAAGGATATGTTCCCAATGGGTGAGGGTTCCTGTAGATGATTCATATGTGCTATATCCTTATTGTGATCCTTCGGACAGGGTGGTCTTCGACCTTGGGGATAACTATGATGCGAGCGTGGCAGCGAGAGCGATATCCATCCAAACTGGGATTGTGAATGCGATCTTCAGAGCCGCCTTACAGATTGACCCTGAACTCACGACAGTGTTTGGCGATGGCGACGACAACGACGACGACGTTGGGTTCTTGGCTCTGACTGAATCTGTCTATGTATGCCTTCAGACCTCATGGACAGCGTGACTCAAATGCTTGACTGCTGATATTTTCACCTTACAGACACAACATCTGGCTCTTGCGGCCAAGTCGGATTACTTCGTAGCCGTCAACGAAAGTGTACCGGCGATCTTGACCCAGTTACCTCCGCGTCTTTGGATCGAGTACGTACAGTTCTATGTTCAATCTGAATGTTCAAAGTCTGACCCATCCATTGTCCATGACTCTAGGCCTCTATCCGCACACATCCTGTCGGCCTTACTCCTTCTTCTTGGAACGAGCACCATTGCCTTACACATACAACACCACTCCGCCCGCCGCCGAGTCTATCTCACACATCCTCCCGGCTCCATCGGCACGGTTCTTTCCCAGACGTCGCACTCTGGGTTCGGAGATGCGCTCTTCCCGTATGACGATGAAGCAGCCATGAGGTCCAAACTTGCGGGATTGAGATTCAAGCTGGACGACAGGACTGGAGCGATCGTCGTAGATGAAGACGCGGTGAGCTACGGGAAGATGAAGGAGGGAGGTCGTGAGGGTGGTGTGTTCCAGTCTGCGACACCGAAGAGGAACAGTACGTGGGATGAGTTGGAACACGCGTCGGAAGACAACGCCGGATTTGGGCGGAGAAGAGGGTATGAGCGGGTGGGAAGCGGGGGTAGTGAAGAGCTTGCGCGACTTGCTGCTGCCGCAAGTCCCCGGTGATGACATGCGCGGTGCCGTCGTTTTACCTTTCAGTATGAAACAGTTCGAGTGATTTGCGTGCTAAGTTATCGAAGACAGGACTTTGCTTTGTTGCGCTTTCTCCGCTTTGTGTTGAGTGAGCGTCTGTATTTGTTTCGTGTATTCTTGTTTGTTTCTCGTACTTTTAATACATTACGGTAATCTACGGTATGCATGGTAGGTGGCACTGCGATTCCGTGCCTCGCCTCTACCTCCTTCGCACCGCTGGTGACTCATTGCACTTCTTCAAACCAACCATGGTAGATGATCGATAACCCTAGGTATTCCCTTGAATAGAGCAGGTCACCAAGGAAAGGTCACCAAGAAAGCACCACCATCCTTCACCCGGAACCACATCCCGTCCGTCAGCCTACATCTCCTTCCCCCTCGTCAGCTCCATTGACAACAGTCCACCTTCGAAACAACGTCGGGCCTTCAATTGTCTCGTCACGAGGCCCTGGAGCCCGACCTGAACGAGAATCAAAGCTGCAACGTCTCGCACCGATTGCACAACAGTGCACTTGTCATTGGCCTCTACACTGCTCTTGGACTCCGCTCGTCATCGGCAAACGCTGACATTTCAACCAGTTGTTGTAGCATTCTCATTGCGATGCCCCGGGCCCTTCTCTCCTCAGACGAACTCCGAAGCAGGGCACATCGTAACGTGTCGAGATGGGCCTCAACAATCCATTGCACCGCTCAATGGGCCTTTCTCCCTTCCTCACCTGAACTCGCTCGCTCTTGAACTTTGCCCGAACTTCTCTTATAAACACCATCGAGTGCTTCGTGTAGCTTTGACCCCCCCTTTTATTTTTGCTTCCATCAGCTGTACTACCCACCATGTCTCAGGTCCTGCTCGGGCTAGTGTCTCTGCCAATTTTAAGCGGTCTGTTCTTGGTGTTGAGGGCTGTGAGACAATGGTTCAGACAGTCCCATTTGCATGACGTTCCTGGACCACCGCGGACGTCTCTCATCGCCGGTGAGTGGCTGTTTGCGGATTCAGAACCGTGAGGATATATCGTTTGACGAAGCGTTATGTGTCGCATCCAGGCAATCTTAAACAGATATTCAATCTCGACGCATGGGAATTCCTACGGGAGATTGGAACGTACGGGAAGGTCGTCCGCATATGGGGTCTGTTTGGTGTGAGTGGTTTTCTTTGTCTCTTGGGACTTCTTTGGAGCTGACCAGTGTCAACATCTTCGCCATCATCACCACAGGATACGCAGTTGTATGTCAGTGACCCGAAAGCATTGCACCACATCCTTGTCAAGGATCAGTATATCTACGACGAGTCTGATATGTTCATCGAGCAAGTTATCGGCCTCTCGCTGTTGTCAGGGCACACAGATACTTACCGTGACGATATCAACAGATCCAATAGCCTAGTCTTCGGTCTGGGCCTTCTTTCTACCCGTGGTGAACATCATCGTAGACAGCGAAAGCTCCTCAATCCTGTGTTCTCGACCAAGCACATGCGTTCTATGCTACCGATTTTCTATGGCATCGGGCACCATGTAAGACATCATCCCTATGCATTCCAGTTTATGAACCTGACTAATGTTTGATAGCTCTGTGATATATTCGAGAGAAAGATCGCCGATGGCTCTCAAGAAATCGATGTTTCGGACTGGATGACTCGTGTGGCGTTGGAGCTCGTTGGTCAAGGGGGCTTGGGATATTCTTTCGAGTCTCTTGACGAGAATTCATCCAACGAATGGGGCAATGCTTTAAAGGATTTCGTGTCAGTACCATCCCTTTACCTTGCCTTTTCCCTACTGAACTAACGATGAGACGACCTCTTCATTCGAGCAGACCTACCTTGGCTTCCGTTAATCTCATCCGTCAATTCCTCCCTTGGGTTTCCAAGATTGGAACTCCAGGCTTCCGTCGTTGGTTTTCGCAGACCATCCCTTTCAAGAGGCTCCACAGGTTGATCGAGTTGTCCGATATTATGGACAAGAAGTCGAAGGAGATATTGAATTCGAAGAAGGTGGCATTGGAGAAGGGAGATGATGCGGTTATACACCAGGTGGGGGAAGGAAGGGATATCATGAGTATCCTTCGTAAGCACTTCACTACCACTATGTTTCGTTTTCCGAGATGGGCTGAAGTTTGTATGATATGTAGTCAAGGCAAACATGGAAGCCTCTGCAGAGGACCGCTTGCCTGAGTCTGAGCTCACAGCTCAAATGTCGTATGTCTTCTGTTTCTCCGACTGCTCTTACCACAGTAGAAGACATGACCCTACCGACGACATAGTACCCTCACCTTCGCGGCCATGGACACAACAGCCAACGCAATGTCACGGATGATACACACCCTTTCTGAAGATCAGGACGCTCAGGATAGGTTACGCAAAGAGATTACCAACGCACATAAGGAGAGCGATGGTGATCTGGATTATGACACTCTGCACGAGCTGCCATACCTGGAGGCCGTTTGTCGGGAGAGTCTTCGCCTGTAACGACCTTATGTTACTCTTGAGTAGCTGATGATTTCTTTGCTGACCATCAACTTCTCCAGACATCCTCCCATACTCCACATGTTCCGAACGTATGTTCCATCATTTTGTTTTTCTATGACGGTCCTATATGCTCACTTATAATCTCTGTTTCAAATTTTCGTAGGACACGAAAGGACGTCGTGCTACCCGTCGGAACCCCCATCCACATGAAGGACAAGCTAGTCTCCGAGCTCTTCATCCCAGAAAACACCAACGTCATTGTCGGCATCAAAGGCGTTAACTGCGACGAGTCGATTTGGGGTCCGGACGCTCATGAGTGGAAACCTGAAAGATGGCTTTCGCCTCTTGCTGAGAGTGTGGCGAACGCCGGAATCCCGGGTGTTTATTCGAATACGTGCGTGTACCCTCTGCCTACAAGTGTATCATATTGTGGATATATGCTGATAATGTGGATGTGCAGATTGACCTTTTTAGGTGGAGGACGGGCGTGCATGTAAGTACTCTGTTGCCAGAATATCGGCTATTTCCTTTGAAAGATATTGACCACTCTAGAATGCCTTCGCAATCACAGCGGCTTCAAATTTTCGCAACTTGAGATGAGTGAGTACTATTGATTCTCACTACTTTTTCCAAACACTGCTTGCTCACTGCGTCTGGATTGTGTACTCTACATAGAGGTCGTGCTCTCCCTCTTGATCTCGAAATTCCGGTTTTCTCCCGCGAAGACCAAGTATTCCTTCAAGTCGAGCGGTATCGTCACGCCCATGTTCAATGGAAGGCCCGGCATGCCGCTCGACATTTCTTTGGTATGAGTATTGGCTCGTCGAAAGGATACGAAGGAGATCTGTGTCTCGGGTAAAGTTGGGTCGTGGTTTTGATAACCAGGCTAGATTGGGCATGAAAAGAGCCTTTGGCTACCGCCAGTCGTTGACCAGATGTTCGTGCTTGTATCTGTGTGCGTATATGCGTATGTCACCTTTTGGGCGTCTCTACGTAAATCATCTAGCGCTAGTCGCTGCCAATGACCTTTGGCTCGTTCAAGTGCACGTGCATGTTCACGTTCCCTCCGACTCATATACCACCACTGCCAGGGCCCAGCTGGCTATAATCTGGCTTCCTCAAGCTGACGAGCGCGACATGGATTCTAAGAAGAGAAAACAGATGTCTCCTGGATATATCGCAAATGGCATCTGTGCTATGTACATGACGTTCACCTGCCAGACACTTACAGAACTCGAAGATGTTACCTCGGACATAATTCGTCTGGCTTCAGATCACATTACCCTGCCAGCATAGTCATACCGGCCATTCCGATCATGCTACTACCCTGGCTTTGCGAATAAAAATGAGCCGTTGGAGTTCGGTTCTCAGTGACCTTTGGTTGGGACCAGTTGCGAAGATAGTTACTACAATGATCTATCGAATGAACGTGTTGAAGTCCATAAGTACCACAGCATCCCAGGTTATTCGCTACTCCTACAATACACATCTACACTTAGCAGCATGCGGCATCGTACGCACTCTTCTCCGTGCTGATAGATTCTCAGGCCAGGGCTGAAGGCAGCATCCCACCATCGGCGACTATGATCTAGTCGAGCGCGATGCATGTCCATAATCTGGTCAGCAATACGAATGGACGGACTAAAGAGTCAGTGAAATGCACCTTGTTCGTCATGTACGAGTTACTAATCAGCAGCTCGACCACCGCCGCGATTTCTTCAGGCATACCGAATCGGCCCATTGGGATGAGGTTCTACACACACGGAGTAATTTAGGCAATGTGTCTGGCGGAAGGAGAGGGAGTGGGGAGAATGTACTTTGTGGTCCTCGGTAGGATCGGGAAACATATAAGTGTTTGCGATCAGGGCCGGCGCGACGGCGTTGCAAGTCTATTCGCGAGGGGTAAGTAGGTGAGATTATTGCAAGTCGGGGTGTATAAATTATGTGACTCCGAGGATCAGAGTGTAAGTACTTACGATTCCGCATTTAATGTATTGTTTAGCAACCCAATGCATGATGCCGTGGAGAGCAGACTGTTGTTGATACGACAGGAAGATTGACTACAGTTTAAGTGCAACCCAGAAGGTCAGAAGGTTAGAAGGTGTACCTTGCTTGATGCGTAGGCCGGGCTGACAACGCCTCCTGTGGCTAACAGGATGAAGAAGAGGGTATGAGAGGATGCGCGAAAAGCAGGGTGATGTCACGAAGCCACGAACCTGCAGCAATACTAGAGCAGAACACGATCCGTCCAAACTTCTGTTCCTCCATATGGGGTATGCACAACTGAGTCAACTACCAAGAAAATCTATGATCAGCACTATGCCAATGGCTCGCCACAAAGCCCCTATCTGCCTAATTCGAGTGGGCCACAAACCGGAAGAATAAGACTCACCAAAAAGCTCGCCTGCACATTCGTCCTCCAGACGGTCTCGAACTCTTCCAACCCGATATCCCCAATTCGCCCCTTAATCCCCAAATTCTTGCCACTCATCGCCGCATTATTATATAGCACATCTATGTGCCCCATCTTCTCCACCACCTCCTCATACATCTTCCTCACCTGATCCATGTCGCCCAGATCGGCCTTGAAGGCTATGGATTTGACTGGACCATGTGCAAGGGCTGTGTTGGCTGGCGATGTGAGCTCAGAGACGAGCGAGTCAGCGACGGCAGAATTAGAGAAGTAGTGGATTGCGACATTGAGGCCGCGAGATGCGAGGAGACGTGCTGTGGCCTGACCGATGCCTCCACTGTGGGTTTAGGAGGATAAGGACCGAAGGCAAACAAAGGTCCTGATGGTTAGCAAGGTAGTCGGTGCACAAAAGGGACGATGAGCGTACGTCGCCCCGGTGATAAGAACTAGTTTTCCTTCCAATGGCGTCGACTGATACGTTCCCGCCATCTTTGTCCAAAGCTCAGACGCCATTTCTCTCAGTGTCGTTCGATGCTTATATGGCTTCTAAGTATAAGGATGTGGGAGTGTCCAGCGGGTAGCCAACGATGCGCTTTCGTTAACGGGGAATGAGAGCCTATTGTTAGAGGTTTATGAGCACTAGACACAACGATATAAGTGTACACGTTAGAGTTTGAGGATTACAGCCGAGTAACATACCGTCGGACGATTGTAGCTGCTGGTTCACCTCGCTGAGAAAGCCCTGAGCAAACATCTTCCGGCCTGAGAATATCGGACGAGCGCTCCACCATATAAGTCTCGTGAACCACTGGCCCTGGCAGCAATGATTATTTCGGTCTCTGGAAGCCTAGATATAGACGATCCAGTCGCGAAATCTCCCTAAGAACCATTTTCTTTGGGTAGCAGGTCGTCTGGGATGGTCCTTAGTTCCTGCTATGGACGGAGATAAAATAATGTGATCCACTGAGTGAAAAACGGGCATCAACGAACATGACAGAAGTTGAAAAACGATCAAGTTGGTAACATACAGCAGTACGTAATTGTGGCGCCGAGAGGGTGCCACACAGATTAAGTAGAGTGGGGGCATGGAGTGTCTTTCATTGTACCAAGTTACTGGTTTACACATCACATACGCAAAAGCTCTCGCAGGTGACGATATTTTACTACCGTACAATTATCGGATGCCTAGAAAAACCCATCGCGATCCCAATTTCTCAATTCACCCCCCTCATAAGCCCACCCCAGCCTCTCGCCACACAGCCCTGCCACTCTCACAAAGACCGTCCCATCCAACTTCTCCACCCCGTCCAGTTGTTCTTCCTTACCAGAACTGTCACCATAGTACCCAGGAGCCCTCCCACCATACCTCCTCGCGAACTCAGCCAACGCCCTCTGTGTCTTACACAAATGTTCGTCCGGATGCACGAGCGCACTCTGCACGATCCTATTCCATGCATTTCCCCCAGCTTTGAATGCTTTCTGTGGTCCGACATCCTGCCTTCCTGCGCCCATGATCAAGGTCATGGTAGGTTCGGATGTGTCGGGAGAGGGGGCAGAAGGGGGGGCGGTCAAGTATTTGGCGGTCAGGGGAGAGGTGTAGAATGCAGAGATGGGCAGAGCAGGACGGCCGCGGGAGATGTACCATGCGAGACAAGTGGAGAGGTAGGTACGGAGGAGGAGGAGACGATTCGAGAGCGAGAGGGGTGGGTCGAAGGCGGAAGGGGTGTTGGGGAGCAGGAAGGGGAAGAGGAAGAGGGCTGAGGTGACGAGGTGATTCCTATCACAGGTATCCGCACAACGCAAGTCAGCTTCTGATACACTGATCGTCAAAAAGGTAAAAGTGAAAGTGAATGGACATACAAAAAGAAATCCGCGCTCATCGCGTCGTTCTTATCCCCACGACCAGCCCATCCACCCACCCCAAAGCAAAGCGTGCAACCCACAACAACCTCTTCCACCATCGCCTCCAGCCTCCTCTCAACATCAGCCTCACTTGTAGAGTCCTTTATCCAGCCCTCATGCCACTCACTTACGAGTTCGTGGATGCGCTCTCCATAGTTGTCGATGACGTGAACATAGCGCTTCAACAAATTCACGGAGGCCAATTCGGAAACGCAGGTGGTGATGCGTAGGTCAGTCAGGATGCGATGAAAGATTTGAAGGGTGGGCCTCGGAGTAGGAGAGAAGGCCTTGGTTCCGTTTGTGCCGTTGGAGATCGAGAGCGAGGAAGTGAGTTTGCTAAGCGTGTCATCGGAGTTGTTTGCCGATGTGAAGAGAGAAGGGGGGATGAGGGACGACTGGTGCTTGATGTGAACGGCAGTATGACCCAGGCCTAATCAGTCGTATTTCTCAGCTGAGGTTCAAGGGCACCAGAATGTAAGAATGGCTGACCTTCCGCAAGCTGTCCCTTGACGCCGAATTCGATCCCATAACCAACGTGGATCATCGGATGGAAGATGCCCCCCAATAGTCTGTTAAGCATCTCAGGATATTCAGGCTTTGCCTGTCCGCCGGCGCTGGACTTGATGGTGGTGCCGTAGTTAAACTCATCGGAGAAGATGAAGTGTTCAATTGCTTCGGTATACGAGTGGGTGGCAAGGTAGTCATCGAAGAACGCGACGTAGCCGCTGTAATATCTTTAATCATGTCAATACGTTATCAGCATAACTCCTTCGTATCAGTGAGAATCAAAAGAGCAAGAACTTTTGAAACAAAGACATCGGTAGGAGAGTAGGGGAAAGCGACGTACTCGGGGTCTTCGAGGTGGTTGAAAAAGCTCTTAGTAGTGATAGCCTCAGGACTCGGCTTAGCAGGCAGTAAATATGCCGTATGAGAGGCATAAACTTCCTCGAGTAACTCGCCAGAGGCACCTAAAGCATAATTTGCAAACAGCTGGTGCGTCGCATGGCTACGCAAGGGTACCATATTCGCCGAAGACATCAACCCCAGTTGAATATGGAAGATGAGAGGGCTATGAGGACGTACTTGTGAAAGCCCCTGTCATTGAAGTAGATATGCCAAGCTGTGTGGCAATGCTTCAGATTCTTCAGAAGTACGGTAGTGCTGTTATGGCCAGGGCCAGGAATGTTGGGTTGTCCAGTAGAGACGAGCGGGACAGTGTAGAGGTAGTCCTGCGAGATCGGATCAGACATATTTCCACGAGAGTACGTTCGACTTGTTTATGCTGGCGGAAACGAAAGAGGGAAATGGAGCGCTGAAGCATCAACAGGGGGTGAGCTCTGCTAGTATTTATGCTCCTCAAACGCAGATCGAATCCAGACTTCAGGCATGAGCCTTGGTAGCCGTACTTCTTCCATACTAACCTTGCCCATGACGGCTGCTGTAAGACATTCAAAGAAAGCCATGTGAAGATGCTGATACAGACGCTGACTGAGGTAGGCCTCGCATTCTCACTGTGTGGCGCAACAACAAACTCTATAACACAAACCTCACACAAGTCAAGTATAGCGAACACTGTAGATGCTGACTCCGCAAAACTCCGGCCTAAGGACGCGTCTCCCTCGAACGTAAATCGGCAACAGTGACACGTCCTGCATCAGGTAGAGCCGGAAGCCCACCTACCTACATAAACGGAGGTGAAGGTCAGCAAAAGTTGTCTCTGAGTCATTGTCGGTAGATCCGACGGCACGGGGTCTCTGAAGAACTAGAGTCGTGTCCCTCTCAAGGACATCATAAGGACTCACTTGCACCATCACAAATAGACGCTCTTGCGCGCATGAACATGTGTTCTAACATATGCGCTATTTATCTGTACGTTCAGCACACAAAATGATGGACAGATGGTATGACACCTACGCAAAAAGTACCAGCAGTTATCGTTTCCATGCGAGTAGTACTAGTTATATGTACTCATTCCTGCTTCGCTATCTCATCTGACGCCTGATTGAAATTGTGATGAGGCTCTGTGAATACGAATTAAAATACGAGTGCCCACGTCAATGCGATAATTATGGGCAGGTCTTGCAGACTGGAGACTGGATGTTTCTTATGCTCTTTCCACAACGGGAAGAATGGCATTTTGCTCATTCGACTTGAGAATTTGCGGTTCAACTGAGGGAAGAGGTAAATACTGGTTAGGCCAATGAAATATACGAATAAACAACAAACCAACCTAATAAAAGTTGTTCGGCTTCACGTGTGGCGGAGTTGCCCCTATTGCGCCACACTGTCCGACAGAGCGGCGCTGCAGACTCAGCGAGGAGGGCCACCATTGAACAGATCGGGCAAGAAAGACACTCATGAGGCTGTTGATAAGAAGAGGCAGAAAAACCGGACACAACTCGAGCTATGGCTAAAACGGGACCTACAGCTGTAGTGATCGAGGCGAATGTTATTTGTGCCAGCCAGCACAAGGTGCGCTATAGCTATGAATAACTTATATATCTGCAGCGAGGGCCCCGAGTTTAGACATCGAGGCTCACCAGCCTCAAAGCGCCAAAGGACCTACAGCTGTAGTCGATCAGAAAGTGGTAGCGTCCCCGAACCCGTTGCAGTGCTGAAACATGATCTATGTAGCAGCGATGTATCCATCACAGGCCGGCCAGAGCGCAACGACTTCGACGTCCTAAAGACAGGAACAAAATTGTCAAATGGAGAGAAAAACCCCTTCAGATAGTTCGCCGGAAAGTTCTCGGGTCCCTCCACGACGAATCCAACACGCAAGTTCTCATCAATGTACCACACGATCAACGGTCTTCCTCCCCATCCGAGTCAATCAAGGTTCCCATTCATCGTCGGTTATACCGAATTCAACGGGAGTAAAATTTACCGGACGATGTAGACTCAGTGATCGTGTCGACATACGACCAGGAAAGGTAGTGACGATCAGTCCATCAACCTCGGTCGAAAGAATGTGACCGTCAGGAAACCACTCCCCTCCTAAGACCTCCTAATTTGGGGTAAACGAGGCTCGTTAGCCCTAAACGGCTTTAGCCGTCAGAAGTTTTGTGCCCTCCTAATGGGCTGCTAAATAGCGGTGGTTAGTCCTAATTCCAGCTAAAATGCCCGTAAGTAGCTGGCTCCCTACCTTCCTCTAGCATGGATTAGGTTGTCATTCTGTTCACGCTGCACGGCTCGGATATGATAGGGGGTCCATAAACATATTATTTATCGGAGCCCAATGTACAGTACTATACATGTTAACTACTGTACACTATAGACTACAGATTCTTGCACAACGATCAGCCTACACCATGCAGAAGTACGCAAACCCGCCACCAGACAACCCCCACACAACCTTCTGTCAAATCTGAACAACCCACGTAACCTCCCTTACCGCCACCAGCTTTTCACCGCATACAAACAGGCAGCTCGCGTCTCGAGAACAAAAAAGACATGATAGAGGAGAGAGCGTGCGCACCAGGTCCCACGGCAAGCGGAAGACATATGCCGGGAGGCTATCGAGTAAAATAAACAAGATTGTCAGGCAGCGGGCAGTATATAATGTACAGTACTCAGACCATGGCATGAAGATCACTTGCATATGGAGACAAGTGATTAGAGCGGCTCGTAAAGAGAGGGACTTACGAGAGGGGGAGAACCTGTCCTGGATGGAGGCTTCTGCACGCTGACAAGTAATGTCATGATCAGAGAGGCCCGAATACGGCACACTCACCTGCAGGTTTACTCCGCAACATTGAACCCGCTCTAATAGCTCTGTCGTCCAATCTCTGAGGCATAGCAGGAATGTTGAAGAAAAGGTCAGCATAAATGTGCGAGTTTACAGTACATGAGAGAGCACACTATTCAACTAGACCGTATAGCGGTGTAAGAAACCGGGCGGGTGGACAGCGGTTTGAGTATCGGGCGAACGTATGGGTGGCGAAGGATGGTGGCGGCGGGTTCATCGAACTGTTAGGAATAAGAGCGACGTGAATGAAATATTGGCGGGTACATAGGTGGGCGGGTACGTAGGCGGGCGGGCGGGCGGGCGGGCGGGCGAGTGGATTATGGAGGAGAACGCGAACATGGTGGAAGGGGAGAAAAGTGCTCGCCGAAAAATGTCCCAGACGCGACGAACTATATAGTCGGACCAATGGTGATGCGGCCCGCCCTCTGATGACGTAGGGCGGCGCTCCCGGACCGACTGCCCGCGTCGCCAAATTGGGTCGGACGACGACTTGGTGCAAACTCGTTGGTGACGGATGTTTGTGCTGTGAACACATGAACAGCTCCATAGCGTACCTGTCATGTACACCTTTTATAGCATATGCCACGTACATATGTCCTGACACTAAAGTAATAGTGCCCGACAGAAAATGGTACCCAAAACCGATGTTCTAGTCATAACTGTATAGAAAGATCACGTCTTACTATTAGGAACGGCCGGTTATGGACAATTTATTTTCTTTTCTTTCGTATGTCTCGCCACACTCGCCACACTCATTTCCTTTTCCTTTTCACTTTCCTTTTCCCTTTTCCTTTTCCCCACCCATTTATCGTCCCCTTACGAAGCACCCATGACATCACGACCCTCATGACACACCTACGATATCCCGACGATGACTCTTATGATTACGCGTCCCCCACGGACTCCCGGACTCCTGGTATGCGTCACCCCTAGCTTACGCATCCCTTTCCTTTTCCATCCGTTACCTTCTCTCCTCTACGATGCGGCTCCCCTTCACTCTCCTTCATACTCGACGCGCGGCCCTTCGTCATCCCCATCCGTTCATTCTTACGAACTATGACTCGATACGCATACGCGTCCCCCACTTACGCGTTCCCTTCGTCATGGCTTACGCGTCCCTCTCAGCTTGGGTATATAGGTAGAGTAGTCTGCATGTACATACCCCAGCTTCGAGATCGTCAACTCCTGGACGAACAACTCAGAACAGAGGCTCATCCTCTTCACCCTCACGTCTTCACGTCGCTGCTAGCGTAGTTAGCTAGTCCTTCGATCTCGCGCTGGGCAACCTTCCAGGTGAATCTTAAGGTAACCAGGCCCGACGTTTACGGAAGCCACTGCCTCGGAGCTCTCGATCGTCCCCGTCGGTACGCTAGTGTGTTGAGCTAGCGCGCGGACACCCCACTCGCTCTTTGAGAGAACCCCACGTTGCCAGGGAGGCTTACCCAGGATTGGGCGTCATCTCGTCCGGCCGTGACACTTACCGTGGCAGTCTTGCACTCGACTTCCAGTTGTATGATAGGCTTCGAAAGATTTCCTCGCATCATTGTATTTAAATACATCATATAGGTTCATAGCACTCTAAAGTCTCGTAGAATTCACATACATGAGGATAAAAGCTGTGAAAACAACTGAAAACGTCGTCACAGTGGACCGAATGACCCCGCGGTCAACGCTCAGCCACACGGGTTCGACGCGTCGTCCCGATTAGGCATTTTAGCGGAAATTAGCGGGGGGTGAGTTTCCTGGTGACCAGAAGGTGATAGTAGCGAACTACTCGGATGTGGAACTAAAGGGCGAGTTTCAGTCCAAGAGGAGCATGGCATAATGGTGTCGATATAGGCGCGACGAGATGGTATAAGAAGCAGACAGGATTGGAGCTAGTGGTCAGTAGCAAACCTGCTCGCTGTTCCCGTCGACGTCGCCGTTCAAAATCAGGAAGATGCCGAAGTCCCACGCCTCCCACAAGCACAGCAAGACGAAGATGCTCATCTCAACCGCTCAACCAGCCAGACCTACCCCATCCCCTCGTCGTCGAACTCATACTCCAGCCGTGACTGCCACCACTGCCGCCACAGACGCCACCCAGGGTACCGCTCAGCAGTTAGACAACGCAGGACCCTCTACATCTACACAAGTCCCAACCGGAATCGACCCGGAGTCGACTTCTAGCACCATGTCTTCAGGACCATCGTATGCCGTGTCTGATTTGGCTTACACCAAAATAATTCTTCACGCGCTCAAACACCCACATCAGCCCGTGAATGGTGTTCTCCTAGGATCACCGTCTTCGTCAGGTGTGGTAGAAATTGTGGACACGATCCCGTTGCTACATCATTGGACGAGCTTAAGCCCTATGATGGAAATTGGATTGGATTTGGTGAGTATATTCATACCCCTTTTTCACATTTGGACTTCCCTCTTTTACCGTCAACGCGTTCGGCGCGTTGGACGCGCGTCATGACGTACAAACACTGAGGACTGAGTGTTTTATTTGCGAAGGGAGGCTCGAAGCCATGCTGAAGGTCGCGCCCTGAAACTTGTCGGGTACTATCAAGCCACAGACCGCATCACGGAGGCCGTATTACAGCCTGTGGGGGAGAGGGTGGCGTCGAGTGTTAGGGATGGATTCGCTGACGCTGTGGCCATTGTGGTACGTGTTTGTTGGCTTGTGGCGCAGTGATGTCGGGAATGCTTGCTGAAAGCGTCGTGCTTTTGGTTGCGTAGGTTGATGGCGGGAAGCTGACTACTGAGGAGTCACCTCTGGTGGTATGTGTTTCTGGACCATGATACATATTTCTTCATCTGACATCGTGTCTTCCCGTTCGACCGTATCAGCCCTATTTACCCTCTTCATCTTCAACTCCTGCGTCCTGGCGTCCATCAACTTCCACCTTGGATTTCTCGTCAAATATCCTTCGTTTGTCCATGGCTCTGGCTCGCGCACCAGGACTCCTACAGGACAAGTTTGGAGATTTCGATGATCACTTGGAGGACGTGACGGTGGATTGGTTGAGGAATGGGGCCGTGGAGGATGAGTTGAAGAAATTGTCATGATTGACGCCGAATACGACGAAGAGGAGGTGGTGGTGGTGGCAGAGAGGTGGATAGGAGATGTGATCTCCCAGGTTCCACTTTGAATATTTCTTGGATGTGCAAACTGATGCCTCGCCGCGATACGTTGTATGGCGAGAATGTCTGTGTGCCCGTAGGGCCCGGGAGTTGAGACAGATCTCACCTCCCAGATGTACTCTGCTGTCACACTCCTGTATATCAGTCTTTTCTGATACATAGCCAAACGGATGCCTGCGCTGGCTTCTTATCCTACAAATTTGTTCCCAGTATAAACGATGAATGCTGCACTCAATCATCCTCGTCATCATTCACCACCTCCACTCCTGCTTCCGGTCACCTTCGAGCCCTTCTTCCTGTCTCTAGGGCCACGATCCACTGCGTCTTCTCTCCTCAAACCATCCAATAGCCAAGAAGGTAAGCTAGAATACTGTATGCATTTGGACCTATGCGATAGCGCGTATATGCAGGTAACACGGAGAAACGCCAAGTAAGCCAGCCTCAGACCTCGTCATGTCAAGTTTCAAGAAAAGGTAGCAGTATGTCCACAACCCTTGCAAATATTCGTTGTTCAAAGCAAGAGTACTGCTGGCGAAGACAGCATCCAAGAAAACGTCGAAACAAAGTATAGAGGATAAACTCGAGATCCCTTCCTTCCATCAAGCCTAAGCCTTGGGCTTCTGACTCTGCGCATGCATCCTTTTCAAAATCTGCTTCGCCAACCGCTCGTGGCCCTCCGCAACATTCGGAAACGTCTTCGGCAGCTCCATCTTCTCCTTGCCCATGACGGCCCAGAGTTTGTACTGCTTGCTCCCACCATCTGCCTTACCAGTATCTTCCGCACTGAAGAATTGAGGCTGCGCTTGGCTGTTCTTCGAGCAGTATTCTGTACCGAGGCATGTACTCTCGGTGAGCTAAAAAGATGCCAATAGAGCACGGGGAAAGGGAACTAGACGCACCAAGGAGAGCGGATCTGAATGACGAGGTCTTTGCCTGAGATGGTATAGGTGTGGCCGTCACCTTCGCGGGTGGAACTGTCGCTGAGGGCGCGCTAGTAGACACCGCTTGTGGCGCCGAGGGTTTCGTCGCAGTGGGCCGGTCTGCAGAAGATGTCCCTGGACGTACAGAGACCCTCGGCGCAGCGATCGTCCTCTGCTTAGGTCGAACTGCCCCTGGGACTGAGGGCGCGCTGGTAGACGCGACGGGCGGAGCCGAATTATTCTTTGCAGCCTCCTGGGTTACCGAATGTGTGGTATGAGGCACAGAAGCTTTCATAACAGGCCGTGGAGCGATGGGCTGTCTTACAACCGGAGGAGCACTAGGAGGGACGGCTTTAGACGTGGACACGACTGGAGTCATTGATTTTGAGGCAGGAACGGTATGAGTTAATGCTTTTGAAGCAGGCATCGATTTCGTCGATGGAGTAGAGGAAATGACAACAGGCTTCGAGGGAACTACACTCCGACGGGGACCATCGGGGAGGCGGGAAGAAGAGGTCCGCTGCTGCTGCTGCTGTTTTTCATTATAATGCTGCGAGTGGTCCCTCTTCTGCTCCCTCGTCGACGCAGTTTGATACATGTGCGGGGTAGATGCAGGGCCCTGTTTAGTCTCAGGCCCACGCTGGCCTTTCGAAGGCTGATGTGGACGCGGCGGAACAGAAGCATGTGGACCAGGCTCCCAAATACGCTCTGATCTTTCGTTTCGCGGTGGGTCTGCCTTGGGTGGCGGAGCACGAGTGTCTTCTTTCGAAGTCTGGACAGCAAGATGAGGAGGATGAGGCAGGTGTGCCGGAAGAGCGGGAGGGGGAGGGGGAGGCAAGCCACCATAGGGCTTAGGCACATAGGGAATAGTGTCGCCGTTCAAACCACCCGACGGTCCCGGACGAGAATCATATTGACCGAACCCAGGGCCACCGTGTGCGGGTCCCCAGTCAGGTCGTCGCGTATCTCTGTTCCAAGAACCAGACGCACGACTACCTGAGGGAGGACCGGCATGGTTGGGCCTGCTCCAAGCGCCTTTCCCGCCAACACGTCTGTCGTATTTCGACTTTTTAAAGTCACGGTGGTTTGTGGGCGAACGAGAGGAATGGCCGCGAGAATCTCCCTTTTGTCGCTTATTCTGCGCGGAATCATTGAAATCTCCGGGAGCCTTACGCTTCTTCCCGGTTACCTCGTTCGTACCACCGTCTGCATTACCCACTCTCGACGGCAATTGAACGACGTATCCGGGAGGCGGTGACTGGCCTCGGAAGCGTAGATACTCGATGGCGCCCTCTTGAAAAGCTGATATGGCGACGGCGATTTTGGCGTCGTTATTTTTTCTATATTCTGGCTGCACTGTCCATGAGCGATGTTCGTCTTCCGAGAGGCGGAGTGTTAAGGTGCATCCTATGGCTGAGGACACATAGTCAGAGGCTATATCAAGACAGGGGCTCGGAGAAATTTACCGTCCTGCTCTCTCGAGTATGAATACGGGTCGGGACATTTTTCGGGCCAGATCTTCATATATTCGGCGGTGAGAAGAGGTATGATAGATTGTGCGTCTTGTCTCATCTCAGGTGTGATCTTACTGCCGACTTCTTCGCCAAGTTGGCGAATGTGTTTCCCGACGCCTTGGGACATGGCGAGAAGACAAACGGCAGTTTTGGCGTCCACGCGTTTCGGAAAACCTGGGTCGACCATAAATGTCTTGCAATCATGAGGGCTCTCGACGCGGAGCACAGCACCATGCACTGTTGGATCGATTAGTCGATGGTTCAAGGGAATGCAATATAACTACGCACAGCCATATTTGGGTTCTATAGTCCAGATAAAATTCAATCGTAAGCGAGCACCTCTCGCAGCTTGCACGAGTCCGTGTAGCCAAGCCGGAGCGTTGATGTCCTGCACAGTCTTGCCTTCGATGGGTTCAGGGAAAGGTCGAGGTAAAGAATCGAAAAAGCCTTGGAGGGAGACAGCGGCAGATAATGATGTGGAGGCGTTTTGTTCTTCGTCCGGCTCGAGAAGCGGATTCGCGTCAGCCGGGCGTGTCTGACCATTCCCGTGCATGATGAACTCCAGGACACCCTGTTTGATCGCTTCTAGAGCACAGGCTATTTTGGCGTCTGCGTACTCGCCGTATTGGATAGGGGTCGAGAATACTTTCACCGAGTGAGGTGAAAGCTGGATGCGCAATGCGCAACCTCTTTCTGTGGAACATCATAAACGTCAGCATAAGAAGGACACCGACCGGAGAAATTCCAACTTGCTTCCTACAAGCTTCTGTTCCGAGAGCTCAACCCAATAAGGCTTCACGCGACCAGCACGCCATTCCTTAGCACAATCCTCTATCTGCTTCACTGCTACATGAGTCTCAGCATCTTGGCGGACTTCTCCCTCAAGAGAAGTCTCATGATCAAGAGTGCTCGGCGCATCCAGAGGGGCAAGAATGAGACCTCTCTTTATGCTGGCGTGGTCTGGAGCTCCTTCTCTGATAAAATCGAGAGCACCCAGGTCTATTGCCGCGGACGCTACAGCAGCTTTGGCTTCTGCCTTACGAGAGAATTCCGCGTTGCAAGTGTAAGAGCGGGAAGATCCATTTGGACGAGAGATGGTGAGGATACAAGCTTTTTCTGCAAAGAGGGTGAATATTAAGGGGCATTGAACACACAATGCCAACTCACTCGTTTGAGGGCCTTCTGCCAATATCTCGTATTTCAATGGATCCAGGTTTCCGAAGGTTTGTGAACAGACTTGATGTAGGACCATGAGCGGCGTCACAGTCGCCGCATTTCCTTCCTGTACTGTTGCTGAACTCGAAGACAGTGGCTCACGCGTCGGAATATTGGTAAATATGGAAGGATCGGGAAGAGGTGGGTCAACTGATGGAGAGTACAGAAAATGATCCAGTGCTAGCGTCCCCAATTTCATAAGATTCTCTGCAACAGACTCGAATGGCCTTCTGTGAGCTTGCGTCATCGCGTTAGCCACTGTAGATGGAACACTTTAGGTAGACACGAGAAAATCAAGGCTGGATGCGTATTTTGACAGAGCAAAAGTCCTCCCAGACTTGACTGCTCGAGAGTGATTGAGAATTCGGAAGAAGCAGTCAGTGTGATGATGAGCAGATGAAGGTGGAGGACAAGGAGGCAGGTGGCACCGTGGCAGCGCCACGGACCGATAGGACAATGAAACTCCGATTGTGGCATTTGAAATCCCGAAAACTTGATCCATAAACCGTTTGTCGCTTCTGGTTTCCCACTCCACGCTGTGGACTCAGCATTGCTACTGAGGTAGACAGTTCTCCGACGGTGAGTTACGCATCCTAATCGAATGCCAAAAATCGCTTCAGCTCAGGATCGTTGAGACATTCATCCGTTTACTAGCAGCAACTCGAAATATTTGTATTCCGGTGAGTCGAGCGGCGACTTCCATACTAGTGGTTGATGGCGAAGCCTTTGGCAAGCGACGCTTGTGGCTGAACAAGGATCTCCGATAGATATATTCCTTATAAATACTCTACTGAAGTCATTTTTACACTAGACCTCTAGCTGTCTCTATTCTATCAGGCGGTAATACAAAGTGTCAGTGGACCTCTACCACCCAATGTGCGTCTTTTTGGAGGCAGTATTTTCTGGATCACTTCTGCCTTGAAGCCAGTTCTGATGATAATTATCATACCAGTGTTGGCTCTGCCCATTGTTCGTGCAGGAACCCCAATTATGATGGCACATGCAATAACGTCTCGACTACCGGTCGAGATAGTGGACCACATCTTCTCTGAACTAGACACTGCCAGACACACAGAACTCTACCGTCTTCTGTTGGTTAACTCCCACTTCCACGCTCTATCTATCCGCCTTCTTTATCGCAACCTACGGCCGTGGACTCCTCCCAGAACTGTACGCCTGTTGCAGTCTCTGGTATTTTCTTATCTCCAGGATCGGCCCTCACGATGCCCGCCACCACATAACTTCGTGAAGAGTTTGCTTATCCATCTCGGCAATATAACGACACTGAAGGCCCTGACAACTTTGATCTATCGAGCCTTACGGACGCTGCCACAGCTCAAGTCATTAGTTCTTGACCTATCGGCAAAGGACAATGGATACGCTTGGGTCTTACCGCCGGACGTGCCTTTCCAATTGGAGACGTTCACGACCACGTTACAGTTTGTGTTCCTTTGTTCTTTCGCTCCGCGCGCAATCTAACGCTAGCTCACGGGTTCATATCAGCTTCGTGCCCGCCCTAGCAGACTTCCTGAATGGGCAGCCAACCATCCGACATCTCTCTCTGCGAGGGTGTCAAACTATTTTCCCCTTCAAGCTCGCCCCAGGTGCCCTCCCGCACCTATCGACCTGTCGCACTGTACATGCTAGCCCCGGTCTTCTCGTCGAGGTATTTAGGAAATCAAGTGCCGCCATTCGGTCCAGCACTCACCTTTTTTCCCACTCAGTTGACCAAAGGACGCCCACTCACAGGACTTTCGCTCTCGATATTCCCCGAAGATTACTGTTACTCATTCAAAGCTGTGACGCGTACCTCGGCGCCCATCAAACGTCTGACCGTGCTTATCCTGGGCTCCATACCGCCATCAGAGCTTTTCCTCAACATTGCAAAGTATATGCCCCTCCTTGAAGCCTTGCACGTCGTCTCGCCTTTCGGAATGGACAGTTCTGTACGAATTCCCGTTTCCTTGATGGTTTATTTACATACAGTCGCCCTCTAATCCATGGACCCTTTTCAGGATGCTCTTCAAGCCTCAGCCCCGAGTCTCGAGCACTTCAAAGCGCTCCGATATATCACTTACATGGCGTCGGGAGAATCGGAAAGTGGCCCAGATGAGGCCTCCTTGGCAGAGTGTTGGCATGAAGCATGCCCGACATTGCAGACCATCATCCTTCCTAAGGGACAGCTGTGGTTCCGAAGAGACGAGAAATGGGTGTGCTCTCTCGTTCCAAGCCCGTCACCAGAGGTAGACGATACGACGGAGAGGGAGGTTGCGGACGAAGACGAGCGTGAAGCCACCGGGGACTCGGGAGCAACGTCTTCAGAGTCGGATGACCAGGAAGAAGATACTGGAGAGCCACAACCAGAGTTCTATGATCATGTGGAGAGTTTTGAGCCTGTATTGTAGAAGGTAGGTCGATAATTCCGTGCATGTCCGAACTCTCTAGGTTGCTCCATTTGCTTACGGACCCATTGTCTACAGAGATATAGAAGTCGTTGTATCACACACAGTATACACCTATCACTCAACCTCCAAAGCGAAACCACCCATGCACTTCTTTTCGTCGAATCAGAAATAGCAGCAGACAGTAATACGATTCTCTTAACCTTTATACTCTGGACCTAATAGAGCGCTGCGTGTCGCCACGTCATTCCATATCGTTCTCTCCTGTATGCAAAGAGGTCTTTACGAACATTAAAATATTGATCGTTCAGTAATCAACGCGACATGAGGCGATGCTGTATAAGGGTATCTCAATAATTTGTTGCTGTAAGTTGAGCAGACTGTCCATCCCATCACCGACACCCTCATCACAAACACCACCCCACCGCAACACCCAAATCCCTCAACGGCCTCCCCTCAGCCAACCCCAACGCATAACTCAAACACTCCCTCTCCCTCTCCCTCATCCCCCTCAGCCCATTCGCCCTCCCCAAAAAGTACCACGCCTCCGCACAGTCCCAGCCCACTCCCTTCGTCAGGTCCGAAAGCAGCCCCGCCGCGAGGTCGATGTTGTCGCGTTTCGGGGCAGGGTGGGTGGTGTTGGGCTCGAAACCCGAGGGGGTGTAGAGCCCGAGGTAGACTTGACAGAGATGGATCGTGGCGGGGATGTGGTCGGGTGAGATGAAGAGGGCTTTTTGGAAGGCTTGAATGGCGCGTTGTGGGTGGTTGAGGGCCATGTGGTATAGGCCGAGCTAAAAACACATAATATGATATGTGGGTGAGACTCGAGCTGCGAGATGAACAGAGTTAGAGGAGAGATGTGGTGACGCACCTGGACCCATACTCCAGGATTTTCGTCGTCTCGAACTTCAGCTTCCTGGATCGCACCCCTCGCCTGTTCAATCTTCCCCGATCTCCGAAACGTCGCGGCACTCATCAACCACAAATCGCTCAACATCCTTCGCTCTCTCTTCGAACGTTCTCCGCGATCGCGCGGAGGCACAGATTGTGGCGGTGGCGGTGGCGGAGGAGATTCTGGCCTAGTGACGTCCTGCGTGGACGCGAACGGACTGAACTGCCGACGTGAGTGGATTGAAGAGGCTTGATACTGTTGGCTGAGCAACGACTGGAAGTCTAAGCTCGACGACAGATAGTCAGCATCGGCACCCGCGAATCTTAGGAAATGGGTTATACGCACTGGGCGTCGAATTCGGCCTCCTCAAATTCCCGCCCTTCTGCACCCCATGTCCGATCCTCTTGCTAATCGTCGTAATCCGCCTATGACTCTGATGCACCCCATTCTTCAACATCTTCTGCATCTTCTTCCCCGCGTTGCCCTTCTCCTTCGTCGTGTCCTTCGAACCTACACTTCCATCCAGTGACGGCCTGTCCGTCCCTATCGAAGGTCGCTCAGAGCCATCGACCGCTACGATTTGACCGTCCGCTTGTCCTGGTGAGGCGACGGTGATGGTAAGCGCGGGTCCAGGATACGTATCGCTTGTCTGGTGCGCCGTATCATGCTGATGATGTTCCGACCCCTCGGTCTGGATCTTAATATTAATATCCACAGACCGCCTCGTCGTATCGATCGAGGTTCGCTCTACAACACCAACCCGAATCAGTCTTCAATCTGAATGTAGTTTTTATCAGGATGAGAAGGGGAAATGAAATGAACGTACGGCTCTGCTGATGCTCCCTCACCATCCCCTTCCTCTCCGCAAACCACCCAAACACCTCCACCCACTTCTCCCCCGCGCCCTCCGCTCCCTCTCTCAGCTCCGCCAGCGCCAACTCCGTCATCCTTAACTGCACCGCCTGCTCGAACCGCTCCATCCTCGAAGGTGTCGGATGGCCTTTCAGGGGAGCTAGTAGCGAGCTCGCGCGGGGTATATCAGTTGCTTTGGGGTCTAGAAGGGGTATGGACGTGGCTGTGGGTTCGGGAGGTCGAGTTGGTTGATTCGTTGGAAGATGTGAGGTTGGAGTGGCGGTGGCGGTGGATTCCGCTTCACTGGGAGTGCTAGTCTCTCCCCCGTTCGTTTCGATCGTGCTCGACTCCGTGGCCGTGGTGTAAGTGGTAGTCCCATCTGCCTCCTCATTCCCATTCCCGTTCCCTAGCACATGTTCATTCACCGCAGCAGCAGCAACCCCCCCACCCCCACCCCCTCCTCCAAACACCTCTCCCTCCTCCCCAATCTGCGCCCCCACCTCCAACACCGTATTCGCCCCCCTCCAATCCTCCGCCATGACCAACAACAGACCCAATAAATGCCAGTACCGCATCTCCGTCGGTTCCGCCTCGACGGCCGCACGCGCGCATTCGATGGCCCGGTCGAGGTCGCGGTTGGGTATGGCTTGTGAAAGCGCGAGGGCGAGGTGGTAATAGCCCTGTGCTGTGGGATGAGTGGAAATTGAGGATTCGAAGAGGGTGAGTGCGTTTGTGAGGCGTTCGGGTCGAGTGAGGTGATCCTGCTCTATATGCAACCCCCGAAGTGCGAAAACATCAGCTACTGACGATCACCTCGATCCACGCGAAGATAAAGCAAAGCGAACCTTTGATCGCCATAACAGTCTCCCAGACGCCCTCCGCCAACATCACGCTCCCCCTCAACTCCCTCTCCCTCTCACCGTCACCGTCACCCTCCCTTAACCTCCCCTTCGCCTTACTAATCATCTTCCCCGCCTCCCTCACATCCTCGATCCCCCTCACATCCCGCCCCGACTCCTCCGCCAACGCAAGCCTACACAGCATCCTCGACCCGTCCACGAGCGTCATCACCCAGTTCTCATCTGTGTCAGCGTCTGCGACCGATTGTTCTCCTGCTTCGCGCGCTTTTTCGACGACGGTGGCGTATAGCCTCAGCGTCCGTTTCGCGAGTTCAGGGTCGCCCGCGGCAGCAAAGAGACGGGACATGTGTCGGAATATGCGATAGGAGTTGAATGTGAGGCGTGTGGCCCACCATAGGACCTTAATGGACGGACAGAACAGTCTCAGTAAGTAGGGTAGTGCGGCATAAACACGGAAAGAGGAAAGACGTACGTCGATGACCCAACCTGCATGTTCCCCCGCGGCGCCACTAGCTTCCCAAACCGCCACACAAAGATCGACAAACTCCTCTACCTTCACGTTCCGCGTCCCCGCCTTTGGGAACTGCGTACACGCAGTCAAGACGTCCCTATAATCCCTCACCACCCGACGTGCGATAGGCAACCACGCAACCGTCTCCTGCGAGCTCGTCGTCCTGACGGATGCGGCGGAGGAAGAAGATAACGGTGCAGAGCCCGGTAAACGGCTGCGGATGATGAGAGCGCGAAGATGTAACGTCGACACGGTCGAACGATGCTCAGAACGAAACGACGGTGGCCATCGGGCACTACAGCTCTGATATTGCGTGAATAATTGGAAGAGGATCTGTTCGTCGGGGGAACCGAGGGGACAGGAGTGTGAGGCGATGATGATGGCGCGCCAGAGGAGTCGTTCGACCCAGCGCCAGAGCTCGCGGTAGCGCGTGAAGGAGGGCACGTCGAGGCGGCCATGGCCGTGGCCTGAGGCGGGGTTGGATGGGTTGGAGGGGGATACGCGAGAGATGTCGGCTTCGAGGGCGGGGAGGAGTTGGGTGGCGGGAAGGTAGGTTTGGAGGATCGTTTGTGGCGAGGAGCCCGTTTTCTCGTAGGACATTCCTGCAGGGACAAATTAGATAGTGATGTCTACTGAGTGCGATTCATGGACTACCTTGCAGACAGACGGAGCGGAAAAGCTCGGTCATGGCCCATGCCTTTCCATCGTTGATGTCCGCAATCGTAGTCGTCGAGTCCGAGGTGACGAAGCTGCCGGTGAACGAGGCCGTGGAGCTGGTCGTGGTCGCAGTCACCGAAGGCGGCACCTGAAGCGTCGACGTCGTCCTGACAGATGAGGCCGGGTCCATTCGACTCTGGTAATCGGCCAAATCCCGCACCTGAAGAATATACTGGACACATTCTTCGGGCTGTCCGAGCGCGTACGCATAGTACGCTAGCGCAAGTTTCAACGACTGGGCATGAATGAATGGGTGCCTAACGCATAAAACACAGAGAAAGACGTACGTCCGACTTGGGCGAGCCTGCTTCCAGCTTCTTCAGCGTCTCGAAGCCAGCCCTGGCTTCGTCCCTCCTGCCCTCGTCCACGATGCACTCCTCGTCCAGCGCGAGTGGCCCACTCCGCCGTCGTGCCTCGCCGTCCAAGTCCGTGTCTGCCGTTCCTCCAGCAATCTGCAGCGCGAGTGCCTGCGTCTGAGACGCGATCTCGACGACCTCGGTGAAGCCATGGTTGTGTTTATTGAATTTACGGAAGAGTTCTGGCCAGGACGTGGGTGTGCCGTTGTACGCTTTAGCAGGTGCAGATGAACCCCATGCTCCGCTGGTCAAGGCCGACCTCAGCTGGGTCCAGTAGTGCTTGTCTTTTGTTTGTGTCATTGTTAGGACCTCTAAAACATAACCAGGGAAATGGGTGGAAGGGGATAGCAGACGGCGGTAATAGAAGTGGTGCTGATGTCGGCTTGCGCTATAATTCGCGGTAGCCCTTTCGGCTCCTTCCGACGTCACCTCTTCCTCCTCTTCCAACTGCCCGTGTGGCGTGCAGTGGTTGCTTCGAGCACGCTATTTAAAATATTCATCGCCAATTTTCTACGTTGTCCGTAGGAGCCTATAGACTATACCCAGACAAGTGTGTGTCTGTTCTACGCCCATCATCGAAGTCATCATCCAAATGCTCACCTTACACGGACCGAAAGGTACTGTGTCTTACCTGGAACTCTACCTCAAAAGTTGCCGCATTAGAATATCTCTAGACGACCATATAATATTCATCCGACCATCTCCCTTGCGCGGTACATGCGCAATCTACTTTCAACTGCCACGGTGGCCACCATCGGTCTCACGTGCAAAGCTTTCTTAAACCTTGGATTGTGCGAGCTTACCGTCAACAACCATCACATCCTTCTTGACGCGTTGAAAGACGAGGAGAAAAGGAAGGAGGGTACGGGTATCGTTACTGGTGAGTCTACTGCTTCTCTTTCTGCTACCCACGTTTCCTTTGATTGATATTCAGCTGGTGTTCAGTCTCAAATCACATTTCCACGTATGTCACTCGTTCCTCCTATAGGTATAGCAGAGAGTACACTAACGCGCGAAAACGGCCACTAGACTGGACGATCCTGTAACATGGGGTATCATGCCAACACAAACATACCTCTCGCCGCGTCTCACCCGTTGGTCCCTCGGCGCTCACGACATCATGTTCACCAATCCGTGAGCACACTTGCCTTCCCCTTCATATCCCCTGCATTCGTCCTCGGATGGCACGTACTGACGAGATCGTCGGCAGGAAGTGTCTTCTCCACATTCTTTCGGAACGGCCAAGTACTCGAGACCTTTCGCGGTAGAGGCGTCTATCAACCCTCAGTTGACACAGCCATCTCAAAACTGAGCCAGGGTGACTGGGTACGTCTGTTTTATCCGTTCTCCCAGAGCAGGAGCATGTCGTGACGAAGGTTGGACAGGTCCATCTATTTGGTGAGGGGAGGGTATGTCAGCCGAAGACGTATATCGTCGAGAACGGACGTGCGAAGCTGAGGAGATTTAAATGGGGCATGTCAGTCCTCCTCTTCCCTTTCCACTTCCCTTTCTACTTCCCTTTTATTTTTGGTCCATCCATCTATTTCATCTCAATACTGATGCGCGTAATATTTGTCCAGCGGTCGTATCATCATGGAAACTCCCCGTCCGCCCATGATAATACCAATGTGGATCACCGGTACGTCTCCCTCCTCCTCCTCCTCCTCCTCCTCTCCCTCTCTACTCTCCCGCCCGTTCACTCTTCCCCCTCGTAATATACCCATACTCATTCGACCATCCAACTCCAACAGGGTTCGACAAACTAATGCCCGAGGGCCGACCCGCCCCATTCAACTTCATCCCTCGCATACCGCCTTTCGCCGCCCCTGTTCCTATTAGTATTACGTTTGGGACTCCCATAAACCCCGAAGACATCACGAACGCGCTTCGTGGCCCTCATTCCCCCGCGACCATGTTTCTCTCACAATCCCAGGCCCAGTCACAACGCCAGTCCCAGCCGCAACACTCTCCCACAGCAGCTTCATCGGACATAGACGGAGGCCCTAGCTATAGCCAGAGCTGGGTCGTATCACAGGTTCAGGCAGACAGTCTCAGTCTAGATCTAGGAGGCGAAGAAGAGAGGAGGAGAGGTGTGATTAGGAAGAGGGTCACGGAGGTCGTGCAGGATGCGGTGGAGAGATTGGGGAGGGAGGTTTCTGGGGAGTTGTTAGGGAGGGAGATGGAGAGGGGGGGAGGGGGGAGGTAGGATGTGGGGGAGAAGGATACGTGGGGGTTGTGCGGGTTTTATGGATTGGGTGTAAGTATGATGCGTCCGCTGGCTGATGATGACTTTCCGTAGGGGAGAGATGTTTATTCGACGCGGCCCTCTGTCTTGCGGACTTCGGAAGTGATCATTGCATCCCAATGGTTGGTCGCTGGACGACATCGGCCAGCAGATCGCGTTTGCAGTGGTAGCGTGGAATAGATATGCACTTTTCGCTACAGGACGTCATCCACTTCGATCATCATCCAGTGTTGCCGTGCCCATCGAATCCTCTGCAGCAACAATTGATGCAAGCGTCGGGCGTTATTCAACGTCACAACACTTCGATGCCATACGGCATATCTTGCGTATTCGTGGGGTTTGGACGCAATGCTGGGAGTCTGGGATCATCCATGTTCCCTCCGGAAAACATGACCCAAGGCGATACCTCGACTGAGTCCGGTAGTGCTGAACATGGAACGCTGGGCGCTCAGCGCTCAACGATGCATTTATTGTCTTCTTACGATAGCTTCCTCTTCCATGGCCTTCCGACGATGATGGACTTGCGATATGGTTCATCGTCCACACTGCCTGTACACATGACGGCGGTAAGGTAGTACGTAAAATCTCGTCTCTCGCACTTTTGGACCGCGGTCAAAGGAGGTAGTGTGTGCACAGAGTGTTATTATTACTCACTATCTCAAATCCGGACAGACCATGGTCTGCTCTCAAACCTTCATCGTCCGTCGGGGGCGCTCTCCTTTGCCCTATGCTTCGACTCCCCGAATAGTTCTATAACTATAACCTTGTGGAAGTTGTTTCGCCTGCACAATTATGGTCATGTGTATACAAGGACTTACGCCTCAACTCCTTAAAAACGAACGCATTTCCCTCGCACTACGTTCGCCCTCGCCTCGGCTCCTGCTGTCACTGATTTATGCCTCAGTGCCTCACAGAGATCGCATTGCTTCCACTCATCCGGCCCTACCTCGGCCCCTGTGCCGGCACTCCTTCCAGTCTACACTCCATTCTCACACCATACATAAACAGAGACGAGGGAGTCAGGCGTTCGAGGAGCCCTCGTATACTACTCTTAGGACGATGTCAGTTCCAACACTTTTCCACCCCCACGTTTTCGACGTCGATTTTGTTAAAATTCACCGCGATTCATAGATGACGACACTGACAGACGACCTGCTTTTGGTCCATGCTGATAGAGTGCAGGATAAAGTTGTGATCGTCACGGGTGCGTTGGTATGCTTAGTCCCCGATCATGAGCTGACAGTAAGGTATGCGATGGATTTTTATACGTAGGGGGCGCGAGTGGTATAGGCAAGGAATCGTGCATTCTGTTCGCACAGTATGGGTAAGTACATCATTTGTTGAATTTATTCAGCAGAACAGTGAGTTCCGCTGGAACGTCTAATTCACCTCGAACACACTCTTGATACCACATGTAGTGCGAAAATCGTCATCGGAGATGTGGACGAGAAGGCGGGCATGGGTGTCGTGGAGAACATTACCAGCGCCGGAGGGTACGTCCACTTCTGACGTCTACATACATGCTTGTCGTCATTCATGTCGTTATTTTCTGGTCGTTTGGACGGGAATATAGTGATGCGGTCTTTATACGCTGTGATGTCACCAGCTGGGACGATCAGGTGTCCATGTTTGAGCTCGCCCTGTCGCGGTATGGATCGGTGGACGTCGTCGTAGGTTCCTCCCATCACAATACCGCACGGTGTCGAAATATTGGGCCCTAATTGAAGTTATTTATACTCACAGGTCGTCAACGCCGGTATACTCGACAAGCTCACGGACTCGTGGACTGGCGAACTGAAGGGCTCTGATGGACGCCTTCAGCCACCATCCCTGAAGGTAATCGACGTCAATGTCTACGGAGCGCTGTATAGTGAGCCTGAACATTTCTCCCTTCTTGTCTTGTTTTGATGCACGACCAAGCATGTATACTGAGGACCTTTTACTCTGTTAGCCATACGGCTCGCGTTATATTATTTCGTGAAGAAGTCTACCCCGCAGGATCTGAAGTCTCTAGTCGTAATGGGATCCTTAGGTTGGTGATCATCGACCTCCCTCCGCAAGTCCTTCCACCTCATGTTCAACTTACTACGCTTGTTTTCTGTAGCCTCCTGGATTTCCCTGCCATTCGGTCCTCCTCTTTACGGAGCATCTAAGCATGCCATGTTGGGCACGATGCGTAACCTCTCAGCCTCGCTCCCTGGACAACCCGAAACGAAGCACATCCGGGTATCCTGCATACATCCCTGGTACGCAGGTCAGTCCGTTCTTCTCCAATTTTCTCTTTATTCTCATAACCTGACCACCCCATCGACTCGATAGATACCAACATCCTCGACACGCCTACCAAGCTCTTCGTCGCCGGAGTCCCACTCGCCCCTGTCCTCCGCATCGCATACGCAATCTTCAACGCCGCCACGGACCCCGATATGTCCACGAGCGGTTCTGCGTATTTGTTGTTAGATGACGGACCAGTGTTGAGGTTGGAGAAGGAGGTTATGAAGAGCGGAGTGTATGAGGTTATGAATAAGCGGGTTTCTTGGATCCAGAGGTGCGTTGATCTCCGTTTTTAGCGCCGTGGTGTGGCGGTGGCGCGCTGAGGCTGATGATGAATTACACTTTACAGTGCGACGGGGAACGAGTATATATGGGCGGTTCTCAAGGACGTGAAAGGTCTGTTTAGTTGGAAGATGTTGCTTGCTTTGCTGTTCTTGCCTGTCTTGATTTTGATGGCGTTCGTGAGGGTGGTTCTGAAGGTGGCGACGTCGTGAGCGGGTGACTCGAAGTATGTAGGACCGGGGGCATCATGTATGAACCTGCCATCTGATTTCGTACTGATATGCGTGTCCTGTCTGACTGCATCAGTTCTGTGGGATGAGTGCAATCAATCGGGGACTCCGGATCTAAAAACATGCAGAGCATGGGTATAAATAAAACAAGCCATAAGTACTCGCACGGCCGTGATGGGTGATAGGTCATGAAACGTAAGGTGTCATATATATACAGAAGAAATGCAAGCAAATAAGGATCTCCACTCCCTCCGGGGCTATGTAGAATTAGTATGCTAGACGTGTACCACGAACAAACTTTGCATATGAATTGCAGCGGAAAGGATGTACGAGAATGGGAGGTCAGTGGGTAAGTGAAAATGATGAGGCGTGAACGGTCAGAGATTGAAAGTAGATTCAGATATATACTAGCATGATGACTTTGCAGTCCATTGTGAGGGGTCATTTGAGCCGTATGATGTGGTCAGAAATGCGATGCAGAGTCCGTGGTCATGGTTTTGAACGCGTTTGGTCAGTAATCGATACCATCCCTCGAGGTGGGCACTTATACTCCCAGCTCATTCTCCAACGGGCACTTCACCCGAACTCAGAGCAGCCGCAATGGTCTCCCGGCAGACATTCATGATCTCGATCTCCGGTTGGCCTGTGTAGAACCATGCAGCGAGTGCCTATATTCGAGAAAACGTTCCGTGTCAGAGCGGGGGTAGGCAAGAGGAAAGTAAGAAGACGCACGATCATGAGATAAAATGCGATCATTACGGTTCCTTCCGCCCAGTTCGTCTTTGCGTCGGCAGTAACGTAGTTGACCAGGAAGCAAGAGCCAATAAGAACCGTGACCTCGAACAAGTCTAAAAAGGTATGAGCATGGATGGAGAGTTTGGAGTGATAGCAAGATCAACCGACCGAAAAGCAAACTCATAGGCTTATGAGTCCACCACCCCAACAGCACCAAGAACGGCATCCAGAACAGTAAGAACTGGATACTCAGATCGATAGCCCTAGCCTCTGCCACGCTCGTGGGTGGGTCCATCGCGAGCTTGAACTCTTCAGAGTGGTCGACATGTTTTTGCCAGCCATACATACGCCAGACAGTCACGGTGGGAACGAGACAGGTGGTGTGGAGGAAGTAGACGACAGCGACGGCGCCGTCGGCGGCGAAAGACACGATGGGGAGGAGGATGAGTCCAAACCATTCTTCACGGATGTTGCCTGATTCGCGCACGAACTCGATAGATTCGACGAGCTGGTAAGAGGATAATAGTTCGACGGCTCAGCGTTTGTGATATGACCATGTGGAAGTCACCTACGAATTCTGCAGTCACGGCCATTATTGCGTTCGCCACGAGCAACAATATTATACAAGCCCACGGGTTGACCTCCGGCTCTGCTTCAGCCAATTCTTCTTCTTTTTCTTTCAGCTCAGCAGGCGCATCCGGTGGAAGTTGGAGCGCGTTACCCTCGCCGGGTGGGTTGTGAAGATACCAGCGTGAAAAGACATATATGATGAGGAGAAGAATTGCAGATCCTCTGCTTATCTTGAGGAAGTCGCCTCGGTAAGCATCCGTGATGACATCTTCGCTGGTCGCAGTGGATGTAGTGTTGGGCTCGCCTCGGTCGAGGGCTGCGAAGAAGGCTGCTGGAACGATAAGAGACAATATTCTGCAGCATTGATTGTATTATGATCAATGGACATGTCCAGCGAGTTACGGAAAGGAAGGTGGACGGACCCAAATGTGAGAAGAGTGTGGTTCAGTTGCGTCCGTTGATGATGAAGTTGCTGTAATTCAATGTTTGGATCAGTGAGAAGGAGCGACGTAGAAGCCTGAAGAGGTGGCATTACTTGTTCGATAATCCTCGCACCACCGATCAAAAAGGTAGTTCCAGGAATAAGAAGTAGATGGAGAAGAACAACTCCTGTGGAGGGAGAGATGTTCAGGAAGTACTTTGTGACGCCAACGTTGGCGACATACCGACAACCGTAGACTGCAACAACTTGAGCCTGTCAATTTAATCAGCAAAAGTAATTCTGGCGGGAAAGGTCTCAGACGAATACTTACTCGCATTTGACCAGAAGAATGATAGCCAATGTCGCTTCTACAGCACTAGTTGCACAAGGAATTAACGGCCTAGAACGATGCTCAAAGGCAGATGGAGCCTTACTTATTCAACGTGATGAGGATCAAATCGCCTATGTCCTCTCCGCAGTACATTGCCAACTGCTCGCCCCCAAAATCAAAAAGCTTCTCGAGCGGCATAATGGCCAAAAAGGCGACTTCTCGGACATTACATCTGTCAGCACCATATAACGGCAGGAGATGATGAAACTTACATGCGAAGGAGGCTGCATGTCCACCAAACGCTTCGGGATTTGAGTCCTGCACGAAGTGAGCAGCCCATGCGAAAGGGATGAAGATCAAGAATATGTTCAGCCCTAAAAAATGATATTTTGAGGTTAATCTCGCTAGGAACAGCTCGCTCAGAGGAGGAGTATAAAAAATGGGCCACAGGAAGAAACAGCTTTGAACGGATGCAAACAAGCGCCTGTGCCACCCGAACGGCAACTCGGAGGCAACTCGGAGGCGCTCACATCCAAGCGCCGAACACGTTCCTCGTTCGCAAGATCAGAACGGAAACCCGTCTCCAAGATTGAGAAGGACACTTTTGTACCCTCGAAATAGACCTCAACAAGCAGTCCTTCACTCCGCCCAAGACCACAAAATACAATATAGGCTGCAAGAGATGGACGTACAAGAGGAAAGCACAATGGCTTTCAGGCTGGCCATCCATCCAATTTTCTTCCGATCTTTTCCCCGTACTCTTGCCCACCATCTCTTAGCTGGAGAGGGATTCCGCCGCAGGGTTCCCCCGATCGCGCTCCTCAGCCTTGTTGGCTGTCCAGGGAGACCGACCTCAGCTTCTCCAGATGTTGAACTTCCAGACACTTGAGTTTCCGAGCGTGTCGACCGTACTGACCGTGAACGTGATGGTCGCGAGGTGACGCCTGGTTTCTCGGAGAGTGAGGTTGCCTTGCCTTGCTCTACGTCGTCCAGAGCTTGGGTCGAGCGAGGAGGAACAGAACTCATGGAGTCTGAAGGATGGTGGAGGGAAAGAAGAGGGTGCTGTTCATGAGAAGCTACCATCATGGGCAATATAAGTTGGGCCAAGGAAATGACGAGCTGACGCAGCGACGGGGTGGCTTTGGGGCGCCCTTTATGAGTCTTGGCAGACAGCGTCTATGATCAGAGCTAGTATGCTATGCCCTGATGGCAGTGAGCTCGCTTCACTTGGAGGTGAACGCGCACTGAGGGCATTTGTAATGAGCGAGCGCTTCACTTGAACGCTATCGAAAGGAGTAGGTGTTTTCATGTTGAGTGCTCTTCACTATATATTGCAAATATATTTGTTCACACAATATGACCTCGATACACGCACGCCCTGCTGTAATTGCTTGTTACCACTCGGTCGGTAACATAGGGCGCATCAGCGCATCATCATGCATCATCTTGACGTTGCTCTTGCAACTTTTCTCCTTCCGAATCTTTCTGGTCCGGAATCCCGCCTTGAATTCCGCGATGAACCGCAAAGCTCGAGCTTAACGTCAACTCTCAGCTTTGATTTGACCCTTCTTTGCCTGCCACAGATTTCCAGCTTTTTCATGCGTTCGTCCCTTGTAACTGTCCTCGGCAGCTGCGAGGGCCACACGTCAGAATATTCCATCGCATCAAAGTTCAACATCCGCGCGTCCTGTCCCGCCTCGGCGCCTTCGAATCGTCGCCTAGACCCTGGAACACCCGGCACCTCTCAGGATGATATAAAGTTCTTCAACTCTCTTCTGTTTTCGACATAAGACATTTCTCGAATCCTCGAAGGATCTCCTGCAATTGCAGCCGTTGCCGCCGGTCCAACAGTCTCCTGGTCTATGCTGGTCACTGTATTAAACGGCAACGTCGCACGCTCTTTTACAGGTGCACGCAACCAGGTCTATTCACTAAGCTTTCTTTGACTTCTCGACGTCCTCTTTCTTTGTCTTCGTCTGTCTGTCGGGATGCGCGCTCGTCTTGTGGGTTATCTATTTATCGTCTCTGTGCTGAGGGCTACATGTGAGTGCGGCATTCGCGTACGTTCAACTCCGCAGTCTTGGCCTAGCTAACGACAGTCTCCACGGCTCAATTCGTTCGATGCGACTCGGAATGGCACCTGCCTTCGTCTTCGCTGATGGTCCAACTGTATTCAAGATGTCTGTGCCGATACCGCTCTATGGATCCCAGGGATGGCTTCTGGTGTGGCCCTAAGTGCTTCACCGGTCGGCACGGATGAGGCAGGACGAACGGTGTGGCAAATCGCTGCCGCCACTCCTACATCTGGGGCAGCTGTATCAGCCTTCACGGGTACAGGTACGCCTCTTTCATCAATCATAACCACGGAATTTATGAACTGAATCACCGCAGCCACCCTTGTCGCGGGCTCCTCTGACTCGTATATGCTTTACGACAACACCTCGCTCGATGCTATGTTCGGCATGTCATGTTCGGTGGAGGACGGCATCGCGCTGTGCGAGCTCATTGGCACCAATGCAACGACAACCTCGTCAGGAGAAGTCGTCCGTACAACATTCGTCACAACCACTACTACTATCACTGTGACGACACGGACGGTGCAGGGAGGGACGGGCACGGGAACCAGCTCTCTTCCGCTGATCACCTCGCTGAATAGTGGAGTGTTGCCGCCTCTGATCTCGACGGGAAATGCTACTGCGACTGTGAATTGACTTCCTTCCAATTCTCCTTTTCATCACAATGTGGTGAGAACGTGACGATGACACTGACTCGTGGTAACAGTCTACCTCGGCCACAAATGTAACGTTCTCTGCCAACTCGACCGTTACGTCTGCGACTACCACCCTCTCACCATCCGCAGTCCTCATCACCGCATCTGTATCGACCTCCTACGCAAAGCCAACTGCCCGAGCAACACGTCGAAATGCAATTGGAATAGGCATAGGGTTTACAGCCGTAGGTGTGATAGCCCAAGGAATATAGAGCGATGGAGGCAGGAGAGTGGTAGATGAGTGAACTTGCAGGTTGGACTGAAGAAGGATAGGTTTGGCCAAGATTCTGAACAGCAGGATTGGGCTTGAGGGCGAAAGACCCCGAGAGCCGGTTTTCTCGGTGTGGCACCTGGCTGCCGAGGGCGGGTACTCATCGGCGTGTGGTCTGGGACCTTCATGATACATTCACACTCTTTTAGATTTTGTTCCGGTTGCATGCTTCGTTTCCTTCCGTTATTGTGCACTTCTTGCTTTCGCCTCGCTGTGGTTGGAACTTTGCTTGAATGGGATAGGAACTTGGTGCTGTAAACGTTTTACGTACCGTACTGTCTTTGGTCTCTTGGTGCCTGTAGTGAGGATCCGGAAGGATGATTTCTCTGATTGGGGCTACATGAGGCTGTATGGATGTATGGCATGACGGGAAGGCAAGTTGATGCATGATGTATGATCGACGCTGCATCTGATGAGATCGTAAATATACAACCACTTATAAAGATCCGCTCTGGGTTTTGTCGACACACAGATCCTCTCTTCTTTTACCCTCAACCACTGTGGACAGTTTCCTAATGGGCCACAATACATACCACCACGCACGTGAATGCGTGCCACATCCGCGTTGCGCCGCCGCTCCGGTTCTCCCACCAACGACGAGGGCCGATGAATTATCCGCCGCGGTGGACCACTCTGGCCTCCTCAAAGACAGACCGACAAATCCCCCACTTTCTGCTCGACCCCTCTACCGTCTCCTCCTCAGCTTACCATCCTCATCTACACAAACCTCGGTTCTAAAAACTCTCGAAATCACTCGGAGTAAAAGTCATCTCTGACGCCCAAAGTCCCAATTGACGCCATGTCCCTCGAATTTCCATGGTCAGAGCTAAAAGCGGAGACGCTCCGTCGCGCATGCCATGATTTAGGAGCGAGCGCGAGGAAGACAGGCTCGAGAGAGCTTGCTATCGAGTTTCTGAGGAAGGTGGAGACAAAAGGACGTGCGTTGTTGTTCCCTCCTACCCATTCTCACCGTGTTTCCCACTCCCTATTATCCAGGCTGAGATTGGCGAACAATCTGCTCCTTCTCGCCCCCACTCCTCGTTTGTTCATCATTGCATGCATTTACTGACGCGACATTGCTTTGCTTTTGCGTGTCATCTCCCCCTCATCATACCTCCATCGCTTGTAGTTGAGGTTGCCCTAAAAGAGCATGAAGCCGAAGTCGAAGCAGACACAACTGCGCCAAAACCACCTCGCGCGAAGCGTAGTCGACCCACGGACGATGAGAACGGCGACGAAACAACAGAACCCATCACAGAGGGTCGTCCAAAACGCAGCAAGGCAGTGGCAGCGGCGGCCGAGAAAGAAAAGGAGAAAGAGACGGCTCCAACGGGGAGGCGAGGGAGGAAGAAGGCGGAGGTGTCGGTCCCGCCTGTGAGCAAGAAGGGGAGGGGCCGACCAAAGAAGGTGAAGGATTCCGAGGCTGAGGACGCAGAAGATAAAGAGGACATTGAGAAAGAAGAGGAGAAGGAAGGTGTGAATGGCGGTGTGAATGGTCTGTCGCTGGCCGAGAATGGGTCGGGCGGAGATGCTGAGATGGAGGATGGAGAGGCCGACGCAGAGGGCGAAGCAGATGCAGAGGGTGAGCCGGATGGTGAGTATGAAGCTGCTGGCGTCTTCACGAAGGAGACAGCGACAGAAGGCCTTGTGCCGATGAATTCATTGGATGCTGGTATGTGACGCTTTCCTGTTATGCTCGAAAGACCACAGGCTTATCTTTTAAATAGCAGGACCTATCGAGGGAGTAGAGATCACTACGACTACGGTCATCGAGACTGTCGAGACTGCTACCACCGCATAAATCGCAGTTGAATCGTTCTCCTCCGGCTAGGAGATCTTTGCTCAACTTCGATACATGAAATGGGCATCCATCGGCTGCCTTGCCTTTCGAACTTTTCTCTGTTCTTTGTTTCTCACATGGGCTACCGCTGTCACGAATGTCGTTCTGGTTGCCATCCTGCTTACCCTCTCTTCCTCGCTCGAATTGCACGTTACGAACTGCACACGTACTTTACATCGTTTTTGATAGTGCACTGTGTAATTATTCCGTTCCATCTTTGCATGAAATCGCCAACGCCAATACGCTATAGACTCAAATTCTCCCTGCAGTAGTGACCCATATCACGACGTACAACGTATCACATGTCAACGTTCTCTTCTAGAGTTGAGAGCCGTTCCGTTTCTGGGTGTGATCCACTTATTCACCCACTACAGCTCGGTTGAGCGAAGATTCGAGCTTATGCTTATCAGTATTATCAGCCTTTGAAATCGAGCATCTCGAGACGAAGGGACTTATATATGGTCGTTGTCCGTTGTGTTGACTTTCCTGCAGACCGTTAGTCTCTGAAGCAGACCTCACCCAAGCAGACCGTGTCTAGATCTTGTCTGAATAATTCTCTGCTCCCCCCGGTCCTTACCGTCGTACGCAGAACTTCGAGAACGTGAGTGCGCCACAGTCTCCAAGCCGTGTCGGGTTGTGTGGCGCTTGGCACCTTCTAGACCTTTATCTTTCTTACTACCACCATCGTGACCTTGCATATGATCGTCAACATGAACTCGCACGCATCCATCGTCGCCTTCTGCAATCTGACCATCTCCATCCTCCTTAGAATCCTCACTAACAGCAAGTTAAACCAAACACCATGATACTCGACCCGTCCCTCAAATCTTCTTTCGATGACCAAGGCTTCGTCATAATCCCTGCCTCCTCGCCTTCCTCCCTCATACCATCCTCCGACCCAGACCTCCTACAAGCTCTACGCGATGCCTCTGGGACGATTATTAAGAAAACTAGAAGTGGAGAGTGGCCGCATAGGAGGGTCGTGGGGAAACAGTTCCCGCCGTTTGGGAATGATAGTCCTGATAGTTGGGGGGTGCAGCACGTTATGCATCCGGATCTAGGGGAGGAAGGGAGGGTTCTGGCGCAGTGGTATACTTCGGAAGCGGTATGTTGCTCTGGCCGTTTAGTTGTGGTGAACAGTCAAGTTCAAGGATCATGGATCGATGTGTAGGTGAGGGATGTCGTAAAGGGATTGTTGAAGTGTAGCGATGAAGAATTGCAGATGGGTAGGTGTATATTTCTGGGTTCATATTGCATTCACGGATGGAGCTAAGAGTTTCAATTACCACAGAACTTTTCAACCTGTTGATCAACCCAGAGTCGCATGAGTTCGCTTTGAGGTGGCACCGAGATGATGTGAAGGGCACGGCCACTGAGGAGGAGGAAATCGAAGCTCTCACCATCTGGCATTATGGGGTATGCATCCTCACTTCCATAGATCGTAGTCCTTCATGTATCCTCACGCTAATTCTGCCTTAAATAACCGCAGGTTCAATGGAACACGTATGTGCAGTCCTTTTGCTCCGCCGCGAGCATCATAATGTCCTAAGTTTGTCGCTGGGAACAGGGCTCTTTATGAAGACTCGTGCCTGTTCGTCGTTCCGGGATCGCACAAGGTTCCCCGAACGCCTGAGCAGCGAGCTCAGTCTACGGGCCTTGAAGCTCCCGAGGACCCTAACATTATGCCCGGAGCGGTCTCTGTGACACTCTATCGTGCGTCGCTCGTTTTAATCAAACTCGTAAACAAATGCTCACACACCTTGGCCATTAACATCGAACCCGTTTACGCCGTCTCCCTTTGTCTTGCGATCTACACAGCCGGTGATACTGTCTTCTACAACAATAACATCCTTCACACCGGCATCTACAATCATCGTGCCACCCGCGCCACATTGCATGCCTCAGTAGGCGATACTCGCGGTGGGTCCACTCGCGCCCGGAACGTTCTGCAGCATGGGCTAGAATGGATGGAGAAGGATGAAAGGTTCAAAAATGGTTTGAGTGATGAGGGAAAGAAGATGCTGGATAGGTTGATCACCATGAAGCATGCTGTGGGGAATGGGAATGGGAAGGTCGTCTATTCGCAGGATGGGTAAAGTGTAAGTGCAGAGATGGAACTTTTTATCCGCAGAGTTTGCATCTTTTTTTCCGTCGCTCTTTTGTCTGCCTACGGCTACTGCGATCTGGTGCCACACTATCGACCATCAGCTGGGTTTCAATTTGGGCGCGTCTCCCGCTGTCTCCCGCTGTCTCCCGTGAGAATCGGACTTTGAACGTACGCCTCCTTGCCTCGTGGTGACCTTTGTTGAAATTGTTCTTGCTCTTGTTCTCTGTTTTGCAGGCTGCAGCTGCGTGTTATGGTATCATTAGCGCGATCGCCTCCTCGGTGCCTGGTCACTCAATCACTGTATCCACGATTGTACCGAGACCTCAAATTCCACAGAGGTTTTGGTCAAATGGGGCCGTCCAATACTTGCCCACCCGGCATGTCAGAACGTCCGCCTTTCCTGAAAACTCGCAAAGTAGTTAGCTTCGAGCTCATTTCAGAAAGTTACGAGCCTTTCATATTTATACAAGAGCAGCTTCAATGCCACATCTCCATTCGTGGCGGTCTTAGCTTCATGCTGCGTTTCGAAACGCACGATCGCCTCGGCTTCTGTCTTGCTCTTGTCTCGCAGCGCGTCGAGGGCTTGATTCGGGAAGATCTCCGCTGAGCGGCGTCTGAGATCTCTATTTGGATTTGCTCTTACTATCCTTCCACTTGGTATTGGTTTCAGATTGATATCGACCATGGCGCTCGCGGGGAGTGGCTCCCGCGAACCTTGTTTAAAGGTCTTTTCTTTATGCCCTGCCGCCTCCCAGCGCGATCCTCTTTCCACCCATGTCATCTCTAATCCCTTGGACATTCACCACCGATAGTCTTCGGCAGGGCATCCTACCATGGGGCATCGCATTCGCAGGTTATCTCGCCTTGGTAAGGTGTTTTCGATGGAGGAGATACAACGCGTTGCACCGGAAGTATAATGGCAGGGACCCAGCGACACTCACCCCGATCGAGGCGCAGGAGATCATGTTGCTGTCTTTCTTTTATGATATGCCCAACCTCTCGACGTATTCGTTGTCATTTGCGCTGTTCAAGACGTACGGAATTGTGAGCCAATCTTGCATCGTGTCTTCCCCTGATATCTGAGTTTATGATTTCAAGACTGACCAACTCCGCTGTCAATTATAGCCCACTATATCGGACCTCTTGCGCAAGACGGGAGAGCTCAGCGGGAGCGGTACGGTGTCGAAGCGTTATGCCGATGTGAGTGAATCCATTAACAGCTAGAAATATTAGCTGTCGATCTAACTCACATCCACTTCTATCTCCCACAGACCGAAATTCTAATCGGTTCGTCGAACCCTCATGACTCCTACCGACCCAGATAGGAAATCCTGATAATCGGTACAGGTACCTACATGAAATGTCCAGTCGTCTCGGGTTCCCTTGGGACCAGTCGTGATGAAGCTCAGGCTGGCACCAGCGGTAAACAGGATGATCCACGCGGCGCAATTGCGCTCGCCCGGATGAACTGGCTGCATAACAAGTACAACATCGTCAGTTCGATCTCACCTCTCTGCATCTTCCAACCTGAGGTGACGGTTCATCTTCCAGAGCAATGAAGACTACCTCTATACGATGGCCTTATTCGTCTTGGAGCCACCTGTAAGCCATATATCTAAAAGGGCCAGGCCAAGACTTGATTTTTTTTTTCGAAACAATCCTCTCGCAGAAATGGGCAGCCCTTTGGGGGTGGCGCGCTCTCTCACCCCTTGAGTGTCAGGTAAGCTCATCGTCAGAGCCTCCTGTTCATCGCCGGACGTGAGACTGACAATCTATTTCAGGCTTTCTTTGTCTTCTGGCGCGACATTGGTCATCACATGGGGTTGACGGATATTCCTTCCACGTTGGACGAGCTGAAGGACTGGAGCGAGGTACGCCCTACTGTATCCTTTCTGTCATACTGCCAGGTCTCGGTCGCGGAGTGACGCTGATGATTTTCTATGCTGACACAGGCGTATGAGAAGGAGACCATGGTTCCAGCTCAATCTAATCACGACGTAGCCGTCGCCACTACTGAAGAACTTCTTGACATGATCCCGAACATCTTCGGCCTCAAGAACTTTGGAAGACGTGTGACATTTTCTCTGTTGGAGGAAAGAGTACGGGTCGCTATGATGTGTGTATTTCCTCTCGATCGGTAGTCTCGTCAATAATCTCAACCCGTACCACACATACGTCTAGGTTTCCGGAACAGCCTCGCATCATCCACGCTTTCGTCTACTTCTCTTTGACCGCAGTATCCGTCTTCCAACACTACCTCTGCCTCCCACGCATCAAACCTCGCGTGCTCATTCCGGACGACGCAGATGCAGAATTGCCTAAGGAAGGCTCTCTTCCCCGTATGCACCCGACCTGGTGAGTGGCACCCGGTATCCCCGATCTTCTCAACCGCACAGTTTCAAGGAGTGCTGTATTAATTCCAAAATACCTCCGACACGCCAGGTTTGCTGCTAGACCATGGTATAAGCCTGAGCCCAAGGGAATCTGGAAACTCGTGGAAAAAATATCCGTCTCTGTGGGTCTAATAAAACCCAATGCGGTTCCAGGTCCGGAGCTGAGGTCTCAAGGGTTCCGGCTGGAAGAGATTGTACGTTGTGTCTCGTTCCACGATCCCTCCTCTCGCACACTATCACTCATCATGAAACAATCTTATTGTCACGACAGGGCCCTTTGAGATTTGAGCAGCGTAAGTCCCTTCACCTTCACTCGTCCTGCTGAATGTGCTCCATCGTGTTGACGCTGGTTGAAAATAGATGGTCATGAAGAAGTCATGCGTTTGGCGGAGGGGATTCACGGGTGTCCTATATCTGGACCATGGGCTATACCGCCACAATCACAGCACGCTAAGGCTTAATCATTGTAGTGAGGGACAATGTCCCATTCTTGATATGTGCGTACTTTGCGGTCTCTTTAGCTTGCCAAGCATCTGCTCATATACCATCGTGAGAATAGACTATTTCTACCACAAATCTGTATCGATCCCGCTCTGATAATTTCGATGAGATTTCTCGTGTGAATTGGCGGGTCTTCCCAGAAATTTATCAGGACAGGTATAACTCTCAAGCGTTCAGACTAAGCTAGCTAATCCGTGAGATCAAACTCAACACCGCGGCCATCCGATAGACAAGGCAGTGAGCGAGCGCAGATAGCTTCTGCTAGCATGGAAAACTGACCACTAACCGATATATTTGCTAGTTGAGTATATATGGTCAGAAAACGAGCTGTTCGTTCGCACTACACACCCCGCCATTCGCTTCTGCCGTTGCTTCTGACGGGCATCATATTTGCCTCAAGTTTGATCATTTCTCAGGCATGTCACTTTCGGTTCTGTGGAACGCTCTTCCTGAATGGTAATGGAGTAGCCTTGAGCACGAGTTCTAGGTTTGAGTGTGAGCTAACTTACACGGCCTTAGATCAGTTAGAGACAGAGATAGAAATAAGAGCACCGAAGTCGTCAGAGGGCTCACGACGAGAAGGCAAGAGGGGATGAAGTGGAGAACGTCGGAGTAATATGCGGGCAGCATCGGTCCAGTACGTCTAGTTTCATTTAATCAAGCCATTCACGGACCATTTTGCTGAGCTATTAGCTAATAGAAGGATGTTGTTACCGTAGGTCTTCCTTTTAAGCTACTGAATACACTGGAGCATCATGTTGCTCCGTGTACTATTCCATTCTCGTACTTTATTGCACCATCGTGATAGATGCACAATTGGTATGATAAGTAATCCTCTTTGTCGTAGGCTCTCTTCTTGCATGGCTATCAGCCCGAGATGCTTCTGCAACCGTGTCATGGTAAGTATCTCACTTCCTGCTTATAGCAGTGGATTCCTTGAAATATCGAGTTTGTCGTTGACGCATTCATTCTAGTGACATCAACTGCACACTACCATCATCCTCGTGTCATCGGGTCTTGCCTCCAATCGCAAGGCTGATAGGACGCGCGCTACATCAGCGGTCTCTATATGAGCTCCATATCCACCAACGACGTGATGAACAGAAGTCGTGTTCTTATCCCGTGGGCCCCTCGACTGGTCTCCACAATACTCTATTTCGAGGGATCAGAGCTCTCCAGCTTGGCGTTACTGTCATCTACTTATACCGGTCCACCCGCGATTACGATGACTACCTTAAAAACCTTGCTCTCATCCCTGGGTTTGTTTTTTTTAAATCCCGGCCCTGTTCTTGCGCTATACCTCCCGAAAACAGCATTGATTGTCAGCTATATACCTGCCTGCGGTCTCTATCACTTCCGAGTACCATGTTTCATACTGTCCTGTTCGGACTGGCTGCTCTACCTGTTTTGAGTGTCATGTCCGTGTTGTTGAAAGCCGTGAGGCATTGGTCCAGACAGGCTCACCTGCGTGCTTTTCCCGGACCGCCGCGGACATCGCTTATTGCTGGTGAGCACCCCACCGCGATTTGAGACTATTGAGAGCTGACGAAGCGGTCTCTAATTAATATAGGCAACCTGAACCAATTATTCGACCTAGATGCATGGGAATTCCAAAAAGAAATCGCATCGCATGGGAGGATTGTTCGTATATGCGGTTTATTTGGCGTACTTCTCATTTTCTTCTTTTCTTTTCTGCCACTGACGTCTCCTTTGTGATAGGATACGCAGTTGCATATCAGTGATCCAAAGGCATTACACCATATCCTGATCAAAGAACAGGATGTCTACGACGAGTCGGATATGTTCGTCATGTAGGTCCCGTTGTTTCCGTTTGTGTGGTCTGGGTACATAATCTAACCCAGTTCTTCCTTTCACACGAACAGGTCAAACAACCTCTTTTTTGGACCAGGCCTTCTTTCCACGCGTGGTGAGCATCATCGACGACAGAGAAAACTTCTCAACCCCGTATTCTCGACCAAGCATATGAAAAGCATGGTGCCTATATTCTACACAATCACACACCAAGTACAGTGGTCATTCTCCTTTACATTTCAGACTGTCTCATTGAGCAACTGTGCTCTTGTAGCTCTGTGATGTTTTGACGAGAAAGGTCAGCGATGGCACCCAAAGACTTGATATTCTCGACTGGATGACTCGTTTGGCACTGGAGGCTGTCGGTCAAGGAGGTCTAGGATATTCCTTTGAGTCCCTCAACGAGGAGTCATCTAACAACTTCGGCAATGCGATGAAGGGTTTTATGTCTGTATGGTCATTAGCGTATATTCCTCTCGATTACACGACACTGACAAAAACCCTTCAATTCGAACCAGACCTACCGTGGCTTCCCTTCAGCTTCTCCGCCAACTGGTCCCATGGTTCCACGACGTTGGGCCTCCTAGCGTCCGTCGTTGGATAGCGAAGAATATTCCAATCAAGAGACTCAATCGCGCAGTACGATTGACGGATGTTATGGATGAAATGTCGAGAGAGATATTGGACTCGAAGAAGGCTGCGTTAAAAGAAGGCGACGATGCGATCATGCATCAGGTTGGAGAGGGCAAAGATATCTTGAGTATCCTCAGTGGGTCCATTCACCCTGACATTTTCGGGCTCTAGTTGATTTATGACGGATAGTGAAAGCGAATATGGAGGTCGCTGAGGAGGACCGCTTGCCTGAGTCGGAGATCATAGCTCAGATGTCGTACGTCCTGATTCGCTCTGAGCTCTCTCCTCTCCACATAGCTAAACTGGGGGAATATCATAGCACCCTCATCTTTGCGGCAATGGACACAACGTCCAGCGCAATGGCCAGGATCATCCATATGCTTGCCGAGAATCAAGAAGCTCAGGAGAAGTTGCGTGAGGAGCTCATCAAAGCGCGTCAAGTGGCAGAAGGTGACTTAGATTATGACAGTTTGCTTGAACTGCCGTATCTGGACGCCGTCTGTCGCGAGACTCTTCGCCTGTGAGCCACTTACGCTGTTTTCAATTCAAATGGACTTCCTCATCTAGGGTGTATCATACGCAGACATCCTCCCTTCCTTCAAATGTTCCGAACGTGCGCCGCTTTATGTCCTACTATGTATGACGCTGGTTAATGAAGGACCCTTGTCCCTTGATTCATCTGCCTACAGAACACAACAAGACGCCATCCTTCCCATTGGACCCGTCAATACTAAGAAAGAGACCGCAGTTTTCATCCCAAAAAATACTACAGTCATCGTCGGTATCAAAGCCCTCAATTGTGACCAGGCGATCTGGGGCTCAACAGCTAATGAGTGGATTCCCGAACGGTGGCTTTCTCCTCTTCCTGAAACTGTGACAAGTGCTGGAATCCCTGGAGTATACTCAAACATGTACGTATGGACCCTTCTTGGGCTTTACGTGCCAACGTGTAACTCTTATTACACCCGAGAAGGTTCATTGCTGACTGTAGAGCGAATGTTTAGGTTGACATTCTTGGCAGGCAGCAGGGCCTGCATGTAAGTGCGACACTGATTGGTTTTTCGGACATATAAATTGTTGATATCTATATTCGGTTCTCTCGCGCTATATCACAGTGGTTTCAAGTTCTCCGAGTTGGAGATGAGTACGTGTTTTTATTGTACCGCTTTTAGGTGCTCGCTCACCTGTGCATCCCAATTGACATTGTAGAAATCGCCCTCTGCCTCTTGGTCTCAACCTTCCGCTTCTCTCCCTCTGAGACTAAATATTCTTTCAAGTCGACCAATATTGTCACACCCATGGTCAACGGGAAGTCTTGTATGCCGCTCAATGTTTCATTGGCGCGAGCCACATCTCAACCATTTTCCTCTTCTTGAGATTTTATTGCGGGCTTGCATACAACCATGTTGAAAAAGTTACATGGAACTTTTTTCTTGACGGACCATACACACGCCCTATCTTACACCAAGTCTCACCAACCTCCTATTGTTTACCCGTAGATATTGTGCGAATTCCAGCTACCTTTGTAGGTCCTTGTATATATAGTGGTCTGGTTACAACAAGATACGCCAGATGAGTCCCGACCCTCATGGGCTTGCCTTTGTGTAGACCCAATGTCCGCGAAGTTCAGATCGCTGAAGGACGGTAAACAACGAGGTACATGGGCCGTATCGCGTCATTCTAAATCACAACGTCAGGATAGCACGATCGATTTCTGCAGTTCTCACTTACATCATACACCACACACTCATCATAGTTGAGGTCGCCACCCGGTACGCCCGTAACAGACTCGTATCCTGCCGGAGGCTATATGACCAAATATTCAGTTACCAGAGAGCCGTTGAGTGGCAGATTCGTTACCTGTTGTAGGGTTGGATCATTTCTCACGAGTTCCAGGCTACGTCCTAGGATTACTGCGTTCAGAAGCATCGTGCGGTACGGTGAATCACCGAAGTCATTGGCATAACTGTCCGCCTACGGGAAAAAAATTATATTCAGATGGGTGGCCCGGATGTATCAGATCTCTCAGGCTGAACGCCAGTACCTTGGAGGACGTCGATGACGTGTATACCCCCTTTCCAAATCGACCCCAGCCAGTTTTTGTACCAGACTTCCAGACGTCGAAATTTGTCTGGATAGATAAGAACAGATGTATGATCGTCAGTCGACTCGGACTGGATACGGACGTTTCTCAAAAAGAGGAGACAAACCTCGATGATCCGGCACAGTGAACATTGGGGATCATCACAAATAATACCCACTGAGTGATCCTCTCCGAGACGGCATTTCCGAGTGGTTCCATGCCATCGTCTACGCGCATTGCCATTGATGCAAGCAGAGGCCTGTGTGACCTGTTTCCTGAGACAGTGACAAATGTGAATTCGAAGGTCGAAGTAGTATAGCAGAAGAAACCAAGTGCACTTGTAGGCATTGTACCTATCCACATAGACCTTCCTACCAAAGATCTTCCAGACCTGCTCGTAAAATGCATCAAAATCAGGAGGAGGACGTGCTACGAGCCTGAGAGTACAATAAAGCTACCTTTATAACGGTGGGTGTTGGAGATCGGTGGCTCCAATCCTTGCAGAATCGTTCCTCTACTGTTGAGGAGCGAACAAGGTCAACCCGATAATCAGGTTTATCCCGCACCAGTAAGATGCCCACCGTCTCCGAAGACATCGTGACCATAGGGAATTTCGAGCATGATTGGGGCTAGAAATGAACACAAACCGATTGTTAAAATCGAAACGATATAGTAAATTTATGAATTGAGGGACGCATACCTCGGACGAAGACTCTAACTGCACATTCTTTGCACAAAACCTGTCGTATTGTGAGGCCATTGAATTTTGGCAGAGGTATTATGCGGCATCTGTATATCCAATATACCAACTCATCATTGAGATTGCCATCCATTCGATATACAGGAAAGATGAACTCACCGCAAACAACACTGAAGAGGATGTTTATATTTATAGTGTTGCAGTAGTGCGTTGTGGTCAGGGAAATGACGGCTACAGTCCGTAAACACGCATTTCCTATGTTTCGTTCGAAAATGTTCTGCATATGCATCTACGTCCTGGTATCGAGGGACACCGTTCAGAGCCGGAGTTCCGTGACATAGCATACATATGAGATGGTTCTTGTGGATATGAAGGTGTAGTTCTTCAAGTGTCACAAAGCCTGAGCTGCACATGGACGAAAACGGACAGTAGAAACGGTCGCGATGACCTCTCCGGATACCATCGACGCATGTTTCAAGACAGTTGGCGTGTATCTCGCCCTCCGACAGAGGGGCTTCGAGAGGGGAGTCAGACACGAAGCTGTTCCTGAGCAAGCTCCGAGCCACCGCGCTCATGGATTCAAACCACTGGCAGTAAATTGAGTGGAGAAGGTAATGGAACGAAGATAGAGGGGATCAATGGGGGCAGTATGAGCTGATCTGGAGGGCTCGTGGGGGTGGGTCCTGACTCGGAACATTGAGAGATATCGAATTCGGAACGGAGGCTTGGAAAGTTCAGAGGCCAACCCAAGGCCAACCTGCCGGGGATTTCGCCATTTCCTCGGCCTCAATTGCACGCCACACTTCTCTACCGAGCCACACTTCAAGCTCAAGCATTCATGTATAATAGTTTCAACATGATTTTAGCAACACCAGATCACCAACAAGAGCGAGAGAAAGCCAGACACTTGATGATGCAAAATCATAAAACAAAGTAGAACACTAAACGGGCACAGGATTGTTACACCACAGTTCAACTCAAGGCCGGACTCACTACAAGCAACCGCGAAGCTCCGAGTTAAAACCCAGTCTAGAGACATATGTAGGCGACAAGATACATTGGCCTGATCGCATCGCTCTATTAGTGCAGTTTGTCAGATGGCTGATAGTAAAGACAGTTTCGTTGCTTTCATACTACTCACATCGTACACCACACACTCGTCATAATTGAGGTCGTACCCGGGTATGCCTGTCACAGATTCATATCCTGCCGGGGGCTATATGCCTGCAAAGTCAGACCAATGAGAGTAATATGATAAAATATCCCTTACCTGCTCCAACTTCTGTCTATTCTCAGTAAGGATTTTACTTCGCCCTAGGACAACAGCACTCAGAAGCATAACGTCGTATGGCGAATCTTTCGAAGCTTTGAGATTGACGCTGTAACAGTCTGCCTACAACGACAAATTGGCCATGATCGTCAGTGCCCATATTTTACACGGTATTCTATGGATATGACAACCAATAGCGAAGACTTCTTACCTTTGATGAGGTAGCCGACGTATAGATCCCTCTCCCAAACCGTCCCCACCCAGTTCTTCTCCCGAATTTTTGGAGATCAAAATTCGTCTGACGTGAAAGGCGAGCACATCGCCGTTTAGCGACAGCACAAAGGAAGTAACATAGGCAATCAAGTCACTTACCTCGATGATACGACACAGTGAACACTTAGAGTCACGACATAATATTTTAGTCGAACTTACGCTGTCTCCAAGACGGCAGGTCCGAGTGGTCCCGTGCCATCGTCGCTGAGCATTTCCATCTGCGTATCCAGAGCTCTGAATGACTTTCTGCCTTTGTGTCTCATAAATCGTCTCATAGCATGGAAAGGAGGATCTTGATATTCGACGTACTTGTATTCCATGTACTTGTACACATATTCTTTTTGGCCGTAAATCTTCCATATCTGTGCAGCGGAGCATGGTTCGGATGATGAGGATATAGACATGATAGCCTAATTAAATTTTACCCTTGCAACCAGAGGTACTTCTGAATGAAGCCAACCTCTCTCAAATTGCTTCGATACTGGTTCACCCAAGGTTCTGGTCAGCGTGGTATTCATTTACGTTACGAGAGCGGTGCAGCTGATCGGACTGCTCACCATTGCGAAAGACCTCATGTCCTTCAGGGATCTCGAGGAGAGTAGGTGCTGCTCAATATCGTGCAGGAAATGATCAACGATCTATTCGGAGGTCTACCTCACTGAGTAGCAATGCGCACGGACCTGGACCAAAGACCTTGGGTGCACAGTCTCCACAAAGGACGTGATATGAAGATGGCAAAGGAATGCGGTGGCACCTGTTATAATATAAGCATGCAAAAAACGGAGTTCAGTACGCAAGGGAAACTGGCGTACTCCAAACAGCATTGCAAAGGATGATCTTGCTGATAATGCACTATCAGTCCATTGACAGATGTGTATCGCCCCTTACAATCTTCGAACATACACACTCGATGCGCGCTTTGCATGTGACTAGCCAAGGTAATCTCGTCCAACCATCGGGCAGTGGGTATTACATCTGCACCTGGATCGCAGAGACGACAGATGGGGTGGTCGATATGGACGTGCTTGTGCAGTTGCTTGTACGACTTGCGAGTTTGTTGGCAGGACGGTACAGGGCAAAGGAGATTCCCACGATGACCTCGAGGGATTTGTTCTACACAGACGTGAAAGCACTCAGCGTGCTCGACATCGGACGAGGAGGGAGGGGTGATGTCGATCAAACCAATCGCGTAACGGATATTGTTCATCGCTGAGAGGATGACTTTGGCCAATGTCCTCTGCAAATATGGGCGTAGTCAGTAGCACCAGAGGTAGAGAGTGGGGAGCCGGCAAAGTTGTCGTTGTCAGGTCGCGAAGGTGACTTCTAAACGCTTTCCCACTTGGGGGAGAAGAACTCTTGGAAGAGTTCGGGCCCAAACGGCTGCGGAATGCGAACAGGGACACAACAGGCCACTCTGCTGGTCCATCTACTTGTTTCTTGGTGGCGGTGGCAATGTTGACACAGGACTTATGCAGTCGGTCATGAAAAGGAGCGTTCGAAAGCGACTTCACACACCGTAATATTAATGTCATCAACAACTCTATATCACTTCCAGGTTCTACATCAAAGCAGACCGTCGAATGCTGTAGCCTACAGATGATAGTCCGTAACCCCAGGCGCCCTCATATTCCAGATCCTATCGATTTTCATGTCCTCCCTACCATCATCTTTCAAATTATATGCAGGCTCGTCGCCCTCCTTCTCCGGATTCCTGAACACTATGTTCCGAGTCTACACGAGGAAAAAAGAAATCATCAGCCTATCGTTCACCCACGAGTCTATACGGCACACTACTTCCGGGGACAAGACCGTGAAGTAAAGAGAATAGACAAAACACTGACCATCCCCAAACTCATGTGAATACCCGCCGGTAAATCCGGATACTCGTCCAAAGTCACCCCTTCACCCCCCTCAGCGAGCTTCGCGATGTTACTCGCCACAATCTCGGCTTGCTTTGATGCTGGTCTCGCGGCCTTATGATGCGTCGTGTGTGCGACGTCACCGAGAGCGAAGACGTTAGGGAAGGCCGGATCTGTGAGTTGGAGCGTGCGTTTGACGGAGATGAAGCCGGGTGGGGACGTTGTGATAGATTGAGGGGAGAGGGAGGCGAGGATGGCGGAGTTGGGAGTTTGGCCGGTTGCGATGACCTGTGGAACATTCAAAATTATTGTGAGTTTCGAGGATCTGTTAGAAAGGGATGGTGGAAGGCGTACGACAAAGTCAGCTGGAACTTTCTTGCCCGAGGTGAGCTCGACGTCAAAGCGCGAGCTGCTATCGGACGGGAAGCCCTCGGCAGGGATTTTGACGCGGTCGTTCGTGATGACTTCGATGCCGAGTTCGTTACAGCGCTCTAGAATGAGTTCATGGAACTTCGGGTGATACTTGTTCATCAGGTGCGGTCGGGAATGGATGAGAGTGACAGATTTAGTGGGGTAATATTCCTTGGTATCCGTCGCCATTTCTTTACGAGCGAGATATTGATGTCAGTGACGAGATGATACGACCGGAATGCCGGGGGAAGACGTGCAAATAAACGAGACTTACGAATGCCGACCGCACCACCGCCGATAATGACAATCCTCTCCGCCTTCTTCATTGCCGCCTGATGATCCTGGAAATACTTGATCCCATCCACCTTCCCTTCCGTATGCAGCGTTCCAGGAGGCGTCAACTTCGTCCCTGTCGCCAACACCAGATACTCGTACTCTATCTCCTCTTTTTCGCCTTTTCCTGTCTCCACGACCACGCGGTCCTTGAGCAACTCAACGGCCTTGCCTTGGACGATGCTGGTGGAATCCGGCGGAGTGGAGTCCGAGAAAGCATTGCTATAAGGGATGAAGGCTTTGTGTTCGTAGCCTGGGACGACGGCGAAACGAGGGAAGGCGAAGAGATGTTGGAAGTGGGTGTTCTTTTCGACCATGATTGTCCGGTGTGTGGCGTGCATCTTATTCGCGATGAGTTCGGTTACCTTCGCGCCTGTAAGTCCGCCAAACAGAATCATGCATCAGCACAAAGTAGAGCGAATTGTCAATAGCCCTGACGATGACGATAGCGAGTTACGCACCAACATAGGAGCCACCAATAACGACAATGTTCTTCTTGTTCTGTGCCATCTGCCTGCCGCTGGGTGTACTGAAGAAAGACCTAGCAATGTACGCGAAAGAGTTGCTTCCCAGTAATCTCGAGTTGGTCAACTTATATCTCGTCTGAGATGTCAAGTTCGACGTCAAAAACATGCCACACTGAAACAACCACAAGGAACAGGGGGAAATTGCTGCGGGCCTATCGGACGCACCTCGTTCCGTTTATAAGCTTGAATGGTCAGTGTACGGAGCTCAGGTTCGAGTGACTTCTGATGGGTTGGGGCCGGAGAATTGAAGTGAAGACAGGTCTACGTGTGCGCGGCATCGTGTCTTATAGCAGTTTCGGCAGGGCTTTTGCGAGTGGTCGCTGGCGACGGTAACGTTGAGCATCATTGACTCGTTGAGCAGGACGCGTACCGCGTTCGGCGCAAGCCGCATGTTGGTCTGATCGGGTCAGCCGAAAAGTAATCAGATAACCACATGGGATCTCATTGGCCAACCGGCGTTTTTGCATGTCATCAGCACTTTCAAATACCATTCAAAGAGTACCCCTCCGGTGCCACACAGACAACTTCACCGTCCTGCTCACAAGAGCAAATGTATTTTTACCCTTGAATGTCGAGTCAGTGTCAGGAGATATGGGAAGCCAAAGATCAAGGCTGCTGCGCTTCGTCACTTGGAAGATTGAGCACATCGTTAGTGTAAGTATCCGATTACGCCACAGCACGCCGTTGACTTCAGAAATAGCAACACATCCATCAAAGCCGAGCCATATTATTCTCGACTTCAAAAAAGCACAGTATAGAGTTGACGCTCACAGTATAGCTTGTCAGGATATGAAAACTGATCACTGAAACCAGATTGCTACGTACAATAGAACCAACGCAGTCGGTGTCGTGGTTCCAAAGGACACCTGGACCAAGAAAGCAGGAGTAAAATAACTCACCCCTCCGAAATCCCTTAGCCAGCGAACTTCGTCAGGATCATCGCACCATCTCCGTTCAACTCCGCCTCTTTCTTGCCCCACCAGCACGGGCCACATGTGTTCCAATGTGTGACTATTCGCCGGATTACTGTCACGACCGGGCGATACGGGTGTAAGGCTACCCCACGGCTCAAGACGAAACGAAGAGGGAGAGGATCGAAAAAGGGGAAGAGAAATAATGAGTATATTGAAAGGCCCAGGAATAGACGATCCAGAAAACTGGAGAAATACATGATGGGACAGCCCAGTATTTATACAGTTCCAATACCACTAGTTTAGTAAGTAGAACGAAATGTAAAGTCGAATATTGGAAGGGTAGGTCAAAGGAGAAGACAAATGAAATGTACACTAAGGATGAGCACTTCAAGAAACACTGAGAGACGCGTGTATCGTACTCGTAGCATGCAAAGAGAGGTAGCCAAAACGAATCGAGAAAACGAGACACAAGGAACGAGCTAATGGACAGGAAGAATAGATGTAGAGGACAATGGGTACAGAGACACGAACTTAAACAATTATCCTTGACCTCTCAGGCACAGATAAAACCGAGACACAACGTCGACGACCACTTCAAGCCAATAGCTAACCCTCCATAACGAATCGTCGGTGTTTGAGCGACTACCGATCGTGCAACACGAGCTGGAGTCTTATCTGATGGCCCTGGCTTGAGTTGGGTGGAGAACGTCTTGTCGTAAATTGAGGAGTGGTTCAATCGCTGAGATTTTTGGATAGATAGAAAGCCAGCGATTGATAGTACAGCCTAGGATTTTATTTGGAGTCGAACGTCCCAGTGTAGCGACTTGTAGCTTCGCCCGAAGGTGTGTGGAAATGTCGCGCGTCGGAGTTCGAACTGTTCTACAGGAACCGGTAGCTCGGTGCCGGCTTCCGTAGTGCAATCGGATGGCTTGCGTGGCTCAGATAAAATCGTAGAAACTCTCCGAAAATTACAATGGTCTCCTTGGCATGTATTGGTCCATGCGGGTACTCATTCCCTCGTGTGTTGATAGGGGAAATGTCACAGGAGACATTTCGCGCGGTCTGAGACTTAAGAATTTGGACGCGACGCGCGAGGGCGGGAGTTGCCGGGTAGATCTCACGGACGCTCTGTGCGGGTTCGACGGGATTGAGAGGACGAAATAAAATAGGATAAATGCCGGGGAAAATGTGAGCGTGTCATGGGACCCACGTGAAGGTTTGTAGGTGGTGGCGAGAGTAATATGGTAGAGATAATAGAGGGAAAATGAATTAAATATGGGAAAAAAGGCGTGTCATAGACAGCGGTCATGACAATTACCTTATAGTAAGCGATATTTGCGACGTGACCAATGACCAGTACTTAAATGTGCAGAAGCTTGAGTTCGGGTACCTGCAGGGAAAGCTTGATGAAGATGGATCAAGGAAAAGGGAAGGCTCTTCGAGGGCAGAGAAAGCTTAAGATGAGGATGCGCGTTTCGCTCTGTTTCGCATGGTCGCGGAGTCTGAACCCACAACTCGGCGCGCTGAGCGCAATTTATGCAGCCGACTTTCGTTCTCTTTTGGTTCTCTTTCTTGTCCGGCGTCCACGTGTTATGGGGTGTCCTCAATGCTTACACCCCGCCATCAATGTCTGCCGCTCTGTGTATCATTTGACTCATGCCGGGACGCAAATCAGCATTTATATACAAAGCTCAACGCTCATATTGCCAGGTCTGGCGGCCAGTTCCACGCCCAAGCTTCCTTTCTCGCTGGCGCTCGATGAGTTTCGGAAGAAGACTTGTCTGTGATCATCGTTGGAGCGAAGTCGAACCGAAGAGATAATGTAGATCCCGCACCTTTCCTGAGCTCTCAGCGCGTCAGTACACTCACCGCTTAGGCCTCTTGCAGTTGAAATCTCAGCGCTTTCCCATGGCACTAGTACTCAAGTATCTCATGACCCATTGAAGCACTATTCATTCAGTGAACGACCGACTGATTAGGCTTAAGGATCACGCTGAAGCTTTCCGCAGAACCTCATGTCGGCTTGCTCAAGGCATTGTCGCTGACGTTCGGCGTATCCTTGTAGACGCCTCCGCTCTTCATCGGCTGAGTTCGACTCGACCTCCACTTTGCTGCTTTACAGGCTCAATTTGTACATCACAAGTGACGTTTCATGTTCTTCTATACGTTCACATCCGAACCGATGTGGTGGCTAGCGACGGAGATGGGTTATTTCTTGCTATGAGTTGGTCAACGGGTGGGAGTAAAGGTGAGTCCTAATTTACCAGAACTCTCATTGTGCTCGTGGACGTCCGCTGAATTGACCATATTGGGCAGGCTTCTCCAGAAGCACCGCGGGAATTGCGTCGTGACTACTTTGTTCTTACTTACTCACTCCGACAGAACGATTACACATCCCTAATAGACCTCTATAAAAGACCTGGAGAGGTCACTTGTATCCCTCAACATCACTCATCCAGCTGAACTGATAACCACAATGACTTCCGAGCCCAAGCTCTTTGACTTGAATACCCTGACTTCACCTCCTACCACTGCGCATGGTCACAACAGCTCCACGTTCCATCCTCCGCCCATCGTAGGGACGTTATGCGTCCCCGAGCTCTTCGAGTATCATGCACAACACAGTCCGGAGCACCCATTGTTTGTGTACGCAGATAGTACCGCTCGATCTCTCGACGGTAACGACGGTCATACCGGTGATTCGGACGCCCAATTAAGGACCATCAAGTACCCCGAGGCTTGGCGTATGATTCTCAGAGCTGCCAGGATCGTCAAAGGCCACTACGCACGGTTCGAGGACAAGTATGCGCTGCAGGATCGAAGTCTTGGAGTCTACGGCATGCCACAAGATGTTCCGCCTGCTATCGGAATACTAGCAAACGCAGGTCAGGCTTCGATTCCATTTCGTCTTGTTGTACGAAAGACACTCACACTGTTTTGCCATGTAATTGTCAGACTCGATCAGTTTCTTCTGCACCATCGTTGGCACCATGCGCCTCGGACTCACCCCCTTCCCGCTCTCGGTCCGAAACTCACCTGTCGCCGTAGCGCACCTGATCAAGAAGACGCAACTCCTTCAGGTTTTTGTTTCTCCGGACCCGGCCATGCAGAGGCTCGTGGCAGAGGCTAGGGATATTTTAAAGAGGGATGGTCTCGACATTGAGGTCATGGATATGATCCGGTTCGAAGACTTGCAGGATAAGCTTGAAGGTACTGGGGTCGATGATGTGGCGAGGCTGACGGAGGAGCTGAAGCTCCAGAAGGTCAATATGAACGATACAGCGGTTATAATACATTCTTCTGGTATACGGATACTATTTATATCGTCGCCGTCAAGCCGTACTTACCAATCCATCTTGTAGGGACGACATCGTTTCCCAAGGCCGTCTACCTCTCCCATAGGGTGATAGCGCAGTCATGGTGCAAGGACCCATGTGGGTATAGGTTTCTGTGCATCACTTGAAAGTATCGATCATGCTCACGAGTTTTTCTTTTCTGTTTCCAGTGTACTGGCAGCGCGATATGTGCGGTACCATAATGACTCTGCAAGCATGCCCTCTTTACCGTGCGTCTTTCTTTTCTCTTGCGCCATGACCTACCCGCTACCGAATGTGTTATACGTGGCTTACCGTGCTATGAATTTCTGAATTTCTTGGACAGACGGCATGGGAATGGTCAGCATCTTTTGGACTGTAAGTCTCAACGATTGTTACATCGCCACTTTTGAACCGGCAGTCCCACTAACACTTCGATCGATAGTGCGTGTCTGGCTTGATCATGGCCGTCTTCAAGCCTGCGTCTCCACCGACCATCGCCACTCCGGAAGCGTTCATGGCGGATATTATCCGAACGAAAAGCGAGGTCGTGTTTTCCGTGCCTTCATTCATCGAGGTACGGCATGGTCTTCCACTAGTAAATACCTGAGCTGATCTGATTTTCTCTCTACAACAGGCTTGGGCGCAAGACCTTTCAAATTTCAAGGCCATGAAGTCAGTGCACACGATCGTGAGCACCCTACTTTTCCTCTCAAAGATTTGTGTGCTCAAGTTGTGGAATTAGACCTATGGGGGAGCTCCCATGGAGAAATCCGTCGGTGACGAGATCGTCAAGCTTGGGCTTGACCTGTACTCTATCTTCGGATTGTACGTTCCTCCCCGTCTTCTCTTGTTACTCATATTGAACATGAACTCTGGACCCCATACTTCCGATGCTCTCATGGTGCAGGACGGAAGCGGGTTTCGTCAACATATGTTTTCCGTCAGAGCATTCCAACCTCGATACCTGGGAATGGTTCGAATTCTCGTCGCGCGTACAGATAGAGCTTTTGCCGCAGGAAGAAGACCAAGAGGGCGCCGGCGACTTGTTCGAGCTTTGTTTCATTGTTCGTCCCCTTTCTGTGTCGTGTTTGCCCTCACCCGTGGTAAATAGCTGATATCCATTCATTCGTGAATGACAGGACACCCCTGGTAGCGGATTGGCTGTGACGAATGCTTCGTCGGGTAACGGGAGACCTATGTACAGGACCTTTGATATTGTACAGCGGCACCCGACTTACCCACAGAAGTGGAGGATCTATGGTCGGGCGGATGATCAGATAATGCTGTCCACTGGCGAGAAGGTATGTTCTATCCATTGGTTCTGCACCTCTCATTGATGATGGATGTCCGTTTATTCTGACTTGATGCTTCTGTTCAACTTCACAGACTAATCCCGGACCACTCGGTAGGTGCTCGTATCATGGACATACGATCCCAGACTCACTATGGAACAATCGGTTCCTCTTACTTAGAGTCGATCCTAGTACGGGATCCTCACGTAGCAGCAGCTATCATGTTTGGCAGAGGACAGATCCAGAACGGCGTCTTGGTACATCCAAAGCCAGAACACGTCTTCGATCCGACAGACGAGAAGAAGCTTATAGAATTCCGGAACCTGATTTGGTGAGTCCACATTCATTAGCACATGCCGCATATCATTCTTAAAGATGGCTCACATCACGAAATGCAGGCCTACTGTCGAGAAGATGAACGAGTTCGCACCGGCGCATTCCAAACTATTCAAGGAGGTCAGCACTCCCTTTTCCAAGGTTGTGAGCGTAATGCGTACTTACTCGGAGTCTGTAGATGATCATTGTCTCTACGCCATCGAAGCCATTTGAGTATAATTCCAAGGGCAACCCTAGGCGCCACTTCCTGATCAACGAGTACGAACCAGAAATACAGGCTTTATACGCCACAGTCAAGGAATTATCCCAGCCGGACATCGCTGCACCTGAGGAGTGGGACGAAGAATCCGTATTATTATTCGTGAGCCGCGTAGTGACCAAGGTGATGGAGATTGAGATAGCGGATAGTGCGGATTTATTCCTAGAGGGATGTGACAGGTGCGGCGCTTTCTTCGTGAACAATTCCATGCTCTAACTAGCTCGATGCCGATAGTCTGAAAGCAACGTATATTCGCAACGCTATCATGCACGCCGTTCGACAGCCTCTGGCACAAGCTGGCTCTCGCGCTCGACTTCCAAACAACTTTGTCTATACCAACCCGACCATCTCCGCCCTCTCCTCCTTCATCGTGGCTCTCTTTGGTACTGACAGCGAGCAGGACTCGGGTCAGAAAAGCGAACGCGAAGCAAAGGGTATGCTCGCCATGGTCGAGAAGTATAGTGCTGAGTTTCCCGTGCACAAACCTCATGGCGCACCAGCCGCGAAGACGGTCGACGAAATCGTGCTAGTCTCGGGGACCTCTGGACGACTTGGTGCTCATCTTTTGGCACAGTTACTTACGAGGCCTTCGGTAGTAAGGGTGTATGCTGTGAACCGCCCGTCTCGGGAGGGTGCCTTGCAGAGGCAGAGGAGCGTCTTCGAGAATTGGGAGTTGGATACGAAGTTGCTTGAGTGCGGAAAAATGGTACTACTCGAGGCTGATTTTAGTAAGCCTGATTTCGGTGTTGGGAAAGATATGTATTGCGAGGTCTGTCTTCACTTGATGTCTCACGTCCTCTCGCACTGACATTTGAATACAAATCAGATCCGCGATTCTGTTACAAGCATCATCCATAATGGTTAGCTTTGAACTTTATCACTGCACGTCTGTACTTTCTGACTTGATTATGGGATATGTGCAGCCTGGCGCGTCGACTTCAACGTGGCCTTGTCTGGATTCGAGCCTCTCATAAGCGGTGTACGGAACTTGATCGACCTATCTCTCAACTCACCCCGCCCTTCTCCGCCTCCCATCGTATTCACCAGCTCCATCTCTGTTATCATAGGTTCGTCTACAGTTTCACTCGGATCTCAGACACTTTCCTCGTCTCATCTTATACCGTGTAGGTTCTCCAATCGTCCCAGTTCCCGAAATACCTTTCACAGACCCGCAGATAGCCAATTTCTCTGGATATAGTCGGAGTAAATGGGTGGTCGAGACTCTTCTTTTGAAGGCAAAGCAAGAGCGCGCTTTGTGCGTGAACGTGGTCCGCGTTGGACAGATGTCGGGTGATACGAAGATCGGAGGATGGAACGAGAAGGAATGGGTACCCGTCATGTTGCGAGGTTCCCAGACGTTGGGTGATGTCCCCGATCGACCTGAGGTAAGAGCATTCGGCTTCGTTCGTACGGGGGCGGAATATCATGCTGATATGTAATGCGGAAATTGAATCGTAGGACACCATGTCGTGGATCCCCGTCGATACAGCCGCTTCAGCTCTCATCGACTTCATCGGGAGCCCCGAATCCGTCCTACACCTCGTTCATCCATACCCAGTCCCATGGGCCGTCCTTTCTTCAACGGCTTCCGAACTCCTCAAAGTCCCCATCGTGCCCTTCAGCGAGTGGATGTCCACGCTTCGCGATGCCGCCACACAAGACCAGAGTTCAACCGGTGGTGAATCGCAGGCTCAGAAGCTAGTTGAAAATCCAGCACTGAAGATCTTTGACTTTTTCGAGAAAGGGATGGCGGAGATTAGCGAGCTTGCGATCGCGACGGACAAGGCGGTTGAGGCGTCGAGGAGTTTGAAGGAGGCTCGGGTACTGAGGAGGGAGGATGTGGAGAGGTGGGTGGGTTATTGGAGGAAGATCGGGTTTTTGAAGGATTGAGGGAGGTGCACTTGGTAGTGCATTCTTCACTGAGCGGAAGATTCATGTGTTTGAAGCGATTTCAGACTCTCCAGTTTACTTATTCTGCTTGCTCCCATTCGCCGACCTGACTCCAGATGTCAACTTTCAGTGAATCCTTACCGGCGAGAAGTTCGTCCGTTTTTGAGGTAGTGATATATTTTCGTGCGTTCTGCATACTGAGAAAGCCTGAAAAATGAGAAACGAAGAATGAACGAATGTGAGGCCACCCTAATAATTCTCCCCGAACCGGGCGCTCAAGTGCTCAAAGGAGTAAGGACATAACTTCAGGTTCCTTTGATGGCAAACTATCGACAAGCCGTGGCTTAGTCATGCTGTGGTCCCGACTCGCCGCTTGCAAGCCGGGTTGAAGCCGGGCTGCCTACCGTTTTGGACAAGTCCTTGACGATCGCTTACAACGGCCCATTGTGAGCACACCCCAACCAAACCAAGTTGTGGTGACCACTGCTCCTTTCGTTCAGACCAAAATATGTAGGCCCAGTAGAATTTATTCGGTGAGATCGATCATCTTCTGCTTGATAAGATAAGGGCCGTATCTGAACTTCCGTTGCAGTTTGTCGCAGAACCTTATGTCGGCTTGTCCAAGAGACTCACGCTCGGCATATCTTTGTCGAAGATCCCGGTGTTCGTCGGCTCAGGGGTTCGACTCAAACTCTACTTAAACTCGTATTTATATCTCATGTTTCGTGTTCCCCTACGCGCTCAAGCTCGACCCGATGTGGCTGGCACGAGTTCAACTGCCTTCCAACTTTGAGTCGGTCAACGAATGGGTCCCGCAAAGGTGAGCTATAATCCACCGAAGTTCATATTGTGATCATGGTCGTCTGCTGAATCGATGCTACTGGATTGGCCGCGGCAGACTCCCCCAGACAAACCACAGGCAATGACATCGTGATCACTCCGCTCTTTCTTCCCCGCTCCGGCGAAGGAACGATTGCGCATTCCTTATCCCCTTCTCTATAAGAAACCTGGGAGAGTTTCTTATTCTCCTTGGCACCTAGCTGAGTTGATATCCACGATGACTTTCGAGCCCAACTCCTCTAACTCCAACGACTCGACTTCACCTCCTAACCTCCTTTCGAAAGGTCATAATAGCCCTACGTTCTGTCCTCCGCCCACCGACGGGACGTTATGTCTCCCTGAGCTCTTCGAGTTCCATGCACAACACAGCCCGGAGCACCCATTGTTTGTGTACGCAGATAGTACAGCTCGATCTCTCGACGGTAAGGACGATCATACCGGTGATTTGGATGCCCAAATAAGGACCATCAAGTATCCCGAGGCTTGGCGTATGATTCTCAGAGCTGCCAGGATCGTCCAAGGCCACTACGCAAGGTTCGAGGACAAGTATGCGCTGCAGGATCGAAGTCTTGGAGTCTACGGCATGCCACAAGATGTTCCGCCTACTATTGGGATACTAGCGAACGCAGGTCGGGCTTCGTTCTCATCTCGTCTTTCTGTACGAAAGACACTGACACTGTTTCGCCATATGATATCCAGACTCGATCAGTTTCTTCTGCACCATCGTTGGCGCTATGCGCCTCGGCCTCACCCCCTTCCCACTCTCCATCCGTAACTCATCTGTCGCCGTAGCCCATCTCATCAAGAAGACACAACTTCTTCAGGTGTTTGTTTCGCCGGATCCGGCTATGCAGAGGCTCTTTGCCCAAGCGAGTGAGATTCTGAAGAAGGACGGTATTGACGTTGAGAAACTGGATATGATTCAGTTCGAAGACTTGCAGGATAAGCTTGAAGGTACTGGGGCTGATGATGTGGCGAGGCTGACGGAGGAGCTGAAGCTACAGAAGTTAAATACGGATGCTACGGCGGTCATAATCCATTCTTCTGGTATGTAAAGTCATTTATGTCACCAACGTCAAATCGTACTTACCATCTAGTCTGTTAGGCACGACTTCTTTCCCCAAGGCCGTGTACCTCCCGTACGGGGTGATAGCGCAATCATGGTGCAAGGATCCTTGTATGTATAGGTTTCCAACGTTTCCATTTTGTGAATCGCGCTCACGAGTGCTTTATTCCTTTTTTAGATTACTGGCAGCGCAACATGTGTGGTACAGTAATGGCTCTGCACGCATGTCCTCTTTTCCGTGCGTCTGCTTTCTTATTTCTGCGGTATGGGCCACACGCCCATGTAATGCATATCGGCTCAATGAATGTCTTATTTTGCAGACGGCATGGGTATGGTCAGCATCTTCTGGACTGTAAGTCATCTATCTAGTTTTATATTCATTTCTCAACCAAGAGTCTCAATGATACCCTGCCCGACAGTGCGTGTCTGGCATTGTCATGGCAGTCTTCAAGCCTGCTTCGCCACCGACCATCCCCACTCCGGAAACATACATGACGGATATCATCAGAACGAAGAGCGAGGCTGTATTCTGCGTTCCTTCGTTCATTGAGGTATGACACAACCGTTACCAACACGCTTCCAGAAGCCAATACATCGACTGATTATTGTTTTTTTTTCCTACCAAGGCTTGGGCCCAAGATATGTCTAATTTCAGAGCTATGAAGTCAGTGCACACGATCGTGAGCGTCCTTATTTAATACAAAGGTACCTTTGCGGATGGGTGTAACTTTGATACTGCCGAAATTAGACTTTCAGCGGTGCTCCCATGGAAAAATCTGTTGGTGACGAGATTGTCAAGTCTGGGCTTGACTTGTACGCCAACTTTGGATTGTACGTTTCTTCTGCTCCTTCTTTTGTCACGCATCTGGATCTGAACTAGACACTCATCTGGTGTGGTCATCCTGCAGAACGGAAACAGGGTACATCAATATGTGTTTACCGTCGGAACGTTCGAATATCGATACCTGGGAATGGTTCGAATTCTCCCCGCGAGTGGAGATCGAGCTCTTACCGCAGGAAGAAGATCCTGAAGGAGGTGGTGATGTGTTCGAGCTGTGCCTCATCGTTCGTCCCTTTCCTCTGTCATATTTCTCTCCCTTGTCCGCGATAAAGATCTGGTTCTCATCCCTTCGTTGATTACAGAAAAAGGCTACTAGCGGATTGGCCGTGATCAATGCTTCGTCAAGTGATGGGAGACCTATGTACCGGACTTCCGATCTTATACAGCGGCATCCGACGTATCCACAGAAATGGAGGGTTTACGGTAGGGCGGACGATCAGATAATGTTGTCCACTGGCGAGAAGGTATATGCATTTCCCTCCGCTCCTTCATGGCACATAACCGTTCATTCTAACCGACTATTCGTGCTCTTCGCAGACTAATCCCGGACCACTCGGTAAGTGCTCGTCTCACGAAACGTTGGAATCTACGACTTCATATTGATTATGTATTCTTTTATTTCTCCTTTGACTTAGAGTCGATCCTATTTCAAGATCCTCATGTGGCAGCAGCCATCATGTTTGGAAGGGGTCAGATCCAGAACGGTGTTTTGGTGCATCCAGTGCCAGAGTATGAATTTGACCCGACAGACGAGAAGAAACTTATCGAATTCCGTAACCTTATCTGGTAAAGTGAAATCATTGACCTCTGTGGCATACCATACTAACAAGCTGGGCACGTCGCGGAACACAGGCCTACCGTCGAGAAGATGAATAAGTTTGCTCCCGCACATTCCAAATTATTCAAAGAGGTTGGCGCAGCTTCGTGGTCACAAACCTAGCCCGTACTTACTCTCAGTTTGCAGATGATTATCGTATCTATACCCTCGAAGCCCTTCGAGTACAATTCCAAGGGTAACCCCAGACGCCACTTCATAATCAACATGTACGAGCCCGAAATACAAGCTTTATACGCCACAATCAAAGAATCGACTCAGCCGGACATCACTGTTCCCGAAAAATGGGATGGAGTCTCTGTGATGGAGTTCGTGAGGCGAGTAGTGACCAAGGTTATGGAGTTTGAGATATCGGATGATGCGGACTTGTTCCTGGAGGGATGCGATAGGTGCGTTGTTGAATCAATGAAGCATCTCATTTGTTAACTAATACGGTGTTGATAGTTTGAAGGCGACATACATTCGCAACACCATAATGCATGCAACCCGGCAGCCATTGGCCCAAGCAGGCTCGAGCGCCCGACTTCCATACAACTTCGTCTATGCCAATTCGACCATCTCCGCCCTCTCCTCCTTCGTCATGTCTCTCTTTGGTACTAACGTCGGGGAGGATTCCGCCAGCCAAAGCGAGCGCGAAGCAAAGGGAATGGTCTCCATGGTCGAGAAGTACAGCTCTGAGTTACCCATGCATAATCCTGGCGGCGCACCGGCCGCGAAGACAGTCGACGAAATCGTGCTCGTTTCTGGGACCTCTGGACGACTCGGCGCCCATCTTTTGGCACAGTTACTTGCAAGGCCTTCGGTGGCGAAGGTGTATGCCGTGAACCGTCCGTCTCCAGGGGGTGCTCTGGCTAGGCAGAGAAGTATCTTTGAGAACTGGGAGCTGGATACGAAGCTGCTGGAGGGCGGCAAGATGGCATTACTCGAAGGAGATTTCAGCAAGCCTGATTTTGGTGTCGGCCAAGATGTATACGAAGAGGTCTGTTTTCGTTTTGGTTTTCTTGAAATAATCTCACTAATATATGTACAAACATCAGATCCGCGACTCTATCACAAGCATCATCCATAACGGTTGGTCTGAGACTTGTTCACCGCACGCCCATAATTTCTGATACCATTACGGAATACATGTAGCATGGCGTGTCGATTTCAACGTAGCTTTGTCTGGATTCGAGCCCCTCATCTGCGGTGTCCGAAACTTGATCAACCTTTCCCTCAACTGCCCTCGTCCATCGCCGCCTCCCATCGTATTCACCAGCTCCATTTCCACCATCACAGGTCCGTCCATCCCTCCTCTAATTCTTCCTTTCCTCTGAGCCCTGACACTTCCATCTCCTCGCTGGGCCATTGTAGCCTCCCCAATCGTCCCAGTTCCCGAAATACCTTTCACAGACCCGCAAATTGCGAATCTTTCCGGATACAGTCGGAGTAAATGGGTCGCTGAGACTCTTCTCCTTTGGGCGAAGCAAGAGCGTGATTTATGCGTCAATGTGGTTCGCGTCGGACAGATAGCGGGCGATACGAAAGTTGGAGGATGGAACGAGAAGGAATGGGTACCCGTGATGTTGAGAGGTTCCCAGGTGTTAGGTGCGACTCCCGAGAGAACTGAGGTAAGAACATTCGGTTTCATTTTTACGAGGCTGAATGCTGATATGTGATGTCGCAGGACACTATCTCATGGATCCCCGTCGACACAGCCGCCTCAGCTCTTATCGACATCGTTGGCAGCCCCGAATCTGTCCTACACCTCGTTCATCCATACCCAGTCCCATGGGCCGTCGTCTCCTCCACTGCCTCCGAACTCCTCAAAGTCCCCATCGTGCCTTTCAGCGAGTGGATGTCCATGCTCCGAGAAGCCGCCACACAGGACCAGAGCTCGGCCGCTGACGACTCGGACGTGATCGAAAATCCGGCGTTGAAGATCTTCGACTTTTTCGAGAAAGGGATGGCGGAGATTAGTGAGATTGTGATCGCAACGGATAAGGCGGTCGAGGTGTCGAGGAGTTTGAAGGAGGCGAGGGAGTTGGGGAGGGAGGATGTGGAGAGGTGGGTGGGTTATTGGAGGAAGGTCGGGTTACTGAGGGATTAAAGAAATGAGGATGTTACCAGTACGTGAATTCTAGAGCTCTGTAGGTATGGTTCGTTGGTATGTTGTACTACGATGTCTTTTTACGCAATCCAAGGTTTAGACTGGTTCACCGACATTACGGATTCCGTCCCTGTTTGGTTTTGCAGGACGAGCATTTACACCGCTCGTCTACTCTTCCGCTCTACATACAGAGAATAAATTACAGAGTATACGTAGACTGTGCCCAAGCCCACTCTCCATTTACTCCCAGTAATCCGTCAACCCCGGGGCCCACCTCGCCCACACATCGTCGATCCCATAATTTTCCTGCGAGTTCAACTTCCACTCGTACTTCGGCTCGTCCCCTTCCTTCTCAGGGTCCCAGAAGTCCAGCCTCCGAGTCTACGAGGAAGCGCGCGAAGGAAAGGTTATGAGTGATTCACAATCAATAATGAAAGGGGACGGAAAGGTGCAGGATGGGAATAGGCAACACTCACGATCCCCTGACTCAACAATATCCCCGTCGGCACCGCCGGATACTCCTCCAACTCCGTCAACTTCACCTCTCCCTCCTTCTCCCCTTTCCCTGCCCGTGCATCAATGAGCTTCCCGATATTGTTCGCCACGGTCGTCGCGTGGTAATACGCCGGCCGCGCCGCCTTCTGGTGCGTCGTGTTCGCGATATCGCCCATGACGAAGATGTGTGGGTATTTCGGGTCTGAGATTTGCAGCGTCGGTTTGATGGAGATGAAGCCCCAGGGGGAGGTCAGGATCGAGGAAGGGGTGAGGTGTTTCATGTAGGCTGAGTTTGGGGTCATTCCTATTGTTGGGATCTAGCAGTCACGGACAACGACGGAGGAGTTAGTTTGAGAATTTACACAACGAAGAGAGACAGGCTGGAAGGTGGAATGGTGAAAGGAGTACTAGTACTGACGACGAAATCTGTGGGGACCTTCCTGCCCGATGACAGTTCGACGTCGAACGTAGGCCCGCCGCTTGGGAAACCCCCTTCTGGAATCTTGACCCGATCGTTCAAGATGACTTCCACGCCGAGCTCTTTGAATCGCTCTGCGACCATCTCGTGAAGCTTCGGGTGGAAGCGGTTCATCAGGTGTGTCCTCGAGTGAATCAGAGTGACCGATTTATTCGGATAATAGTCTTTGATGTCAGCGGCCATCTCTAACACGCACCGAAAGAGTCTGGCTTTAGTACTGTTTCGACGACATGAAAAAAATAAAGAGGCGAAATATATACTCACGGACACCAACGGCACCAGCACCAACAAGCACGACCTTCTCCGCATTCTTCACCTTCGCCTGATGATCCCTGAACCACTGAATGCCCGCCGGCTTGCCCATCGTCGGCACATTCGCCGGCGGAACCAACTTGGTCCCGGAACACAGTACAAGATACTCAAACTCTATCTCCTCCCTCTCCCCTTCCTTTCCCTCACCCTCCTCACCCTCCGCGATCGTCTTTTCGACAATGACCCGATCGCTCCTCACGTCCACTACCTTCGCGCACACGACGACCGGGTCGCCGGGGAATTTTTCCTGGTTGACGAGTCCGCGGAAGGGGATGAAGGCTTTGTGTTCGTAGCCGGGTACTGTGGCGAAGCGGGGAAAGGCGAAGAGGTAGTTGTAGTGGGTGTGTTGTTCGATGAGGATGACGCGGTGCGTCTTGTGTGTTTTCTCCGTCAGCTGGTTGATGGCCCAGAGGCCTATGAAAGAGTGGAGGTATAGATGTTAGTTATGGCCACGTGTGGTATGCGAGAAATATAGTGGGGAAGATAATGGACAAGAAGTGGTATGTGTGGAGGGTGAACGAACCGGCATAACTCCCGCCTACGATGACGATGTTCTTCCTCCCATTCGACGCTGGCGGAGGTACGAAAGTCATTTTACCGCCGACTGATACTGATGGTCTAGTGGAGAGCGCTCTATGACAAGTAGCAGTGAAAGCACCAAAGAGCGCAGGTCGAAATGCACACAAGGCTCGATACTGGAGGCGAAGCCTGGCTGTCTGAGTGCGAGTCTCAAGGGATAACTTGAATCCTAGAGAGAAGCTAAGCCTCAGCAACATATCCGCAACTCGTCCGTGCACAGCTCACTGCAACGTCCTGGTCGCAAACTTTACCCGTTCTTATAACTCCATACTGCACATACCTTGTTGTAAGCACTCTTGCTCGAGTGGGATCTAAATTCGAAAGGAGCGCTGTCGTGGTCGAACGGCCGAAAAGAAGAAGAGTGCATCTCCACGTCTGACTCGGAATCCCTTATGTATATTCCAAAAATGACAGCCCATGTGGTCATCCAATCATGCTATTTCACAGCGGCCATCTGGGCTCTGGAGAAACTGTGGCTAGCGAGCTGAGAGGACGGCGGCTCCGGTGAGCATGGAGAACTTGAAGGCATCGATGAGTGGATGAGGACCGCAGCGGTCAGGTCGAACGTACGATTATCAGATAAGACGGGCGGTCCACGTTTGGTTGGTTGATCGAGTGCTTGTCAGATAAGATGATGATCCGACGGTAATGAAGGCCTGCGTAATACTGATGACAGTGGTGCCACACCACTCAATACTCCGTTGACGTCCGCCCAGTCCGATGAAAGGTCCAATAAGGACAGTGCACAGAGTAGTGTTACAGCGCCTTGGGTTTCCTTAGCAGACGTCGGATGCGAAGAGCGGGACCGTAAGACGCGGTGGTCGAGTCAAGGCAACAAAGACACGAGACGCCACACTATGACGAGACGAGCAGACTTCAGCACTATACATTCACATAGGAATAAGATACATTGTGTTCTTCCATCCACAGTTATTCAACCGCCTAGAGAGTGAACAGATCCATGAACTCAAACTTCACGAGCAACGTCGCTCCGGAATCCTTCCCCTTTGGCGTCAACATCCTCACCAATCTCCATCCCGGCTCTATCTGCTCCGTCTTCGCGACGAAGACGAGATGTTTGACATCGGGGCTGTAAGCAATGTCCTCCCAGATGTTGAACCTATAGAGATTCAATCCGGCCGTCAGCACGTAGCCCATGACCCCAGTGCTAGACAGGAATGAATGATGACTCGGAATAATGTTACGCACCTAACGAACTCCAGTCCCTCCTCCTCATAATCGAACTGGAACTTCTCATCCCACATCACATCCGTGATGTTCTTCTGACCTTTCGCGAGCGATCCATCCTCATTCGCATCCTCAGAAGGTTGCGAGTTTTCAACGACGAAAGGCTCCGTCTTGACGGTCTTGCTACGCCATTCGCCTTCCATAGTCTTCAGGCCTGGGTGGAGTAGTTGGACGAGGATGTAGTTCGAGAGACGTTTCGTGCCTTCGGGAGTGGGCACTATACAAGGTGGAGGAAGAGGTGTGAATGCACAATTATCAGCACGAAGGTCTGTGGGCGTATATTGGAGGTGGAGGAGGAGGATGTACGCACTTGAGCTGAGACCAACGACATGACACGTAAGTCTTTTCTTCTTAAGTCGTTTTCCACCTTCAGGAAGCAAGTGCGCAGGCTTGCGCACCCATCCAGGCGTACCCACAAACATCGCTTCATTGATCTGCACCCCCCTATCATAATTCTGCCAGTTGAGTGCCGCGATCTGACTCCCATTTCCCCAATACTTCAAAGGATTGAGGTTGCTCGAGGTGATACGCGTGCCGCGCGGGTAAACGCGTCTGAGATGGAGCTGGGAGTGTTCGATGAGTGGGTTGAGAGAAGCGGGGAGGAGGGCGGAGAGGGTGGATTCGGAGATGTTGATTAGGATGTGGGCGGGGTAGGATATTTCTGTTGGACATGCACCGATCAACGTCGGCTCGTATTAGGCAAGGAGTGATGGGAAGGACAGGCGACGTACGTTGGGTGAGCCAGTCCTTGGAGGGTTTCATGCTGCGAGCGTATACACCGAGTGCCGCCAGGGCATCAGAGATGGCAGAGGGAGGCAGAGGCTTGACTTTATGTTTCGTTCCGCCTTCTGATTCTTCTTCCTCCTCTTCTTCGTCGGATTCTGAAGAGCTCGAGGGAGGATCGCCGTTATCTTTCGGGACTTTGGGCGGGTAATATTCGATCTACATCATACGAGCAGCTATTTAGCATGCGCGCACATACAGATCAGTAGAGAAAAGAAACAGGATACACCCACCATAGCCACAATCTTCCCCCTCAATTCACCAGGCGTCACTCCTCCCGGCTCTATCCCATCCTCCTTAACCTCCTTCTTAACCAACTTATCCCCCCAATTTTCCTCCATAATCCTCACCAACTCCTCCTGTCCCTCCACACTTACATGACACTCCAAACTCAACATGACCGGCCAATCTCCCTCTTTCACGGCCATGCCGATCGCCTCGCATACTTCGGCGAAAGGGACGGATTGGGAGAGGGTGTAGCCGTGGGTGACGATGGGTCCCGAGGAGCCGGACCAGACGTCGATTTCGATGCAGCGGGCGTGGTGCGTGAGGACGTGGGTGTAGGAGAGAGCGGAGGCGTGACCGAGGATTTGACGGGAGAGGAGGTAGGTGTTGTGGGAGGAGCTGTGGGGTGTATGACGAGGTCAGGGTCTTGGAATAGAGACGATAATGAAGTTTGTAGGACGTACGAGATGAAGTAGTGGGTTAGAGGGTAGCAGTCGTCTGGATGCTTCGCGACGAGGGTAGGAAGTGCCAAGAGGTCCCTTGCAGACTATGCAAACCCATAGAATAATCAGTTTATACAACAATACGAAAGGCTCGACGACAGAGCGCACCTCCCCTTGCTCAGCTAAATACTGCTCGACCTGAGGACTCAATCGTATCTGTTCGACGTTGGTAGGATGGAGGTTGACCGCCGTCTCCAGTCCTTCTCTTGTCCTCGACTCCTGCAGGTCGTGTTCCCAGTCGCGTGCGTGGTCTGTCATAGCGCTCTTGCGTAGGCTGTTCAATAATATTCTGAGATCGAGACGGGTGTGTGTGGTACTAGAGATGTGGGAAGTAAGAATGAGAGAATGAGTAGTGTGTTGGTGGTGGTGTTGACGACGAAAGGAATTTGAGAAACGGGGGAGGCGATACATACTGTTGTTGGCGTCTCAGGGGTAACTGTATAGCACTCGGCTAAGTCACTATAAATACACGAAAATCACATTGGATGTCTCAGCCCTTTGGGTGGTGCGCTCCATCGATGTGAGTGATAGCGAGCTCCATAGAACTTATCAAGGCACATAGGGTCAACGTCGTTCGTTACGGTGAGTGTGGATGGATGGAAGACCGTCGGTGGTGGTGTGGCCCAAACTAGCTCGAGTCGAGCCGGATTGGGAACGTCGTCTCTTGCTTCCCGACCACCATGTCAACAGGCATGCCAGTGATAGCACCTATATATGACGCTCTTTGACTTTCTCGTCGTGCATCTTACTCTTTGGCTTTTCAGAATAAGGCATCGCCAGCGTGATGGCCTCCGGTTCGATGATTCCTTACTACTGCTTGAGCCTTTGTCTAGTCGAGCTCGTTTTCAGCACCAGCTTGTGTGAGGTGCAGGACACTACCTCATGCAGTAGACGTGCCACTGGTTTCAGCTAGCTGGAGGCTCTTCCCTTCGATTTGGCTTTGGACACTGACAGACTGCCCACGATGAGCTCATCTCGTACTCGTACGTCTTCCCTCTTCTACAGCCTTTCTCGAGACTCGCATTGGCAGACAATTGAATAGTTATATCGAAACAGAAAGCAAAGAACGTGATGTGTCGTACATGTATGATACAGTATTTTCATGAATCCCTCCAATATCCAACATTATAAACAATGTCCAATGACAACCACGTTTCCCGAGCGACCCTACGTCTCGTCTCGCTGTCCAGCAGTCGACCGACGCACCTTTATCATCCCTTCCTGGTATCCAGCACAAGCAAAAGTACACTCACTCACGACCTAACACCATCTTCACAGTGCACCCCCTGCGCATTCCACGTCCCACGTTCCATGTCCTGCCCTACACCCTCCCCAACTCAATATCCACATACTCATCCCCCCTCCTCCCACCCATCGTCACCCCATTAACAGCACCCTCACCACCCAACTTCCTCTTCGTTCTCTTTCCCTTAGCCGACCTCGGTGGTGGCGGCGGCAAGAGCACGAACTGTGTCTCCGGATTCGTATTACTCCGCGCACGCAACTGTGGATCCCTACCCGCCGCGTTATCGATCTGGTAATGGGCGTGTGCTAGGTCTCGAGGTTCATCTCGAGTTTGACGGGTCATGTTGAAGCTGAAATGGGGGGCAGTCAGATGCTTCTTGGAATAAGGCGGTGGGGGTGGGGGTGGGGGTGCAGCACCACGAGAACGAGCATGATGACGGACGTGCGCCGGAGCGAGATGTTGAGGATGGGCGTGGATGAGGGTTCCAGTGCGTGGATAAGGTCCGAGGTTGAGTGCGTGCATGTGCGAGACTAACGCGTATGGGTCGGCGCAGTCCAAGTCCAATACGGGGTCGATGCCCCGGAACTGTTGTTTGTGCTTGGGCAAGCGACGTTGACGTTTGCGCTCGGTGTAGTATAGGATGATGGCGGTGGTGGAGATTATGAGGAAGATGAGGAGGACGGCGAGGATGGCTTTGAGGGCTATGGTGAGGGCCATTGATCGTCCTTGGTTTTGGTTTTGGTTTTGGAAGGTGGAATTAGAACGAAGGAAGGAAGGAACGAAGCGATTCAACGAGTGGAAGGTGATGAAGGAAGGGGGACCGTCAAGGTGTGCTCCTGGCTTGGGTTGCTTCTCCGCTTGGAGACGTCCTTATATATGGAGGTGCGCTTTGTGTCTCGCGTTTGGCACTTACGTTCTAGATCGGTGCGTTTCTTTCAAAGGATGGGCACTGTGGCAACCTTTGTTCCATTGTCTGGTCGGTCGCCGGTGAGACAATGACACCCGGATATGAGCCTACTGATGGCATGACTACGTATACTGGACATACCGGTTTTTTCCATTGGCCTAGGTGTGATGGTACTGTGAGGCTTGAATATTTGAACGTTCGGTTTACTTACTGCCTGAGTCTAAACCGGCATTGAGTCAATGACGACAGCGGTTGAGTCTCTATGTTTGCTCTATGTGGCACCGCCGGGTTAAGTACTTACGCCACGTCTCGTCGTATCTTTTGCGGGGCACTGGATGAGAGCTCCGGTTAAGTTCTTTTACGCTTTGTCTAGAGCGGACGGCCTGCAATATTATACTTGTTTTTGTTTTTGCAATGTTCGCTTTGTTCTTGTCGCGTCTCGCGACTTGGACAAATTAGGATCGGAACGCGAACAGTCACAGATGCGTGATGATGTGACTCACGACGCGCCATTCAATTTCGGACGCCATATTTCCTGTTCTTGTCTTGTTCCCTCCCATGACCTGGTCTGACGTGTAGACAACGTCCACTGAGGATCGAAGAACTTCAAATATATCTCGGAGTCCAGCATTGAAAACCCTCCCTTCCTCCCTGCATGAGGCGGGTATTTGACTGCAACTTGACCTAAATCCAGAGTTGGAGACGTTTTTGAGTTCGTTACTAACATCGCACGCTGACCTTGAACTCCATATCCTTTGGAGCTTGTTAAACTTGTCCTATGCCACTCACTCATTCTGTTCTTCACCTAAAATGAGTGCAGGGTAAGAGGTAAATTTCAGAGTAACAACGGTTGTACGCTCTACCCTCTTTTGGGTGGCACAAACACTTAGCCAATTCACCTTGGTCCACTCTTCTTTTCATTTCCCGTTGCTAGTTACCTTGTAAGACCACTGATCTGTATGCCAATTCTAGGAATTCTCTTGTTCTTCCTCCTAAAATACGCTGATCGCTGGCGTTGTGAATGTACGTACTAGCCTGAGTACCCGCCGGCTTGTTAGTGCAACGCGTAGCTTCATGTACTCCTAACTTTGGTAGTTTAAATTTTAATACATGATACCTCCTCCTCCTCTTTTATCACCGTCCTTGAGCGTTACGACTCAACAAGGCATGGGCCGCCCTTGCAAGGGGCCAGTGTGGCGCATGTGGCGATGACGAAGATAGAGCAAACAGGGCCAAACACGGCCGATGGGGAGAAATTTCGTGCTCGACGACTGAATTTTTCTTCTCTCTCTCCTGATCCTCATCGCCCGCACACGTCCTCTGCTGCGAGCGGAGAGGAACAGGAGACAGTCGTCGCGTCCAACACATCCCAATTAGCATCCCTTCTTTCTTTTATCCTATCATGGCTCCCGCGCCTGCCGTCCCCGAGCCGACACGGCCCTCCATCGTTCGCTCGACCAGTTACGTTCCCAACGGTATCCCAGCTCCTCCCGTGACCGCGCCGTCCCTCCAGACATCGGAATCTCAGCCGACCCTCGATGCCGTCCTCGAGCTCGCGGACGGCACTGCCTTCCGAGGTATCAGCTTCGGTGCCCAGGGCAAGAGCGTATCTGGAGAATGTGTTTTCCAAACCGGTACGCTTCAGATACCATTTTTTTTACAAATTGGATACGCGCTCAACGATGATAATGAATGAACGAATTGAAAAAAAAATGGTAATCGTGTGTGGGGATTTCGAATTCGGCAGGCATGGTTGGATATACCGAGTCCTTGACTGATCCGTCCTACGAGGGTCAGATCCTCATCCTCACATACCCGCTCGTCGGAAACTATGGCGTTCCCTCGCGCGAGTCGCTTTCCGAGCTCGAGTTGCCTGAAGACTTCGAGTCTTCGCGCATCCATATCTCCGCCCTCGTCGTCGGCTACTATTCTGAGGACTTTTCTCATTTCCTCGCAAAATCTTCGCTCGGTCAATGGCTAAAAGAGAACGGCGTTCCTGCCCTGTACGGCGTCGACACCCGTGCGCTCACCAAAAGGATTCGCGAGAAGGGATCCATGCTTGCCCGCTTTTTGGCACGAAAACCGGAGGCACCTATCGACCGGAGGAGGTCTCTTATACCAGAGTCTCTGCCAGCCTCTCGCGCGCCCAGTCGCGCTCCTAGTCCTCCTGGTCCTGCACCATGGAGGGAAGACTACATTGATATCGAATATCAGGACCCGAACGTAGTCAATCTCGTCGCGGTCGTGTCCATCAAGTCTCCTCGTCTCTACAAGCCCACCGCGACCCCGAAGATGCACCCCTCCGGACGGCCATTACGGGTCATCGCTGTGGACGTCGGGATGAAGTACAACCAGATCCGTTGCTTCATCAACCGTGGCGTCGAGCTCAAAGTCGTACCCTGGGACTACGACTTCAACTCACCCACCGAAGAGCCCTTTGACGGTCTCTTCCTCTCCAACGGTCCCGGAGACCCGACGACGGTACAGGCTACCATCGACCGCATCGCCCAAGCGATGCAGAAATGCGACCGCCCCATCTTCGGTATCTGTCTCGGCCACCAACTCATGGCCCTTGCCGCTGGTGCGCAAACCTCCAAGATGAAGTACGGTAACCGCGGCCACAATATCCCCTGTACCGACGCCCTCAGCGGCCGATGCTACATCACCTCCCAGAACCATGGATTCCAGGTCGACACGCAGACGCTCCCCGAAGGCTGGAGGGAACTATTCCGGAACGCGAACGACGAGTCGAACGAGGGCATCTACTGCGTCGACAAACCCTTCTTCTCCGTCCAGTTCCACCCCGAGTCCACGCCCGGCCCCCGCGACACGGAGTTCCTCTTCGACGTCTTCATCCAGAACATAACGGACTGCGTCTCGACCAACACCCTCGTCCCCATCTCCATGCCCGGCGGTCTCAAAGCCGATAACGAAGCGCGTGTGCCCCGCGCGAACGTCCAGAAAGTCCTCATCCTCGGTTCCGGCGGTCTTTCGATCGGCCAGGCCGGAGAGTTCGATTATTCGGGCTCGCAGGCGATCAAGGCGTTGAAGGAAGAAGGCATCTACACCATCCTCGTCAATCCCAATATCGCCACGATCGCCACCTCGCGCGGATTAGCAGACAAAGTCTACTTCCTGCCCGTCACGCCCGAGTTCGTCCGTAAGATCATCCAGTACGAGAAGCCTGACGGGATCTACGTCACATTTGGTGGACAGACCGCGCTCAATGTCGGGATCAAGCTGAAAGACGAGTTTGCGAGCCTTGGGGTTCAGGTGCTCGGGACCCCCATCGACACGATCATTACGACGGAAGACAGGCAGATGTTCGCGGCGGCGATGGAGGAGATTGGTGAGAAGTGCGCGAAGAGTCAGACGGCGACGACGGTGGACGAGGCGGTCGCTGCTGCGATATATATCGGCTTCCCGGTGATTGTGAGGGCGGCGTATGCGCTGGGTGGACTTGGATCTGGATTCGCGCAGGATGAGGGGCAGTTGAAGGCGCTTTGTGGGAAGGCGTTCGCGACGAGTCCGCAGGTGCTTGTGGAGAAGAGTATGAAGGGATGGAAGGAGATCGAGTATGAGGTTGTGAGGGATTGTAGGGATAATTGTATCACGGTTTGCAACATGGAGGTCAGTCATCTTCTTTTCTTCTTTTTCAGTCTGTCGCCTCTTGCCTGGTCGTTGATGTTTTTTTTTGTTGATTTACAGAACTTCGACCCATTGGGGATTCATACTGGAGACTCCATCGTCGTCGCGCCATCGCAGACCCTCTCAGACGTAGACTACAACATGCTCCGAACAACAGCCATCAACGTCATCCGCCACCTCGGCGTCATCGGCGAATGCAACATCCAATACGCGCTCAACCCGACCTCGCGCGAATACTGCATCATCGAAGTGAACGCGCGGCTCTCGCGTTCCTCAGCCCTCGCGTCCAAAGCCACCGGCTACCCGCTCGCGTTCATCGCCGCGAAGCTCGGGCTCGGGATCCCGTTGAACGAGATCAAGAATAGCGTGACGAAGGTGACGAGCGCGTGCTTTGAGCCGTCGTTGGATTATGTGGTGGTGAAGATCCCGAGGTGGGATTTGAAGAAGTTTAGTAGGGTGAGCAGGTTGTTGAGTAGTAGTATGAAGAGTGTTGGGGAGGTGATGAGTATTGGGAGGACGTTTGAGGAGACGATACAGAAGGCGATTAGGTCGATTGATGATCAGTTTGCTGGGTTCGCGAAGGTATGTTCTCTCTTTTTTTTTTTTTTTGAACCGTTGCTCTGGTGGTGTACTGATGATTCCTGAGCAGAACGACTATGTTGAGGATATCGACGAGGAGCTCGTCAATCCGACGGATAAGCGCATTTTTGCGATTTCTACGGCTTTCCACCGCGGTTATTCGGTCGACAAGATCTGGCAGATGACGAATATCGACAAGTGGTTCTTGACGAAGCTCCAGCACATCTTCAACATGGAGCAGCGCCTTTCGTGAGTTTTTCTAAATATACTTCCATCTCGATATTCCTCTGATCGTTTGCGCCCACCGACAGCACCAGCAACATCTCCCTCATCACACCAGACCTGCTCCGTCAAGCCAAGCAGCTCGGCTTTTCCGACCGTCAGCTCAGCATCTGCATGGGCTCCAACGAGCTTGCCGTCCGCCGTCTCCGCCAAGAACATAACATCTCGCCCTTCGTCAAGCAGATCGACACCGTCGCCGCCGAGTTCCCCGCCTTCACGAACTACCTCTACACCACCTACAACGCCGTCGAGCACGACATTGAGTTCAACGACCGTGGCGTTATCGTCCTCGGCTCCGGTGTCTACCGTATCGGTTCGTCCGTGGAGTTCGACTGGTGTGCCGTTCGTGCGATTCGTACGCTGAGGGACCAGGGCCTTCCGACGGTTATGGTTAATTACAACCCCGAGACGGTCAGTACGGATTACGACGAGGCCGATCGGCTTTATTTCGAGAATATCAGCCTCGAGACCATCCTCGATATCTATGACACCGAACGTTCGCGCGGTGTTATCCTCTCTATGGGTGGTCAGACTCCGAACAACATCGCCTTGCCGCTTCATCGTCAGAACGTCAAGATCTATGGGACGTCGCCCGAGATGATCGATACTGCCGAGAACAGGTACAAGTTCTCGCGTCTGTTGGACGAGATTGGCGTGGACCAGCCGTTGTGGAAGGAGCTCACGAGCTTCGAAGAGGCAGAGGCGTTCTGCGAGACAGTGGGATACCCCGTGCTCGTCAGACCGTCGTACGTCCTTTCGGGCGCCGCGATGAACGTCGTCTCCACCGGCGACGATCTCTCGAACTACCTCACCCAGGCCGCCGCCGTCTCGCGCGACCACCCGGTCGTGATCTCGAAGTACATCGAGCAGGCGAAGGAGATCGAGATGGACGCGATCGCGAAGGACGGGACGATGGTCATGCACTATATCTCCGAGCACGTCGAGAACGCGGGAGTCCATTCCGGCGACGCGACGCTCATTCACCCGCCGCAGGATCTCGACCCGCAGACGGTGCGCCAGATCGAGGAGGCGACGGCGAAGATTGGCAACGCGCTGAATGTGACGGGCCCGTTCAATATCCAGTTCATTGCGAAGAATAACGAGATCAAGGTCATCGAGTGTAACCTCCGTGCTGCGCGCTCGTTCCCGTTCGTGTCGAAGGTGACGGGTATCGATGCCATCGAGCTCGCTACGAAAGTTATGCTTGGGCTTCCGGTGGAGCCGTACCCCGACGCTGGGTTGCCAGCGGATTACGTCGGTGTGAAGGTGCCGCAGTTCAGTTTCAGTAGGCTTTCGGGGGCGGATCCGGTTTTGGGTGTGGAGATGGCGTCGACGGGCGAGGTGGCGTGTTTCGGGAAGGATAAGTACGAGGCGTATTTAAAGGCGTTGATCTCGACGGGGATCGTTCCGCCGAAGAAGAACGTGCTGTTCTCGATTGGTGGGTTCAAGGAGAAGTTGGAGTTGTTGCCTTCGGTGCAGAAGTTGCAGAGCGCGGGGTACAATATCTTTGCGACGTCGGGCACGGCGGATTTCCTTCAAGAGCATGGCGTGTCTTGCAAGGTTCGTCTGCATATTTGGTTTTCATGCATATATGCTCATAGGATTCTTGCTCTGTAGTACCTCGAGACCTTGGGCGAAGACGGCCGCGACCTTCAGAAGTCCGAGTATTCTCTGACGCAACATCTGGCCAACAACCTCATCGACATGTACATCAACCTGCCGTCGAAGAACCACTACCGCCGCCCTGCGAGCTATGCTAGCAAAGGTTACCGCACCCGTCGTATGGCCGTGGACTTCGCCGTCCCCCTCATCACGAACGTCAAGGTCGCGAAACTGCTCGTGGAGGCTCTTGTGCGCAAGATGCCACTCGATGTTTCGACCGTCGATTCCAAGACGTCCCACATAACGCACATCTTCCCTGGGCTTGTCAACATCGGCGCTTTCGTCCCTCGTCTTGCGGAGGCGGGCAACGACGACTTCATCCAGGCCACGAAGGCGGCTCTCAGCACTGGTTTTACCACCTCGCTGGTCATTCCATTGGGGTACAGGAACAAGATCGTCGATCTGCCCACGCTCGAGCAGGCCCGCTCCAACATCGGAAATGGCGCCTACTGCAACTATGCGTTGAACATCACGGCTTCGTCGGACAACAGCAAGACCATGGACGATGAGCTCGCGGCTGAGGTCAAGGCCCTTTTCATCCCCTTCCATGTCGACAACGTTGCCACCCAAGTATCGGTCGTCGCTTCTCACTTCGCCTCTTGGCCCTCCGACAAGCCCATCATCACAGATGCGAAAGGCTCAGATCTCGCCTCTGTTCTTCTCATGGCTTCGCTCCACGGTCGCAGCCTGCACATTACGGATGTGCAGAGCGAGGAGGATATCTTGTTGATCAAGCTGAGCAAGGCGAAGCAGTTGAAGGTCACCTGCGATGTCAGCATCTTCTCGCTGTTCTTCAACAAGGATCAGTTTGGCGGGAAGGTGAAGAACCTGCCTACCATCCAGGCTCAGGCTGTTATCTGGAAGAACTTGGACGTTGTGGATGCGTTCTCCGTTGGTGGACCCCCGTACTACGCTAGCCTGGACATGGAAGCGCCGTCTTCTTCCTGGTCTGGTGTCGAGGAGTCACTCCCGCTCCTGCTTACCGCTGTAGCGGATGGACGACTCACCCTCAACGACATTCAAGAGAGGCTCCACGATAACCCTATTCGCATCTTTGGCCTTCCTGAACAATCGAATACCCTAGTCGAAGTGTTCGTCAACCGGAACTCCATCTATCCCCGCCGCAAGGACCATTGGTCGCCTTTGGCCGACTCTCCCGTCCGTGGCCTCGTTCACCGTGTCATCATTCACGGCAAGACGGTCTTCCTCGACGGCCACATCTCGGGTCCGCCGCAGGGCAGGGATGTCTCTGCATCCGCCATCAGCCACAATGTGGTTCCCGAGAAACCTACCCTCACCACCGCTCTCTCTTCACAAATGGTCATGCCTACCATGTCGCCTATTGTCAGGCCCTCAGAGTCGAATGTGTCTTTGAACCCTGTTACCTCCATGTCTCTCCACGGGCCTCTCGCTGCCCCTCAACATTTCGTCGCCCCTCTTCCTCATCCCTCCTTCCACCGTCGTCATATCTTATCCGTGAAGCAATTTACCCAAAAGGATATCTATGATCTTTTCTCCCTCGCACATGAGATGAGGCTACAAGTCGAGCGATACGGCGTTCTCGACATCCTCAAGGGCAAAGTTCTATGCGCGCTCTTCTACGAGCCTTCCACGCGCACCAGCGGATCGTTCGAGGCTGCCATGAAACGTTGTGGCGGTGAGGTGGTCTCTATTCCCGTCGAACACAGCAGTGTCCAGAAGGGCGAGTCGCTTCCGGACACGATCAGGACGCTGGGATGCTACGGTGATGCCATCGTTATGAGGCACCCTGCTGTTGGCAGCAGTCAACTTGCAGCCAAGTACTCTCCCGTTCCCATCCTGAATGCGGGAGACGGAATTGGAGAGCATCCCACCCAGGCCCTCTTGGACGTCTACACCATCCGCTCCGAGCTTGGAACAGTCAACGGTCGTGTCATCACCATGATCGGTGACCTGAAGAACGGTCGCACAGTTCACTCTCTCGTCACCCTCCTTTCCCTCTACTCCGTCCGCCTTAACTTCGTCTCGCCTCCGTCGTTGTCCATGCCTTCCAGCGTTGTCTCCGCGGCGCGCAAGGCGGGCATCCCCGTCAAGCAGTGCGAGAGCTTGGAGGAAGTATTGGGCGAGACGGACGTGTTGTATGTGACGAGGGTGCAGAAGGAGAGGTTTGCGAGTGAGAAAGAGTGGGAGGCTGTGAAGGATGTGTATAGGGTTGACCATGCTGTCCTTGCGAGGGCGAAGGAGGAAATGATCGTCATGCATCCTTTGCCTAGGCTTGGTGGTAAATACCTTTCTTTTGCGCGTATCTGTGTCTTACGGTACTGACGAGCTTACTTTGAACTCCAGAAATCGATCCCGAGGTCGACTTCGACTCTCGCCGTGCTGTGTACTTCCGCCAGATGCGTTATGGTCTCTATGTATGTGTTTTGCCTTTGTTCTTCCTACTGATTTGGCTGACCAAGTTCTCTACGCTAGATTCGCATGGCCCTCCTGGCTAGTGTCCTCGGCTGAAGCGGTATTCAAAAGTATTATATCCCATCAACGTAGAAAATATGGACTTGCGATAGATTTGCTAGAGCAGCGGTCGACTCGAAGTAGGTGGTGACGAATGAGGAAAGAAGGAAAGCAATCGAAGTTATAGTTCAAACAAATGTAGCATCCAAGCATCGTACGGTTCGAGAAGACGATTTATAAATCAGACTGTATTTTTTCTGTCATTCTTTGATCAAAGTGTCGTTGTGCCACTGCGCAACACACCGGGACTGTGGCCTGCAAACTCAACCGCCTGACTCTCGTATCCGGGCCGCGATGTGCGTAATACATCCTCTTATCATCCTCAATGGCCCTGACTTTACTCACCTCCGGACGTTTACTTTCCGCATACCTCAATAACTCGAATTTTCCGTATACCATTCCTTCGCATCAACGGCCTCTAGCGTCCCTAGAGGCTTGGCGACGGTTTTGTGCCGGCCGCGATACCTCTTTATCAAACTTGTCCAATGTTCAACATTCATATCCATAGCCCGGCTTCTGCACAGAAATATTTGCTTCTGACTAGCATGCACGCGCACGCATGACCCATGACGCGAGTACTGGTGGTTGAGATCTTCGGTATCTGAACATACATATAGTTGCGAAGACTTGGAGTATGCAGGACTTCGTCACCCCCTCCCTCCAAGTCAGATGACCGGGATGTACGGAACAGCTCTTCTGCTCAGCATCATCTTTCCACTCGTGTTCGCAGGCCTCGAGTGTGAGAAGCGCTCATCCTCTCTGGATGGACAGTTCTGCACAAAGGTTGCTAGGACAGATCGCGATTCGTTTGTTAACGATCTTCTTGGGAAGTTATCGGTAGAGGAACTGGCTCGCCAACTACACCTCGTCTTCGCCGACAATGTCGTAGGGGCCAACTCCACGAACGAACTCTATGATTCTTATGCGGGAGAGCTCGGTCTTGGTCTAGTTCATGACTGGTATCCTATGAACCAAAGCCGATATAACGAACTCCAGGCTCTCAACCTCGCGAAGTCCAAGACCCCAATACCATTGATGCAAACGGCGGAATGTTTGCACGGGGTCGCGTCGTTCCAACAGTCGATATTTCCCAGTCCTCTCGGTCTCTCTGCTACTTTCGACCCCGACATGATGTACAAGGTGGGACGTGCTGTCGGCTCTGAAGCGCGTTCCATCGGAGTCCACGCCTGCTTTGCGCCTGTACTCGATTTGGCGAAGGACCCACGTTGGGGACGCGCTCAAGAGGATCTGTTCGTACCATTATTTTCTATGCAATACAGCCATTAATATTTCTCTAGTGGCGAAGATTTCGTACTTACCACACACATGGGCGTTGCATATGCGCAAGGACTCAGCAAAAATAGCTCTTGGTCTGACCCAGACGCCGTCATTCCTGTCATGAAGGTAATTTCCTAGACTCACTCTTTATGCTGTCTGTTGGTCGTTCTCATTCATTGTCTTCAGCACTTTGCCGCCCATGGTTCTCCTCAAGGAGGTGTCAACGCAGCACCGTATACAGGCTATGGTATGCGACAAATTGTGTCCGAAATGCTTGTCCCGTTCAAAGCCGTGGTCGAGCTCGGTGGGGCCAGGGGAGTCATGATGTATGTGAATCCATATTCGCGTCACAAAAACCAGGCTAATTCCCGCGCAGGGCTTATCACGATATCGACGGAGTACCCAGTGTCACCAGTATGTTTATTGGCTTCCGCCTCTCTACCTCAATCGTTTTCTCACTAAATGCTAACTCCTCTATTCTCTATCTCAGATCCTGACCTATACGATGCACTTGATTCATGGGGATTCGATGGTTTTGTCATTGGCGACGACACCGCGATTATCGATCTTCAAACCTGGCACTGGACGGCAGACTCTCCGGCAGCTGCTCTTTCGCAGTGGTTCAATGCAGGAGGCGGTGTTCAGTACTACGATTACAGTAAGTTCCACGGCTCTTGTGACTACCACCGTAGTTGGTGTAAACTAAATTTCATTATCTGTGGATTAGCTTTGGACGTCTTTCAGAACACAGTCGTCGACCTGGTCAACAACGGCACCATTGCTACAGATACTCTGCGCGAACGAGCGCGTGGAGTACTGAACGCAAAATTCGACTTAGGACTATTTGACGACCCTTACATCCCTGCCAACATCTCCGTTCAAGGCCTGATCGACGAGCATACACCCACGACACTCGAAGCTGCCGAACGAAGTATCGTGTTGTTGGAGAATAAGAACAGTACTCTGCCGCTCAAACCAGACTCACAGAACATCGGTAAAATCGCCCTCATCGGTCCCATGGTCGACACTCTTAACTTCGGCGACTACTCCGGTGCCTGGGGCAGTGGGCCTATCGATCGTGCTACCACTCTCCGTTCCGCTGTTTCGAACTATCTCGCTGCCAATGCCTCGTCGGTTGACTTGGTGACCTCATGGGGCAGCAATACATGGACGTATATGGCCCAATATCCCATCCCTCGCGATCTTCTCTCTTCTTCCAACGGGACAAGCGGTGGACTCCTCGCCACTTACTATTCCGACACCAATTTCTCAACACCCGCTTTTCAGACGTTCGAAATGCCGAACAGGCAATGGGGAATCTATCCTCCGCCTAGTCTCCCGTCGAACAACTTCTCCGCAGTATGGGAGGGAGAGTTCAGTGTTCCCACAAGCGCTAATGGATGGGTCAGTTTATCGTTCACCGTTGTTACCCCACAAAATCTCACAGCTCTTTGGACATTTCTTCTATTAGATCGGTCTGGCTATCAGTCCTAATTCAACCGCCACTCTTATTATCGACGGTAACAAGACCGTCACGGTCCCATACTCGTCTACGGGAACAATCCTGGGCAACATCGAGCAGTACACTTGGACCCAAGCCAACAGTACTGTGCCGCCTTTAGGCTGTGAACCTTTCTCGTTCAAAACGGGCGCCACACACTCCATTCGAGTCGAGTATCAAGTATGGAACACTTTCCAGAAGATCCAGAATGTGGCGAGCGTCAACGCACAAGTCCAACTTATCTGGAATCCTGTGGACAGAGATGATCCGGTTGAACTCGCGGCTCAAGCAGCCCAGGATGCGGATGTCATCATCTTCGCTGGAGGAGCCGCCTGGAATAGTGATGGCGAGAGTGGCGACAGGTCCACGTTGTCCCTCTCACCGAATCAAAGTAAGGTTGACCTTTTTTCAGCTTTCCTTATGCAGTACTAACAACAATCATCTCACCGATCCTAGCGCTACTCGTAGATAGGCTTTTCGAGCTCGGAAAACCCATCATAATGATTCTCGAAGGCGGTCGGCCGTTCGCCATTCCAGAGTATTATTCGAAGGCCGCTGCTGTAATGAATGCCGTATGTGTTCAGCCTCTCCATCTCATGTCGTCCTACGTTCTCTGATCCTCAAACAAATAGTACTTCCCTGGCCAACTCGGAGGACAAGCCCTCTCCAACGTCTTGTTCGGCCTCTTCAATCCGGGTGGTCGCCTCCCGCTCTCCATCCCATCATCTGTCGGGTCCCTGCCGTCGTTCTACAACTACAGATTTGGAGCTCACAAAATCCTGTACCTCGATGGTCCCTCATATCCGTTATACACCTTCGGCTACGGTCTCTCATATACCAACTTCACCCGCTCCGACTTCACTGCCGTCTCATCGCGCAACGACAAGACTTTCTCAACGAACGACACCATCACCTTCTCCCTGAAAGTCGCCAACATCGGGCCAGTGGCCGGCAGCGACGTTCCGCAGGTGTACCTGCAACGGAGGATTTCGTCGATCGTGCAACCGATGAGGCAGATGGTCGCATTCCAGCGAGTCTATTTGGACGCGGGAGAAGAAAGGACTATCGAGATGACGTTGGATCCTTCGCGGTTCTTATTGCTTTATACGAGGGAGAAGACGTGGGAAGTGGAGAAGGGAGAGTACACGTTCGCGTTGTCGACTTCGGATCATTTGGCAGATACCACGGTGAACGTTACGCTTACAGCTGTTTGAGGGGAATCCTTGGATCTCTTGCTTTCTCGCATGTTATTTTGGACAATCTAGACCTGTGATGAACATGAATGCTCATGGTCTGACAATGGGCCAGCCAAGGTTTACATATGGGTGAACATATCGACAGAACTCCTCGTCGCTCCAGAAGAGGAGACAATGAGATTGTCCTAGTGAGCCATCAGTATGAGGTATTATCTAAAAGCATCAGATCGCTCACCGAACACCCTGAACCAAGAGCTGTATTCCCGATCCAACCTGGCTCCCAATAGACTATACCAGGAGAACAAACAACAATCAGTCATACGCCCACGGTTGACTTGAGGAGAAATGCCTCTACGCACAGATTCCCTGACCAAGGCTATCCGGAAGCCCCGCCAACACCGACTCGATATCCTCGATCCACGTATCCTGCCCAGCCGCCGAAACCGCAATCGACTGCTCCGAAAGCGTAACCCCCGAACAAGCCTCCGGCCAATTCGTCTCCGCAACAACGATCGGCTTCCCCACATCGTTCGCCAAGTTGGTCAACGACGTCGTGAGAGCAGTGAGCGTTGCGTCGGCATTATAGAAAGGATAGAACGAGACCCCGATCATGTCGATATCGTCGGTGGAGAGCGCGCCTTGGATGAAGACGCCGGAGAACCACCAGGACATCTCAGAGTCGTCCCAGCCGTCTGCGAGGTGGATCATGATTTTGGGGGTGGCGACGGACTTGGCGCCGTTGATGGCTGAGTGAAGCATCTGAGAGACGGGACTGAAGTCGCTGTCGTCGATGACGCCGACAGGCCACAGGAAACCGTTGTTGATTTCGTTTCCGACCTGCACGTAAGTCGATGAGTATCGAGAGCCGCGCCACATGTGGCGTACGCACCTGGAGGATGTCAATATCGGTGTCTTGGTCGGCAAAAGCTTGGACGACGCTCGCGGTATACCTATGTTCTGTACATCAGGAGATCAAGGTAGCTGTCAATAAAGATTGGAGACGAACTCGTAAACCTGAGTGTTCAATCCGTCGAGCGTAGTCGGCCAGCCGCTGGGGATAGCCTGTGCACCGGGATCCGCCCCTATTCACCACCAAGCAGAACATCATCAATTATTCACTTCCTCAAAGGTCTGATGAACAATACACACAGGTATCACTGAAATGCATATCCACCACCAACGTCATCCCAGCAGCTTTCACCCTCTTTCCCAATGCAAGCGCATAATCCAAATCATACTGCCCCGACGTCCACAGCCGAATCCTCGCAGTATTCGCCCCATGGTCCGTCAAAATATCCTCGAAAGCCTTCGTCGTCCCACTATCAGAATAGGAGATGCCCTGGCTCTCGAGAAGCGGAAGAGAAGAAATGTCGGCCGCTTTGTATGTCAAAGCAAAAGCCGGAGAGACGACCGCGCCAGCGGTCAAGAGAAAGGACAGAAACTTGAAGGAAAGGACTGGGGAGAGCATGGTGGCCCGGGGGACAGAGAAAGAAGTATGAATGATGCGAATGTTTCCATGGTGTGAGGATTATAAAGAGGTGCAGGTGGTGCAGGTGCAGATGGTCGTCGGATGAAACGTCCCGTCGACTGCGTCGCTAGGGAAGGTGAAAGGCAGCTGTATAGATGCCGGCCTAGATGTGAGGTCGAGAACAGTACTTGAGCTGACAGAAATTGTTGCTCACTATGGGCAGGCAGGCATCAGGAGAGGACAATACACGCAAGAGTGTATAGGGCCAGGCTCATGCATCTGTCGGAGAGACCAGCGGGGAGGACCAACATAGATAGCTCACTCAAATACAAGACATATTCTCGAGGAGTTAGTCGAAGACAGCATCCTGAACAAGAACTTATGCGATACCTCGGGGGACGCCAAGGGAAGTCGTTGAGGAGGATCAATCGGCAACACAATACTGCCTGCCGATTTCAGCAAAACCTCGTGGTCTACTCAAGTGCCCCTGGTCGGCCTCGATATCTGCCATTGTGGCCCATTCTCGGCCAAACAGCGTTCAAGACAACACAATACACTTCGTGGGGACTGTCTCCGACAGGAAGCTCACATCAACTGATGGGGCTAAAGTAACAGAGCGGACGTACCGCAGCGGCCACCCACGCAGGACGGATCCCCTCCTAAATGAGCGCCATAAAACCATCGAGCCCTGTCAACACCAAACACATCCTCAGAAAAAAATATTCCATTTTCCACTTCAAACAAATCATGGAAAGCGTTGTCCAGCCAGCGACAAGGTATACGCAGGACAGAATTGACCATTCGTTAAAAGTAATGACGTTTCGATAGCTATTGAAGAGGAAAACGGGGCTCAAATAACTTGACGATGCAAAAAGGGAAAAAAAGCGTTACGGGGAGAAGTGTAGAAGGCGATCATGACAATGGGTACGACTAGAGTATGGGGGTAACATTGAGACAAAGAACGGACGGCGGGGAGCGACGGAGAACATGATCTTGAACGAATGCAAAGGGCGCAGACCGAGGAAAAGGAAGACCAATGTAAAAAAGTACCTAAGGATATTTTGGGGATATACCAGGCAAAGCAAAGAGAAGCATCATCAAGGGTATGAAGTGTTTACTGCTCATCCTCGACGGGGACCTCCTCCTCGTACTCGCCCTCCTCCTCAGCGCTATAAAAATGCTTATGTTATGAGTACGTGATGAAGAATAACAAAGTCAATGAGCACTTACGTCGCATCTTGGTATTGCTGGTACTCAGCAACCAAATCTTGCATGTTGGACTCCGCCTCGGTGAACTGGAAGGACGAAGATATATCAGTACGACGCTTCCTCGCCGAGTCAAGGATTGATCACGGACCTCCATCTCGTCCATACCCTCCTGGGTGTACCAATGCAAGAAGGCCTTCCTCTTGAACATGGCGGTGAACTGGTCGCTGACACGCCTGAAGAGCTCCTGGATGGCGGTGGAATTACCCAAGAAAGTGACGGCCATCTTGAGACCACGGGGAGGGATGTCACACTGCGCGGTAAGCACGTTGTTGGGGATCCACTCGACGAAGTATGCGGAGTTCTTGTTCTGAACGTTCTGCATCTGCTCCTCGACCTCCTTCATGGAGACCTTGCCACGGAAGATAGCGGCAACGGTGAGGTAACGACCGTGGCGAGGGTCGCAAGCAGCCATCATGTTCTTGGCGTCAAACATCTGCTGGGTAAGCTCTGGGACGGAGACAGCGCGGTATTGTTGGCTACCACGCGCCGTCAGAGGAGCGAAACCAGTAAGGAAGAAGTGCAGACGAGGGAAAGGAACTATCATGAAATGTGAGCAACGTATAATCGATTAGGCGCAGAGAATGTCCTGACCCATGTTCACGGCGAGCTTGCGGAGATCGGAGTTCAACTGGCCGGGGAAACGAAGGGAAGTCGTGATACCGGACATGACAATGGAGACGAGGTGGTTCAAGTCACCGTACGTGGGCGTCGACAACTTCAGGGTGCGGAAGTGGATGTCGTAAAGTGCCTCGTTATCAATACAGTAGGTCTCGTCGGAGTTCTCAACGAGCTGATGCACGGAGAGGGTGGCGTTGTAGGGCTATAATACAGACAAGAGGTCATCAAGTTATGTCGAGGGTGAAGTTGAGTAAATTTGGCCAACCTCAACGACAGTGTCGGAGACCTTGGGACTGGGCACGACGGAGAACGTGCACATCATGCGGTCGGGGTACTCCTCACGGATCTTGGAGATCAAGAGGGTACCCATACCAGCACCGGTACCACCACCAAGGGAGTGAGTGATTTGGAAACCTGCGAGCGGCGAGGTGAGATCCACGTGTTGTGTGACAAGAATGTCACAATGTCACAGTGTAACAAAAGAAGCGCACCTTGCAGGGCATCGGTTCCCTCGGCCTCCTTGCGAACGACATCGAGAACGGAGTCAACAAGCTCAGCACCCTCGGTGTAATCTAAAAACAGTGGCGATTAGTTAGGGGGAGATGGATCGGGAGTGAGGTCGCGCGAACAGACGCGCTCAAGTGAGACGCGTCGCGTTGCACGCCCTCGTACCCATCGCGATGTGACTCAGGGGAAGATAAACAACACTCACGTCCTTTCGCCCAGTTGTTACCCGCACCACTCTGCCCAAACACGAAGTTGTCCGGACGGAAAAGACCACCAAGGGGACCGGAGCGGACGGCGTCCATGGTTCCGGGCTCGAGATCAACGAGGACAGCACGGGGAACATACTTGTTCGCGCCGATCTCGTTGTAGTAAACAGAGATACGCTCGAGCTGCTGGTCGCTCGAACCCTTGTAGAGACCATCCGGCTCGATACCGTGCTCGTCCGAGATGACCTCCCAGAACTTCACACCTAAGCGCATACATCCGAATCAGAACAAATGCAAGACGCCTATCGTTCGATTATCGTACCGATTTGGTTACCGCACTGTAACCGACGACTGTCAGCCTCAATTCTCGCCGCTATTTCTGCAGATATAACGCACCTGGCCGGTCTGGAGATGGACAATCTCACGCATTCTGTAGAGAACCCGTGGTCAGAAAGTGGACGACGGCGGTTGATGCAACAAAGGGAACGCGAGAAAGACGGCGTGTTGACAGCCCGCCCCTCGCTCGAAATCGACGATAATGACGAGAAATATAGATAGAACGGGATGGAAAACGTACATGACAGAATAAGGAGATGAAAGAGAGAGAGGATGGGTGGGCGGAGGATGGGGAAGACACCTGAGGCGAGGTTGGGGGCGGTCAAAAACGGCGCACGCTCGGGTTTAGGGCTCGCCCAACTTCGGTCGGAGCCCGAATTGCCTCGTGCGTGCCACCCTTCTCCCGCCAGCCCGCCCCGTCCCGAATTTAGTTCGCCTCGCTTGAGTTGGTTGTCCTTTTGCTCAAGCTTGACGTACTGTGGCAGGACGAATGAACGAGATCCATGCTGTTTTCATTATTTCGACTCGTTCCAGAGGTCTTTCTCTGCCATAGACTCGCTCTTGTAAATCCGGTGAGAGTCCTCATGGATTTCACCAAGGCTCCATTTCAGGCTCTTGACCGTTCATAAATGTATCTTGGTCCGAAACACATACAAACATCGACAATATGGTATTTCGTCTCAGACACGCAGTTGAATACGTGCTCGAAGTAACAGACGACACAAACGAGTCCCACGAACATATCATACAATATCGCACATTATTGACCGATCCTCGTCATTTCACGACTCGGAAGCAGCAGGCACCACGTAATGCGGAGGCTGGATACGATCAAGCAGAGACGTTTGTGCAGCCGGTGGCAATGCTTTCGCCAATTACAGGCTACGAAGAATACTGTAGTCAGCACAAAAACATCGAAAGTGTGGGGATGATCCAGTTAAGGATGAACTCGACGTACGAGAGTGACACCGCCCGTGCAACAAGCAGCTTGCTCGATAGAGCCACAGCCACTATCTATGTCTGGACCACAGAACAGACCGACTTCGCCCGTCAGACTAGTAGAGTAGATGCCGGCGAGGGAGAGGATGTCGGAGACGGACGCCGGCTGCCATAAGATATTTTGTGTCAGTTGTGGCAATGTAAGGACATGAGAGTTTCAATTTACGTCGACAAATTCGTAGCAGCAAGTAGCTGTTCCTGTGTCAGAGGGGCAGGTTAAAGTAACCTGACGCTTGTCAGCGATGCTCGTCGTAGATACCACCTAAGAGTCACATAGTCAGTGTATTATCGAGACAAACATAGTGAGGACTGACAGAGGCCAAAGCAGCCAAGGCGACGACGACACGGGTAGAAGAGAGGGGGAACATGTTGGTATTGTTGTTGTGTGACTGTAGAGAACTAGACGAGTTGGTTGCTCTGTTAGTAGAATGATTCTCTGACCTCTTTATACCACCCTGGTCTGCCATGCTCGGCAAAATTCATATCGAGAGTCGACGAAGAAAGTCGACGGACGTGCATGTGGCTCCCTATAGCCTGCCTGACAAGTAAACATACAGTTGGACTTAACCAACCGCCAGACACACCAAGACACTGAATTCGAGGAGCATATGGTATCCGAGCTTGCCCTAGTGGGGATGGTGGTGGATGGATTAGTTGTTACTGTAGCACCGGCGAAGGTCACGTCGGTAGATTGCAGCGCGTTTCGTGAAATACAACATCAAGTCTAAGCCCCCGGAGTCACTACATCTGGCAGCCATTAATGTCACCTGCTATGAGACGTCAGACTAAATCCAAGGCTCAGCATTGAGTTGGGAGACGAGGATGACGAGAATACTGTCAAGACTCGGAACCAACCCGGAACGCTCGAGGACATTTGGCAGAGGAAGACATATCGATGCAAATAGGGTGCGGTAAACCTGTCGCCGGAGAAATGATTGGTATGGATTCAAGGGTCTGAGGCTTGAGCGCAACTTCAATTGAAGGACGTGTGGTTTGGACGACGCCACAATTACAACAAAGAAGTACGAGGACAGGACACAACCTCGTGCCACGCATGCCGCACGAACCTTGCGGCGTCTGCCGAACACCTCTTTCCTTCCTCACTCCATCTGATTTCTTTGTCCTCCGCTCACCAGCATGATCATTGGCGTTCTCGGCACAATCACGTCTCCCTTCAAATACACACAAACCTGTAACTCAGCGGGTGCGATTACAGTCCCAATGATGTACAGTCTCACAACTGGCTCGGCATGCTACCGACTCGAATCTACTCGTGACGGTCTGAGACCGGAGCACTCTTTGGCTCCATCATCTGTGCCACTCAATGCCATGTCCCGCATGCTATACAGTCTTAATCATTTGTCTTGTTCATCAGTCTTTCAAGTTCTGACTCTGACTCGCCTCTTCCATTGCGATTCGACGAACTTGGACGTCGCCAACTTTGCGCCGCGAGCGACTTACCCATCGTGCCTTCTACGTACAAGCTAGAACGCAACGTGCACAGCTCGTGATGTGTCGAAGAGCGTAGGGATTCAGGAACATCACTAGGGTATCCACAGAGTGCTCTGGCTAGTATTTTGCACAACCGCGGTCGCAATGTTCTTGTGCCGACTTTCGGTGAGACCAGTCGTATAAGCCGGTTTGACAATCATGCTCGAGGGCCGTCCTTGTATCGCACCATGATTTTGGGTGCTATCGTAAATGGACGCAATGCGGAGTTGACAGGGGCGAACGCAACTCTGACAGCGGTAAGCGGTTCTTATTCATCTCGTGTATCGACGCCGTGTTTAAATTACTACAACCCAATTCTTCATTCCTTTATCCTCCCTCAGGGTACGATTCAGTCCATAGCAACATCAATGGTAGTATGAGGGTGGTGTACAATGTACGTCTCTGCCTCCTGATGTCTTCCCTGCAATTTTCCAACTTGATTCCGCAGATCAAAGGTGTACGGCCTATGTATCTCGTCGTCTACAACCTACCTTGACGTCTGTCGAGCGGGGCGTAGTGCTCTCTCTTTTTTTTTTCCATCTCTTTTTTTAATGCAAAAACCAATTTCGTTTTACCATTTAACGCCATCATGGTCTGATAAAGAGTCGCCACCCCTCTTTGCCACCTTCAACGCTGATTCGCAATCCAAGGACCCAGCCTACTCCTGATGCAGCTCATGTCAACTTGTATGAGGGCACGCAGTTGTACCGCTTTGGACGGTGTGCTGGAGATCTTTTCCGCAACCCTCCAACCGGCGAACACCTCATGCGTTTTCCCATTCCACACCCTTTGACCGCTGGAAGTTATGACTCAATAGGGCTTATATGTTAATAAAAACTTGGAACTTTTTGTGAAAGCTCATTGGCGGATCGGACAGATCTTCCGCCAACGAGTTCCAAGTAAACTTGAAACATATAAGGTCTAATGTCTAACTTATTTTCGTGTTGCATCTCGGTGTGGGCTGTGGCACTAGCGTGGCGCACGCTACACTGCTGGTATTTCCGTCATAAACTTCAGGTACCAGCCACGGTATCTTTCTTTATATTCAGCACGTAATGCATGTGGTTGTTTCTCCACGTTTACACCTGGCTCCCTATGCTGACTAGTATGCCTTAGTGTTTGCTTCGACATTTCCACTCCACGGATCCGGAGTCGTCATCGGTCGAGTTGCGAGGTTCCACTTGCGGCCTTAAGGCGTGCTGGAAAGCAGGTTCGCAGGTTCATCCCAATACACTCACAGAGCATCATTCCGCCAGATAACATACTTAGTCGTCGAGACGGGAAGATATATTCTTGTGGATTCCGCATGTGTAAACCTCTGGAGCGGTAGTACCGTAGAGTACCGTCCATGATCTAGACACACTGCATCGATGACGAGGGCTCAGACTGCTGCACCCATCACAGGGTGATAATATAACAGACATTTGTATCCTAAATATCGTCCACATACTCGAGCAGCGCAGACGCTGGAACAAACAAGAATGGCAATGTCTATTAGATATGCACATCTATGTAACTATGGTCGCGCACGAGTATATGCTGGCCACGATAAGCTCCAATAATCAAAGTAATACACGAATGTCGTGGATACGTAGTATGGGAACTGTCTAAAGCGGGCAAGAAACAGAGCAATAATCACATACATGTGAACGTCCATCCCAAATATACTACAAGAAAGGAGGAAGTCTATCACAGATTGAATCCGATACTCGGGGAAATGAACGTCTATGGTATGAGGCGAGGCCTGGAAAGGAGCGTGACGACGTTTATCAAGAAATACAGAACGCGTGCTGTGTGTGTATGTGGAGTCCGAATCTTCGCAAGGCACATCAGTACGAGAAGATCATGAGCCAAGGGTTGAGAATGATCTATACATAAGTCATGGTGAGCCTTACAGAACAGGAGGAAGAGCGGACCCGACTGGAACTCACTGGGAAAAGGATGTGGCAGCCGGCTACGATGCTAGAGAAGAAAGCGCCAGTGGACGATAATTGTCAGCCGATCATGCGCACACACAAGCAATTTGAGTACTCACACAAGCGGGAAAATCACGGCCCAGTCGAGACTCTCCACCCTCCAGTCAACAGGTATGAGGTCCGTAGTGAGTATGGCCATCCCAATGAGGACACCGAAGGAAAGAACGAAGGCGAGCCAGAAACGTTTGAGGATACGTGGAACCTCGATGAAGAAGTTTGACCGTTCGACTTCCTTCTTTGTGGCTCCCCAAGTGATGTTGTACGAAAACAGATGAGCGAGCAAGGCCACCGAAAGATGTATAGACATTCCACCGAAGAAGAAGAAGCTAAGTCGGGTTACTGGTCAGTTATTTCGTACATGGTCGTAGCATGCGGTACTCACAAGAATGGGACCCAGGTGAGATTCTCGATAAGAGAGGAAAAGATGGATCTGTGACCGAGACGGTATTCTGAAAAAGCCATGAGCACCTGTGAACACAACAGAGCTAGATGATTAACCTACCGAGAAGCGTAAATCCGACGTTCCCAGCTCCTGAGTGGGGATTTCTTGGTCAGAAACACTTTCCGCGAATAGAGCGTGGGCAGACAATACCTGGGAATACGACCGTGCAAGCTAGAAAGATCTCGAACGAGTGCAGATAAAACCCATCGACGTGGAAGCCAAAGCCAAGGAGGACGTCTGATGTTCGTGATAAATCACTCGTCAGTCAACATGTTCGTTGCTAGGCACATATGGGCTCTACGTACAGTTAATGAGCGACAGTACAGCGCTGCCCGCCAGTCCGTAATAGGAAAACATGTCTGAGTGAAATTACCAGTGGTGTAAGTCAATGGGTGACTGAAGATGCAGGAGGTGAATGACGTACAAGACATCATACTAAGTTTATAATGGAGTGGAGCAGCACTCCATAAAAAGATTCGTAGCTGTTTGGTAATAGGGCCTAGGCGCCACCATTTGATGAGGGGATTGAAAATGAGCTCGTTGCAACCTGCAAGATATATGGACGAAGGTTAGAGATGAGGAGACAACGGGTGCGGTGAGAGGTCAGCGTGCCATAAGAGTACTTCTGCCACCGATTGAGCTCATCGTCGACGGTGAGCGAGACACCTTCCTTGAATCCACCTTCCGAATATGTGGCCCATCGAATGATGTATCCCTTGAGCTATGGGCGAAATGTCAGCCAGTGGTTTTTATGAATGTCAATCATAAATAGTTACCTGAAGCCTCAGTGCCATGTCGAAATCTTCGCTGACGTTGCTCTCAGACCAGATCTTCTTCTTGTTATCGTCATCCTTGTCCTCAAAGGCAGCGTCCTGGAGTGCAGACCACCGCAAATATGCGTTATGACCAACGAATGGTGCGACCTCGCCGTTGGCGCTTCCCATGGAAATACACTTGTTGATACGGCGGGTGAAGTGGGCGATACCGTTTTCGAAATAATGGAACGCGACTTGCATGACGTCTGTGGCGAGTAAGATTTTTCATCATAACATCTAAGGAAAAAGCAATTGCATACCGGACTCGTGTTGAATGATGGCGACCTCAGGAGATTCGGCCATTTCACGGGCAGCATCTAGTAGGAATTGAGCATGCGAGTAACAAATATAAATAACATCCACCAACCTCTGAAACAATCCTAATGAAAGGAAGGGCGGACGACAAATCAGGCGAAAAGACTCATCGTGCATGCCTCAAGAGACGACATACCTCTGGAACAATCGTATCCGAGTCTACGATCAAGATGATCTCCCCCATACGGATAGACTTCGCATTCCTTGCCCAAGGTTGCCATTTCTTCCCGTTCTCTTCATAGATCTCCTCGAGAGCCAGTCGGAGCGCCTTCTCCTCGATTTCCTCCTCGTCATCGTCCTCGGTCTCGGACGACCCTGTCGAGGCATCACGGGCCTTCTGCTCTTCGATCTTGGTAATCCAAGACTCCATACGCAAGCTCACGCTCAAACCGTAGTTCATGTTGCTGGCCTTCTTGAACCGGCCCCGTCGTTTGAAGCCACCCTCCGAATCATCGTGCTTTGGACGAGCCACCCAGCCAATGTTGTTGTCTGCAAGGTGTCGGTAAATCAACATACTCAACTCAAATCTATATAACATAGTCAGGTGAGCGTACCGGCATAGAACGCGATTCGCTCCTGACGGTCCTCTTCGGAGATAAGTTGGAGACCGTCATCGTGGACGAAGATCGTAGACGTGCCGCCCTGACGAGCATATGTCTGCATGGCCTTCTTGAGCGACTGTACCGATGGGGAACTGACAAAGGTACGATCAGCGAACCAGGAACCGGCGAAAGTCAATTCACAAGAAATGAACGTGGGCACGTCCGGTAGGAAGGCCACATAATGAAGTAAGAAAGACAAGGTCAGGGTGACCGAAATGGGCATGCCGCCGGAGGTCTACATTGTGATGACACTCACATGGTTGAGTCCAAACTTTCTTTATAGACCGGGAGTTCGATAGTGATGTGAGGAAGGTGAGAGTCGATATCCTTGTTCGCACTAGGTTTGACGGCGCTATAGTAGCGAGAGTTCTCGTGGTACTGAGCGACTGGACCAAGGCTACGTGAGGGCAGGAATATAAGACACTCCCTTACGACCAAAGCATACAGCCTGAACTTACACATAAGATACGTTTGTGATGACCTGCAAGCTGAAGAACAAGCTGACACAGAACAGGAACGGACTGTGAAGACAATCGAGTTAGGAAGGTGAACAGGCATGTAGAGCAGGTGGGAAGGAATCTCACGCTGTGGCCATCAGTGCAAAGCGATTGAAGTTGTCATCCAGGCGCCACTCTTGTAGCAGAACACTAAGGCCACTACCGATGAAGACTACAAGGAAGAAGAGAACACTTCAGCTAAAGTGACGTGGAACGCTTGGTAGACTTACAGATCGATAGTGCACATGCGAGTCCACCGTAGAAAGGGGCAAACAAACGCATAGGCCTAGTGTTTGAGAGGGCGCCCTTCTCCGGATCAGTTTCAGCAGTAGCTTTGTCTCTGATTTTCCATCCAAACCAAGAGAATCCGTTCGACTTCGGTGTGGAAGAAGGAGCTCCAGGCTGTGGTGCCGGGGCGATGATGGGCTCGACCTTCTCCTTGTTCAAACCAACGTCGGACGCCGAAGGACCGGTGGAGGGTGATGAGTCACCGGTGTAAGATAAATTAGGCAAGCCGTAGCCGGGGAGTGAGAAACGTTGGGCCCAGGCAACCTTGATCAATTTCTCCTCGAACTCGAGGCAAAGAGGGATGATAGTATCGAGGTTGTCCGACCAGACGACGAGAACACGTTCGTCACGCTGAAGACATCGGTGAAACACTCGTTAATATGGAGCAAAAGAAGAAAATAAAATGCAAAAGGGCCTCACGATGAACGCGCCACACTGTTCCTTGTCAGCGCGAGGAAGATATGCCATAGAATCGAGAATTTGGATGCGAGTATCGCCATCGATATAAATAGCATCTGCATCTTCACTCCTGTGGGATATTGTTAGATATACTCTAGAGGAGCAAAAGCAAAATCACTTACACGCTTCCAAGGGAGACATGAACAGCTGCACTGCGAACTTTGACAGCGACCACGGGATTCAGGACCCTCACAGCGGCCTCAAAGGGTTCCAGGTAGGAGTTTTCGTAAGGAAAGACTCGGAACTGGCCTGTGCTGATACGCACGCAAACTCCGGCGTGAACGTTCTCTTGGGAGGGCTTGAACCATGCATCTCCCTGGGTCTGATGGAGCAACTTAGGCGTAAGCAACCAATTCGTGACACAAACGGTTCAAGGTGAAGACATACACGCTTGAAGATGTGGTGAAGCAAGGCGTCGTATGCGTCGTAGTCCATGAGGGGATAAAGGGCGGGGGAAACAAAGAGAGTGGGGGGCTGAGGCGCGGCCGCTGGAAAAATCAGATATTCAACGGCTATAAGAGCATTCCCGCAGTTCGCTCTATCGGGGCGTGAGATGTTGGACGTTTGACCACGATCAACTACAGAAGACCGAGGAGGTCGCTCTATGGCCGATTGGGCATAGAGCAATCCGGTTTTGCGAAAGGTACCATCGCATCGACGTCAGCGAAAGGCGTGCAGGAATATAGACATGTTTGAGATCGTCCTGGGTACATAGGACGGCGGTATGGTCTCAGCCTAGTCCAGGCCGATCAGGGACTGAGTGGGAATAAGGATGATGAAAGCGGAAGGCTATGAAAAATACAACCGTCCACATAACTCCGCTGGCTATCTATCCAGAAGAGGACGAAGATACACAGAAGCCCAATGTCGCACTTTGTTTAGTCAAGGTGCATGGACCGGAACGCCCATTCGAGGCTTCCGAAAGGCTTCAGCGGCTATGCATTCAGCAACGGTCATCTCGGATTCAGAGAAACTGAACAAGTCACACTGTTCTCAGCAGTGTTGCCCTGATCTCTGCCACGTCGGTGAGATGCGCGCGGCGTGCGTTGAACGGCAGTTGAGAAATGACGAGCAGAACGCCTGGAGATACCGACTGACGGGCAAGACCAGTTTCAAGGAGTAGATAGATTAAGAACAAGGTTTCCAGCGTACTCATAAACGAGGCAGGAATGCCGCTATGCCCCGGGTCATGCGCCGCAATATCGACCGCAGAAAATGCGCGCGAGACAAGCCTCTTAAGCCAGGACCATTGCCTTGCCAGTGCTGATGACGAGGAGTGGTAAATTCTGGTTGGAAAAGGTGACGAAAAAGGTACAGACAGCGACGCTGTGATGGGAGGGTAAAGCGCTAGCAAAGCTGGGTAAGGACGGCTGAATCCATAGATCGCGTCAACAAGGAATAGAAGAAACAAGTTCAAAGCTTCCTGGTCGCACGATGCCACCGAAGCGGAACTCGCGTTCCGGAAACGCCGCCTCGAGCCGGATTTGCGGCGATTCGGCGTTACCCCACATAGGCATGTTCACGACCAAGAGGATGACTGAACTCTTGATATGCGAATACAGCACCGTCGAGCATCTTCGAAGGCGCCTCGACGGTCGACGGTTAAAGAGTAAGTACAATCATGCATGACTCGAAATTGACACGCTAACTTCTTAAACGATGCCAGCGAGGCGAAAATCCGATAAATTTATTGTCCGTGGTACCACCTATATCGAACTTGTTATCATCATGATCCCAGCTTTCAGGATTCTCTACCCATCATCACTGCAAGTGCAGCATTTTCAAAGCGCGTTTCAGGCAGGAGGGGTCATGCCAATGATCTTGACAGCATCAAAGCGTACCTGTGCCACTGTCCTACCGGCGTTTCTCGAGTTCGAGCAGGACATAGGCTACACCCTCCATATCAGTCTGAATCGGACGCGGTAGCGTAAGTGCAGTTATCTCCCTCCATTTAACAGTAAACATTGAACGTTTGATACAGTAAGAATGGTGTGCCTCTTGAGGCGCGCGATATCGTACCTCTGATAACTACCGCTTCGAGCCTCTCCCTATGTAAGAGAACGATATGAAAGTCGCTATGGTAAGTTCGGACGATTCATACTCCTTCTCAGTACTCCACAATGGAGCATGCTCCGTCGCTGAATACAGAGTCAACCAATCGACGAGTGTTCTCGGCGAAGTTCACACTCGACATAGTATGTCGCAGCTGCACACAACGTCTCACCTAAAACGTTAAAGATGTTTGGTGCTAGCCAAGGATCCCATTATGGCGGACAATGCTCGGTGGCCCCTCTAATTCCTGAGCCCGCTCTATCGATCCGTGGAGATCGGTAGGCGTGCGCATCGCGGGCAGAATGCGTTATTTACATCGCGGAAGTCTTCTACGCGGATTACGGCTGCGTACGCCACATTTGGTTCTGCTTCTGACAGAACCCATCGACCTGGTTGTGCAACAACTCGAACCCGTTGGGCGTACTTGTTCATCACTTCATTCTGATCCGTTCTTCAGCCCATCCCATTCCGTGTCTGTCAGTCACATAGCCTGCTTTGATTCTACACTCCTTCTGGCTGGTAACCATGGAAGAGTTGTTTAAGAACATCTGGGTGTCACGCTGGGGAAGGGTGCCGTAGTATTATGTTGACGCGTTAACCAGTGCTACTTGGCTAATCCCATCCGGTATGCATACTCCACTTAGTTCCGGTGATGGACCTTAATTATCCTTAGGAGGAGCGCTTTGAAGATTTCCCATCGTGCCTGGCAATCATGTATGGGGTTTTCTGTTATGATCCAGAATAGCTGGAAACTACTTTCTAGCGATTTTTCGTGCGTCTTCTCTCCACGAATCGGACGCAGGCGGCGTTGGCCCTGAATCATGAATACTGGGCTTAGAACGGATGTCACATTTTGAGGTATCTACTCCATTTTTGTCATATGGTACTCACACGTCCTACCTTTGGGATCAAGGGAATATAGATCGGGAACAGGATGATACGTCGTCATCTAGACCTGTCCTGCAGGCTGGCTTCCGGGTCTAAAAAGACAATCTGTCTGAACCTCTTTATTGGCTTCCCGGACGATCCAACCGCCTCAGCTCCTTCCCCCACTTCTCATCCATGTCTCAGCCTCCTTCGCGTTCGTCTACCCCTTCTGACTCAGGCGAGCCTTTGGGCCGCCCCCGTCCACTCTTTTTATCACATGAAGCAGACTCCGATGTCGCTACGTCCACGTTCTCAGCCCACAACCGCCAAAGTAGCTCCGTCAGCTTCGAGATCGCACCATCGCATCCTCAGACCCCTCGTCACGATGCCCCAGATCCATTTTACACCCCAACCGCTGAAATCCACAATCCTTTCTCTCCCCCTCCCAGCGTTCCTACCAGCGTCGTCAGCTTCAGCATGAATGCCGAGACTACCTCCTCCGCCATTCCTGGTTACTCTACCGAGATCGGTCGTTACCCATCCCGCGACGTTCACCAGCGTTCCAGTGCGCAGAGTTCTGTACACAACAGCGTTATAGATCTTCGTCCAAGGGAAAGTCGCCCTCCGATGGGGGGCATCCGCGAGTCATTCGCAGCGCCACCTCTTCGTCCCAGCGTAAAGCACTCCAAGACGTTCTCTTCCGCACCTACAAGCATCCGTGTCAAGGAGGCGGTTCGGCCTCGTCATCGTTCCACGATGTTAACCGGCCCTATTGACAAGCCTTGGTTGACGAGGAAGGATACAGTTGGCAGAGTAGCGTACTTCATCACTATTGGTATCATCTTCTTGGGTGTGGTAGCAAGCGCGTTACGATGCTGGTCGGACTGGAGAGGCGTCAAGACGATCGGCAACCTATGCCTTGTTCTCGAGGATCAATTCGAGAGCAGTGATTTGGACACTACATCTGTCTGGCAGAGGGAAGGGGACATGGGTGGCTTCGGGTGTGTCATTATTCGCGCACTGGAAGAAGTTTTTGGTTTTGTGTTACCTGACCGCGATTTTTCATATATAGGAACGGGGAGTTCGAGATGGCGACTGCGAGCACCAACAACTCGTTCATCAAAAACAACAACCTTTACATCCTCCCTACCCTCACCTCGGACGTCATAGGTCGCGACGCTATCTTTGACGGATACACATACAACCTTACTGGATGTACGAATACGAATCTGACAGCTTGCGGGGCGGTCAGTAACCAGACGACTGGGACGGTCATCAATCCTGTCATGAGCGCTCGTATCTCCACAAAGGGCAAGAAGAGCATTCGGTATGGAAGAGTCGAGGTCAGAGCGAAGATTCCCACCGGGTAAGTCTCCATTTCTGTGTTCTTGCCTCGTACCCGCTGCAGTACTTGTTAACGTCGTTCATCTACAGAGATTGGGTCAGTTAATTTCATATTGGTGTCGGGCCCAAGGTCTAACCCATTTTCTAACTCCGTGGCGTTGACAGATGTGGCCGGCTATCTGGATGCTTCCGGAAAACGACACCTACGGCCCATGGCCCATGAGCGGTATGTACTATCCCCTGTTAGAGGAGCCTCCACTGAATAGCTGCTCTAAAGGTGAGATTGATATCATGGAGGCTCGAGGAAATGGACCTTCCTATCCGGCTCAGTAAGTTCATCCAGCATGTTGGCCACTCGTGTACTCATTCGTTCCTGGTGGCAGAGGGACGAACTACGTCCGGGGTTCGCTCAATTGGGGTCCGGTTACATGGCTGAACGCCGTTTCCAAGACCTTTGGATGGTGGACTGTGCGCCGTGCTTCATTCGATCAAGGCTTTCACACCTACGCGCTAGAATGGACTGACAAGTTCCTGTAAGCTTAAATGTTGGACCCTTGTATTTTTTGATGGGCTGACATCTGAATTCTCTGGAACGATTGCCCATCGCCGTGTTTGGTATGACAGGAGGATCTACGTTGATAATCGTCTGCAACACATGCTCGAGCTCAGCTTCAATATCCCCTTCTTCCAGCGTGGCGATTTCCCTGCGTCGGTGACCAACGCCTCTTCCGAGATCATTCTTCAAAATCCATGGGCCAACTCTGGCAACTCTGCCCCTTTTGACCAGCGTTAGTCCGTTCATGTTGTGTATCGCTATTGACCCTTTCGATGGACTGATCTTTGCGCCGGGATCTGTAGCGTTCTATTTAATTCTTGACGTCGCTATCGGCGGCACGAATGGGTGGTTCCCTGACGCTGCCGGAAACAAGCCTTGGTTGAACGGAGAGCTTGGTGCGTCTGATATGCTTTCGCTTATGACGTGCGACAATGTGCTCAAGAGCGGGCGTAGATGCGATGCGCAAGTTCGCCCTCACACAGGACGACTGGTCTTCCACCTGGCCGACTGATGAAGACCAAAGGGCTATGGTTGTGTAAGCTCCCTGTTTATGTCCCTTGTCACTCATGTGCGTCTTGCTCATCTGTACCTTTTAGCGACTATGTGAAGATGTGGCAACTCTGCTGAGGATTCGGACTTTTATACCCTTACTACTAAATGCATCTACATTCATTTCGGGCCTTTTTTGCTTCTCGGTCGTGTCCGTCGTCTTAGATAAATACATGCTACTTCATACTTGACAGCCGTCGTGCGATGCTATATCTTATCCTCTATTGTAGACACTGTGGTTCCGGATTTCATGCAGGACCTGCTTTCAAGTCTTTTAGAACCCGTATTGGACGCTTGTATGTATGGGATCGACACTTTACAACCATATAAAATAGTTTTCTTGCTGTGGTATACGGTTCTTATCAAATTTGTGTCATTAGATGTTGGGAATTTATGGAGGAGATGCCCAAAGACCTGCGTAATTTGGTTGCCATCACTAAAAAGTACAACTAGCAGTTGCCCGTGCTCGCGCACAAATATCGACCATTTGCTTTTGACTTCAATGGCCGCCTCAACTCGAATGTCGAGCCCATGGAAGCCCCGCACAAATCCCATGGCAATGTCGATGGCATCGTTGATGTGGCCTATTACCTCGTGATGTCGATCTACCATCGTCGGGCCAGCAGCACTAAAGGTTTGTAGCCGCACATGCTCCCGATTATATGAAGTATCAGGATGTTTTGATCGTTTCCTACTCTTATGGGGAGTACTTAGACCGAGCTACTGGGTGCTAAGTACTGCGTGCCTCACGCAGATGTACCCCAAAGTCAAATCTTGCAGTGCATGTGCCACCTCGCCAGTGTGGCCACAGTGCCAATCACATGTACAGACAGGAGGGGGGCGTATTGGTACGGAAGTCCGATCCCAAAACCCAAAATTCGGGTAGTTCTGTACTCAAGGTTTGGGAGGATTTCTGTACTTTTGTGGATCGGGTAGTCCAAATAAGGGCGCCTTCCGTACTCACGAGGGATTGGACCTTCTCCCAGACGAACACCTAAAACACCGTCAATTTGACACAGAATGGTCTGTGCAGTGGCGTACAGTGTTGGAGAGTGAAGGTTGGCGACCAAGCCTGAACACATATAACAAAATTGTACGCATAGTGATCAGACCTAGGCAGTCCTGCCAACTTTCCGTACGCACAAGGGCAGTTCAAGGGATCGGACCAAGAGGCAAATCCAGGCCAGTCATGTACGCACAGGATCAGACCTCGCGTCGCATTTGACACCAAAACTGTACGCATAAGGATCGAACCTCGATACCAATACGCCCCCCTCCTGTACAGACGCAGCCAGCGCGTACATAGGTTCTTTCAAATCACGCTCCACTTTGATTGGCTGGTCCATATGCCACTGAGGTGGAGAGAAAGATATCAAGATCTAGAAAGACTTCAAAGAGACACAAAGACGCCACACAGTGCCACCGTCGCAGAACGACCATAAATGGCAAAGTTGCCTTTTTTGACCGTGGGACACTGCTCTCCCATTATATATTAGATGGACTTCGTTCTTAATCCGATATGGTGTAACGGCTAACATTGCCGCCTTTCACGCGGCAGCTCGGGGTTCGATTCCCCGTATCGGAATGTGGTATTACCGCAGCTGTATGATTTTTATGTCGACATGATAGCTTGTGCAGGACTTGTGCCACAGTGGTCATTGCTCGAGGTCGTGGTCATGTAGAGCAAAACAGTTTCGAAAAAAATCACGACACCAATGTCGCGGTTCTTGGGGGAATGCGCGCACCGCACGACCGTCGCACAATGTCTGTAGTCCTGCTCTGGCCTCTGAGCATGATATGCTATGGATGATTTCGTTCATTCGGAGGTCCTGGAGAGGCCAAGCGTGCTCGCAGCGCATATGATAGCCACCTTGTGCTCAATCCTTGTCATTCTTGCCAGCGGGCTGAGCCTGCAACTTCGACTGCATCACATTCACTAGATATCCCATGTTATCCTGCTTCTTTTGGATGGCCTCCTGTAGAGTGTCCAGGTTGGACTCGATGTATTGAACTTTGGACTCGTAATGTTTCACAGCTTGCGCGCGAGTCTATATGACACAAAGCGAGATTCCGACACGAACAGTAAGTCGAAGGTGTGCAGGGCTCGCTGATGGGGAGAATAGACGCACCTTCTGAACATAATATCCAGTGCCAACATCCACGATGACGTTCTCTAGATCACAAAGCTTTCCTGGAACGTATAGTGAGCTAGTGAGAGGGACCAGGATGGATTTGTCTACTCGACGGAAAAGACGTGAGCAAACCCGACTAGAGGTACGAGAAATCGAAGGACAGGCGCACCCTTGTTCGTGGGTTTGACCTCCTGGACACTCTCGATACATCCCTTGAACTTAGCTTGCGCTTGCTTTAGTTGCGCAAAGGAGTTCGTTAGATGTGTTAGCTCCTATAAGTCGTGTTCGAAAGGGATTTTGAATGTTTAGATATGTTCAGTAAGACATTAACTAGCAACGCACCTCATCGAGCTGCCTCCGTACATCCGCAAGCTGGTTCAAGTCAAGATCTGCGATACTAATTGGTTGTGGTTGTGAAGAAGCCATGATCCGTGGTATAATCCTCTCAACTAGCCAGCGATAAACAGATATAGATGGTGAAGGTTGGGTAAAGGCCTGTGTTCTGGGCAATGGGCCACACTCTGAAGACGCACAGAACGTGACGTCACATGTTACAGTCACTAACGCGTCGCGTTACTGTCGCGTTATTGTGGCAAAATAATCCAGTCGCGTCTTTGCTCTTGACACCCTTGATCTTCACCAAAACGGTATGCCTCGCCCAGGTCCTTCTCGCTCTCAGCGCGCCACTCAGCCATCTCAGTCCCAGGCTGGACCGAGTCAGACACAAAGAAAAGGACGTGCACGACAAGAAGAAGACGAGTCAGACGAGGGAGATGCAGCAGAGAATGGCATGGATGAGGACGAGGACGAGGATGGGACTGGCCATGGAGAAGGGGTAATTCCGTGTAATTCTTCCTATAGGCTTGAACTGACGTACTTTCCATTACATTGACGTTTTTCTTAGGACCTGTTGAAGAAAGCCCAACAACTGGTCAGGCTGGCTCTGTTCAACGAGCAGAAACGAACGCCTCTACGCAGAGATGAAATATCGAAGAAGAGTAGGTTGTGACGATCCTTTCTTGCGCATCGCTTCTGATAGCTTCTCCTCCCGGTATCAGTCCTTGGTACGAAGCGTAATGCCTACAATACTGTCTTCAGTCAAGCACAGACGATTCTTCGCAATACTTTCGGCATGGAGCTTGTCGAACTTCAAACCCGCGCTGCTAACCAAGAGGCAGCACAAGGTGGAGATCCCGACAAGAAGAAGAAGCCCAACGGCAGTCAGGCAAACGGTGCAGCAGATGACGACGAACCCACTGGTAGGCAAACCGTGACAGGGTTGAAGAAGAAAGGTACGTTTGTGCTCTGCCTCACCACCATCTCGTCAAATGTAGAAGCAATATTCTTACGTATGGACTTCTTTGGTATAGCGACAACGCAAGGTTCCAAAACCTATATTCTGCGCTCTACTCTCGACCTGGCACTTATTGAGATCGCGACCACAAAGAGTGATCCACAAGTGATGGAGGAAGAAGCGGCAGACGCGCGCGAAGATGAAGATTATGGATCTATCATCAACTGGTCTCGCACTGACCAGCTTCCCCTCCTTGGTGTCCTCTATGTCATCCTCGCACTCATTCTTTTAAACGGGAAGGTCATGAGTGACAGTAAGCTGCTCCCTCCTTCCAGCCCCTCCCCCATTTCTGCGATATATTCCGTGTCATCGCTAACAAGCCCCTCTACTTCCTACCAGTGGACTTGCGTTCCCTTCTCAAGCGTCTTCGCTTATCCATTGGGACTCCAATAACACTCAACGATCAGTCCACCCGCAAGAATATCACAATAGAAGACTATCTTTCTTCCCTTCAGCGCCAAGGTTTCCTCGACCGTACCCAAATCGGTGGTGCCGCCACAGCAGGCAATAAACGTGGCCGCGGAGGGCAATCCCAATCCCAAGCTCGTAATGGCGAAGGCGACGGCGATGCCGCGTTTGAATGGCGATGGGGCCCTAGGGCCACGGCAGAGGTTGGAGAAATGGGGATCGGCAAATTCGTGGCCGATTTCTTGGAGGAGAGAATGAGGGAGGCGGATCCCGAGGATGACGATGACGATATGGATGAGCGCGCGGCGCGAAAAGCAAGGCAGAACCGCGAGGAGCAGTCGGCGAAGAGAATGGAGGCGCTTGTTAGAGGTATAGAGAGGGCTGCTGGAGGCTCATTGGCTGATGTCATTTAGAGCTTCCTCCGGCGTGGCTTCGCCCTGCTGTAGGCTTTCGAGTGCATATTCACCATTCACTACTCGTTGTGCCGTATCTTCTTGCTTATCTCTGTATTCTTTATTCCTTCCTCTTCGTTCCCATGTTATGCTTCACTTTGGTACTTCACCGTCTTTCCTTGCTACATAACTTACTATCCGAATACTTGGCCTACCGTCCCAACGCCGTGTCTGGGCCTGTTCGACAAGCCATCTTCAACGGATTGACCTAGAACAATATTCTGTGTAGGCGACCTCATGATATTCGATCCTAAGCTATCCTCCGAAAAACCGTGAGTGGAGTAAACCCAACAAATTTGCATGCGTATATATCCTAAAAACCAACAGATCCAGTTACACTGCATATATAGTACAACCCACGGTCATAATCACGCCCCTCGAGGATTCAGACCTGGTGCGTGCATACGCAGCTCGTAGTACTCTGTCACGTCAACGAGATAGCCATAATTCCCAGTTGTATGCTGCTCAACGACCACAGCGTTCTGGGGCCTCTCTTCTTCTTCTTCTTCTTCTTCTCCTTCTCCCGGAGCTTCAGCGAGGTCTTCTTCGGTGAGACGATGTCTGTAGGCTTCTCTACGTATATTGAGGACCAGACGGCTGACGGTGACGTTTGTGGCACACCAGACGAAGCTATATGAGGTAGGAGGGTAGCGTGACCGTTAGTTGGAGATGAGGACGTAGAATGGGAGGGTCAAGATCAGTTAAACAGAAACGTACAAGACGCCAAGGAAGATTAGAGAGAGCTAAAATGACGGTAAGGTTCTATCGTTAGGAGGACGTTGATAAATCAGCGCAAAATAGGACCTACAGGGGCAAGGATGGAGATCATGAAGTTTGCAAGTCGTAAGCTGGTCAAAACCTTGATTGGAAAGATATACCGTAAGCGATGTGAACAAATGAGCTAGCAGGGAGACCGGTCTGCGAGATGGCATGCGTACCACGAAGTAGACGAGCCCGTCTTTATAGAGTTGTTGTGCAAGAGGTCGATTACGTTCTCTAGGCTTATCCAGCGCGTTGTAGCAAGTGGTACCAAATACCATCACCTCAAATATAACCTGGTCCCCATCCTTAGATCAGCTTCCACAACGAGACTGGAAGAGGGCAGTAATAGGACTCACCCCAGGCAGAAAAAGACCTTGTAGACTGACGCGTTCGGATAAAATACACGAGCGGACGACCGGACTGTAAGTTATAGTAGCTTGCAATACCAATCAAGGTCAGTGTGTTTTACTTTTCGAAGCACTCTTTGCAAGACTCGAGTGCGGATTATCCTACTCACGAAGCATCTGGACAACAACCCATGACACGACCGCGACAGAGGCAATCTGGGTGGCGATAAAGAACAGGAGAGTCCACACTACGAGCCGAGTCCGACGATTCCAGAGAACCCAGAGGCGCAGTAAGACAATGACTGTGGCCGGTTGGTGAGGGCGTGTCCGACGGATCATCATTAGCTATGTTAGACAATAATCGTAGTATGATGGTAGATGTTGATCAAGACGTACAGCCTCCATTCGCTATCGAAAGTATTCCCAGATAGAGGGCCAAAGGGAGCCAGACTTTGCAGCTGTACGAAGAGCATGATTGAATTTCTAAAGCGCTTTTTCTGAGAGGAGGAGGATGAGTAACTTACAACTTCGACGGCACAGATTTGGTCAGCGCAAGGCGTTCTGATGGATATGAGACGCAATGCTTACCGTGTTTGTTGGTGGTGGGTTTGCCAGCCCCATCAGTTCTATGAAACCAAGTTGTTAGCGAGATGTGAACGCGGAATCCGCACGCTGTCGCCTTTTAGACTTACGCCATGTGTGAAGAATCATGGCCGTCGGTACTGTATATCTGTTCAGGAGAAAGAGGCACTTGGGTACGGTCCACTGCGTCTTCCAGACATATCGAATTTCGTCGTCGAGTGTCAACAGATGATCTGCATCGTACGACATCAGCTCGATAAGGAAGACTCTACAGAAAGCTTCTCACCGTAAAGCAGAATCACGAGTCCAGCCACTATAATAACGAGTATCCATCGTGAGCATTCTTACAGCTCTGACCCAGAACTCCATGAGATTCAACAAGTACTACGCACGACTAACATAGCGACAGACGTCGAAGTGGAAGACAGCGGATGCCAGGTCATTATCCTCAGATACGGCCATGGACCATTCGCAAGCCTTCAAAGGCAAACATTACAGTCCGTATCAGTAAACGAAAGCAATTCGAGACCGGACTTTGAGGACAAGCCAGAAAGACTAACTACTCACCTAATGCCACTTGAGTCCAGGTCTTTAGAGCATGCACGGGGGAACGACCCAGCACACTCGAAGACGACGGACGGACACAGCGGGGAGGGAAAGGATGCAGGAACGGAAGCAGACCACAAATCACTGATATGCGGAAGACTTCATTTATATAGCCTGCAGACCCTGGTTGACATCCAGTGGCAAGCGAAGCGGCCGTGGAATTTAGAAGAGCGATCTCCACTCTTCTCAGGCTCATGTTGTTGACAGTTCCGATAGTTACATACAGTCCGGTCCCGGCGTCGTAATCAGGGCCAGATAACTGGACCAGCAGGGACCAGCCAGTGTTGGTGCGGTTGCCACAGTGCCTGTACGGTTCTACCGAACCGTATACGACGAGTCTGTAAATTGGCAGCGTCGGTGAGGATGGCGCTGAGACAACTTCATATAATTCTTTCAGGCTTCATCAATCATGAGTACAGGAGCTTGCGCTGGGCTCCGTTCCTCAACGCTTTGAAATGTATCCGGGCCGACGGATGTCAGGACAACTCAAGGACAACTTGGCTGCATGATAGACGAGATAAGTAGACAAAGAAGATGGTCAGTTTTGAAGGAAGCACGTCTGCTGACAGGGCAATATCGCGCATAACTTACTACTCTCGTATCTTCGTCATTCCGTAATCCCGGATGCCTTGATTGACAGAATCTGCCAGGCGAATGGACCAAGGAGTGTACGACAAGATCCACAGTACTAGTGGATGTAGGTAGTAAGAAGATGCAACGCGGTTAACAGGCGAGAGCTTGGAATATTCAAAGCAAAGCGAGACTATAAGATACATAGGGTGTGGGAACCAATAATATACGTGCATGTCGCCAACGGTGGGAAGACCCCATCGCAGACTGACACCCATGGAAAGACAGAACGACAAGACGAATGCTCCATACAACAAGATCATGACGTTAGCGAAGTTCATGATATTCCTCATAACCCACGTTGAGCTCGTAGGATATGATGTTGGGGTCGTCCGGGGTGTCCGGTACCTCGGTGTCAGGTTCGTACCCTGTGGTCACAGAGTCTTGTTCTGGTGATCGACGCTCTACCGCGAGTCGACGGACATTTAAGACCAAGTGGCTGAGCGTGACGTTTGTGGCACACCAGATGAAGCTGTATGAACAAAGAGGTCAGTGACCGCCGTCGATCTAAGAGGATGTTTGTGCTTGAGGAAACTAGGCAGGATGGGTACATACAATATGCCCAGAAAAATGAGGGATAGCTGAGAAGAAGTCAAATTATTAGAGTGACTTGAGTAGACGAGAAAGCAACATACCGGTGCAGTGATAGCAAGGACCATATTGATAAGTCGTAGTGCTGTTGAACAAGTATGCGTCAGTTCGATGCTTGAACTCGCCGGTATACACAATGCCCAGGATTTACTCACTGAATATACACTAGAGAATTTTCAATGTTAGTTTATCCGTCGAGGTCGTAAGGCATAAGTAGATATGGAAACGGGGGGAAGAGACATACACAGAAGAAGACAAAACCGTCACGATATAATTGATTGGCCATTGGGCGATTCTCGTCCCTTGGTCTATCGAAAGCGTTGTATACAGTCGTGCTGAAAACCATGATCTCAAATAGAACCTGCCCGTAGTTTAGTGAATATGCGTGCGATTGGAACAGTTCAGGGAAGCCTACACCAGGTATCCACAACCCTTGCAGGGGTAGTCGCTTAGTCAGGACGCAGGAATTAACGAGGGGGCTGTATTCCAGTCGGGCTGTTCAGATTTGCCCAGGTCAGTGATTATGTCGTCTTGTGGTCGAGTTACGGGCCGAAAGAGGGTATTGACTTACAAACGAGCCCCGTAGCAACCCATGTCGTCACGGAGAAAGTCGCCAATTGTGTGACGACGAAGACGAGAAGAGTCCATCCAACAAGGGATGTCCGTCGGTTCCATAGTACCCAAAGCCGCAAGAGGACGATGACTGCCAAGTCGCCGTAACAATACGTCAGTTATGACTGAGTACAGATGAGGGAGGGAAGCAAGACCCACAGCCTCCGTTCGCCATCGATAGAACGCCCGCGTACAGCGCGGTTATGATCCAAACCTTGCAACTTTGAATTGAATCAGTATCGAAGAATTCGCGACAATATCGCGAGACTTACAACTACAGGGAAAGGAGTCAAGCAATATTAGCAACAAGTAGCCAAGGTTGTCTTCAAAGCACACACCGTATCTGTCGGCGAAGGATTCGCAAGTCCGGATAATTCTACACAGATGCTTTGAGCTGGCTGGGATCATGGAGCGCCGCAGAATGACTCACGCCACGTATTTATAATCGTAAGAAGGGGAACACCATAGCGGTTGGCCAGAAACATTCCCTTCGGCAGTGTCCATGGTGCTTTCCATACATATTGAATCTCCTCGTCGAGGGTCAACAAATGGTCTTCACTTCGATTGAGTCTCCTATAGTAAACGTAAGAGACCGAGAGTACGCACCATAAAGCAGTATCACTAGCCCTGCAGCTGCGCGCCACAGTGCGATGCAATACAATCATGTTAGCATCACGGCAATACGACAGTGAAGTCAAATACGATATGCGTACCACTGACGTATCTGCACGCGTCGAAATTGAGAACAACAGTGGCGAATTCTGCTAGTTCCGCCTCTTGCGCTGCTGACATCGAACCATAAACAAGCTAAGTTGTCCAATTCGTAGCGAGCGTCGTGAAGAGTGTAGGTGTCGTACTGCGAAGGAACACAAGCTAGTCAAGTGGTCTGAAAACGGCCACACCTCGACGCTGTACGTCCGAAATGATAGGCCAGCGAGACCACGGCTTGTGGTGGAGGACGAGGAGAGAAAGAAAGAATGGCAGGAGGAGAACACAGACAAGACCGGAACCGAACAAGTATAAACGAGTCGAAAATGCGAATGGGTCGGGCGGGCTCAAGGGGGTAAGCTTCTAGCCGAAAACCAAATGTTATATCACTTGGCTCGATCGTTTCCAGCTCTGACACACTGACAGCTTCCGTCCCTGAAGTGGGGTAACAGGTATCTCGATGTCCGGGGGATCCTCTTGTAAGACAACAGCAAATCGTTTGAGCATGAATTATGATCAAGGTGAGGACTGAAGATCACGATTGAGTAGAAGGGGTTTCGCAGGGTTTCACACTACTCCAGGGTGCAGTGATGACTCGCATGAGCCCATACGGCAAAATAACGAGCACGGATTCGAAACATCCGCCCAAGCCATGGTTACCAAAATCATCGACAAATGTCCATGAAATCGAATACAAATGCTCACCGCTTTCCCGAGGCTTGCCCGCCGAAGAAGCAACTCATGAGCGCCTCTGTGAGGGCCGCCGCATCGTACATGTACAACTTGTTGCGGGTGTTGCGGGCTTGTTACGCCGTGCCTTTGCGGAGCAAGATCAAAACAAACAAGGCACAACAAATCGTTTGCCGGCCGCACGCCGAGCTTCTAGACACCGTAAGACACCGTCTCGCTTTGACTTCAAAGCGAAACGGTGTCCAGGCACGATCTACTCTTAATGTAAGCCGATCATCTAGCAGAGCCACGCGACCGAGCTTGTTGAGATTCTACTGAGTTGCAGACCAGCTTGCACTCGACCAAGATGGCCACAAACCCGACATCGTAACTGTTACAGAGTCGTGCTCGGGATTGACTGACTATGAGTTCACAAAGAGGTTCTGTGGTCCCCGAAGTCAACAATCCATCAACAAAAGCCTCCACATGCTCGGTCGACTCGGATATCCCTACCGCAATGGTAATAAACTACCCTCGTCGCCACCAAAGCGCCGTCAGCTTCGCAGAATATGACATATTGGATATAGATAAGGTGGCATCAGGAAGCAGAACTAGACGAAATATTTTCCATATTCGAATGAAGGGCACAGGAATGGAACTATTATGGAAGATTGTCTCGAGACACTCCTAACCATATCCGCAATTTGTAGTCACCCACAAGCAGACCTTTTAGTGTGAAAGATCGGTCGTTCAACGTGCCGCAATTTGTATCTACAGAAGTTAGTTGGATCCGAAAAGCCACCTAATGATCGACAGCGGCTAGTCGGGGAGGAATAAGTCTCGGAGAGAAACAAGGACCGACATCGACACACGGTGTTTTTCCTTCAGCGACGACTCATTTCAACACTACGTCCCGCACTTGAACGTTGGACTTTTGACAATGGGCTAATACTATATCACACGTTGGACTCAAACATACAAACTGGCACGTTCCAGTCCAGAAATCAATGCGATGCGTAAGTTCCTCCTCATCGAGGAAATAACAAGCCGGGACGCGAGACGTACCATATCCTGTTCAAGGCAAGAACAAGAGAAATAAGAAAATTCCGAGCAGGGCCTTCATGGATCCGCATAAGTGAAGAAGACAACGCTAGGTAGGCATAAGATCCAAAAGGAATACGAAAGACGCACGCAAACGTTCGAAACGTTCGCCGTACGGAAGATGACAAGAAGAGGAGAAAAGGGGGCATATTCGTATATGGGTTAGATGATTTATGAGATGGGAGGAGAGAAAGATATTGTAAGGGATGAAAAGGAAAAGGGGAAGAGGGCATAAGACGAAGGAGAAGGTATGTAGAAAGCACAGGCGACAGGTAGGCAGACGGTATTATGTATGTCCTGACCACTTCAGTACAGTCACCGTCAGAAATGTATCAACGACGACGAAGATTCAACGAGCATCTTGTACATACCCATCTGCCACCCCGACAAAGCTCACAACAGAGGAGCCCGGTGGTGAAAGCAGTCGACGAAATCCCAGTCCCGATCCCTACAAACAGCAGTCCCAAGAGTCCTCGACTGGTCTGATACGGTCCCTCCCTCCTACCCGAATGCAAAGTATGACCGGGGCCACAAATCAACACGGCAGAAGCGACGTATTGAAGTGAGGGCGCATCGACTATCGACTCCTCACCCGTCAGGGAAGAGGAGAAAGGCATCCTCGTCTCCTGAATAGACAAAGGCGTCGCATCGCGTTCATATCGTCGGAATTGCTTCTGCTTGCTGCTAATGTTCGCTGCTGATTGTTGTGAGTGCTGGAAAATCACGGGTCGAGCTTCTCTCCCCTCGCGAGGACTCGGACGACGACGCTGGGCTCCTTGACCATGTCCATCATCTTCTTCACCGCAGGAGGTCGATCCACGAGTCTCTCCCGCTCCCGCTCCTTTCCAATAGGGGCATCTTTGAAACCGACAATGGCATCCCTGTCTTTGTCGCTGCCCCCGGAGTACTGTGAATGCGAGTTCTTCTGGTGTCGTGCAGTGCCGTGCCCATAACCATGTCCTTGCCCATGATGATTCGCACGAGGCGGGCTGCCTCTGATAGTTTTCATTCCTCGTTCTTCCGCTTCTCCCGCTCCCGCGCCAACGGCAAGGTTTGCGCCGGCCACGCCACCGACCGCGGCGGAATGTGCACCACCAGGGCCCGCCCCTTCAGTAGAAACATTCATCACCACGACTCCAGCCCTCTTAGCCCAATGCGCTACGAGTTCGCCTTGCGCCCGAATCTCGTACTTGTTGGGGTGCATAAGGACATGTGGCGCCGGGAGCGGAACAGGAGAGTCCGCGTCTGCGTTAGCAGAAACGGGTCTGGAACCCGGAGGTGCGTTGTTGAGTGGCTGGGTAGGAGATGGCGTAAGAACGGCGAGGACGACGCGAAGGCCGCGCTTGTTGGCGGCAGCGGCAGTAGGCGGCGGAATGGTGCTGTCGACGTTCTCGACTTGCCACTTCGCGCAAGAAATCGTCCTGCGAACCCACTCCGGTGAGCCTAGGACTATGCCCTTGTCATCCTCGGAGGGAGGAGCGGGCTCTAGGGAAATAGAGTCCCAGAGAACGTAGGCATTGTCTTGCTGAACGCGGATACGGGAGTTGGTGCCTACTTGAGCCTCAAGGATTCGGGAAGCTTGGCGAGCACGCTGGGCCAAGGGGGTCGTGCCCTTCTTGAGCAGATCGAGAGTGTTTAGAGCTGTAATCGGCATCAGGTATGATTAGTCATGTTCGCAGAGTAAGAGTGTGGCGGATATTGAGGGCCACTACAAGTAGTCAAGGCAGCTTGAGAACACACCTTCGAGCGGGACAATGACAATCTCGTCTCTCCCATCCCTACACCATTTCTTCACTTGCCACAGTCCATTTATCAGCACGCTAGCATCGAGGACGACGACGTCCGCATCCTTTTCCTTCCTCTGTATCTTCCTCGTTTGAGCGTCACCGAACCTATTGCCCAAACCGCCCTCCTCCCTTCTGGTGTTCCTGTTCAAGATCTTGGGTCCCCCTCCGCCTTCTGTCGCGGTCTCGCCCTCTCTGTCCCTCTCCCCTCCATCCATCCTCCTGCCCGCACCGCCTCCCCTCTTGCGTCCAAACGTCCCACGCCCATTCCCATTTCCGTCGGGGTTCCAGAGTTCTCCGGGCTTGGACTGACGTTGTCCATACTGCCCTTGGTTAGGATGGTTTGGAGTCTGAGGAGGTTTCTTGTCTCTGTCCCTCCAGTTCCGGGATCCGGGACCAGCGGACACGGTTTTCTCAAGTTGTTCAACTTGGTGAGTGAGGAAAGCAGCGCCGAGAGCACGAGACAGTGCGAGTTGTTTGTTCGGAATGACAGCGGTGGGGCCCTAGATCCGATAAACGAATGTAAGGAGGCAGCGGCGGCGGTGATGGACAGAAGAAGGCGTCACGAATGGTATAGAAGTCCGACAAGTTTTAGGCCGCCGATAGCAGGGTTCCGAGGAATGCCATGCAAAGTGGATAGTTGAAGGGTTCAAAGGACATAAGGGTTATGTCAGTGGCGAATATTCGAGAGACGCTGGCGAAAGACACATACAGCTGAGTCTGCCATGATTGCTTGATCTTACTAGTTCTTCCAGCAGAAGATAGGTTATTGTCGACGATAGCGACCGCGCTAGGAGAGTTATGTGCCCTCCAAGATATTATAAGAGAATAGCGAGCAAATCTTGTATGTAGTGTTGGGTGTCGAAGGCGAAGCTGTGGGAGATGCGGGATGGTGTGTGAGCGTTGATGTCAGGAACAGCATCGCGCTTATTATATGGCCGCCACATCCTCCGTGCCGCTCGGCACCCGTCGGCTGGCACCACACCAGCGTGCCACACGGGCCACCGCCACAATGAGTCTGACTGATTCAGTTGGACAGCTTTTCGCGTTGGAAAGCATTTGGAGTACGTAGAGTTCGGTGAGTAAGGTAGAAGGACATGGTAGTTTCTACATCCTTCGGTGCGGCACTGGCAGCTGGACCCAACAAAATGGTGACTGGCACCGAGCTCACTCCTGAGATTGGTCCGGGGCAGGTCTTACAATCTATTCACGGTCTGCGAGAAATGGTTAGAGTGCAACAACACTGGAAATAAGAGGCAGCGACATAGCATAACCATAGAGCACGGGTATTCATAAATAAACGAAGAAGACGAATTTTGCCCAAAGAGCTCGAAAGGGCCACGAGTGAATGAACGAAGAGGGTATCGACGAGTATAGTGTATTTGGTGATAGCTATGTACGATAATTGGTTGTTCGAAGAGTGTTCAGGATGGGGCATAACGAGCGTGCGCGCCCAGAATCTATAGGTCTGGGCAGTGGTCGTAGATCATCGATCATTCGTGAGATGGGCGTATCAAAGCGCAGGGACAACACATATCACTGTCCTCACAGAGCAGAAGAAGGTCAAAAAGGAATCATACCGAAGACGCCCTGGAAGCCCGGCACAAGGAGCTAGTATGTTTGATCAGAATCCAAAGACAAACCCTAACACCTCCTTCCACCCCTTCTTCACCACAACCTGTGTCCCATCAGCCACATACTCCTCTCCCAGCCATTCTACGAACTTCGCATCCAACCCACTCAAAGGCCCAAGCTCGAAGCTCGACATATCCTTTGGCGTGAGCACGATCATATTTTCGTTCTTGATCCCTCTGTCCTTCCTCCTACCGTCCGAACCTGGAAGACGGCCATCATCCCCACCAGCTTGACGGCCGCGCTTGCTAGCTCGCCTGCCTAGCGGAGCATTGGACGAACCAGGGGGAGGCGCCACTCGACTGCCAGGAGGAACGAATGTTGCAAGCTTCGAGAGCAGTAAGGCCGTGTTTGCATGGAAGGTCTGCAGGAGCGCCAACGTCGTCAAAATCTCCCTGTCCTGATCTCTTCCCCTCTCTGGGTCATCCTTTTTCGCTACCACAGGACCGTCAATACCACCGCTACCACTGGCAGCACCCGCCTTCCTCTCCTTGTCTTTGTCTCTCCCGAAGATGCTCATCCCACTCGTTCTTCTCATACCCTTACTCACTTTTCCCACCTTTACCATCCCGATCCCTAACACACTAGGGCCGTCGGGCAGACTTCCAGGCATGATACCTGACCCGGACACCTGCGGAGGTCTCCCCTCAATCCCATTCCCCAGTTCCCTCACAACCGGCCCACCAACACCAGCGGCAGTCGCTCCACCCTCTACCTCCTCATCCGAATCATCCTGAACCGCCACACCAGCGCCCGAGTTGACGTTGATCTCGTCATCGCCTTCGAGTTCGATGCGCAGCGGCGAATCTTTCCACGCGCCCATGCCCATCCATAAACCCGCGCAGACGAGACACACATCCTCGTAGAGCTTCCAAGCGTCGCTCCATCCGCTTTCGCCAGCACAGTCGGGCATCGGCGGGTGAGGATGCGAGTGCGAGTGTGAGTGAGGGTACGATGAGTCCAGGGCGAGGATCCGATCGAGTTCTTGCCACTGCGGACACTTGAATCAGTATTTGTTTCCAGACCCGGAGCGAGGTGACATTTGGTGCTTACCAGCCTGACGTCTGACCAGGTAAATCGTACCGCGGAGAGCTTGAAAGAGTTTGACGAGCTGTAGGAGGATGCAGCGTCGGAAGCTGGGGGAACTGAGACTACAGGTCGCGAGACGTAAGATATTGGACGAGCAGGTTTGTAAATCGGAGGGGATGGCGATGAGGGAGACGGGGTAGGAGCGTAAGGAGAGGCGGAGGGTGTGGATGATGGTGGTGCGAGGTCGATGATGAGATCGTAGAGCTGTGCTTTCTCGTGGAATATCGCATCTGTTGTACCTGCAGACGAGTAAGCCCAACACATCGAGTCAGCAAAAGTTCGGAAATAGATAGATACAAAGAGGAACGGGTTGATACGCACAAGCAATCCAGCCTCTCCCTGGCTCATCTTCGTCCAGTTTTCTAAGTCTGTCTATATCATGTAACGTCACCATCCCCAACACCGCGATCCCCTGTTTATGCTTCCCTCTCAGTCTGCCCTTCCTTCCATACAAATCCGACATGTCTGGGTCGGCGTTCTCATCTGCCTCGGTTTCATCTTGAGCCCCAGGGCGTCCTTGTCTCGACTCAACACCTTCACCGGTAGCGTTTTGATCGTCCATCATATCAACCAAGTCTCTCTGGTATGAAGCGCGCCTTGAATTGTGCCGTGTTACTTCTGCCTCCCTATCCAGTTGGTCATCAAAACACATATCGGCCGCGACTTGGCAAAGTACGCATGCCGCTTCCACCGGAGGTTGCGTGTAAATGAGAATTCGACGGCGTCCAAGCACATGTTTGTAAAGCGTGAGAGAGGAGGGACCAAGAATGCGGAGAAGGTGAGCAAGGTGGAGCGTTGGATGGTGTGAGGTTGACGATGGCTACAGGATGCATGGAGTATTGGTCGTGAGGTGAACACGCATGAACGGGCTGGCGACGACACAAAAATGTATGAATAACGGACCTCACTAAACTCAGCGTCCCAACCGGCCCATCTTCTCTCTTTCACTCTCCTCGTTTCCTTCTTTCCCTTCCTCTTCGCTTTTCTCTCCTCAAAGAAAGCCCTCGCAGGCTCCCAGACCTCTTCCTCGGCATTCCTGATCACCGAGTCACCGTCGCCACTCAACAAATCACTCTGCGAATTAGATCTCATGTCGATTTCGTCATAAATTGTGCTGGCAAGTTTCTTGAGTGCGTCGAGGTGCGTCCATGGTCTTGGCTTGTCGTGTGCTGAAGTGGAGAGGAGGATTCCGAGTGAGGATAGGCGGAACCCACGATGGCCATGTTCTGTCGTGGGTCGGCGACGGTAGAGGGACAGGCCTGTATGTCCATGATGGTTGAAGTACCTGATATCGAAGAATGATGAATGAATTAGGACTTTATACAATTAAGGTATGGTGGGTGTGGGGTTGAAGAGCAGCCTTGACGACGAATGCATTTCTATGTATGGATGCAGAGGTGTGATAGGTGAGTATGATAGCAACCTACACGACATCATGCTCTACAGTGTGCAATCCACTGGGCAATGAGCTGAACTCGACACCATTGAGGTCCAAGTCTATAATAGACAACCGTACCGATATGTCAGTAGATTTCCCATAACGACCTAGCACTGTTACAGGATCGCGAGAGAAATTAGACGTACTATCATCAACTTTCAAACACCAGTCGACGACGTTTCCTTTAGTCGGATGGAATGAAGCGTGAAATATCGCAACTGGCGCAGATCATCGAAGTCAGTTACGCTTGGCATTATTGAAGGCCGACACACCGCTAAGATAATCACAAAGACAGATATACCTATATCTTGTGGGACGGTGGATGGTGCTGACGAGGACGAGGCGGAGGATTGAGAGGCCATGTTCGTCCTGAGCAACCGCGACCGCCGTCGTTGACGATGAGGCCTGAGGAGGATAGTTTCGCTGGTGGTATTACTAATGTAGTTTCAACTGTTTACTCCATAATAACATAGCAACCTCTCAATCTAAATCGGATATGGTGTAACGGCTAACATTGCCGCCTCTCACGCGGCAGCTCGGGGTTCGATTCCCCGTATCCGAATATATTGAGTTCCATCCAAGTGTTAAAATTTTATTTTACAAAATTGCACCCCCGTGGTTCAAATGATACATAGACATACAACACGTTAAGCACACCCAGTAATTTCAATCTTACTGCGTTATTTTACACGGTGTTCATTTACTTCCAGATCCCTAAGACCAGTCAGAACTTCCCGGGCCAAAACATGCCCCTTTCCTTATTCTCCTCATACCACTCCCCATCGTGCGCCAACACGATTTTCACACCTACGCCATCCACGCCATCCATCCCCATCAACTCCCTGATCCTGCGCAAATGCTCCTCCGCCTTCTCCTTGTCCACATGCGCACATCCCAACACCTCTCCCTTCTCATTCCTCACAACCGCAATATTCGCCTCGCCCAGTAAGATCCGACGATGATGTGCCGAATCGCCCGCAAGATACACCCAGTTATTGGGTGCAGTAGGTGTAGGAGCAATACGAACGAGTGCATTGATGTGCCCAGGGAGATGACCAGGCGAGTCGATTATATAGAGGGAACCGTCCGAGAAGGGGTCATAGGCGTGCGGGAAGGGTCCTAGAGGAGCCCATCCCTCTGCGCTTGTGCTTGGAAGTTCGGTAGTTCTATCAGTGGGGAGTATACCGGATTTGATGGCGGAGTGAAGATCGTGAGGGTAGCCTTTCTCGACTAGCGCTTTGCTGCCGTTGCCGACGATGTATTTGGCGTCCTTGAACCACGTCGGATCACCGATGTGGTCCCAGTGAAGATGAGACAGGATGACGTATTCAATGTCTTTTTCTTCGACGTTGTGTTTGAGCAGGAGTTCGGGAATGGTGGTAGGCAGGTGAATAGGGGCGAAGAGCTGCTCGATGCGGTCGAGAGCGGGAGGTGCAAGGGGACTGTTGGCATCCTCACGCGCTAGGTCGAGATTGACGGCGGGAGGAGGAATGGATAGATCGAAGATGATTGGGGTACGGTCTGTAGATTGAGAGCGACGGAGGAGGAATGAGAGGGCTGGGACGAGAGGTTTCAGGTTTGGGTGTGGGTCAGTGGGAGTTGGTGATGGGAGAGGGTCGACGAACACGAAGAGTGGAATGTGGAGGTGTCCTGTATCCAGGACGGAGACGTCCCAGTACGCTTGCGATGGACTGGGAGGAGGGAGGGTAGTTGAAGACATTGGGGACAAGATGATGGTCGAAAAAAGAGATGCACTGACGAGATGGTCGAGGGTTGATAACGGTGGGTGTCTGCGGAGTGCGAAGAGCATTACTGAGTACACTCGGGGAGGCCAGGTGATCCGAGAGCTATGGCGAGATCGCGAGACTGCCATGCTGAGATAGGGCATACTTGGTACATCTGTCATCCCAGCTGAGTGTCCAAAAATATGGTATCAAAGTGCTGAGGATTAGGCAATAAAGAAAGGAAAGAATGGCGTCGGAAACATACATGCATCGTGTCCGAGCCCGTCCAGGCACTCGTTGGTGTCAATCAAGGATGTCCAGGCTAAAACATATGCTCACCCTTGGTCCATAGTACATACCACTCTCGTTCACGCGCCAACAGGTCTTCCACTCCTATGTACTCGGTCGAAACAATTCATCTCCTTCAGCTTCTTGACCTTTTCAATATGCTTCTCCGAGAACGCTGATATGTAGATGTCCCAGGAGATGACCTATTACGTCGACTTAAAGCCTGCTGCTTTAGGTTTGCAGAAGCAAGAGGGTCGTCGTCCGAGATGTGCTATTGGGTAGTTGAAGACCAAAGAGAGCCGTGCGCGATGTAATGGGTGTTCACCGTGAAACTTTGAACCTGAGAGAGTTCCGTTCATACACAAGGCGGAGTGGCGCGCAGGTAAATATACACAGCATCGAAGACAGAGGGCTGTACAAGATGAAGACCCGAAGCAGAGACCACGAGGCCGAGTTATGCGTTTCCAAAGCCTTGGGGGATGTTGAATGAGCTTGCTCTATCCTTTGAGAGTGAACAACTTGAAGTTGTACTAGACCCTATCGCATGAAAGGCTGTCGCAAATATGTTGAGAACCGGCCACTTAGTGATTGCACGATGTCTGCTTCGAGGTGAGAGTACAAGCACTTGTAAAAGTGAGTATGCTTGCCGCACATGAACAGAAGGCCAACAAGTAGGTCGTCGGATGAGACCAGAAATTCTAAGGAAAAACACGCAGAAAACAAGGCGGGTGACGCCGTGTCACGCGGGTCACATGTGACTGTGCGCTACGTCACGGCTTTACTGCCGGAGTTCGCGCTTCGTTGTTCTCGTTCCCCCACCGGCCTACAGACGGCCAAAGCTATACTCAACTCGTTTCTGTCCTCCATTTTCATCGTGTTTTCACTATAATCGGGCAGAATACAGTTTTGGCAGCATTGACAGTAGCTCTAGGGCTTCTATTCGTCTTCTGACACTATCGCGCTTGACTGTCGGAAGATCCAATCCTCATGGAGGCCACCACGTCAAACTCTCGTACCCATCGAGGCGGAGCCTTCAATGGTACAGCAGAACGAGGACGAAGGGGACATCCTCACGTGTCGAAGAACAAGACCTGGGTTGCAGAAAGCGTGACAGCCACAAGGAACGGGGCAAGCAACTCAAGGCATCACAGTCCACCAGGAGCCGAGAAGAGGGAGAGGGGTGGATACAGGGGTGGACGAGCAAGAGGCCGAGGGAGGGGTGGCCGTGAATCGCACTCGCCAAGGCCGCTCACACCAAATTCGCAGCTGGAGGACGCAGGCTCTGGCACAGATGCGGAGACGGGCCACACAGACGGTGAGGCCGAGGAGAACCCAGTCTTTGATTCTCCTGAAGAGCTATCAAGCTTTTACCGAGAGGTGAGTCAAATTATTTCCATGATCAGGACGGTGCAGCGATCTTGCGACGTTTTTGGAACTTCGTCGGGTGCCACACATCCTCTTTCCAGAGCGCTGCGTCTGGCCAGGGGCTCTGAGTGTGTCGCGTTCGCTTGGCCAGTCGTGCAGATATTACAAGGGTACCAGATACTGTACACCTAGTCTCGGCTCGCGAGTGGCGTTTTATATGTCTGCTGATGCAACGTCCCGTGTGGCCCAAATGTAGCTGCTCAAAGCGCGCGAAGTTGAAAAGCGAAGAGCAATCGCAGAAGGCAAGATGAATGACCCCGCCATCGCTGTCAGGCTCGAGGACGCAATAGCCATGGTTGGAACATGTAAAGACATGTGCCCACGGTTCGAGCGGTATCGACGGGAAAGAGAGAAGAACCTCTTCGAATGGGAACGCGTACGTGTTTTACTTTCTATGTCGTTCTTGGGTACTTGAAATTCTTTTCAAACATTTGAAGCTTCCGGGAACGTACCATGTCGACCATAAGCGAGCCGTCAAGGCGTACGAACGAGCGGCAGGCGACAAGAGCTTGCCATCCGACTTACGGCCTCCTGAAGTGCTTAAGGTGCGTATCTTGTGTTACCCATCATAATTCATACATTCAAGAGGACTTTTCAGAAAACACTTGATTATCTCTTCCACGATCTCCAACCTCGGAAGGGATTCCACCGAACTTTTGATTTCATCCGCGACCGCTCCCGTGCCGTTCGAATAGACTTTGGGATTCAACGTAGTAACGGCCAAATCGCCATGGAATGCTATGAACGTTGTGCGCGCTTCTCCATCGTCGCACTCCACCTCGAACGAGACCAGCCTGGTTTCGTGGCCTACATGGAAGAACAACAACTGATGTACAGTACGTGCAATAGTATATTCTCAGTGCACATATTTCATCGTACTGAGTCTCTATCTTTGCCCCAGCCTTGATGAGTTTGAAGGAGTTTTACGAAGCTGATAATCAAACGTACAAGTCCCCCCAAGAACTGGAAATGCGGACTTATCATCGCCTCATTCACATACGTGACCAAGTCGAGCGCAACGAGACAATTCGACCCGAAATCATGAATCACCCCGTCTTCATACTTACCACCAGATTCCGTCAACAAGTCCAGGCTGTTTCTTCGCCTATCACAAAAACGTCGACGCTCAAGGTCGACGATGTGGCCATGGCGATTTTCGCTGAGTTGGCAAAGGTTCTGGTGGATCAGGGTAGTCAGTGCATGGTCTATCTCGTAGCTTGCATCCTGGAGTTTTTATTCGGGAAGGATACTATCGAGAATATTGAGGGTATCAGGGAGGGTCTGGAGATTCAGGATATTATCGACGGTGTTCCGAATGCCGCCATGGCCAACGGTGGTGCCTACATTGAAGAGGGTGAATATTCAGCCTCAGCAGGCGAGGATGAACCCGAAGAGCCCACACAACCTCAGACGATACAGCCTAGTGCCACGCAATGGCTCACCAACAACTTCGGCACTGAACCGAGCACCAGTGTATTCGGTCCTTCTTCCTCGTCTACCTCTGGCCAATCGACCTCCCTGACTCCCTCTACCGCACCCCGAACCAATGGCTCGGCCTTCGGGTCTTCGACCAGTGCATTCGGCGGACCATCCACTTCGCAACCTGTTGCCCCCGCGTTTTCTGGGTTAGCGGCCTCGACAGGCGGCGCATTCGGAAAAGGGTTTGGAGGATCAGGGTCTGCATTTGGCGGTGGATCTGCATTTGGAGCATCCTCTGGATCTGCACTCGGATCGTCATCTGGCTCTGCGTTTGGCCCGCCATCAAAGACCAGTGCGTTCGGAGCGAAGTTTGGCCCGTCTTCCACCCCCTCTCCCGACAATACCAATGGCACCAAGCCCTCTACACCCTCGGTTTTTGGTTCGACGACATTTGGCGCACCGGCGCCGTCAGGTTCGACCTCATCTTCATCTCCCTTTGGTGGACCGGCTCCTCAACCACAACAGCCATCGCCGCCGCCAGCGAAACCTCCTTCCAGCGCATTTGGAGCGACCAAGCCGACTTTTTCACTGGCATCTGCGCCGCCTCTCGGATCGACGTCCGAGTCCCCACCGCCCAGTCTCTTCGGAGGCTCGACACTCAATCCCGCAGCCGCGTCCTTCTCGCCGCCAGCAGTGAAGACGGCGGCGCCCAAGCCACAGACGCCACAGTTCGGCCATCAACTACAGTCAACGCCACAAACTTCACCTTTCTCCGGGTTCGGCCAACAACCACAATCCACGCCAGTTTCACAACCCTCACCTTTCTCCGGGTTCGGTCAAACATCCACCTCAGGCCCTACACCATCACCCTTTGGTTCAACATCTACACCAAATGTGCCGGAGCAGAAAGCAGAACCATCTCGGTCACCAGTCAAGAATTCATCGTTGTTCAGCATTTCTCCTAGTCCTGCACCTCCCACGACAGCACCCCAACCTCCACAACCGCCGTCTACCTCAACACCCCACCCGAGTCCATCTCCTTTCGGCTCTATCAATAGCACTAACACCAGTAACCCCCCTCTTCCTCGACGCAAGTCCTCTTCCTCCAGACCAACCGTCCCGTCCATCTCAACCACCAACCTCACAGCCGCGCCACCGCCCATGCCATCGCCCGCCACGCCACTCCCCGAGCCACCGCCTTTGAGCAAAAACCACGTCATCTCTCTGCCTCCAACACCGACCATGCCAAACTACCAGTCCCCCGTCAGAACGAAGAGCCTCGTCGGGTTGCCCGCGGGTAGTTTCACGCAAGAAGAAGTTTTGAGCCCGTTAATGTTGAGCGGACCGTCGCTTGCGGGGCAAAAATCGATTGTGGGGTCTGGAGCTGGGGCCGGGTCTTTGTTGCTTAGGAGGCCCAGTTTAACGGCGGCGGAGTTGGAGACGCAGAGGCAGTTGCAATCGCAGGGTCAGGGCCAAGGTGGTCCGTCGACGTCTACACCACCTCCCGTGGCGCCGTCGCCTACGAAAGCGAAACCCAAAACATCGCCACAAATCTCCACCTCGACCTTTTCGGCGAAAGTCAAGCTGAATGGTGATGGCAAGAAGGCTGCGGACGATAAAATTAGGAAGGAGAGAGCTGCTCAATTTGATTTTATGAAGACCGTAAAGCCGATCTTGAAGCGGTGGAGGGAGAGGGCAGCGGGTCATTTGAAATGGGTGAAGGCTGTTGAGAGGAGTGATGCGTATAGCAAGAAGGTCAGGGAGCAGAAGTCGAGGGGGGAGATACAGCATGTGAATGGAAAGAAGAGAAGGGAGTCGTCTGGGCATGAGGACGAGGAAGATACTCAGTCAGACAGGAGTAGTAGGGCCTCTCGGGAGGAGAAGAGGAAGATCAGGAGGAGGACTTCGAAGAAGCGTGAGGAACCGAGGTCGGATGAAATGCTTGCGGACAGGCTGAGGGAGGTGAGTGTCACATTTTATCTTTCATTAAGTGGAAATAGTCACTCATCATATGTCTGATTCCAGAACCATGAACAACACGAACAACGGTGGAAGAGAGGCTCCCTCCTCGACGCTGCTCGAAGTCATATCATCTCGCTCGCTGACGGATTTCTGTTCGACTACCGGATATGGTTGTCTACGAATCCTGACAACGACGAGACAGCTATTTGGGTGGATCGCAAGTTCGACGTTCCAAAATCTGGGCAATGGTTCGCGGATAATGTGTTTTCGATACCTCTCAAGGAGGGAGATTTGGACTCGACCTCGCCGGGTTTGATAGTCTTCGAGAGAACACCTCATGAGGGAGCGAAAGATGCGATTGAGCGGTGAGTTTCAGTATAGTCTTCTTTGTGAAAAGTGAGATTCGTGTGGCTGATCAATGGGGGCATTGAAAGGAAAATGCGAACGTTGGAGGACTGTGGAAGATTGCGCGACATCGTCGAGACTCTTCCGTCGGATCGACACTTCGTACCATCTGTCGTGTTTATCTCCTGGACAGACATCAAGGAGAATGTGTTAGAAGACGACCTACTGGCGATGGTACGTGCACGATTTCAATTCTGTGGGTCTAAATGGGACGCTCACGGCTCTCCTGTGCTTAGACACAAAGATATGTCGCAGAGAAGAAACTTGAAAGCTATGGCACGCTCCCTTTGACGGCTAAGACAACCGACGTCGACGAAAAGTTCGTTGCGGTCCTTGCGAGCACGACATTAGATCTGTACGGGAAACTGGCGGAGCTTCTATCGTGGCAAGGTTCGCTCCCTCATTTCCACCCGTTCTGATTCGAAGGCAACCCTCTGACAAGCCCATTATCATATTTATTAGATCTCTTAAAAATCATGGTTGCACCATGGAAAGACTTCGCCGCCGACTGGGTCTCGCGATCTACGATGGATCACGAGGTGGACTGGGATCTGTGTAGTCAGATCATGCGTGCCCTCATCGAGTGTCTAAACACACTCGCGACGTCCATGTTAATCCGATTCGTCCCTGGTAGACCTCCTCAGGCACTCCCGGACTTCCCGCCAAATGGAATCGATTCTTCAGAGTGCGTTGCCTTCCTTTGCCCTCTTTCTGGGGTTTCCGTTGATTTTATGGTCAGCTCCCTCTATGATGCGATGTCCGAGTATCTCAGCGATATCAAAATCAAGAATTTCTCTGAAGACATCCAGAGAGACCTTCAGTCCCATCGCTCCTTGGGCAAAGGTGTGTTTATCCCCATCACTCAACCTCAATCTACATGTCTAACTGACGTTGGTCGAGCAGATTTCCCCATTCGCGCCTTCGCAGATCAGCTGTATACTCTTGCTTTATCTCGCATCGAGCTATGTGTCGGCGCCGACACATCCCTTAAATACCCTACTCCCAAGAATGAGATCGAGGATATTTGGTCCGACACACAGCAGACGATAGAGGAGACAGCGGACAAGCTGCGTAAGACACTTGCATTCCACGTCCGACCAAAACGAAGACGCTCCCGCGAATCAAGCGACAATGATAGGTACCCATTTTGTCCTTCTCTTCGACACGACTTCTTGCTAATGCATGCTTTATCTAGTGAATCTTCGCCACACAAGAAGGCGAAGTTTGCCACAGCCGAAACGTCACCGCCTCCCCAAACCAATGGGTCGAGCCCCCCAAACAATGGCCATCCGGTTCCGTCGCCCAGCGTTTCGCCCTCCGCGTCCAGCTCGACCGTCAATGGCTCTTCGTCTGACTTGATAACACCTGCGATGTTGATGCAGCGGGCTAGGGCTGCCTTGAAGAAATATGGGTCTTGAATCTCTCCCCTTTCTATTCATCTGGACGCGATCTCTTATTACCTAGCATATCTGTGGTTTGATGTTGTCTGTTATCGTGTTTACTGTATTTATTTCAATTTTTTGTGCACTTATCTACTCCTTCTGTGTTACTGGCTGGCTGCAATGTACTGTACGTCTGGTTGTCTTACCGAGCAGATACTTACAGACGATGAAACAATGGTGCCTTTTGTGGGCCCAAGTGCTCTACCTCTTTCATAGACGATTGGTCTGACAAGATTCGCAACAGCAAGATTGTAGTGGATATTCCGCATCACAGGCAAAGCGCTAAGCGCTCTAAAAATCCAGACAATTGCGATACAATTATGTGTATGATGGTTAGATGAATCGCGGTCACAGTAGAGGAAGTGTCGTGCTGAATACACAAAATTCGGCGCCAGAGTACGCCCATAGACCAAACACGACCGACGAGATCATCCAACAAAGTCCCAAACAATAGAAAAACGAAAAAGGAGTGATGATAGCAGTAGATAATGTTCGTGTGACGCAGGGTTCCACCCGTGTGAAAAGAGTAGATTATAATCGATATCTTCAGACACCAGGAAGCGTGAAGCCAGGCAAGTTCGGCCAGTCTAGTGAGGCATTCAGTATCGTGATAAGACGAGAAGACGTTGAAGGATGGGAGGCTTACTACCGAGTTCTCCAGGGTCTCCACCGATGCGAACCCATTGTGAGATAGAGGGGGTAGGCCCATCGAGAACGAAAAGTTGCCACCACCCAGGAGGGCTGACGAAGGAGTTGGGGGGCGCCGTGACAGTGCAGGTTGTCCCACTGCAAGAGAATTCGGGGAATATAGTACGTCCGCCCATGACGTTTCCGTGGGTGCTCGAGGTACCTGACGGGAAGGAATTAAAGGGGCTGAAATCGGTACATAGGGTCTCACGAAGGCTCACCTGCTATCAAAGAGACACGCATATTAGAGATGGGGCCGTAGGTCAATTGAACGTTCAGGGTATATTGGCCGCCATAGGCCCAGTCAGTCTCCGTCACGGTGAATGTCGGCTTCGTGCGTCCTTGAGTCAGATATGGTGGAACGTAGACCTCGATCCTCATCTCTTCCGGGAACTTGGGCGTGCCATCGGGGTTGTTCGTCTGGGGGTCAGAGCCAGAGACGAGGACACGGCCGTCAGGGAGAAGGGTAGCCTAACGAAAATCTTAGCGAGGGATGAAACTGGTGAATGCAGTACAACACACCTCCGAATGGTATAATCGAGCGACGATGGTGTTGTTGAGGATTGAGATACGCTGGTGGAGAGGCTGCGTGGGATCGTAAAGTAAAGCAGAAAGGTTGGGATCGTCCGCGAGACCGAATCCAGCAACTCCTTGTTCTGCGCCACCCAAGATCAGCATAGTTCCGTCGGGAAGAGCAGCCATAATGGGCATCACTCGTTTCGAGGGCTAATGAGCGGATGTCAGCCAGCGTATGACGACTGCGGTTGAGCACAACCCACCATACGCTCAAGAGACCAAGTGGCGTTTTCCACTTCCGGTTGGATGTTGATACAATTGTCGAGCGCCACTCCAAAGTTAGACCCGCCGCATATGAGAACTGTAACCGGGTCCGTGTACGGGGGGTATTGTGGAAGTAGAAGTGCCGCTCCTATGAATGGGTACAAGATAAACATATAGGTAGCTATACGAGACCAGGTGTATGACTCACCTTCCATAGGGTATGTGCGCCCGGCTTCGAAGCTTGTAACTGAGCCCGGCATGTTAGGAAGGACCGTGATAGTGTCGAAAGTACCCGGGTCAAGGATTCGAGCCTGTTCAGCAAAGTTTAGACCAACCAGTGTGTAGGCTCAACGTTCAAGAACGTTACCTCGTTGTAATAGCCTAGGGACACGAATCATTGAGCTGCAACGTTGCATAGCAGATGATCACAACGTACCTATAAAGACCCGACCGCTAGGAAGCATGATGAGAAATGGGTATAGGTTGTTAGGATCGGTTCGCTGAAGATAGTCCAAGGTGAGATAGGTTGGGCCGCCTAAACGTTCCAAGCTCAGTTACCGACTTTTTAGACATGACAGACACGGATCAATACATACCTGCAGGTGTGGGTAGAATCTCGAGTGTCGGCTCCGGAACTCCATTCGATCCAATTTCCCCTCCGACTACCAGAATAGAGCCGTTAGATAGAAGAAGCGCTGAGGGGTACCAACGCGGACGCTATTGTCGAAGTCAGATTAATGCTACGCTCGCGATATAAGCTGAACATGGATACCTGAAGGGTCAATTCGTCTCCATTCTCCTCCCAATCATTGGTGCCATTCACGCCAGGACTTCCATCAGGCGTATAAAGCCTGATGCCATAAAGAGAGTCCACAGACCAGCCACCGACATTGATCTGTCTGGCGCCCTTGTCCGGGAGGATGAGGGAGGCAGAGCAGAAGACGTCGGTTTTGACGTGCATCTCTCTCCATGCATGTGCGAAGTCATCCGTGAGGCTCAGGTCGAGTTCGTAAGCACCCTATATTATCAAGCCGTGAGCATCGGCGCGAGAGATAACAGAGAGAGTGACCATGTACCGTGCTGTTGTCAAATTCACTGGTCCCAAACTTCTCGAGGAAGGTGACCTTGTTGTTTACACCGACTGTGGCGATGAGTGGAACGACGAGTCCACCGATCAAGAACTGGAGATATTATAGCTCGTCAGTAAGTAGTTCCAATAAGAGTGCGATGGAAGCTTGCCTCGTAGTAACCAGTGACCGCTGGGGTGTGCCAGGTATCGATGCCACCGTTGTAGAAGTACAGTTGCAGCCTTTGGGCACCGCCACAGAGGTGGATGGGATCACCAGAGCAGGCTATATCGCAGTCACTCTCAGGAGCTGAAACACCTCCATTTGCCTGGATATCGGCTACATCTCCGCACCCTGTCGAAAAGATATGTGATCAGCATACGAAAATGGATAACGAGGAAAAATAAACAATGACTTACAACATTCGTCACCTAGATTCTCATGTCACGTTAGGTTTTGGTAGTAGAAGAAAGAAGAAGCGACTTGCCGAATTCCATTCCGGCTGCGGGGTATCCAAAGGCAGCGCATTGGGTCAAACAAGCATCGGCCGAGTTGTTGTTCGTGTTGATAATCTGGTACGGGAAGACGCGGTTTGCACCAGGTTCGCTATAGGACCCTCCGGATTAGTATATCCCACGATCTAACAAGGTTATGCATACTCACGCAAGACAGCCCTGATACTGCCATTGTCCGGGAAGACTTGTGTTCTGAGCGACGGGAACGGGGAAGACGGTGACATTGCCAGTCGAGGTATACACGGAAAGTCGGTTCGGTCCACCACATGCCTCACTGTTCCAGAGTCAGCACGACTATTCGAACACGAAAATAAATGATGCTCACGTCGCATTTCCACCACAGCCCATGTTGCAGTCTGTGTCTGGGGCAACGACAGCGCCTTCGATCAAATCATCGCCACAGACTGCAATAAAATCGCAGTCAGCGTGAGGGAAAGGTGATCGAACCACGAGTAATGACACTCACAGCATTGGACCTGTGAGAAGTGGCAAGAGGCTGTCAACGACGATAAAGTGGACGGCAGCAGACGGACAAACCGAAAACTCGAGGCCAATAAGGGTAAAGTTTTGGGCGGAGCAAGACGCGATGCAGCTCTCCACAGTAAGAGCCGAATTATCCGGGAGCTCCGTCTCGAATACACGTCCAAAAGCGTCGTCCACATAACACGCCGCATACGTCCACGGCGCAGGGAGTGTAGAAACTGGGAAGACTGGCGTGGTGCTTCCTCCGCCGCCTCCGGGTGGTACTGGTGTGGTGACGGGGGGCAAGCCGGTATGGTCGGTGAGGTTGTAAACGTTGAGACGATTAGGTCCACCACAGAACTCGGAGCTGTTCCCAACGCATGGCATGTTGCAGTCTCCGGCCGGCTCGGGTACGCCTCCGTTCAGAATAGACAGGGAACAGTCTGAAGATATGATGGCGGAGAATTATCAAGATTAACAAAACATAAGAATAGTCATGACATCAGTGCCTTGTTTGGTACTGGGTCGAGAGAAACATGCATGTACTCACAGCATTCGTCCGCAAATTCCTGGAAGTCGAAGGACGCAATTGTAATGGAAGATGAGAGAACACTCGTCAGATTCAGTTAAGGTTGCTCCGGACTGGACGTACCATTCCAGCAAGAGGGTAGCCTGATGCGAAACATGCGGCGGTACATGTTTGGACGCTGACACTTCCCGTCACATCAGTTGGGACGTCAAGCACCCGGTCAGCAGTAGAATCACTTCGGAGATTAGAGGCGATGGTCAGCACTTGAGATCCACCTTACGAACGCAGCCACCATCAAGGACACTCACTTGTAACACCCGAGGGATACCCAGGGGCCGACGCTGGGGTCAATAACAGGAGGTGGAGGAGGTTGTGCGCCACTCCAGTACATGCTCAAACGTGAGCCTGCGCCACATGTCTCCGTAGCATTCCCCGTGCAAGGAGAGTTGCAATCGGACAAGGTTGTGTTAGTTCCGCCGTTCGAGATCTCGTCGCCACAGTCTATAGAGAAATATAGCCATTTCAGGCATGCGGTGAAAAGGTGGATAAAGAGAAGGAAATAACCACTTACAGCACTCCTCTGTGTAAAAATCAATTTGTTTAGTGTGAATATTCCTGACCCAGGCAAGGAAGACGGGAAGGATTGACGTACGACTGAATTCGACACCTGCGAAGATAAATGATCCTGAGTTGCAGAAATTAACGCAGGCCTCGACGGTCATGCCGGTTGTGTTAGTGAATGTCGACGAGGTGAGTGTCCTCGCGGCAGAATTGTCTCTATAAAATTGACAGCTAGGCATGAGCCTCTTGGACTCAAGCAGGAGACAGAGGGGGTAGTCAAGCGTACGTGAAGCATCCTACAGAGCTCCAATTGCCAGGAAGGTCGGTGGGAATGACCTCTGTCTGACGACGATTGTGGTGGTCGAATAAAGAATGGAAGGACCCCCGAGTTACCTACAGAAAAATATGAAGGTTAATATCGACCAGTTAACGTCTCGTCCAAGGACCCAGCAGCACGTACGGGAGTGAAAGACAAGCCCACGGCCATAAACAAGGTCAAGAATCTGGACGCCACCATCGCTCGTGCTTCGGAGTGACGACGCTCAGATGAGGGAGGAGGTAGAACCCATGCAGGTCTTTATAGGTAGGAATTCAGTCGTTCCATATCAATATTGGTCATCTACCAGATCACCCCAGGAGAAGGTCCTCAAATCACATCGGGAAAGAAATCAGTCGGAATCGATCGGCGATGCGAAAAAAATCGATATACATAGAGCAGCGGTGAACACGTTCCGGGCAACCATCTGCAACCATACCGTCAGTGTTGCCCCGGGAAAGCGGGAGACGGACCTTGACATGTCTTCCGTTCAGCCTGAGGGGACAGGAACCAGAGCTTGCATACCTCTTTACAACATGTGGAGATTGAGAGATTATAATGAATCAGGTTTAGAAAAGGCGGCGGTGCGCATATGCCGAAAATAAGCGCGCCGCTGTAAACTTGGAATAAGTCTTGTATAATCGTGTGGACAATGCGAGGTGTCGGACCTACGAGGGAAGTGAGATTGCGGAGGAAACATTGAAGATGCCATATCAAGTCCCGCTCAGGCTGAACTAGAATAATTCGAAGGGGGGAGAAGTTTAGAAGAGTAGCCGGTGGACGAAAATACTCCCCAGAACGCCACCAAAAAAAGAGGAGGCGCTGAGCACCTCATGATACACGGTTTGCCGCCAGGAAAATATGGTTGAAAAGCGATCGATATTCAACGACAGTTGCAGAACTGCCGACATGCACAAGCCAGAGCGGCTCAAGGAGTTAGGCTAGGTCCCGACACAGGCACGGTATATCAAAGGCGTTGACGCTTGTTGGTCATCTTGCCCCTACATGGGGAAGACGTTAACATCGGTTGGATGCAGAAAGGCATCCCAGTTTTCGATGCCGTTGACCTAAATGGCACCAGACCAGGGTGGGCACCTCAATTCCGCCGCTTGAGGCGAGGATCACCAATCGCCACATCGAGAAAATCCGGAAAGGTTGCTTGGACCGGACTGCTCTGATAGAAGGCGTCCATAGCAACTAGTCTCTGCACCAATGCATGGCACTTGGAAGCTAACCTGCTCGATACATCGCGAGCTTCCATTGATCCAGCTATGTAGTTCTGTTGGGGTCAGACGATCGTGGAGACGTAGATAGGTAGCACAACAAAACGCAGAATGCATCCATCAACACAATTCAGGGGATATCAGGCTTGACTGAATATCTGCGGCATGGTAATCAAGATGGGCTAAGCCATCTGCCTCCCGTCAAGTTCTGTACAGAGATATGTTTTCGACGGCATCGTAGATAGGAGCGCGACGGCATGACGAAAGATGAGTTTCAGTGTTCCAGAGCACCTCAACTCACCGAGGTTTTGACACAAGCTCTGCCCTTGTCCCGCGAGCGTCGGGGCCCATAAAAAGGATGCAAGGAACGAGAGGAAGATGTGTGAACACCGTCGATTGAAGTGCATAGGACTGAGAGCATCCCTTTTCGAAACCACTCAGCAAACCCACCAGGGTCATAATTAGGATACGGTCAAAGCGAGGACAGGTCCGAGTCGGGCAGCTCGTGTCGGACCAACAAGCCGCGGAAATAATGCGCGTTCAATGAGATTATTTCGAGTGAACAGGGCTGTTCGAGGACATAATTTGAGCAGACGTTTGAGTAGACATGTGGAGTAAATAAACACCACTGAACTGCAGAAGACGATGAACGCACTGCATCGGGCCTGTGTGGCTCAGGAACCTCCTATGCGTAGTGTTTCAAGGAACATAGGGTGAGTGCCTTGTGGGTACATGTATGTTTGGCTTCAGAAGGGAATTGCTTTGTGAGCACGCTGCACTAGATGGCGACATGAATACGTCGAGTTGTTAAAACGGTCGAGAAGTGGGGAGAAGAAAGTATCCTGAACCTGTTGAACTCATATCGGCGACGGGATGACCCATTGTCCAATTATGCAGTAACACCACCCTTGAAGATGAAGTGGGTTATCCTCTAGCCGTCGACCACAACGCCACGCCAGGGGGTCTGTCGGAGACCGAGTCATTGATGGATGAATGTAGAAGGGTGACAGGACCACGATGAATGATTAATGATTGACGGGAGCGTGCGACAGCACATAAAGCCCATGTTTGCGGTAAGACTGACGATGCAACGGTGACACAGCGGCTGGTACCTCCCAGGCGTACGGTCATTGGTGAGAGATACTCGGTAGTGGTCGCCGTGCCGAGAGGGTGAACTATCGAGACCGAGCGGCGTGCGACGACCAGACAGGCACCGCGATACTGATACGCATAAGAGGATGACATCGGCTATGAGAACTACGAGCTAGCGTGGAGTGGATTGAGAGAGAAAGAGTACAGCCTGGGAGTTGTCTGAAGCACAGCGGGTCAAAAGTCGCTCCATCTGGGCCGAGAAGACTGAGGTAAGGTACTCCTCTATGGCAGACATGGGAGATGGGCCTACCTGTCTTGTCTTGTCTAGTTCAGAGCACAATCAAGAGGCCCAGGGGCAGTCCAGAAATGTAGAGTTAAGACCCATCTTAAGAGGACTCTATAGCGATATCGGCGAAGTCGCGCATCATTAATTCTTTGAAAAAGAAAATTCGCAGGGTACTTATTCGGGGAAATTCCACGACCAACACAAAAGAGTTTAGGCGGTATTGCCAGAACAAAAGACAAGCGAGGCCAGTAGCTAGTGAAGGTTAGAGACGGGGAGGCGAACCCTAATATCACAGCCAGCTCGGGCAGTCCTGTGGCTCGAGCTGAGATTGTGGCTGAGCTTGGGACGCGGACGAGGCCACGTGGTGAGGGCGACGACCGCTCGAAGCACGATCCTTGTCCTCGTACTCCCATCTATACCCAACCGAGTGAGCCCACGAGCGCAGACCGGCCAGCGAAGGACCGCGAAAGAAAGGTGAGAATCGATAAAGATCGCGCAGGGCAGGACAAAAACAAGAAATTGACAGCGGTGTTGCGGAGCAGAGCGGACGTTGAACTCAAATAGGCTTCCCGCCGATTCACCCCTCCTCGCCAAATCTTACCGCTCGGTGCGTTAACTTTGTTTCGTCGAACTTTACATCTGATGTGGCTGACCCCCGCCCATTTGTCTTGCCTTTGAACCTTATTTTCCTCTTCATCATCAACAATCATCATCGACAATATGCTCGACGTCCGCTGGACGATGACAAATCAGTCAGATCCATACCGTACATGTCGTCGCCCACAGAGGGCCAGTCTTCCAGTACGTGGTCAGAGCCACCATGGTCAGGATGGATAGAGACCACAGGAGACGCCCTCCTCATCCTCGAGGCTGCCCGTCGAGGCCTTATCCCGCGTGTTACACGCCGCTTAGTCGACTCGGAACGGAAGATGATCACCTCCGGCTCGGTCTTCGTGTTTGACGAGGACGAGAGTGGCATCAAACGATGGACAGATGGGTTCTTCTGGAGTCCGAGCAGAATACTAGGCAACTTCCTTCTCTACCGAGAGACAGAGAAGAAGGGGCAAGGACATAAGGGACCGAAGAACGCTACCCACGAAGGGCAGCAAGATCCTGAGACATCGCAGACACAATTCGCCATCGAGGGCGCCAAACCGAACGAAGGTAGCCAGACGCTCAGCCGACCTCGCAGCGAGTCGAATAGGCTGGGGATCGATCGCCATCGAGAGAGGAGTTTGGTGGGCAGTTTGACGAACAGTTACAAGTTCAAGCCGGGAGGCATGATGAAGAAGGTACGTCTCGCCTCGTGCCATCACCCGCTCCGCGCTCTCGGGACAAGGCTTGCTTAAGATTATGAACCTTCATCTTTCTTACCCGTTTCAGACTTTCTCGTTGACCATCAACGGTGTCTCACAACATCTCATTTCCTATTACAAAGTCGAGGACGTCGAGCAAGGCCGTCTTCGATGTCCCTCGTCATATCCCGAGCTAGCATCACTCGAAATCAGTCCAGAATACCTTGACAAAGCCCTCTTTCGCAACCCTCCAAAAACAGAGCAAGGTCCAGATGGCCTTCCACGATACCGTGGCGAGGCGGATGATGTAGAACCATCACCGCATAGCGTCCTCGATCACGCGCTATCACTCCCTGTCCCAATCCTCAGCGCCCCCACCGAGGTCGGTGGATCTTCAAGACGCAAGCGCTTTGAGCCATATCCCGCTACCGGGTCCAAAGCATCTCGCTCTGGTCGGAACAAGAAAGCACAGGACTCTGGTTCGCCACCTCCAGTGGAGGGTCAGACGCCGGCGGCGGGATACCCGCCTTCGGGCTATTCTGGCGACCCGAATAACCCCTTACTGCAGTATGGTCATCCTTACTCTTATGGCTTGGGGGCTAGTATGGGTATGGGAGCACCACCGAATTTTCCTCCAATTCCTTACTCACTCCCAGCACATCCAATGTACCCACCGCCCTACCCAGCGTCAACGGCTCCTCAGCCACCCGGCTCGCCGTCCCCTGTTTCGCCAGTGGCAGGGTCGACATCCTCGCCGACAGCCGGACAGGGAGCTTCGCTTGCCTCGCCGACGTCCCCCACCTCCATACCCTCCCCATACCTCCCATTCTCTACCGGTGGGCAGACGGGTGCAGGTTCGGAAGCTTCTCAACAACAACAGTTCTATCCGTACTTTTCCCCGCCGCATCCGGGGTACGCTTCGCCTTACTGGACTCACGCGTACGGATATCCGAGCCCTCAAGTTGCACAGCAACTCGCTGCAGGATCTGCCGGAGAGGCGACCCAGTCGAGCCTGGCCGCAGCTGCTGCCATGGAGCAGTCTAGCTCAAACGGTGCCGGTGTCGGAGTAGGCAACGAACATGCGTTGCACGGCCAGCTTGGTGGGAATGGAGACAACGCGTTAGTGGGAGTGACGGTCGGTACCTAAGCTTTTACTGCGCCCATGCTCCATCCTCTCTCCACTTTCCTCTTGTCATTTCTACTTGCGTTACCCATCCCGCTATCGTCGTATGCCCCTGTCCTTGATCTCCCTGCTCTGGTCTTTATGCGTACCTGTTATACTCTTGTTGTCCTCGGTTACCCAACCCCATGTCCTGTTATCATTGTATAGCAACCATATTCGAACAACCCTCGACCTTTGACTTCCTTTCGATTCTCGATCTCAACATCACGCATCTTTGCTGGCGCGCCTCGATCCAAATACACAACTTTTGCCGCCAACGCGTATCTTCGCTACCTTCTTCGTTCTTCAGTCCATAATACTTTTTGTGCTCGGTTCTCAAACTTCTGGGTCTTATGTCTACTGTGTTCATATTCTGTAATTCTCATGATAATTCTCATACTGTACATGTTGTTGAATGAGCCGAATGTATCCATTTTGCGGGTATGCTTCTTGCAGGTCCATGTTTCTTGTGGTATGGCGGTGTGGCGCAAGCGCGGTGTGGCACAATTGGGCATCCGATGTCTCTTTCCATCTCAGCTGGCCATAGTCAAGACAGTTTTCGCCTCTGTCCACCTTCTTATAATAAATTTATTCGCTGCCATGACTGGGTCTTTGAATGTGTATTACTTATTATTCCCGGAACCGGAGCCGATCCCACCTCCAGCGAGGATGAGGAATTTGATATCACGAACTCGTCTTCTCCTTTCGTCCACGACGATCTTGACTCATCTTCTTAATGTCTCCGACCCCACAGGCTCTGCAGGACTATCGTGTCAAGCGCGATGCCTTCATACAGGATGATCGAAGTCTGCGTCGCGAGAATGTTCGTCTAGCTGCGCTTAGTGTGAAGGAGAAGCAAGCAGATGAGATCGTTCGCCGTATACGGACTGTCGAAGAGACGAAGGTTTGGAAGCAGGACTATGCGGATGTGCCGCATCCTTTTCCTGGGATGGAGTTCTTGACTGGTGAGTTATTTGGGAACATTTCAGTGCTACGTTTGCTTGGCTTGGTCTTTGGACAGGGGCTCCAGTAGCTCGTGTCAAGTTGTGGCGTTGGTCTGATTATTTATGGATAAACAGGAAAGCGAATCATCGAGCAGACCAAATTGTATGGCATCATACAAAAAGTGAGTTCTCGCTCGTGTATCTACATCCTCAGAGATATTTTGACGATCCATCCTGACCAGATGCCAAAAGGAGGCCTCCTTCATGCACATCTTGACGCCACAGTCAATGTCGACCTCCTCATGGGTCTTGCCCTCCAATACCCTCGTATTCACGTTCGCGTCCCTCGACGCCTCACCACCTCCACGATCTCAAACACTCTCCCCGAGCTCAGCCCTATTCCTGTTACGACGTTCGCGGGCAACTTCAGTGTCAGTCACGCTGAATATCAGCCTGATACTTGGGTTTCTCTGAGTGTGGCGAGGGATGGATTTGATGATTCTCTTGGAGGGAAGGAAGGCTTCGACAAATGGATCCACGACTCTATGACGATCAACCCTGCCGAGGCTTATGGGACGCATAATACAGTGACGAAGGTTTGTGTGGCCGTCGTCTGAGTCATCGATCCTAATCAAACAGTGATTAAAGAGTATTTTATTCTAGATATGGCAGAAGTTTCAGTCCACCTTCCGTATCTTCAATGTCGGTGCTTTTGCTATATATATTGGTGGCTTTGTCTATACTAACGGGTCATGCTCTGCCTTTTCTTGTATAGCCCTTGATTCGCTATCGTCCCATACTCGGTCAATACATCCGACAATTCTTCTTGACCTCCATTGAGGACGGAATCTCCTATGTTGAGCCCCGCGTACCTTTCTTCCACAAGTGGGTCTCTCTGTCTTTGATTATATGTACTGGCCATTCATGTGCCGAGCTGACCGTGCGACGTTCTCACAGAGCCCTTTTTGATGAGGACGGCGAGTTAATCCTCACCCATCGGGACCTTTTGCTTGAGTTCGATCGAGTTCTTAAGGAGGTGAAGGAGGAAATGAAGGCAAAGGGCAGACCAGATGACTTTATCGGTGCAAGAGTAATGTCCAATTACATGTTTTCGGACTTCCCGCTCTGACTCTGACTTTTGCTCACCCGACGGTACTAGGTCATCTACTCGACATTGAGGGCCATCACCGCAGAAGAGCTCGAGTGGTATACGAACGATTGCATCGCTCTGAAGCAGGAGTTTCCCCATCTCATTGCCGGTGCGGCCTAGTTCCTCCTCTTCAGTGGGACTAGTTAGCCGGCTCTGACCGTGGGACTCATGCTACAGGCTTCGACCTCGTTGGCGACGAGAATGTGCTCAAGCCTCTGACGGAGTACATTGCCCCTCTTCTGGCTTTCAAAGAACGCGTGAAAGAGCTCGGACTTGATCTACCTCTGATTCTTCATGCTGGGGAGACATTGGGAGATGGATCTATGGCAGATGATAATTTGTACGATGCTATCCTCTTAGGAACAAAACGCATCGGACATGGGTGAGGACTTATGCATCTCGATGAACAAGGCTGTTGAGGGAGACCTGACCTGATCTTTGCGATAGGTTCTCGCTAGTGAAACACCCAAAACTCATGGAGATATGTAGAGAGAAGGGCATCGCGCTTGAAATCTGTCCAATCTCGTATGTCCTGTATTTTCTCGCTCTCACTTAACCACTCTGTTTACCGACCTGCCAACTCCTTTCTTTAAGAAACGAGATCCTGGTGAGTTTTCTACCTAGCCAGCCGTTGGTTAACTTACAAACTCGCTGATGTTTGCGTAGCGTCTCACATCCTCCATGCCCATGCATCCCCTCCCCATCCTCCTCAACAACGGCGTTCCGGTGGCTCTTAACTCCGACGATCCTGCCATATTCGGAAACATGGGCCTCTCGTACGACTACTATCAGGTCCTTGTCGCGAGCGACGTCAATGGGCTCACCACGCTCGGCCAGTTCGCCAGAGACAGTATCACTGTGAGTGTTTCCTTCGTGTCATTGAGGGAGCTTCCGTGAAGACATACTAACCTGAGTTGGTGCGTGAATGCAGTTCTCGTCGTTAGAGGAACCCGAGAAAGAGCGAGCGCTCAAGAATTGGGAAGAGCGATGGGATAGGTTCTTGGATGAGGTCCTGGCATTCGACGTGGCTAGTGTCTGAGGGAAACAGCCGCATTCAGGGATGAGAGTCCACGTCCGTCGAATGCTGAGTGAGGAGTGGGTACCTGGTAGGCTGAGCGAAGATGCTCAGAATTGTCCCACCAGAGATGGTGACGAAGCGGTTCAACATCGGATGTAGGACGACTGCCTTCAACTGGCTTACGTCCCTGCCGCACTTCGCCCTCAACGGGTCCTGCGTCGCATATTACAGCGAATACACTCCACAGTCGCCTTCAACCGGCATACCTGGACATGCCTTCCACAGGCAACTTTCCGCATTTTGGTGTAATTTGTATGGTGTTTGTGTCTCGACATGATCATTGTAGGAAGGAACAAAGGTTATCATTGTATTCGCGCTGCGACGCACTCATGGCGCGTCTCGGGAACCAGCCCTTTCGTGTACATTCTCTGAGTGAACCGAACAAGTTTCCTCACCGCAACGACGTACGAAGGCTGTCACGGCCCTGAAAAATCATCCATGGAGCTTCAGAAGGCTTCCTCATCACTCTGAGCCGTATGTATCAGAGATGATACGGTGATGCGTGCAGTATGAAGCATCGGGCTCTGTGACACCCGACCACCGATCCACAAGGTCAGAGAAGTTTCACGCCTCCTAGAAACTTTTTCTTGGTTCATGTTCATCGTTCTGCCGCACTGAACTGTGGCCACCAAGACAGTATTCTTATCCTCGTAGGGCACAACCTTCATCATCAGTATTTTACGTTTGAAAAATGAGCTGGATGGCACACCAAAGAGAAGGCAAGCATGGAACTTCTTCAACTACACCCTATTACCCATCAATGGCACGGGTGCATGATTGCTATAGCGCCAAACTTGCCCTAAGAGCCCTGTTGAATTATGATCGCCACCTTTCATCCAATTCCTGGATCCTGTGCAATGAAGACCAGCATTCGATGCCAATGCCGAAGTCCACCTCTTAACAAATATTCTCGTCGGAGGGTTCGGCAAACGATGTTGTTCTGAGGTCATCCAAGAAGGCCGACAATCTCAACTAAGAATACCATATCGAAGGGGATATACAGGATGACCTAGGTAACAGAAAGGAGCGCTCCAACGGGCCATAGATGAGGCCTTGTGTTTATCGCACAGAATCCGATGGTCTTTATTCAAGATCGGAACACTGGCAACGGGGAAATCTTGGACATATCTGTCTCTTTAGTAGGTGAACTCAGATGGTTCTCACCTTCTGAACAGAAGGAAATAAAGAGTAGCCTGAGTTTCAGAACAGAAAAGACATAAGTATCGGGACCAGTGACCCACTGCAGGAAAGGATACGCCGTCCATTGGCCCACAGCTATGGAGACAGAGTCAGGGGTGGTGTGGTCGCTCAGATATCCTGAGTGGTAGTGCTGACGGATGCTGGTATTCATGCAAAATTCCACGACGATATATATGGGCGAAGCAGAAGCTATCCTGCGTTCGAATCTTTGTTACGATCAGAGCAGAGTGCGAAACACTTGCTAACGAGGATAAGTAGAAAATAGCAAGGAGAAAAAGCTCGACTGCGGCATCGGAACCAAGTTGGACCACGTCGGCATTGCTCTCCCACTCACGCCCCGAGAAGTTCCGTTACTCTTCGCGCCGGTTACTGTAACGTAAGTCGGTCAACAGTGAACCGGTGTTCGATTCATTCGTGGATCATACAAAGACGATCTACAGTCATCAGTCGTGAGGTGAACGCCCTTTTATGAGTGTACGCCTATAAATTTCGTCGGCGAGAAGGTGAACTTGAAGCCAGAATGGTAAACAGAAGAGCTGTACTCTGCCATACTTTCAGAGCATTACATAGATTCAAATTTCGAGGATGGGCGTTGAACTCGGCTTATCGTCTGTGCTCATCGCCGGCCTCGGACTTCTTAAAGGGGGCCAGGGGACGTTGCCTTGAGTACAGTCGAAGGTGGTTTTGCACCAAAAGAAAGAAAGAAAGAAAGAAAGAGGCTGAAAGCGTCAGGCATTGAAGGTCAGCACGGCAAATCCCGGGCTACAGAACGCTATAAGAAGTTATTTCAAACTCAATCATCTGCCCAAACAAGGTCTTTTCGATGTCGGCGACCGAGTCGGCGAAAGGTGTACCAATCACTTGTAGAGAAGTCTTTTTATAGTCTCCTTGCCAGGCTGTATCTCTGATGCGTAGCCGTAATTCATAGACCAAAGATACTTACTCAGCAGTATCGTCGGAGTCGGCCTCCCACTAGCCCAGTATCCCATCGTCACCTTCGAAGCACCTCGGACACGGTAGCGCCTGCTTTGTTGTCCCAAACAACATCATCGGCCTCGAAACAACCACTGGGCCTTCTTTATTCCGAGCACGCTCTTTCGGCGCAGGTATAGCTGCTTGTTTTACGAGTGCCAGGCGGGTTATGGATGTTCCTGCCTTCGCACATACTTTGGCCCGTCTCTAGATGGGGATCCTCTCGTTCACACCATGATGTATCGCCGTCTTTCATGATCGGAACGCGTACACATACCTAGGTTTTTTCTGCTAGCGACTTCCAAAGGTGGTAGAATGACTCTTGTTCGGCCTCGTCTGCGTATTCGCAGAACACCCGCGCACCACAGTATACCGATCCATGTTTCAGTGATATCCATAGATTCTTGCGTCACCGGCTACTGGAAGTCTGACTGCTGAGAACTGACATCCACACGATACGTTCAAGTATATAAACCACCCGCATGTCAACCAGAACCCACAACAGTCGAAAAGATGTCCTCCTCCGTTCTGAATCTCCCTGAGTTTCCTATCTCCTTTCCTACCCCCCAAGGGCAAGGTAGCGATACCTTTCATCCTCCGCCAGTCGATGGAACGCGATCGCTACCTGAGCTTTACGAGTACAACGCTAAGCACAGCCCCGACCACCCCCTCTTCGCTTTTGCGGACGACTCTAGTGCTACGAGGACGATCAAATACCCCGAAGCATGGCGTATGATACAGCGTGCGGCCAAGATAGTTCATGGATATGTGGCGAAGCACCAGAAACGTTATTCCACTCAGGGCCCCGAAACCCCTATGACTCCTCCCACGGTCGGCATTCTTGCCAACGCTGGTGGGCAGATTTTCTCTTCGGTGTGTACGGCACACCTGACGATCTTTTATTGCTCTATTTTTTAGATTATATTAGCTATCTATCAACAATTCTGGCCACAATGCGTCTTGGACTGACTCCGTTCCCCCTCTCGATCCGCAACTCACCTATCGCTGTTGCCCACTTGATAAAGAAGACGAACATCCTTCAGCTCTTCGTTTCCCCCGACCCTGCTATGCAGAGGCTCTGCAGAGAGGCGCTCGAAATCCTGAAGCAGGACGGCATCGACGTTGAGGTCATACCCATGATTCAATTCGAGGTGATCTCGGACGAGAGTGCACAGGCGGCAGAGCTCGACAAGGCGAACGTAACGCTGCCCAAGATCGATTTGAACACCACGGCGCTGATTTTGCATAGCTCCGGTGAGGGTTCACAGTTCCATTGCTTCATAAGAGGCGAGCGCTCGGTAAAACGCACGTTCGCGCCATCTCTATCTCTTTTCACCGTAGTATACAATTCGTCAAAATGTGTGGTAACTGACATCTTTTCAAAGGCACAACCTCTTTCCCCAAGCCGATTTCCATCGCCCATCGCAAGCTTTTGCAATGGTCTCTCCTCCCATGCAAGTGTACTCCGTTGTTGTCCTATCGACAAATCGCTTATGAGATTTTCAAAATATCTAGTCTATGGCGACGTCGATGTTTGTGGTATCTTGCTGGCTGTCCACACATGTCCCTTATTTCGTAAGCCCTACCGCTCTCTCTTTTGCGATCTTTTATTCATTAATGTATTTTGATGTAGACGCTATGGGCGTGTGTAGTGTCCTATTCAGCGTAAGAACTTCTCAGAAGTCGGAGATCATCTAGCGCCTGACCTTTTCTGTTTTTTGTAGGTCGTTCCCGGTATGATCTTGGCTTGCTTCAAGCCATCATCCCCACCCATCATTCCTACTCCGGATGTCTTTCTATCCAATGTCATTCAAACGAAGAGCGAGATTGTGTTCTGCGTGCCGTCTTTTATTGAGGTAAGCGATTGCACAAGGATGCCCCTTCCATTACGCTGACTTCGATTCTACGAACTTCTAGGCTTGGGCCAAAGATCCCGCTAAGATTTCCTCCATCAAGTCTCTGCGGTCCATCGTAAGTATTGCTGCAAATCCCCACGCGAGTCCACGCTAATGCTATGTGTTCTGTCTAGACTTTTGCTGGCGCTCCTATGACACAATCTGTCGGGGACCAGATTACAAAGATGGGCATTAAGCTGTACCCTTTCTATGGCCTGTGCGTTTATCTCTCCCTATTAGCTGCCGGAGCCCTGTAGTGAACTTTTCCATCTAATAGTACGGAGACCTATCTTGTCTCTCGACTCTTCCCGTCTGATATGCCCAGTCTCGATACCTGGGAATGCTTTGAGTTTGCGCCACATGTCGAGTATGAACTTTTACCTCAGGAGGGGAGGGAAGATATGTTCGAAGTTTGCATTATAGTATGCATTTTATTCGCATCATACCTTGGACGCATATTCTAATCGGGTCATCCTTAATCCTCGACCCACCACAGGATACAAAAGACCACCCGACGAGCGCCGTCAACGCCACCTCGAAAGATGGGAGACCAATGTACAGAACTTCCGATATCATCCAGAGACACCCTGTGTACCCTAATAAGTGGCGGGTTCACGGTCGAGCCGATGACCAGATCATGTTGGCGACTGGCGAGAAGACCAACCCTGGACCATTGGGTATGTTCATCCATCACCTTTGCAGGACGATGCGATATTGTATGGCTCATCTCTGACGGACTGGTTCTTGGCGTTTGCAGAGGCGATCCTGGTCCAAGATCCACATGTCTCGCATGCGATCATGTTTGGCAGGGGGCAAATTCAGAACGGCATTCTAGTTGATCCCAAGAAGGAGTTTGCATTTGATCCGAGCGACGAAGCTAAACTCATCGAATTCCGGAACATAATATGGTGAGTCGTAATGACATGTATCTAAGATCGTGTGTGAAGCTATTTCTAACGTCGACACTCTGTAGGCCAACGGTAGAGAAGATGGACGAGTTTGCCCCGGCGCATTCGAGACTTTTCAAGGAGGTCAGCTTGGTACACTTCTGACTGATCTAGCCGATTGTTTAACGTGAATTATTTTATAGATGATCGTCGTCTCATCGCCGTCGAAGCCGTTCGAGCTAACTTCAAAGGGTACACCTCGAAGGCACATCATCATCAAGAACTATGAACCGGAGATTCAGGCTCTGTACGATGCAGTCAAAGACTCCTCTCAGACCGATATACCAGCGCCCCCAGAATGGGACAGGCGGTCGGTGCAGAACTTCACCAGGGAGGTTGTGCAGAAAGTTATGGACATGGACCTTCCGGACGATGCCGACTTCTTCCAGCAAGGATGCGATAGTCTCCAAGCCACTTACATCCGTAACTCCATCATCCATGCCATCCGCCAGGCTCCAAACTCGGAGCGTATTCGTCTATCCAACAACTTCGTTTATGAAAACCCCACAATCTCCTCTCTGGCCTCCTCCATCTGCTCTCTCATCTCTTCTGACGGCCAAGGCAACGGCGACAAGCGCGAGCGCGACGCCAAAGTCATGGAGGCCATGGTGGAAAAATTTAGCGTCGATTTCCCTATGCATACGCCCCGCGGTGCTCCCGCCGCTCGGAGTCTGGACGAGATCGTTTTCGTGTCTGGGACATCTGGACGTCTGGGTGCGCACTTATTGGCGCAGGTGCTGGCCAGGCCAAGCGTGAAGAGAGTTTATGCGGTGAATCGGCCGTCGAAGGTGAACATGAAGGAAAGACAGAGGGAGACATTTGAGAGTTGGGAACTGGATACGGGGTTGCTGGAGAGTGGAAGAGTCGTCTTGGTCGAGGCAGATTTTGCGAAAGCCGGTCTTGGGATTGGGGAGGCCTTGTACAACGAGGTGAGTCGCTGCCCACCTCTTTCACTTGTTCGTCTAATTACATGGGTCTTCGAATAGATTCGCGACTCCGTGACGAGTATCATTCACAATGGTAGGCACTGTCCGTTCTTACCACCACATCCACACCCTGACATCGTGTCTTAGCTTGGCGTGTCGATTTCAATCTCGCTGTATCCTCCTTTGAGCCCTTAGTAGCAGGCATGCGTAACTTGATCGACCTTTCGCTTGCGTCTCCTCGCCCTTCCCCCCCTCCCATTCTCTTCACCAGTTCCATCTCCGTCATCATGAGTATGTCCGTTTTATCCTCCGATAATCGTTACAGATCGTTCATTTCTACCTTCCTCAGGTCATACAATCTATCCGGTCCCCGAGGAACCCATCACCGATACCAAGATCGCCGCTATGTCAGGCTATAGTGAGAGCAAGTGGGTCAGCGAAACGCTCCTTTTACGTGTACGCGAGCAAAGGGGATTGTGTACGAACGTCGTTCGTGTCGGGCAGATGAGTGGGGACTTGAAGACTGGGGGATGGAACAAGCAAGAATGGGTTCCTGTACTGCTCAGAGGGTCTCAAGTACTCGGAGCTGTTCCTCAACGCGTCGAGGTGCGTCTCCATCCAGGACCAATGTGTTTGCCCTTCGATCACTCACTGATAATCCTTGGGCTTTTTAACAGGATGTCTCCTTTATTCCCGTCGATATCGCTGCGTCCACTCTACTTGATATGCTCGGCTCGTCTGAACCCGTCCTTCACCTCGTCCACCCTTACACCGTCCCTTGGACTGTCATCTCTGAGACAGCCTCGAGGGTACTCAACATCCCCATCATTCGCTATAAGGAATGGCTCTCCCGCCTACAAGATGCAGTCCGAAACTCCTCGAACGACTCGGACGCGCCGAAGCACAACCCTGCGCTGAAGTTAATCGATTTCTACGAGAAAGATATGCCAGAGGTGAGCCCGTTGGTGATTGGGACGGATAAGGCGGTGAAGGTGTCGAGGAGTCTCAGAGAGGCGAAGAAGATGGATAGTGAGGAAGTCGAGAGGTGGATCGGTTATTGGAAGAAAGTGGGCTTGTTGCAGTGAGGGGATGGTTCCTCTCCGGATTCGATCGAATCGCTTTATCTGGAATGCTTCCTTAGATGACTTCGACTTACTGTATGACTTGCCACGCTAATTTCTTCTATTGTCTTGAATGCCGAACATGTAAATATATTGTACACCGTGTCAATAGACGATGACACCCTCTCTCTCGCCCAAACCTTCCGTGGTTCACGAATGCTTCCTTCTCTATTTAGGTCTCCACTATACGAGAACTACCTTAGCCCGAGCGTCGGATGACGCAGCTGAAGTTGTCATCTGTGCCCAAGCGGTCATTGAAGTGGGCCAGGTTCAGGACGAGCCTCGGTCTTTCGTAGACCGTGTCTCGCTAACACCAACGACATCGATCAAGGGTCCATACCCAGAATACCATCTCAATACGGTACAAGTACAAGGGCTCTTCTAGCTCGCCCTTGTCTTCGCTCTCTACAGACCAGTGTCAACGGGTCGAGGCGAAAACAAGTTCACAAAGGCTGAGTGTCGCGCTTGGGATAGAAGAGTCCCAAGGAGAAACCTGGAACAGATGACTAGCTTGAGAATGGAACACCGTGTTAGTATCCACTATGACTCCGAGTGTTTGTGTGGGTTCTGCGTATATATAAAGTGGGCCCACCCGCTAAATATCCCACACCCGCTAAAGACTGTTTCCAGCACTCCGCAATTACAAGGTCAAAGAAAGCATGGATTTGAGCGGCGCATCCTTCGTCAAAGGCGAAATCGTTGCCTTCGCAGAGGTATGTGTATTACAGTACTGCCCTTAGCGTCCTGAAACTCGAAGTTCACGTATTCGTGACGAGAAGATCTAGGTGAAACCTGACTCAAATCACATTATGCTTGAGTGGACCAAGAGACTGAAATAGCATGTCGAGACAAACGAGCCAGGGACTCTGGAGTACACCTGGGCAAGAAAGACTGACCTTTCGAAACCCAATGCCGATGAGAAGTCAGTGGGAAGCGACGGTGAAGACGTCGTGTACGTCGTGTGGGAGAGGTATAAGGATCTAGACGCCTTCCACAGGTTGGATTTCCTCCTGTAGGACTCGCAGAATGACTGATGGGCGTTCTGTGGTGTGACCTACCAAGTCATGTTTCATGCGAAATGTTGAAGGAGCTGGGGAAGGACGACTTGTTCTCCAAGGTGAGTGATGGGTGTAATGATGCGCGGACGGCATGTCGATTGGAAAGCAATGGGCCACTTTCTTGCGACATTCATTTTCACTGCAGCCACCAAAGATTCAATTTTGCCATGGAGACCTCGAGAGATTATGGTCCCGTGATCGAAAGGCTGACGGAGGTGATTTATGAGATAAAGCTAGTCATGTCGATGTCAGTAGTAACGGCTCTGAGGATCGTAACTCTGCGAAATTCATAAAGTCACGGGGTGCACTTATACAGTTCACAAATGAACTGGGGGAGCGCTACCTTCGGCAGCAGCCACCTTGCTTGGTAAATAACTTGCACAAGCACTTCAGGTCTGCTCTATACCACATGTTCTTGAACGAGATTGGGAGTGCTTACGCCGTGCCCGGCGGGCCCAGTCATTGTCAACATTCTGCGATCCAGTCAAGTTGACTCGAGATTCCTCGGACGCAAAGCATATGCCGATGAACCCAAATGTCAAGGCAGCGAACGGTATGGGTCCTCATTGCGTCCGACGGCAAGTTATCCGTCTAGCGAGATACTTATTCGTGATTACGGTCAATGTTATTTGAACACGATGCTCACAGGTGACAGCACATAGAAAGGTTCCCTGCTACATACTAGTAGAGCATAGCACTTTTATATGGAGGCCCCGTCATTTTGTGCTGGTACCGTGAGTCTCAAAACCATATATTCAAACTGCTGCCGTTAATTATCAACCACCCAGTTCAGAATATCAACGTCTGCATTTGAATCGCTGCAGTCACGCCTGAGGGTAGCAGTCAGACCCTCTGCGACGCCACACACTGGTGCCACATAATAAGTCCGCTGTTTGTCCTTGTTTATTTCCGGGACGATTCTGAGGAATTACGGGGGTAGGAAGGACCTTCAAGCAAGGTAATTTTGATGGACCATGGCCAAGAACAGCGTGATCTACTCAAACTCGGTCTTGACCGTCGCATCAAAAAGAGGACTTTTCAGTCCATCGGCTGTGTTGACAAGCGGTACACAAGGTGATGGGACATATTCACAAGCGATACTCACCAAGCATGACTCCGAGGTTTGAGAGCTTGATCACGCAAATCACGAGAAGAGCCGGGTTTAAGTCACGGTTTCAGGTGAAGCACTATGACATTTCGTCATCTAGAAGAATATAAGTATGTGTTCAGATGAAGGGCACCACAGAATCACTCACAAAACGCAATTTCCCCTTCGCATCGTATTGCACTATAAGAACTCCATCACATACACATGAGCTTGACTCGCACTCCTTCCGTCCTTCTGATAGGCCTCTCCTTCGACCACCCCGCCATCGCCGAGCACATGAAACCTACCCTCTCCTCTAACGTCGCATCAATCGAAGATCTCATGCCCAAAGAAGGCTACGAGTTCAAAGCTCACTTCTTCGGCCCCCAGGACCTCGAGAAGACGCCATCGGCCTTCGTCTCACCCGTTGTGGAGGTGCTGAAGGCAGTCAAGTGGGACGTGGTCGTGATTGGGTTCGGAATTCGGGGAAATCCAGCATTGACGGTGTTTTTCGAGGGGTTGGTTGATGCAGTTCGTGAATGGGCACCGCAGGCGGGGTTGGGGTTTAACGACGGGCCGAAACCTGAGGCGACGGTGGACGCTGCGAAAAGAGTGATGGCAAGGGCAGTGACTGAGTAGGAAAAGGTACGTGAGCTATAATGGTGCAACAAGTTTAGGACGCAACTGACAGTGTATTTCAATTACATTTGCATTGAAGCTTGAGTAGAAGTGGGAGCTTGAACGACATTCCCGCTGGCTAGGAGATGTCGAGGTGGAGAAGATTGACTCGGAGGTGAATACTCCTAGTGATGGGCCCAGATCGTAGTAGTTACCTAAAACTCCACGGGCTGCTTCATTCGAGAACACAAGAGGAGAATGATGGGGATATGCTCATTCACGAGTTCAGGTCTCGGGGCATTGCTCCAGTCAGTGATTCCATAAATTCTGACGCAAACCAGAGGGCAGTCCTTAAGCTACAGCCTTCCGCTAAAAAGGTATACAGTCCCCGGTCATCCATGCGTCTGAGTCGAGGTACGGCAATACTTCAGGAGCATTGGATGCCACTCCAGTATAGCGAAACGGAGAGGGACTCGGGTCGTACCAAGTTTGGTTGGGACTAATCGTTGGCAGCTTTCGCCACGGCGAGATTCTCGTGCATATAGAAAAGATCACGACCGCGTTCCATAGCTAGACGGCTCCAGGAACCACATACAGGGCAGAAATGTTGCCCAGAAGGTAAGCCTTGAAGTCGCCTGAGTGTAAGTATTGCGTCCGAGTCCGTGCAACTCGAAGACAGTACTGAGTAGGATGAAGCTAGAGAAAACACGTGATGAGGATGTCCCTATCCTCATAGCGGCTACGCTGCATTATAAGTTTAAGCTTGTGTATCTCTGAAGGAATGGGGTGTTTTGGGTGGTTCGTGTGATGGTGGCGCTTCGGATGGCCCGGGCGGGTGCGCCGCAACGAATGACACCCGGCTGAAGCCGAAAAGTTGACGCGGCGTGCGCCGGGACTGCCTTCCACAATCAACTTACGTTCAACAAGGTCACGCCGGTCAAACAAGCTTGAATCAGCCAACCAGGCTCTTTCACCCCGCATACCCTATACTTGCACTTACACTCAAGGTCCCGCGTTTGCGCTTCCAACAATGCCTTCGATGCATCAGCAGTAGTACTTAGTCTGTTTGGCGACAATTCGAATTCCAGGGGCAGCGTCTCTTTCCTTGGCTTGTGACCTCTGGTGCAAATCTATGCCAGAAACGACAATACTCTCGTGTGCGACCTTCGCACAGACTTTTTCCGGGACTTTCTAGTTAACAAAGTGGCTCCTCAACTCCATATTACGAAGAATTTCCTGTACACTTGTGCCTGTCTTCGCAGTCCACGGGACGTGCTCTAAACGGCTGGATCTCCTAGTAGCGTTCAATGTCCCATTCATTCCCCCTCATACTAGAACCGAAATATGGTTTTGCAATATACTGCCACTCATTCAAAACATTTCTCCAATCTTGAGTGTATCTTTACTCGTAATGCAGACCGAAAGGACCACAGGGGTATTCCTCGTTGGCCTTCAGCTGTATGGATATTGCCGGAGACGGTGAGCCAGAGCAGTATAAAGAGGCAGCCAGAAACGCCTTTCAACGGCAGAGAGTAGCTCATCCACTCTTTACCACTCCACTTCACCCACAAGATGTTCGCCCTCTCTTCTACCCGTGTCGTCATCGCCTTGGCTGCTTTGGCCTCTGTCAGTCCCTGTAGTTGATCGCTCTATGCCTCGATGACGCACTGACTATCTTCTTTATACTAGGTGGCTTCCGCGGCGAGTATTCAGGAAAAGCGCCAGACTCCAGTGACCTGCACCTCAGGCACTCCTGAATGCTGCACAATCGTTACCTCTGATGTGAGTCGAAAACCTTGAAGCATGACATTGGCTAAACTTTCATATGTATAGCTCTCGACGTTGGATCCGCTTCTTCTCTCATTCCTCGAGCAACTAGGTTTAACCGATGACACCCCTATCGGAGCCGGCTGTGTTGCTCCCACTGGGACCACCTGTGCCTCTGGGCTCACGGGTGCTTGTTGTGCGGATATAACCTCCGTCGTACGTCGACTTATATCAGATCATTCTTCCTGCTGATCACAGACTTCGCTGCAGCTCGGTTTCGGATTGATCGGCACCGGCTGTGGTCCCTCGTCCACTTGATTTGCTTCAACCTCCAATGCATCACCTCTCTTCGCTGGCGGTGCCGTCGTAGATCCGTGGAGTGAGGGTCGATACCGTTGATGGGTGGTCACCCTTTGGATAACTTCTCCGTTTGCTGTTGTTTTTGTACCGCACTCTGCTGCTAAGAGCTTGTATTCAACTACTTGCCGTCGAGCAGAATCATTGTGTTTGTCCATTGACTGCATCCGTTTGATGTCCGATCCCGTGAGCTCAGCTAAGTTGAAGCCTGCCAAAAGCCTGCCAGTAAGGTTTGACATGCGTTTTTCACACTTTGGCACTAGGCAACATATGTGGACGTGCCAGTGTGTACACCAAGGTCTCCGTGAAGTCAACTTGTAAAGAGTTCGAATTTGAGAACAGCGTGGTACGGACTCGGAGCAGGGCGGGTTGAACATGAATACGGGTATAAAGAAATTCACATGATTGGCTCCCGGACGACGCGCCGAAGCGGCGGCGCGGCTTCGCATGGTCGCTGTAGCCGCCGACGCAGCTGCTCGTCCATCTCCGCATCCTCATCTCTCTCTTTCTCACTATGACTTCCTCATCCATTGTTCGCTCATCCCTCAACAAACATCTGTCCCCTGTTCTTGCACGCAGGGCTGCCCTCACTCTCTGTATGTCTGACAACTGTCTTAAATAAATGGGTCAACTCTGACAGTACCTCCACTCGTCGAACGCATCGGATAGCTCGTCCTGCGTCAACAGTCTCGAAGTTCGACTATGTCCCAGGAGGACGTACGTTCATTTACACTTGAACGCCCAGATCTTGTTGAACTTACTGGGGAAACAATGGCAGCCATCTACAAGGGCACCGTGAATGACCCGACGACCTACCCCCCACCATCCAAGACCCACGGCTCATACCACTGGGCATTCGAACGGCTCCTCAGCGCCGGACTTGTACCATTGACCGCCGCCGCATTCATCACTTCCGGCTCCGCATATCCTGTTCTCGACGGAATCTTGGGTGTTAGTTTGGTCATGCATTCTCACATCGGTGTACGTCCTTTTGTACTCGATTTTCTGTCGTGCTCGCCGATTGCGTTGAAATGGGTGCTGATATGTTGTCATGATGTTTCCTGTGTTGGCCTCAGTTCGACTCCATCGTTGTTGATTACCTCCATGACCGCAAATTCCCATGGGTCGGACCTCTGGCAAGATGGTCACTCCGGGCAGCCACCGTTGCAACCCTTGTCGGTGTTTATCAATTCAACACCAACGACGTCGGTACGTACCATCTCTTAGTGCCGTCTTATCCACACTCGTTCGGGAGTCTTTCCACCAAGTCGCGAGCTCCTGTGGCCGCACTCTGCTCCAAAGACTGCTTCCCATATCATAATACTGACTTCGATGCCCTGTCATACAGGATTGACCGAGCTTATCCGCAGGGTCTGGACTGCTTAGAGACCTTTAGCTTCCAGTCATGTGGGGATGAGGGCAGGTCTGATAGCAGGTTTTCGTTTTTCGCGTTTTATTCTCCTCTGTACTTCACCGGCACGTACAATGAATCAGAACGGTTTCTGTTCATCAGCGACGCTTAGGCGGTACTCCGAAGGCCGCTTCAAGGATGTGCATCCTGAACTTCTCTGGCAAGTCGGATGTTGACCATTTCCGATGTCTCCCGAGGTTCGGGTGGGAATTGGCAGCTGAATATATATGGAACTGCCTTGTCCAACTTCTCCCGGGAAGATCATGCTTTTGTGCTCGAAAAAGGCGAGCAGACAAACGCTCGAAATAGGCTTGTCTTCATGAGAATCACTGCGCGTGTCTGACGCCAGATTCCCGACGATGACCAACCATGTGCTCCCATCAATTACAGGCTCCTGCGAAGTGCGAGAGATACACATGGAACCTGGATCTCAGCAATATATAAGACCAGGATGATGAGTGGGTTGGTGACCATACTTTCCCTATCACTTATTGCGCCATAGGTGAGTGAGATCATACTAGAACCAGTGTGAGGTCAGCTCCATAAATGTGACGTTCGTGTAATTGATGACTTACAAGCCAGCCATTAGTACGTCCAGATATTTCTCCCAAGCGTTCATCGGTTTATCAAACACCTCGACAATCTCTTTGAGACGAGCAGCGTACCACTGACATGTCGGACACTCCGAGGGTGATACTTCTGATGGCGGACTACGGTCACGATCCAACAGGTCTGCCAGCCCGCTTCCTTCTCGTGCAGTTCTGAAGCTCATGTGTGCATGAATTCGTGCCCTCGTTGACAGAAACCGCCGTTCCATACACCGAATTTGTGAAAGCCGGGTTCAAGGTTACTTTCGCCACAGAGAATGGGAAAGTGCCAGCGTGCGATAAGAGGATGCTTACTGGACTTTCACAGAAGTTGTTGGTACGACATCACTTCTAAATCAGCATATTCGTCTCTGACTACGAGTTTGTATTATTTTCAGGGAGCCACCAAATCCGCCATCAGCCTCTACACACAAATGACCGCCTCCCTCTCCTTCCAATCCCCGCTCTCCTGGTCTTCACCAGACTTCTCGCTCCTGACCTACGACCTCGTCTTCCTCCCCGGCGGGCACGACAAAGGCGTGCGCCAAATAATCGACTCACTAGCCATCAAACGCCTTCTAGTAGCCTATTTCCCTCTTACAAATAAAGAGTCTTCGGAAAAGAAAGTCCTCGCTGCGGTCTGCCACGGCGTCATGGTCCTCTCTGAGGCGCTGGTCTTGGAAGGTGAGGATAAGGATAAGAGCGTGATGAGTGGGTGTACGACGACGGCGTTGCCGGCTGTTTTTGAGGGCGTGGCGTATCAGGGTACGAGGCTTTGGTTGGGGGATTATTATTTGACGTATGGGAGGGGATCGGATTCGGTGGAGACGGCGGTGCGTTGCCTGGTCCTCCTACTAGCGGAAACATGCACCTGCACATGCATGGAGAGTTCCAAGCTGATTGTGTTTGAGCTATATAGGTCAAGAAGAGACTGGATGATCCGGGTAAGCAGTGGAAATGTAGCTTGAGCCCAAGTCCGTGAGTGTTTCTCCTTCGTGAACATGCGGTAGACCAAAATCGGCTCAATATATACTCTAATGCGTGTGGCCCAAAAATAGGTTCGTTGTCGAGGACGAGAAGTATAACTACGTCAGCGCTCGATTCCCGCCTGATGCAAAGTTATTGGCAGAGAAGGCGGTTGAGTTGGTTAGGGAGTGTCAGGCTCGGTGACACTTGTACTTGGTCCTTTCGATGACAGGCTATAGTTAAAGATCTTGTAGAGCTCTCAGCGCTGTGGCGCATTGTTTGTTTGACCAAGGGATATCGTGAGTACAGTAGGACTTCTCTACATGCTCGTGCTCACTCAACGGCTCAGTTGAACTGATTATAGATCGACGTACTACTATGGACAATCCGTCTTCAAAGTACAATTTGGCATATGATACCGTACTATACAACAGATCGAAAGCCCCTGTGGCCCGCCCAGAGTCAGCGGCACACATATTATCACCAACCCCTTCGCATCGTATTCAGCCCAATAGCTATTGTGCATCTACCAGCCGGCCTTCAGGTCACCGTGATGGAACTGTATCACCGGGTGCTAATTGCACAATGGAAGAGAGTGCTCAGTATGTGAGATGCTAACGTCGATGGTCCACCACTCGTTGCGAATAGATACTCACCATCACAAGCAAACCCGCCTTCTCTCCCTCTTTAATGACCTCGCTAGCCCAATGTCTTCGCACAGCATCCCACTCATCAGCCATCGAATATCCACCACCACCCTTTTCTCTGTTGAAATCTTGAAAAACACTCACGCATTCAACGCCTCCAGATCCCTATACCTCTCCCAAACGACATACACCCCTTCCACCGCCTTCACATCCTCCGGATCAGCACTCGCGGGCGCTTTCTTCGCCCAGCTGTACTCGAGCGTTCCGGGCTCGGTGGCTGCTCCCGCTTTGAACTTTTCGATCCATTCGACGGCGACGGCGGGCCCTACTTCGGGTTTGACGTGAACCTGTAAGTCGGTCATTACTCGGACTGTGAGGGTGCTGTGGCGTAGAAGGTGGGGCTTGCCTCTGTGAGGATCACGATTTCTCCTTTGACGTCGGCGGGGGAGGCACTCATTACTTTGTTGCTGGAGATATACGACAAAGAAGATGGGAAAAGCGAGGCTTAGGAGTACCAGGAAACAGGATCTCATCAAACGCGCAGTATATATGCTAGCACAGGCATCAACGCATCACTGGCGGCGACATGATACCGTCCTCGGTCTCCGCCCTACTGTCCTTAATTGTTTATCAGATGGAGAGGCACAGGAAAGACTGGGCAATGGATGCGACAGGCTCCTTGGCGAATCCTTGGAATGAGACGTACGTAGACATCAACTTTCGTATAGCCTTATCTACTAACCGCGAGCGGTGAAGTTATGCAAGCTACTAGATGATAGAGGCAGAGACAGAGCTGGAAGAACGAGTTCGCTATTGATTGGTATACTGTACATACACAATATTGGAATTGACCACCGATGAAAACGTACATGCACCATCAAATGAAATAAACAGAATGAAGAACGAAACCGTCAACCATGCCAACCCCCAAGAACAAGCGGTGTATTATGAAGAAAGAAAGAAAGAAAGAAAGGATCAATGAATCGCAGCCCATCGAGTACAACGCTGATCATGCTACACGAGGGCACGTCCTTGAGAGTGAACAACCAATCAGGGCCAAGAGAAAAGCAAAGAACCATTGACGACCCGCACAGTTCCTGCCAGTGCTTGATATACGCCATGCTCCATATCTGACCTAGAATGTTTCGGGGGCGAAAGCCAACGCAGTCCACGTAACGATAGCGCCGACCGTCATCACCCCCGTCGTCTTTGCCACCGCCGACACGATCCTCCTCGCCGTCCCGCGCCCCGTACGCATACGCTTCGCAACGCGCCTATCAGTACTCTCAAGGCTCATATCGCCGCCATCGTCGCACTCAACCTCTTCGCCGTCATCGTCGTCTTCAATCGAACGCTTCCTCTTGAGCGAGCGCGACGTCGATTGTGACTGGGACGGGGTAGACGAAGATGTCATTGCAGCGAGGGCGACGCTCTGCGCTGTGTAAGACGACCGAACGCCTGACTTGTCATGGGGCATCTGAGTACGTACCAGTTGTTCTCTGTGCTGCTGCTCTAAAGCTTCCAGAGCGGCCAGCTTGGCGAGAGCGTCGGAGCGGATGGCTTTGAGGCCTTCGAGCTCGTTCTCTATATTCGCCGCAGCAGACTCTCGGAGAGCTTTCATTTCTGAGAAACCCCACCCAATCAACATCGATCAGTAGGCGGTGGACCAGTGTGGAAGGAATGCAAGAGACGGATACATACCCTGGACCAAATCGTTCAAAGCGTCCACACTCGAGCAGACATCTTCCCTTCCTGCGAGGGCACTCTCAAGCATCTCAACGGACGGAACGAACACGGGAGCGGGCACATTCTGTTCCTGCTGAGCCCGGAGTTCATCAAGTTCTGCTTGCCTTACCTCAGCTTGTTCTCTCAATCGAGCAAGCTCGCTGTCCACCCCGTCCAGGCGCGAAGTGATCGTGGCCAATTCCTCACGTAACTCTGTCGAGCTATCGGAGACCACGTCGACGCGCTTCTGGAGGGACTGTGCGAGAGTAGTAGTCTCGTCGAGACGTTTGTCGAGACCGTCGAAGCGCTCGGAGGTCGCCTTCTGGTCTTGCTGCGTGCGGCGGTGATCGATGCTCAATCGTAGTACGCTAGACTGGAAGCATGAAAGGGTATAATCAGTACGACACAAAATGAGCTGGAAATAAAAGACCCACCCGCATTTCAACCAAAGTAGAATCAATCTTAGCCACTCTCAACGAGACGTCTTCGCCGCCCGCGGGAACAGAGGATGTGGTGGCGGCGATAGGAGCCTCGCTGGCAGGGCGCGCGACGGGTTCGGGCTGAGACTCAGGCTCAGGAACTGGTGCAGCCGAGGACTGAGACTCCGCCTCCACAGACGGTTCAGAGAGGTTCTCCTCCTCGACCTCCATCTCGATATCGTCATTGTCTTCATCGGACCTTTGGGCCACCCCTGCCACCACCTCGACATCCACGTTAGGTGTGGCAAGCTCATCCTCTTCTTCCATCGCTGGCCCAAACACGTCCTCGAGACGAGGCCAATCCGACGGCAGAAGATCAGGGGACTCAGGGTTTGCACCCGTCATGGCTGGTTCGTCGCCAGCGGCAGCGGCAACGTCGGAGATAGCAGGAGAGGGCGACCTCGACTCCTCCATATCGGACGGTTCATCGTCATCATCTCCGACCGCCACCGCATCATTGTCGCTGGTAAAATTAGGAAGTTGGTCGCGGAACCAGCGATGTATAGAGTTTTGACGAGGTAGACTCTGGGAGCTCAAGGGAGAGTGGAGTGGCGGGAGAATACGTCCGAGAAGACCAAGGCCCTGGAGTGAGGGAAGGTTCGGTCCATGAGAGGATGAGCGTCTGAGGAGAGAGTCGTCACTAGCGGGACGAATGGGATACTCCTCCGGAGGATGGATCTCTTCGACATCGGAGTCGCGTCGGACAGAGGAAGAATCGGAGGAAGAGGACGACAAAGATGACGGGAGGAAGACGCCATAGCGGCCACTGAACCTCATAGGGGCCTTTCCTTTGTTCTTCGAGGTGAGCTCAGAGGACGTAGTAGCGGTGGTAGCAGGCGCCGCCGTGGTAGAGGGTTCGGGATTATGGAGCAGTCGGATACGGATTGTTACAGGACGAACAGTATTGCTTTCCTGTCCGACAGTCTTGCCGAAGGTGACAGTGTCACCATCCTCGAGCATGGTAGGTTGCTCTGGAGGGATAATGCTGGAGACAGTTTCGCCTACTTTGAGGATATGCGTCCCGTGACGGGACTTCAGATCAACGAGATAGACCTAGTGAGTGATGACGGGCTGTCAACCATCGGGCTGATAGATTAAAGGACCAGAAAGTGGCAGCATAAGACATACATGACCTGTCTCCGACAGCAGAATCTTCGCTTGCTTTCGACTGATGACTGGGCAGTCGAAAGTGACCGTATCTGCCTCCTTCGTCTTACCATCGTCCTTACTGGATCCCCGTCCGATATGGATGATGGGGGTGCTGGTCTTGTAGAAGACATGACTCTCGCCAGCAATTCCGTTGGCTTTGATGACGTGAAAGCTTAAACCTACACAGAGCAACGAGGTTACAATGCGAATCGATGGGGCTAGGGCATGAGAGGGCAATGTACCAGTGATGGGACGCATCTGTTCTGAAGCAAATATCTTAGTTGAGGTTCTCAACGGTGAGTTCATTCCTATGTATTGTATATCGTCTTCCATGCTGCTGAAAGTTGCTATGCTGTGGAAAACGAGTTATGATGGAAAGAGAGAGCAAAGTAGACGGTGACTCAAGCTGGGAGGCGCCTTTATCTGGTCCGCGGAGTTTGAACTTCACGACGTCACGAGAGCCGGAGCCGCAGGATCGGCTTCTCTGGAAATTCGTTTTCTTGCTCCGTTCGCTGACCGAGTTTCTCCTGAGTCCGCCACACTCAACTGTATTTCTATATAATTTCTACCCTCTAGACGTCTGCATCATGGACAATGCATCCAGCTCGTCGTCTTCAGCCCCAGCTGTCGACAAGAAAAAGCCTGTGGTCATCATCACCATTGGCATGGCCGGTGCGGGCAAATCGACCTTCGTCCAGAGGATCAACTCGTACCTTCACTCCCAAGAACCACCCTCTCCTCCATACGTTCTGAATCTGGACCCAGCCGTCACGAGCACCAACTTTGAGCCCAATATTGATATCAGAGATACCGTTGATTATCAGGAGGTCATGAAGCAGTGTGTTCCCGTTCAACTGCTCAGCACCTTGACTCTGATTTCCTGAGGCGAGCATGTTGGAAGGTATAACCTCGGACCTAACGGCGGTATTTTGACCGCATTGAACCTTTTCACGACAAAATTTGACCAGGTGCTCGAGCTGGTGGAGAAGAGGGCGGAGACTGTCGAGTACGTCCGCTTGTTATCCTCCTATATGTTGTGGCGGACAAAATTTTGACTATGCGGACACAGTTATGTTATCTTGGATACGCCTGGTCAAATAGAGATCTTTACCTGGTCTGCATCTGGTGCTATCATTACGGATGCTGTGGCCTCGTCTTTACCCACCGTTGTGGCGTATATCATCGACACTCCCCGTACAACCGCTCCCGCCACCTTCATGTCGAATATGTTGTACGCTTGCAGGTGCGCGCTTCTATTCTCATTCAGTCAATCAGGACACTGGCCCCTGCAGTGATTTGTGTCTTCTTTGTGGCACATAAGCCTGGCTCAGAGCTGGGGTCGTTGAACAGGTCCTCGAGCCTTGGCAGCGAAACACTCCTCTGTGAGCTAATCAGGAGCGATGCTCAATGACTACTCTTACTCGGCCATCAGAGCGTTTCGACGCCAAGAGTCGAGGCTACAGCCATGAAGGCGGTATTTGAGTGGCCATCGCGCTTTCCAAATGGTCTCACGATCGATTCTTGTCTTGTTCACAATCACCATACGTCACTCAAAGACTGACATATCGTCTCTAGTATCCTCTACAAAACCAAACTCCCGTTCATCCTCGTCTTCAACAAGACCGACGTTCAACCACACGACTTTGCGCTAGAATGGATGCAAGATTTCGAAGCGTTCCAGGCGGCGCTGGCCTCCCATCAAGGGACGACGGACGACGAAGGGGAGCCTACGTACATGAATAGCCTGATGAACAGTATGAGTCTGGTTCTAGACGAATTTTACAAGCACCTGAAGGTAAGCGTTCTACAGCTAGATGTCGTTCTTGCCTCTAAGTCTTGTTCTCTTGTAGGCCGTAGGTGTGTCTAGCATGACTGGAGACGGCGTAAAGGAGTTCTTCGACGCTGTAGAAGCTTCTAGAGGAGAATACGAGAGGTGTTTTTTCAATTCATTCCTTCAACGCAAGGCATGGTGTACTAATACACATTCAGGGAATATCTCCCGGAACTAACGCGCGCAAAAGCTCAGCGTGACGAGACACTGAAGCAGAAGCAAGACGAGTCGATGAGCCGTGTGATGAAGGATCTTGCCGTTGACCGTGAACGTAACCCGGCTGCCGCTGCTGCAGACCGGTGGGATCCTGAAGAGGAGGAAGAGGAAGACGAGGGAGATGACATTGATATCATTGATCGAAGTACGTTCCGTCCATCATCTTTGTTCCTACCTCGTGTGATCCATGCCTTCGTCCTCGCTCTTTTCGTGCATGAGCGCATCACCTTTGTCGTGACTCTGATACATACAACGTTCCACCCTCGATACGACGCTGACGACCATTATCTACATGCTCTTTCCGCACAGGTGAAGAGCCGTGGCCTGGCCAGTACATAGACCTAACTCAGTCTCGACGAAGAGAGGACGAGGGGATGTCGTGGCCGAGGCCCACATAGTACATTGACACTGTACCAGCAAGACGCAGCGTGTAACTTTAACATCCCCTGTACAACGCGATAGAAGCGAGCGGAGTATACTCGTATACTCCAACACGACGATATCAGGCTTGCGTCATGGTGGTTACTATGCGATGGTGGCTTGACCAGCATGATGAGAATATCCCGACTGAATGAGGCGTCTCCTGAGGTCTCCTGGCGTCCCGGCCGCTGCGGAACCTCCACCCGCTTTCACTCTGGCAGGTCTGAAACCTTCTTGTCCCCTGGTTTACTGAGTCCTTCCGATTTCCCTCGGTTTCTACATACGATATGTCCCGTTCAGAACCCTGAATTTACCTCACGGAGGCAGAGTCTAACTGGTAGTTGAAGTAGCGTTTGATCGCACAGAGGATCTCCCCCAGCGAACGAGTGAAATGCGGGGATATCACTACCCAGAACTTGAGTACACAACAATAAGCGACCGAATCGTGGGGAGAGGGCATGTCAAAAGGAGTGACACGGGCCGTCTGCATGATGTCCTCAGAGATCCTGGGTGTCCAAGAATGGGTGTATGAAAGGACGCCACCCACCGGACCCGGCCAAGGAGCGGGTGGCGAAGTCGAGGCGCGCGTGTGAAACGGTCGAACCGAGGCGAGCGATCAAATGATTACGTAATCGAGGGTCTAACAAAACGCTGCCCACGCTCGCTCGGTCTTGTCAGTCCTCCACCACAGCGCCTTCCTCAACACTCGTCGCCTCCCGCCAATCAATCCCGCCTCAACAGCCAGCAAGCTTGGAGATCAGACTCACGGCTTCGTATTCTCCAGAACGTTCATCGACATCTACGCACCTTTCATCTACCGGTTCACTCGTATAACACTTCGTTGACCATGGAACGGTCAGTCGCCCGCTCGTTAGTGCGGGGCAACTCTTGACTGACTAGAATTTGAATCGTGGTCAATAGTTATGCTAAACTTGAGAAGATTGGTGCGTCTTCTTGGTCTTGTTCATTTCATGCAGTTCACTGACGCTCGCTCAATGTCCCACAGGCGAAGGTTAGCTGCCACATGTATCCCCGCCTTCCCCGATAACTTGTATTGAATGTCGGCTTCCTCTTGCTTCCGCTCCTTAGGAACATACGGTGTCGTCTACAAGGCTCGAGATGTGAACACGGAACAGATTGTAGCGCTCAAGAAGATTCGTCTCGAGGCAGAAGACGAAGGCGTACCGAGCACCGCCATCCGAGAGATCAGTCTCCTCAAGGAACTCAAGAACGACAACGTCGTGAGGTACGTTTCTCCCGCTCCCACCAAGCTCACTTGCACTCTGAGCGCAGCATGCCGACCCCGATACCCCTCTCCAACCGTTTGATATCTACTCTTCATCGTCATCTGACTTGGCGTGTTCGTATGCATCTCTATTCGGCATTGTCTGTAGGTTACTCGACATTGTCCACGCCGACCAGAAACTGTACCTCGTGTTCGAGTTCCTCGACGTCGATCTGAAGAAATACATGGAACTGGGCAATAACTCCGGTCAACCGATTTCACTAGACCTTTGCAAGGTGAGTTGCATCATCCTTGGGTGGCGGCCCAGTGGCGGTCGGTTCTTCGTTTGAAATTCCATCCGTATTCCATATGCGGCTAACATACGCGTGTACAACGCGCTGTTTCGTCGCATCGACGCGTCCTCTTCTCTTTGTTTCCTCCTTTCTTTACGGCAACACGTTTGTACGGCACCCGTTTGTACATCTTTGTGGCTTCTTGCTATGTACAGGCTACATTGACGCCACTTAGACACCGTGGTCTATATTTTGATGGGTATCACGTGATGGCGTTGAACCACGTTGTGGCGTCGATCATTTCGCCCCTTTTCTGCTCCTCGCGCCACTGAAGCAAAAACTGATTGCCTTTCGTTTTGCAGAAATTCACTCACCAACTTACCTCGGGTCTTTTATACTGCCACTCACACAGGATTCTTCACCGTGACTTGAAGCCACAGAATCTGCTCATCGACAAGTATAATAATCTCAAGCTCGCCGATTTCGGTCTTGCTCGCGCCTTTGGTATTCCTATGCGTACCTACACTCATGAAGTACGCAGAACATTTGTTTTTATATCCACTTGCCTTATATCCTGACTTTTGATTTGAACTGTGATAGGTCGTGACACTTTGGTATAGGGCTCCCGAAGTCCTGCTTGGCTCCCGTCAATACTCGACCGCTATCGACATGTGGTCCGTGGGGTGCATTTTTGCAGAGATGGTTATGAGGGGCAATCCTCTCTTCCCCGGTGACTCTGAAATCGACCAGATATTCAAGATCTTCCGGTTCGTGTTTCATACTACCTCCACGTTGTATCCGTCCGAGTCATACCCTTTACTGACATGATCCTTCTGTGTGTAGGATACTGGGAACACCGAACGACGAGACGTGGCCTGGGATCCGCGCTCTGCCCGACTATAAGCCTACATTCCCCCAATGGTCAAAACAGGACCTTGGGGAGCAGGTGCCGTACTTGGATAGGGCAGGACTTGACTTGCTTCAAGTGCGTTATTTCATCTTCCCTTATTCGTCGATGACATTCGAATCGAAGTGCTGATGGCTTCTTCGGCGATAGCAAACTTTGGCATACGACGCTGCAAGGCGCATCTCAGCTAAACGGGCAATGAAGCACCCCTACTTCGCTGACTATCCATGATGACCTCCGCCTCTCCTCCACTTCTTACCCCATCCACATATCCTTCTTCTTCCAATCACGTCCTCCACTCATATGCATCCTGGCCCATATAGTCTGGCCTAGTCTTTTTCTCTCGCGTTCGCTTCTCATTTCCTTTCTGTGATGTTTCCTCCTCCGCATTGTGTGTCATAGTCATATCCCGCAAACCCTCCTATTGTTAGTCATCCCCGTACTGCATCTCATTTCACGTCCCACCCCGTCTCGTGTTTCCCATTGTCATAGTCGTTGTCGTCATCGTTGCATCTCGTTCGACCTTTCGAACCTCTTTCAAGTTCACGTCACTCTTTCCGTCGCGATCATCCCTCTTTGCCCTTCTCCCTTGTTGTTCAATCGTCGTCCCTTTCCCTTCAATCATTTGTTCTTTTCTTTTCATGATATGCTATACATCTGTGACATGTTAGTGATCTTTTAGTTGTCCCTGATGATTTCAACGTCTGCCGTGTTGACTTTTTTTGACACGTTTATGGATGATTCCCAGTGCATAACGCATGAACGATGATCCATATATGACAATTTGTTCAGTCCGTCATTCGGGATCCCTTTTGCGGTGATTGCAGCGATTTCACTTCTTCCTCTTCGTCGTAGTTTGCAGGTCGCTGTGTAGCAGTTTTATTTTGACCGTGGCTTAGTTGGTTTCCCCTTGGCCTCTTCACTTCGACCACCACTACCACCACCGTCATCATATACTCCCAACCCGATGCATATGTAGATCAGGCTCGGGTCACATATTTGGGTTTTCGAATGGTTTCGGTGGTCAGCTACTCCTGTGTCGACTGGGGTCCAGGAAGACGAGTTTGATAGTTTCCGCGTACGATATTACCGTAGGTACGCGGATGTACAAGATGAAGTGTTCTGTTACGATATATGTTTTTCTACCCCTTGAATTTGACCCCTTTGTACTTGATTTTCCGACACTTCTGACCGTCCTGAGTTTCAGTCGTGGGCCACTCAACCAATATGGTAAATGGGACACCTGCTATAGCCCCTATTCGAGTCGAAGCTCGAAGAGTGCAGTTGCGTTTCCCGTCCAAGTCGCAATCGTAATTTTACAACTCAAACCTCGACCACCGCAACTCACTCCTCGTCCGTTACACGAATGACGACCTTGCCGACGTGCTTCTGAGCCTTGACGTACTCGAAAGCCTCCTTCGCCTGCGAGAATGCAAACTCTTTGTCGATGACGGGTTTCAAGCCTTTCCCTTCGATAAACCTGACCATGTCCTCTAGTTCCGTTCTTGGTCCAATCAATATGCCCTGCGATACAAAACGTTAACGCGACATCAATTGTTGAACATCAAGGCCATGGCCACATTCTATCATATGAAACTCACCTTATAAGTAACATGCCTTCTAATCGCCAAAACCGCGATCCCCACCTCATCCTCACTGATCCCCTTCCCCCCAAGATAGCCAATCGCATTAATCAACCCCCCAAACCTCACCGCCCCAAAACTCCTCACCAACGTATGCTGTCCTCCCACCTCAATAACCTGATCCGCGCCCCTCCCATCCGTAAGCCTCAGCACCTCGGCGTCCCAATCTCGCGTCGTAGTGTAATTGATCGTGTGCGTCGCGCCGAGGGAGGTGGCGAGCGCGAGTTTGGAGGCGGAGGAGGAGGTGATGATGGTGGAAGCGCCGGCGAGAGAGGCGATTTGGAGCGCGAAGATGGAGACGCCGCCTGTACCGAGGATGAGCACGGTTTGGCCAGGTTTGAGAGGTTGGAGGCCGTAGAGAGCTGTCCAGGCCGTGCCTGCTGCTATGGGCAGCGTACTTCCCTGTTTATCACATTCACAATCGCAGGTAGGTGAGTATTGTAGGTAAGTCACTGGTTTGGAGACCGACTCAGAGGGTACCTAGACGAACCTGAGCATACGTATATCCATCCGGTAATCTCAACAAACTCTTCTCCTCGAATATTCTATAGCTCTGCAGGACGCCCTCGAGCGGTAATCCCAGCCCACTCTCCCTCAGAATTTCCTGCGTAATCTCCCCAGCGACGTGCTCCGTATTAAACACACTCATCACTCTATCTCCCGTGCTCAACCTCTTCACTCCTGCTCCTACACTAACGATCTCACCACCGAAATCGCTGCATGGAACCAAGCACGGTTCGGATGATGAATTGCCGGCTGCGCCAGAGGCGGTCATCCCTTTGTGGTGCGTGTAGAGCCCGGAGATGACTTCGATGTCGCGATAGTTGAGGGAGACGGCATGGATGCGGACGAGGACTTGGGTGGGAAGGAGGGAGGAGGATGAGGGGATGGGGACGTCGTGTTCGAGTTGGAGGGTGGAGATTGATTTAAAGTCGGTCGTCCAACGGTCCATCGTGGCCATGTTTTTATTATTATCTCAGGTTAGAAATCGAACTTGCTCGAAAGTTAGTGTATGAAGTCGGATGAGGGAGGGTGTCGGAAGAGGAAATAGGCACGACGAGACCGGGACGTGTATAGCTTCTGAAGGTTCATCCGATTGAGGTTTAGAAGCTGGGATAACAAATCGCTGGTACAGTAGCAAGATTTTGTCGAATGACGAACTTTCGCAACGGCTCGTATCGGAAGCCTTGAAAGCCCCTGAGTGGCACTTTGAACCTTTGTGGCGCCATATGGCTATCCGAGTCGGACATACTGACTCTCTGTACTGAGACCACTGGCTGAACAACCAACGAAAAACAAAGTGTACACTCAGCAGACAGTACATGTCCATATGCCCATTGCTTTGTCCATCTTCGACGATGACATGAGAGATAACGCACTTACTCATCGGCCCTCTCACGATGCAGAGTTTTCGATAGTATAAAACGGCCAATTTGTACCTCAAGTATTCGAAGCCCGAACTTCTTTCCTCTTCCTTGAATTTTGTTCACAAGCAGACTACTATGAACGCAGCTCAAACCCTCGAAGACATCAAAGGCGAAATCGTCGTCCTCGCCCAGGTATGTTTTACGCCACAACACATCCACCTCCACCCACCTCCCTCCACTCCTCCCCCGCCCTCCTCACTATTATCCCTCACTTCTGCATCTCCGAAATAACATGACACTCTGACGGGTCTATAAACAACCAGGTCTCGTTCAAAACTTCCCTCAGCCCCTCCGAGCTCCACACCTGGATCTCAAAAATGAAAGCCAGCGCGTCCTCCGAGCCCGGAACGCTCGAGTTCAGTTGGTCGAGGAACGGCCCAGAGAGCGCGTACGAGTTCGTGGTATGGGAGCGATATGCGAGTAAGGAGGCGTTCGTGGCGTGCGTGTTTCTTTTATTTAACTTGCTGTGGCACCCGACTCTTCGAGTGGCTGATTGGTTTATTTCTTTGATTTGGTTTGGTGGCCGGGTGGTCGTGGTTGTGCTTGTGGTCGGGGTACACACAACAGGCACACTTCGAGCGATCTCTTCAAGGAAATCGGAGCCGCGGATATCTTGGCGAAGGCGAGTATCCAGTCGATCGCAAGAAACGCCTTTCGCTAACATCTCGTATACAGGCCCCCACCGTATCCTTTTTCCACGGAGCATTGAAGGAAAGCGCCTAGTACGTAGGCGGGTGCTGTGCCATTCATGATGCATGACGCGTGGAGGGTTGGTGGACACGGAAGAGATTGTTAGACATGTCGGGATTCCGAGTCGTCCGGCAGATCTGGGCGGGGAGAATGAACAAAGAAACAGATATGTAATAATCAGAGTGTATGTAGTATATCCAGCGTCGAGAGATGGTTCGGGAGTTATAAGTACAAGCACTGGCTGGTTGGCCAGCTAGGTCTCCCCATCCAGAGAAATCTGAAATCGATACAGAGAGGGTCCACAACAGACTGCATAGGAATCACAGAGGATGTGAAAGCAACAAGGAGATAAAACGTGGTGAAACAGGAGAGGATAGAGGGAGGACAGAGAAAAGAGCATGGCTGAACCAACCGCCTCGTGTAGAGCATTGAATGCCCAACGTCCACGGGGGCGATTATTTCGTAAATGTAGCGCCTTGCGCCGCTGGCGAGGGATAATAGTTCGGCGGTGGCACTTCTCCATCGCGTACGGGAGGCGGTCCAGCGGGCTATACACATCGCGACAATCGAGTCAGCCGACGCGTCTCTGAAACTCGGATCAAAACGAACGTACAGGTGCGAATTGCGGGTCCCCATAAGCATGCGTCGGGGGTGGGTATTGTGGACCACCTGGTGAACCTCCGCCGTAATATTGGTTGTAATTGGGATAGCCTGCGCCGGTGCCCTGAGGGCCGTAATATTGTGGTTGGTAGCCGTTGGGCTGAGCTTGAGCCTGTGTGACGTAGGCGAGGTTGGCTCGTTGGATGCGACGGCGACGGTAAAAGGAGAGGAGGGCGATGAGAATAATAAAGCCGACAACTGAACGAAATGGTAGGATGGATGATAGGCGGTCAGTAAGACCGGAACTTCATCGCGACGGGGTGATGGACGCACCTATGGCTACGGCGATACCGATACGGACGCCGTTACTGGTACGACAGCGTTCGACACCGAAACTGAAGAAGAGAATTTTGAGCGATACATCTAACGGGAAGAATGAAAAAGTACGTACCTGTCTACCTCACAGACTCTAGCATCTGCTCCTGGGATGAAACCTGCCAAGACAGCGCCTACTGCACCGAGCAACAAGCTCGAAGGTCGTGATCGTGCGACTGATCCAAGAGCAAACCACGGTACCCTAATCAGCTTTCTAACTCCTATCAACTCCTAAGAGTGCAAGCAAAGCAACTCACCAGTCATATCGGAAAAGGGGTACGTCTCAACAATCAAGTTCGTGAAGGGGTCGTTCTGTGTGTGGGATAAGGGCTCGACCGGTCGTGAAATGTTCTGTGGGGTTATGTAGCAGTGGTGTGGTGGATGATGATGGTATGGTACTGGTGACAGCTCGCGCAGCGGACCTGGGAAAAATGGGTTGGTCAGTACAGCGCTCTAAAAGGGCATTTATATTCGCATAGGTCAGTGAGGCAGACATAATTGCATAGCCTCAAAACCGAACCCCAGGCGGGATGCTGGATGCCCGCAATGCCCACCGAGTGCCCACGAAGGCTGTGCGTGTCAAGTAAGATGATATGCAGGCCCATAGGGCTTGACCATTGTTCTGCCAACTCGAATCGAAAGGACACTCACTGTAAGTAGAGGGATGGGTGGGAGACGTGGGGGAAGATGAGGTTAATAAAGAAGAGGAGGATGGCAAAGCGGTGCCAAGGCGCGGCGAGATCCTTCGAGAGTTTCACATTTGTTCCGACGCTGTGGCCATGCGGGGTCGGATGACGTGCACACAGTCCGTTCTTGGCACCGGGAATCCGGATTTCGCCGCGGTCCGCCACCAGGAACCATCTTATTATCTTGGCGTGCCACTGTGGCGCCCTCGGCAGGATATGTACGTTGTCGTCGACGATGGTCGAGTTTCTGCGATTCCAAGCGAGCCCTTGCGCTTCGTAAAGGACAAGAATGCACTCGGACTGAAGCACGAAGCACTCAACGCAAAAACTCGTCACATCAGTGTCAGCAGCTGCAGTAGCGTATGGGGTGGTACAACGAAAAGCGTGAGTAAGATTCAGATTAAGGACAGCATGGGTGCACATATGTAGACACAAAAAAAAGAGACAACCACAACCTCGACGGGCAGACAAGTAAACGATGGATCGATGACGGGCGCTGCACGTAACACGTAAATAGAGAACGTAAATAATTGAAGACACAAAAATCACAGGGATTGACGAAAAGAAGAGAATTACGACACAGAGAACACGCGGGAAGAGAAATAAGGAAAGCCATGGCACGACGAGCGAGAAGCGAGAAGGGAAGACAAGAGAAAGAGTGAGTCGAGGGGGACAACATAAGCTCGCGATCCGAGCGGGCCAGGAGGAAGGAAAGGGGAAAAAACTGAAAGATGGGGACGCTGTGTCGAGCGGAGGGTATCAACATTTAGAGGCGAGAGGGGATATACGACGAGAGATAAATTGTTGACGAAGGAATGTGTACGTTATGCATATGTAGGATATGTAAGGATCCGAGTGGAATGATCCAAATAAGAGGTGACTGAACAGAACGGAGTGAAACTGAGTGACGAGCACGTCTCGACACCGTCGACGTTATTGCACAGTGATGACGGATCGAGCGAACGACTGAGAGATAGCAGCGGGGAGACGATATGGTAACGGAAGGAACGACTATGTAGCAGCAGGGAGATGAGTCAACGGAATACGACCACTGTGGGCCGCACTCGCCCTTTTACCGAAAAAACATGGAACAAGAGAAAAGCAAAACAGCTAAAAAGGAAAAGGACGATGGACCGCTGTACGCGCATAATTGAGGGCAAGGCGATCAGTGGAATGGGCAAAAAGATGGGAATGACCGTGTATGATGATATCCCCTCACGAACATCCATCCAGCTCTGATATCCCCTCACGAACATCCATCCAGCTCTGTCTGCCCATCAGCCATCTTCACCCAACATTCATGCCTCTTCCTCCTCCTCCTCCTCGACCACGTTATGCAACGGCGCTCCATGCACGTATCGCGACGGAGATTCTGCTCTCGGCTCAAACTCCAACACCGGGGGTTCTAATTTATCTGCTTGAGGAGGAGTTTTCGTATGAGAGGGAGGAGTAACGGACGGTGTTATGTCTCTCTCCTTGCTCTTCGGCGGAACTACGGGCAGACGCGCGACGGGCGACGCGATGCTACTAGTTGCTCCACCCCGCTCGCGTTCGCGATACATCTCGATGAGCGCTGCCGTCTTGTTCGACACCGGTTTGGCGGGCACGGCGGGCGACTTCTCTGGTGCGGCTGGCGTCGAGCCGGGTGCGTCGTAGTCGGGGTGGGGAAACCCAGGCGACGGCTCTTCTACGGCCTCGAAATCGTCGGACATGGTGATAGACTGAGTAGGCCCGGCGGAAAGAGGAGGATAGTCCGTCATGTCGTCAGTATCGCGCGAGCGTCGGCCAATCGCACCCCGGGGATCATCTTCATCGTCGTCGTCGTCGTCGTCGTCGCCACTAGCCGAGTGCGGAGGTCGACGTTCGGGATGCAAGTCGAAGTAGCCCATGCGCCTCTGCTGTGTCGTCGGTGGCGGTGCCGCTCCGTCCTCGGCATCGTACTCCGCCGTCTCAGCGTCTCCCGTATCCGTCACCGAAGGCGTATCATCGAGCGTATCCGTGTCAGTAGTGTGCACCGGAGCGCCAGACATCGTCATCGGCTCGATATCATCCCCCTCGTCGTCTTCGTCATCCGGAACCTTGCCTTGAACAGCAGCCAGAGCCGCAGCGACCTCCATACTCGCCAACTCAGGATCCGAGCGCCCACCTTTCAAGCCCCGTCCTCTCGGGACCCTCAACTCCGCCTCCTGGTTGTTCAACCTCCTGCCGGAATTCGCGACGAGGATATCGACCCAGGCGTCGTCCTTGGACTGCCTCCTCTGGCTCTTCGACGTCGTCGGATCGCCGGTCCCGTTGGACTCGTTCAGTTCGTCATCACTGTAGCTCGCCAGACGAGTTTCAAAATCGACATTCTCATATTCAGAAGGAGGAATGACCGACTTGCGAGCATTCGGGCTCGTGACGCTTGGAATCAGTCGAAACCGCGACTTCTTCCCGGTCACAGGCGATCCAGCACCACCCGGCGTCGACGGAGAGTCCGAGCGCGGCGTCGGGGTGCCTGCCCTCTGTCCTGAGATGACGGCGAACTGCTTGGTCGAGAGAGGCGAGCTGATCTGAGCTCCGACGGATGGAGGCGGTAAGCCGGTGGTGACGGACTTGACGGCGCCGTTCTTGTTGAGCGATAGGACTTTGGTGGAACTGTTGCCGCCGCGGAGCATGCCTTCGAAGTCGACTTCGCCGTAGGTTGCGGTTCGTGGGACGTGGCCGATCACGTATGGGCGACCGTTGAGTGTGGCGGCAGGCTTCCACTGCTTCGACTTGGTCGTGGTGAACAGCGAGACGAGTTTGCGTTTGTTGCCGGAGGTGAGCTGTTGTCTGTATTCGAGAGGGACGAATTCTTCGAAGAGGAAGAGGATCTGGGAGCTTCGTGGATCTGCGTCACCGGTTACCGTCGATTTGGCCACCGGAAGGGCTTTGAATTCCACCTGCGACCGACGATGAGGCAAACATCGTGCACAGAGTAGTAATCGCGGAGACGCACCAATGCCCAGTTACACTCCCTGTCCAGCTCCTCCTCTCGTTCCATATCCATCCATCCACCACCGTATACCAGATCACAAAAGACATCGACGAAGGCTTCCTCGATCACCTCCTCGGATCCCATCACGGGATTAGTATCCCACCCAAACGGCGGCAACGCGCGCTGCGTCTTCTTCAACTTCCGGGTGATCTCGGCTTGATTCGACGGCCAGGACGAAATGGTGTTCGAGACGGGGGCGCTGAATTGGAGTGTGGCGTTGAGTGGTGCATCGGTGCGCGAGAAGCCAGAGGAAGAGAAATCGGTCCAGGTCAAAGTCTGACGCTTCGCCGTGCGAGACTAAAGTTCGAGATAGAGATTCATCATCATCAAGTGTGCCGATCATAGTTATATCCACGAAATGAAACGATAAAGAACAACATACCGTCCTCGCGCTCTCCGTAAGGTCGAACTGCAGCTTCTTCTCGTCCGTCCCCAGCCCACCGAAACCCACCGACTCAAACTCGCCCCACTTCAGATCTGCAAGATTCCTGAACCTCTCCTCGTTCACCAGCGACTCTCCCTTCGGCTTTCCAAGTAGGTAATCATTGTTACTCGTCAAGGATCCGCTCGCGCTGGTGGTAGAGCCGGAAGAGGATACGGTACTGGGCGACCCGGGCCCGGTGTTAGGGTGGAAGTTCACAGGAAGGTCCATCCGCTTCTTGTATCCGTCCGCGTACCGTGGTGACAGCTTCAATGTTGACGGCGCGACTCGCTCCCACTCTCGCGAACTCGCGAGTCCGCCGCCCGAGGATTCTGGAGTGCGCGTGCCCCAGCTGGCCGCGTTCTTGACAAGGTCGGGGGTGTAAAAGCGGACGTTGCGTCGTACGCTGACAACGCGGACCGTCCGAGCTCCGCGACGAGGCGATAGCTTCTCTTTCTTCGTTCGTGCCGCGGGAAGCATAGCTGGGTAGCCACGAATCCAGTCCTTGAGGCGGGTCGGTACACCCATGGAGGTCGCGCTACCGTGGCCAAGACTGCTCGATGATGTGTTATTGGGGTTGTCTTGGAAGCGAATGAAGGAGAGAATGAGATGTTCCATGGCGTTTGTCGCGCGGAGGTAGTGAACGTAGGTGTGATGGAATGGAAGCGCCGCAGGACCCAGTCCGAAGACGAGAGGCCCGAAAAGAGGGGAAAGAGTGGGTGGAGTATGGCCGGAAGAAGCGGAATGGGCAGTCAAACGAGTAAGGAGAGTGAGGACGTTGATGATTATGGCCTGAAGGGGCGGCGGCATGGGTTTGACGAACTCGGCGAAGTGTGAAGGCGGGTAATTGAGCACTTAAAAAAAGGACAGATGATATTCATGAGCGATCACTCGACTCGTATATATGATTATGTGCGCTCACAGATCTCTGCCTCGCTCCATTCAACGTAGAAGTCCCACGCGACCAGCCCACGAACGGCGTTACCGCCGACCAAGCGGACGACTCTGGCCAAGCCCCACCTCAAGCACATCCCAAGCTCATGAGGACCAGCGAACCTAATCTCGTCGCGCCATGCAGTTTCTACGTCTCGGCCAGGAGAAGGTGAGCATGTTCGAATGAAGGCCTGGATGAGCCGTCGGACGCCGGGTGTGTTGATGTCGAGAGCGAGACTAGAGAAGATGAAAGGAGTGGTGAGGCCTCGAGTGCCAAGTTCGTCTGCGACAGCCTTCACAAGCCTGTCCGTCTCTTCCAGACCTAGAATGACATGACGCTGGTAAGAAAGATAGCCGTAGTCGTGGTCGCGCTCGCGAACGGCGGCAGCGACCTCGCCGACGTCCAGACGAGTCGGAGGTTCGAGACTGAGTGCGAGAAAACTGCCGTCTGGGATCTGTGGGCCTTCGTCCTCGACTGCTGCGTTGCCCTTGCCTCGTGCGGTGGAGACGGTGCGCGACCTGGATTCCTTCTTCTTGTTGTCCTTCCTAGCAGATGGAAGAGAGACGCCCAAGGCTGATGTCCTGCTCGATATGCGGCCGAACTCGTCGTAGACGACGGCGTCGTCGTTCTGTGCTGGCTTTGGTGTTTTTGCTAGTGACGAAGTTGTGCGAGAGCGGGAGAATAGGCTGGGCATCGAGGTCGTCGACGAGAAGGAGAGTGGCCGTGTCTTCTTGCGCGACAGACTGAAGCGCTTTCCGGATTCGGCCATGGCGTCTCTACCCGCGGACACAATCCGACCGTCGTCTTCGAGCGTCTTTGTACTCACCTTCCCACACGTCGCTAGCAACATCTTCACGTCCACAGAATCGAAGGTCGCCCGAGGTGTCTTCCAAGTGATCAGACAGACGTCGACTCGCCCCGTCTTGCATTCCTCGCTATAAGTACCCCCGACGAGACATGCCACGGCGAATACTAACAACTTTAATTCGCGCCTGGCGACGACAGCAGAATGCACGGACGTCCCTATCCAGGAAACAATGGACCGTCTTCTGCCTTCAATGTATATAATCTGCATTCATCGTGCAGTGACACAAAGAATGGGCGATAAATCCCCATCAGACGTCTCTGAGCTCACTAATAATTTCGTCGAGGCACTTTCACACTCTCAGCTCACATATGGCTCCCGCGACGCCAACCCAGGCAGGATACCCTGCCCAACTTATCTATGGCACTCAGCACTAGCCCACATCGCCGTCCGTCAATTTTAGGAACCTGCCCCATCATGCGATCACAGCTCCCGATGGATGCAAAGAGGAAATCGCCCACACATCCTTGCGGCTTTTGTGCTTCTTCAGCCGCAGAGAATCATCTATCGAGCGTTCGAGCGCAGAGTCTTCTCGAGGCTTCAATACTTCAGTTCAGGATCCACACTCCGGCACCCCCGAGGAACTTAAATACGTTATCGCCCTTCTCTCTTATGGTCGTTCTCTGTCATGCATCCCGTTCTCGTCTTTTCACGGCTCGATAGCGAAGCTTGTTGTCTTTCCTTTCTTCCTCTCAAGGCCTCCATCTTTCGCCTACGCTGTTCGGATCCACGGGAGCCAGGAGCCCAAACACTTTCCTTGATAGCTCTGAATGACGTCGCTGGATTCCGCGTAACATGCCTCCAAATGCTTGCTACCGAACATCACAAACGTTCATGTCCATGTAACGGCCTTAGAAAGGACACGCCAGCGGATTCAGAGAGTCCAAATGCTGAACGGGACTGAAGTGAGTACGTTACGACTGGCCCCGTCAAGGCGGAGCGTTCACTGATTAGCGCTGTAGGATGCGGTTTGGGTGGAGGCCAACTCAGGCTGGCGTAGTCTGTCCACTTCGTCTCTGCGCCCTTCCATTCCAAAAGGCGTTCATCCTATCCAAATTTCATTTTGATTTCGTCGACCTTGCAATGGCACGATACCCCTGAACGAGAGCGATTTCTCTACCAGCTGTAACACCATCGAGGCTACTCACGCCGTCGGGCACCAACGAATCTCGCTTGACCGTCCATGAATAGTTTGACGGCTTCTCTACCTCCATCCTTGTCCTCCCAGATAAGTGGCAAGGACCGAGACCTTTGAGCTTCGTAAGGGTTCGACGCTTTTCTCGTCCGAGGCTCGAGCTATATCGGGCATACAGCGAGCATTGCTCCCCGCTTCTTATGTAGTATGCATGTTCCTTTCGCCGTGGCTGACTGACTATATGAGCTGTCGACACGGCTCCAGGAAGCTGTTTCAGTACGCTCGAAGTCCGCCGCTTTATGTACGGTGTTCTGGGAGAAACGATATACTTAATGACGCAACGGTGCACTTAGCGTTCTGCACGCTACTCCTCCATTCACAGCTCTATCAAGCTACGCACTTCTTCGATGCTTCGATGGATGTCTAAGACACCGGAATATCTTCCATTTTCTGAATCTCGCGATGAGGCCTGACGATATACACACGATCCATGTTCCTAGCCGGAACCCTCCCCCTTGAAGCTTGACAGCCGTCCCCACTCGCCACCGGATCACGAAAATCCACTCGCATTCGCCGTCTATGTTGTATTCGAGTTTCAACAAGTCTTTAGGCTGTACGTTGTGCGAATTAAAAGCTCGTGACAAAATATGATACACTATAGTTTTGGTGGTGTCGTACCCATCACCTCAACGGTACCCGACGAACTAGACGGTACCCGGCGATCTGTGGACGCCTAGACGGTGCCCGACGACGTGATCGTCACCTTTGCCTTCGGTCTTCCAGAGTCGGTCCCGACGGCCTCGACGGCCTTGACGATATCCAACCCCTCGACGACCTCACCGAACACGACGTGCTTGCCGTCTAGCCAGGACGTGACGACGGTGGTGATGAAGAACTAGAAGTGGAAGTGGGAGTCAGAGATGATAAGATGTGTTGCGTGGACGAGTGAGATGCGAGAGTTGGAAGGAGGGGAATGGAGATATAAGACGGAGACGCACTTGAGAGCCGTTGGTGTTCTTTCCGGCGTTGGCCATAGAGAGGAGACCGGGCTTGGTATGCTTCAACACAAAGTTCTCATCTAAACAGACGCACAATACATCATGAATCATCAGCACGTGAACACGATGAACAAAAATAAACCATTATATATATACACACCCTTGAACTTCTCGCCATAAATCGACTTTCCGCCCGTGCCGTTATGGTTCGTGAAGTCGCCACCCTGGAGCATGAACTGTCCGACCCACCATCGTCACTTCCTGATCCCCAAGGTGCACACGCGGAGAAAGAAATCGGACGTACGTTGGGAATGATACGGTGGAAGCCACTTCCCGCATATCCAAACCCGTGCTGCCCAGTCGCCAATTCCCTGAAGTTCTTCGCAGTCCTCGGGACTACATCATCATAGAGCTTGAACACTATCCTGCCCGAGGGCTTCGAGTCAATCGCGATATCGAACTACGCGTATCAACACCCCATCTCGTCAGCTTCCCGCACCACACAACGCGTGCTAGCGTCGAGTACTCACGAATACGTTAGACCTGTCATAATCAACATTCGATACGTGCATCAGTAACAGTGCGAAAAGAATAAGATAACAACGAGCAGAGAGGTTACATGGGTGTTTTTGCTGCTGATGCTGAGGTGGCGAAGCGACGAAGGAAGGAAGCCATTCGTTTTGTGGAGAGTCTCTGGTGGACCGTGGACGTCAACGCGCGTAACTTTTTGCCAACGCGCAACAGAGCTCACGCTTTACGTCACGCTTTCCGCCACACGGCTCCCCGTCGTGGGCCACAACGCAGCGCGTTTGACTCTCGCCCCCGTTTGCAGACTTGCAGTAAAGGTTGACATTAGGAGGTACAAAGTAGGCGTAAGAAAGAATCGTAACATTTGATTCAGAGTGATGATACCAGTTCATCACGCGAGAGATCAAGAAGTGCTCGTATGAGAGTCCGGAGTATGAGGGGCGCCACCTGCTGCAACGTACAAGAAAAAGGTCGTCGATGGAGGGAGGTGCGTATATGAAATGCGGCATAGGGTCATACGGTTATAGCATAGGGGCTCATAACGAGTTGAGAGACGTATATGTTGGCCATCTCGACATGGAGATGAATGATCGGAAGATGAGAAACACAAAGAAAGAGCGGCAATTGGGGGGCGTGGATGAATGGGGAGACAATGATCAACGCGAAAATAAGGGGACTATGGATAATGCGGGAGAAGATCATATTTGATGGGCAGAATGTCTACAGTTCGTTCTGGCGACGAAGCGGGTGGCAAGGATGTTCGCACTGTGAGAGCCCAAGGTAAATTTAGCTTTGGCCTATGAACCGTAATAATGGCGAAGAGCTACGCACAGATTCGTGAAGAGAAGTTGATCAAGCAGGCAACGGCCTGTCAGTTCTTTCCTTCTTCGTACTGGCCCAGCCATTATCGGATCGACCGGTGTCGGCATCGCGTTCTCGAGACCTGTACGACCCTCTGCCATAATCAGGGCTCCTCCGGCGGTCATTGCGTCCTCTATCCTCATCCCAGCGCCTCGTATCCCCTCGTCCACGGCCACGATACCCACGTCGGTCTCCATAATCACGATCACGATCCTTCCTCAAATCAATCGGGTCATTCCTGCTGCCTCCCCATCCACGCCCGCGATCAGCATCATATCCACGGCCTCTGTCCTCGTAGTCCCTCCGGCCACGAGTCGGACTGCTCGACGGGTTAGAAGCGGAGAAATCAGAACGATCTCTACGAGAATCGTTGAATCGTGACCTCGAGGACGGCGAGCGCGGTGCCGGAGACAACCGGTCTCGACGCTCTCGAGGCCCCGATGGGTAGGGGCGGCGGTCACGGTCACGGTCAGAGATGCTGCGTTGTCTTGCGGGAGGGATGATGTCTTGCACGGAGTCGGGGTCCTGTTTGATGCGGATGGCCGGTGCGGAAGCGGATTGCTGAATTGTCGAGTGCGAAGGGCGAGGAGGGAGAGAAGTCGAGGAGCCATTGATGTTGTTACCTTGATAGCTAGCCGATTGAGGGTCGCGAAGGTCGCACGACCTTTCCTGTGAATCTGTGCGATAATGCTCGTTCGTTCCTTGATAAGATTGACCGGGAATTTGTATGCCATTGGCAAGTCCCGCAGCCGTCATAAGGCTCGTTAAAGCCTCTGCTGTAAGGGATGGCGGCTGTCCCGGTACTTGATTTAGAATTCCGTTCGGCTGGGAAATATGAGGGACCGATGCAGATTGGAAAGGCTGTTGAATGTGCTGCACAGGTGGTGGTGGCTTGGATTGTGTCTGTGGGGGCATATGTGTAGGTGGATGAGAGAATGACGGGGACTGCGAAACCGGTGTGATTGGAGAGTGCCTCGGCGTGTCGGAAACACCTTTCGCTGCCCGAATCGCAGCGAGCCTGTCCGTCTTGACAGGGAAAAAGCTGAACACCTCCGTATCCGGCTCAGCCTTTATTCTCACGGCAGCAGGTTGAGGTCCAAATTGTCCTGGGTCCGAAGCATTGGGCATTGACTGGGATTGACCGAGGCTGGCAAAAGTTGGTGTGGTTGGTGTCCGAGTAGGTGTCGCGGCCGGAGTTGCGGATTGAGGAGCGTGTGCAGATGAACCCTGCGACATTTTTGGACTTGGTCGCGAAAGTGACGGGGGAAGGTTTGTATCCACGGGAGGAGGCATGGCTCGAGAGTTGGGTTTGGGAACAGTCGAACTCACGTTGGCCTGCGCGGGCACTGTAGGTGATGGCAGTGTCACAGTGCTTGACTTCGAGACCCTAGGTATTTTCGGGTATTTCTTCGCAGGGACCTTCGGTGCATGTTCTTCGGGTTCAACAACTTCCTGCGCTTTCGCAGGTGTTTTGCGCGCTCGTGAAGCGGTAGTAGTCCGTGTTGTAGAGGTTTTGGGTTTGGCGAGCGGTACCTCCTCTTCATCGTCGCTGGCCTCCACGGGCCGCTTTCTCTTACCTGTTGCTTTCTTGACGGGTGGAGCTACGGGGCGAGGAACGAGAGCCTTGATGGCCATCTTTTCAGTCTTCGAGGCCTTCTTGAACTTCAATGTTGGTATTTCTTCGTTGATGAACTTGAACATGACTTGCGCAACGCGCTTGTTCGTGCGGATGTCCTTTTCCTTGCCCCGAATATCTGCTCTCATGGCCTCGACGGCGAGCGATAGCTGCGTCAATGATAGGGTCTGGCGGTGAACATATATGAGGAGCCCTATCATGATGAATTCGACCGGTGATATGCGCTGCGGAGTCTGGAATGGTGCATTGTATCGGCTGTCCTTTGTGAGTAGGAGATAAAGTTGGAACGTGTCCAACACATCGGAGCGCAGCTTCTTTGGGACAGCGAGTGTTTGTGTGAGCCATTTGTCGAGCCCGGGTGAAACGGGCACTGCAAATGCTGGGTGCCTGTCGATAACGAACACAACTGCTGCGATTCCTTGGAAATCCCGTCCGCGCGATTGACCCCAGTCGAGAGCATCGCCAAAACCGTCCTCTTCTCCAAGGATTTGAGTTTCAATTTCCCGGATGAAAGTCGGCCAAGGGCCTGTGATTGCTGCCATCCGCTCTATTTAAAGAAAAAGTTCTCAGTGATGAATAGTATGAGGTCCGCGATGCAGCAATGGCAAACCTGCAGGAGTAAGAGCTACGCCGAGTTGTACCCGCTTGAAACGCATATATTTAGCCAAAGTGGAAATGGTAGCACATATGAGGATATTTACGGACCTGGAAGATCTCACGTTCTTGGTCTCCCGTGAGATCGTGATATTCCATACATACAATCTGTTTGTTGGCGAACTGGCTGGCGGTCGATGCGGGGAGAAGTGTCCGTTTACCGGAGCCGATTGACTTGTACCAATACCTCGCACCAGACAATCTGTGTAGCTGAATGCTTAGCCACAAAAGCCTGGCCCATGATATGAATGACTTACCCATCCTTGTCTGCAGATTTGACGCATAAAGTATGAGCGTTTCTGAACAAGACCAGGAAGGGGCAGTTACTTACGAGGGATCTAAAGGAATAACATAGTCGTGAGTTACATTTGAAAAGCTCTTCGCTCGTAAAAACACTCACCAGCCCATCCATAAACCTAGTGAAGTCAGCGAGCTATAAACAGTGAAGGTCTATGGGATACGCACCGTTGAATTGAAGTCAGCCTCTGCTTTCCGTCAATGCACACACGTTCCTCGGTGCCATCATCTGAATTCTTGACGGCTATCATGCAGGAATCCTATCAGTGATCAACCATCATCGCGCTCTTGTGGGAAGTACCTTCTACGCACCAAAGATCACGGGCGGTATATAGTAATTCCCTTGATGAAAAGAAGTTCAGCAAAGCCGCATAGACGCGCCGTGGAATGAATACTTACGGAAGATCGAGTCCACCAGGCCAATCTGCTTCTCCTCCTTCCAGACCACATCTGTTATATCCCTCAGCATGCAGTTCTCGTGAGACAGGGGGAACACAAGGCGTACCGCGTTGATAGTCAGGATCTAGGTTGATCGTTCCCTCCACGATTTGCTCTAAATGGAGGGTTCAAATGAGCGGGCAGCGGCTAGAAGCGTTGCGAAGGGGTCAAGGACTGACCATGCAGAGACCTCGCTGTGTACTGCGCGGTTCGAGGAGGTCGAAGAGCTCCAGTGATAGTGTAGCCGCTTTTATCCTGGAGTTTCTTGGTCTTTGTTTTCCTTTTTGTCAATTGTGCCAGTGGCACGTACTCATCCTCAGATGAGCTCGTGAGATCTGAGAGGTCGGAGTCACCAAAGTCAAAGGACATGGCTTGTAGTCGAGGGTCCCGAGTGGGGGAAGGGGGAAAGAGAAGTGGAGGGGGTCCTATCGATGCGAGCTGTTTATATAGCCAACAGGTGTAGGCCTTTCAAGGGAGGACTGAGTTGGCAGACAAAAAAAGGGCCGGCACTCTGGCACTGGCGGTGTGGCAACGAGGCAAGCGCATTTATTGTCGTCACGTGTGTGTCGCGGGCCACAAACACGCCGTCACGCGGTCAGCCGCGCCAAAATGAGCGTGTCTGCTCAGACGCGTCTTCCTCACCAACCACGATGCGCATCGAAGAGCTCGTTCTCGACGGCTTCAAGTCCTACCCCGTTCGAACTGTAATCACCGGATGGGACTCTTCGTTCAATGCTATCACCGGCCTCAATGGCTCGGGCAAGTCTAACATCCTCGACGCTATATGCTTCGTTTTGGGAATCACGAACATGACCTCGGTGCGTGACAATATCACGGTCAATATTGTCCGAGCACTAAACGCGTCTACTGACCCTTTGTCTACATAGATGCGAGCACAGAACCAACAGGATCTCATATACAAACGTGGCCAAGCTGGAGTGACAAGAGCTAGCGTTACCATCGTCTTCGACAACTCGGACAAAGCTGCAAGTCCCCCTGGCTTTCAAGAATATCCCCAGATAACGGTGACCCGTCAGGTACGTATGCATTTTTGTTTTGCGTCAATGTGTGATTTTTACGACACGCCGACGCGTTGAATTGAGGGAGAGGCGCAGTCCACACCCTGTCGGTTTGACGACAAGCCCTGAACCTCGATCATTCTGCATATATATGCGCCTCTTCTGGATCGTGACTTTCTCTGATCTCTGATCATCTAGATTGCCCTTCCTAACCTCTCGAAGTACCTTCTCAATGGCCACAAGACTCAGCAGCAAACCGTCCAATCACTTTTCCAGAGCGTGCAGCTCAACATCAACAATCCGAACTTTCTCATCATGCAAGGGCGAATCACCAAGGTTAGGCTACGCGTCAGAATGTACCACATTTCGCATACTGACCCGCCCGTAGGTCCTCAACATGCGGCCACCTGAGATTCTCGGAATGGTCGAAGAAGCTGCCGGTACCCGCATGTTCGAGGAACGAAAGGAGAAAGCGATCAAGACAATGGCCAAGAAGGAGAAACGCGTCGAAGAGATCACTTCCCTGCTAAACGAGGAGATCATACCCAAGCTTGACAAGCTACGACAGGAGAAACGTCAATTCTTGCAGTGGCAGAAAGCGTGCACAGAGCTCGAAAACATCGGACGCAAACTTCGGGCATGGGAATGGACGGACGCTAACGAACGAGTAGAGCGCAAGGAAGTCGAGATCGAACAGAAGAAGGAAGAGGCGGTGAAGGTGAAGAAGGACAAGGTGAAGATTCTGAAGGAGGTCGAGGCCGCAGAGAAGGACGCGAAGGAAGTCCAGGCGCAGAGAGATAGGGAGATGAAAAAGGGCGGAAAGTTAAAGAAGATGGAGGAAGAAGTAGCCGCGCTCGACAAGGAGTTAACGAAGATGCGAACTCAGGTCGAGCTTCAGGAGAAGAGCATCACAGAGGAGGAAGGCAAGGCAGTTGACGCGCGTGATGCTTTGAAGCTGGTCCGTCCGATCATACTGTCTGATCGCTTACTTCTCACTGACATTGCGTGCAGCTTGAGGACGAGATGGCTCACAAAAAAGCCGAGGTCGAGAAACTTACGGCCGCTCATGCGAAGGTCAAGGAGCAGCACAAGACGGCCGAGGATTCCCTTGCAAGCGCGGAGGATCTACTTCAAACGTTGCTCACCGGTCTTACTACGGGTGGTACGAAGAACACTGGCGGTGGATACATGGGACAGCTCGCTGATGCGAAGGCTCGCTTGAGCCAGGCGGCGACAGAGGAGGAGCAGAACCGTGTCAAGTTGGGGATGAGGCAAAAGGAACTCAAGGATTTGGAGGCACGGTGGAAGACCGTCGAGAGAGAAGCCGGAGAAGCGACGCGTAATCTGGACGCAATGAAGGTCGACGTAGAGAAATGCCGCAAGAAGTTGGCGGAATGTGGCTGGACTGCAGAGAAGGAGCAGGAGCGGGAGACTGCCATCAGGACGGCCAAGGCGCAGATCGACTCGCTCACGGAGGTACGTTTCCTGTCTTTTAACCTATACCACTCTCTTATGCTGGTCATGTCTAGGAACGCGATCTTGCGAAACAACGCCTCTCGCAGCTGGACTTCAACTATTCCCTTCCTTATCCAAATTTCGACACCTCCAAGGTCAAGGGCCTCGTGGCCTCTCTGATCTCCTTGGACCCCAAGGATTACAACAAGGCGACTGCTCTCGAGATCGCCGCTGGCGGGAGGCTCTACAACGTCATCGTCGCGGATGAGAATGTCAGCAAGGATCTGATCAACAAAGGCCAGCTCAGGAAGCGTGTCACCATTCTTCCTCTGAACAAGATCGACGGCCATGTTGTCCCCATCATGGTGGGTTTCATTACTCCTTTATCGCAGTCCTAAAAACGCTAGCTCACATCGGACGCCCTCAGAAAGTCAATGCTGCGAAATCCGCACGGCCTGGAAAGACCAACCTTGCCCTCGAACTCGTCGGCTACGACGCCGAACTCGAGAACGCCATGAAGTTCGTCTTCGGCGGTACCATCGTCTGCGAAGATGCCGAATCAGCGAAATACGTCACTTTCAGTGTTGGTGGTATCCGTTCCGTGACCCACGCAGGGGATGTCTATGACCCCTCTGGAACGTTAAGTGGGGGAGCTGCGCCTAGTGGCAGCGGCATCCTTGTTCGTGCCCAGGACCTTCAGGCGGTCGAAAGGAAGTTGAAGGTAGCAAGAAGTCAGTATGACAATCTTCAGCGTGAGGAGCAACGCTTGAGCAACGTGCGCGATGCATGGCGGCAGCTGTCGAGAGACCTGGAGATCAAGGAGCATCAGCTCAAGCTCTTGGAAGAACAACTCGGCGGCAGCAATGCAAACAGGGTACGTCTTTTTGAACGGTCATACCGAAAGCTATAATATTCTTATGTGGGGTATCTTCAGATCAAGTCGCAGATTGAGGAGCTGAAGACCACGATTGCCGAGATCCAGGCGGCACTCGCTGCTGCCCAGGAGAAACAGAAGGCAGCGAAGGCAGAATGCAAGAAACTCGAAAAAGACATGGAGGAGTTCAAGAACAACAAGGAGGGCAAGACCGAAGAACTCAAGGTTAGCTAACCTAGAACTCATGCGCTTTCTCGATAAGTGCGACTAACGTGTCTATTCATAGGCGGACATCCAGAAGCAAAAGGCTGCCCTCCAAAAGCAGGCCGTCGGTGTCAAGACGAAACAGAAGGACATGGCGGCCGCTACCCTGGAACTTGGTGAGAATTGCTTGCCACCATTTGTCTGCCCTATCCTGACGTTGCACAGAGGGATTCGAAAAGGATCTCGACAGAGCACGGGAAACGATCGCCTCGACAGACAGCGGAGTTGAAAAACTGCGCAAAGCACTGAAGAAGCTCTCGGACTCCCTCAAGGAAAGCGAGGTATGTCGCATACATTCACACTTGTATCATAAGACTCATAACCGTGCTCCAGGACGCATATGCAGAAGCGGAACGTCAATTGCAGGAAGAACGTGCAAGCCTCAGTCGTTTCGACAATGAGCTCGCGGACCTTGAGCGAGTGATCAAGGCGAAGAAGGAGGCTGCCTCAGAGGCCGACCTGAACGTTCAGAAGTTGGAACATGCTCAGCAGGCGCTAACGAAGGAGAAGGAGACTGCTGCCAAGTTCGTCACGAACCTTGAGAAACAGTACGATTGGCTTGCAGAGGAAAGCCAGTGAGTAGATCCTTGACGAGTTGTTCGCTCTCGGATACTGACGACTAGGCCAGTCTGTTCGGCAAACCCGATACACCGTACCATTTCGGCTCCATGGACGTTGGCGCTCTTCAGGCTAGAGCCCAAGAATTGGAACAATACCAGGGCGGCATGAAGAAGAAAGTGAACCCAAAGGTACTCAACATGATTGAAAGGTTTGCTCCTCGTGCTGCTCGTGTCGTGTTCTTCACTAACAGATAAATCCAGTGTCGAGAAGCGAGAAGCTGGTTTGAAGGAAAATCTGGCTAGGGTTAACACAGACAAGACGAAGATCGAAAAGACCATTGGAGAACTGGATCGGTACAAGCGTGAAGCACTTCACACGACGTGGGAGAAAGTGAATGGGTGCGTCAATTCCAGTTTATTTGTGCAGAAAGTAGACTGACAGTACATCCGTTCAGTGATTTCGGGGGAATCTTCGCAGAACTTCTACCAGGCAACTTCGCCAAGTTGCAACCTCCAGACGGCCAAGACCTTATGGATGGTCTGGAGATCAAAATCCGTCTCGGCAGCGTCTGGAAGCAAAGCCTGACAGAGCTTAGCGGAGGTCAACGGTACGCCACGACAGACACTCCTAAATATCTTGATTGTTGACTTACGTCTGTTTCCCTCATCGACATTGTCGACAAATCTTCATCTAGATCTCTCATTGCTCTCTCACTGATCATGGCTCTCCTGCAGTTCAAACCCGCGCCAGTCTATATCCTCGACGAAATTGATGCCGCCCTTGATCTCTCACATACCCAGCACATCGGGACGTTATTCCGGACTCGTTTCCGCGGTGCTCAGTTCATTGTTGTCTCCCTCAAAGAAGGCCTTTTCAACAACGCCAATGTCCTCTTCCGTACACACTTCAGAGACGGCACTAGTATCATCACACGAACGGGAGAAAGGAGTAATTCGACACTGTATGCCAACGAGAGAAATCGAGCGAGAGCTTCATAGAGATGATTGCTGGCTACTCATCTGTCTTTTCGTTTGTGGTCTTTTTTCGTCAGGAATGTAGTTGTTTTGTATTGGTTTCGTCTTTGAGCTCGTTCTTCCATGATTTCTCTCTGCCGATTGTGCGCCTGTATCTTGTATCCTCTTCATTTGTTGCTATCTATCATATTCTCTCACACCTGCTATTCATCGGCACCTTTTCACGCTCAGCAAAATGAATAGACATTCGAGGAGGCTTGACTACGGCAAAGGAAAAATCAAGAAAGAGTAATAAGACACCAATGTCGTACAGTTGACGTTGGTCGAAACATCGAGAACATACAACTAACACGTCCAAGACTCGACTTTGCGACATTTCTACTCGACACGTTCGTAGAGGGCGATGCCGGGGAACGTTTCCTTGATCTGTTTCTCGATCCACCAATACGGGGTGAGGTAAGTGGTGTCTATTTCGTCAGCAGGGCCTTCGCCACCGGTCAGGATTCCAATGATGCGGCCCTCCCTGTCGAGGACGATCGACCCCGAGTCACCCCCGTCCGAAAACTTGCCGGGCGACCCGTAGCGCAAAACAGCGATTTCGATGGACGTGTGAGAGATGCCGTACGTTTCGTAAGTGCGGGTGAAAGACTTGAGACCGTTAACACGACCGATGGTTGTGCCCGTGGCTAATCCGTTTTTGACGACGAGCAGGCACTTCTCCTTATTGACATCGAGGTGCTGGGGCTTTCGAAGGTCGCTATCCTGGACGACGCCAAAGGCTTGTAGAAGACCGTCGTCGGGGTAAACGTAGTTCTTGCGATCGTCGGGCTGAGGGAACATGATGTTTCCATAGTCAGCAACTGAGAAGTTACCACCTGCAAAGGAAAGAAAAATAATTGTCAGCGAAACTGAAGAAGCGAAGCCGATAGATAAGACGTACCAACAAAAACCTTGTTACCTTGAAAGGCGTCCAAATCGATCTTGCTCTTGTCCAGCTCGATAAGAGCCCAGTCCTTGGTATATCCGTGGGGCTCGACCGAGACCTCGATCTTCTCCGAGTGGAGGACGTGGCCAATGGTGCGCTGCTCAATCGTGGTGAGGTTTTTGGTGACCTCATCGTGCAGCTTGTTCGCCTCCTCGATCTCTTTCTCAGCCTTCTCAACCAAATGCAAGAACTCATTACGCCTCTCGGTAACCTTAGGATTTCTCCCCTCGACAGCCTCCCCCAGCCTTTGAATTGAACGGTGCCAGGAATCGATGGAATGAAGGCGGTTGCCGATAGCGGCCATGATGGATTCGACAGCATTATTGTAGGCCATAGTGCCGAGGGCGACGATCCCCTCACGATGACGACTACCCGTCAAGCCTGTGTTGGGGTAGACGGGGAGTGGACGTGCGACGTGGGCGCAGGTTAAGACAGCGATACCGTTATCGTTTCCAGGGAGACGATAGTAGAGAGAGGCTGTTCCCTCGTAGAAGGGATACTTGCTGGGAGCAATGGCGAGACCGAGAATAGGGGTGAACGGCTTTCGCAGTTCGGGGATGTCCTCGAGGAGAGGATTAAAGGGGAGCAGCTTGGGACCTGCTGAGCGAGTTACCAACGACTCGACGAAGGCCACCACGGGAGGCTCGAAGCTGGCCTCGGTGAAAATCTTCTCGACGATGGTTGTAGCGGCATTGAATGGCGTCTTCATAGAGGAGGGAGTGGGGGACCACACAGACACGTAAGACAAAAGAACAGAGTAGCTCTGACTCTCCTGCGTTGGCGTAAGCGCGAGGGCCAATGAATGTCCACTTGACGGCCATGGAGTCGAGCGTTTGGCTGATTTTGGTACCGATATCTAGCCAGACGGGCTGGATGGGGTGATAGTAGATTGGACGCGCCTCGCGGACGATTCCCTGGGCTTGGGGTCCCTTGTTGACAGGCCAGCTGGGGCCAGACTTGAAAACACAAGGAGTGCCGCAGCTATAAAAGTCGCTGAACGCATTGGGGTACTTGTCTGTGAGGCGGGTCGTCTTGGAGGCGTCGGGATCGCCTGAAAGAGAGGATTTGCCGGGGAACAAAGTAGTTGCAGCGACGAGGGTTTCCGTCAGGGGGAGAGACGGGTTCGCAACCGGCTTAGCGTAATCTCTGCAGGTATCAAGGAACCTTGTATCGAGGTTAAGACGCGCGAAGGTAGTCACTATCGACGAGTAGGAGACAAAAAAAAGCAAGGAGTCAGCACACGACGACACAAGCAAGAAAGTATAAAGCGACGTCCTTGAAAAAGACAAGGAACGAGTAATAATTCCGAAGGAGCAGGCAGACGCGAAGTTGACGCGAAGTCAACGTGTGGGAGCAACTCTCTCCTGAGTCGCAACGAGTATTCCGGGATACTTACTTCAAGCTTTTCGGACAGATTTCCATCGTCAGAGACGGCGTCAAGCATCTGCTTCAGCACTCACCTCGTTCAAAGAAGGATGCAGAGGAGGCTTCTGTTGAAGTCGAGGAAGAGGGTTCTTAAACGGCTATGTTCGCGATTGTTAACATAGGGATAAACCCGGGTCCTGCCTGTGGCGGTGAGACATGATGCCGCCACACCGTCCCGGCAGGCCGCAGGTCGAGGATCGCCGTGGCACTTATTTGTGGCACCGAAGAAACTTACTAACGAATTGATAGATGTAGTTGTCTCGCTGCTGAACGTATCGCAGAATATGGACACTTAGATAGATAGACATTCAATATACACGGTACGGAGTGTGTGGGATATACACGAAGTGTTATGCATGATACAGAGGATTGCGAATATAAATAAGTAGGAAACTTCGATAATGAATTGAGTGGTAATCATCAGCGAGAATCCAATGTCCCCTATAAGTATCACCAAGAAACCCAGATATTGCCGCAGGACGGTCATCCACTGGCACGCCGGCACCATCACCAAACTCAATGTTTCTTCCTATGCAAAATCCCCCTCCGCCTGTCATCCCCTCCCCCATCATGATTCTTGTCCTCCTCACCACCAAAGAACGTCGTCTGCGAGCTCGTCTTTGAATGTGTGCGGTTCAGGGGTTTCGCGCCTTCACCGGCACCGGGCGCGTTCTGGGCGGTGCCACCGTAAGTAGCGGCGTCCATGACTTTCATCATGCCCCTGTAGATGGAGATGGAGGTGTTGATGGTTCGGGAGTCGGTAAATCAGGTGATGGATGAGGGAGATCAGTTTCGGATGAGGTGTTTCCGGGTGTAGATGATGCGAAAGGGATGGGACGATGGGGCGTTTAGTAGCGGGCATAACGGGGCGAGTAGAGATATTGGGGAGAAGAGAGGGGGACATTCGGGGGCATGAATAGTCAGAAGACGGAACTTTGTGAGATTAAGAAGACGGAGTGCGAACCGTTGTGTAGCATCGATATAATCACTCCTTTCAAGCCTCTTATTCGTCTTCACACTGACACCCTCCCCAGAGATGTTCCAGCCCTTTTCTTTCAAACTGCAAGCACAACGTCAGCAAAATTGTGCTTTGACACAATATTGAAAGATGGATGTGTGGCGTAGGAGTGTAGGCATGTCAGATGGGAAAGGAGCGAACAAGAAACGCACGATGTCTTAGTCTGGTTTGTGAATTCAGAGATGCGTCGGGCACCGACGACGGCAGCGAAAGCTACTCCAGCCAACAGGCCAAAAGTCTACGAAAAGCCAAAACAACATCAGCTCAAAGTATTCCTACGGCGAACAATGTAATGAATAGTACGCACCAAGACGAGAGAAAGTAGATCACCCCTGTAAGATCGACGAAGCGCCCGCCAGCAGTACCACAATCGATGTAAGCGTACCAAGTCCCATAGAACCACACAAAACGACGATGCTTACCAGCTTCCCATATTTCACGATCCTGGCCTGATCTTATTCCACGGAGAGTATTGTTTGGTTGAGTGAAGTGTGGCGGGATCCTGGATGTGATTGAGTTGGTGGAATGTCCAAGCAGCTTTATGGGAAAAAGGGCTTCTGTTCTCGGGCACGACTGTGTCTGACTGAGCTGTGCAATGCAATATCTTTCGGCCTAATATTCGATGCGATGCGGAGACTCGTAGACAGCTATCAAACGCGATGACTCCGCGCTGAGTCTTGTGTTTTTGTTCGTGTCGTCACCGGCAGGGTTGGAAATTTCCCCGCACTAGAGCTGTCGGTGCTTATTGTACCGCAAAATTCCCCAGAAAATCCGATTGAGCAAAGTGCGAGCCAATAGAAGTTAGAGATCCTGGTCCTGCAGTCGAATACGCAGTATGCGCGTAGATGGTAAGGAGGACTGTCCTTGAAACCCTGTGTTCGATCCAATTATAGGTGTATTAGTGTACCTTGCGCGGCACTGCCGCCGGCTATGTGCTCCTCGGGCGTCAATTACGTCAGAGATCAACCGTGCCGACGGCTCATGATCAGAAAATGAATCTTCAGGGCGCCATTTGTTCGGTTCTGATGATTTACGCTGGGGGGCGCACGGGGCGCCACATTGACAGCCGCACCAAAATCATACATAGACGGGGCAGCAATTGGACTGTTCTAGGGCATGTCGACAGGGGAAAAAATTCGTAGCTTATTTTGCTCAAAGTCGAGCCTGACGGCATGATGCAGCAATGAAGTCCAAAAGAGTGTGTTATTTACGATTTCTACAAACCAGCAACTTGTGCTCAAACACGCCACCAACTAGCCACCCAAGTACCTAGTACCCAGTACCCAGTATCAGATAGATAAATAGATACAGTAAGAAAAGTAGAGTACTGATGTGACTAGACTATCCATACCGCGACTACTTATGCAAATCGAGAATCGAGCCAGCGTACGATGAGGTGGTATGGTGTGAAGGTGGAAATGTCCGCGATCGATCAGTGTGGTGGTGAGTATAATGCGTCGCCATGATTCGGAGGAAGATCAGAGTGCGGGTATCGGAACAGACACACATGATTGAGTGGTGAAAACGGGGTGGAGGAAGGTGAAGGCGGAAGACACATAGTAAAGTAAGGTGAGTATATTTCACGAAGATGGAAGGAAAGAAAGCAAAAAGACTAAGATTGCGAAGAAAGAAGACAGGCGCAAAAACAGACAACAGACACGACAACGACAAAAAAGGGTTACGTGGCATGAGAAGGCAAAGCGCCGAGTGGAGTTCAAGAACACAATTACTTATGCTAGGGAGGTCATGAGCGATATTGTTGAGTAAACAGTCCATCGAAAGCGACGAGCGACATGAGGCAGAGCAGGACATGTAGAGGCAAGTTCAGACTCAGAGCACGAGCCCGACCAACATTGCCGTCCCGGCCAGCAGTGTCCAGCTGACGATCGACGATTCCGAGAGGGCAGCGTGCATCCCGACCGCAGGGGAGGATTCTGATGATGAGTTGGACGAGGAAGAAGAGGTGTTCGAGCTGTTCGTGCTGATTGTACCGCTGATGTCTGTGGATTACGAAGCCAGTGGCCGTCAGTAATCATGAGTCTTAGGAGGAGCGAGTAATAATAATAGTGAGAGCAAGAGAAAAAATGGACATACATTCTTCGAACGTGGGCAGCGAGTAGTTCGTCTCCTGGTAGGGCTGTGTCTTATTCAACGCAACACCGACGGGCACGATGTAGTTGAACGTCGATTTGAGGTCCGAGTAGAAGTCCATCGCCGTCTGCATCGTGTAGTTGTTCAACTCGTGCGTCAACATGATCCCGCCCTCCTATTTGCCAAAACCATCCGTTTGCACGATCAGCATATTTCCCCGATGCCTCACACAATCGGGGTAAGTAACGGAACGTACGGTGTCAAATGTGCCACTGGTAGCATTGCTGATGAAGTAGTTGTAGTCATCATCGACGGTCTGCGCTGTGACGTTGCCTACACCATTCTTCCAGTCATTCGAGTCGTACTTCCAGATGATAGTCTGGAGACCGAGCGCGTGCGCGATAGAGCGGATACGGTCCTACATAATTTACGTTCAACGAGTCAGCTGATTCGAGCGTATTATGACCGACTATGGAATGAACGAGACGTACGTCGACATCACCGAATGGAGGTCTCCAGCAAGTGGGCGTGACACCCGTGACGGCCTTGATGGCTTGCATCTGATGTTGGAGCAGTTCGGTTCAGAAATCAGTAACGTACACAGGAACAAGGATCCAACAAAATGAAACGACGAACCGTGTACCAGAGCTCCGCGAACGCATCTTCCGAGGGGAACGCAGTCATGTACCTGTGTGACCATGTGTCTACGTATCACAGCGCCCGCGGTGAGACGTGGACGACGACAACAACGAAAGGAGAGATCAGAAAATTTATCAATGTCAATCAAAGGATCATACATTCCACGGCAGAACGGAAAAACAGGGTGGCGCGCTGGCAGTCCGCGGTGACGAAAAAACATTCGGTTGCGACCAACGAGTGAGTCAAAAATAGCACAACGAAGCCTCGCTAGTTTCATGCGCAAAAATAGCAAGGTTCGAGTTTAGGCTACCGCGCCGTCATGGGTCGGAGTTCATGACTACCGGCAGTTGTGCGCTGTTCGTGAATAGCTCGAGTGAGGTGTGCCCTGCCCGTGAGGCTCGACTCAGACTCGACTTGTCTCGTGAACGTTTGCAGCGTCCGGATCCAACGCGTTATCCTGCCTATCGCTGGCCAATACGCGACACGCGACCCTCTGCCCTGCACCGAATGAAATTTACCAGCAGATGCCGAGTGAAACAATACTCACGAACGCAGATTTCATGACCATCAGTGAGAGCCCTCTGAGCCTCAAGCGGCCAGTCGAGCACGTTGCTACCGATGAAGAACATTGTCGCTTTCTGGTTGTTCTCTTCCAAGAAGTCGTAGAAGGCATTGTGCGAGCAGTTCGGGCCATCGTCGAAGCCGTAGCCCATGCTCATGGGTTCTGGGATGGAGGCAACATCAGCAGGAAGACCTGCGAGTTTCGGAGTCGTGCATTGATGGTTTGTCCACCCTGTGCAACGGATTGCATGGCAGGTTAGCGATGTTCGGTTTAACGGGTGGGTATAGGGGAAGAACGTACAGCAGTCTGGGTCAGTGGCATAGTCGTAAGTAAAGCCAGTAAAGTTGCCGGTGAGTGCAGTAGTCTCATTAAGGCCCTTGGCTGTAATATTCGTCGGAATGCTGGACGATATCTCGTTCCACTTGTCCTGAGCTGTGGTATCGTTGGCAAGAATGCTGGCGGGCTCCCAGATGGTCGGGAAGTTCCCCTTGACTGCTGCCACAGGGGCATAATAGTATGCCGTGCATTCTTCCGTTGCGTCTGTTCGTTCGTTGATGGTCAAATAATCAAGAAATCAATTAGAGTACCGAAGAAGAAACATACCTGTGATGGCTGCCTCGCCAGCCTCTGTCGTGCGATCATCCGCAGCAGCAGAGCTCGCGAGTGCGGCGAGAACAAAAAGAGAAGATGAAGGAGCGAACAACATAGCTAGTTGTCAGAGTTCGAGCAAGAGAAACCTAGCCCGATGAAAGGTATAGCAAGTCGCACACAAGAGGGCGCGCGACTGGAAGGGGCAGCGGGAGGAGGAGGGTGTGGCGGTGGGGAAGAAAGGAAGAGGGAGAGCGATGGGCCGCGTTGGACGGGGGCAGACTGGTTTTGTAAAGCGCATGGAGCCTGCGTTGGATCTATGTTTAGCAAAGCGTTCTTGAAGTGCCTATCCACCCGATCAGCATCGCTAACTCGCGTTTTAGGGTCCTCCAGTACACAGTCCCTCTCTCCTGCCTCTCCTCCCCGCAGCAATAATTCCACCTCCTATTGCTTACCGCCATCTTCAAGCACCGCAGCAGCAATCCATATCTGACCATCTCAGCTCAGAGCAGAGACCAAGTGATATTGCCAGCGCTTCAGACATCTGCATGATAGGGCAGAAGTGTGACAAAGGGATGGAACCATAGCAAACCGCTGAGAATAGATGCGCTATGAATAGATCAACGGCAGGAGCAGTGGCTCGCTCGGAAGTAGACTCCGCTCCGGGGACCGGCGGCATGTCGGCTGTCAGCCTGTCATTTTTCGCCATCATTTTACGATCCCGATCCTTCCTGTACGTTTTGCCGTATTTCTTTCTAAACGCCACCTGACAGCGAAGGGCCACAACCAAACATCAAAAGCTTTCAAGCCTGACCTAGCACAGCTCTGTTCACCACTAACTAATACTTTGTCCTCGGGCTTCAGTCTACGTTTGGTCTCCTCTGGTTCTACGGGCGGCCAGCCACTCGCGTCATTTCCCGCTAGCTTCTCTTTCGTAGTTGAACCTCTCAGCGCCACTGCTGGCACTCCTAAGCGAGTTTCATCTAATTCTACTTACTCTCATATGTGCTTTCTGGTACATGCATTAGCCCCGTATGGCTGAAAACAATCTCTTCCGGGGCTTCTGGCTCACTCTGGGGTGTGTGGGCCGCTTCAACTTCACATCGCTCGTCACCAGCCTGTATCGTCTTTGGTCGTCTGAGGATACCAAGTATCCCTTTGTTCATTCATCGATCTTTTCACTCGACAGAAGACCAGTATCTTTCTTCCACTTGGAGATAAACAGGCCCCACGTCCTAACGGCGGTCCTTTGTTGCACATACCCCACCGCTCCAACCATCAAACTTCCTGATCACAAGCAAGGTGGGACTAGTAAGTACGTCTGAATCGTCGGCGTATGCTTGGTACTCGTCTGCTATGTCTTGTGCTCAGAGTAAGGTGGAAGTCGTACGTTGGCTTCATCGGGTTTGCATCCCACCTCCGAGTCCTGTCCCAACGACTCTGTCTGTCGACGTCTCCCATGCAGCATGTTCTTAAGTACTATTTCCTGACCATTCACGACGTCGAATTCCACTCACCATTCACGTATATTCTCTTGGCAGTTAGCAGAGTCGTTGTATGCTTTATTATTACATTGAGGATCCCTTTGTAGTACCGGAGGGGAAAGCATGCATGTATTGGCGTACATGGTAGTAGCATGTACACCGCACAGTGAATTCGCGTCCTTTTCCCGTATGTGCACCGTAAAGTGTCTGTAACCCCGCCCAGTATGCTGCGTCATACACATTTCTCCATAAATATTTCTTGATTTTGTGGCCCCGCGAAAGACTGGAGGAGCCAGCGCCTAGGGCGGATCATGTGATGCCCCCGGCCAAGTTCTGCTCGATTTCAACCTCCGCCATTTCGGAAGCCCCTGTCAACTTCCCAAACGTACGCTTCTTCTCCGTAAGTTCCCAAGTTCTCCCCAAACTACTATACAATGTTTGCATCTTCTGCCATCGCATTGCTCTACTTACACGGCTGGATCAGGACATAACTCACGAAGGACAGACACCATGGCGGATGACGTCGTAGGATCTTGTTGTAGCGTCCTCTTCATTGCTTGTCTAGACGTCTGTAATGGTATCTGTGGCGATATCATAGCAACTCGTACGCTGCCCATCTCACTACTGACCTAATTAAATACCCCTGCTCACCCTTGCGATCTCCGCCCTCTGCTCTGCCGTACTACTCGTTACAGGCCAAAGCTGTCCACAACAATGTGCCTCCTGCTGCGACTCCCTATTCTGCTGCGGTCGTTCCGAGTCGAAAGAGCCAGACAACTCCAACTATGACGAGTCTTTCGAACCTAACGAAACTCAACCATTGCTCCAGAACGTGCAACCCGCCACACAGCCTGGGATGATGCATCCGCATCCTGGGATTCAAGTTGTCCCCGCTGCGGTGTTACCGAGTCCACCGCCCACACCGGATGGGAGAGGATTGGCGGTGGGGAACGCGGCGGTTGGTCAGGTTGAGACGATGAGATAGGTGGTTCTATGTTGCTGATTGCTCGGGTTCGTTGCCGTTATTTTTGTGCTTTGTACTGGTGAGCCGGTGTCCATTCTTGTTGGGATCGAAGTTCTTATGCTGACGCTTATCACCCCATAGGTCCATCGTTGTGTAATTTATTGTTTGTGTAGGATATGGCCTCTATACTTTCTGTCATATCGCAATACGTACGATAATATCTGGGTCTTTCTCTCGCAAGCTATCGGCTGTGTACACTCCGCCGACTTGGACGATTTCCGGGCGCCTATCATTGTCATTGTGGCGACGTCATTGCTTGTCAGATTTCTGTCGAGCTCACGGCTGCTCACGGTTGTTCGCGGAGACTAGACAAGTGATTCTCACTCCCGCCGGTTGAAGTCTGTCTACTCTGCTCAAAGGAGACTGGGGGTAATATACATGGCGATAGTCGAATTCATCAGATTATTTATCGATGAACGTTGAACAACGACCACAAAATCAAGCGTCACTGCTACAGTACAGTTCATGAAGCTCGTAGTCAAATTCTTCCAAGTTATTGATACAACTCGATGATCATGGATTCTTTGGGACTTCAAAATACATTATGTGTACACCACAAGATTACAACTTCCCACCCTCCGCTTCTGCCTCCTTTGCCTCCTTAATTGCCTCCAGCACCTTACTATGCAAACTCTTCTCCGCCGCGACGACACCAAAGTTCTCGCCCAGCGTCCTTCCGAGACCGAAGTCAAGCGGTTGACCTCTGGAGTCGCTGACAATACCGCCTGCCTCTTCGACGAGAAGCGCGCCAGCTGCGTGATCCTATGAGGTATTCAAGAGTAAGTACCTTGCAGAATACTACACATGTCGCCAACGGCACGGAGCCATACAAGGTGAACGATTGAAAGGAGAGCACGTACCCAAATCTTCTCCCTGTACCCAACTCCAGTCGGCATCCTCAAATACACACCGCCATCACCCCTCGCCAACGCCCCATACTTCGCCTGCGAATCCATCCTCATCGGCTCCTTCTCCACTCCCAACACCTTCGCAACAATATCGTTGAAACCCAACGCCGCATGCTCCTTCTCCACGCTCTCCAACAGCCTCACGTCTTTGATGTCCAAGATGGGCATCTTCAGAGGGGTGGGAGAACCGCCGGAGAGAGTAAGTTGATGAGCACCTTGGCCGAGGGTAGCGAGGAAGATGCAGCCGCGGTCGGTGGAGGAGGGGGACGAGGGAAGGTTGGGGCAGCCGATTATGCCGAGGTGGACGACGGAGTCGATGATGAGCGAGAGGCAGACGGCGTATTGCCCGCCGCGAAGAAAACCCTTCGTCCCATCTATTGGGTCAAGCGTCCACATCCCTGTACAAAAAATATGCCCCCATCAGCATCCTCCACAATTGCTAGGCATTCGTGTCAAAATGTGATAGATGGAAGAAACGTACGTCCGGTCCTACCACCCTCGTAGTTTCCCCTATCGATAGCCTCAAGCAATTGCTCCTCCGTTCTCTCCTCTCCAAGTCCCCACTCTTTCATCTCGCCATAGCCTAATGGTTGGCTGAGAACCTCATTCGCGAGCTCGACGACACGGGAGCGGAGCTCGGGGTTAGAGCGCAGGTCGTCAGCGTCTTCTTCGCCGATGACAGGGTCATTCGGGAAGGCTTGTTGCAGAACGGTGTTTACAACAGCTTGGGCAGAGAAGTCCCCGACTGTTCGCGATCGTGGTAATCCGCCGTTAATAAATGAATTAATTCCAAAGTCAAGCAGTGAAGGATGAAGACAGAGACGCACCTGTAACGGGTGATTTGTCACCCTTGACCAATGTCTCGCCTTTGACGAGGTTATTGAATACAAGTGAAGTGACTGTGCAAGCCCTCCGCACTGCGGCAAGAGCTACTTGCTGTTCCGTTGCAAGATCGAGCGACATTGCTTTAGCGCGTTATGTACACCTTACTGAAAAACAAGAAATATAACTGGTTTGGACGATTCAGGTGCAGGTAATCCGAAGTACAGTAACGATGTTTGTGTTAGCGTTTGGTGTGGACGATAGAGAGCTGGTTGGCATACAGACGCACGGATGCTTGGGTTTTTATTAGGGACATCGGAGGACGCGATGAATGATGTCGCCAGTTTGCGCGCCGAGAAGGCTGACGTCACGTGTAGGAAAAAGCAGGCACTCAGTAAGCAGTGCCGGGTACTTGGCGTCAATGAAACCAGGGTTTTGGATCCTCGCAGCTCACAATCAATTTAGCTCAGCGCTTGGGTCCACCATCTTCAACAAGGGATGCAGTATATTCGGCACATTCTACAGTACATAAGACACAACCACCCTCCTAGCCTGCTATGATATCTCTCCTCTAGTTCTTATTTCGCAAGTACTCTGCGTAAAAACAACACAGTAACTAAGCCCGCGACACAAGGAGCGGGAGCGAGGGTTTTCCGTCCACCATGGCGTAGCAATGTTGGTCGACTTCCACTCGATGTTCTTCTTAGACGGCGAGTATCGGAAGTTCGTTATCAGCAGCGAGAGAACCACCTCTGTCGGAATCAAACCAAATCAGAGAAGCGAAGATCATTCAGAAGGTGGGAGGATACGCACTCATCTCCAATTCCGAGAATTTGAACCCGCTGATAGTGTATTAGATCGACGGGATCACTCGCTGAGAAGAAAATCAAACTCACATGCACGCGCGTCCGCCCCCAAGGAACGTCAACCTAAACCAGATGTACAATTTTTATGAGCACGATACCCACGAATACGAACGGTCAATGCACACGCACGTGTTTGCGTAGACCCCAGGAATTCCAGCGTTCGCAATGCTCTCGGGCAGAGGCGAAAGCCACCTCTCAGGGTTCCACTCGCCTGCATCAGCACCCCAGAGCTCCGGAGAGATATTCACGGCCTTGACAGCTATGAAGATACCTGTGTTAGCAGGGATGAAGAGCTCTGAAAGCGTGTTTCCATTGACGGAGAGTGGGGTTCCTAAGGGAAGGATGGTGTCCTTTCGGGCCCTATTGTATATCAGTTTGATGGTGAACTGGTGGAGAGTGTCTGCGAAGGACTTACGTTCGCAGAAGTTGAGTAAGGGGAGGATACCTGTGAGAAGAACATGTTAGGAAGATTCAGAAAAACAAGATAATGCAGAGGATTCTCTTACATGCGGAGAGTCTCGCGACAAACTGCTTCAAGGAATGGCAGACCCATAAGAGCATCATAGTCGAAGTCACCCCCGGCTTCCTTTCGAGCATTGACCAATTCTTCGCGAAGACGGTCTTGGACCGGTTGGTTCATCGACAGAAGATGGAGTATACGGGACAAAGCAGTGGACGTTGTGTCCATTGCCGCAAAGGTCAGCGTTCTACAACGAATTTGTCAGGTGTCTGAGCCATTTGATGCGAAAACAGGACAATTGTGTGGTTGAGAGACGCACGACATCTGGCCCAGGAGCTCTATATCTGGCAAACGATCTTTCTCTGCGGCTTCCATATTTGCTTTCACTATTCACAAAGAAGCCAAACATTGTTAATCTTCTCGTATAGTGCAAAACGTCACAAAGGACACTTACTAAGGACGCTCATGATGTCTCGACCTTCTCCAACCTGAAGCGCAACTGCATCGTCACCCCTTTCCAAGGCCGCCTTCTTGGAGTAGAAAATCGTCTTCGACGTCTCCTCCATGATATCCGTCAAGTACACGACCCGGTTGAGGTCAGGCCAGGGAAGATTCGTCCCGATCCACCGACGTAGAGCCGGGGTACCGAGATCAGCTACCCAAGGGAAGACTTGACGCCACAGATTCAACTTCGTGAGGGTAGGCCTAAGGGCGCCAATGAAAATAAGATAAGATCACTAAGATGGCGCAGTTCAAGGAATGAACGAATGGTCTTACACTAAAGTCTTCAAAGCAGTGCTATAACGACTCTCGGAGTGTTCGTCGAGGCTGTTAAACGAGTGGCCCAGGCCTCCCTGACCAATGAGTTCCAGCGCAACGCGAGTATTCCAATCCAGGGCGTCAATCTCCGCTGACCCATCCGATTGATCGATCTTCTTGTTCAATATATCGGTGAACTGCATATGGTAAGTATAAAGTATAAAGTGAGTTCCAGTGCATAATGGGTTGGTTAGTTCCGGGAATGCTCGCCTGATGTGAGATCCTGAAGAATATAGGGATCATGTATCGCATGTGCTTAATCGAGAAGACAGGGTTAAGGAGCTTCCTCTGACGGCGATGATGCTCTCCGAGAGTGCTGAGTAGGCCCATACCAAACGTCGACTTGTTTGTCCTACACAGATACACCACGGTCAGTGTCGGCATCTCACTGATAGGCACTGTGTCCAGATCACGCACTTGATGAACATATCTGTCTCCTCAAAGACATATTGCTCCTTGGTAAGAATATGATACAGAGCTCTGGGGTCCTTGATATACAAGTGTGTGTCCTGAGATACCTAACGTTAACTAGAATTCCGAAGGCAGCAGGTTGTGGCTCAAGTGCGATAAACCCGTGAGCTTACCCCGAGGAAACCCCAGATGCGGACGACATTCCCATATGACTTCGCGAGACGTGCATGAAAGTCCCACGCGTTTAAACCGAGAATGGTCTTCAGATTACCTACCATAAAGATGGTCAGTATATACCCTAGTGATCTCTAGTACGAGAAGTATTAAACGTTGAAGACGCACCGGTTATCAGTGAGTCTGGTTGAGGGCCAGGGATCTCATGAAGTGAAGCCTGTCTGATGTATTGTCTGGCGGATAGGAAAACAACGAAGAGGACAAGCAACACAGGAAGTGAAGCTAGGCACAGAATGGCGTTAAGAAGGATAGACATGGACCGTCTGTGTAGTGTTTAAGACTCAGCTGTGCGCTGTTAGTTCGATGTAAGATGTGGGTGAGAGAGGGTAGCTGCTACTGCTTCGGTGTGCGGACGTCATCCTTATAAACGCGAGGGCTGCAAGTCGATGAGAACAACAGTTCCCAAGGAGGCTCCCAACGGTGAGTCAGGCGGCGGGGAGCCATCGGATTCCTTGAAACGGCGACGTCTCAAAATCGTGCTTGCTTGCTTCTTCGTGGTATGTTTGAGAGAAGCTTCACAAGGTACCACCGATTCCGAACGTTACTTTGCACCATGACTGTGCTCGTTGAGAAGTTCGGAGATCAACTCCGAGGCAGATCGTCACGAAGGTAGTCACTGTCAAGGCAGCTGACGAAAAATACAGCCGAATCGCGGAAAATATCATGTTTACCTCTGTAGATACCAAGAAAGGTTCGACCTGGACATGCATCGAGCCGAGTATTCCCATGGTATAAGCTTATACAATGAGTTATGACGACACATAGCGCCCATTTTAACCGGAGAATCGGGCAGCGGCCAAAGCAATAGCCATAAAGCGAGTGCGCCAACATCGAGCGTGTAAGGTCGGCGTAAGTTAAGTCCAGCAACTTGACCATAGTGTTCGAAGGATCCTAGTGGCGCCCGATGCACAACTATATTTCTCAATTGTTGTCCATATGCAAGTAAGGGCCTGGAAAGAGTGTTGGTTCTCGCATAAGACAAGCTGACCTCTACATTGCTCGAAAGTAGTTCGGGCTACTGGGGATGCAATGGTCGTGGATCTCAGGGCAGGCCGAAGGAACAACTTTCCGGCGAAAAGCTCTAAAAGGGGTATATGATGAAAGGGAAGAACAAAGAAGGTCATCTAAGCACTCGCGCAGACGAAGTTCGACAGAGCTTACTTAATCGCCTCTGACACTTGTCTTGAAAGCCAAGCCGACTGGATGGGAACAGAACCAAGAAAGTAATGGCGAGTGACCATATCCCGCGTGCAGACTGAGATCACATCGTAGGACCCATGGCTAAACTTGTTGAAAGCTGTTGAAGGCACCGTGCCAGTGAGAGCATATGCTGACAAGAAACAAGACGCAGTTCTCGAGTCAGAGGAGGCTCCTTACTACAAGTTGAATCCGCCCAGTGCAAAGGTGAAGCAAGGTTTATTAGATGTCTACGTGAGCCCACCCATATGGAGGCAAAGTAAACCCAGCGATAACTTTCGGCTGGAGAGATCAAGTTCAGAGGCGATGACAATTCGCTAGAGCAGACCAGTTGGAGGTAGGTCAAAGTAGGTTGACCGTTGGACTTTGGGCTGGTGGCGTTGCTGTGGCGTTGAGCGCGTTACGTCACATCACGGTCACGAAATGACACGTCTTCGCCAACTGGAGGGGTTGTAAGTACGCCATACCCTCCCCGCTCACCTTGTATAATTTACCTTCTGTTACTGATCCACCATGGTATGTTGGACATAGTCACCAAGCGAGCGGAGGACCTGACCAAGCCCCTTTTCAGGCGCCTGCGGACCCAGTACCCATTGAAACCGCTCACGAGGACATGATTGTGAGTGAGCATACGCTAAAGCTTGACGGAATAGCAACTTACCGTGTTAGACATAACAGCACGATGCCCAGCTGGACTATTATGGCAAACGTTTAGCAACATGCTCTTCTGACCGTACCGTCAAGGTGTTCGATATTGTGGACGGCGAACCAGCGCGCACCAATGGTCAAACATTGAAGGGGTACGTCTGCCTCCGTTCGGCATGTGTATTAGGATGCTGAACCGTATCCTTCGTGTTCATTTATTGTAGACATACTGGTCCTGTGTGGCAAGTTGCATGGGCGCACCCGAAATACGGGCATATTCTCGCGTCATGCTCTTATGATGGGAAGGTAATCATCTGGAAGGAACAACAACCCGCTGGGAGTGGATGGGCAAAGATCAAGGAGCACTCGCTGCATGCTGCGTCAGGTGCGTATATTGTTCTCCTGGAATCATAATAGACTCTGATGTTTTCGCTTAGTCAACTCAGTGTCTTGGGCTCCTCACGAACTCGGCGCTATGCTTGCATGCGCCTCGTCGGACGGCAAGATTTCCGTCCTCACGTTCAAAAGTGCGTCATCGTTGCTCTCATATCATGAGTTACGTGCTGATGAACGCTCCCAGATGATGGACAATGGGGTGCCGACATCTTCGAAGCCCATGCCATCGGTTGCAATGCCGTCTCATGGGCGCCCGCCACTCGCCCAGGCGCGCTCATCACCCCTACCCCCGGGGCCCTGCCAGGTGCCCCAAACCAAGCCCCAGCCCCCACAAAACGCTTCGCCAGTGCTGGGTGCGACAATGTCGTGAAGATTTGGGGTTTCAGCGAGGAGTCACAGACATGGGTGGAGGAGGATGTGTTGGACGGCCACACTGACTGGGTCAGGGATGTCGCTTGGGCCCCGAATATTGGATTGCCGAGGAGTTACATTGCTACTGCTTCCCAGGTGCGTTTGGCGCGTTTCAAAGTTTGTTCCACAGAGAGATGCTTACCCAGGTGTGCAGGACAAGACCGTGCTCATTTGGACCAAAGATTCGGCCCAGGCTCCTTGGGTCAAGACTGTCCTCGATCCTACCACTATTTCTCCCTCAGCAGCTACAACAAATGGCGCCGGCAAGTTCCCCGACGTTGTGTGGCGTGTTTCTTGGAGCCTTGCAGGCAACATCTTGGCGGTTAGCTGTGGCGACGGCAAGGTCACGCTCTGGAAGGAGAACTTGAAGGGTGGTTGGGAGTGCGTGAGCGATGTGACGAGTTAAGCTATCTAATGAGCTATTGCATGCTTTTTGTGTAGAACTACGGACAGATATTGGACAATTCGGGGAGTTCGTTTCGCTGAGTCTTCGAGTTCGAGTTGTAGAGTCACGCTATGACCGCGTGACGTAACGCGTTGTCACCTTAGTCACACCTCGTAAAATATCGTCGCGGTGGAAAGTTATAGCGCCGACGATGCTCTCTTCGTCTCGCCAACTGCCTGTCTCGCTAGCGAGCAGGCTTGTCTCTCTGTCACGGACGAACACATGGCCATGGTCTGCTTGCCTGTACCAACGACGCCACGCATCGGCGGCGACGGCCACGAAGGCGAAGTCCGATGAGGAAGTGACAGCGGAGGAGAAGGCACAGGAGAAGGCGAAGGAGGCTGCGAATATCACGGCGAACCTGCGGAAGACATACCAGCTCACCCACGCCGACAAGGCACGACTGACGTATCAGAGGAATATTGGTATCTCGGCACACATCGACTCTGGCAAGACCACCCTCACGGAACGTATCCTATACTACACCGGACGTATTCGGGATATTCATGAAGTGCGCTCTTTCGAGTTTCTACATTCTATGTACGGATTTTGAGGTTGGAAATAGGTTCGAGGACGTGATAATGTCGGTGCGAAGATGGACAGTATGGAACTCGAGCGAGAGAAGGGTATCACCATTCAGAGTGCGGCAACGTTCTGCGACTGGGAAGCTCAGTCTCCAATGACTGGCAAAAAGGAAAAGTTTGCTATCAATATCATTGACACGCCTGGTGAGTCCTCATAACCTTCGAGTGTGTCGTTGGTACTCATGAAACTGTAGGTCACGTTGACTTTACTATTGAGGTCGAGCGTGCTCTTCGAGTACTTGATGGTGCCGTCTTGGTTTTATGTGCTGTTTCTGGAGTCCAGGTCAGCTATAATCATCGTTGATCCTTTCTTTTGACTTTCGTGGTACTGACCAATTCTACAGAGTCAAACGATTACTGTCGACCGCCAAATGCGACGATACAATGTTCCTCGGATATCCTTCATCAACAAAATGGACAGGTGCCATATCCTCCGACTATCCTTTTGCTCAGGATCTAACTGACAGACCTTTACAGACCGGGTGCTAACCCATGGCGAGTAATCAACCAGATTCGGACAAAGCTTCGCATCCCAGCAGCTGCCGTCCAAGTTCCCATCGGAATGGAGGACAACCTCCATGGTATGGTCGATCTCGTTCGCTGGAAGGCTGTTTACAACCAGGGTGTAAAGGGGTATGTTTGCAATCACTCAATTCTGAATGCCAAAATCTTACCTTGCTGCCAGTGTTGACGTTGTCGAGTCTGACGAGATTCCTGCTGAGGTCCTCGAGCTCGCTAAGCAGAAACGCACGGAACTCCTCGAACAGCTCGCAGAAGTAGATGACGAAATCGGTGAACTCTTCCTCATGGACGAGGAGGTTTCTCAGGTCCAATTGGCTGAGGCCATCCGTCGCGCCACCGTCTCACTCAAGTTCTCTCCTGTCTTCCTCGGTTCCGCCATCAAGAACACTGCTGTTCAGCCTATGCTGGACGGCGTGTGTGCGTATCTCGCCAATCCCGCTGAGGCTAAGGTTGTCGCTCAAGAGACGTCTTTGGGAGCGGATGCGCCACCCGTCGAACTGGTTCCCGCTGCTGCCGCTCCTCTTGTGGCCCTCGCCTTCAAGTTGGAAGAAGGTCGTTTTGGACAGCTCACTTATATTCGAGTGTATCAGGGCAGCATCAAGAAGGGACAATTCATTTACCACGGTCGCACTGGCAAAAAGATCAAGCTCGCTCGTCTCGTCCGTATGCATAGTAATGAGATGGAGGTGTGTACTGCGCCATTTTAGTGGTCTTAGTATCATTTGACACTAAAATTGATATTGTAGGAAGTCGAACAAATTGGCCCTGGTGAAATCTGCGCCATCTTCGGTGTTGAATGTGCTTCCGGTGATACCTTCACGGATGGTACTTCCAACTTCTCCATGGTAAGGCAGCCATTTTACTGCAGCAATCTAAACCGTTCCTCATTGTTAGCGCAGAGTTCCATGTTTGTCCCCGAGCCTGTCATTTCACTCGCCCTCAAGCCTGTTGGTCAAGAGACACCCAACTTCTCGCGGGCGCTCAATCGATTCCAAAAAGAAGATCCAACCTTCAGGGTCCACATCGACCAGGAAAGCAGAGAGGTACGACCACCCCGCCAATTTCTAATGTTCCATTCTTCCGCTTACTGAATTGTTTTTCCAGACTATCATCTCCGGAATGGGTGAATTGCACCTCGAGATCTACGTCGAGCGCATGAAGCGCGAATATAATGTTGCATGCACAACCGGTCGGCCACGCGTTGCCTTTAGGGAGACGATCACCCAACGCTCCGACTTCTACTACACACACAAGAAACAAACTGGCGGTGCCGGTCAATATGCCCGTGTCATTGGCCACATCGAGCCGATAGAGTTCAAGCCCGAAGGCGGAAAAGACGTCGAATTCGAGAACGTTGTCATGGGTGGCAACATCCCTTCGAATTACATCCCTGCCGTCGAGAAGGTTAGTTCTTTAAACACTCATTTAGATTACATGCCCTACGCAGTGCTGATGAGCCTTATTTAGGGCTTCTACGACGCATTGGAGAAGGGTACGCTCAGTGGCAACCAAATCTGCGGTGTTCGTTTCATCCTCAAGGATGGTGCCTTCCACGTCGTCGATTCGTCCGAGTTGGCCTTCCGTCTTTGTGCGATCGCTGCGTTCCGAGAGGCGTACAAGGGTGCCAAACCAATCATCCTTGAGCCGATCATGACCGTCGAGGTCGTTGCGCCTGCCGAATTCCAGAGTACGTTCTCTCTCGTCACTAGAGTCACAGTTTCTGCTTGGTTTTGACATCGTTCGCCTTGCATAGGCACCGTTATTGGTGGTCTGAACCAGCGTCGTGGGACCATCATCGATAGTGAAGTCCGTGATGACGAGTTTACCGTCATTGCTGAAGTTGCCTTGAACGACATGTTCGGGTACTCTAACCAGCTTCGTGGTTCTACGCAAGGAAAAGGAGAGTTCAGCATGGAGTATAAGGTGATTACACTTCTCTCAACTCGCAGCTCGTCCATCTTTGACAGATTGCTAACTCATCAAATGATAGACACACATGCCTGTTCTACCCAACGTCCAAAAAGAGCTCGAGGACGCGTACCGGAAGTCCCAGCCTCAGAAGAAGGCATAGACGTCTGCATTGCTAGACTTTTCGGCGGCGTTTCCTATCTAGATCTGGGTTGTGCATTTACTTCCATGTTCGCTCTGGATCTGTTGCCTGCACTCAACGGCATGCAGTGCTTTCCTCGCTCATCGTATCTATATCATTATTCATTTTACTCCGGAATTCTAATGCATGCATACACCCACACTCTTCGCAATCAAACTATCCACACGCTGACCTAACAAAACGCTAGACATGATTGAGCATACTCAGCGAGAGCGTGAGCATAAAGACAAAGGCATACCGAGGGTGAAATGCATATCTACGAGGTGACGTGTTTGCCATTGACGATCAATGACGAGACGAGCGGTTTCATGGACTCGACCCATTCACTGTCCAAATGGCAACGCACGGTCTCTACCGTCTCTACCGTCGTATCTTGTGTCCGCCGCATGACCAGATAGCGAGAGAGCGCCTTGCACGCTTGTCGAGAGCCCATGGCAGAACCAGGGAGAAAGGTGCCCGAGACGAGGACCAGATGACGTAGCATCGGTAGGGGCAGAGCGAATCCGGGAGCCATAATGTTCGCGGACGACATTTGCTGCGATAACCACTCGAAAAATGGACGGATCACCGTATCGTTCTGGATGACGAGGTGGTCGAGGGAAGTGAAAGATGGCATCATCGCGAACCCGGGCGAGGATAATGGAGTGCTGACGAACATGCTAGGAAAGCGGGACTCTATGGGGGTTTGAAGGTGAAGGAGGCGAACGTTTGCGAGTTGCAGACGAGGTATGAGCGTTGCGGCTACTTTATCCATACTGAGGGAAGCATTGCCGGGGACCTGGAAGGAGAGATGAAGGGGTGTTGTGTGATGCTCGCGGGTATTGATCAGCGGAGGTGCGGCTATGGGATGCAAGAGTTCGGCCCAGGCGGTGAGAGTCATCTGATTGTGACCGACGACGATACGCGCAGTACGTAGCGGATGTGCTGAACCTTCATTGAAAGCGGCGGTATCAGGGTGGAATAGACTGGGTATAACGAGGCCGGACTGAGATACAAGGGTAGCATCGGAGTCGATCGTGGTCTCCATGCAGAGATGCTCGAGGGCAGGTGTCTCAATATGGTCCCAGAACCATCGATTCTGTAGAGCGCCGCCGTGAAGGCATAATGCATGAAGATGCGGTAGTGCCACGACGGGATGTTCAAGGATTGGTGAAGGAACGCTGGAAGACAGTAGGAGTCGAAAGGATTCGAGGGACCTCAGACAATCCAGCGAAGCGAGAAGCTCGGAGTAAAAGTGTTTGTATTCGGTGGAGTATCCGAAGAATGAGAGCGTAAGATGTCGAAGGGTCGGGGAGAAAAGCGGCGATCGAAAAGGGATCTTGACATTGTTCGCGGTGACGCTACGGAGACGTGGCATATTTCCATGAAATATACTAGAGTCTAAGATGAGAATATCTCCACCTAGACATTCAACAATGAAGGACTCTAAGGCGGGGGCGTGATTAAGCCCAAGGGTCTGAAGTGTCTGCCGATTTCTGTCCGAAGGGCCGATTATAGCTAGCTCCCGAAAGCGATGAACATGCCGGAAGAGAGCAGCGACGGAGTTTCTATAGGTTTGAGTATTGGTAGCGCTTCCCCAGTCCATTTCTACCGCAACTTCAAGGGGCGTGGAGCTAGACCTGGCCAGAAGATCCGCTGTGGCACTGGGAAAGAGGAGAAGGTCTTTCGACCATAGGGTCGCTTGGTATAGCGCCACATCTCGCCAGTATCTGCAGACCCAGGTTACTAATACATGTATCAGCATGACTAGACCGCAAGAGGAACGCTTCCGCGCCATAACATACCATTCAACAAGTCTCTCATTCCGAGGAACGAATAAATGTAGGCTACGATCTCGTTCGGAAGTCTATGCAAAAGTGAAAGATGGTTGAGCCTCGTTGGTTGGGGATTGTACGCGGCCAGTCCGGGACGGGAAGGAAGATCCAGGCTCCCGAGGCCTTCGTAGCGTACATCCTCGAGACTGCTGAAAGTCGAAGCAGATGCACATCCGAAATGCATGTTATCGAGGGGTGCCATGATTCGTATACGGGTCTGTACAGTGCACACTTTCTCATTTGAGGATGAGAAGTAGTCCTTGGAGGCCAACGTAGGCGACTAACGTTGGGACGTGAAGCAAGACTGTGTACCAGCTGGTCACAAGCGGATAGTATACTTTGGGTATAAGTATTGTTCCTCTGCTGAGCGGACCAGATATCAGAGTGAGAGGAGATATAGCAGCCTATACTTTGAAAGATAGACGGCAGCATGTCAATGTCATATAGCTCAAAGACTGAAAGACTACGAAACACTCGCCTCGAACGTTTATGGTGGGAGTTGTAAGGATCGCGCTCGTCGCCAGCTCATCGGCTCGTTGTGTCCAAGCGAATCGGTCTCTGCCGTGACACGCGGAATAGTAGACCCGGAAGTATCCAAGTTTCCTCTCCTGGTTCTTGCCACTTCCCTCGTAAGGTTTGCCACACAACCGAACTGGTGAGCAGCTCTCCCTGGCGACCCACACTCGCACACTAAGCTCGAGACAATCTATACTTATTGTCCTGCAAGTGTTGAAGACGCGCATACGGTTCGGAGCTGGTCCGTAATAGTCTGTTGACACTACTCTACGCAGAGCCTCGCTCGAACGACGAGTCGCCGCTTGGCACAGTGACTCGCGATCATATATTAAGCAGGTAAAGTGTTACAGTGTTGATTCTTGATCTTCATCATCTTGCTTGAACTAGTCGTCAATGATGCGTATGTCTGATCGTTCTTGCTACCTCTTTTATATCAGGCGTTTCCGTGCGGCAAGCCGAATCCTCTTTTTGGCCAATCTATCATGGACGCAAACGGCAATATCATTATTCAAAACGACCTGACTCTCAATCTTCCTAATGAGCTTCTCGTCCACATATTTTCTTACTACCCGGCATCTGATGACCAGAAGATCATCAAGACGAAGTCACCGAAGGACCCTGTAGAACGTGACCGTCCTCCCTTTTGGTCCGCGATCACCCATGTCTGCAGACGGTGGCGCGATGTAGCAATCGGAACCCCGTGTCTTTGGTCGAATGTCGTTCTCACCAATGAATCCTGTGTCGAAGAGATGGTCAGACGGTCACGGGATCTCCCACTCACTATCAAACCAACGAAGACCTTTTACGAACCTAACTGGGGTCCTGTATCCCAGGCGCTTCGACATATTCATCGCACAGCTCACCTCGAGTTGATTATAATTGCCGATGAGATGCCGTTCATCGCACCCTTCCTGACGGAAAACCCTGCGCCCGTACTCGAATCGCTTTCTCTCAGCGTCCTCGGCTCTCGCCCACACCACACGGCCCCTTCGACTTGGTTCTGCGATCAAGTGGCACGCTTGTCCAAACTTACCGTTCGCATGCTCAAACTGCCACCGTCGGCGAACATTCTACACGCTGGGATCACCCATCTCTCCTTCCATTATCTCGACCATTTTACCGTTACGGAGTTCTTCGACACTCTCGAGCGGATGCAAAACCTCGAGAAGCTAGAGCTCGCCTATTCATGCCCACGAATACAACCTACCGACACTGATCTCACCCGCACAGTATCTCTCCCGAAAATTCGTTATATATCCTTTCTCGGGGTGATGAGCATATGTGCCCCGATTGTCACCCGCCTCTCTATCCCTCCCGACGCAAAAGTCATCATCGAGGTCGTGCAGTTAGCTCACGAAAACGATCCCGCCTTCTATGGGCCTGCTCTACGTGACATGGTCGCCCGTCTTTGCGGAAAGGAACGCCGTTGGGAATGTGCCACCGATTCCTCCAGGCTCACGAAGCTCGTCATCGATGAGTCGAGATTCAACGGCCTACGTTTTCGACAGTTCGAGGACGGCGGTTCGAAGTCCTATTCGGGCGGCCCAGCCTTCCCCTTCGACGACGAACCGGCCATGAAGTACGATTTCTCTGTTGCGTGGGTGAGCACCCCCACGTATCCCAAAAAGGCAGCCGCTCGCCTGCTCACGGAGATATGTGCCGAGCTACCTCTCGAACATGTCCGGACATTGGCTGTGTCGGGACGTTTCCATGTCTCTCAGAACAGATGGGAGCAGACTTTCGGCCACATGAAGAACGTGACCGAACTTTGTATCTCAGGTGATGTTGCGTACGGATTCATGGAGGCATTCGAGGCGCGGGACGTGGACCAAGTGGTGACCGAGGAGGTCGGGAGAGAGCCATTAGAAAAGAACCCAACTCCCACTGCGCTCCCAGTCTCGAAGGCAGTGTCGCGACCATACATCCCATCCATCTTTCCATCCGCTACTCGCATTAGATTCGAGACTGTCGAAGTCGACGCCGAATCTGAACAAGGCGGCTTCCCCACGTTTAACTCGTTAAGACGAGGTCTCCTCATGCGCGCAAAAGCTCGAGGCAGCTCCCATCCCGGCGGAGACCCGATTGTCGTGTCGTTTGATAGATGTCTCATCGCCTTTTATCAAGAGGAGAACTTGCGGACAATAGAAGGCGTGAGAATTGTTGTTGGCGAGGAGGCTGATAAGGACTGGCCGGATAAATCGGAATGGGCGGAGGGCTACCACTGGACGAGCCAGTTAACCACGGATTCGGAGTCTATGGACAGCGATTTGGAGGAGTGAGGGAGAGTATGATGACAGGGGCAAATTTGAAGGCCTTGTCTCTTGACAGGGTCAGGTTTGGTCGATTGATGTCAGTTATTCACAAACAAGGAAGATTTGGCACGAGAATGTAATGACTGGGTTGTCTGGGGACCTCTTAGCAACGGATTGATACCCTGTGTAAACAGCCTCGTGGAATGACGGTACAGTATGTATAATTTACAAAGTGAAGTCGTGAATGTCCGTAGTCGTAAATGTCGTGCTGTCGAGTCCTCACGGATCGCTCTGCCATGCCATCGAAGCTGGGCAAGTTCAAAGGTCATATCATCGTGACCTTGGCATACGGAGGCGGAAGGTCTGTGTAGACCGGATTTCGAGACCTATGCATGCTAGACGGTGGTGGCGGCGGCGGGTGTTCAGGGAGTGGTGGGCGAACAGGAACGAGAGGTATAGGTAATGGAGGAAGCGGTCGAATGGGTCGTGTGGGTCGCGCTGAAGGAGGTGGGGGTGGTAGAGGCGACATAACGAGGGGAGGCAAGTTGATGTGTGTAATAACGGTGGGCGAAGGGAAATACCCTGGGACGAGATCCCCGAGAGGTGTGGTTTGTGGTGCTTGACGCACAGGGGCGACCAACCGGTCGCCAAAGGAATTAAAGACGGTTCTAGTCCTGTCTCGTATGGGCGGAGTGACGTTCGTGGTGATAGGTCGGCTTGGAGTCGAGGGCGAGGCTGTGGTGGGCGACGGGAGGTATTTTGGTAAACGTTCGCCGTTTCGAGGAGACTCCGCCAGTCGTCCAGTGATGCCGTCAAATGTATCCTGTGATGGCCTTTCCCTAAGACTCCTGACTATCTCCTTCTGCGTATAACCCTCGTGCTCTCCGTCATTGGCATCATGATGATGCCTCAAGGTCGCCCGAGAACTCTGGGATGTCAATCTCCCTTGCTCGGAGTCCCTCTCCTGACTCCGTGGTATTGATCGAGCGCCCATTCCTGTCCATGTCCCGGTCCTTATGCTCTCCTCGATCTCGTCTCTCTCGGTGATGGTATACAGCGTGCCTGCCTTGGCTTCAATAGATGATTCGGACAGCGGTAGGTCCTTGTCCTCCTCCTCACTCGGACTGCGAGTCTGAGAACGGATGAAGTCGGGACTCGGAGGAAAGAACAACGTGAAAGGACGAGCCCTGAGAGACTCTCGGACTCCTCGTCCATAACAGCGGCATCTTTTGCTCCCATGAGCGCGCCACAGAAGAGCGACGAGAATGATGAGAACCACTCCAAGGACAATGGGCAATGCAGTGAGAAGGGCTAAGCCGCTAGAACATCAAGAGAAACATTAGCCCGTGACGGTCATGTCTGTAGGTAAGAGTAATATGAAAGGCACTGCAGAAACTAGAGATAAACGTACTGAGAGTTGTACGCCATCCGATCATATCCCCTTGCAAGGAGGCCTAAGCTAGATATAGATCTTCAACGCGAACAAAGCCGCAGAAACAGTCTGCTTGTCGTAGCACACCGCAAAGGGAAGGATAGAGCGCCGGTGGTGGCGACGAGGGGAGGGGAAGAACGAAGACGATGTTTACAACGACCGTGGCCAGTAGCTATAAGTATCAGGGTCCCATACGGTCTGATGCTGAACAGTTTCGGGACCTGTCCCGCCTTCGGGGTGAGGTAATGGCATGGCCGTGATGATCACGCCTGTGGGCGAAGATTGGCAAACGACCACTAGCATGACTCGGAGGCCATGATGAACGCCAGGGCGCGCTCTTCAGTGTCGCCTTGCAAGTGGGTATTTCCATAGTGTATTTTGCACAAAGCAGGGAATGTGTTACAGCCAAAGCCAGGGTGAATACCTGTGTGTAACGGCCGTCATCGTGCAGAGCGTGGAGGAGGGCTGTTTCAACGTGAGAATCAAGGTGTTTTCCATCAGCGAAACTCCCACAGAGGGTGGGAAAGATACACACCGCCTCCGAGATGATGAATTCCATTGATGAGACGATGAAGACGTACGATGGCCTCAGAGTCAAACAGGACATACCAAAGCCTTCAATAGAAAAAGCATCATGAAACACTCTTAGTTTGGAAGATAGCCTTACGGTCGAAATCATCATCTTGTCAACTAGGAGGGGTGGAGCAGATGGTCCGGGCAGGCGCACCCTCAGGATTACCTGTTACTAGTGTGACAGCATTCCCTTCAGCGGGTGTATAACAGAGTCAGGTATAATGGGTAAAAAATGATAGACGGGTCTGGCAGATGCAGAAGCTTCGAGGCTCTCATCAGAGGTGGACGCAGAAGCCAACAAGCAACTCTCGGAGCACCGCCTTTCTCTTCCGGCCACTGAGAGACGACGGCGGCAATCGTTGATGACTAGGGATGTCTGCTGGCCCGCAGAACGAGTGTCATACTGTGACCTGTACCCGGCGCGTCCGGCGCGTCCGGCGACGCCTGGAGGCAGACGAGATGTGCCTCCAGGCAATTCCCCACTCATACGAGTTATGCCTCCAGGCAGGATCCCACAGATACGAGTTGTGCATCCAGGCATGTTCGTACGACACGCGAATTGCCTGGAGACACAACTCGCATGTGATCGCATTCGCCTGGAGCCACAACTCGCGTGGATGAACATGCCTGGAGACACAGCTCGCATGCGTTCGGACTCACTCGCAGGCAAAAACATTCCAGGTTGGTTCCCGCGTGGAGGTACTAGCCTGGGTATGGGGAAACAGGGTGATATGGGGGTATTTTTGTAACTTTGCAAGTTTTGAGATTTAGAGCGAATGAATCACATTGCCGGGTGTCATTTTGATGGAATCAGTGTATAAAACGTAAATGTGTGATGTGATTTTGGTGAGATGACGGAGGCTGATTTTGGGAGTTCTGTCTATTTGACAAACATTTATAAGTATACAGGATGCTAGAAATCAATTTGTGAAGGAATCGGTCCATTTGCTCCAAAGTTATAGCATAAACGGTCAGGAAGATATTGCCACATTGAGGCTGGAGGGGTTCGGTACGCCAGAACTAGTGATATAATGATTTGATTGACTTGGTTTTTGCTGTCGTGGGTAGATTGACATCACTAACTGATTATGAAAGCCACACCCGAAACAAAAACTACGACTGTGGCCTTGATAGTGGTGCCGCGTCAAGGGGAGGAGGAGGAGAACGTCTACCCAGGGGGTACTGCAGTGGTTGAAATTGTTGGTGATGTTGACATTATGATTGGACAGTATAGTTTGACGTTTATGAAGACGATCTACGGTACAACATCAGTAAAAAATGCTTCTGCATCAATTGTGGGGCGCTGAGGGGGTAAAACAGTGTATTGGGCCACAGTATAATCACAGGAGCATCCATTTACACGTTTTTGGCATCGTCCTTGTTGTGGTAAT